AGTTTCGCTATATATTTGACCAATATCTTTTTGCCCACAGTAGTACTGACCATAAGGATCAGTTTCCGGGTTCATTCATCATCCTAGCATTTCTAGAACAAAAACGGCGAGCGGAAACGTATTTTCCGGTAACAAGCCGGTTAACCGGTCAATCCTTGGAGTTATCAAGAGTTTGACCCACCATTCGACTCGTCTCAACAAGCTGAAGAAAACTGCACTTTCAGAATTTTTACGATTTTCAGACCCGCAAAAATTTTTTTGAAATTATCAAGTCTTATCTATTGAAAAGGGTTGCGAGTTGACATGTAGATTCCGAAAGGTAGTTGAACCGGAAGTAATTAACTAGCTGTGATTCACATTTCTGCTGTGCATTATCAAACGGGTACGGAATGACAATTGAACCAAGCAAGGAAATGCCAGCAGTAACCCACAATGCCTTACTTCCTTTCTTTCGCGAAATCTTGTAACGCACAGCTCCCAGTTTTACGGTGCTCATTATATCACCAATCTATTACAGTGAAACCCCGAATTTCACCAAATTAAAATTCCGTTCTTGTTTCTGAAAATGAACGAAAAAGTCTGAATCCCGAAACAAGCAAACAAGAAGCGAAAGTTCAATAAACAACTGAAAAATTATGACCGAGAAAATTTACGAAATTTTGTTATGTTAGTTGCAATAAATTAACGTAATTTTCGCAGAAATAGCCTTTTCCTAGAATCAACCGGTGGACATTGTTTTTAGTAGGCCCAGATTGGGATTAACCGGTACGCCCAGTATTAGTCTAATAGACTTGGCCCGTTGTGGAAACAACAATCGTGAGTAACATTTGCTGCCAGTCGGTGGAATCTCATCGAAAGCAATCAGATTTCAGTTTTGATTTACGAAACTCGTGCTTAAAAGGAAGAAAACGGTCAGTTAAAACTACTTAGAAACTTTTATGAAGAAAATCAGCTGAAAAATATGTTTCATGCAAAAAGTAATGTATCATATCAAAAGGGATCATTATCATTAATAATATAATTTATAAAACGAAAAAAAAATTGCTTGATTTGAAGAAAAACTAAAGAAACAAAAATAAAAAAACAAAAATATTAAAATCAACGAAACTAAAAATAATCAGTTTCTCAGCTCTCATGTTTTATCTCTCAAAAAGGACATCTCTCTTTTCTTCTGCAGCAGAATTCCCGGGTACTTACGTTAGCAGCTGGATCAGAATCGTCGTTCTGCTCTTCCGAAGAGAGAAATCTTCCATGGACGGGGCGCGTATCGCGAGGTGGCGCTCTGAGCGGCGGCGCTATCGCCGAAAGCGCGCGGAGTCATGATTGTGCGCAACGCGTTCGAGATTTTTCCAAGGGTTTCGTTGTTATTAAAAGCATGGAAAACCAAAATATAAAGGCTTTTCGGATTAAAAGATAGAAATTACTGAAATTCCTTCTCCCTACTAGTCCTGGACAAACAAATTTTACAAAAAAACTTTTACAAAATATAAAGAATTAGTTTCTTCCCACTAGCAATCACTGAAAATTTTTTTCCAAAAAAGAAAAGAATTTTTTTTAAAAAACTATGTTTTTTCTACATAGATTCAAATTAACTAAAAAACGTCTATGTGTTCGATAATAACGGTCATCATTCTTGTCCCAGGAAGCATCAGCCGGCAGATCGATCGGTTTTAGAGAGCAAGCTCGCGCTAGAATAAGCTGATAGTGTCAAAATTGGCCTCAATATTTCTAACTCAAACGTGTTGCGAACTAGTCACAAGTTTTCTATCATTTTATTCATATTTAAGGACCCCCGTCAACAATTTTCGAAAAATCTATTTTCGGAATTTCAAAATTTTGACCCCGGACTCTACAGGTCAAAAACGATTTTGAGGTTTTATTTTTACGGTGTCTATCTCGGCTCTAACACCCTCAAAATCGCGTTTGAAAATATGATTTTTTGACTAAAATTGTCCCAAAGTCCCAATTTAGCTAAAATTACAGATTTTTATTGGTCAAAAAGTGCACCGAAAAAGTTTTTATGATGAATTGAAGTTCTAGGCACACTAAGAAGCCAAAATTTGGCTTTTTTGAAATTTTCGACTTTTTGAGGAAAATTTGAGGGGGGGAGGGTCCTTAAACTTTTATTCTCAGCAGTAACTCATAACTTCACGTTGGTCTTGAAGAAACTACTAGTAATCTCTCTTTCCGAAAAAAGTCAAGCATCACACAGTTGGACTTTCGTGTAATCTTGAGGACCAGGACAGACTTTTTAAAAAGGCTTTTCTACGTGAAGTTGTTTTGTTTTTGTATTTATTTAGGGAAGATGGTGGTATGGACATTCTATGGATTTATGCAAACTACAGATGGTATACTGAACTTTAGAACTTTTGATAAAGAAATCATTTTCAATTGTATCCATTGTACATTCGTTGGCGGTATGCATTTAGGCGGTAATTTCTGACGAAGTTGTTTCCCTTCGGTACGTAACTCCCATCTCCTGCCGTCGACTGATAAGAGCCTGGATACTTGACGACGTTGATTGGCATGTTCATTTTTGTAAGCATTCGTCTGTACTCAGCAAAACTGTTTCCTCGCGATCTCGCAAGGACAGATTCGAGCAAAACCAGAAAAACGACTTTAAAATTCATTGACTTACTATTTGTAACTGAAACGAATGGATAGGGCAACCTTGTTTTATAGCGCAGTTTAAATCCATTCGCGTCAGAAAAAATGTCAAATCACATGAGTAAGTGCGTTAACGAAGACGTTTTGACAGTCTTCTATGAGACACCTAAAGTGCCAATTTTATGACTTGGAGAATATTTTTATCGAAAGCACGTGAGTAACAATTTCTATAAATAACAACCATTTCTTGAAACTGTGAATAATGTCTTCACGAAGCATATCGTCGAGTTTAGAGTTATTTAGGCCGATTGGCCAAACGTCAATCTGTTTCTCTTTCGTCTACTAATTGCGTTTGGACAATCACCGAACATTTCACTCTCGTATTTTCAAAATTTCAGATTCTCTCTCATAGTTGACCAGTTTACTCGGCGTTCTCTTCAGTCGTTTAGGGGAAAACTTAATTAACATCTACCTAGAAGAAGATTCGTTTTGCTCATATCTCCCTAACCCTCCCAAGGGGGACTCACTGCCCTTGGGATGGTCAGCTTTGCCGCGAAGGGACCGGGCGCTTTTTGACCCCGGCAGAACAAACACAAAGGAATCTTACCTATCTAGAAAGAATTTTGAATTCCGTAGTTACCGTGGTTTTCCATTTTAAGAGCGCCCAATTTAAGAGCGTTTTCGCCAACATTTTGCAAATTATGTTATCTGCGAAAATTCCAATTTAAGAGCGTTTTTGAAGATTTTTATGCAATCAAAAAATTTTTAGACTCAAATAAATCATTAACTAAAACGTGTAATCTCTGACTGCTTTTCCGGCCATTTTAAAGTCAATGGTTTGGCAGTGTCGGCTCCTTCTGTCATTTGAACTTGAGGTTCTTCTTCAATCTCCATCGCCGACGGACCATCAGGGTCGGAGCTCTTTTGCTTTTAATCTGATTCCTAGATATTTAATTTACCTATTCCTACAAAGGCTAGAAAATGTACCCTGAGGCATGTCTTCCCCATCATTTTCCTTCGGATTATCTATTAGATCTCCATGACAGTCTTTCTCCCATCCTTTCTTTTTGAGCCTTCACCAGAATCTGCGCATATTTTTTCTTCTAAGCCAAAGACATGTGTTTTTCTTTTCTTCTCCTGGCATTTTCGTTGTTTAAATTTTGAAGAATGAAAGAGATCAGATTAAGAAAAAGCGCTCGAGCAAAATCCTGAAAAAATCACTCACGTTCTCATCTTGATATACAATTACTTTTGCTTCTAGATCTTTTCTGTTTCATACTTTCGAAATTCCCTGAAAAATGAAAATAACCACTGTCGTCCTATATCGATAGAAAAATTTCCAATTTAAGAGCGTTTTAAGCAAACCCTGTCATCTAAAAAACGCTCTTAAAATGGAAAACCACGGTATTTAAAATTTTCAAACAAGGTTCTCTCACTCTCTTTGAAATGGTTACATAAAGTATAAATGCAAAGGTTCAAGTCTGCATGAAAAATCAAGTTTGTCTTAATTCGGATCTGTACAAATCTCTAACTGGCTTATGAGCTGTGTTTTTGGTGGAAATATGTGCCGGCCCGAGGTTTAAAAATGTGGTGAAAAGGGCACAATCGCCCTGGGCTCGCAGCGGGCAGCCTGATTTCGGGCACACGCCACAAAGCCAGAGCCTTCCCAATCAAAGTTATCAATCACACGGAGGGTGGACGTCGCCGACAGCGCTGGGCACGCCGCCAGGGCAACTTCGCTCTTTCAAGACGCCAATCGTGGGATGAGAGACCAAAAATAAGGGTTGACATTTATAGCCGCGCACTATCCAAAGTAGACCGTTTCTTTGATTCTTTGAAATTTCAGTTAAGTTTTTTTTTTACAGGCAAACGACAGTATCGATCGAAAATTTTTATATCAGTTATTTTTAACATATTATTTATTGATTCAAACAAAAGTTCACAATCTGAACTTGGCAGAGTTCTTTTTATGAGACCAAAAAAGTTTGCTTACAACGATGAGAATTGTTATAAATCAGCAAGATTAAACAGAAATCGTTATTGATTGCCCCCTTCTTGATTGAAAGTCGTTGAACACGGGAAATCAAAGAAGAGCTCAATAATTTCGACAAATTAAAATTATGTCCCAGAGGACGACCATACCGTCGCTCTAGCATTTCCCTCTGCTTCCTTCGGGAGATTACTGTTCAAACAAAATGCGTGTGTATTTACGAGCGTTTATGAACCACATGCCGTCATTTTCCTTTGTGCTGCTTCGACCAGCTAAAAAATATGTGTTTAAGCCGGCAACTCATTCCGAAAGGAAAACTGTAGCATCATAAAAACGAAGAGACGCGCAAACCGCGCCGTAGTTATCACTTACTGTCAGAGAGAAAAGAAGCTCTTTTCTTGAAATGGGAGTTTTGAGGAGATACTTTGAATGCGACAACGTTAAATGCAAAAACAAATGGTCCAGCATCGCTTATCAGATGGATGAGCAGCAATGTCCTGAATGCAAAAAAATCTGTCATTTTGTAAAAACAAAGCAAAAAAAGAAGAATGGATTTCTAATTGGGACTTATGTTTGCAAAGGTAAGAACTTTGTAATCTTTATAAATCAAGGCTAAGCTTAATTAAGGACGAAAGGGCAAAAAGTGCGGCCGAGAGTGGAAATCAGCTGTTGCTTTCAAAGGTTCCTGGCAAATGTGCACTAGATGCCAGACACGCTGTCACCCGGATCACGTTTTTGGTAAGAAAACTTATTTTGTTCGTCTTCTTAATTTCACCAGAACACGATTATGAGGATGTCACGACTGTAGCTTCGATTTCTTCTGAAATTGCGAGCGTCAATATTGATGACAACAATAATGAGAGAACATCAAAGGCTGGAGGTAGCTCAGTGGCAAATCAAGAAGCATCGCCATCTACTCAAAATATGCCTGCCACAAGTGAAACTACTGGAAACAAGGAAGAAGACGAATCTCATCTCCCCAAGCGTCAAGTTCAAAATGACAGGGGTCACATCATGGCTAACTGCGGCGAATGCATTTTTCTAGGACAGTGCTGCGTAAAATACTACGAGTTCATAAGAAATCCCGAAAAAGAAAAGGCTGCAAAAAAGAAAGCTGACAAGCTCCGACCAATGCTGAAGATAAAAATGTACGAAGAGCAAAATATTCATATTGCTCTTGTAAAAAATATGATGGGAGGGGACGAGCAAAAGGCGATGCTACAGAAGATCGACGAAGAGGGCCTTCCATCATCTGGACCCGAAGATGAAAATCCACCTCCACAGCCCCCAGCCCATAAACGACGATATCGAAAGCGAAAATCGAAGAAGCCAAAAAAGCAAGAGTGATGATTAGAAACTTCGTCAACATCGTAATCTGCTACCAATAAATCAATTTACTTAATTTATAGTAAATTCTAATTATATTTGAATGAATAAATACTTGATTCATCGACATTGTTTTCATGATATCAAATACGAAAGTTATGAGTAGCCCCGTATTTACCACTCGTTTTTTTTTTTGTATTTGCTCTTTATTGACTGACAGATAAATTTATCTAAATGAGTGTGAAGGAAAGGGGGCAGTGAACTTAGGGGAAATTTAAACTATTGCTCCATTTTTTCTCCAAAAACGTTATTGGCAATTTCATCAAGGCCAATCGCTCGTAGGGTCTCCATAAGAACCTCGGAGGTTGCTTCTGCACCATTTTTATCTTGCCAGGTGCACTAAATGAAAAATAGAACAAAACAATAGGACTCTACTCTTACCAGGGCAATTCTCGCACGCAAAGCATCGTCCTCGGCATCTTCTTCGCAGTTTTTAATGTCTTTCGCTGTTATATGCCGAAGCTCTTCTGCCAGTTCCTTCCATTTGTCGCCAAGTTCCGTTGATAGTTTGTCTATCTGCTCGGATGTGACTCTTCCATCGGGCGCTGGAGTTTCTGATTCCTCTCGCGGCGGCGTTTTCAGAAGCTCTTTTTCATCTTCAAACTCATTTGTGTCCGCTTCCGCGTCTTAAGTTTTTATTAAGACATGTTATATTTATAACAATTGCTTTAGCAAATAATAGGATTACCTAAAGTTTTGTTCTCTTCATTCTCTTCCTTTGGCTCTTTGTCAGCGACCTCCTTGAGCAGTTTCTTCAGAATATGCTCGAGATACTTGGGCACGGCCAAATGATGCATACTCGCGGGCTGGAGGGAGAAGAAATGCGGCGAAGCGTGAGCAAGAAGTCGGAGTGATCGCCATCCGAACTCTGCGTTCTTGTAGCACTTGTATTGATCTTCAATTTCATTCGCTGGATCGGCGTGCTCCATCGCTTCTTCGAAGAATGTATGCACCTTTGGAATGAACTGGCGGTTCTCTGTCTTGCACGCTTCCAGATTTGGCAAGGATCGACCCCAGAGCTTCGTCAGTTCGGGGCTTCCGAGTCCTAAAATTTGTAATATCCTTTCAATTTCTTTATCGGATCATACCAAGTTTCTTGTCGCTCATATAATCATCAAAAATAGTCTTTCTCTTCTTTGGTCGCGACGCTCCGTCCTTATCTTTTTCGCGCATAAATCTTGGACAGCCTTCGTTCTTCCACTTGACCCAAAAGGCTTCTCGCTCGATGAGATGTTTGACGAAAAGCACATATTTCTTGCCATTTGGTGGCGTTTCTTGAAGCAGCTCGTAAATGGTCTTTTCTGTGTTTCGAATCCACTCTCGACTGGCAAAGGGGAGGACGTTTGTTGCTGATCGGAATTTTACGTAACCTGAATAGAAAAGTTATGAAAATGGATGATTGATGGTAATCTACCTGTGAGATACTGGAAAAGGAACAAAATCTCAGTCAAAATCTGTCTTCTGAAGCTCGGATCATTCAACTGAAGCTCCAAAAGATTAAACGACGTCAAAAATTTTGGGAAGTAAACGATTTGGCCATTGGATTTCATCTCCACATCGAGCGAATCGTAGTCAACTTCCTTTTTACTTCGTTTTTCTTCTTCATCTTCGTTGACTTCAAGTTTGAAATTGGTGAAAGCAGTGTTGATCGTATTTACAGCCTTTTCGAACTCGGCGAATTTAGATGGCTCGTAAAGTTGAAGAGGATTGCGAAAAAAGTCTTGCACGCTCCAGAGACTGTTGTACAGCTCTCTGTTTTCTGTCTCGTCGTCTTCGATTCTAGTAAAGTCAGTTTCGTTGTCAAGATTGAAGTTAGAGTTCAAATTGAGCGCCGACTTTTCGCTAATCGGGAAGATCCGGGTAAGGAAAATGTGAATCCGGCCGCAGAAAACATTGTTTTGCGATTGACTCTTTTTGGTTAAAAATTTTCTATTCAATTATCGATTAAACTTAATGATTAACCGTTTTCCTAAGTCGACGTAAAAGATCGTTGCAGTTCCGCAAGAGCTGGTTTTTGCAAGCGTTGACGTAAAATTGCGCTGATTTCCAAATTGGAGTCTGTTTCTCAACGAAGTCAAAGATCTTCTCACAATCGTCAAGAGTAGAGCATTCAAGTGCATCGGAAATGAGAGCCAGTGGCGTCAGAACAGAGCAAAGACCCTTTCTGGCGCAGGAAGTTGCGAAAGTCAAAAGACTGAACATTTAAGAAGACTTTTGGCTGCTATATATTCACCTGATGACGCTAGAAATATCACTGGTTGTGACAAGAACTTCTTGAAGCTTTACTTTCAAGCACTGATCTGCTACTTGCTTTTTGTCTGCGTCAGTTCCCTGAGTCGCGCTAAAATATCCATCATTTCAGCGATCAAAAATGATTGAGCACCTATATCTGGAGATAAACTCATTTGGCTTGCCCCCAACAAAGTCCTTATCAAATCCCTCCGAAAAACTGCTCAAAGTCAAGGTGAAATCGAATTCTGACGGCGCTTGTACCATCTGTCTAGGTCTGAATAAGAGATCCTTTTTATTTGAATTTTGTCGACAGGGCGTAGTTTATTTTTCTAGAGACAGATATCATGGTGTAATCAGCCTCTATTTAGAGGGGCAGTTGGGTTGCAGAAGTCGCTATTTATGAGCTTTTTTGGTTCATGTATTCGTCCATTTGTGCATCCAGTCCTTTCTGTAAATCATTTGAGTTAGCATATGTTGGTAAAAGGGATGATTTTACCTTTGTTTTGCTCATGTATTCATCCAGTTGGGAGTCGAGGCCGCCCTTAGTCTTGAGCATGTACGAATCCATCTCTGCATCAAGATCTTCAGCGGAAACTGGTTTTCTGAAACATAAACGTCAGATAAGTCGGTTCTTTAACAACCTTACCGGGTGGTTTTGCCTCCTCGTCCACCACCACGAGCTCCTCCTCGGCCTCCTCTTGTAGCGCCACCTCTCGTGGCACCGCCTCTTTTGCCTCCTCGACCCCGCGCTGCTTGGGTATGCTTGAGCTGGCTCAACTCGCGCTCCGTGTCTCGAAGCATTGATGTGGCCTTTGCCAAAGCCCGATTTGCCCTGAACATGCGTTATTCTCCTTTATTCCTTCAGAGTTGCTTACGATTGCCTGGCAGACAAGTTGCCAGCTCCGCCGGATGAGTTTCTCTTTCCCACTCGTCCAGCCATGGCTGATCGCTTATTGATACCAGATTGTCTGAGCGAGGCGGAGAATCCCCGAGCGCCCCCCTGGCCAACATCGCCGATTCTGTTAACGACGGGCCGTCGAGCTGCTGAAAATAGAGATCTGTTACCAACTAGAATTCCAAAAGAACGCTATTACGTGCTGATCGACGCTCGAGCTCTTCGGCAAATCGGCGGTTTCTCTCGGATCCAGGGGCAATTCCAGCACCAGTACGACCACCAGACAGCTGCTAAAGAGGGAGATACATACCGGACTACGGTGAGATTACAGTGGTGTGAAAGCCTGAGCTGTTTGTAGCTCTTAGTGGTACCAAAGGTTTGGAATACTCTTCTCTCTCTATTTCTTTGGGTATATTTCTAATTTCCATAATAAAATTGATAATTATAAAAGTTAATAAACCCGTTCCAAAAGCTACATTTCCATATCGAGTTTTCTGGCGAATTCGCAAGATTCAACCTTTTTTTGGACTGAGCAATGAGCATTTTTTTGAGAACAGAAGAGTAAAAGAGACAGTTGCCTGCTTGTTTTTAGGGTTTTCCTAATTCTAGCAGGCGACAGAGATTTTCAGAATCTTTCAGAGAGAAGATTGGACATTTACCCTGGTTGGCTCTTCAGTTGGACGACTTCGCATGATTTTTGAGAAGCGATCATTGAGACTGGTGGAAGTCGTCGATTTTAGCACAAGTTTGGTGGCTGACATTTTTTACGGATTTGTCAGTCTAAAAATTTAAATAAAAGAATTTCTTCAAAGCGCATATTTTTCTCCAAAAATTTCTTCTCTGATTTCATGAATTACTCCCTCGTTTGAGAAAAGATCTCTGAAAAGCATAAAATCAAGAAATAAAGCGATTGAGATATTCTCCGTTTGAGAAATGATTGGCCTCTGAGAACTGGCGCGCCCAATCGCGAAGGCGCAAAAAGACAGAGAAAAATTTGGAAAATCTCCAATTTGAAACAGGACATTTCAATTTCGCCGGTTCCGTTGGAGATTTCGCTCGTGTGAATCAGAAAGAATGGACATCGAAGATCTTGCGGATAAGGGAGAAATAAGGTAGAACTTCATGTTTTTGACTTTTAGTTTTCGCCCCGGGGCATGTTTTTCTTTGCTTGGCGCGTGTTCTCATAAAAATATATCAACAACTGTTGTCCTTCAGGGAAGATGGTGATTTCAACAAAGGGAAAGTTGTCACTCGCCGCCACAAAAGAAGAATTCGCAATGCCGAGGCCGTCGAGGCGGATTCAAGCTTCGCCCGGGGCCAAAAGATTTACGTGCGCACCTGGGGATGTACTCACAACACTTCCGATTCAGAGTACATGGCCGGCCAAGTGAGTCTTATAAACGATGTTGGAACTTGAATTATCGACTCTCAATTCAAGTTATTCTAGCATTGAGTTTAAGTTTTATGCTCGGTAATTTGTCTTGAACGCATCCGGTGGCAAATAACTTCTGCCGTAAACTTGTCTATTTCGTTTTACGGAAAATGCAAACACCAAAAATTCATATTCGACCGAAATATGTTTAATTTTGGAATCAAGGAAGATAAAATCTTAGAGATTAGAACTTTGTAGAGCTTTTAATAATTGAAGAAAGTGGCGATTGTCACCTACTGACTTTGGCCGAGCGTGTTTTTGTGATTCGGGAGACAATGAAGGCACCATAGAAACATTTTCATCAACTGTCATGAATAGATCATTCCATTGTGAAAGGGCTTTGAGCCCGTTTATCCTTCCCGTATTGGATTGACTGCATTTTCCAAAGAAACGAGATACATTGACGCCCAAAATCTGAGAGAATTTATTTTCACATGAGACAGGCAGAAATTAAGACGGTTGCTTTTAGCTGGCGGAAGCGGGATATGATGTTAAACTTGACGATTCGAAGAGATTGGAATGCGATCTTTGGGTGAGTTTTAATTTGCCGCTTACAGAAGCTCTTTCCTTTTATTAAAAACGTCGAATTTATTTGGAATTATTTCAGCTTTCAGCTTTATGTAAAGACGAAATTTTTATTAGACGCAAATTTTGGAATTCAAGCTTGAGATTTGACGAGTCTTAAATTTGATTTTTGAAGTTGTTGAACAGCTGCACCGTAAAAGCGCCAGCAGAAGATCATTTCAAGAATGCGATCAGCGCCGCGCAGAAAGTAAACATCCCAGTCGTCGTTGCTGGCTGCGTGCCTCAAGGAGCCCCCAGCGATAAGTTTGTCAAGGGCCTCTCTACCATCGGCGTACAGCAGATTGACCGGGTCGTTGAAGGTTCGTAAATTTACATTTTTTGCAGAGGAAAAATAGAGAGAAATTTCAAAATCGAGAGTATTTAACGGTTATTGTGCACAGTTAGAGCAATTAGCTTTGATATTTTATCGAGTTTTATGAAAGTCAAAGAGTAGATCCATTTTTAACTAAAGTTCAGCAGTTGACTTTTGAGCTGTACATTTGGTTTCTTCATTTTTCACTGTTATTTATGTCGATATTACCTTTTGTCTTACACAAATTTGACACCTTGATTTTGATCAATACTATCCGATCAGTTTGAGGCAAATATAAAACCGAGAACTATCTTTGATCGATGAAACACGAGCAAATAATCATTTTGATATGCAAAAAATCGCCCGACAATCATTTTGATATTTGCAGAGCTTCCATTATCGTTTCGATATGTCTTTGATGGAAGGGGTCTGACAAGAAACGGCCTGTCCAAGTTTTGGATTTGCGAGGAAAAGTAACTCTGAAAAAAAGAAATGTTCTATATCGTTCTGAAATTTTGTTTTATTGAACTTGAATTGATAATAAAAATGCAGCTTTTTAAATTTATTGAAAGTGCGAGTGGCGCTTTTGAAAAGCAAATTTGGCTTTCGACAATTCTTCTTCATCTTTGTCATTTCGGCGTCATAAAACACAAAAAATTTAGTGGTGGAAGAGACACTGAAAGGAAACACGGTGAAATTGCTTGGACCCAAGAAGCGATCCGGAAAAAGAATCGGAGGTGCTGACTTGGGGCTTCCGAAAGTAAGAAGAAACGCGTTGATTGAGATTATCTCCATAAATACAGGCTGTTTAAACTCTTGCACTTACTGGTAAGCCCCCTAAAGCTTCACTATCGCTGCACTTATAATCGTCACTGTACTCCAATCCGCAACGATTGCATATTTTAATATTTTCTTTGAAGCAAAACGAAACATGCTCGAGGTGACCTGGCGAGTTACCCAATCGACGAGATCGTCGCTCGCTTCGAACAGGCTTTTCAGGAAGGAATCGTTGAAATCTGGCTTACCAGCGAAGACACGGGTAAAACAGCAAATCTATTTCCTTTTTCCCAAGAGAAATTTAAGGCGCTTACGGACGAGATATCGGAACAAACATTGTTGAGCTTCTAAATGCTGTTGTGAAGACCATTCCAGATGGATGCATGATGAGAATAGGAATGACAAACCCGCCGTATATTCTTGAGCATTTAGAGGGAATCGCCAAAATTTTAAATCACCCAAGGTAGATTTTTTTTCAATATAAGAGTGACTGGACTTTCTTGTTCAGAGTCTACTCATTTCTTCATGTGCCAGTGCAATCCGGATCCGACGCTGTTCTGAATTCAATGAGAAGAGAATACAACAGAGAGGACTTTTGCAAAGTCGTTGACACCCTTAGGAGTAGTGTGCCCGATTGCAACATCGCTACAGGTAGACTACTAAACTATTGTAAAGATGGAAAGTAAATTCTCGAAGATATCATCGCCGGTTTTCCTACGGAGACAGAAGAAGATTTCGACGAGACAATATCGCTCTGCGAAAAGTACAAATTCCCTAGTTTGTTCATGAACCAATTCTTCCCGCGTCCAGGCACGCCGGCAGCAAAATGGGAGCAAATCCCGCGTCAAATCATCAAAGAACGAACGAAAAAATTATCGACCGTCTTCAAAAGGTAAATATTGTTTGAGAAATGTCGCCTCCAGAAGGGACTAAAGCAGGGACAAGAGTTCGACAAATATTGCATTTTCTCAGCTGATCCGTTTTTTGTGTTTTTTGCATGTGCACCTTCTTGGACACTTCTGCTTTTTTGACGTTCAACTACAGTTTACGACTGTAGATAAATCAAACAGACACGGAATAATTCTTGTGCTTTTAGCTATTTGCCGTTTGAGGGAAGAAAAGGCGAGCGCCACAGCGTCTTGATTACGGAAATGGCGCACGATAAAGTCTCCCTTGTCGGCCACACAAAATCTTATCACCAAATACTTGTCAAAGGAAACAGCGATGAATTGATGGGCAAACGAGTCGACGTCGTCGTCACCGAGACAACAAAACATTCGATGCTCGGTGAAATTATTTCAGAACCAAAGACTGTCGCGATTGCCCAAAATCTGCAAATTCTAAAAGAAAAGGAAAAGGCCAAACCGTGGGGCCAGAAGAAGCTTGAAGCGTTGAGTGAGATTGTAGACTTGAGAATAGTTGGCGCCATTGCCTGTGCTAGTTTTATTTATTTTGCAATTTCAAGACAGCGATCGAGCGTCAGTAATTGATCGCTCTCGCATTATATAAATTAAACAAGATCTTATTACAGTTAATTTTAACCCGAAATTAGTTTAGAAAAATGAGCAGATCGATGCAAAATCTGCTTCGAGAGTTTCGAGCCCTCTACGAAGAGCGTTTGAAACGGCTTGATTTGACGACTTCGCCAGAAAACTATCGAGCAAAATGCGAAATCTACCAACATTACGTCCACGATTTGTTGGAGCAAAACGACGCCTTGATCAATGCTCTGAAAGATTCCGAAATCAAGGTGGAAACATCTGCTGATATGGAGCGATCGCTGACTGAAGAGATCTCTTTGGCGAAAGGTTTTGAAGAGCAGCTTTTCGCTTGCCGCCAAGAGAAGATTCACCTCGAAGTGGAAAACGAAGATCTCCAACAGCAAGCTGTTCGATTGAGAGAAATGCTCGACGATGCGGACAATGGAAAAGAAACGCTCGAAAGCGCCATTTCTATCGCACACGACGATCTAGCGAAGCTCAGAATCGAACTTGAAGCCGTCCGTGGAGAAGTGAGAGATGCTGATCAGAAAAATCACACGGCAGAAAGCAAGTGTAGCCGAGTACAGTCAGATCTTCGACTGGAACAAGCAGAAAACCAGAAGCTCAACAGTCGACTTGATTCTTGTGAAAAATCGCTGGAGCGCGCCAAGTCTGAAAATCATTCCTTACAAAACAGACTCATCGCGCTAGAAAACGAACTCAACGAGAAATCCATCGAACTAGCGGGCATGGAACGGGAGTTGATCAGCTTCAAAGTCAGCCGGGACACTGGAATCGAGCAGAGTCACGTAGACAAGCAAGAAAAGCTCCTCCTTTCCGCGAAAGTAAGCGAATTGGAAAAAGAACTCAGGCCGCTGCGAGAGGAGCTATCTGAAAAAGGCGATAAATTGGTACGAGAGAAAGACTTGAGCATAGAACTCGCGTCGACGATTAGTCGACTGAGGGACCAGATCACCATCCAAGTTGAAAATTCTAAAAAGCTCGAGAAACAAAATCAGGACGTCAAAAGAAAGCTCAAAGAATCCCAAACTGAAGTTGAAGCGATTGACAAACGCCGCTCAGCGCTGACGTCTGAAAATCAGAAGCTCCGAGAGACGCTCCACAAGAGCCAACTCGAAAGGCAGCGGCTGAAAGACGAGACCTGTCAACAAGAAGTGACGATGAACGGCGAGATGCGGCAATTGAAGGAGCACATTGGCGACCTTCAGGAAAAGATCGATCGAAGAACCCGAGAGACAGAAGAGCTTTCGGACAGAGTCGGTCGTCTCACAGCTTCAGTTGCGACGCACAAAGTCGCAGAAAAATCAGCAAAGGATCATATCGGAGAGCTTCAAGTCGAAATATCCGACTATAGGCAGCGAATAGTAGAAGTTACTGCCGAAACTAAAAACTATGAAGACAGAATTTTAATACTCGACCAACAGTTGCATGATCGTGATGTCGAAATTGAAGCAATTCGATCATCCTTGAATACCAAGGCTGCCGAATGCGAAGAGCAGCTTTCAAACAGCTCAAAGGAAAGGTTCTTAAGTTTATTCTTTTTTCATATGATCATATTCTCAAAAGCGGGAACAGCGTAACATCTCATAAAAATTTGGTTCATTACTTTAGGAGTGAGCTCTCCATGGAACCGTTCAACTGCTCCGATCAGCACTTAATTCATTTCTTGAGTACTGAAGAAAAAAAAAATAAATTACCATTTTCACAGTTGATCGCGTATCTGTGAAGTATGTTGACGATATCTACTCCTGATAAATCCACACGAGCGAGGACGAGTGTAAATGTATAAAATAATAGCTTGCAAGAAGTCATTTGTTTTGAATATTTATTAAACGACGATTAAACCGCGCTTATAAGCACAGTTTATCTGAATTAACAATGCAAATTATATGATCGTTGTATTAACGATGTAGTATCGAGCGTCAACGATGGTTCTTCATGTTAAAATTTTCAATACCGGTGACTCTTCGCATTCCTGCATGACATGATCGTAGAGATCTGCTGTCATCTCTACACCTTCGTTTTCTAATTCAATAAGTCTGTCTAAAATATGTTTTGTTGCAAAAAATATGTAAAGAGCTAACTTGCCCGCTTCACATTTCATCGCGTATTTGTGAAGAATTGTTCTTTTTTCAGAAGGGGTTAATCCACTCCAAGTTTTTATTCCTACCGCAAAGTTTTGTAAAAACGCCAAAGCAAAAATGATTGGGGATTTCATTTTTTCTGGCATCAACTCATCCATCACTTTTTATATAGTCAAGTCATATTCCTTTAATGAATAATTTATTGACTAACAAATGCCTACTCTTGTAGATTGGGCGACATTCAGGACAATAGGGTGACCTTGTTTATTCAAAATGAATAAAAGTGTTAGTTTTCTTGCATTTCCCAGAACAATGAATAATTTAATGACTATTTGGGCTAAGTTCAGCTACAGGAACCCTTTCAAAGCAAGAACAACTTGTTCACGAGCTCACAACCGAGCTTAGTGCAAAGAATGCTGAACTTCGTCGCGCTCATCTCGATCTTGACGCTCAAAAAGTGGAACTGACGAATAACGCCGAAAAGATCCAACACATGGCTTTGAAAATTCAAACGCAAGAAGAAGTCATCAACATCGCAAAGGGAGAAATCGAAGACTACGAGCGAATGAAGCCCCATCCAGAGTCGGAGGTCATCAATCTCAATTCTAAACTGGACCAGCTTAGATTAGAAGGCGATTCCTTGAAGGTAAAGCATGCTGAGACTGTGAAGAAGCTTGCTGATGTTAGCTTGCTATGTAACGAGCTGAGGAACAAGCTCAAATCAGCGGTCGGTCAAAGGGATCAAGCTCAGCAACTGACGAATCTGTACGAGGGAAAATTCAGTTCTGCTGAAAGGCAGCTCAAGGAGCTCGAATTCAAAGTACATCAAGGTAACTTTATTGGTCCATCAGTTTTACTGATGTTCTTAGATAGAGCGACAGAAGATGGTAATCATTTATTTTATCAGTTATCTTTTTATTCATTTCAATAATATCAACTCAGTTCCATCTGTTTTCCTTCAATGTGAAACACTACTTTAAGCCCACAGCCAAGTGGATCGCGAACGAGAATGCTCAAAAACTCGACAAGAAGCGATGGAACAACGAATCAAGGACATTACCTCGGCCCGTTTGAGCTCGGAAGAGATGGCTCAACAACTTCAGAGAGAGATCGCCAATCTGCGCGCTGAAAACTCGCAGATGATCAAGAACTCTGAACGAGACTCAGAAAAACAGCATCTGATTGAGAAGGAACTGCATGTTTCATCAACAGAAAATGAAAGACTGGGAACAAGGTAAGAATAATAAATATTATTATTATTAAAGCCTCATCAGGTAGCGGGAACATAGAGAGAATCTTTGTAGACTCATTTTAAATTAAAAAACAGATAACTTTTTCTTCCTTGATTTTTTTATATAGGAATTTAGACTCATTTCATTATATTTTTATGTAATTTTTTGCTGGTGGTCATTTATATCAAGTTTAACATCCGCGGGAGGTCCTCATGGAGCCGTTTCTCTGTTGGAGACCAGATAATAATCTTTGAAGCGCACCCCCACGCTAGAGGTCATCTCTGACTAAGATGCTTCTTATCTGATTCCGGTTTTAAAAAATATCTTCAGGCTGAATGAATCAAGAGTTGAAATCGAAAAACTCACAAAACTCGTCGAAGATCTCACTACAAACTGCGAAAATCTTCAACGGCAGCGAAGAGAGTCCGATTCTCTTCTCCGCAACCTCCGCGGCGAGCTTGGAATTGCATGCAAAACTCGTAAAGCTGCCGAAGCTCAAATGGAAACTTACCGTAGCTCAATTAAATCTCTCGAGGAACAAGTCACATCGCATCTCTCCACCCAGGCAAAACTTGAGGAGCAACTGAAGTCGAAGGCAATCGAAGAAGACGCATTGAAGAGTAAAAAGAGGAATTTGAAGTCGAGCGTCACTGAACTGGAAGACCAAAAACGCTCGCTTCAGAATGATGTCGACAAGTACAAGCGTACTGCAGCTGAGCAAAGAAGCAGAATAAAACAGGTCAGAAAATCAATAAAAACAATAAAAAGTAATTTTTTAATAAAGCTTGAAGAAGCCCTGCGAGCAATTCGAAGAGAAACAGAAACTCATCACACGAGGCAAAAGCACGAGCAAGAAAAGCTTCGAAAGCAAAACGATGCCTTGGCGTCCGAGCAAACGAGGAAAGCGGCCGAGTTTGATGGTAAAACGATTCGCTACCAGGAGGAAGTCTCGAGGCTAGGAGATGTTATTAGCAAACTTCAGGTTTGATCAATCTAAAAAGATCATTTTCAACATATTTTTTAGTCCGAGCTTGAAACGACCAAAACTCAACTCTCTGCAAGCCAACGACTCGAGCATCAAGCCAGAATCGACGTAGCCACCATCCGAGAAGCTGGCAAATCCCGTGACGACAGACGAAATGAACTCCAGGTCAGTCCCATTTTCAAGCATTTGAGCAAACATTCCTCTGTTCAGTGTGAGTACGATTCGTTGCAGCGCGAGAATAGCCGCCTCATGGGCGAAATGGCGCGGCACATCAAAGAGAAGGAGATGGCAGTGGCAGAAGAGGATAGATTGCGAAAACATAGCGTCAAGCAGCAGGCGATGCTGCAAGAAATGAGACGCAAACTTGCTTCCAAAGCTCATTATCAAGGTAAGGTCCTTCTCTGTATTCTAAAGCTAACCAGCTAACCTTTCAGACCTGAAAGTTCACTACCAACCTCACACGCCCGGACCCTTCGGCGACTCGTTTGCGAGCCACAATTGATCCTTTCTTGCCCGAATCCTAACTGTATCTGACACACTACGTTTTAAACACTGTACATGATTTTTATTTTTCTACCAAATCTTTTAATTTTGTTATTCAGCTTCTATTTAAATGTTTAGTTTTGTACAAAAATTCTGAAGTAAACTAAAACTATTTTATACCAAAAGATTGTTGTTGTGTTTGTCTCACTTGTGAAAGTACAGTATGTCAAAGTATTGTATGAAAGTTTTGCTCTTCGCCGAGGCAAGGGAAGTAGCAGAAGCGGACTTTATAGAAATCGAGCTTTGGGTTTTAAAAATAAGCAGGGTAGTTAGTTTCATTCAATTTTGAAGCTCTAAAACAGATTTCTTCAAAATCATCCAGGGGCAAAATTTTCTCGTCGCTGGCTTCAAAGATACCAGAGCTTGAATCCGTTCTCAAATCATCGCAACTTGCACAAAATCATGAATACGTAGCCGACGAAGGGGACATTGAAATTTCACCGTCTGATGAATTGGCAGTAATTCCCCCAATTGGCGGAGGCTAAATTTGATTAAAACATTTCACTCTTCAATTTTTTGCAGTTCGTTATTTTTAGACTGATTTTAAATGGCTCGTGCGCAAAAGCGACGAACAGCCAACAATGTTTTTTCACAAAACATAACGAAAAAGGGCCATGTCCAGAAAACCAGAAATCCAAAGCCCGAAAAGTATCCTGTTGGTCCATGGCTGCTCGGTCTCTTCATTTTTGTCGTAAGCCACTCTACTTACTTCTTGGGTAATCCCGCATCCCATTTAGGTCTGCGGCTCTGCAATATTCGAGATCATCTTGAAGATCCAAGCCTACGCCAGATCCTAAAATTTCATCCTGCATCTTTTATATTTTCAAAGCCAGAGTTCCTTCTTGTTCCTCGTTCGAATCATCTCCTGTATTTTACCTTCATTTCTTCAGACACTATTTTCTTCAATCATCAGTCCAAAACTCAAATTCAAACTTCATTTTCTCGAATTTAGATTTCGCATATGGAGTTTGATAATGGACTTGACGCACTTTTACAGAAATCAGAGGAGCTAACTGCCAATTTAAATGACGGAACAGATTTACCTCGAGTCCGGCGGAATCTCGGACAGGTAAATCTTCAGTTCATACCGGTAGTTCATTGACTTATGTTTCTCTTAGATTCTCGACGCTGGAAAACGCCTTTGGTCGAAAACTGCTGCCCACGGAACAGACGCTCAACAAGTCAAAGCTGCCCTCTTTCTCGGTCAAAAAGGCCTGGAAATCGCCGACGTTCCAGATCGATTGAAAAACCTTGCCACAACGCGAAATTTGGAGCCATTAAACCCTGTTGTCCATACAGATATTGAAGGGTTCCTGAGGAACGAGCACGAAAACGCGATCTTATCAGGTAGATACCCAACCGAATTGTAATTATGCGATTCAAAGTCTTTGATCCTAACACAAGTATCAGCGCCCCACCGCAATATACAGGCTTATCGCGTACTGTACGCCAGCAACTGTCGCGATTTTCCTCAGTTGTCCTTTCTTTTCTATTTTTGTTAACTTTTGGCGTTAGTAATCGAAGAGCAAAAACAAAAAACTTTCGAAGAAGTAACCAACCGCCACTGGGAAACGAGATTAGCAGAGTGGGACACGGAAAAAGGAAGAATTCTCAATGCATTGCTCGGCTCAGATGACAGTCTTAACATTTCAATTTTGCCCTCGAAAAAGTCGAAATTGCGAGATGATACGAAGGTCATTGCTGGAAAGAGATCGTTGTTGGATGATAATGAAATGCTCTACGCACAGCAGATTCACCGATACAATGAAATGGTCGTTCAGGTATCAAAATTATTCGTTTAACCTGGTCATCAATAAAAAATTAAGGGTATCAAACCAGATTCGCTCATCAAATTCTGCCAATCTGCTGTTGAGCGCATGAACTCACAATCTTTGGTCGCAATTTGGAACATGATTTGGGAGCTCGTCGGGCACATCCGAGTCCCATCTGGAAAAACGCCAGCTCAGCTCCGAACTGATACTGAAATTCAAATGGCTCTCATCAACGCGTCTCGAGCGCACTTGGAAAACGAGTACTTCAATTTTATTCAAGAGACAGTGAATAGCAATCTGAGAGATGCAAACAGAGGCGCCATGCCGGGAACCGAGCAGCTTATCAGAAGTTTCCTGCAAGTTAGAAAAGTGAGTTTTCCTTCCGTTTATGTCTTTTGATTGTTGATTTTCGTGTAGTACAACTACCAAGCAACAGAAGATGGAGATGTCTGGGCTATGATTTATTATTGCTTGCGATGCGGCCAAACCAGGGTAATACTTTTATCGACGCGCATGAATTTCTAACGATTGATAATTAGACTGCCGTCGAGATCGCCCGAAAAAGCTCCCAGATCGTCGGCGAATTTCTTCCAAGCCTCGTCGATTGGGTAGAATCACCAGACAGACTTCTAGGACCCAACCAAGAATCGAAGATCAAGATCCAATTCCGACGCTCAGTGCGCGCGTGTACCGATCCATTCAAGCGGGCAGTCTTTTGCATTGTCGGAAAGTGCGACACGGATATTCACGAGGATGTGATTCAGAAGACGGATGATTACTTGTGGATGAAGCTCTCACAAGTTGTTGTCGGAAAGGTATTTTCTTCTATAGAAGAAAGCATAGCTCAAATTTGAAGACTTTTAATTCTTCTTTCAGACCGGAGACGGATACGAATCAATCGAAAAATTCCAGCGGGATATTCTCGAGGAATACGGCGAGGCTCATTTCCAAGCTGATCAGTCTCCACTTTTATACTTCAACGTCCTTGTTTTGACGGGCCAATTTGAGGCTGCAATTGAATTCCTTGCCAGGTACTAGTCAACTTTTTATCCCTCATCTTTGAAAACTTTCTGAAGATCTGAATCTTTCCGATGCCATGCTGTCCATGTTGCACTTTGTCTCTACGAAGCTGGTCTACTCGTCATTCCACACAATTTCAACGCGAAGCTTTTGACCAGATCGGAGACTGATCCCATCCCTCTTCGAAGGAATGATTTTAATCACGATCAAATGCCTCCATTTTTAACAATGAAATCAAAATCAATCTAAAGACTCAACCTTGCAACACTCGTCATGACCTTCACCCGCAAGTTCGAGTCCACCGATCCACAGGAAGCCCTCCAATACTTCTATTTCCTTCGCGATATCCGTCTACCAGGTGCGCTATACAATCAATTTTGATTTTGCGTAAGAGGAAATGCTTTAGGTGCGAGCGACAGTCTTTTCATTTCCTGCGTTTCGGGCTTGGTCCGAGAATCGAGAGAGTTTGGTACGCTGCTCGGACGAATTGATCCGCAAACGGGACAGAAGAAATCTGGTGCTATTGATAAGGTGATTTTACTTGGACATTAGAGATAACACATTTGATATTCATTTTATTAGCGAGATCTTTCAAGTTGTTGACAAGCAGCTCACCTAGATCATTTAGTTTCATTTTAATATCATATTTTTCATGAAAAGTATGCACTAGTCGCAATGTCGAAAGTAGCTTTGTTTTTGTTACATTTTGTCGTCGACATAAAGTTATGTTTTAATTTTGACTTGTTATATTTTGAGATCGGTCCTAAAGAGGGCTGCAACTCACCCTTTCTCAGCGAGTAGCACAAGTCAATATTGGGTTGCGCAGTAAAGTCTTATCTGATCGTCTACTTTTAGTTCCACGCCGATACGAAAAAACTGATCGAACGCGTCGCCCGAGACTGTGAAGAACGCGGGCTCTTCGAAGACGCAGTTGGCCTCTACGACCTGGGTGGCTTCCACGATAAAGTGGTTGATCTCCTGTCTGAACTGATATCGCAAGTCCTGGCCGATGCCGATAAGCCTCAATCAGACAGAAATAGACTCAAAATCCAGGGTAAATCCTTTATCGCATTATAAGCTTTTCAAGAAATGACTTTCAGCGCAAGAAATTGCCCAGCGATACAGAAATCAAAATGTGGAGATTCAGCGGCAATCTGCGGATACGTTCCATCTTCTTTTGGATCTTATGACTTACTTCGACGCGTAAGATTGTTCAAAAATGATAAAGGGTCGTTCACAGAAAATTCTAGCTACCACGGAAAGCAGCTTGACTTTGCTCTAGACACAATCCGTCAGTTAGACTTGCTCCCCCTCGACGGAATGAATCAATCACGTGATCAAATCCAATCCAAGGTTCGTTCTATTTCACATTTCAATTGGGCGATCTTTTGAATATAAATTTGCGTGGAGCTAACATGTGTTTAAATTGTCATTGTTACTGTCTCGCAAATATTCGCGTAGCTCTTGAATTACACGCCACAAAATTTCATGTTCTATTTATTCTGTGTTCAGGTTTCGCGACTCGCGGACAAGGGAGAGGAAATTCGGCGATCGCTTTCGGAAATTCTTCTTTCGGCGATGAATATTTTGCTTCTCAAGTACAAAAGAATACAGGGAGATGCAAAGAGACCGATAAAAAGTTTTTTTTTATTATTCAATTAAAATAGATTAAGATTAAATGAAAGACAGAACCTTTAAATGTCCTCTTTTAAGTAAAACTTTATTCTAAGCTTGCTTATTATAATTTGTTATCGCGTCTAAGCCGCAGTTCGGTGATCAGAGTGCGCACCTGTCTCAGTTGGCGGAGATCAAGAGCCTGGCGAAGGCGCTGATTATGTTCGCCGGAATGGTGCCGTATCGACTGCCCGGCGACACCAACATGCGCCTCGTTCAAGCAGAAGTCAAGATGAACTAAAGAACCCTGAAGAAAGAACGAAACACTGACAGAAACAGATATTGAATTGGAATTAAGCCCAACCCCTATTATTATTTTAGTTCATAAAAATGACATAGAATTAATCGTTTGTTCACTGCCCCTTTAACGGATTTAGAAATTAAACAAACAAAACTTGCTATAACTCAACTGTTGACTTTTTCTGCTGTCAAAAATGTGTCACTTTTTGATGCCTTTTGGATTCCTTTTTAGATAACTGCGGAGTCGACGGAATTTTATGAGATAACATGTTCAAACGCGGGGCCGAGAATCTTTCTAGCGATGATTTGTCGACACTGGAAGCCGAAAATGACCAGTTAGAGCCGAGGATCGGAAATCTTTCGCCACAGGACTTAGAAGACTTCAGCAAAACGGACTGGCTCATCATTTGTTTCATAGGAAAACAGGTGTCAACAGCTTTCAAACTCAAAATACTTTAACGGTATTTTAGCTCTTTTGCCCCCTAAAATGACCCTCTTTCAATTTGGATGATTTTATTCAATTTTTAGTCAGTATTTTCTATCAGTATGCCTAGTTGCGTATCTATAGTAATTATCGTATTTATTCTTTCGAATAAATAGTCATCTGTCGGATTTCAAATTTCATTCCCAGAAATTCTTGTTCTCTTACTCTATCGCTCTCTAAAATACTCGGGAAGATGCAAAACGGATTTTTTCTGAGGAGCAGCTCAAAGTGTGAGTAATCTGCCCTGACTTTGGGCAGTTGAGAGCACGATCTCCATCATCCTGCACACAAACTCACAATTTGCCAAAAATTCTAAACAAGAATATTCAAATTTTGCATATTTTTTTGTTTCCCGATCAAAAGCCGGAAACATTTTAAATACTTTTTATTTTCTCGCGGAATTCAACACTTGCTCGCGTTGACACTTTCCGGCGGTTTTACCACGTTGACGGTATTTAAATATTTATGGCTTACGATCTGAAGAGAAAATTATTTGTTTTGAATGTAAAACCAAATATGGAGAAAGAGATAAATTGACGTGAAGACGTGCTAAATTGGATTCACCCAGGTTTTCATCAATTTTTTTCTAAATTAGGAACTTTGATTGTAGAATTTTTTATGCAAGGATAATGTTGAGCTAGTAATGCAGCTTTTTCAATCATTATCAGAGTGATATTTAATTGAAGCAGACAAAAATTTTAGCGTTATTATTCCTTTGGAGAATTTACTTTTCTGTTTGTTCATTATTCTTTCTTATTGTTTCATATGTTTATGCATGAATAAGGGTAGTACTAATCATCCGTTGGTGACATTTAAAAATGTTCATTTTTGTGCGCGAGCCAAGGAGATTTTGATATTTTGCGTGTGAAAAATGCATGTTTAGAGTAGGGTCGGCCAAAAAAATTTTTTGATCTCCGATTCTTTTGAAACCAGTTTCAGTGGATTCGCGGTGCTCAAAAACCCTTATAAACCAAAAATTGCTGAGATCCGATGTTCAGGTCTCACTCAAGGGCATTTTTTCCAAAAATTGGGACTTGAATTTGACATACTTGCTTAAAAAAATTAAATTCACTATATATTCAAGGCAAATGATATATCTGGTGGCAGAATACGATAGAGAAGGGTTCAAATTATACAGGTTGTGAACAGAAGAGAGATTGAATACTCATATACCATTTTTATGGAAGGGTGTTTTGTGCCAATTACCCTTATATTTGGTTAACTCAGGTATTCATTCATTCATAAATCAATAAAAAAAGATGTTTCAATCCCAAATTCTTGCTCATAAGTTAGATTAAAGACTTAGGAATAACTTTGCTCTTTCAGAATGCTTATATGAGTTGGGGAATTTTTTTTAATAATTTTTAAATAAAACTACTGAATATTTACGAGAACTTAAAAATGAAGAAAAAAGTCTTTTAAATGGACAAAACGGGTTCAAATTCTTATGTATATGTTTGAACAATGATAAGAAATTATTAACTAAGTATTGTGTGGATATCATCGGTGATATTCATGAGAGTCTATTATCAGAGGATCTGTTGGTCTCTATCTGTATGATTAAGAGGTCTTGAATGACCTTCAGCACTGTGAATGTAGTTTCTAGTAGTTCAAATTACACGAAATGTCTTTTTGAATTATGATAACATCATCAGAAGTCCTGCTACTGATACCTATGATCTGTAAGGTAATGTCTGTATTAGAAACGCTTAGTCAATGACTCCGAAAATCGCATACAGTCATATACAGGGCTAAAGATGCCAAAAATGTCTTTTTGGAAAATTGTCAAAGTATCAGAAGTCCTCCAACTGATACCTATCATCTGTTAGTCAGTGTCTGTATTAGAAACGCATTGTCGATGACTCCGAAAATTGCATACAGTCATTAACAGGGCTAAAGATGCCCAAAATGTCTTTTTGGAAAATCGTCAAAGTATCAGAAGTCCTCCAACTGATACCTATCATCTGTAAGTCAGTGTCTGTATTAGGAAGGCTTAGTCAATGACTTCCCAAATTGCATACAGTCACAAAAAGGGCTAAAGATGCTCAAAACGTCTTTTTGCATAATCCTCAAAGTATCAGAAGTCTTCCAACTGATACCTGTTATCTGCAAGTCTGTGTTTGTATTAGAAAGGCTTAGTCAATGACTTCTGAAATTGCATACAGTCATTAACAGGGTTCAAGATGCACAAAATGTCTTTTTGAAAAATCCTAAAAGTATTAAAAGTATTAAAAGTCTCACTCGGGGCAGGCCAATAAAACCGAAGATCGCCATTTTTCACTCATTTGCTCATGCTGACTCATTTTCACTCAGTTCTATCTAAATGACTCTTGAATTCGAAGCCGACCCGAAGGGAAGGCAAGCCCCGTTTCTTTGATTTAGTTAGGTAAGGGACCAAGCCGACGCGTACCTACCTGAATCCAAGAAACGGGGCTGGCCTCCCCTCCGGGTCGACTTGGCCCCCTTACCTAACTGAATCCAAGAAACGGGGCTGGCCTCCCCTTCGGGTCGGCTTGGCCCCTTACCTAACTGAATCCAAGAAACGGGGCTGGCCTCCCTCCAGGTCGGCTTGGCCCCTTACCTAACTTAATCCAAGAAACGGGGCTTGCCTCCCCTTCGGGTCGGCTTGGCTCCTTACCTAACTGAATCCAAGAAACGGGGCTTGCCTCCCTTCGGGTCGGCTTGGCTCCTTACCTAACTGAATCAAGAAACGGGGCTGACCTCCCCTTCGGGTCGGCTTGGCCCCTTACCTAACTGAATCCAAGAAACGGGGCTGGCCTCCCCTCTAGGTCGGCTTGGCCCCTCACCTAACTTAATCCAAGAAACGGGGCTGGCCTCCCCTCCGGGTCGGCTTGGCCCCTTACCTAACTGAATCCAAGAAACGGGGCTGACTTCTCCTTCGGGTCGGCTTGGCCCTTTACCTGTTTGAATTCAAGAAACTGAGCTCGCCTCCCCTTCGACTCGAAGACTTCGAGTCGGCTTGGCCCCGTACCTAACTGAATCCAAGAAACGGGGCTGACTTCTCCTCTGGGTCGGCTTGGCCCCTTACCATACTGAATTCAAGAAACTGAGCTCGCCTCCCCTTCGACTCGAAGACTTCGAGTCGGCTTGGCCCCGTACCTAACTGAATCCAAGAAACGGGACTGGCCTCCCCTCCGGGTCGGCTTGGCACCTTTTCTTACTGAGTCCAAAAAACGGGGCTGGCGTCGTTGGTGCACTCTTCGCCCGCACTTTTTCTACTGTTTATTTCTGGATTTTCTCAGAGTGATTGCGTGACTGATGCTCCCTTAACCAGCTCTTCAGGGGTGCACGATCTGCGCAACCCACTGTACCTGACTGAATTTAACCCGTTGCCGAGCGCGTAGCATTCAGGATGCTACAACCTGCCCCGAGGCTCGAAATCCAGCCTAACTATTGGCGTAGACAGCCTTTATACACTTAGCGCTCGGCAACGGGTTAAGAGACAGGCTTATTCGCCTCAAGTCATCCAGGAGTTGGTCTTTCACCTGGGTTCCTTCGGAAGGTTTACGGCAGACAGTTAACGAAAGTGGTTTAATGTGGCAGTTTTCGGCCAAGCAAGGCTATTTATATATCTATTTGAATATTGGTCTTCAACCAGTTGGTCTTCTATTCAGGGGGTCCTCCGGGAGGTCCTCCGGCAGAAAGTGACCGAAGTTGGTCGAATGTGGCAGTATGTGGCCATCCAAAGCTATTTATTTTTCTTTTCTATTATTGGTCCTCCAGCAATTTGTCTTCCAGTAAGGGGTCCTCCGGAAGGTCCTCCGGCAATAAGTGGCCAAACTTGACCGAAGTCGGCAATCACTTGCCAATCAAGGCTTGATATTTGGCGTAGCCAAGAATTTGATATTTAGAAACGTCCAAGATTCACGTTTTTAGTGACGAAAATCACGATTTTCAAAAATTCTAAAAAATTTCCCCAACTCGCACAGACAAATGGTTAGTACCATTCGAATCGTCTCGTTCTCCTCTTTCTAACAAGGTATAATTCGTAATTGAAACACGAGATCGATTTTTTTTTGGCCGACCCTAGTTTAGAGGAGCCTAAAAGCGCTCGGCGACTAGCATCTTTAGGATGTAACGAGGGATGACGACCGCGAGTGTGGGTAGAGAAATTGGGATGAATGAGGAATTTTACGCCCGGAGGAATGTGGTTTTTCACGGAAATGCCGATATTGTCGTCTTTATTGTGGCATGCAGCAGGCCGGCACAAGGGCACCACCTCCGCCAGATGAAGTCTCTTGACTAATAAGAGCACCTTATTAGAACTTGCATTCCCTTATAGTTTTTTCGGACTTCCAATTATTTTTGTCTCAAAGACATTTTGAATCTCACATTTTTACGAAGGGTGTAATATTTCATCGTTGAATTTTCGGAATCGACTCGTTTTTAATCATAATGGGCGGTAATGGACCCTCTTACTTGGCTAATAGCGGAAGCACGGGGCGATGTCCTCAAACGGTTGACACCTGCTGATAAAGTTATTTTGTTGATAAGCATGGTTTTTGCTGCGCTTGCATGTTATGCAAAAGACCTCGGAGCAAGGTGCAAGAAATCTTGACGACCTGCCCACTCTTCACGAGCCGGACCAAATGGAAGCTCATGGCGGTAAGAACTTAATTTTTCGGCTTTGTTTGATATCTTTTTCTTTATTGGAAGATTATCGTTTCAAAACGAGTTTTCAAAGGTCAAAGATGTAAATCTATCAACAAACGATACAGCATCTTTTCTGAAAGCATCAATTATTACCTTTATCTTTACGTTCATTTTAAGTGATCCGTATGATTTTTCAGACAAAAATTTTCTTGATAGTCGTCAATTTCAAATGTTTTCGAATTGAATCATCGTTCCTAAAAGTACTGCTTCGTCGCTCAATGTCACGGAAAAATCCGTCAAAACAGCTACATAAAAACGCAATCGTTTGACTGGTTCTAGTCAGTGATTGCTTTCAAATTTTTTTCAATGTAGATTTGCTTCCTCTTCGCCCTTTTAAGATATAGTGCTCCATGATTTATCGATGTGTCATCTAATAAAAGCGTGGTGCTATAAAAAAATCCATCTAGCAGGAGGCCCGCAAAGAGGACTCTTGGTATTTCAAAGATTGAAAAGCAAAATTTTCGCAAAGAGATTAGAATGATAAATTGAAATCAACGAAGATAAAAACTGTTGTTTTCAGATGACTGGGGCCAACCAGAGTTGATTCCACCCGGAACTCCGCCGCCCTCTTACGGAAATTTCTCCGAAAAAGAAGCGCTGCACACAAGCCTGATCAGAAAGAACAACTCCTGTCCTACAAGCGCGCAAACTAAATCGTTCAGAAAGAGTGACACTACCTAACCCGCAAAAATCAAATTATGCAAGATGTAAATTTTAACCCGAATAAAGCCAAATCAAAAGATGGTTACAAAGCCACGAATTGCGGGTAGCTAATGTCGACACTTTTGAATAAGACTAGCTCAGCTGCGCTTCAGCTTCAAAAAACGATATTCCGATTCTGATATTTAACTCATTTTTACGAAATTAAACGCAAAATAAGATTCATTTTTTTTAATGATTAGTAAAAATGAATAACCAAAGGCTCATTCTCAGCCTGATATTCATCGAATATTCTTTTCTAGTCATAGGATAGGATTTTATAACAGTTATAAAACAGTCTCTCTGTTTCTATTATTTTTTTTATTATGATCCAAGTTTTACAATCAATCGTCAAAGCGTCACGGTCAAACTAAGAAAATACTCATTTTCGTTTCACTTTCGATTTTATCGCTCGATCAAGATTCAAAACTCTCAAAACAAATCTCGTTCAATTTCAAATCTGGCCAATTTCACTTGTGCCTTTTTTCCAGCTTCACATTCAACCTTCCTTCTGCTTCTTTGCCTTCACTCAAAAATCCGTTAAATGGACGCTCCTCTAAAATATAATTCTTTTAGTCTGGAATCCGATAAAATTAGAGGTTAGATAGAACTTCCGATATTTTTCAATGCCAATTGTCCGATTCTCGAAATTCCGCCATGTCTTCGGTACCGCAGCGAAGCCAGAGGATCAATATTCGGATATCAAAGTAACCAGGACATCTTGGGACTCGAACTTTTGCGCAGTCAACCCAAAGGTAAGAGAGCGGCCATTAACTCAGCTGTTTATTATCAATAGTTTGTCGCTATTGTTGTTGAAGGAGCCGGTGGTGGTCCCTTCCTTGTTCTTCCCATTGAAAAGACCGGTCGAGTTGGTACCAACAGCTCGAACTATCATGTTGATGGACATACTTCGCCCGTTCTCGACTTGGCCTGGTAAGTTTGAACAGCTGTTTCTCGTTGTTGATATCAATTTAGGTCTCCATTCAACGATAACGTCATCGCCTCTGCCTCTGAAGATTGTACAGTTAAAATTTGGGCCATTCCCAATGAAGGACTCAGCGAGCCCCTCCGAGAAGAAGCTGTCAAACTCGTCCAGCACGAGAAGCGAGCGCTTCTTGTCTCTTGGCACCCGACTGCTGAGCATATTCTAGCGTCTGCTGGTGCCGATAACATGATTTACATTTGGAAAGTTGATTCCGCTGAAGGTAAGTTAATCACTTCATGGTCCATTCTAGCTATTTCATTTAGTTCTCGTTTCAATCGACTGCCACACAGACTTGCCCCTCTCGATCTCCTGGAACTTGAATGGCTCACAGTTCGCCACGACGTGCAAGGACAAAACCTTGAGAGTCATCAACCCGCGAAACGGAAAAGTTATTGCAGAGAAAGAAAAGGCTCACGAAGGAAACAAATCTTCAAAATGCATCTTCCTCAAAACCGGCAAAGTTTTCACCCTTGGATTTTCGAAGCGATGCGATCGACAGTACGCTCTTTGGGACCCTGTAAGAGCGTCGATCTATTGTTCTATCTAGTGTTGTTTTTAGAAAAGTATGGATAAAGCATTGACGCATGAGGAAATCGACCAAGCCGCCGGTGTTTTATTCCCATTTTACGATGCTGAATCGGATATTATTTATGTCGCAGGAAAAGGTGACACATCAATCAGGTAATATCTGCCCCTTTGTAAATTGCTTCTTTACGAAATCTGCTTTAGATACTTTGAAGTTAATGACGATGAGCCATATGTCCATTATTTAAACATGTACCAATCGCAGAACTCACAAAGAGGCCTTGGATTCATGCCCAAGCGAGGTTGTGACTCGAATAAGAATGAAATCGCAAGGTAAATCCTTCTCAATCCTCCCTCTTTCTCTCCTCCTACTTCTCTCTTTAGGCTCTATTCTGTAGTTCCAAATAAAATGACCGGGGCGATCATTCCTATAAAATTCGTTGTTCCCCGTGCGGTAAGTGTTCTCTATCTTTTCTTCCTTTTTCTTTTTGTTTTTCTTCATTACTTTTTCATCTAACAAGTGCGTTCATGCATACTCACCGTGTGATTTCAAGGTTTTTCAAACTATCTTCTAACAAATGTGAGCCAGTCTCTTTCACCGTTCCCAGAAAGGTACGTTTTCTTGATAATAGGAGCCTCCCATTGAGATGAAAGAGAATTTGCTTGTTCAAGATAATCTCTCTGAGAGAACGCCTCTGCGTGTGATTTGAAGATTGCTCAAAGGAGGCACTCATTTTGAAATAATCATCGTGTTCTTTCAGGCGGAAACTTTCCAAAAGATCTTTACCCACCTTGTATATCGTCGACTCCGGCGCTCACAGCAGAGGAGTGGTTTTCAGGTATTTAAAATGGAGTTTTCAAGAGGGAGAAAATCTTGCTCTTCTCGTTGATTTCAGAGAAATAAAAGTTAATGTTTAGGAAAAGACAAGAATCCTATTATGATGCAAATGACTGCCGACTCTGGAGACGGCTCGACTGACAGAGATTTTGTCAAATCCAACACTAGAATTTCAACAATTCTCAGCTCTTCCGCCAACACGTCTAGACCAAGTAAGAACCCCAAAAAGATCCTCAGTTGTGATTTGTTTAAGTTTCACAAGTGTCGACCAACGGAAACGGGGCGCTGGCCGCCGCTCTCCCCGAAGGATTAAATATCGACGAACTCCTGGAGGACATCAAGAAACTGAAGGCAACCGTCCGCAAGCAAGGACGCAGAATAGCCAAGCTGGAGGCGCAGCTCGAAGAGAAGGCCGCCTAAACCCGTTCTCCACTTTTAAATACTCCTTTATTCCTACACGATATATCTTCTTTACATGCATATATATTCATGTGTGAAAAACAACAAAACAGAAAAAGCGAAAAATTACATAAAACTTTGACTTCCATCGCCAAACCACTAAACCATCTCCAGCACCAATATATGATTTTGTACCCTGCTTACTTTTTAACCATATTCGATCCACCTAAAACGGCGCTAGAACCGCATCCTACCAGTAGTTTGATCTTGTACAAAGAGAACCCAAATTATTGACAAAAACATCACCAAACTACAGAACATTTTTACAAAATTATTTATTATCAGCCATTCTTCTCATAAAAAAAAATTATCGTGGCGCCACGTTTTTGGATCTTTTATTTTTTGATATCCTCTTTTACTATTGCTCGCGACTCTCTTCCTTGATCCCCGAGCGTTTTCTTACATTACCGCTGCCTTATGTCAAAACAGGTGGCTCCTGGCATGTTAAGTTCAATAAACAACCTCATTTCAGAGGACATTCTTTGTTTTTGATTATCATTTTTTTCATGTAATTGTAGACTTTTATACTATCAGCATCGATGCAAGTTCAATCAATCTAATCCTATCATTTTTCAAAACAGTGAGTAAACATCAGATCTTCAATGCTAGTAATCAACTTCGATGCAAGTGTTTCGGTTCAACCTCAAGCATTTCAAATGCGTTAGCTTAGCGTTGTCGAATTGCTAGTATCCTTGGAGTATCCTGTTTTCTTATCGCATGCGTTCCCAAGTGTTCTTCATCACCGTATACCAAATCTTCCTGAAAGTCTTCTTCGCGTTCAGCTTTTTAGACCTAGCCTCTTTTTGCTTTACGAAAGTGGCAAAAGAAACCAATTCAGTTCAAAAATACACACACCATTTTGTCAGTAGATCAATTTTCAGCACTCAAGTTTTTTCAATTTTATTTGAATCAAAGTAGAAAAAATCGTGAGCAGCTTTATTTTGCCTTCAGCCTTTTGTATCCTTTTAGGCTCTCACTTGTCTTTTGTTCGTTTTTTTGCCCTTTCACTCTCTCTCCAGCTTAACCCACGCCTGCACTAGGAAAATTTTGCCATTATTGAAAAGTATCACAACCATGAGATTGCCTTAAATCAAGAAAGGCCATATTTATCATCCAGATTCTGTTCAATCCATCAAAAAAAAAACAAAAAGTCTTGAGTCCAGACATCAACAAGCCTTTTTTGCTTCACTACTTTTCTTTACAACGTGTTCGTTTTTCGTTTTTTTTATATCATTTCCTGAGTTTATGTCCAACAGTGTATTTTCGCATGATACAACTTACCATGCGTAAAAAATGTTCTTTGATTCTTCAATTAGTAAGAATTTTAGATGGGAAAATGCTAGAGACCCTCTCCCAGCCAGAGAGACTGCTCTCAGTCAAGTCGAAATTCGATGCTGAGTTCAGACGATTTGCCATTTCGACGGGCAAAACGCAATACGATGAATTTAAAGATAAGGCAAGATAAGAAGTAGTTTCTTTATGCTGATTTGAAGGTTCTTTTAGGTGCGGAAAATTCACAAACTAGACTCTATTGACTTCATAATCACATATTCATCAAATGGAGACCTTTTGGTAACTACCTACTACTCAATGTTCTCTATAAATCGATTCTAGCCTATTAACAATAACGACAATTATCACAAAGCGCTTCAAACCTCATATGATGGTGGAATAATCAAAGTCTACATTCACAGAAAAAGTATTCTCGGCTTTACTAGCTACGATAAACCTAATTTTATAGATACCATCGACCTAGAAGGTTATGGAACATCAACAGTTCGCAGAAGAAAGGGTGAAAAGGCACCGGTCATATCAACCCCAGTTGACTTTAGGTAATTCATCTAGTGTCCAACCCATCGAAATCAAATTTCCTAGACCTGTTTCTGCAATTATCGATGTTGATATTCTTCCCGAAACTTTACGGCGCGTTCGTCTTCACAAACATGGTTCTGACAAGCCTCTAGGTACGTTTAAATTCTTCATTCTTTGTTGATGTTTTTCAGGATTCTACATTCGCGATGGATTTAGCGTGCGTCTGTCTGACAGTGGCGTCGAAAAAGTGCCCTCTATATTCATCAGTAGACTTGTCAACGGAGGATTGGCTGAAATGACGGGATTGTTAGCAGTCGACGATGAAGTTTTAGAAGTAAACTCGATAGAAGTAGCCGGCAAGAGCCTCGACCAGGTAAGAAAACTTATAATTGGATCAGTTATGAAAGCTGTAGGTGACCGACATGATGGTTGCTAACTCTGCGAATTTGATAATCACCGTAAAGCCAGCTAGCCAGAGAGACACGATACCCAAGAACTACAAGAATCTAAATTACCCGCCACCGCCCCTCGAGGTAATAACATCTTTATCAATCTTCAATTTCTAATGATTGTCATAATTGTAGAGCGACTCTGAGAGCGACGAAGACGAAATCCGAGAAATGCCGTCGCCGTCGATGGCGCCAAAGAAGACGCGTCCTAAGGATTCGATAAAAGCACAGCGGGACAAGGCACCGGTCACGTTAATTCCAAACCCTAAAAGTAGCGCAAAATCGCACAGTTCTTCCCTCTCTCGAGCTCAAAAGAGCCCGAGCGTGGTGTGGCGAACGCCCAGCCAAGCCAAATTGACCCAGCATCATCGCCATTCCCTAACGATTCCAAGCTCTTCCAAAGCTTCCTCTTCCGATTCGCAATCTAACTATAGGTCGCAACTGATCACTGCGCAAAACGCTTTAACCAGTAGTTCCACCTTGCCCGCGCAAAGAAATAAGTCGCAACATGAGCCGATCCCCACCTTTTCTTCCATGTCATTTTCCTCGTCCAATTCCATTCGCAGCCACACTTCCATGAACTCTACGTACCTCTAGCTCTCCGTCAAATCATCGACAACACACTCTTCCGTATTTTTTATACCGCAAACTACCAAAATAACTTTTACGTGCCATCCTCTAGCAAAAAAAATACTGACAAACTTCAATGCTTACAGTTATCTATAACAGTTTTTTATGACCATTCCAAAAAGTAACTTCTATAACATGATTCAAACTGCAACTACCAAACTAAACACTTTGTTATTAACTTCAATTGCTGGTTCAATTCTTGAGCTCTTCCATTTCATCAGTTACAGTACTGTGAAGTAGCATTTAGTAGCCCTATATTCCGATTTTGTAAATAGCGTGATTTAAAAAGAATTGCACTTCGTTAATCCACTTCGAGAGCAGGAAATCGGGCTCTTAGAGATTTAAAAATATATCTATCGTGACCGGATGGATAGATGACAATCTAAAATCAAAATCACACGTAGTCGATACGCCAAATGTTCAGAAAACCACAAATTTCAAAATTCATATCCTAAACCAAAAAATCACTCTACACTCCACCACCATTCTTTCTCCCTTTTCCTGTACTCGGATGTGCCTTCAAAAAATACTGAACTTGTTCCAAATTCTGTACTACTGATCTCACCATTGCTATTGATACATCTTCTAGTATTAACCTCATCAACGAAACCACTTACCACTTTCTCTAATTGCGCTCTCAATCGTTTTAGATGGAAGAGGAGGAAATCGTGACGGAGCGTGTTACAATCATTTTCGAACTCAACTTCGAAAATGTAATAAATCCCGTGCCCGCGAAGACTTTCGAAGTTCGAATTGCGAAGGTCTGACAAAACTCATTGTAGTTTATTCAATTTATATTTAAGGACTGCGCCTTAGGCCAAGTTATCGACACTTTTTGCTGGATGCATAAACTGCCGAAAGAAAATTACCGATTTCGCTATCTCGGTGGTCCTATCAAATCGATGGATACACCAATTAGGTGCGCAACTATCCTTATAAGTTATAACACGAGTCTTACTTATTTCTTTAGTCTTGGAATAGAAGAAGGTGATTTCATCGATATCTTCCGAAAACAACAGGGGAGCACGGCTGGACTCGTTTTCAAAAACTTCCACTTAGCGCTTCAGATACTTTTTAGACGAATCCGTCACTGCCAAATACTTACTAACGGTTTCCCAGTGCTGATATGATCAAGATAGAATCTTAATGATACTAAACTATTGTACACTACGTTTTATAAAATAGAAGAGTATCTTTTATAACCTTTATATCATATTGATTCAGAATGGAGCCGAAGAACCTTCTTGATGATAGTTGGCAAGCGGGAGACAGGTTCGGGTTTGAATTATTTCTACTTCCTTCATGAGTTGAATTACTAGTTTCTTTACCCTGGCAAAAGATGCTACGCGATGTATTCTGGGGACGATTTGTGGTACCCCGCCATTTTGAAGAAACAGGAGCGAAACGAGGAAGGGATCATTGGTTGGATTGTGTTTTACGAAGGCCACGACGATGAAGAATGGCGATCTGAAGATATGATCGAAGAAACAGAGTTATTCGAGGACAATAGACCGGAACAGCCGGATAATGTCGATCTATTCAAATGCGACTCCACTGGTAATTGTCAGTAGAGTAACTTTCATTTTCTTATTGTATCTTCAGATAAACCAAAGAAGGACAAATCCAAAAAATCGAAGAAGCAGAAAAAAGAATCCATCCCTGTTCGAAAAGTGACAGAAAAACGTTCATCTAAAAACAACGCTCCTTCACTGCCTCCACCCGAGCTGATTCCTCCGCCGCCGCCAGGATTGAGTGAAGAGCTTCATGATTTGCTATTGAGCTGGTTTATCGCTGGCTACAAAACTGGAACTTACTCTGCTAAAAATCAATAAACAAGATGCATTTCAATATTTTGAACAACTGAATTCATTAGAAGATAAGGAACATTTTCTGTTGAAAGTTGATGTTTATTTTAAGATTTGCAGGAGTAAAAGTGATCGCAATCATCGACAGAGTTTTTCATACAATGTTTGCAGGTGTTTCTTTAGTACAGTGTTTCCTATTTCATGAGTTGCCCCTAATTTGAAGATGCTGCAGCTTGTTCTAGGACTAAAGTGTCCGAAAGGAAATGTTCTGTGACCGCAAATAGCTTGAGTTGTAACAAGAAGACTTGTAAAAATAAAAATAAAGACCTTCATCTTAAATAAAATCTCCTGAGGCTTTCTTTATATATGCGCTCCATCTTGAAATTTAAATATCTACGTAGCAGGATAAATGGATCACTGGCTTAACCAAAACCTTGCTTACTCCCTTTTATGGCTTTTGTCGCCTATATAATTTCTATTCTTGTCAGACCAAGCCTAGTCTCTATGACAAATGCCATATTCATAAAGAATATATCATGGTAGACCATTCTTGATAGATGCGCTTCCGAGTCTGAAAATGTTGCTTCGGGCTCACATTTATACCATCCTTGGAGAAATTTTCATCTTCGTTTCCATAACAGTACTTCTTCCGTTACGGACATAACTGGGAGATTACGGAAAAGGGGTCAGACTTGAATGCTCATGTAATTTTTTTGAAACGTAAACGATTTCGAAGTTTAGAGATTTGCAGTGGTCTTTTTGGAGTAAAGTTCAACATTATTCAAGATCCTGTCACTACGTGGTTTTTTGTTTGAACCGGTTAATCGGCATAAAGAGCTCCCTGATTTCCAAAAAGTCAACAACGTCACCTATTGCGCCACTCGTGAATATATATAATCCGTTGCCCAGGGTTGAGATCATAAACTTTTTCTGATTAAAATATTTGAAAAAAGGAAACATGAAATTTTTCAACGCCGTCGTTCTCGCTCTTGCTCAGGCCCAGGACTTTGAAGAGAAAGGACTCAGTCTCCAGAAAAAGGTCGACAATGTGATGAGCAAGTGCTATACTTTCATGGAGAAGTCGATGACTTGCCAGCCGCCCAGTGGCAAGCTTGGAAAGTACCAGTACAGAATCTCAAAGGTAACTTGAATTAATCTTTTTAGTATCTTACTTTTATAAATTAAGCTTGTCAATGACGCTGTGTGGCACTACAATGAGGGCAAGTGTGATCCCCGAAGCGCCGGATACGGTTACCGAAAGCGACGACAGGCTGATCTCGATGCGGAATTTGACGCGATCATGGCTGAAATCGAGGATAATGACTTCGACGGCAAGGGCTACGGATACCCAAGCACGCCGCTCAAGTACCTCAACAAATTAGAGGCCGTCTGCGAGAAATCCTTCAAAGCACTCTACAACGCACCAGAACTCCAGGACTGTCCGAAATTGGGCGCATGGGAAAACCGATCGGAGGAGCTCCTTGCTGATCTTACTGCCATGAAGAAAGTCTGCGCCAATGGAAAGGGCAAGGATCAACAGCCTTACTAAATTGCTCACTGTGAAAACTGCTTTCCGTCAACTATTTTTGAATAAAACAAATGTATTTGACAATTTCTAAAGGTTTTTTCAAAAACATCTCAATCTACATGTATTTATTGAAATTTCAGAAGACAAATTTATACTAAATTTGATTGTATTTAAATTTGAAGACAAATCAGGGATGAACTATTCGCGTGTAAACACCCTCTACTTATCATCAAAGCATGAGAAAGAGAAATTAAGCCAAATAACGTTTGAAGTTTTGGAGCAGCTCACTCGAGGATTGGGATTAATCGAGCTCACTTCTTGATGGCGCGTCACTCAGAATGTCAGAATCGGTTTTGCTTCGAGTGAGACGAAAATATTTCTTCCAAAATGTGGCGCTCGAATTCGTAGCATAAGATTTATCCGATTTTCAACGGCCGCTTCGTCATTGTTTTGCAGAAATCGACAAGAAGGATTCTAGCGCTTGAAATTGATTGAATGTCAAAAACTGGCAAAAAGAACGTGTTTGATCCAGTGCACGTGCAAATCCTTAAAAGTCAAATTAACATCATACGAGCTGTTTAAACGTCTAGTCAAAGTTTCGGAGTAACTCTATGACATCTTCGGTAATCTTGAACTCAATAAATAGATTTTAGAATGACGTACTCTTTCCAAACTAAATTTTCTTCGAGTAACAATTTTAGCATTTTTGTCGAAGCTTAATTTATTCAGCATAAATTACTGGTTCACCTCAATGACGACTCCAGGGTCTCTAGGAAAATTACGTCTGTGAACTATCTTTGCCGTAGTCACTTGTTCTGGATTTCTTTCAGAATTTTGTGCTCAATTTTTAAGTAAATCTTCCAAATCGAAATGAAACGTGAGCATCTCAAAAGGTCAATTATGCAGCTATTTGTCTAAATTTCGTTTTGTGGTCGAGTATTTTGACCTTTTCTCCCCCCTTTTCGGGATTAAATCTGTTCGTCATCCCTCTGTCTAAGAGTGGATCGGGGGTAAAATCGATAATATTCTGCAAAAGCGCGATTCCACTTTTGGGAAAAGGTTGATTATCATCTCGAGGCGAAGAGATGCTCCGAGGGGGTCTCTTTAGCTGCGCAAATAGGGTCCTTGAGCCGGATAAACTAGATTCCTCAGCGATTCTATTTCGTGAAAATATGTATGAAAAAGAAAAACAAACTTTCAAGGCCACTTTTCTATCGAAATCATTCTCGAACAGATGGAGCTCATTATAAGACCAGCAGCGGATACTTATTGCATCAAATTCAGCCTCACTTGAACGAACGAAAAACTACAGCAAAAATCTAACGTGGCGTGAAAATTTTATCAAATTGTGCTGCCAAGTTAGGGTTGAATTCAGCCAAGTAATAGGATTGACCGCACAGGCGTCAACTTTGTTATCCTTGCTTCTGTTCTGACACGTCTTTCTGGCGCGCCTTCTTCCCCTTCTACGCAAATCTCAAGAAACTCGGATAATTCGACCAACTGATGCCCAATTGAGTTACATACATCTGCCGCTAGAATTTCAAGAAAATGATGAAGAAGTTAAGAATATGTCAATACAACGAATAATTTTTTAAATGACGGTGAAAAGCAATTGATGTCGAAATATTTGGGCGAATGAGATTTCAACGATTCGAGGGAACGAAAAATCGGCAGAACACGTCGTACACAGCTCATCTGGCTCATATAACAGAACGTGCATTTGTTCGCCGCAAACGTGATTTAAACATAAAACATTCCTCGCGCGTGCATTTTCCGCAAAAATATTGTCCGGACTTCGGAGGAAACTGGCCACGGCTAAAATTGGTACTTGTTCTTATCGAAAAGAGTGGACTTGGAATTGATTTGAAAAAGCTCGAGTTGATAAACAGCAATCATAGAAACACTCAAAAAAGTCGGATATCAGCGATTTTCTTTGCCAAAGTTCATCTAAAAAAGAGGTTTTTACGAATCTAACAGTAAAAGTTTCATGCGTATAATTCTATCCTAGAGTTCAATCCAGCAGCAGCCGCACGGGTTAAGCCCTTACTGACGGTTTGCGCTTTAACGAAGATTAGTTTGATAATGAGATAATTTTTACTACGTAATTTGCATATCTCCTCTCATTATTTAGTCCTTTAAAAATATGTAAAAAAGTTTTTATTGAAAAAAAGACATTTTCATTTGAAGGCTTTATTTTTCATTCTATTCTTGAAATCTGCTATAAATAGATCAGCAAAACTAAAGGAGAAAACCCAAAACCTCAGGCTGGCTCGATAAAATTGAAATTTCATCGCGCGTCAATCATTTTAGACTTATATCTTCAGAACGTGTGCTTCTCCTCCCAAGAGTGTCATATCCGCATGCTTTTTCAATGCCTGTCGTCATCAATCATTTCATCATCGACGTATGCAAAATTTTCTAAACGGCGGATGGCTATTTGAGACGGGTGCTTAGCTATCAGAGGAGATAATTTTGTTGAAATTGAAACAGCTCGATCGCTAATTGGCGGCAATTTGCTGACGAGATTCTACTCTGTTAGAAAAACAGTAGTCTTTGACGAATTTCAATAAGAAATTTTCGGGCAAAAAAATGACCCCCCTTTTTATGTGCTCATCTGAAAGAGCGTAAAAGTTGTGCTAGAAAAATATTTTTTTGCCTAGGGGCATAAATTATGACTCATAGGCCCGATTGAAAAATTACAAACTCCCCCTAAATAGCCCCAGGGAACTTATTTTTCGGGAGATTTTGACGTCATTGGAATCCTCAGGACTCAAGCTTTTGGCGGACCCCTTAACCGCGGCCAACCACCCGGTTAACCGCGTGGTAAACCGCGGTTCATTTCTCAAGGTACAGTATATATGCAAATATACATACCAATCGACTTATTTTTCGATGCTGCATTCATTTTTGACCGAAAGAAAAACCAACCGGGTGGTTAACCGCCCGGTTGACCATTGCTGATGAAAATTTTTCAAAAAATTTTTTCAAGAATTTTTCAAGAATTTTTTTTTTAAATGAAAAACTTTCAATACTGAAAAAAATTCAAAATTGAAAAAATTTCAAGAATTAAAATTTTTCATAACTGAAAAACTTTCAAAACTGAGAAACTTTCAAGGCTGAAAAACTTTCAAAACTGAAAATTTTTCAAAACTGAAAAACTTTCAAAACTGAAAAACTTTCAAAACTGAAAAACTTTCAAAACTGAAAAACTTTCAAAACTGAAAAATTTTTAAAACTGAAAAAATTTCAAAACTGAAAATTTTTCAAAGTGAAAACTTTCAAAACTTTAAAATTTTCAAAACTGAGAAAACTTTAGCTTCATATTTGATCTTTGTGATTTTATTCTTTCAATTGAAGAAAAACTGACTTCGTTTCACAGAGAGAGCGTAATTTTGAACGCTTGCACAGAACTCGGGAGTGGCAGAGAAACACACTTGGCACAGATTTGGGCAGATATTTGTTGCAACAAGAAACTTGATTTCTTCGTCCTCAAAATGCCGTTTTGTAATCGGGATTCGGACGTATTTAACCATTCGAATTTGTTGATTGCCGCGTCGTATGGCTGAGCCGTCTTTCTTCTTTGAAGGCATCGACATCAGTTTTGTAAATGCTGTTTCATGATTCCACATTATTCCGGACTTCGGGGTCATTCCAGGGATAGAAAAGTGAAAAGACGTCCCTTTTTCGGTAGTTGATGGCGACGCATTCAGCATTTCAATCAGCTTTTCCAAACCAATCGAAGGAATGTAAGTCCCTTCTGTTTCAATCTTTCGCATTTTCTGTTTGAGAGTCGATCCCGCACCGTCCACAAACGACTTCCCATGTCGGGTGATTTTGAACGCTTTCATCATTTGTATGCCCCAGTTGTCGGTATCAGCGATGTCTGCTAGGCTGAATCTGGACTTGTACTCAACAGCGTTGTCGCTGAGAAGCACGCCAACTGTATCTTCGTTGATGGTCATCAGCTGAGTTGCTTTAATGTGATTCAAAACCTTCAGCAGATGGGTCTTGATAACAGCGGGCGATTTGACGAATTTTCTTTCCTTGTTTTTCTCCATGAGAAGTCCCGAGTCTAGTCTTACTCGCTCTCTTTCACCCGACTCTGTCATCTTGAATCCCCAAGCAACAACGATATGAACAACAAGCTCGATTTTGGTTCCCATTTCTGCCTGAAAACATATTAGCACAAGATTTTTTCGAGCTTTTTACTTACGTTTTGGGTCGTCTTTACTCCTCCTTGACAGGTGTACTCTCCACTGTAGTCAATTTCGAAGAAAATCGTATTGTCGAATTCTTTCTCACCGCGTCGTACCTGTCCATAAAGAAGATTTGCAAGCCTGTTCTCAGAGTAATGATAGGAGTTTTCATCAAATGCTGAGCTGAGATCTTCGACAAGTTGCTGAATACTTTCAGAATATAATAATTATAGTTGATTTTACCTTATCACTGAGCTTTAAGCGGGTATGAACATCTTTCATGATTAGAACCGGCTCGGAGCCTGGTTGAAGGCGTTTATAAACATCTCTCATAAGCATAATGTTGTATCGCTCAAGTTGCGGCGTCTCATCGCGGAAAAGAACGTCGATCTCTTCGAAGCGCTCCCGCAGGAGAGGTAAAACTTTTCCCTCGCCATCATTGCAGTCGCATTTGCCTTCCGCACATGCAAGAGGGACAATGTAAGGGTCCTGATATATTGAGTTCTTGCAGCCTTTCAAGTCGTAGATCATCTCAATGATTTCTTCACGAGTCAGCTTTCGTTTTTCGATCTTTTGTAAGATCAAAAGGTCGGAAACTTAAAATCTGTTAGATTTGAAATATTATCTAAAAGCTAACATTTCGATAGGAGGTTCCCAAGATTACTGCAAGGAGCGCAAATACACTGATAGGTATCCCGATGACGTGGCTCGATCATCATCGGCGGTATGAGCGCCCGAAAATGATGCAAAGAGATCGTTTCCTGCCCCTTTGAGAGACGAACAGCGTTGAATTCTTCCCACAGTCCATTGTATTTCGAATGCGCGAGTCTTCTTGTGCATTGAACTTTCTCGACTTTCTCATTAGTCGTGAAGAGAAGTCCGAACTTCATCTGGAATTTTTCTTTCTTTAGATTTTCATACAAATCAATGGATCTTTCGATGATGAGTGACGTTTTGCATTCAAATGCCTTTGTTTCGGGTGATTCATCGCTGTGGTCGTAAATATAATCCAAAATTGATTCCTTGTCTTCATCAGTGATTCCGCGTAATCGTCTTACTTTTGCTTTTCGGTCGTCATCATATTTTTCGCCGCCGAGAACTTGCTCACGTCTCTCCAAGGCCATTTTAACGTGCTTGTTCGTCATGCGAAGAGGCTTGTCACGTTGGAATTCTGAGCCAAGATTATTTGACCAGTTCACAATAAGCCTTATCTCTTCATTCGTGACACCATAGATGAGTCGAGTTGGCAAGAAGCTGCTGAGCATAATGATGCGGGCATTTAGCGCAGAATAGTGCCAAATTTCCATCAGTTCTGGAGTAATGAAACTTGCCGGGATGAGATCACGCTTTTCTTCCATGACCAGACGAAGTTGCTTAACGAGATGAGTCTCTGCATCGATTCTTGTCTCCTTCTGACTTGCTGAAATAGTGGCGATTGTATCGTTGACAGAAGATATTGTTGTTTCGTGCATCTCCTCATCGTGAGACGATTCAATCGATTCCTTCGAATCTGGCTGATAAATCGAGCCCTGACTTCCATCACTTGAATTTTGGCTTGAGCTTCTATCATCTGCAGCAGGAAATGGATCGGTTTTCGCGGATTGAGAATCGATCATCAAGTTTTCTTCGGCCAGTTCAGCCACATCAACCCCAACATCATGATCTTCTTGCTCCAAGCTCTCAGCTTCGTCAAACAAATCTTCGGGGTCTTAATATTAAAAATAAATATTTCAAATATCTGACACAAGATTTACCTTCGAGAAGTTCAGTTATACTGTCGCAAAAAGAAAAATGAAGATGAATTGCAGTTTGATCGTTGAGCTTATCTTTTCCGCAGGCAAAACACTGAGAGTTCTCGTGGTAACCCGGAAGGTTCTGAAGCTTTTCCAATTTCTCTCCTCTTGGGATTCGCTCAAAGATTGTCTCTACAATAGGACAGCTATTGTAGTGCTGAACTGCCTTTTTATTAGCAGCTTTTCTTTGGTCTTTCGTCATGGCTCCAGAATCTCGCTTGACGCCCAAGGAGTCTCTACAGAATGCGCAGAATCGAACAAAACTGTCGGTGTTGTAGTTTTCTCTGATATCAGCGTGTTTGATAAACTTCGTTACCTCGATTATACTTTTGAAGCGCTTTTCACTCATTATCTGAAAATCCTAGCTTTAAAATTATTCCACAAAAACAACAGAAGGAAGAGAAATAGCCAGGCAGTCTCGCAGTAACGCTCTCTATCGAAAAAGAGCCTAGAGGCGGGCGAATAACAGCCTCTTGCGCGAAGCGCCCTAAGCGCGCTGACTCATTTCGAAAAAAGAGCCTAGAGGCGGGCGAATCACAGCCTCTTGCGCGAAGCGCCCTGAGCGCGATGACTCATTTTAAAAAATAACCACTTATTGAGATTTTTTAAAATTAAAATCTCTGAAATTTTTTCAGTTTTGGAACTTTTTCAGTTTTGAAAATTTTTCAGTTTTGAAAGTTTTTCAGTTCTGAAAATTTTAAAGTTTTGAAAGTTTTTCACTTTGAAAAATTTTCAGTTTTGAAATTTTTTCAGTTTTGAAACTTTTTCAGTTTTGAAAATTTTTCAGTTTTGAAAGTTGTTCAGTTTTGAAAGTTTTTCAGTTTTGAAAGATTTTCAGTTTTGAAAAATTTTCAGTTTTGAAAGTTTTTCAGCCTTGAAAAATCTTCAGTTTTGAAAATTTTTCAGTTTTGAAAATTTTTCAGTTTTGAAAGTCTTACAGTTTTGAAAGTTTTTCAGTTTTGAAAAATTTTCAGTTTTGAAAGTTTTTCAGCCTTGAAAGTTTTTCAGTTTTGAAAGTTTTTCAGTTATGAAAAATTTTAAAAAATTCAATTCAAAAAATTCTTGAAAAATTCTTGAAAAATTTTTTTGAAAAATTTTCATCAGCAATGGTCAACCGGGCGGTTAACCACCCGGTTGGTTTATCTTTTGGTCAAAAATGAATGCAGCATCGAAAAATAAGTCGATTGGTATGTATATTTGCATATATACTGTACCTTGAGAAATGAACCGCGGTTTACCACGCGGTTAACCGGGTGGTTGGCCGCGGTTAAGGGGTCCGCCAAAAGCTTGAGTCCTGAGGATTCCAATGACGTCAAAATCTCCCGAAAAAATAAGTTCCCTGGGGCTATTTAGGGGGGGAGTTTGTAATTTTTTCAATCGGGCCTATGAGTCATAATTTATGCCCCTAGGCAAAAAAAAATATTTTTTTCTAGCACAACTTTTTACGCTCTTTCAGATGAGCACATAAAAAGGGGGGTCATTTTTTTGCCCGAAAATTTCTTATTGAAATTCGTCTTTATCGCGAAATTGAACGGTCTTCTAGGGGGATTAGTCAGAGGTTTGCCGAATCAGCTCAAGAAAATACAAACAAAATTTGACACCAGAGAGGCTGATTTCTTTTTAGACCAGTTTTCAACTAGGTAGTGGCTTTCTGCAGCTGTTTACGATAGAAAATCATCGACTGGAATTTTCTACCGATTTTTTGATAGCTTGAAATTTCAAGTTTAAACCTTGGCATCCCGGAAATCTAAAAATTCAACGGACAAATAAATAAAATTTTGAGAAAGTCATTTCCATTTCCGTTTGTCACCATTGAAAGAATCAATAAACTTCAACGACATCAGACTTGCTTGGAAAATAACGGACGAGTAACACGCCTCCTAATAAATGCAATAAAACGATCAAAATTGCGTCTAATCCAAATTGTGGTTGCATGAGGTGAACACGTTTTCTAGCTCTGTTTCTAGAATATTTCTTATTCCTCATGTTATGGCTTTGTTGGTGGGATTTGAATATGGAGATGCAGGATGTGAAGGTAAATGACGATCGTTAAAATTGTAAAAGCAGTAGTTTTGTCTTAGATTCATGTTGAGCCAGAATCCGAAGCTCAGGAATCCGAGCTTCCAGCTGAAGAGAGTAACGAAGATAGAACAATTGATTTGACACCAATCAGCTTCTTCGTCATTCCTGGTTTCATCTTTATTTGGGTTCTCGTCGCTCTTGGCTTGTTTCTGTATGCTTCTATCAATTATGATCTAATGTAAATAAATTTTTGCAAAAAAGCTAGTCGAATTTCTATTTCGAGAAATAAAATGAGTTCATTAAAATTTTTAATACAATGAAAATTGCTTGTGTTGCACGTTACCACTAGAATTCAGTATCCGGCTCAGGAAAAAAAATCACAAATAAATCGGATAAATTGGCGGCGCAAGGGAGTTTTTTTTCGGTGGTGTTGTACGGCGCGCGCGCGGCCGTGGCTCCGCGGAAATTGAGAAAAAGAGAGAGAAGAACGGCACCCTTATCGAATCTCACGGGCGACACTAGAACGTAAAGACGACAATTTTCGATTATTAGATAGGATTTGATCGAAACCCAACACGCTCGCGATAAATGAGCCCAGGCTCGACCGCTTCCAGTCGACAAAACTAGAGCCAGAGATGAGAGGGCTCCCCGTTCTACAGATTTTTGCTTTTTCGGCAACGATTGCGAATCCTTTCCTTGAAAACTCTGACCAGGTAAGAAACAGATTATTATAGATTAAATTGTCACGAAATCTTTATTAATACCATAGACGATTGAGAAATAGAGATTGCCAGTGATTCTGCAGTGCAGCGTAGAAGTCGGTTTAGTATGTTCAGCCACAATAAATATAATTTCCCTGTGATTAACACATAGTGCCATTCATAGGAAGTTCATTTTTATAAAAGTTTCATTTTACGTAATTATGTTTGACGAGCTGCATTCAAAAATTCCGCTTATATGTTGCGGGAATGCGATAAAATCGCGCAGATGAACAGCTGAAGTAAATTTTCCAAATGGAAATCATTTTGAATTTTCATCAAAGAAAAACATCAGGCATCTTTGATTTCCAATTATGGTTTTTTAGGATAACAAGAAGGCTTCGAAAGAATGCAATTTGGGAAAAGCCCTGATGAAACATTGTATTCGAATTCGAGCGGTTTGTGGCGAAAAGATCGACGTATTTTCAGGGCTGAGTTCATCAGGAAAGACCTTGAATTTCACCCTCTATGGACGGAGAAATGAACCCACTAAGAATCGCAAGTGGTAGCAAATCACCCGATGCGGGTCCATGAATTGCTCCAAGATGACATTTCTCGCCAGTCGAATAAGCGACAAAAGAACCTTGCGAAGCTCAAGAAACATGTAAGTAAAATCGACGCGCTCAGGCTGGCTTTCTCGAGCGAAAAAGTCGATAGATGGAGTGCCGTCGATCTTGAACTCATCGACGCAGTAGATGTCGTCTCTGATGGAGGCCCTTATGAGGTTCGGAACTGAAGACGAGTCGTTTTTTCTTAACAAATTTTAAGGTCAGTTTAAAAAATGACCAAGCTCGATGCTCCTCAATTCGTCTACGCTGGTGGCACAGCCATTGTCACGATTGCTTAGAAGACGGGCAGCTTGTCGAGAAATAAACACGACTGGAAATTACTCCACTTTGAAAATATTTTATGCAAAAAGTTCCTCCGTGATAATATGGATGCGAATTTTTCCTCCTGTGAATAAATCCCTTACTGACCAATTCCATTTTCTTGAATACTACTTGAAACATGAATAAATCCAAAAACCATTTAATTTTTCGTCTGTTTATTGTGCAGATAAGCTCAGCAGTAATTGAATATGACATCACGTGGGAGAAATCCAGGCATGATTGTTTTAAAACGAGAGCGGATGTCACGAAAATTGGCCACTTGGACAGGGATTAAAATATATAAATCATCTAATAGACACGCTCATCTGTTATTTCAAAAGCGTCAAAATTTAATTTCACATGAATTCGATAAAACAAACTCTTATCAAATTATTTTCTGTAGTTGCTTATTTCAACGAACGTCTTTTCCACCGCTTTGCGGGCTCCCTTACCCAGTCTTTCTGCCCACTTCAATAGTCACGTTTCCTTTTTAACCATCGCTGGAAACGATTTTTCTTATCCAAGCAAAAAATATTATTTGAAATAAAGAAATATTTTTTCGAATTTTCATCATGTTCTTCTCCTTGATCGCAGTTTTGATCGGCTCTACAGTTGGATTACGCTGCTGGGTGTGCGATGAACAGACAGAAATTGAGTGCTTTATTAACGGATATGAAATGGACTGTCCTAGTAAGCAAGATACTTGTTTTTATACACAGAGACAGAGATTGGGAGAAACCTACCATGTAAAACAGGAACATGTTCAGAAAAATCAATTTTGTTTTTATCCATAATTTTTCGTTGAAAACTTTATTGATCATTTAAATAGGGATGTCAGCAAGAAAAAGCTTGCCGATCTCAGTGGGAGCGAAATGTTCACCCAGCCGGTATAAGATTCTCCACTTGTCGCCCAAAAACTGACTACAACAATGTTCGAATGACAGAATCTTTCTGTACTCAGTGTTGCGATACAGAAGCCTGTGGATATCTCTGGACCCCAAAGTAAGCTTGTATTTACTCGTCTAGCTGTCTAATTGTTCTTTTTAGGTCAATTGCTGAATGGACTGTCGATACGAAAATCCAGCCACGAACAAAATTTACGTTTTCGATAAATTAAGATATCGAGAAATAACATGTTTACTGTATAAATAATTGTAGAAATAAAATATTTATAGCGGGCATCGTCGGCAGATTCTATTTGATTAAAAATTGCAAACTCATGTAGAAAAAAAAGAATAACAAAAATATTTTCGAAAAAGGTGAGATCCCGAAGGCAGGTTAGAAAGGCAATATTTGCACTTTTGAGGAGGGTACTGTGACTCACAACTGAACTTTGAAAATGAGATTAGTCTCTATTCAAGCCGCGTATAATTTATCAAAATAGGCTGAGAGAAAGAGAGAAAGGTAAATCTATTGATCGAGTCAGTAGCTTGAGAGATCAGCCCATCAAATCATCGTTAGCTTTACCGCAGATTTATATCGTATTATTCAACAAAGAGACCTGCTGAAATTAACCGATTATGAAACTTTACGAGCCATTTCCACCCATCATACTTTGTTTTGTCTCTAGATAGAAAAATCCAATTTTAGAAAAAATAAAACAGAAAGCGATTACCAGTATGTCAAGAGAAATTTTTAAAAGCTCGTACGGGTATGATCTGGCTACATACGAATGGATTCCAGAAGGAGAGATAAATTTTCTTGTCTATCTACTGCATGGATACGCAGAGTATCTCCACAAGTTCTACCTTGTAAGTGTTAAATTAGAACTGCTATCTTTTAACAATTTTGCAAGCCACTGATCGAACATTTTAAATCTCACGGTGGTGCTGTTTTTGGACACGACCATTACGCACACGGAGAGTCTGGCCCGTACGAAAAGACAAACAGAAATCGCTGCCAACTGAGATCTTTTCACGAATCTGCTGACGATGTCATCGAAAGAATCAAAATTATCAAAGAAAAATATCCTGACAAGAAAATGATAATTTGTGGTCACTCGATGGGAGGGCTACTTTCATGTTTAGTTGCTGAGAAATATCAAGGTAAAAATGGACAAGTTATATGTCCGACTACTATGTGTTCCTCTGGCCGCAAATGTCCTCAACCGACTAATTGGTTCTTTGAATTCAACAGTCTAAATTTAAGTTGATGGCGCAGTAATGATCGCACCAGCACTCAAAATTCACCCAAACACTGGCCCACCATGGCTAGTCTTCATTGGAAAATGGCTTGGCTTTCTCGTTCCATTTCTGAAGGTCGCAAAAGTCAAGGCAGAATACGTCTCCCGCCGGACGGATGTTGTCGATTTTTTCAAGACAACGATCAAAGAAAAGTATGGCGACAATGGAGGATCTACTGCAGGATTTGGACTAAAGTTGTTGACCGAGCAAGAACGACTTGAAAAAGAAAAGGTGATTTATTCGAAAAACTATAAGTTTGATTATAAGATTTAAAGACAATAAAAGGATCTCGTAACTTATCATCTTCAGTACAAAAGCATAACCTGTCCAGTGCTACTGACCCAAGGTACCGACGACTTTTTATGCGCAAAAGAAGGAGCGGATTTCGCAGCGGAACACTTTCCCAATGTTGAATACAAAGTCTACCAGGACGGATACCATCAACTCCATGCCGATTTACAACCAACAACCGAAGCTCTTTTCCGCGACATTACTCTCTGGCTCAAGAATTTAAATATTACTGAGTAATTTATCATACTTTCAATACATGGAAATTTTCAAATAAAACACGTCTTCAGTTTTCAAGAAATAATCAGGAAGATCCTGGTCCCAGTCGGTTTCTGTGACCTATTTATTTGATTTCTTTCGTCTATTTTTCTGTTGATCAAAATTGACTGTCTGTTTCTGCATGAGAAATGATAATCTGGGTTATAACTTTCATGTTATATAAAAATAGACACAAAGTTTCAATTCGAAAATGGCGATTTCATTTTTCAATAATTTTACTGCTGCAGAAAATTTGCTTTTGAGAGTAAATGAAAATTGCATTGACCTTGATCTTGGTGAAATCTGCTCTTCCTACTGCACTGATAGAACTGTATCATGCTTGAATAAGTGTGATTCCGACGATGTCTCTTGCCAAAACAGCTGTTTTCGACAGGGTTTTGATTGTATTGACGGATGTCCTTGCCACACCGACTGTTTTGAAGGGTGCGAAGGTTGTGCGGCTGAGATTTGTAGCGAATGCGCGGGACCAGGGGAGAATCCTGATTATAACAGATGTTTCTCTTTCAACCCTGATGGCACTGGAGGCGTTGTTTCTGCTCCCACTCCTCGCCACTATGTCGTTGTCAATGGAGAAGCTAATGCTGCTGACGTTGGCCACGGCCCTCACGCTGCTGATGGTCAATTTTGTGCGGACGGAGGCTATATTGCCGCTGGAATTTCCACCGCCTTCGAGGGTGGTCAAGCCGGACAGTGTGTTGTTAGCAAGGTAATGCCCTGTGCATCCGCTACTCAATATCCAGCTCCACTTGGCAATGAGCTCAACGGTGCTGGATCCAGCTGTTCTGAGAATTTCATGTGGGCTTGGCTCAATTCTAACAATGGTCGATACTGCCACATGGTTTCTGTCAAGGAGATAGGCTCGGAATCCTCTATTTTGGAATATTAAGAAAATATCTTTGTATCTTAAACATAATGTGCAATTCTATGGCATAAAAGAATTTCGAGCCTAGAGCGAGGAATCTACCGACGGTCAATACATTCTCGCTGCCGGAACGCGTCAAAGTACTAGAAATACGAATCAGTACAACGGCTACGTGGCCAAGATCAACTCGGCTACTGGTGAAACTATTTGGGAATTCGACTACACCGATGGTGCCGGAGCTAGATCAGGATTCGAAACTGTTCATTTGACCTCAGATGGTGGATTCATCGTCGGTGGCTTCATCAACCGAGAAGATACTGAAAAACCAGGCTTCAAATCTGGCGGACAAGTGGATCAAGGAACACCGGTTATGCACAAGTTTCCCGCTGCTCTCGCCTCGAGCAGTAGCGCTGGCTCGCCAATACCCGAGTGGAGTTTTATTTGCAACGGAAGCGGGAAATCGTGCAATCTTGATGATGGCTCAGTCAAGAACATGCGCGTCTACAACGATAGTGGCGTTGAAAAGGTTGTTGGTCTTCCTACCAGTCGAACTATCCTCGTTATCCTTGATGCGGCCTCTGGTCTCGAACTCGCCTACTCTGGCGATGGCATCAACAACGGCTTTGTCGGTGATGGAACTGCTAACGACATCGAAGTGGAATGGAACGCAAGTGGCGATGTATCTGGTTTCGTCACCACTGGTCTCCGAAACGTTCGAGTGCAAGTCGACAACGGAGTCAACTGCGGAGCTCTTGGCTGTTCCGTCATCACTGGTGCATTCACCAAGTACAGCGCCGATCTTTCCACGAGGGAATGGACGGTCGATCTCCAAAGTGGAGACTGGCCAGGTGGAGCGAATCAGTTCGCTTCTGTCGATGCGACCCCCTACGAATCGCTCGTGTATACCGAGTGTTGGGGAATGACAAGCGTCAAGGATGAAGTTGGAAATCACATCGGATACGTCGCTGCTTGTGGAACTGGCATCGAACCTGGTTGCCTCATCCATCCAGAGGTATCTGGCTCTAGCTTGAATATTTCATGAAGAAGGTATTTTCAAGCCAATCCGAACAGATTGCAGAAACGATCCCCGAAAAGCGTGGAGGGGAGCCGTTGCCCGAATCGATCTAGCAGGCAACCTTCTTTGGTACAGCATCAAATCTTACCAAGCTCCGAAATATGGAGTGGGAGGTGTCATGGAATCCGGCGAGTCTGCTTCTGAATACATTTTCCAAACTCCCGAGGGGCGGTAATTGTGATCTATTTATACGATCTTCTGATTGTTTTTAGAATTGTCTCTGTCACTGATGAAGGATTCGGAGGATTTGGTTTTTTGACATTTGAATGCGAAACAGGCATCTGCTAAAATAAATTGAAAAGTCTGTATTTTGTCATCATTTACTACTCTTAAAATCAAATAAAGACTCTCTTTACCTTCTTTATAATGGAGAAAATTGCTTCCTCCTTCGCTTAGCGTCATACCGCGTAGAATGAACCAGTTCTCGTCCGATCACTGAAGTTAAACTACGACGGGCGGGGTTAGTACTTACATGGGTGACCGGTTGGGAATACCTCGTGCGCTAAGCGTTTTGTGTTTTTGAAGTATTTTTTATGATGAGAAATCAAATCTATCGTTCGAAAGACTAAAATTCTTATAAGAGGAAAAATAAATGGAGATGATAGCTTGGTGTGATGGTCTACTGGCGGGGCGGCGTGTCCATGTCAAAAAGCGCCCTCTACCGCGCGCTTTTCTGAAACGAGGCCGAAAATAGGAGCGTGCAGCGACAAAACGACCTCGAAATCAAGCACCCCTTCTCTTTACTCATCCCATTTTTGAGTCCGATTTCGATTGTCTAACAGGTAAGAATCGCCTCCATGCCTTCTCTCTCCTATCCCTCCCGCCTCTTACAACACAGAAAATGACACACTCTCTAGAGGTTCACAGTCTTTCACGTGTACTCACTCCGAACTTGGAAGCTTTAGTCGCGTTTATGTCTGCCTGAAGGCGTACGTGACCACGTTCAGTTAGAAGTTATGTGTGGAGGCATAAAGCGGGTAAAGGATGTGGCGGTCCTGGAATCACTTCTTTTTAAAATAATCTTGAACTCAGAGAAAACTCATAATTTTAAGTTGATTTGGTTACAGTGAGATTTTGCCAGACTGATGAACTCGTCGAAAGACCGATGTTACGTGTGCGTCTAAAGTTCCAAGATTAAGAAACCGTTGACGCAAGCTTCAATTCTGGAGCCTTTTCGTTGACGTTTCTGCTTGTGAGAGGCGAGAGGGATAGGAGAGAGAAGGCATGGAGGCGATTCTTACCTGTTAGACAATCGAAATCGGACTCAAAAATGGGATGAGTAAAGAGAAGGGGTGCTTGATTTCGAGGTCGTTTTGTCGCTGCACGCTCCTATTTTCGGCCTCGTTTCAGAAAAGCGCGCGGTAGAGGGCGCTTTTGACATGGACACGCCGCCCCGCCAGTAGACCATCACACCAAGCTATCATCTCCATTTATTTTTCCTCTTATAAGAATTTTATTCTTTCGAACGATAGATTTGATTTCTCATCATAAAAATACTTCAAAAACACAAAACGCTTAGCGCACGAGGTATTCCCAACCGGTCACCCATGTAAGTACTAACCCCGCCCGTCGTAGTTTAACTTCAGTGATCGGACGAGAACTGGTTCATTCTACGCGGTATGACGCTAAGCGAAGGAGGAAGCAATTTTCTCCATTATAAAGAAGGTAAAGAGAGTCTTTATTTGATTTTAAGAGTAGTAAATGATGGAGAATTTTAAGACTTTTATGGAGAAATTTCGGCATCCAAAAGAATTGCATACTGGCTTTTATCTGCTGAGTTTCCACTGAAGTTACTGTTTATATCACCTAAAGAGTTTAATCAGCTAACCTGAAACTCGCGTCGTAAAGCTGATCCATCGCCGGAATTTTACCCTGACCAACTGCCAGAACAGCGGTTTCAAGCTCGGAACTTTTGGTTTAAATCTTTTCAAATTGGTTACGTTAGAATTGAACTGCTTGATTCGCACTCCGCAGATTTCTTGAGCGGAAAGATGAAGCTTGTCTGGAATGATTTTGATTTCTCCATCAGATGTTCCGATCCATAAACAATTTGTTTCCGGGACACAGAGGACGCTCGTTATTTCTATACTCGAGCCAGACGTGAAGCGCCTACAAATGCTTTATTTTTTTCAGTTTCCATCATACCTTGTTGAGCTTCTACCAACTCTGTCAATTACAGTGTTGTCCATTTTCCGAACGAAATTGCCAGTTGTTCTGTCGTGAACATAAATCCCCTTTTTATTTTTGGAGACGATGTAAACCGCATGACCGAGAGCAAAGAAAAGTGCATGGTGATCCTTATTCATCATTACTGTCAGATCATCGAGGGTCATTGCAACAGTTCCACCGCGAAGAGCAAAAACCTGGGTGTGCTTGTTTTGAATATTTTCGACAGCGAGTTGGTCGATCGGTCCACTTTGAGTGTCCCAGTCAATCCTCACTGGGCTCCATTTCATTGTCTCCCGCCACTTCTTTGTATTCGAATCAGAAGAGGAAATCGAGCTGATAATTGAATCGACATTAGTGAACATAATTTTTCCGTCATCCAATCCAACGTACATTCTTTCCTTGACTGCAGTTTCACTTGGCTTTTGAGGGAATTTAGCTCGTTTTGTGAGCCCAACAGACGTTTTACGCGTGTAGGGAATATGAAGAATCTTAACGATATTGTCTGGGAAAAGATCAAAAGATCTTTGAGAGGCTTTCGATTCGAAAGTTTCGAATGTCAGTTTTCTATAGATTCTATTATATAATTCTGAATTCTTATATATTCAACTGTAAAATTTCAAGCCTGGCCTGCAAATCGACCATGATTTTCCGTCGTAAACATCGATGCATCCGACTTTTGAATCTTCCGTTGAATAATAACCACCCGTAAGCGTAAATGTCTGATTTGCCGTTTTAGCCGAAACATCCAGTCCTTGCACACAAAAGGGATGTGAGCGCTCTACTCCTCGATCAAGGTGCTTTCTCACTTTTTCCAAGTCAAACTCGATACCGTCGATTCTATGATGCTCTTCTCTCACAAACTTGCTTTTGATGCTGATAGATGCTCTTCTAACCAAGGAACGAAGAGGCGTGCTTGGTTTTGGTGGGGCATCTCCTGAATTTCGAACTGAAGAGCTTTTCTTATGAAGGATTTTTAGATGTTATTATTATCTATTTTTGTTGTTTTAGTTTCAAATCCAGCCTTAGATTCCTTTGGCCGAAGAGTCCAAAGCTGCCAATCGAGTCGATTTTGTTCTACTGTTCGCTCAATATGTTTCTTTCGAATCAATGTTGTTGGGGACGTAGTAAATTTCACATCATTTCGCCTACCCTCAGAGGTACTGTAATGGGATGTCACTCTTCCTTCATCAGAAGAAACTGAGTCCAAAAAGTTGTCACAGCTTGAATATCTCGGTCGCCGTCTCCTTTCTGTTGATTTCGATTTAGCAGAAGACTTATTTGAGATGCTGAAACAAGTCAGATCTTTCAATGGAGCATTATCTTTCGATTTTTCAAGTTTTAGCGAAAGTCTGAAAGCCCAAGAAATCTGTTTTTCAAGAAGAGTGACAAGTGTTTTCATATTTGGTCGTTCTGAAGGTCGGAATTTTGTACAGTGATCAATAATTGTCTCCATAATTGGCCATGCAGGCAGACAGCTCTCGCAGAATGCTTCAGGTCTCAATCCAAGATAAACTAGTTTATCCGGCTCTGAATTCGTCCTAGTCTTTTGATTGTGCTCAAACCAGGGGAAAGTCTCAGTAATAAGCTCGTGGAGTAACAAACCGAAACTGAAAACATCAACTTTGTGAGCATACGCTGAAGACCTTGAGACGGTTTTATTTAATCTGATCTTCACGACTTCGGGTGCAGAGTATCCCGCAGTTCCGGAGAAACCAGTCGTTCCTAGTGGTGTCAAATGCTCTGCGATACCATAATCAGCAAGCTTTGCGCAGCTTTTGCTCATGTGATCAAATGAAAAGACAAGAACATTTCCAAGTTTGAGATCTCGGTAAACGATTCCATTTTCATGCAAGTAAGACAATGCCTGTGCAACTTCTAGAGCTACCTTGTGTTTGAACCGATGAGTCAAGACGTCGGTTGATATCGCTCTTCTGGATTGCTTTGACTCGATTAGGGTCTCAAGACTTCCATGGGGAGCAAGCTCGATAATTAATGTTGGTTCTGGTTTCACTGAAAAGCCAAGAATAGACAAAATTTGATTGCATCTTGGTTCCACAAGTGATGTCAAAACTTTGAGTTCTTTTCGTAAGTTTTGGTAAGGATACGCAGTCATTTCACTTCCTCCAGTTGCAAAAACTTTCAGAGCAACGTCCAATCTCACTGGTCCTCTCGACAATTCTCCTTTGTAGACTGTCGCGAATCCTCCAACGCCGAGTACTTCTTTCCTTGTGAAATCTTCTGGTTTGGTTCTTAGCTCCGGATTGACAATGGTAAAGTCTTCGAGAAAAACTTCCGGAAGAAGTTCAGAAACATCCATCGCTCTTTCATCAATTGGGCACAGGAATTTGTTGTTTTCGGGGAAATTGACTGTGCTGGTGCAGTTGACAAGAGCTTGAGAGTACCCGCAAGCCTTGAGCAAGAAAGGCATGGGCAGAATAACCTTTGTTTCCTGTTTGACATAAACGCAGAAAACATAATACAGAGGAACGAAATTGTCCAAGAGGCCAGGATACCATTCAGCAATGATCCCGTCGATAACGTCGACACATTCCGCCATATAAAACTGACCTTTATCAGACTTTGAGACCGAAATTTGAAGCCAAGTCTGGACATTCTCTTCGAAGATCTTATGATCTTGACATGTTCCGCCACACCACGAGAAGTTTCCTTTGTGTGAATTGTCAAAAAAAGAGCTCATGAACTCGGCATCTCGAAGCTGGATGATAATTTTAGTTCCATTATTGCAATTTATTTTGAGAGCATCTTTGCGAACATCAAGGTCGATATCGGTCCAAAATTTTGAGTTCCAGGATGTTTCCGAGCGGTAGAGGTGCAGGAATCGAGAAATGACTCGAGACCAAAAATCAACTGGCATCGTCGTGAATGCATATAAGCGAGTAGTCATATCTTCTAACATATCAGTTGGTGTCTTCCATTTTCCCCTTGGCAACGAGCTGGGTACCAGATATTCATCAGTTTTGCTGTTGATTATCACTCCGATAAGTTCCATCATTCGAATTATTTTACCATAAAAGTCTTCGGGTATATTCTGAGGGACGAGAAGAAAGTCAATTAGCGATCGTTTAGTGCAGTATCCGGAGTTCTCGTCCAAAACTCTCTGAACATTCGACAATTTGTTGTTGCGACTACTCGGCAAACCCACGCTGGCTCAATAAAATATAAGTCCTGTAGTGAATCTTGATGTTTGCCGCTCATGCTTTGAGCATCGGCAAAATATAAGATACTTCCCGAAGATACAAGAAATTCTAGCGCAGTTCTAAGTTGCTCAATATCAAGTTTGATTCCAGCGGCTTGTGCACTTTTCAGAATTTCATTCGTTGACAAAACAGGTAGAGCGGGCCCTTCATAGAGCGATTCATTTGACTGGTGATGTTCTGGCGTATTCCAAGCCATCGGGCAATCAGCAAGCATGTTATACGCTCTCGTATTCTTTTCCCGTAATTTGATGTCTTGAGATGTTTTCGATCTTCCAGCAAGTCTAGTCAAATGTCGTTCTAGCTGCAGATAAGTTTCTGGGACCTTTTGATTGATGACAACTCGTCCGCCTAGCTGAAAAGTTGTCAAGCAATTCTGAAGAATATTTCTGAGTGTCGTTTCATTGTTATTGTCAGTTGCTTTTATGAAACACAAGTCTTTCAAATTATTAAATCTCAGCTTCTTAATTTCTTTTTCAATCCTTGCCACCCACATAGTCGACGCTTCAGAGTCGTTCGGCAGTTTGTCCGCGTGTGTTCCGATGATAACAAGTGGAGACTTTGGCGCTCTTGCTTTGATATTTGCTACCCAGTTTTTCAAATGGTTTATTTCCAAGTCGATTCTTCGTTCGAGATTGACAACAAGGACGTAACAGGCTCTTTCCTGGAAGAAATAAGGACTCGTGTTGTTGTAATGATCTAGTTTCCAAAAGTGAACTGCACATTGATTGCCTCCTCCAATATCAAGGGTTGTCTGACATACTTCCAGCCCTTCTGCGATCCTACAAGTTCCATTCATGCTGAAGAGATCAATCAAAGAAGACTTTCCAGAACCAGGTCCGCCGACAACAAAGACTCTCATACATCGGTACTCAACTTGCTTGATAAGTCGATGATTTAGAAACTCTAGCATTGGCTTTGGATTTCTGCCATCGATAGGGACCAGAGCTTTTGGTATTTCGAGACGCATTCCATCAACTTTAAATGTAAAGAGATTCTTCAGCTTTCCAAGCTCATTTGGTAGCTTTGTGGCGAAATTATGTGACAAATTAAACTGCATTAGTTCTTCAAGCTCTCCAAGATCCTTTGGAATTTCTCGAATCTCGTTGTTTGCCAAATTTAACGTTCGTAGTTCTGACCAAAGTGAAACACGCTTGTCATGGTCGTTGAAATCGATCTTTAAAATTTGATTGCCAGAAAGATCTAAGAATGATAATTTCGGTAATTGAAAAGCAGCCAATGGAAGTTCTTCGAAATTGTTCTTTGCTAAATGCAATTGTGTTATTTCCGGATCGGGAAAGTCGGACATTCTGCTGGTTTCCATAACTCTTGATTCGCTCATGGGTTCGAATGCGTCTTCATCGAGACCTTCAAGAGTGAGCGAATCTTGATATCGTTCTTCGTCTTCGTCTGATAGAGAGAGGTATTTCAATCTGTTTTCTGAAAGCTTCAGTATCTGAACACTTGGAAACATCTGATAATGGGTGTAGCCGAAGTATTCAATGGAGTTGTGATCGAGATTTAAAGTTCGTAGATCTTTGAGCCCAAATGATTGCCCAAGGCGGACTTCTGGTATTTCTTTGATTCCACATTTTCTCAGCTCGAGTACGCGTATTCCTGGCAGTTTCCGAATAAGTTCAGTTGGAAAACCTTGTAAAGGATTTTCTGATAAATCAAGATGCTCAAGATTGTGAGAGTCGAGAGAGTCGCAGGAAATGGTAAGATGGTCAACGGTCATTGGAATCTGAGTTGACTTGATTGATAATGATTTCAAGTTAGGCAGCTGGTTCAGAAAGGTTAACTCAATGGACGAGAAGAAATTTCGATCAAGGTTGAGTTCATTGAGAGTCGTCCCTAGCACAATGAAATCTGATGGAATAGCGCGGAGACGGTTGTTGGAGACAACGAGACGCTTGGCATTTTCAAGAAGCTGTTTATAATTTTCACTCTGTTCCTCAGGCACATCCAGGGTGTCAATTCTATTATTGGAAAGATTGACTTCGGCTGGTCGCTTCGGCGGTAATTTGAACGTAACATGAGGCTTTGTTCCAGATTTGTTGCTTTTCTGATCTTCGTCTGCCCATGGATCAAGTCCATCGATTTCGCTGAGGAAGAATTTTTGCACTTTCTTACCAAAATATTTGTCCAAGAAATTGACAAAGTTAAGCTTGATTTCAGGCTGCTTCTTTTCAGAGGAGCCTTGGCTTCTTGCAAACAGAGCAAGATATTGTTGTGTGACGTCGTTGAGCTGAAGGCTAGACCAGTCAAGTTTGTCTGTTACGCCAGAATTGTCGGAAAGGTAAATGAGGAGGAGTGATTTGATGTCATCTACGACTTTTCGGTCGGATATGAGTTCCTTCACAAGACCTTGGCTCCAATCTCGAGCTAACAGAACTTCAACAACTTTGTAAGATGCTTTACGGCACGCCAGTTTCAAAATCATGTCCTCTGACAAGAAGACTCCATCTTGCTGAGAATCAACCCAAATATCGGCTAATTCTGTATTTTGGGATCTTGTTTTCAGCATCCCTGTGAATGCTCGCTGAGCTTCATTCCATTTTGGGCATGATGATCGTTTCACTTGATCAAGTGCGTACATACAAAGTGACATCATGCCAGCATTGTCAGTGTTGATCGCCTCTAACTTGAGATCATGGAGGAAAACCTTTTCTCTGAGAAGCGAGATTCTTAAAAGATTGAAGCAAGCACTCTCCATATCTTCAGTCTTTTCCCATTGACTTTCGAGAATTGATTGAAGCTGCGTGATAAATTTTGGCATATTTGAGCTCCAAATGAAAATCGGAAAACCTTGCATGATCAATTCCAGTGCGTGAAGTGTTTCCAAGAGCAAGGCTTCTCTGGAATCGTCACGATAAAACTCCTTGAAGAGATGCTCGAGAACGCCGTATGCTAGACTTCCATTCCCCACCATTCTATGAATATCCCTCGCCGACGACCTTGCAAAAGTCTCAGTCGCAACTGTTGCATCAGGTTGCGAAATTGATTTGAGGAATTTCAGCAAGGGTTTGGTATCATGCCCTGAGCGTGTTAGGAGCATTAAAAGTCCTCGAATACTTTGCAGAATTGCCAATGGACAGACATCATTCTCATACTCTGGACAGGTCGCTTTAATTAGTAGCTCAAGCAATCGAAAGAAGAAAAATTCAAATCGTTTTTCATAATTGAAAAGCTCATCCCTCATGTCTTCAAGAATGGCTACTTGCGAAAGAACTTTCGAAAACGCTGCAAGACCTTTTTGCATGATTTTCGGCACCAGATCTGCTTTGACTGGATCTTCTGATGGATAAATTTTCGACCAGCGGCGTAGAGAGCTGAGCAACGAGTAGCAAATCTCATTTCTAACTGCGCAGATCATTACAAAGGATCTGGAGATGGCATCATGAGAGCATGTTGTCAGATTTGAGAGGAGTTTTATGGCGAGATAGTGGAGCTCAATTTCGTCAAAATCCATGAGTGTTTCATAGACAAATTCGTGCCAGGCGGTCGACGTTGTGAGTACTAAAGAATCATTAGTAATGATTACCGAAAGAGTCCATCTAAATTGCTAGTGTTTACCTAGAAGAATATTTTCCTGTGATTTTTCCGTTAGTTCAGCAAGCAAATTCAGCATGTTTACACGCAAATCGACAGCGCAAGCGTCCATCGTCCGTATTTTACCGTCCAAAACGGCAATTATATCACTAAAGTGCGAACTGTGCGTCAATTAATCACATGGTGTTCTAACCTAGAGCCAATAGATGTCTTCATGTCTGGACTAACAAAGGCAAGCTTCGTGAGAAAACGAAAGCTGAGTGTTGTGAGACTGTCGCTCAGCGATTCCTTGCCAAGCTGGTGGAAAAGATGTGCCAGTATGTTTTTGTGGAGACGTTCGCAATGCTCAAGTACAGCGTGAGGAGCTGTATTGAGCAGAATCATTAGTGCCTCGCAAGTTTCATGTACCAACAAGTCATCGTCGTATCGCGACAACATCAAGCTAAGATTTGCGACAAAACGAACTGCCATTCTCTTCGAGAGAGTTGATTTCTTCGCGATTTGCTGGAAAATTCCAACAGTTGGAATGAGAATGTTGACTGCTGCATCTGTATCGTTGATGGCAAGATCGTCAAGATTATCAAGCAGCTTTTCAGCGTATTCTTCTTGCAAGAGGAGATTCGTAACAAGCTGGCTTGTTTCAGCAAGATCGCGAAGAAAAGTCAGTCCCGCGACTTGAACCCGTTGAGAGTCTTCGTAATAAAGCAAGACCTCAGATGTCGCCTTGAAGATTCGGGCAAAGTGCTCGCTGAAGAAATCAGGACTCCTCAGTAAAAGAAGAGAGAAGAGCGAGAAGGTTCGGACTGCTAAATCTTCACTTTCACAAGCTCGGCTTTGGATCAGATTCACAAGGCCTTGTTTCCGTCCCGATTTCTCCAATAATGTTGATGAATGTTTGAGAGTAATGAGCTTGAGGAGCTCTTCCTTGAGCTCATCTTCGGGCAAATGATGCAAAGATGTTGCAAATACTAACTCAAACTTTATCAAATAAAAATTCAACTGAACAAACCTTGAAGTTCTGTTTCCTCAGCCATTTTCTTTCATATTTTAGCTCTTTAGAATATTTTTGTATTTCTCGAATATTCGTATTTACGTTTTAGCGTATTTAAGATGGATAGTTGTGTAAAGTTGTGACGATATGACAACTTTCTCACACATTGTCTATTTGCACGGATATGCTTCCGTTGAACCGAGTTTGTGTGTGATCACTTGGTCGGTGGATTTACGTTTTTGCGTAACTTTCAGCCCGGCCTGACAGATTTTAGGAGAAATCGTATCTAAGCTAGAATTCGCTCTTGCTATAATATTGCTTGATGATAAGAGCCTGCAGAAGAACGAAGACACAAAAAATAATCCATCAATAATCGACATTTTGGATTATCCAAATTTGGTTGTATTTCATGAATTTAATTTTGAACTTGACATGATCCTAGTTGCCAGGGTGCCGAGCACGACTGTAAGCCGCACCCGACATTAATAAATAATTGGGTTGGGACAGGAAACGAAAAGTTTTTTCGCATCGGAAAGGGGAGCGTGTGTTCGAACGGGGAATCTTCGTGATTGTTTCCGCGAAGTAAGGAGAATTTACAAAGCGAAGAGGATGAGGAAGGCAACCATCAAACAGAAGAGACCCATGGCTTCGGAGAGGGCGAAACCAAGAATGGCGTAGCTAGAACAGAGTGAGATTCTGGTAGAAAAAATGGGGACTTACGAGAAGAGCTGAGCCTTGAGGGATGGGTTTCGGGCGTAACCGATGATGAGGGAACCGAACACAGTTCCGATACCAGCTCCGGATCCAGCGACTCCGACGGTAGCAGCTCCGGCACCAATGAACTTGGCGGCGGTATCAATATCTCGGGCCTGAGCAGAGACAGAGAGAGGTCTGAATATGGAGGAGTTAGATTACTGTTCTGGTAAAAGAAAATAATTGAAGATAATTTATAATAGCTAGTAGAACTTACCGGACGGCGACCTGAGCAACTCGTCGTGGGGCAGCAAGGGCAACTCGGGAGATCATGATCTAAGCTTGAGAAAACGTTAGAATTCCGCTTCTGGTGGGTTGAAAAGTCAACTGAGCACGAAAATGATAAAATAACAGTGGGATGGAGCATGTTCTAGAAATAAGTCTCTCGGTGTTCAAAAATTCTCTCGGATAATCGAAATTTCTTCTCGAATTTCGCGTAAGGTCGAAAAATAAGGGAAAAACGCGAAAAACGGGCAAAACAAATCTAGAGACGAGCGGCGGAGACTGGGCAATATGACGCTTTCGAAATTCTGATTGGTCGAGGCGTGGTTCGGTCCAAAAACGATGCGCGATGACGTCATCGCAAATTTCTCAGAGTGCTGCTCTAAGAATTCAAGCTTCAGAGCTGTTTTCGTCCGTCTTGTCTTAAAAATGGATAGTGCAGATGATGAGGAGTACATTACGAAAAAGCACAACCCGGATATGTCCGAAGAAAAGTGGGATAATCGGTGGGAAAAGGCAAAACAGGTTAGAAAAATGCTGTTTTTCGACGAAAAATGCCAATCTTCTCTAGCAAAAACTGGGTGCAAGAGCAGCAGAATGCAAGAAGCTACTTGAAAGTGTGCCTGAATATGAAAGGGAACGAATTCGAAAGCTTGCTGAAGATGATGCGAAGAAAAGAAGACACTGGAAAGAAGGAACGCGACGGGACAGTAGGAGGAAGAAAAACGACGATGACTCTGATTCTGAATCTGATCAAAAGTCAAGAAGATCGAAGAGGAAAAGAAGTGAGGAAAGAGAAGGCAGCAGCAAAGCAAAACCGATTCTCGATTTGAGAACGAACAGGGAACGAATGCTCGATCTACAGAAAAAGGAAGAAGAAGAGGACGAGCCAATTAATCCCAAGCTAGGTGCCTAATTAGCAGTACTTTTATGTTCGGTCATTTAGAGAGTTTCTTTCTCTAATATTGCCGAGACTACCTTTATTTTATTCCTCAAATGACCGTTGAAAAGCGCAATAAAGACCAAGAAAAACGGAGAAAACGGGCGATGGAACATCTCCAGCCGACATTGAAGAAAGCGCATATCTATCCGCTGATAAACGGACAAGGTTGAGTCAACAATAATTTGTGCTTTTCTTCAATCTTTCTCTTAGTGCGATCAACAGAGCCAGGAGAAATCACGATGCTTCCACGAAATCACTCAAATGAAACAGACATCGACCAATCTATCCCTTCCGAAGGGCCTGTTTCTATGCTTCAAGGAAAAGCCATCATTGAAAAGAAACGAAAAGCACCAGGCTGCAACGACGACTGCGGACTCACTTACTCGGAGTATAAAAATATGATGATGCGGCCGAAAGACCCGACGCGCAAGAGAAGATATCACCATGTCCGACACGCCGAGTTAGAGAACGCGTATGGCTTGCGATTCCCTGCTTGCTTTTTTGCTCTTTATGAATTTGCTGTTGAATGCGATCCAATGGTACGGAAAGAAAGATCTACAGATGAATTGAAATAGACAAAAAATTTCTAGGATCCACTTCATTGCATGACAAAACTCGGTATGGTCATGACCGGTCCCTTCGAAGAGTGGCACAAAATGATGCAGGCGAAAGGCTACAGTCCCCCAGCGGCGAATATGATCCATCGACACATGAAAAATCGCTTCTACTTTGCTCCTCCGGAATTTCAAGTCTGCCTCATGAATGTGAAAGACAAATCATCACTGGGTTACTGGAGAGATGAGTTAGTAGTTACATGTTCAGAGTCAGAACTTCTGACACTAATTCAACAACATTTTAAGACCGATGGAATTGCCGCCTTTTGTCGCTATGAACAACCAAGATGAAGGTCGACTTTACGCAGTTGGACCGAATTTACTCGCTGCTGTCAAGCTCTGGCTTTATCGAAGAATCGGGTCATCTAATCTTCACACACGTAAATGCTTCGCGACAGTTACCGATATTGCCATCAAGTGGAATATTATCATCGAAAGAGTAACCTACGAGTTGCGAGAAAGAGAGACCCGCTGCAACGCTAGAACATTGAATACAAGTAAGAAGGCCTTTTCATTCATTAATTCTTATCATTTTCAGTTGGCATCTGCGTTCCAGTCGTCGAAGATGCGAAGGGGAACGAAATTGGCTACCGGCCGCTAGAAGTCGAAGACGCGGAGTTGCGATCAATCTGCGACCAGATTGAAAAAGCTCCAAATGATGCTGTTCGCCTCAAGAAATTTGCGCCACTACAGGAGATTATGCAGCGCGTTAATTTGGCAAACGATGAGTGCGATTTTGGAATGGGCCTTGAATTCGGGATTTCGCTCTTTTCCCATGGATCGAAGTATTTTCATAAGATGATATTGAAGGTATTACCGATGGCATACGAACTGCTGGATAGAAAAATATACGCCGAAATAATCAAAGCCCATATTGCGGATCGGCGAAAAACAATTTGCGACCGACACGATATTCTCTCCCCTGCCCAACTTCAAGGACCGCAAGTTGGAACATTCCGTGTCATGGAAGATCTGTCCATGCCAGTGCCTGTTCCAGCTCCAGTAGAAGAGGCGCCTGCGCAAGAAGAGGTGCCGGATCCAGACGATTACATCTCGAAAATTCGCTCAAAGGGAGTTTACGCAAAGCAGGATAAAGTTGCGGGCAAGGAGAAAAAGGCTGGTGGCTCTTCTGACTGGGGCTAGTGCAAAAAATCTCGACGAACTTGTTTCACTGTCATTTCACATCTCACTTTTGTAGCTTCAAATTGTAGCCTTCAATATCATTTATGAAATAATAAAACCCATTCCTTAAATCTATCTTCTGTATTTTACGATATAGAATGTCGGCTGGCGATGTGCAAATCACGCTGCCACAGGTTAACCATCAGAAACAGCCGGGGACGATCGAACTCAGCATGACACATTTGAAATGGTCGCCAGATATGATAGGCGAAGTCGTCCTCGTCGAAATTCAAAAAGTCAAAAGACAGAAAATATCTCCCGAGGGAAAGTCAAAGGTTCAAATTCAGCTAGAATTGACCGATGGCCGCGCGTTGACTTTTCATTTTGCCGATGATGATCCGAAAGCGTCCAGAAACAAGGTCAAGACGCACCTTGGAAAGCTCATGGGAAAAGTTTTGGCGAAGAAGGTCGACAAAAACCTTGAGGAGCGGAAGAGAGTGCTTCAAAACAACCCCAACCTCGTCAAATTATATAAACAGCTCGTCACAACTGGACAAGTGACTGCCGAAGAATTCTGGAGCTCAAGGGCGCATATGCTCGATTCAAGCCACGAGCAAGATATTGGCATCACAGCTGATTTCCTTTCAGAAGTAAAGCCACAGTCGGATGGAACGAACTCTATCAGATACAACTTGACGCCAGAAATCGTCAAGGTCATTTTCAGAACTTATCCGGCGGTGAAAAAGAGATACTTAGAAGTTTGCCCAGCAGAGTTGTCGGAGAAAGACTTTTGGACTCAGGAAAAGGTCAAAATTGCGAATTTGATTGATCTGCACTTTTATCGTCTTCTTTTTATCACTTTCACGAACCTCCAGTATAGTTTTTCCAATCGCAATACTTCCACAGAGAAAAACTGGTTGGAGAGAATGAAACTTCTATTTTCGCAAATTGTGACTCGCTGGAAGATAAGGAGCTCAGTAATCAAGCTCGCAATTCACTGGTCAACTTGGAGAGGATCTTTGACATGGATTATATGAACGAGTACGCGGAAAACGAAATCACGCAAAAGCTTAATGATAAGAAGCAAAAAGCTGCACTCAGCAAAAAGGAGGCGAAGAAGTTGTTAGTGAAGAGGATTAATAACCACGCTACTCAAGTCCTTCAATCTTGCCAAAAGTAACCTGCCCTTCTTAACTTTCCATTTATTTCTTTCAGACGAGAAGCATCCGAAGTTACCAATGGTGTCCCCGCGAAACGAATGGCCGACGACGTCCGAGCCCACCTATCTGAAAATGTTGATTTAGTCAAGCAATCTGAAACCACCGCGGTTCCCTGTACAATTGTCGACAAAGATAGCTTCTTCAACTGGGGCGCTGATGACGATAAGAAATCGACGCTCAATCGAATGGATGAGCGACAGGTAGCCATCACTCGTAAATAACATTTGTCATATGATCATAAAACTTTCAGCGAAGAAGCTGCCTCAAACATTTTCAACGATCAACTGACGATTACAAGTCAGACATTCACAACACAATACGAAATGCCCAAAATGAGTAATGTCTACCCGACCTTATTTTGGCGATAAAGACTGTTTTCTAGGTTCCCTAAAGTTCTTCTGACCTTGATGCAGGAACAGCGCCGCGCAAATAAGTCGGAGTTTTCGACAGAGCTTCCGCCAGATGATCTCGTTGATGCGCTAGAGCTGTTGAAAGAGATCATACGACAGTTTTGGAGTTGTTTTCCATATAAACCAGAGGTCCGTCTTAGAGACAAGATTTGATTTTAGCGTTTTTGTTTTATAGTTGGAAGAGAAGCTTGAACGAATGATGAACAATATCAAAGAATTCGAGAACAAACTCGACGTGATGGAGGACGATTACCGGGAGAGAAGCGAGCCTGGACAAATGAGAGAGATGGTGAATGCCTGTAGGAAAGGCTTTAGACGTTCATATCTATTGAAATTATTATATTTTATTTTTTTCATGATGAGAAGCCTTGATAGAGAAAAATTTAGTCAAATTAAACAGCAAACCCAAAAAGCTAAAAAACGAAAATAGTTCAATCTCTTCTATCTATTTGTATAAAGCACTGCCACGCTACAATCTACGGTCAGATTCTTAGTAACTCCTTCAGAATGAAATGATGTGATGAATATCGTCCACGTTGCGATCTTTAATCTCTTCGTTGTTTTCGCACTCGTCTTTTGTGGCGGATTTATCCAGTCCGAATACTCTTTCTACTGGCTCATTAGCGATGCTGGTTTGCCATCGAATATTTCTGTAACTTGCTCTGCAAATGCGACCTTGCCGGAGTGCGATGTATATACAAAAGATGTTGTTCAAGGTATTTTCACTTTGAAGTTTGCTTTCATTCATGTTACCCTGCTAGTCCTCGCGCGATATGGCGAGTACAACGCCATGTGCAGCTTCGGCACTGGCATGATAGGAACTATCATTGGAACTGTCAGCGATGTCATCGGACGAAAGAAAGTTCTGGTTGCTAATAAGATTGGATACTTCGTTTCAATAGTAGTCACAACTTTCATAACCTACTATCATCTTCATCCATTCTTCTTCTTGATTCCTAGTACTATATGGAATCTTGTTGGTGGGTACAGTGTTATGCTTGGGGTGACTTTTGCAACAGTGACAAGCTACAGTCCTGATGAGAAACGATTCTGGTACATTGGTAAGTTTATTACAAAAGTAACGATGAAAAATAATATTTAGTTGCTGCTGATGTCGGAATTTCCATTGCAGGACTTACTGTCACTGGAATTGGTTATCTAATAAATACCCTCCCCACGGAAAATTACTGGATGGTCACAGCCGTCGGCATCGGTGTCATGGCAGTTCCCGTCCTCCTCGCAATTTTCGGAATGAAAGAAAATGTCTTACCTCCAGAAATCGCTGCTTTTGACAAGCTAAAGAAGTGCTTTACTGACATCAAAGAAATCTGGTTCCGACGTTCACATTTAAACAAGTTCCTCTGGTCAATAGTTCTTGTTCCTGCTCTGGACAAGCTCGTTTCTTTTGGTACGAGCTCGATTACGAATCTATATCTTCAATCGGCTCCATTTGCATGGGATCCTGAACAATTATCGATGTATATTTCTGCTTCAAGCCTTCTGGTAAAAGAAATACTCAAGTGATTGAAATTAAAGATGTTTTTAGGGTATTTTATCCTTTATTTTACCTGGCGTTTTCCGCCACTTTGGAATTTCACACTTCACCATTATCTACCTCTCATTATTGATGAACATCGGGAGCAACATCATGTTCGGGAAAGCTACTACGACCGTTATGATTATGTGCACTCTCGGTTTCAACGTGCTAACCGGAAGCTACATCCCCGTCATCAGAAACTTGCTCGCTATGAATACAGAAAAACATAATCATGGTGCTGTTTTTGCTTTCTTAGCTGCTTTGGAAGGTAAGATTTTTGTTTCTCCTGTGATTTTTAGCCCAATTCTGTAGCAAACTGCATAACCGCTGGTGGCCTTCTCTACTCTTATCTTTACCACGAGTTCCCTGTAGACACAAGCTGGCTTTGGTGGCTTCTATCTTCTGCCATCGGCGTTGTTGGCTTCGTTTTTGCCATATGTGCCCATTTTGTTTATGTCGAAAAGATCAGATTTGCTGAAGACCAACGTTGCCTTATCAATGAAATAGACGATTCTGCTTCTGAGAGCTTTAGGTAAGCAACCTTTTATGAGATTTTCCTTACAATTTTTCATTTCAGCGAGTTCGACGGAGATCAAACCCCGCTTGACTAATCCAACCCCTATTCAATCCGTCATTGTCTCCAACTGTTCCATTCTATTCAACTCTAACCAGCTTATAAATATTCCCTTTCAATAAAACTTTGCAAAAATTCAAGCTTCAAAAGACTTTTTCCTTGTTTTGGTGGTCTGAGACGGCCTGTCTGGTGCAAAACGTTGATTAAAATTAAACAGCAATATTTTAGAGACTACCTCACATGTCTTTTCATTCGCCAAAATTATTGTACACAGAACAAAAGCAGCTCCCGCCACCGCTGAAAGATTATGTAACGCTGAATGTAACGCAGAATGAAATCGGTATGAAATTGCTGTTTTGCTCCTTGATATCTCGTGCCTCGCCAATAACGACTGTGTAGGGTTTCATCTTAATTCATTCAGTGATCCATCACATACGAATCTGCGCCGCGAGCCTACGACATCCTCAAATGGCCGGATCAATGAACAAAACACATAAAGCCAGCATGTCCGATTTTTTAAATTATGGCGATCTTGAGAACAAAATTGTCGATTTTTTCGGAGAGTCAACGCTGGAGATCGTCCGCGAACGCGCCAAGGGGAACATTGATTTCCTCAATCGACTCCCTAAAGAAGCAAAGATTGCGCTTTTGACAAGGCTACCCTTAGAGGAACTACCGAAGATGGGACTTCTGAACAAGGAGTATGCAAAACTCTGTGCCTCAAATGAGCTGTGGGAGAAGATGTGTGAGCAAAATGGAATCACCATTGATGAAAACGTCCGTTTATTAGGCCTCGAGATTGGATTCAAAAAGATCTTCTTCTCAAATAAAGGTTTAAATTTTATCCTAGAATTACAATTAATCAGATTTAGTGGATATCCAGCGGCAAATAAGAAGGATGAAGAAGCAATCAACATTCATAACAGCATGATTTTCGATTTTGAGATTTCAATCTGGGCAGAGTTCTATTTTTATAATTACCTAATTCACACTTTATCTTTCATAAAAAATAGAGACTAAGCTCAAGTATTTTCAGATTTCGGACAAGATGAATTGTGAGGGAGAAAGCGACATTATGTGGATGAATTTCAACCAAGATGGGTCGAGTTTATCGGCTGGATCTAAAGCAGGATTTTACTTGTATGGCCTTGCTAATGGAACAGAGAAGCTTGATGTAAGTCTCTATTTCTTTTCCCCTCATAAAATCTTCCAGGAACACTTTGACCAGTCAGCACAAGATGTTATTCTTGTCGAGCGCCTTTTCAATTCATCTCTCGTCGTTACGGTTTCACAGACGAATGCCAGAAAGATCCGTGTCTATCATTTTCGAAAGGGGTCTCTCATCCTCCAACATACTTATCCATCTGCTGTACTTGCTGTTAAGATGAACCGATCTAGATTAGTCGTTACACTTGAAGGTAATCAGAAACCGAGTATTCTCGGAGTAAAACTATTTCTAAAGAAAGTCTGTATATTCACAACATCCGCGATATGTCAATCCTGCACACAATCCGAGAAACACCACCGAATCCAAGAGGCGTCTGTGCTCTTGCAGCAACGGACGCCGACGACACCTGTGGTTATCTAGGTAATTTCATTCCCATAGGCTTTCTTTTGATCTTTTCAAAAAGCTTATCCTGGTGCAACTCACGTCGGAGAATTAAACATCTTCGACACTGTTGATCTACGAGCAGTTACGTCTCTTACAGCCCATGACAATCCAATAGGTACTCAAGAACTTGTCTTGCCATTTGAATTTTTTTCCATAATAAGCTGCTGTCGCAATGGATCGAACGGGTAAAAAAGTCGCCACTGCATCCGAAAAAGGAACTGTCATCCGAGTTTTCTCGATCCCAGAAGGCAAAAGACTTTTCGAATTCCGACGTGGTGTCGCCCGCTGTGCAACAATTTCATCCCTGAACTTTTCTCCTGAGGCCAATTTCTTATCAGTTAGCTCGAACACCCAGACAATTCATATTTTTAAGCTCACTAATGTCCAAGAACAGGTAAACCTCTTCGATATTAACCATCTTACCCTTCTCTGCTAGACTTCAAATGAAGAGCCGCAAAATGACTGGGGGAGTTACCTTACTAGAGGTCTCCAGTCTGCGGCTAGTTATCTTCCTTCTGGCGTGAGTGAGGTTCTTCAACAAGGAAGAGACTTTGCTACGGCGAAGTTGCACTCTTGTGGACTCAAAAACATAAGGTTTGGTTTGGTGCAAGAATTGCATTCGAGTCATTTTAGTACTATCCATGAAATTGGAAGAAAAATCTATCTTTTCGTCGCCTGTTCCGATGGATACCTGTATGTTTACGAGATTGACCCATCCGGTGGCGAATGTAATCTTATCAAGCAACATAAGGTACCCTGATTCTTTTGCGACGAAGACTAACCAACTTTTAGTTATGCCTTCCACGCGTGCCTGAAATCAGCTCCGAAGAGTCCGACCTTCCTCCGATGATTCACACCGTTGACTCCTAAACCCTTTTCCCTTCAATTGAGCTCCCCTATTTTCTATTCATCGGCTGATTCGCTCGGCCAAAAATACAATACTTGTATCAGAACTTCGATCTGTCGCCATAAAAATTTCAACATCTTTCTGCAATTTCAATTCTTCTTATTCAACTTTTTCTTTTTTCTATACATATTTTTTTGCAAATCCAGCTCTTCACTAACAAATTCATCTCTGTTCCAACAAAAAACATGAAAAAGTTCACCAAGCCTCCTGCGAAAATCGATTCTATTCTTTTGAATCTATTTGGGATGCCTTATCATGTACCTGCAGGAATGATCAATAGTCATTTTAGCAATTGAAAAGAGTTTTTCAAGAGCAAAAATGTGAATGTCTGCATTAGATATAATATATTTGGACAAGTAAATGAAATTTCAATGGGTCATTGTTGTTGTTATCAAGCAGCGTCTATTCATAATTAAATGAGGAATAGCACGTAAGTAATGAATGAGTTGGACTAAATGTTAATTGTTCCAATGCTGTTGGTGATTATAAGCGGATTGCGAGGTTGGATTGGTTTGGAATCCATGGTAGGAGTAACCATTTCTGTCCAGCAGAGAGGGACCATCCATTCGCATTTCTGAGTAATTCGTTATTCGAGAAAGTGTTATCTATACTGACGTTGATGGGAACTCATGTAGTCCTGTCGCAGCTGAAGAGCTGGGTCACCTGCTCCGCTGCTTGGCATGTAGCTGGACGAGCCAAGTGATAGGTTTGGATGGGATGGCTGGCTTGTTGGTTGGCTCCATCGTGGTGCTTGGAACCCACCCAAATCACTTGAAGGCATTACTAAAACTATGATAAATTGTGAATCTACAATCTCTCCTTACGTCTTGGTGGGGGATCCCAGTCATGCTTTTGCATGGGGCGGGTTATATTCGAGTGAGAAATGAAGTCGGGCATGTTGGAAGCCTAAGAATGTATTTATAACTGAAATAGCGCATGATGTCTTACTGGTCGGAACGAGGAGCTTGGTCGACCTTCTCCAATCGCTCCAGTTGCACCAGGGTTCCGTCGCTCGAATGGGGCGTCGAAGAGGGGCAGGTTAGGATGTCTTGGGAAATCTGGAGGTTGAACTTGAGGATTGGGGCGTTCTCGGAAGTGACTGCTCTCATTGAAGGGCTCGGAGGGGAAGCCTCCGCCCAGGGGGCCAAAGGAATGATGGAAGGGGGTGATGTGGTGCTCTTCTTGTTCCCATTTTGAAGAGATACTTGTCTTCGGGAGAGGGTAATCGTCTTGTGGCTGGGGAGCCATAATTGGCGGGACGCGCTGGATCGGCTTTGTGGCGAAGCGATCATCAGAATCTGGGAAGAGTGGGCGATTAACGTGACCAGGTGAGTGAACCACTTGTTGTGGCATGCCTTGCACGGGTGATCTAAACGACGAGTCCATCTGGTAGTGCTGGGAGGGCTGGAAGGAGTTGGACGGAGGCTGAACTGGTTGGTTGGCGTAAGGGGAAATCGATCCAGGAATATCTTGTCGCGATTTTGGGGGGCCGATGGGACCAGGATGAGTACGCGGGCCGTTGATGATCTCGACATTTGGATTTTGAACATCACTCCAGTCGGGAGCCGGCAGAGAATGTGACATGGATGTAGAGAGAGGAGCGACGCTCACAGCAGGTGGAAGCGGCACTTGAATGGGGTCGATGACCAGGTCGGCGACCTGTTTTTGGACGACTTCGACCTTGATTTTCATGTCATCATCCTTTGTTCGCTTGCGTTCCATTTCATCACGCTTTCGCAGGTTTCGCAAGTGCTGGGAGACAGCATCTTCGACAGGAGTTGACACAGTCTTTGGAACAGCAGGAGGGATAGGTTCTACAACTTTCTTTGGTCTTGGGGTAGGAGGCAGAGAAGTACTGACTGCAACGGGTTTAGGTGCCTGGGGCACTATCGGAGCTTGTTGCTTTTCTTTCTCTTGTTGAGCCTTCAGTTGGGCTTCTTGCCGTGCCTTCGCTTCCTCAGCTTGTTTCTTCTTTCTGGCTTCCACTTTCTTCTCCTTTTCTCGCTGATCCTTTTCGGTTTGTTGAACAGCAGCGAGGATCTTCTCAAAGTTGAGGCTCTTGGGCTCAGGCTCTTCCTCTTCTACTTCGCTCACTCGCTCTCGGGAGCGGCTCTTGGCATTTGGAATATACTTGTGGATGATGTCATCGATCTCCATGTCTGGATTCTTGATGAGCTCGTCCATTAGTTTCTTCGCCAGGCATGTCTGTTCAGGTGTACCTCGGATCGTGATGGTTCTATCTCCACCGCCTTTCTTGGGTTTTTCGATGTCGATATGAGTGCCAGTGACATCGCGAATTGCATTCACGTTACAACCACTTCTGCCAATAACTCTGGCAATGTAGTTAGAACCAAGGCTCATCTTCTGGAACTCCTTCTTTCGAACGGGCTTCACATCCTTCCACACATCGGGCTGCTGCTCAACGGCAGCGCCTTTGACACCATCCACTTGAGCTGCCTCCGCTTGCTGCTGCTTTTTTCGTTCTTTCTTGCCCTTCTTCTCAGATTTAGTCTGTACGGGCTCAGCGGGCTTAGCAGGCTCGTTGGATTCAATGGTAGGAACGCGGTCAACTTGAGCTTCTACCTTAGGAGAGGAATCAGTTTTTGGCTCTGGCTCAGGCTCCTTCTGCGGCTGTCGAGCTTGTTTTCTGTTCTTTGTCTTCTGCGGCGATGGTGGAGTTGACTCAACAACTGGAGTTGGCTCAGCTGGTTTTGGAGGAGTTGTTGGAGCTGAAGCGGCAAGGGCCTCCAAGGCTCTCTGTTCTTCCTCAGCCTTGATCTCCTTCTCTTTTTTGATCTTTTCCGCTTTCTTATGCTTTTGCTTCTCCTTTTTCTTACGCTTTGTCTCGTTAACCATGTGCTCTTGGTCGATCTTCTCAAGCAGCTCTTGTGCGTGTCTCTCAGCTTCCTTCTCTTGCTTTACTTTCGCCTAAATTAAGTTGATGCAAGGTCTTTCACTTCATGAATAGGTAAACAATTTATGAGTCGAGAAAGGGAAATTTGTCATATCGAAATTAAAATATTTTAATGGCTCGTTTCCCTTTTGGATTTTCGGATTCCCGAGAATTCTTAGTTAGGCAAAATCACGATGGTTTAGAGAAAATATGGGTTCGCAAATATTACCTGAATGATTATCTCAACACAGTTGGCGCATTTCATTTTGAGATCTTGGTCTTTGTCCTAAAGTTTCAAGTTAGCAAAAATCAAAATAGTTATTTGCTTACCTTAATGCTCTGTATGTAATTGTAGCATTCAGTATCACTTGGAAACTGGGTCACTTTCTTCACAAGGTATTTAACCACTTTAAAGTGGCCCTTTTTGAAAGCAGCCATTAGTGGAGAGACATTTCGCGTATCACAAAGAGATGGATCAGCTTTGTGCTCGATGAGCTTTTGAACCACATCCAGATGGCCAGAGTGACTCGCAAGCCAAATTGGGGTGTCTCCCTTTTTGTTCTTGATGTCAACGTGAGCGTTGTACTTGAGGAGTAAATCGACAAAGAGCTTGTGGCCCTTGTCAGAAGCGATAGTAAGGGCGGTATCACGAGATGTTGGCACAGGAAGAGCGTTGACCTCAGCTCCTTTTTCGAGGAGGACTCGGCCGACATCGACATACCCACCTGAAGCGGCTTCCATCAGTGGTGTGAGGCCAGTCTTGGCTCTATGTTCTACGTTAGCCCGTCGGTCAAGAAGTTTTTCGACAACTTCAGCACGCCCCTGGAAACAGGCAAGTGTAAGAGCTGTATTCTTGTTAGTTTCGATCTGTGCGTTGATGTCTGCTCCGCGGTCGAGAAGAAGTGTGACAGCTTCAAGGTGCCCATTCATAGCTGCAAGCATGAGAGGAGAAATGCCAAGCTTCGAAGCGGTTCGAGAGTTAATTTCAGCACCGGCGTCGAGAAGAATCTTAATGATCTCGATGTATCCGCCAGATGCAGCAAGTGAAAGTGGCGTGTAGTCAGATACGTTTCGGTGCTCTTTCTTGGCGCCGCGATCGAGAAGAAGTTCGACGACCTCTTTCTTGCCACCGGAGCAAGCAAGCGAGAGAGGAGTATCTTTAGTGCGATCGGATTGCGCCTCGACATCAGCTCCAGCTTCGATGAGTAGCTCACAGATTTCGGAAAATCCACCAGTAGCGGCGAGGATCAAAGGCGTGAAGCCTTTCTTGTCGCGATGTTCCAGCTCAGCGCCTTTTGATACAAGGAGCTGCACGAGTTCAGTATGTCCTCCTAAGAGAACAAAGTAAGAAAATAATTTTGTAACATGGTTTTACCTTGGCAAGCAAGAGATAGAGGAGTATCATGATTGGAGTCCGTCTTGTCGTTGATACCATCTGCGATGGAATTCTCGTCAATCGGCGGTGTCTCCTGGCCAGATTGAATACCAACTAAATTTTAATAAATAAAATATTCAAGGATAAAGAATCCAGGTGAGTACTTACTTCGAACAGCAGAAGGCTGATCGGCAGTGACTGGCTGCTGATGGGTCTCCACGGTTGTCTTCGTTGTTGTCTTCACGGCGCTGGTGGTTGTTGTTTGTTTGTTCCCTTGAACGCTTCTCACAACAGATTGTGATGATTCAGTGCCCGTTAGCTCCGCCACTGGAGTTGGGTTTTGGAGATGTCGTTGGATAGCCTTGAATAATTAATTATACAAATAGAATTGATCCCGTTACCTTTTGAATCGCCGGGCCCAGAACTTGGATATGCTTCATTATCTCGTTCAACTCCTCTGGACTGAAACCCCACTCATTCTGGCTAAGTTTACTAAATCGCCTAAAGTTTATTCGACGCTAAAGCCTAAGTTAACAGAATTTTTAGCCGTTCCGATTCTTCCTTGATGTTGAGGAGATCCTATGATTGAAATTTAATCACACGTTTGTTTACATAATAGCTCACCGGGATATCCTCAGGTCTTAGGTGCTCCTCGAAGACATTGTCCGGGTGCGTCGCAGGCCAGTTGGGCATCGCGCTGATCCCCGCAGAGGGAAGATCCCCTGGTGGGTAGATCACATCAGCAGGTCGCTCCATGGCGCTCTTAGGAATCGTCTTGGAGACTTTGTCGAGCATTTTCTGGTGGATCTGTCGCTCAACGTCCTGAAGCTCCCGCATGAGATTTTGCTTGTGCTTCTTCTCCTTCTGAATCTAAATGTTGAATTAAGCACAACAAGGCGCCAGTAGAATTATTTTCGAATACCCATTCATGCGTACCAAAATAATAATCTGCTGGCATATAATTATTTTGTTCGAGAATATCTTGTATGTGCGTTAAATCTAATAAAAGCGTGACAATTACGGTATTATGACGCGACACATAATTCAAGTTAAACATCGCAAGTTACCTGCGCTATCTCCTTGGCGAGGAGTTCCTGGTTAGTAGCCGAACCATCTACACGTTGGTCGAACGCACTTTTTATTTTGAGCTCCAGTGCCTCAAGGCGCTTTTGGGCTTCTACAAAGGATATAAAGCTTGCGACTGTCAATCACTGACAGGCAAACGATTACAATTGCAAAGGAAAACCTTTGGATAGCCAGACATATAATATCCAATATTATCTCTCCGATTAATTTTAAGCACTATTTCGTTTGATTAATTATCCTGAAGAGTTCCTCTACAATTTTAAATCGACTGTAATAAGATCAGAATGATCTCCTTTCGACCCTTTCCTTTGGCATTCGCAGCAAGCTGATCAAGCGATGCATCACCCGCACCGATTGGCGATGGTGGGAGAACCCCTTCACCAGGCTGACTAATCATATCCTTCACAGAGTTCAGGACATCGACAACTTCTTCGAAGTTAATCTCTTCCGACCTCTGTTCCTGAATCGGGTATTCATTCAACACATAACGCGCTCCCGCTCGATTGGGATCAAGCAAGAGCTGAACAACCTGGGTATGGCCACCCTTGGCTGCCTCAATCAACATCGTAGAGTTGTCCTTGAGTTTTGCGTTCGGATTGGCACCCGATTGTAGCAATCGTTGAACAACGCCGAGTTGCCCGTGAGAGCAAGCGAACGAGAGGACAGTGTGCTCGTTGTTTTCAGAGTACAGATTCACATTAGCGCCGACCTCGATCAAATAATCCACAGTGGACTCGTGCCCCTGTCGAGCAGCTCTCATCAACGGAGTTCTTCCGCCTTCAGAGCGATGTTCAAGCTTGGCACCAGCGCGCAACAATGCTTCACAGATCTTCTTATGTCCATTTTCTGCAGCCAAGTCGAGAGCAGTGTCACCATTGTTTGCAACAGAAGTGACCTTTGCTCCCGATCTTATCAAAAAGTCAACCAAGTCGTCGTAGCCCTCCTGACATGCTTCCATGAGAGGCGTGCTTGCGCCTTTTTCGATGTCCCCTCCGGCTTCAATAAGCAGACGAGCGCACTCGTTGAATCCAGCGCAGCAAGCCAAGGTAAGAGCTGTTTCCTGTGTCTCCTCCGTTTGCTGGTTGACATTCGCGCCATGTTCAATCAGAACTTGCACCACTTTCTCGTGTCCCTCTCGAGCAGCCTCCATCAGCGCTGTGTAGCCCTCGTCGTTAACCTCCTCCAAGTTCGCTCCGCGTTCAATGAGCAGTCTCGCGAGATCGGTATGGCCACCACATGCGGCGAGCGTCAATGGCGATTCAAAAGACTCCGGTGGCATGTTGACATTGCATCCTGAGTCGAGAAGGAGCCGGGCGACGTCAGTGTGACCATCCATCGAAGCTTCCATCAGCGCAGTATGCATCTCATCGGTCTTATGCTCGCGATCGGCACCAGCAGAGAGCAGGAATCGGACCATGTCGTAATTTCCCTTGTAGCAGGCGAGCGTAAGCGCGGACTCCTTGAACTCGTTCGAAGCGCAGTTGATCTCGGCTCCATGACAGACAAGAAGCTTGGCACAGTTAACATGGGCTCCAGAGGCTGCTTCCATCAGCGGTGTATGGCCATTTTCGTTGAAGATTTCGGTGTTCGCTCCAGCGCAGAGCAAGTTATGGACGATCGTCTCGTGCCCCCGGCAGCAGGCGTACATGAGCGCAGTGTTGCCTGTCGAGCTCTTGGCGTTGATGTCGACGCTGTGGTTGATCAGCAGCGTGACAATGTCCTCGTGCCCGTTGTAGGCGGCCTCCATCAGAGGCGTCATCTCACCCTTTGCTGCACGCTCGTCGCCGTTCGCTTGGAAGCGCTGGAAGTTGACCTTGTGGTATTGATGATAAACCACCTTGACCTTCTCCGCGCACATTCGCTCGGGAATGTTGTCCAGATCTAACAATAGCTGGACAAGCTCGAAGGATCCGTTGGTGCACGACTCGACAAGGTACTCCTGGTAGTCCTCGGCGTTTAACGCGCGCAGGGCCTTCTTGAGACTCGTGTACGAGTTGTCAGACTTCTCGGGGAACGAAAGGCCACGGATGTTATCATCGAAGTCCGCTTTGTTCATCGCCAACTTCGCATCAATCAGTGCTTTGTTCACCGACGAGGATAGATGATCTAGAACGGCCGGATTCCGAAGCAGGGCTCCGTCCACGCCATGAGGTGGAATACCTGCGGCTTCGAGCAGCGCGGCTATTCGCTGTTGCTGAGTCTGGTTATTAAAGTGCTGGTTAACCGAGGCCTCAGCGGCGGCTTGTTCTTGTTGTGACATCGTTTGGAATCCCAATCTATTTTTCGAAGTATTTTCGTTAAATTAAACCTTCCGAAAACGACTTTCCCTAACACATCTAAAAACAGTTGTTGTTAAAATGAACCAGCCGTTAAAAATATGGACAAAAACAGTAAATGGCACCGGAGAAGCAGTCTCGGATCTTAATGTCGCCGGTTTCTATGTTGAAAATAATATTTGCCTTCCGGGCCGGCCGCCTACTCTGAGTGTAATATTCTGAAAGTGAAAGAGTCTGGGATGAGAAAACAGGGCGTATGTGGTCGAGGCACGCGTTTCTCAGACGGCATTCGATAACTATCGCCGAGATAAAAGCCTGAGCTGGTTGATGTCTTCAATAAAAATACGGCTCGTTTACGACATTATTTGTTATGAAGGCCTTTTATTTGATGATCGAAATTCTGATGATGGCCCAAGTGGACTTTTATTTGAATCCCCTATTGAAACCGGAAATTCGGCATTCAAAGTCTTAATAACCGGTTGTTCGGTTTTTAAAAAACCTAAATATTTACCGAGCGTTGGTGATACTCACTTTCAGAAGAGATAAGGCAAGAACATCAACAAGAACATAGTCTGACATGATAACGGCGATAATAATAAATTGTCGTTTCCGATTTATTTCAATTGCAATCAGGTGGTGGTTTTACAAATTAGAAATAGAAAATAATATCGAAAATAAACAAACGTGAGTCCAATCTCTCCTGCCTGTTGTCCGTTCAGAAATCCAGTTTTAAAATATAAAATTTCATTAAAAGGATGTTCATTTATTTCCAATAAAAAACGATCATTGGATGTACATCATGATACAAATAGAACTGAACTAAGGTAACTGTAATAATGTACATGGCGTGGATAGAGAGAACGGAACAGTTTTGAACGGCGCCTGTTACGAATTCAACTCAACGGTCAGTCTCTTAGTTAGCCTTGGCAGCTTCTTCTTCCTGTCAGCGGAGTTAAAAATGAATCTCGAGTTTAGATACTTAGGATGTCGGTTGTTACCCTTGATGATAATGAATAAAAGTTAGCTCCGATCCTTTTTGCTTTCTTCCTCAAAGTCGCCTTCGAGTTCGGGGACATCGTCGTTCTTGGCGGCTTCAGCTTCGGCGCCCTTCATCGCCATTTTGCGGAGGGAGGCGAAACCTTCGGGGCCCATCTGGCTCACGATCTGGGGAAGCATCTCGGAGATCTGCTTGGTCTGGGCGCTGCCGGAGATGGCGAAGGTGTTGGCGTTGGGGGATGCTTGAACCTAATCAAGTAATTTTTAATTTTGAGTAAAAAGGTGTTTCAATTTACCTTGGGGTTCTGGAAGTGAAGGACGGATCCGTCTTCCTTGAACATGTTAACTTCTTCGATTCCTGGGATGGGGTTGATGGAGAGTTTCTTGAGCTGGCTCTGAAGCTTCTTGTCGTCGGTCGAAGACGCCTTGTGGACGATCTTCTTCTTTCTTCGAGCAGTTCCTTTGCCGCCGACGCGGACAGAGGCCTGTAGCTGCTTCAGCTTCTCGGGGTTCATGGTATGATGGCCGACCGGAGTCTAAAAAAAACAACAATCATTATTAGAAATGCATTTTTTAAGATGATGTTTTCAGATACACTCTAATTTTTGCTCTCGTTTTAAGATAGGGAACAGATGCTATTTTCTCAAGAAAAAAAAGACTAAATTTACCAAGAAAATGATTTGAAAAAATATATATTTTTGATTATAAAATAAGGATACTACAACTAAATGATAAATCACAGAGTTTTCAATAATTTAATCGGTAAAAACAGAGATCTTTAGCTAATTATAAGCGTCCTGATTGAAAGCTAACGCCTCCTTGTCCCTTATAATCCCCTTAATCGCGTGTTAATCCCGCCTGGTGCACCAACCAGGCGCTGTTTCGATTTCTCTGATTTGATGATAAGTTCTTCTGAAAGGGAAGAAAATTGCTATTGGGCGCGCGCGTGTTATTCCCTAAACCGCCAATCAGGTGCCTTTGGGCTCGCGTCGGCGCCGCGCCCAGCGCGATGACGTCATCACTCCTGCCCGCGGCGCTCTCATTGGCTGATCCCAAAGAATGAATTGGTGGCTCAAGCAGGAGTGCGCGCGTGCTCGACTCAAAAAAGCAACCCCCTTCCTTACAGTAGCAAAGTGAAAACTTTTCTTTTTTTCGGGAAAAGCTGAAGGAGCCCACGCTAAAAATGGCCAGCGCCCACGCGAAACGTCGCTGGCTCCGCGCGCGAGTTGAGCGTCAACGCTGAACTTTTATGGCGATCGCGCGCGATATTCACTAAAAGCGCAAGCGCTAGAGAAAAAAACTATCTGAGGTCTTTTTGGGTTTACTTTTTTTAGAGATTTTGAAAGAAGATTGAAAAAGAAGCCATTATAATTTTAGAAATGGAAAGATATCTTTCCATTGACCAGTTAACTTTTAAATATGATTCATTTAAACTTAATGTGTTTTTAATTATTCGTAGACTACTTAGATAATTGATAATATGAGCGTTTTCTTTTGAACAAAAAAAAAATACTTTTTCTGATTTAGTCTTTTCCTTTACGGCTTATTTTGAGTTTGAGTGAAAATGAAATCGTCTAATATTTGTAATTTTATATGAAATTATCACTTGCGAAGACGTTTTTCTTTGCTTTATAAGTTTTGTAAATAGGAATGAATTTTCAGAATGCCGACGATTGGAGTTGAAAAAGAAGATTTTCTCCGTCGAACTGGTCGAGCGAAGAGCATAACGCAGGAAGAACTGGAGAACTTGTTCTTCGATTTGGGACTTGAACTCGACGATATCGAGGAAGAAAATGGAAAGGTGAGAATTCGATTCTTTCCTTCTTTTTTGAATTCGAGAGATTCTGCGGGAAAGAAACGAGACAGTCGGACAATCGGTGTTCGATCTGAACCCCTAGGGATTCGTACTGACTGACTGACAGAATAAAGGATATTCTCCTGGTATGTAATAAGTTTCTAGGGTTTGAAAAAGTAGTGCACAGTGGATTTTAAAATTTAATTACGCCGAATCTATTATTGAATGAAAATTTTCATGAGAATAATAATTTTCTTTACTGAATAATTAATTTAGACGATCTTCAAAGTTGACATTCCAGCGAACCGTTACGATATTCTTTGCATCGAAGGACTTTGCCGGGCGATCAATATTTTCGACGGAAAAGCTCCTGATCAGTACACTCTCGAAGGATCCCCCGTCGAGAAGGAACGCGATCATAAATTTGCTACAAGTGATTTTTTTTAATTGAAAGATGAAATTTGATCGACCCAAAAAAGATCATCGTCGAAGAATCGACCGCTTCGGTGCGACCTGTCGTAATGGGTGCAGTCCTGCGAAATGTTACTTTCACGGAGGCTAGCTATGAATCATTTATCGACCTGCAAGACAAATTGCACCAGAACTTGGCACGTCAGCGCACACTCTCCTCCATTGGCACCCACGATTTAGGTTAGTAGTGATACCTAATTGAATATAATTCAATATCAACTAATGCTTGTTCAGATACGGTGAAGGGGCCTTTCAGATACGTCGCTAGAAAACCAGAAGAAATCAAATTCGTGGCGTTGAAGCAGGAGAAAGAAATGAGCGCGCCGGAATTGTTGGAAATGTACGAAAAGGACTCGTTTATGAAGCAATATGTGCCGATTATCAAGAATAAGGAGCGATACCCACTCATTTTGGGTAAGATTGTTTGACTTCGGAAAATAATGGAAATTGGGGCTTTCTGCAAATATTTGATTTTAGATAGCAACTCAACTATTTGCTCGTTACCTCCAATTATCAATGGCGAGCACTCGAAAATCACGCTTTCCACAAAGAACGTTTTCATTGAAGTAACTGGAACCGACTGGGCAAAGACAAACATCGTTTTGGATACAATCGTTACCATGTTCTCCGAATACTGCGCTGCGCCCTTCAAAATCGAGCCCGTCGAGATCGAATATTTCAACGGAAAGAAAGAAATTACTCCGACGCTCAAGTACTGGGAAGAATCTGTTGACCCGGAATATATCAGAAGACAAATTGGACTGCCGCAAGATGTTACTGCAGAAACTATGGCGAAGCTGTTGTCCAGAATGGGGCTTGTTTCAAGGAAGGGTTGAAAAATGTAATTTTGGAGGTTATCTGTAGAATTTTAATAATAAACTAATTAACTTTAATAATAACAGGTATCAATTTCATACTTAGTAATTTTGGTCAAACACATAATTGCGCACTTTATGGCTTCAAGTCTGAAACTCGCTGGAAAGTAAACAATAACAATCTAATTTTTTATCACTTATAAATTGTCCTCATCTAGCAGTAGTGGGAGAGCGCTCTATCAACTCGATTAAAGATATGAAAACGAAAAGATTATCTCACGAATTCCGCCAACGAGACACGACATTTTGCACCCCTGTGATATCATGGAAGATGTTGCCGTGGCTTATGATTTCAACAAGGTACGATTTTTATGATTGATGATGATAGCGAATGTTGAGCAATTATAATCCTCGGGGTAATTCTTCTGGGAAATTGTGCGCTTTCCAACGGATTTTTCTTTGAAAAGATTTTGTCTTGAGAAAAGTACGTTTCAAAGAACATATCTGGTTAATTATTAATTCGTCATAAAATGAAATTTTATAGCTTGTAATGACCATGCCGCCAACAAACACAGTAGCAAAGCAGCTGCCCATCAATAAATTGTGCGATTTGTTGCGCGTAGACGTTGCTGCTGCCGGCTTCTGCGAGGCGCTTACATTCGCGCTTGTTTCACGCGCTGATCTCGGCGAGAAAATGGGCTTCGACAAGCTTCCAGCTGAGGCGGTCACCGTATCCAATCCTAAAACCGCGGAGTTCCAAGTTTGCCGAACAGGTCTTCTCCCTGGGCTTCTGAAAACGACACAAGCCAACAGAAAACTCCCGCTACCGTTGAAACTCTTTGAAATTTCTGATGTAGTTTTGAAAGGTTTGGGATCAAATGAAAACTGTGTGAAAATTAACTGATAGACGACTCGACGCATACCGGCTGTAGAAACGAACGACACATGTCAGCACTGTGCTACTCAAATTCTAGCGGGTTTGAAGTTATTCATGGATTGCTGGATCGAGTGATGGAACTCCTGGAAGCTCCTCCTTGCGAACCAGGCTCTGCAGATGGTTATTATATTAAAAGTACGTCACAAAATTATAATTACCGAGATTGACATTTGTTCTTTTCAGAGGGATCGTCGCCGACTTACTTTCAAGTCTGTGCAGATATTTACTTGTGGAACGAAAAAATTGGACAAATGGGTGTTATCCATCCCAACACTTTGAAGGCTTTCGAATTGCCCAATCCTGTCAGTGCTTTTGAGATTAATCTCGAGCCATTCCTGTAAAAAGGAATTTTCCTTTGTCATTTGACATTCTGTAAAATTATAACTATCTATTATTCTGTCCGTACTCTGTCCGTGACTGGGTTTAGTATTTTTAATACTGATATTCTGTTTTTCGTATTTCGCTGGGAAATACGCCGTGCTAGGTTGATTTTGGTAAAAATCCAACTAGGGGAATTTAAAATAATGGTCGCTCTTCCGCCAGGTTCAAAGATTTTTATTCATCATTTTTATGCTTTTAGAAAACAAATATGGCTGATGATGTAGCGGTATTGAGTTGTTTTGCTGACTTGACGCTTTTCAAATGTCGCGCCGAAGACGAGTGTTCTTTCGCCGCCAAGCAAAAGCCAGATTTCGACGAACATATGCAGACGCACCAGTCAAATGCTGATAGAACTTGTGAAATGATATCAACCGAAGACCTTTCTCCCGGTACGGTCCTGCTGAAATGCCAGCTCTGCGAGATGCTTATCGCTGACAAAGATGTCGACGACTTCTGGAAGCGTCACTATAGATCGGCAGGGGTTCGTCTTCCGGGGCGAAATCAGGGCTGTATTGAGATATGCGAACCCATACTTTGCTCCATGCAGAACAAGCAGAAGATGAAGCGCGCTATCACAATAGCTACATCTTAGCCAGGGTTGAAGAGCAAGTTGTACCAGAACAGGACGTGTACAACATAGATTTACCTCCGGAAGCATTAGTTGGGCGGTCTGAGACAGTGGAACAAGAGCAATCGGAGTTTGAATTCGTACAGCTGCCGCCTGCGTAAGAAATGCACTAGACGGCAAATGTATTAATCAAGCTCTAGAACGCCCGTTGCCAAAACAAACAGAAGCGGCGCTCTTGTCGCGAAAAAGTCAGCCAGAGGATCCGTCCCACCACCAGTGTCAACGGAAAACAAAGTCACCTGCTACCTTTGTCCCGGGGTAACGTTCTCTTCGACTGACGTCCTGAGGATTCACTGCTTCGAAGATCATCAGATTATAGATTATATTCTGAAAGATCTCGCTTGCCGTCCACTGACGAGGCTAAATAAATGCGACTTCTGCATCTATCGTTCTCCACTGTTCTCAAAACTGACTGACCACCTCACTGAATTTCACACTGCAGAAGATGTTTATCTCAAATGTCTGTCGTGGACGGCCAATGAGGCAAACAAGCCTGGTCGAAAAACTATCCCAAGAAAGCGTAAATCGCGTCACGAAAGAGAACCAATCAAGCATAGAAAAACTTTGATTTATTGCCCCGTGTGCTCTGTAACCAAAACCAGCAGAGAAGAGCTTACAAATCACCTTGAAACTGACCATAAAATTCATAGAAATGTTGACATACTGCATTCATATTCCTTTAAAACATTCACTTCATATCTTTCTTCTAATGTTTATCTTTTTAGTGATGAGAAAAAGCGTGATTTGATACACTAAATGAGTACGCCTAATGAGGTGTATCGGAAAGATTTGGTCTCGGCCATGACGGTCACAGACCTCCCTGATTGCCATCAGTTTTTCTACTTAGCCGACAACTGGAAGACTGAATGGGAAAGGGGGGTCCAAGTACCTGCCAAAGCCAAACAAAAGAAAGCTCATGTAAGATCAACTCTTTCATTATTCAGCGATCTAATCCTTCTTTTGTAGGTTGTTGAGCTGGAATCCGCCCCTCAACCGCCGATAAAGCCGCCAAAGTCACGGCCAAGGTATTCCCTAGATAACTTGGATGTGGCTTGGCTCGAGCGGGCTAATCAACATCGTGTCGCCGCCAGTTTGCCAACACTTACTGAGGACGATCTCGAGACGATTATCGACGAGTTTGAAACGCAGGCGAATTCCACCATTCGGCAAAAATGCTCAAACAAAACTGTCAAATCCATGGAGGACAACTCGGTCTGCGATGTGTGCCGAAGTCCGAATGGTGAAGACGGCAACGAGCTCGTGTTCTGTGACGGCTGCGATATCTGCGTCCATCAGCATTGTTACGGAATCCTTAAGATTGACGATGGGGAGGATTGGTTTTGTCAACCATGCAAGGTAAGCCCCTTCTCTTCGTTTATTGCAGTTATCCATTTGTTTAGGAAAACCTGAAGCCGAAATGCTACTTGTGCTCTCAGCACGGCGGAACGATGAAAAGGGCGATCGGCTGGGAGCGGGTTGCAACTTCAGCTCCATGGGTCCACATCCAGTGTGCGCTGTGGATCCCGGAGATCACAATGACTGATCCAGCACGGATGGAAAAACCTGACATTTCGCAATTGCCTGAGTCCAGGAAATCGCTAAAATGCACAGTTTGCTCCAACACCGTCGGGTGTGTCCAGGTAACTTCTAAGAGTTACGATAAAGTGCCTCATGTGCCTCATTTAGTGTAACATAAAGAAGTGCTACAAAAGCTACCACGTCACTTGCGCTGTGCGTTCTGGTCTTTCAGTAAAAATGGAGACGAAGGGAGGACGCGTCAATCTTTTTCTTCACTGCGACAAGCACTCGGAAACGAAATTGGACGAAGTTAGAAAACGTAGGACTTCAATCGATCAACAAGTCGACGAAGAACGGTAAACTCTTCCCATTATTAAGATTTTTCAGACACCATTTTAGCCGTTTTCTTGAAGAGAACTTCTTCACTCTTGTATCACTCGAACATGCGAAGAATCGCCTCACGAGTTATTCCATGGATACTCTTGACTGGGTATTCGAATACTGGCGATTGCGAAGACGCGCAGGCGGCAACCAGCAGCTTTTCAATGACAACGATGTTGAACCAGAAGCAGCCACTGCTGAGCAGCGTTACAGACGCATTACGCAGCTCCGATCCGATCTTGAGCGCTCTAGAAACCTGCTTTGCCTGATTATACGCCGGGAAAAGATCAAAAAGCAAGTTCTACGATGCGATCGAGAAATCAAGCTCAAGGAGATGAAGTTCCTTGGTTCCAAAGTTGAACTATCTGAATCCACCAAATCAGACCTTAAACGTATGGACATGGAGTTCAGTAAGGCCGGAGAGAAGCCAAAGACGGAGGCGGATGATGCTGCTGCTTTCTTGGAAGATCTTGACGCACCTCCTGAGCCAGTGAAAAAAGTCCCTATCCCAACGCAGCCTCCAAAGCCTTCGCCAAAGCCTGCACCATCTGCTAACGCAATCATTACTAATCGCCCACCACCTCAAGTCAAAGTTGAATCAAAATCAGCTGAACAAGTTGAAGAAGCAAAAGAGTCAAAGCCGCTTGAGTCTAAAACTGAACCTGTACCTGTTCAATTAAAGAAAGAAACAACACCCGAAGTTATCCCTCAGCCAGTAAAAGGCACGCCTATCAAGGGATTCAATATGAAAAACGCGGTTTCGGTTGGCCAATTCAAAGTCGTGCAGGGGAAATCCAAGATCCTGAGTGGCAACGCTCGACCGCTCAAAGGATTTATCAGACCTACTAATCCCTCAGTCTCACAGGTAAACTAATCATTTCAAACATGCGTCGAAATGGTTTGATTTAGGCTCAGTTGAACAGTCCGAGAATGAATGGCCCGAGCATGGACGGCAAGACAGTGATCGGGACCAAAGTTGTCGGTGGTCAAAACCAACCTGTCATCATGGAATCGTCCCCAGGATTCCGCATGACGCGACCGCCAGTGGTTTCAGTGCCCAGCCAGATCCGTATGCGATCTACACCGCCCAATATAATGATTACTCCGAAAATGGTTGGAGGGAAAGAGGTTCGCCTTGTTACGCCTAGTTTCCCAAAACCTAAGCCTGGAAGGTAAGTCAATGATCATCAATCAGGGACTAAATATACCAAATTAAGCCGTGCTAGACTCGTTAGACCAGAAGTCAGACCTCAATCAAACCGACCAGACGCTCAGACTCCTCAAGTTCGAAATACACCACCGGTACATTTTTGTCTCCCTATTTTCTCTTATAGCATTTTCTAGGCATCATTACCTGCTCAGGCTACTCCACCGCCAGTTCAACATTCATCTCAACACCCTGCTCATCAGCAACAAGGTCCAAGCTTTCAAGCTCGAACTCCAGTTCGCGGAGACGCGAGCAAAGCGCCGAATACTCCACCTGTCTCCAAAGCCAACGTCAAACCAGGCCTTATCAAGCTTGGAGCATTTGCGAAGGGAGCAAAGCCAGCAATGTCCGCTCAAGAGCCTAAAGAAGCTGCACCAGAGGAAATTTCCACTCGTCAACTTACTGAACAGCTTCTAAAGGTTGATCCACGACGAAGGAGTCTTGGAAAGAGTGATGATAAGGCTCCGGCTATGAACAACGCCACGAAAGAAATATTCGACAAGTTCAAAAAGCTCGACAGCGAGAATAAACCATCTCCAAAACCCGCTGACAAGAAGAAATCGAGCAATAGAGGTTTTATCATGAGAAAATCGGCATGTATTTACATTTTCATTTTAGGCATTTCATTCGGAAACTTATTCAAAAAAGACAGTAAGAGTGAGACCGGGAACATGATGAACAAGTTCAAAAACATCTTCAACTCTACAAAATCAAAGCAGGATAGTAAGAAAAAGCTCACGCCCTACCAAAAAGCGAAACAGAAGCAATCTACAACAGTTTTGCCGTTGAAACCTACCCGAATTCCCCAGGAAGTCAAGAAGGCGAAGTCAATTACTAAAACAGAGCAAGCTAAGGCAGAAATTCGGGCGCGGAAGCCATCAACTGAAGTCAACAATCCTGCCGATGATGCGAAAGTAACGGTAAATGGAACTGTCCAAGAGAAGATCCAAGAAGTTCCAAAAGAAAATGGTCTTCCAATAGAAGCGAAAAAGCAAGAACCAGCGCCAAAACTGGACGTTAATGATTCTAAAAAGATCGATGTTCCTCTTGTGCCTGAAAAGCCACCTGTTCCCGTTAACGACGTAAACGCATTGAATGAAATACCACCGGAAGAGCAAATCAAGCTCTGCCAGCCGCTGAAAGTTTTGGTTGATCGCCTTCCGAATGATTCAGAAAAGGCAGCAGATATCATCAATCGTTCAGCATGTCTATCGCCTAAACGAAAGCACTCTTTAGATCACCAAGGTCCACCATCAAAGCAATCGAAGAAAGAGACGAACGCGCTCGATGATGTTGCTATCAACAAAGCTGCCGAAATGCCTACAAAGAAAGAGCTCGAGGCACCCAAAATTGATGCTTGTCCGATTATGGCAGAACCAGTATCAACATTGACTCCGCCTCAGGCTGCTGACGAGCCAAAGCGCGGTTCTCTCGTGGAAGGATTATTAAATGGTAGTCCCAAGAAGGTTGATCTGACGGCTAGACAAGCAGTCAAAGACGTCGAAATAAAGACGAATGAACAGCCGGTCATCTCTTCAAACAAATTACCACTCTCTCCTCCAGATGAACCAGACCAGCAAAAGATCGCTATTCCTGAAGTTTCCCAATCTGTTCCTCCGTCGGATGGCAAGGAAAATAGTTCTGAAATAGTTAAAACTCTCGGTATCGAGAAGAAGCATGTTTCTGAGGAGAACAGTGGTTTTGGGCCAACGTTAACCGAAAAGCATCCAGATGATAAGGCGAAAAAGCCAGAAATAGCAGCTCCGAAAGTTCAGGAAAAACTTCCATCTTCTCCTGAAAATGAAGACGACGATTTACCATTAGATTCTTTGGTACGGCGGGACTCATCGAAGAAAAAAGACGTTGATCCTCTTGATGATCTTTTCCAGCCAGCCATAGAAACGCCTGTTTTCGACAAGCCAACCAATCCACTTGCTAAGGCAAGTACAGCTGCAGATAAAGCGCCCTCGATCTTCCCGAACGAAGCTTTATTCTCTTCTATGCCGCCCGTTTCAACTCCCATCAGCGCACCTTTGACAGTAACATCGTCTAGTGCTCCTATCTTGCCCGCGACTGAACCTGCTATCCCAGTTTCGTCCGCCGCATCTTCTGAATTCAATCCCCTTGATGAGCTTTTCGGTACAGGTGCAACAGCGCCATCAACATCATCGAAGGACTCAATCTGCGACTCATTCAACCCATTAGATGACATCTTTGGAAGTAGCGAGCCCTCAACAGCAGCAAAATCGACTGGACCGAGCACTGAATTCAATATCACTGACTTTATCGACTTGGATCAACCTTTGCCGCCTCCAAAAGTTCTGTCAGAGCAGGATATGATGGTAAGTATTCAATTTTTTTTTTCAAACAAATTATTTTTTTTCAGAAAACGCACGCAATGCTGGCAAATATCAAATCCGAGCCCATCGATCCTAACTACTTCAGTCAGCCAGCGGCCTCTGCTCCACCTCCAGTTCCAACACCTGCTCCTCTTAGACGCCCTTCATCTGAGACTTGCCCGCCTTCCAGCAAGGCAGCTCCCGCTGTTCCACCAATTCTGTCGCCCAGTGCGATCCCGGGTTCTTTACCTGCGAGTGCTCCTCCAAATTCTTTATTATCCGAATCATCCGCGCTCACAAATCCGTCCGTAAGGACTACTACCACCACTCCGCATATTACACCAAGCAACTCAACGGGGCTCATATCCTCCTTACTAAAGAAACCTATCGATCCAGTTCCAGCGTTAAACACCGACAACTCCTCCTTTCAGGATATCATCAAATCAATGGTTCAAGGCGTCCACACGCTCAATGACAAAGAAACACTTGCCCGACACGTGTCTATGCTCATCCAGCAAGCTCAACCGTCTCCCCAAGAGATGCTCGCTAGAGCTCAAGCGCAATCAATGCCTGTTTCGATGCCACAGCCCAGCTCATCTTCAATGAGCAAGCTTCAAGCGCTTTTAGCCAGTCCGATTGAGCCTTTTCCGCAGAACAAAGTCAATCCATTTGGCGGTCTTCATCTTTTAAACTCGCTGAAGTCCCCGCCATCGTCATCAGCTGAGTCAAAAGCTCCCTTTCCTTCTTCGCTTCCCTCTCCAGCTCAGGTTGCCGCAGCACCTAAGATGCCGCAGGTACCAAAGGCAGCTCATCCGAATATCGTGACAAATCCAAAACCGCCAGCGAAGAGAAAGAACAGCACAACTCGTTCGGAGCAAGTTCGCAAAAAGCTCACTGACCTTCCTCGGTTCAATCCCCCAAAGAAGCAGCAAAAGATCATCTACTCGCCGACTGCTAGCTCGGTTCAAGTTTTTGAAACGCCAACGGAAGTGATTACTATCAAACCAGAGAATGAGAAATTCTCCGAGTCCAAGAAAAAGCAGGCTCGAAAGATCTCCGACGAGGCTTACCGTCCTGGTATCGCGCCTAAACGAGCTCGAACAAAGTCACCTAGTCGTCGTAGTCGCAGTCCTCGTAAAGGCGGAGAAAGCCCTTCCAAGAGCCCCTATAAACTGCCAAAGATAAAAATTGCAAGAAATCAAAAAGGCGAGGCAGACGGAAAGTGGAGGATCGAGCCTGTCTTCGTTTGCAGCGTTCCCGAGTCTGAAATCGACTGCACCGCTTTGCTTGACAAACTGTCAAAAAGAAGGTCTTCCGTGGCACCTCCTCCCCTCCAACGAGCCCCAGGAGCAACAAACTTGCGATTCGAAATCAAGAAGGCCCCCGATGATCTAGTTGATAGTAAACAAGCAGATGAATTGGAGAAGAAGCCTATCAAAATTACCCTACGAGTTCCAAAAATTAACAACAACCAGAGTGCTGGTTTGTTGAGTATGCCTCCTCCCCCATCTGGCCTCAGGACGACACCCAGAAAAGGAGCATCTGCCGTCAAGTACACAGACCCGTGGTGGGATGATTCGTAGCGATTGTTTTATAAATAATTTATAATAGCGCCAACTTATTTTTATTTCTAATATTTTCTTGAATTGTTGCTCAACTGCTGCCGTTTTCTGATCAGAAAGATTATGCTTTGTTTTCTCTGTTTAAATTATATTTTGCTTCTTGCTTAATATTTTGAATATGTAAATTACTTTTCTCTTTATCACTATCTTATCCAACTTATTTCTAATATTTTCTCCCTGAAATCATGGTGTGCGAAATCTTACCTTGTCGTTAGCTGAAAAAGTTTTTCATTCAATCCGTTCCTTCTACCAACTTTTCAACTTTCAAACAAAAACTTTAACCTCTAACAACAGTCTGCGTAACATTTCGTTTCTTTGTTTTCCGTTTTGCTACAACTCCCCAAGAAATTACATGCCCAAATGGTCTTGCTTTTCAAAAGAAGACGATCAAGTTCAACTTTACTGGGAAAAAGCTTTAACTGTTCGAAATGCTATCAAAATAATACTTTAGGTGTTGGCAACACCCTAGTCTTTATTGCTTTCCCCTTTATTTTATAAGGCTAATGATTCACTTGCCGAGAATACTAGCCCATTCGAATATTAATTCAAAAAAATCACCTTCGACTTTTTATTAAACACAATTTTTAGAGAGAACTCGGAAACACTCGAATGGCTGATGCGACACTCGAGGAAAATGAGGCTAAAACACACTTCTCCATGTCTGATAATAATATTAAACTGTATTCGACGAATAAACTTTTAATGCAACAAAAATGTATCAGAAAGGCTTGAATTCCTTTGGTTGGAACCATGCCTGTTGTAACACTTTCAATTAGAACAGCCTGTATGAAAATTTGAAGCAGCTAGTAACTGGGGATTCTTTAATGTCCTCACTTATTTTTAAATATTTCATCAAAACGATGTCAGGGTGCCTCCGGCTGCAGTAGTTTCTCAGAATAAAGAATGCTTCTTTCTATAAATAAATATATTCTACCTGAAACTCGATATAAAGACGATCAAATATGATCATCTTTCTTCTCTGGATTTTGGATCTCGCTCGTCATCTACGGAGAAAACCGCTATAAAAACAGGGTCCGTTCTGCATTTAAATTAGATTATTTACATCTACATTATCTTTAAATTGGATAATTATCGATGTCGGTTGTAAACCATCGTTCGTCCCATTTTGCCGACTGAAAAATCGCATGGTTTTGCATGGTAAAATTGCAGAGAGAGCTACAGTGTTTCAAGAGTGGGATGAGTCTCTTCAGACAACTAGATTGAGAAGATTTGAAAAGAAGGAATCTGTGAGACACAAGAAAAGGACTGAACGGTAATAAATCACTAACTACTAGTAAAAGTTTTCACACTACCCGGATTATTTAAATGTTTCATGTTTATTTTATAGACGCCAAGACCGTATAAAATTTTATAGCCAGCATGCCATATTATCTTGTTGATTAAACTCATTTCGGAAAGTGCCATGACCTGAGTTCCATTTTGCTCGGAGAGAGTGCCCCGTAGATAATTGAACAAGTTTCATTTTAATGCATTCACCGACCGTGGTCCCGGTAAGTGCCAGAAATACAGGTAGTCCAAGCATATTCCCATTTCTGGATAGAGAGGATTTATACCGAGGATAGTAGTGTATTAGCTGAACCATAGGATGACCCACAATAGAGCCTAATGTAAGTTGATTTTATCGATAAAGATCATCAATCGTCCATGAAGGGGCATCTCATAGATTGTTGGATAAATAGACATTTTATATGCCAAATATACAATCGGACACAGTCTGTCACATACTGTGATTCAGTTGATCTGCAAGTAAACTGCATATTTCCAATATGATATTGAGAAGTCTGGCTGAATGAGTTTTTCATTAGTATCCATTATCGAAGAAAACATATGACAGCTAAACTAAAATCTCATGAACGAAGAACTACTAATGAGGTTAGCTCAATCGTACTAGATTTTGACCGTTCACTTGGATTGTCAGCTACTAATTGTCTATTGATACTGTATTATAATACACCACTGATCCAATCAATATTTATCAATTGAGGTTGATAGATAAAAATGGTAGCCTTGCGAAAGATATTTGTCAAAGACATATAATATGTCACATATTTAGAGATATTCAAATGGAAGCATAACGGTATTCAATCATAGTCTGTGAATCATAGATATTATTTAATTTTTTGTCCTAACAAATTAAACAGATTTATTAATTAAAAACAACTTCAAGGTTAAGCATGTTTGGCTGTGTACTTTCACTTGTAATACAAGTCTTGTATGTTGTATGTAGTTTCTTCTAAAAGTCTAGAGCTCAATCCGTTTAAATAATTCACCCTTGAATATACAATTCTTCTTGGCGTTCGTTTCGAGGGAGCGCTTTGCGGTCCTTAGATTTATTCCGCAGAGGGAATGGACATAACTAAGCGGTCAGTAAGTGGATAAGCCGTGAAAGACTGATTGTAACTTTTGGGGCAATTAAATACAGTTGCTTAATTTTGGAATACACCAGGGCGATACTCTGGCTAGTATTGATCACTAGAGGAGGATCACTTGATACGAGAAAAAGAGAATTTCGAGTCAGAGAAAACTGCATTCAAAAAGTATTCAAAAGAGAAATCGTCGATGTCATTTTTTAATTGTTAGATGACAGTAGAAGGAGTGGGGTTAGAGAATGATAATAATTCTTAAAAGTTTGCTTTAAAAAATAGTTATAATTTTTATTTTCATTGATTTCACAAATGAATTTATTTTTCTAGGCCGACATCGGATAACGTAGTACATCGAAAAGTAACAATGAGTTTGCCTGGATTCGTCGCCAATGCCGCATCTGCCGTCTCCGATGACATCACCGGTGGAGCAAAGATCTCGATCATGCGAAGGAGTTCGAAATACAGTAAGCTCAATAAGGAAGTAAATGTACCACAAAAACAAGCGATCGGGTGCATATTTTGGCCTCCGACACGCTGCGGGAAATAGCGCCTAAATAATTTAGCGAATTCAATTAAAACTGAAATACATTCGAACTCGTAAATAGGCAACTTTTCGGGGTGACAATGTTGCTGCATCGCTGATGACTGCTGCCCCGGCGGCGATCTTGTCGATTTTGTTTCTTCTCTCAGGGAGTAACTTCTCTCCTGAGCTCATTACCTGCTCTTTGCATTCTGTTGATAGAGGAAGGACAAGGGTTCTCGATGAATTGTTGATTATCACACATGTCAAATTTGCAACACTTCGAATTTCCGAGCTGGAACCAGTTTTGACAAGCAGTACTTGATCAAACTGGTCCAGGATTCTTTTGAATTCTCAAGAATATCACGTTATCTTATAATTAAATCAAAGAGAACTCTGTAAAGATCAGGAAATCGACCGGAGCAATGCGACACGTATAAACTGGCCGATTACAACTTTATAAATGGGTACTGCTACGCGCATATGACGCATTACAATGTCAATGAAACATCAGGAGAACTTCTTTACGTCCAGAAGGGGGACGAATTGGTTCTAGATAAAAAAGACATGTCTTATTTCAAGTCAGGGTTGAGATTGCCAGAAAATCTGGAGATAGTCCATTGTCGGACGTTGTCAATAACTCAATAGACTGGATCGAGTATTGAGTTTCTTTTTTCTCATCCCTTTGAAAGCTGTTTCCTTACATTCTTTTTTCATTTTCACTCGTTGGCTTGTGGATCAAAATCTGCTGGGAGATTTCCGCTGCGAAACGAGCTTCTCAAGCAGAATATCTCATCGATGGAATCGACGAAGCTTTAGGCGAGCTGATTTCGACCCTACGAAAGATCTCAAAATTTTTGAACGATTGTGCTGAAAAAGAAGAGAAGCAGCTGCGGAAGGCTGAAGAAGAAGCTCGCAAAACTTCAATGATGACCATCAAAGCAGGCGGAATACAAGGGCCCATTACACCTGTGTCATCGCCGAGATTGAGCCCAAAGCTCGGAAACGGAAGATGTGTGAGAGACTCAAGAAATCTTGATTCAATACGACGACGAAGAATCGATAGACTCGAATCGATGGGAAAGACCGACATGAGCGATGATGGAACTTCTGAAAATGGTTTTATTGTGGGAATGAACCAGCCTTCGGGAAGAATCGGCTCCCGCATCGCAAAGGATTGAGTTTGATAACCAATATTTGATTGTTTGGAGAGGCAAATATTGAAAATATAAAAAGGCAGACTGAGCAAAATATATTTGTATTCTCTAAAATGCTCCATTTTTTATTAATGAAAATATCTTCCCTAATCACGGCTGCTGTCATCTCCGCTGTGTAATAAAAGAAACGCGCGTATATAAAATAATTCTTTTTAAAAATCGGAAAAGATCGAACTCAATAAAAGGAAGCTTACGCTGAAAACCAGACTCGCGAATACGCATGGAATCTAAAAAAGGAAGCCGAAGTTATCTGGTCCAAAAATAAGACCCAGGTCCTTTTAATTTTGCTTACAATGCAGTATAAATATTGAATTGCAGGAAAAGTTTGTCGAGTTGAAAGAAGTCATGGACTTGCAGAGTCATTCTAAAGACTTGGTACGAAGTACGTTATTATAAGGTTACTTTGGGCATCACTAATCTTCTAATTTTAAGTTGTGTTTATGAACCGAATCCAGGGTCTTATTCTCACAGCCATCTGCGCATTTATTACTTTTAAATGGTTTGTTATCGGACTGAAGGAGAGAGATGGTTACAATTGCCTCTTGCCGCCCAGGTTAAAGCCACGTTCTTTATAAAAACACCTCACACGTGCGCATTCTAGCTACAATTACCACCACGAGGGAAATCGATGGCAGACGACGAATTGTTATTACAAGTCGGTCACAGTCTGGCACCTGATGACTATGGTCCAATTTACAGTTTTCTGTGCAGGACAGAGTTAGAAAAACGCGAAAATGATTTATTCTCAAACTGAGATAAAATCTAACCAAACCAAGTTTTCGTGTTTCAAGCTGGCTTCTTTGTTTCGAATATCCGCTCATGGAAGAAAAACTATACCATGCTTGAATATCTTCCACTAGAAGGCGCTCATCATCTCAAAAATCAAGGATCCTTATCAGGTTGCTAATACTTCTATTCTATGTTTGATTGTATTTTAGACTTACATCTGTTACTTTCACTTATCTTCGGGCAGAATCAAAATGCTAGAAAGGTAGATTTCAAAAACTTCAAAAAAGGTTAAAATGTTCCTAGACCATCGGCGTTGGATCGAAGGTTTTGGCGACGATAAATAACGAAGAAGAATATAGATTTTTGGAACGGTCTTCATATTTCTAAAATGATTAATCCGCAGACATAACGGCTAAAAAAATTTTGAGACAAGATAATTGACCACATGACAGCCGATTCTGACGGAGATCATCGTCTGGGGAGCAACGGATGAAAACGTAGATGACCTCGTGGAAAAACTGGTCAAAGAATAATGTTTTCTGCTTTGTAAATATGTAATTGAACTCATGTACATTCGACTCGTGTATAATTTTTATCTTGTAAAAAAATGTTAATAAATTGACGATCAATAAAACGCTGATGGCATTGCTCCGAAGTCTGAGATTTGCTCGTAGTCTTTGATTGTGTTTTCGAGAGGCAAGTGTTTGAAGAGTCCATTCGCTTGTGTATGCTTGGAGCAACCCTCGACAGCGACAAATATTCGCCGTTCATTTTTGATGATATATTCTGTAAACTCGTGAAATGATAAAATTGATGTGGCGTACCTTTATAGAACCGAACAAATTCTTCTTTTGTCACTTTCAGCAGCTCAGATGATTCCTCTTCTTTCCGTCTAAATTTGCTTTTAGACGACTTTCATTCTTAAAACTTGCATTTTTACCTGAAACGCTGAGTTCCATCAAATATCTCGACCTGATTTGCTCCAAAGTAGCTGTCCATACTTTCGGCTGGCTTAGCAAGAAGTTTCACATAAGCTTCTTTTGATGACTGAAATAAAATTTTCCGGTTTGCTTAAATTATTATTGCGCTACTTTGTACTGCTCTTCAGTGAGTGCTTCGAACTGCTTCAATATCAATGTTGTGCACTTGGTCATTAGTGCTTCTACTTCTTCAACAGTGACCCGGTTAATATTTGTGTTGCATTCGATTGCAATTGCCTTAATAAATAAATATATCTCGGCGAATACAATTTCTGTTTATCGACCTTGATTCCATTTCTTGACCACTCCCTCGTAGCGGCGATATAACCAAGAGCATTTTTAGTTCTCAACCAGTCAAACGTTGGCTGGTGCATCATGCTTTGGACGAAAGTGGAAAGCGCTGACAGTTTTCTTGATGATTGAAGTTTGCCAAGAACCCATGCGAGGGAGCAGAAAGTCATTTCAGAGTTTGGATTCATGCCCGCTACTTTACAAGCGATGGGAGTTGGATGATGGCGGATTTTCGGAGGTGATATAGTCGATTTAACTGGATGATTTTACTAATTTCCTAGGCGCAAAAATTCTTACCTCTGAAAGAGCCCGGTCCCTTTGCTTTTGTAAGATCTTTTATTTGCCGAAAAACACTAGTTGCTTCTTTTTCGGTCATGTTTCCTTCGATATGAACCTGATAGAACGATTTTCTAATAAATTCTTTCTGGAAATGATGGAACTCTTCCATAAACTCGCTTGGGCTTAGATTGTCATAAAAATCAATTAAAAGAAAAAATATTACGAGGGATTTGAGAGCACAACTTCTTGTATAAATTCAAGTCTTTCTGGGAGCGAGTAATAATTGTTGACCAGAAGACGAGTGCCTAGCTCATTGCAAACTCGGATCGGATCGCATATCATTGTACCTAAAGAAATTATAGAAAGTTTTTTTTCAGGAAAAAAATACTCTGGTAAGCTCTTTGCAATTGATCGACAAGTTCTTCAAGACCATCGTTGTTTTCGATTTTGAAATTTAAGAGCATATTAACAGCTCGAAGAATTATTTCCGGAAGTTTGGAATCATAACCAGAAACGAGTATTCCGGCAGGTCGAGTATCGTTGGTGACATGGGGCTTTTTAACGATAGAGCTATCGTGATCGTTGTTCTTCGTTACATCAAAAATTGTTCCCAGGATTTGGCAATCTATTCCCACTTCAGAAGCAAGAGTGAAATCCCGGCTAAAAATGAAGATCACTGCTATTGGAAGTCAATAATAGAGTACCTGCTCTGATACAGATCTCTAATTCCGAACAGAAGCATATCCATCATAACTTGATTCTTGAGATTCTTTGAAGCCAATTTGTTCAGAAAGCTGACACAAATATATGCCCTGGGGATTTTGAATTTTGAGTCTGTTTTGAACCAAAGTTCGGAATCTGCAGATTTTTGAATGCGCTTCGGCGATCTCCATGATTGTGAGCCATCGACTTTTAGAGGGAGATTTTTAGTGATGTAGTTATTTTCTTCTGGCAAACGAAATTCAGAAGGCCATGGCTTCGACTCAATAAGTTTATCCAAGTTATAATGATTTAATAATAATAAGGAAATAAAAAAAACTTTCCTTTGGTACATAGAGCTCTTTATTTTCCACGACTTTGTATTTGGTTCCAACCCATTTTTCTTCCTGAAGACCTTCTTCTGTTGCAAAAGTCGAACTTCGTAGAAGAATAGCGCAGTTACTCGGTTTGACTTCTCTCAAACACTCGTTGATGGTATCGTTGTTGAACTCAAAGGGCGTGTAACCAAGCCAACATTTTGTTCCGAAGAATCGACGCTGATGCATTTGATAAGCAGTGTCTACAACTCTGTTATACGGATTCGAAGGCTGTTTGGTGTGCCATTTCTCGTTCGTGATTGCTAGAAAATTCAAAATAGCAATTCTCAGGTATTTTTACTCACTAGCCAGTTGATTGAATACTTTTTCGCGCTGAGACGAGCTCGTCGATTTAATAAAATGTTGCAATTGATTCTCATGTGTTTTTACGGGGATATTATTAATATCATATTAATTACGAAGTAAAATGAAAACCATATCTAAATAGCTCCAAATGATGTTGTACACTATTCTCCACTGTTGAATATCAATTCTTGTGACCATTATTGTCAGATCGGTTTGATACCGAGTTGCACCAATCTGAAATGAATTTAAACCCTTCTCATTGAGCTTACAGTACCCATTTGAAAGCTTCCACTTTGCCCAGATCGCGCTCTTCGAGGTAACGACTGAGCGAACCAGGCCCTTGATCACAGAGCACATACTCTAAAAATTGAACTGGATCGCAGGAGATCTTCTCCAAGTAGCTTTGCAGTGGAAAATACATTTTCATCGCGTCTTTCTCGGCTCCAAACTTATAAATATTGAGATAAACTTAATAAGAAAAGTATCTTACAGGGACGATTTTCACAATTTTTTCTAGCGAGATAGAATGATGTGGTCCGTTAGGTTCCTTGTGAAGTCCAGGCTCGGTCTGTCCACGGGTAGGTATTTGGCCAAAGAATTTAACCGCATATTCTTGAAGTTTTGACATAGGCAAGTTGGCTTGAAGAACAAGCTTCATCCAAGGAGAACAATAATTTCTCTGATACCATTCGTCGAGAATTTTCAAAGGATCAAGTCCGAACTCTTCTCGTGGATACTCCCAGATAGAATATCGGTTTCCAGCGCAAAAATGTCGCATCGGATGGTTTTCCGTCATCAAAGCTTCTTGCAATACAAGTCTTCCTGTCATACCTGCCTTGCGAAGATCATACTCAGAATCGACCGCACTCAATTGTCGTTCTGTCCCGGATTCTTCCATTCGGGCGTCGATAAAAAGATTCGAAAATATATCCAGGAGTTTTTCATAGTTTTGCTGTCCCATGATCGCCATTTGATAACAAGTTGCTATAATCATTTCAAAACGTAGTTTGATCTCAAAATTCGGCCACCCCTATTTTAGGTTAGTGTTAGGGGGGGGTTCGAAGGGGGCGAAGCCCCTAGGTTAGGCCTTAGGGCTAGGAACTGTGTTCTTTTACCTAGGGGGGTCCCGGGGGGCGAAGCCCCCGGGTTAGGAGTAGTGTTAGGAAAAATAAAAAAAATCAAATTATACTTGGCCGAATTTTGAGGTCATACTACCTTTCAAAACAGTTTCTTTTCAATAGAAATTCTTTTTTTTTTGAAAAATTTCCTTCTTCAGCAGTCATAGCGTTCGTTTTCCCGCCATTCTTTCCAACAAAGGTTTTATAATAAGCCTCTCCGGGGTACTTTCCACTACCAAGGGCATGCATATGCTCGCAGAAATGAGCCAGACCGGGGATTTCATGTGGTTCATCAATGCTACCAATGCCTACACTTACCGCCGCGCAGCAGTAATCAGCTTCGCGACTTTTTTTATGTAAGAATAATTATCAATTAAGAGTTACTTGGTTTCATCGCCGACAGATATGAGAAGACATTGCATGCCATTGTCCAATTCAATCGCTCTGTACTTGTTTTGATCACCAGTCGCCTGAACTGGTGGTGCCAGAATTTTCACCATAGAGCGTTATGAGATCTTCAAGAGTAAAAGAATATTTTCAATATGAGCTTCTCTTACAAGTTTTCTTTCCGAAAGGAAATGAAACAGAAGAGTATTCGACATTTTATTAAAGAGACAGGAAATAGAAATCTTTTTCAGAAGAAATGACCACATGGAAATCAAAAACATATAAATTTATTTTCATCGTCAATATTTACACCTCAAAAAGCATTTACAGTATTTTCACAGTATAAAAATCTACAGTAATAAGTACAAAAGAAAAGTCTTCACTAGTAGAAGGAAGAAGACATCGATGCAAAGTCTGATATTTGAGTGTAGTCTGCATTTTCAAGAGGTAAGTGCTTGAAAAGCCCATCAGGTCGGGTGTGCTGGGAACATCCCTCAACGGCAACGAACATTCGTCGTTTGTTGTTGATGATGTATTCTATGAGGGATTTAACATTGGTTTGATCATCCAATAGATTTCACTCACCTTTGAAAAAGTCGACAAACTCTTGCTTTGTTACTTTCATCAGCTCAGCAGACTCTTCTTCTTTCCGGCTAAAAACAGTTGATCCTAGATTTGACTTTTTATTCCGTACCTGAAACGTTGAGTACCATCGTAAATTTCAATCTGGTTTGTTCCAAAGTAATGATCCATGCTATCCGCTGGTTTTGCAAGAAGTTTCACATAAGCAGCCTTTGAAGTCTTGAAATTTAGTTAACTAGCATGCTCAAATAATAATCGCCCTACCTTGTACTGCTCATCAGAAAGCGCTTCGAACTGCTTCAACATCAAGACGGCGCACTTGGTCATGAGAGCTTCTACTTCTTCGACAGAGACTCTATTGACATTTGTGTTGCATTCAATAGCGATTGCCTTAATCGGATATAAATATTACGCCTCGCAAATGATTAAGTTCAGGCTTTTCCATCCGTTCCTTGACGCCACTTCTCGACCATTCTCTTGAACCAGCAATGTAACCAAGCGCTTTCTTCGTCCTCAAATAATCAAATGCCGGCTGGTGCATCATACTTTCAACAAAAGTAGAAAGTGCCGAAAGTTTTCTGGAGGACTGAAGTTTGCCAAGGACCCATGTGAGGGAACAGAAAGTCATTTCAGAGTTCGGATCCATACCCGCTACTTTACACGCGACTGGGCTCGCATGGTGGCGGATTTTCGGAGTTGAAGTGGCAGATTTCACTTTGAACCATGAATGGGCAATCTTGAAGATCTTATACCTTTGAAAGAACCAGGTCCCTTTGCTTGAGCAAGCTTCGTTATTTGTCGGAAAACACTCGTAGCTTCTTTTGGGTCATGTTTCCTTCGATATGAACTTGATAGTAAGACTTGGTGATCAGCTGATTTTGGAACTGATGGAACTCGTGAATGAATTGCTGAAGAAGCCTGAATCATTCATAATGAAAATGGGAAGAATTTATATGTTACCCAAAATCAGATCGCAAAATATTTCGAGTGAATTCGAGTCTTTCTGGAAGCGAATAATAATTGTTGATGAGAAGTCGGGTGCCAAGCTCAGAGCAAACTCGAAGAGGATCGCTTATCATTGTCCCTAAAAAACTAAAACGCGATGTTTGTCGTTAGAAGTAACCTTGGTAAGCCCCCTGCAATTGATTTATTAGCTGCCCAAGGACATCCATATTGTGTAGTCTGAATTTCAAGAGCATGTCCATCGCACGAAGAATTATTTCAGGAAGTTTCGGATCATATCCAGAGACAATGATTCCAACAGGACGAGTATTGTTCGTCACACGATTGTCTTGAGCCGCGTCCGCGAAGATTCCCAAAACTCTGCAATCTATTCCAGCTTCGGCAGCAAGAGTGAAATCATGACTAAGAATTCATCAATCGAGATCCTTGAAATCAAGGAGGAGTACCTATTCTGACACTGACCCGCAGTTGCAAAAAGAAGCATATCCATCATTACTTGATTTTTGATACTCTTCGAAGCCAAATTGGTCAAGAAATTGACGCAAATATAGGCCCTCGGAATATTGAATTTAGAATCAGTCTTGAACCAAAGTTCGGAAGTAGTCGATTTGAGAATTCGTTTGGGCGAGGGCCAGGATTGCGATTCATCAACTTTTTGAGGAAGATTTTTGATGACGTACTTATTTTCTTCTGGCAGACTGAATTCACGTGGCCAAGGATGAGCCTTGACAAATTTTTCAATATGTTCATCGTAATTGATATTGTTGATGATCGAAAAACTATCCTTAGGTTTATAAAGATTATTGTTGTCGACGACCTTATACTTGGTTCCCACCCAGTATTCTTCCTCGACATCTTGGTCACCATCAGTTACTCAATATGATAACTGAAAGCTTACTTATGCATTAAAATATATGACCGGTTCCTCGAAACCGCCTTCTCCAGCGAAACTCTGACTTCGGAGAAGAACAGCGCAGTTGCTCGGTTTTATTTCTCTCAAACACTTGTTGATGGTATCATTATTGAATTGAAACGGCGTGTATCCAAGCCAACATTTAGTTCCGAAAAATCGACGCTGATGCATTTGGTAAGCAGTATCGCCAACGTTGTGGTAAGGATTCTCAGGCTGTTTGGTCTGCCAACGCTCGTTTGCGATCGCTAACGATTCAATGGATGAGTATGTTATTCTTCGTACTTACTCGACATTTGGTCGAACACTTTTTCGCGCTGGGAAGAACTCGTTGATTTGATGAAATCTTCAGGCGGATTCTCATTTCAATTTTATCATTTATCAAATTATTTCAATCAAGTAAATAAATTGAGAACCATATCGAAATAGCTCCAGACAATATCGTAAATTGTCTTCCACTGCTGAATATTTATTCCTTGGACCATTATTGTCAGGTCGCTTTGATATCGGGTTGCGCCGAACTTGAAGAAAGGTAAATTTATGACTTTGTTTTAACTTACCCATTGGTAAGCTTGAAGCATGCCAAGATTGTGTTGCTGAAGGTAACTATTGAGCGAACCAGGGCCTTCGTATGTAAGCACATATTCTAGGAATCGAATGGGATCGCAGGAGATGTTGTTCAAATAGCTCGGTAAAGGAAAGTACATTTGCATCGCGTCTGGTCCGTTTCCAGGCTGAGAAATGATAATAAAATTTATGAAAACAAAGCTTACAGGGATGATTTTGACGATCTTTTCAAGTGAAATTGAATGATGCGGGCCGTGTCGTTCTTTGTGGAGATCAGGTTTAGCCTGACCACGAGTGGGGATCTGACCAAAGTACCTTTCGGCATAATCTTGAAGCGTTGAGATAGACAAGTTTGCTTGAAGAACAAGCTTCATCCAAGGAGAGCAGTAGTTTCTTCGATACCACTTATGTAAAACTTCCAGTGGATCAAGGCCGAATTCTTCGCGGGGATACTCCCAGATAGAATATCGGTTTCCAGCGCCAAAATGTTGCATGGGGTGATCTTCTGTCATCAAAGCTTCTTTCAAAACGAGTTCTATTTTCAAATTATTCAACTCGTTATATCAATCGTAAATAAAACCAAAATATCCAGCATTGGGACATTTGATGTGAATAACATTCCTACAGCAAAAGATTCTTTTCGGAGATCGTACTCTGAATCGACAGCAGCAAGTTGACGTTCTGTTCCCGATTCTTCGAATTGTGCATCAATAAATAGATTTGAGAATATATCCAGTAGTTTTTCATAATTCTGTTGGCCCATAATTGCAAGCTGGTAGCAAGTAGCTTTATAGAAGTCAATATTGTTCGTCATAAAATGCGATATCTCTGAAACGAGAATAACTTTTGAGACTTTCCCTTCAGAAGCCGTAAAAGCATTTGTTTTTCCTCCATTCTCTCCTGCAAAACTTTTGAAATACGCCTCGCCGGGGTACTTTCCACTACCAAGAGCATGCATATGCTCACAAAAATGAGCAAGACCGGGAATTTCGTGCGGTTCATCATTACTTCCGATTCCTACATTTACCGCCGCGCAGCAGTAGTCGGCTTCACGGCTATTTAGTGTTATTGATTTTACACATTTAACATTTACTTGGTCTCATCCCCAACTGATATAAGAAGACATTGCATTCCATTGTCAAGTTCAATCGCTCTGTACTTATTTTGATCGCCGACCGCCTGAACCGGCGGCGCTAGAACTTTCACCATGAAACCAAAGTGAAGAGACTCGATATATTGAAAAGTATACGAACGGTCTCTCTTTGAAGTTTTCTCCAAAAGGAAGTAAAAATCTGATGGCCATCCATAATCAGATTTTATAGACAGGAAATATAAATTTATTTGATTATAATCCGGGTCAATAATTAATTCTTTTAATATATTTATTTACAAAGTCTAATGTTGTGATTTTTTATCACATAAGTATCAAAAGTGCAAGATCTTTTTGCTGGCGAGTACAGTCGATGCTGCAGCGACATCTTGTTTTCTTATCCTTTTTTTTGAGTTTTGAAATCATGGAAGAAACACAGTTTGAGTGATCGTTTTTTCAAAACTTGCCTTCAGAATAGCGAATTGAGCAAAGTTACATTTTTGTTGATTGTGCAAGGCTGAATTCTTGATACAGCTCTGAGGAAGGTCCCGATCTCCAGAGCAGTATTCTACACACTCTGTTGGAGAGATATTGAAAAGCTCCTGACATGCCCGAGTGATTTCGGCCGCACATTCAATGTTCGGTTCTGAATTATTTGATAATTTAAATCCTATGCTAAAGAAGAACTAGTCGGAGCTAAGCTTCAGCGATCGAACTGGCCTAAACTAGTTCAATGAGTTCGTACTTACCAATTGTGAAATTCTTCAAGCTGCCCTGCTTGAACTCATCTATCGAATGCACTCCGTCATAAACACCATCAGAAAACTTCGTCGCGAATTTCTTCGCTTCTACTTTATGGCCACACTTGACCCCAACAATTGTAGTTGGATGACGATGGGAAAAGTACCAGTTCGTTGTTTTGTCTTTCAAGTGACATTGTCGTGTTCCTGAAGCTAAAATTGTTTCAATATAAATACTGATTTCTAAAGATTATTTTAAGAAACAATTTCTTGTGTTACAAAGTGTGCGGCTACACATTTCTGCTGTTTGAGGCACTTGTCAAAGCAGGTCTCAATTGTTCGAGCAGATGCAAACTCATAAGTGTCTCCGTAAATAACAGATTTCTCCCAGTACTCCATGGAACTCCTATGAAGCATAGCAGTTTCATTACACAATGTGTTGAAATAATCACATAAAGGAACATCGCAGTATTGAGTTTCTTCGCTAGCTCCCTCACATGCTTCATCTCCGAAGCACCGTCGTGATCGCTTTTGGGAGGAACTTATCCCGCAAGAAGGATAGCAAGTAGACCAGACGCTCCATTCTGTCCACCCCGTGCAGCCGCATTCTTCGCACACAAGACCAGTTGCACCATCTTTTGATCGCCATCGCGAATTGAGAGCATTAATCAGCGGACCCATACGTTTTCGCATGTCATCTTTGTTATCTAGTGGAAGAAGAACATCGAGTCCAAGAGTAGTAAGATTCATTCCATTTACGTTACAAAAAGCACTATTGAATCCATCGCATGTCTGCCCGTTCATCGCTTCCCAAGTTCCGAGGCACTTTCTTGTACTTTCTTCCATGGGAACATTGCACAATCTTCCATAGTACCCAGTTCGTGTATTTTGAGCTTGGTATCCGATCGATCCTTCTTGGCCTTCGCAGTCGGACCAAACACCGAAGCTTTTGATGATCTCATAGCTAAGCTTGAGAAGTTTGGACAAATTTTGCTCTGCCGACAGATTACATCTTGTTCCGCTTGGTTTCTCGCAAATTGTTGGCTTCATATCTGAATACAGATAATTTTAAAGAAGAACGCGTTCTAAACTTACTCTTATCGACGCAGTATAATCCTAAGCTTTCTGAATTAATATCCGAGTAGCAAGACCATATTGAATTGACACGCCGCGCAAAACTATTTTGGCAAAACTTGCCGCAATACTTGTCCATGTAAGATTGTAATTCTGAGTTGCCTTCATCAATAGCAATTGAACGACTTTTTTTCGGGATGATCTTCATATTATTTATCCATCCGTGCTGTTGACGGTACCAGGGAGCACTTGCGAATCCGGTTACATTTTTTGTTTCGCGCAAATCAACCGGTATTATTTCAAGCAGCTCATCGTCAAGCATAACCCCAAAGTATCCATTTGCATCCGTGAACATCTCTACCGAAAACAGCTTTTCAATAACCAATTCAGTAAAGATACACTTTTCTCCGTAGCAAAATTTTAAGTCCTTTTTATCTTCGACAAAAATTGAAGGAATGCCTATTCGTTGTGAGGTCTTCGAATTTGTGACATAAAACACATTTGCCCCGTTTTCCACCGATGCTTGCGCTCTTGGTCTGTCCAGATACATGTCGAAAGTCATCGTCCAGACTTTTGGAAGCTCCTCAAGATAAAAAATTTCTCTGGATTGAAAAATCATGACATTCTGCTCGGTTGATTCTTCGCAAATGACGAAGCTTTCGTCGATTTCAGCAGAGGTGTATGTTCGCCAGACGCCTTCTCTATCCAATTTTACTTTGTAATCTGTTGTTGGAAAGATCCGCCTCATCTTCATGAACTCAGAAGGCTTGCCATCGAATCTATACCAACCGGTAGGCTTTGCGCTCATCCCAAGAAACACCTCGTCGAAATCGACTAGAGTATAGTTTGTTAGCCACATATTCTCTTCCAAGTTTTCTGGGCAGGCGAGATTCCAAGGCTTGTAAAGATTTCCAGAAATTCTTGCGATTTCTTCTCCAAAGTTTTTACAGTAAACCTTCGCGGCAAAATACGACATCTTCTTTGGAGAGCTGATGTATCTTTTCGTCACTCCATTACTGAACGTCCTTTCGATCGGTTTTTCGCATCCATAATCAGTCTCAAAATAGCCATCATCGCAGATACAGGCAAAATCGTCCTTCAAGTCGTACGTGTGGCACTTTGAATTGGGCGGACAAACTCCAGGATATTGACAAAGATCAGTGTAGTATTCCAAGTGGCAGTAGCCATCAACGAGGAAATAACCTTCTTCACAAATGCACTCATATCCGAGTAGTCGATCGATGCATTTCGCATGCTCCCCGCAGTCAACTCCTTCGCATTGATCACCATCGCCAAAATCAACACTAAAATCGGATTCTTCTCGGCGTTTGTGGTAGTGTCTATTTTTAGTAAAATATTAAAAAACAATTAATTTCAAAATAAAAACTGAACAAGATCCGTTTCCCAAATTCACCACATGTCCATACGTAGTTAAGCCCGATTTGTTCCGCATGAGAAGTGTGCTGAAATCGACGTAGCTCAGCGAGAGCCGGGTTTAGCCCGTCATCAGCGGAAAAGAACCCGTACAAAGATCTTTGGTGAGCTCGGTTGACAATTTTGGTTTCCACAGCTTTCGTTTGATTTAGAAATATTTGAAATTTCTGATCTTCGAAGGGCTCAAAATCTACCATAAATAGATGCAAATTTTAATTAATTAAATTGAGAACCCTATCATAAGGATAAGAACTCATCGGTATCACACCAAGCGTAACTCTTGTCCAGACGTGGAGTGGAATTTCAACTTCTGAGCAATGCGAAAAGTTGTCTGCATCAAGGCATATTTCGTAAATATTTGTTCCTTGTTTAACTGTGATTTGAGGGGAGATTCTCCCGGCATCAGATTTGAAAACAAAGAGACTGGAATCGGAGAGCCTATTTATGCCAGTAGGCCTCACTTCAAAAGTAATCGCCCAATTTTCGAGCACAGACTTCACTTCGTAAAGCTTGTTGCCCTCAACGATTTTGATCAGCTCCTGGTCTTGTGAGATTTCATCTTCTCCTCCTTCACAATCAATGTTTCCGTCGCAGAACCTGTCATAAAAGTTAAGCCGGGTCCCGTCAAAGTATGAGGATTGACACTTTTTGCTGCTTTTAAATGTTTCTAAGAAAATAAAAACTCGATATTGGAGTCTAAATTAGCTTTGAAAATTGAAGAAGCAGTTCCTGAAGAACTCGTTTGTAATCTTCATTTATTCGTTGAATAGTTTTATTGCAATATCTCTCCTGGATTCGAATAATGTCGCCAGTAGAATAATACATGTCTCCAGTGACATTCGGCTGTCTAACCATAACCGAGTTCTGACCGATTATAGGATTCATGTGCTGATAACCAAGCGCATGCATAAGCTCGTGGTGGATGATTTTGGAGTTCTTGGAGCCCATGGAACAGTTTTCGCTTATATTTGGCTTTCAAAAATGCGCTCTATCGATAATTCTCATCGAGGTAGTTTGAAAGCCATTTCTATGCTGAGAAGCTGCCAATTCGCATATGCCCCGTAAAGCTCTGGCTCAAGAAATCCAGCTTGAACCCCAATATTCGAAAAACACTGAACCGTGTAATAATTGACGTTGTATGCAATAACAATTCCATTTTCAAACGGGGCCCTGTAAATTGTCATTTGCTCTCTGGGAACTTCATGAAATCTCAGACAGCCTAAATCTTTATTGCCAAGAACCGAAATCCAGTTTCGATATTTTTCGATTTGATCTTCTGGAAAATATTTGGAGAACATAAACGGGATGATAACTTTTTCTCCGCCATCGACAAAGGCTTTCTCTTTCCAGTACTCAGTTTCTCTTTTTCTCTGCCCCGTAAGCCTTCCATTTTTCAATTGAATTTCGTCAAGCTCTGAAATCGTCGAAGCAAAGCATTCAAAGTCTTCTTCTCTCGAGCATCCATCAGCAATTGAATAGTCAAAAAGAAGCAAACAATAAATATAAAGCATTTTCTTACAAAAACTAAAAGTAAAAAATTTAATAGAAGCTGTGGGAGAAGGCAGGGCCTGTGGCCTTTACGATAATCGGGTGAAGTCTGACTGATCCGGTCGACCAAATGGTCACGCGCGTGATTCCTGGCGGAGATGAGAGAATTGGATTAGACGTGTGCCAGTGCAAACGTACTCTAGAATTTGCGCTTGTCCTTCAAAAACAAGACAATTTTATTATGTAAGAACTGTTTTTGATCAGTTAAAACTCGTTCACTCTCCGATAATCAACATATGTGTTTACTTTTGAAAGTATCACTCCCCGACGTTGTAATATTTCTCAAGCACCGCCTTCTTACTGTCAAGCACTGTGTGCCTAATCCGACAGTAGTTGAACGGCACTGCGCGCAGCTGTTCTGCCGCTCATGATCATCACTAAGCCAGAGCACGTACATGGGATTAATCTCTAAGAGAGATACATTCGAGCGGTAATACTTTAATAGATTCAAAAGATTTCACATTTTCACTCAATTAAGCTACATTGATTCAGCGATAAATGAGGATTACTGAAAGTGCGGCCTACTGAAAGCATGGCAGCTTTTCAGATAATTTATTCGCAAGTAGATTTAATTTTGATTAGTCTTAATGTGTTTTCCTGAGATCTGTAGCTTCAGTTTTAAGATGCCGTTGAAGAAAATTACCAATTCGAGATCAATTTTAATATCCATTACAGTATAAGTTCCCATCTGATTATATGGCCCATAAAAATATCACGCGCACTCGGAGGCTGTATATCACTTATTCACTGTTTAATATCCCCTAACCTGCAGGGGTCGTTGAATACAAATTTCAATACTTTCCCAGACAAGCTTGTGGATTAATATTCGTTGTGCTAAAGGTAATGTGCTCGATACTGTGAATCGATCAAGGGAAACTGTCAAAGCCGATTTTCGAGCACAAAAAGTGGACGAGTCCTTGGGAGATTAGACTGTAATTTCACTGTAAGCCACAATATGCCACTAGTTGGTGAGACTTTAAGAGGATTAGGAAATGTGACAAACAGCTGCAATCTTCGGTGATAAGAATGGAGGACAAACTTCTCTTAGGCAGCTACCGACGATTTGAGGGAATCCTTGAAAATGATGAATTTAATGAAAACGTTGAGGAATTAATAAAATTAACGTAAATATATGTATGTTTGGATTTCGTCCAAGGAAACAAATAAGCGCTTATTTCCATAATATAAGTATCATTATTTTCATAAATATAGAATAAAATTCTTTATTTGTTGAACATTGTCCAGTTTTGAAGATTATAATTCTCAAAATATCCTTTTTAAAACAGAAGACTCAAAGAGGATAATAAGAGAAATGTGAATGAAAAGACAAATAAAAATTAAATTTTTAAAAAGATAAGATGGAAGGCATTATTTGTGTACTTATTTACCTGTAGAGAGGACATCAGGCTAATCGATATTGAATGGATTGAAAGGGCGCTGTTGCTAGGTTCTGACTTGTTGGCGATTGCGACATCTCGTGTTTAATTTGAGAGCCACTTATTTTATCGGAAGAGACATTTAAATTTCAGTAGTGTTTGAGTATCAGTTCCATAGAAGAGCAACATCTCAAAAATGTTGAAAAACGCTTTTTGATCGAAAATCTGGTCAAAGAATCGGCCGTCAAGACCGAGACTGGTAAGTTTATGTTCGAAAGATATTTCCTGAACAATTTATTCTAGATCCTGAGCCACTTGACACCTCAACGGAACAGCTAGAGCCATCTGATGCTTCAGAAGGGAGCCCAGCAACAGTTGCCGCGCCATTTTCTCTTACGCAACCGGCAACAACAACGACTCTTTACCAGCCTTCCTCCACCACTGATTTTTATCAGCGGATTCAATCGCAGGCGATTTCAAACTTCCTCTTTTTGATCCATCAGCAGCAGCAAACTTCTGCTCTCCTTGGACCTCATCGACCTGCTGGTATTCAAATTCCCTCCGCCGCATATAACAACATGACAAAAATCAAAGGTAATAAACTTTTAATTTTTCTGATACAAACGTTTCTTTCAGAAGTCGGCCAAAGAAGCCAAAATACACCATATCACCGTGAATCCGTGCGCGGCCATGAAATACCGTCAACATCAACTTCTTTGGAGGCAGCCGGGGATCTACTGTCAGATGATCGAAAACGGAGCCGAACAGCGTTTTCTGGTCGGCAATTGCTCGAATTAGAGAATGAATTTCTCACGGATTCATATTTGACTCGACTGCGGCGTGTAAGAATAGCGCAATCTCTTGGATTGTCCGAGAAACAGGTACAAATTATACATCTCTTTGTTTACTTACATTTTTAAGGTAAAAATATGGTTCCAAAATAGACGAGTCAAGCAAAAGAAAGAAGAAAAAGTCTACGTCTCCCAACCGAAGCTAGAATAACAATCTCACCGAGTGTCTTAAAAAGAATCTATTTTTATAAGAAAAAACTCACGTCTTTCCACGATTGGTTAAAGTCTCCTTGTACATAAAATCCAAGCTATATTTTCATAGAAATAAAGGTCACAAAAAATCTTGTTTGAATTTTATTGAAGGAAGAAAAGTAAAGAAATATTATTACGAAGGCAGGTATGACGCGAATCAATAAGGCTCACAGGGTTGTTTGTTGCCGAGCATCATCATGAGCAGAATAACATTTTGGTTGTCATCGCCATCTTCCATCAGCAAGAGAGGGAGCATTTTATCGGGTCCCATTGCAGTTCCGGGAGCCTGGCTTTGCAAACTGAGCAAGAGTACGAGCATGTTATTGTCTAGAGAGCTGCCCTCGTCATCTTGTAAGAGAAGGAGGGGAAGGAGAATATTGAAGTTGTTGTTGAATCCTTGCGGGTTGGACATTCCACCCGTCATCGAACTCATCAAAACCATGAGCAGAAGAGTGTTTGGGTCTTCAGAGTCCTCATTATCGCCAAACATGATTATGTATGGCATAAGTTGCTGAATAGGAACCGACCCTTCTCCTCCCATTGTCTAAATTAAGAAATGAAAAAATATTGAAAATTGACTTATTTAACCTGCATCATCATCATGAGCATCAAGTCACTGGTATCCTGGTCTCTATCCATAAGCATCATTGGCAGAAGCGAATTAAATTGATTTGAAGTAGAAACGGAGCAGTCTCGTTGTGCCATCGACGAAAACAAGAAGAACGTTGTAAAATCGTAGCCATCATCACCCGAGTCGCCAAGAAGCAAGAAAGGAAGAGCATTGTTCACATCACTTCCCATTCCCTGGATCATCAACATGAGCATCAGCTCTGAGTTCTCCGAGCTCGCACTTGTTTCTTCCATGAGAAGAAGTGGGAGAATGTGATTGATTTGGCTAGCCTGGGAAGGGTTCATCACTCCTTGCTGGTGCTGCAGCATCATCATAAGCAGCATTTCATCAATTGCAGCTGCAAATGCGAAGAAAAAACCTAAAATCCTCATTTCGATTCTCAGACTGTTCTTTAGAATATGTCTTTCTAAAGTCTCTCAACGGTGCTTTATAAATTGTATGCTGCTAGAATGCGCCACAGAAATAGTAAGAGATCAAGGCTACTGATAAGGCGGTTAAGATTTGGTGCGTGAAGATTGACCTGCTAGAAAAAAGATATCGACCTGCAATAGAAAACACCTTCAAGTTCGAACCAATACTTTCTAAGTTCGAACTTTTTTCACAGTAGAATATGATATCTAATTATGAAATTGGCTTAAAAGTTCAGAAAACAAGTAAAAAGTAAAATTAGAATAGAGAAGTGGCAGGACAGAGATTGAGGACATTAAAATTGAAAATTTAAACTAACTTTTTGGAAATTTTGGATCAGTTGAAAGCACAGAAACTGTTCATTTTTACAGTTTAGTCTTCAGCAGTAATGCTCAATAAGGTGCATAGCCACCGCGACCGCGTCCTCTATACATTGCTCGTCCTCGACCACGACCATAAAAGCCTCGGCCACGGCCTCTTCCACGTCCGCGGAAGCCTCCTCTATCGGTTGAGCTAGAAAAAACGAATTGATGATGCATTCAGTACATCAAAATTACCTGACGCCCGGCTTGTTCGTTCTCTTGGGCATGACTTTAATCTGCCTGCCCCTGAACATCGATCCATCAAGAGCGATCGCCGCGTCAACTGACTCCTTCTCCGTGAATTCAATGTAAGCAAAGCCCTTCGGATGCCCAGAGTACTTGTCGCAGAGGATGGTCACTCGATTGAGCGCGCCGCAACCGTGAAAGTGTTGCTCAAGTTCTTCTGCGGTTGCCGAGTAATCGACCTAAGATATGTTTAAAATTGGCCTTCAGGATTTTCACAATAGAAAGCCAACCTGTCCGATGTAAATCGATCTGTTGTCAGCGTCGACCTTTTCCTCTAACGTAGGGAAGTTTGCAGATCCCATAGGCGCTGAACCAGCTTGTATAAATATTCATGAAATAAAAGAAATCGAATATTTCTTACCGTCGCCCATGCTCATCTGGCTTTCGACCTCTGACTGTAGCTCCTTGAGTTTCTCCGCCTCAGCTTCCATGGCCTTGACTCTTTCCTTGATGGCTTCCAATTCCTATTGATTGATCACATTATTTCAACTGATTTTGGCATCTTTTATTCATCAAAATATAATTTCGTGAAAAGGCGAGGGAATGGCTCTTTTGCGCCTATAAAGTGGCATCTTTTGGATCTGATGAAAATTGCTAAAGCTTTATTTTTTTGAATTTGTTTTTTTTCGATCCAATGGCTCTTTTGGTATGAAAATTATCGGAAATCAAGGACTACAGAAAACTGGGACTAGATTTCGAGCATCATTGGTTGGGGTATCGACCCCCAACTTACGGGGTCATCTTCAGCGTCGTCGTTCTCCAGCGATGCCTAAAAAGAAGTAATGAATAATTTGCCAGTAAATTGTCAAGCTAAATTACGTCTAAGTCGTTCTCAGCTCCAGACTCTTCCAACAGAACTTCATCAACATCAGACATCTCTGCTACCGTACTGCCTGAATGCGATTCAAATCAATAAATTTATTTATGAAAGTCCTAATTAATGTTTGATTACAGTAACTTAGAACGTCCGTTATTAAATCAAGACGAGAAATTGCACGATATCGAAGGGGATTTGAATTCTGTTCAAGGAATATGAAATATGCCGCAAAATATTAAATAAAAAGTAAAGAATGAAGAGTGAAAATTGAAATTGCCTTCTCTGATTTGAACAAAAATAGGAACATTAGAAGAAATTCAGAAAAAATGAGTGAACAAAAACGGGTTTTGTATGAAGAACGACTGTCGTCTGAGACTCTCAGCCGTGGTAGTCGGTTAGTATCTGAGTATGAAATGTCACATGTAGAAAATAATGAATGGGACAAGCTGGGGTTTATGTGTTTGTTGTTTTTTTGAACGTGATACGAACAAGCAAATAATGGTTAAACAGTTGAGAAAGGACCAGAAGATCTGTTCCCGTTTGATTTTTATCAGGCAGAATAAAGTGTGTCCGGTTCTTTCAAATTCTAGTGTAGTGTCATATATTCATATGGGCATGAAGTGTGCTGATAAGTCGAGTTTATCCTTCAATGGTGTCTTCAATAGTTCGCTAAATAGAGAATTACGAGCTGCCAATAAACGTTGACTGTTTAACTCACTTTACAGGCGGAAAAATCGAAGTCTTTTCCGGTAACTTCCTTGTACACTCTCATAATATCTTCAGACGTAGTTTCAAAGTGTGTAGTAGCATCATACGATTTTGTAACGAAGATCTGAAGAAAGAGACGTTTAACCAGAGACAAGATGAAGAAAATTTACATTATCAGCGGGAAGATCAGCCTTAGGATGGAAGACATCTTGGGTGTAGACGAATTTCTTCTCGATTGGTCCCAATTTAGCGAACGCAGCTTCCAATTCGCCTTGTGGATTCGCCGTCTCAGCAGTTGTGGAGATGAAGGCAAGCCATTTGCCCTTGGGGGCGACGTTATGAGCAGATGACACGGAGCAGATGTAAATATCTTGAATAATTAAATTGCTGGAAAGGTACTTTGATGGAAGTGTTACCGTGTCTTCGACCGATTTGCTTTTGGGGAAGGATGAATTGGCAGGAAGCGGAGTCATTGGTACCGGGGATAGGGTGGTTTAGGATACAGATGGCTCGAACGAGAACGCCTTTCTTCTCGACTCTAGATTGACGTAAGCAACTGAAGAACATGCTTGTCTTACCGGTCGGTAAAGTAGCTTGGGTCGCCAATAACCTGCTTGGCCTTGACCGTCTCTCCCTCAGAAGTGACGAAGACAGCACCATCCTTGGCTTCGACTTTTTCAACAGGCTTGTGAAGCATGTAAGTTCCTCCGTAGATTGCAGAGAGACGAGCGAAGCCCTAAAATACTGAAAACAAGGCTCTAAAATTTATCCCACCTGGGGAAGTTCGCCAAGACCGTAGAGTGGGTACAAGTATGGGGATTTGCCATATCTGCTCAAAGAAGAGGCGTAGAGCTTGACTTTTTTGATGGCTTCCCCGCATGGCTTGAGAAGGTAGTCATCAGTTCTGTACAAGCACATGGCGTGTCCAACAAAGTCCTGAATGGAATTAAAATGTTTTATTGATAAGTAAGAAGCGAACCTGAGTGTTTGCGTCGAGGCCAAACTTTTGATAAACAGCGCTCATGGGAGTGCTTCGTGGGTCAACGCCCTGCCATGAAGAAGGATTGTTCTCATCGAATTCATTGGTGAAGATCAGGAACTTTCGGAATCGTCGCTTTTCGAACATGCCCATGAGGCCGGATGAGAGAGCTTCAGTCTCAGAAGCAGGGACTTTGTGGACCTTGCTTCCTTGAAGGACGTAAGAGCCCTCGCAGACTTTGAATTCGAGGTATCGAGTGACGTCGGTGAAGATGAGCATCTGGACGAGCTTTCCATCGGCCATCAGAAACTGAGAAATTCGATAAGAAGCGGGATGAATGGTGATTAATAACCTTTGGGATGATGTCGACGTTCCAATCTCGACCACGGCCCATGGTCTCGGGAGCTTTTTCCTCGCCGAACTTTTGGTAAAGTTGATCAAGAGGAGTCATGGAAGTAGCTTCAGCGCCGTAGTACGAGTTTCGGTCCATGTGAAGGACCTTTTTGCCCTGAACGGAAAGGACACCAGAAAGAATGCACTCGGTAAGGCCAGTTCCGAGAATGACAACATCGTATTCTTCATCCATATTGAAGAGTGTAAAGGGATTTTTCTAAATTTAAACTTCTCTAACAAACGCTTATCAAATATTTTTCTTTAGAAGAAAAAAAAACGAAATAGGTAGATCTATTTTTTTATTTATTCGCGATGAAAATAGTGCGAAGCGCAAACAAGCTGCGTTTCGCCGCTATTGATTTTCTTTGACTTTTGCTGGATCGACGTTTGAAGAAATATGGAAATTTTTGGTGAGTTGGGTCGCAGAAAATTTAAAGGTATCTGGCTAATACATTGCACGGGACAGAAAATGAATGAATGAGGCAATTGATTTCAAATTCTTTAAATGGTAATTGCTGATGTTTTGGTACTCGGACGGCGTTTGGAAAAGGTAAAAGCTTTGAGTTTAAACGAGAGTCAAATTTGAAAATAAAATCGTTCTAAATTATCTTTAAAATAAAGAAGTCTTTTTGAAGTTGATAGGCAGGAAGAAAGAATGTCAAATAAAAGAACAAATGTTGTGCGAAGAGAAAAAGGTCAGTATGGAGGACGGATGAACATGTTAAAATCTACAAATGGCTAATCTTCTATCACGATGTCTTCAAGTTCTGCTAGGTCGGATGTTACTGTATTTGAGTCAATCGAGAGTTCTTCGTTGAAGCGCTCGGCTTCGCGTCTTCTGATCGCAGTTAGGATTTGAAGGTCTCCCTTTTTCGACTCTGCAAAAACATCCCACTGAAAGTTGTTGATAGAAAGCCGTCGGAAAGTGTTTCTATTTACATATTTTTTGTGAATTGTCTCCATCGCAATGATGTTATGAGCAAAGTATTCAGCGTTGGAAGCAGCTACTTCTCTCATTATCTTGGCCTTGACCTTTTTGCTTTTGTCCTCGCTCTTCTCGAGCACTTCTTGCGTTTTCGCTGAAAGAAAAGGGGCATTAGGAGGTGAAGATGAGAGTAGATAAAAAAGATCGGCGTTTCAGTTTTCTACTGATAGAAAATCGAAACTAACGGCCCTGAATTCGCCTAGGGACGTGGGCGCACCCTGTCCAATCAAATCGGCATCGGAGTGAATTCTCCGAGGTTCGATAATGAATTTACTCTTGCCAGAAGACGTTGCATCGAGCATTTCCTTTGATTAACACTTTAGTATTGAGGGGTACTTACAGAAGTTCATCTTCTCTTGTTCAGCGGAAAGTGCTGATTCATTCGTTTTGACGAGCTTACTCAAGCGTTTATGATCTGAATTTATAACCGTTTAAATAGAATCATTAGAATCGCCATTAGAATCGATCATAAAAGAATTCATGATGAATTTAGAAGAGAGCTCACCTTCTAGCCATTTTTTGTTGATCGCTTTTTTGAGAATTTTAACTCGCTCTTGATCCAGCTCTCTCCAGAGCTCCCCCTTCTCCGTGGATTCATTTTTATTGACGATCTTGAAATTCGGATTAATAACGATCCCTCAGTAGCTATCAGCAGACCTGTTTGATTTTGTCTCGGGAGCTCAAGAATTCCTTCATCTCATCAGTTCCGTCCTGAACGCCAGAAGCTCTCATCTTTTGAAGTCTACTTGCTGTTCTTTCGCTTTCTTTCATGAGTTTCTTTTTGTATCGTTGAGAAACCTGGCCGAACTTCTTTTTCTGCTTGTAAATACAGATTTCAAGCTTCACATCGCAGAATTGCATGTCGATTGGTTCGAAGAGGATTGTTTCTTTTGTTACTTTCTCCTTTAGTTTTTCGAGGACAGCTGATTTCATCGCCGGGCCAGAACGGTGCAAACTCTCTGTATGATCATTTGCTAGCCAAGGAGAAGGCTTCTGTCTTTGTTTTGGTTTGGCTAAAGGAGCATCTGGGCACTCATTTTCAACGCCTTCCGTGTCCATCCCGATGTTAGATAGGATGTCCATGCGTTTATCGAAGCGGGAAGCGACAGTTGTCGGATTAGTCAAGCACTCCAGAAATTCTGAGTGTTCACTTTTCGTAAAACACGACGCTTTGACCTGTAAGAAATTCAAATTTGGACAGGATAGAATCGTAACATGCCTTAATAAACAACGCGCTCATCCGGAGAGGAACACAAGATGTTGAAGTCAGCGGAAGATGTCTATATCCACATTGCAAATCCTCAATGGGCAAACATCGCTGCGCCAGCACTAGAAACAAGAATAAACACAGTGGCTACCATGACCGGAAGAGGATTGTTCCAAGGCAAACCTTTGTTAGAAGTTTCATCGTTGACCGCGATTCTGAGTAGCGCTAGATCCGGTGCTATCACTTTTTTCAAAACAAATGTCTGACTGAAGCCCCAATAAGGATTCGGGCCTATTTTAGAGTTCAATTACATTTTTCAATTGCGAAAGTTGACGAAGTGTCGCCGCGTTTATGAACTCGTTCCTTTAGACTTCTTCGTTTTAAACTTTGTAACGCAATCGGCCGGAAGACCGTGTAAATCCATCGAAATGTATACATTATCGGTGGTGCCGAGCCACATTCCCGAGATGACAGTAATCTCGTAACTAGCAGCGAGCACTTGATGAATCAAACGCTCACCAAAGGGGTCGTACTGGTTCTTGAGCGTTTCTACCATGAATTTCGGCTTGAGCACTGGACAAGGGCTCTTATATTAGATAAGCGAAATCATGAGCCAATTTCCTGGCAAAAAGTGCGAGAAGAAAAGATAAAGTCGCGATTAAAAGCCCTTAACATAGCCGCATCTTCCGTTGGACATAAAGCGTCCTTGATTTAGTTGAAAGTGCTCGTCTGGCGTTTGATAATTGAGCGACACCAATTGACAACCGGCTGACCAGAAGACAGTTGGGTTGTAGTTCGATGAATCTATACGTTGACCTTTGGGGTAGATACGCGATAGCTGCCGGGCATTGTATAACACCAACTCCTGCGATCGTGAACCCAGGTGGCTCAGACCCTGCGTTTCGGAAAAACTCGACATTTGGTAGCGCTTGTTGTTATTCCAGGATTCCTCGAAGCCGGGAAAGCGCACGGAGGTGCAGTAATTAATCATTGCTGATAGAACCGGGTGGATTTTGTCGTCGAGGACGTGTGCTTGACTAAAACGGGGATTCCACATCGATCATATTCCGTAATACCTCGTGAAAAAATCGACAAAAGTAAACGAAGCATAGAAATATCCTCTCCACTTTTCTATTCTCAAATTTGATCTTGCTTAGTTTATGTGAAAACCCTCCTTGAAGATCGTAGACGACAGACTTTTCCGTTTCAGACGTGTTATCGGTATTTTCCGAGTTTTGTTCGCCAGAGCCCGTTTCATTCTTTTTCTGATTCTTGTTCATGTTTTTCATTTGATCGTAATCTGCTGTATTTTCTTCGTTATGATCGTCTGCCAGGACGATATCCGTCTGTCCGTCGTAATAAGCGTTCAACATCGTGGTTTCTTCGGCCTGGCTGAGCTTTTTGTTTTTGATGATGATCCGGCCCTGGACGTTGGGTTTACAAAATGACACGCAAGGAGGCTTTTACTGTCCAAATTCAATGAAGAAACATATTTCGTCGCTACTAAAAGACGCGCTAGAATTTAGTAAGATAGACAAACTGTTTCCAATATTAAACCCATTCCTTCAGCATTGCTGGACTAGGAAGGTCTATCCCAGGCTCGAGCTGATGATTTAGCAGGGGCTGCGAAAGCAAAGCATCGCCAAAAATTTCTAAAAATATTTTCAACTTCAAGTGTCATAATTTCATTTCCATTGCAAAAGCATTATTCACCAGCGCAGTAGTTGGCCATTTTAAGTTGATTCGGTTTCGAGCAGTGGTTTTCGAACGATAGGATAACTGGATAATCAGATGCCATAAACGCCGTCTCGTTAATTGCCTAATTACCGATTCGAAATTATTTTTAACTGTTGTTATCCAAGTTGCTTCTAAGTTTCGAAGTCAGTAAAGATTACATCATGGTTTGATTAAGTGCTTTTCTTCTTCGAATTCAAGAGGAAGTTTCTACAAAAAACAGTCTCATCTCTTTTAGAGATACTTCGATCTCCAGTAGCCCGGTTGTTTTATCATTTCTATCGGCTTTCCTTAATTACATCGATGAACATTACTTCTGTGCAAAATGCATTTCCGTGAGTGATAATCGGCTCGCCCTAGAAAGAAAAGTTCAGATTCAGAATGCAACGTTCGAGCAACGCTGGGGTTGAGTTATTCTATCCAATTTTGAATTACCTTGTTCGCATTTTTCCCATCCCAGCAGTCAAGTTCGATGCATCGACATCCTGAAAGCAGCACCTGGCGATATATTTCAACCGTACTTTCTCCACCTAGCTGCCTTCCCGTTAAGTACGTATTGTGGGATGAGGCGATCCAGTAGTGAGAAAGAGGAAAGTCCATCGTTTCGATTTTAACTTTGAGCCATGTATCTGATTTTACAGCAGTTTCCCATTCGATAAACGCCTTGAAGGTTCGGTAGTCGACTCTGCTCAAGTCCTCGATTTTGAACCCGTGAATGTCTGCTATGTTCTGAAGGATCTGTGGAACGCCGTTCTTTTCCGGATTCACATCAGCGTCAATCGTAAATGGTGGCGAAAGAATTTCGTTGAGCCTTTCGTCCCGCATCGTTTCGTTGAGCCAGTTTACGAAGCTCACGAGAGGAAGATCTTTTCCCTGCTCGACCTTGTATTCGTCAAGGACCTCTTGCCAGACTTTCTTAATATCTTCTCGGGGACAAAGAGTTTCTGCAAGTTGCCGCCACGATTCCCACGTTTTTGAATGGAGATATTGCTCGACGTTAGGCGTACATGCTCTGAAAGCAGTTTGATATTTGCGACGCGAGTTGAGACGGAAGGACTTGCCAACTTCTTCCACATTGATATCTTCAGCGTATTCATTCAGTTGATCATAGGAAACGCGCATCATGTCATAGTAACTAAGACAAATATCCTTGTCGCGTCGGAAATTTATGCTATCTAACAGGCGCTTCTTTTCTTCGATCGTTTCACAAACAGCGTTGATCTTCGTCGGATGAGCAAGCTCATTGCCGAATCGAACAAATACAGTAAGTCCATCATCTATCGCTTGGATCTCCCAGATGTTTGAGTAATCTAATAACAGATCAATCGAGTTCCGCTTGTCAAACTTACGAATAACATCGCGGAGTCGTTTTTCTCCCTCTCCTTTCTTTGCTGGCCACAGTAAAACAATAAAATCTTCATTCGTTTTACTCAAAAAGACTAAAAGGTGTCAAGTTTTCTCTACTTAGGTGGAAAGTTACCTGTTGGGAGATTTTTAACTCGTTCGATTTCAATGCGCTCACGCTTAGCGGCTTTCTTTTCCTCCTTATTAGGAGCCATGTTCACCGAAAACTACCTCATTCTTAATACTTTCGGTAAGAACTAAGTGCTTGCATTGGAATAACACAAGTTATGAGAGATAATACTTCTCCATTTGAAAGACAACAATTGTGAATAAGAATGCGTTGAAAGGCTGAAAACAGTGCTGCCAAAAATGCAAAGAAAGACAAGAAGATGTTTAATTTTTTTGTTTTATTTGAATTTTTAGTTGACGTCACACCCAGGGAAGATTGATAATTACAGTATTGACAAGAGGTTATTGGCGGCTTCGTTCCATGTTTCGTTGGAGCAAAGCGACAAGCTTAGAATACCAGAGCTTGTTTCTGCCGACCTGTGTCGCTGGCTGCTTTTTGCAGTCGGCGATGTATCGCTTGGACCACTTTTCGAAGGCCTTGGTGATTTGTTTGATGCCTCGGATTGGGTTGTTCTTGTCGTATCGGGTGTCAATAACTTCATCGTCACCATCGAGGAGCTCATCAAAGCCGAGATCATCGTCTTCAGCGTTTCGTCGTCGACGGGCTGATTCGACTGGTCGTGGGCCGCCGTTGGGAACATTGGGGTCGAAGAATCCGCAGTGCTTGAATCGCTTTTGGATCTTAGCGATGTTGTTCTCGAATTTACCGGCCCAGTGTTTGGCCTGATGCTCTTTCAAGTTGGTGCTAGTCCACTCGGCGGTGAATTTCTTCAGTTTGTTCAATCGCTGTTCCGGTGTTCGTGGGGGAACTTTTCGTCCCTCTTCAGCGGTGGCAACGGCGGCAACAGTGGCAAAAATACTCAACTTCATCGTCGGGTTATTTTTTCTAATTTGTTGTTTTCTGTTGTTTGTACCTTATCGGTATTCTCAAAATTTGATGTCGAAATGCTCAAATCGTCCGCAATAAATAGCGCAAAGAAACGGCGCTAGAGCGGGCAGGTGGCGCTCTCAGCGTAATCATGAGCGACCATAACCAAGTGGTTAGCGCATGCGTTGCGCGAGCAACGCGCGCTCTATGACTGTCCGGCATGATTGAGATTCGCTGAATCATGTAGTTATGAAGGAAAAAACTGGATGGCAACTTATTGTGGAACGAATTGCTTGGTGAATGTGGTCTAAATGGTTTGTGAAACGAGCAAGTGATTGTATGGTGAATAAGGGGCTCAATGGTTAGTGCGAAGGGATAAATTTGGATTGATTTTTACTAGGGGTAGTGTTTTATGGACAACTATCAAATATTCAAATGGCTTCCTTCAAAATGTGGTAAAATGATGTGGAACCTAAAACGGATAGAAAAGAATAAATTCAGTCTCGAAGACGCTTTAAACGCTTCATAATATTTTCGTCAAATCTTATCTAACAAGTCACCAATCCCTTTTACCAGAAGAGCAGGTTATAACTCTTTTTGCTTCCCTGAAAAGAAATCTGCATAAAAACAGCAGTTTCTTCAGCAACTTGACGAGATAAACATTTTTCGATTTACGCAACTTGTCAAGAATCAAAGAGAGCTTGACACTTGATGTCAATTAACGAGCATTCGGAGGGTAAATAAACCTTTTTGCTGGACATCTAAATAAATTGCAGGTGGCGAAAGTGCATTGCTCCGCAATTTTCGCTGCTCCTGTGCGGGTTATATCCGTGAACCTGGGAACCTCTTTGATGATGGTTACGATCAGCAAGAATTATTCTCCAGTTCACTATTCCCGAAGGATTCCTCACTAATGAAGAATTTCGCTAATCAGGGCCGTTATCCAGCGCCTGTGGCTCGATTATTACGAAAAACGGCTACATTCGCGGCGGAAAAATGATAACGCATTCGATTAATTGGACTGGAGCAGAGTTCCCGGGCAAGGCTAGCGGATGTGGTTTGTTCAAATACCCATTTTTAACAAGTGAATTATTGAGAAAATGATGATTTTTCGTGCTTTTCTCCGACTTGAGTAGCTAATTGATAAAATCCTATTGTTAGGTTTTTCAAGGAAAATGACTGCGAAAGATACATCAAGGGGATCAACCAATTGATGTTGAATGGATGCGCCTAACACTGAAAGAGGATTTCTCTTCGAATAATATAAGATAAGGTAGCATCTGTCAGGTTAATTTCATGTAAAATAAAGCGTAATACTTGCAAAATGGTATTCGGCGAAAATCTGGAACGAAGCTCTTGGAGCACTCTCAAGTTGTATCTTATCATTTTGGCACCGGTTGGAGCTCGAAGAGAGCCGATTAGCCGTCTCTTTCGTTTTCGTTGCTCTTTTTGACAAAAGTCTGGGCGCGCGATATGCAAAAGATGTTTCGTCACGTTACCACTCTCCGGCGTGTGCATTAATCAACTCGTAATTGAAATGAGAATTCAAGTCCTTCAATCTGAAAGCAAAGGATTCTGAGGCTGACTCGAGAATTTTTTATGAAGCAGGGATTTTCTGTAGAACAAAGGATTTGCATACGAGGAATGTGATCGCTAAAGAAGGACTTGGGAAGGAATGGGGCGCTTGAAGGAGAATGAAGTAAAAGATGGAGTTTGAAGTCTTGAGGCAACGGGACTCAGAATAAAGGATAAGTAACAATGGTCGAATATACAATAATTAAATGATAGATAAACACGTAACAGAAAGTGATCATTTCTATGGAAGGACATAGAAGTTGTTCTCTTGCTTCTTCTTCTCTTTTCTTCGCACTACTTTTATATCTGCTGCTGGTTAACGAAATCCCACGCCCGTTGGGAAATCTCCGAGTTCGCCGTCAGATCTCTTTTAATCGGCAGTCCGGTAAGTGGCGAAGTTTGGGAGCCTAAGAATAATAAATCTAATTACTCCAATTAAATGCCTTTTCACTGAACAAAGGCAGTGGCCTCATGAGGGGCTGCGTTTGTTCAATGGAACGCAAGGAGCTTAAAAAGCCACAGAAATAGGTATATCTGGGCACGTAGTTGAAAGACACACTGGCTTAGCACAGATAAGAGTTTCGTATCTGACCGAAACCTGGGCTAAATAATCAGTGAGAATCAGTGGGCTACGTAGCTAAGTCCCGGCTTTCCGCTCTAATGAATCTATTCCACTCTTTCTTTACCTTTTGAAAACCACTCTTCGATGCCGGCTCTGGAGTAGTTGTTCCCGTCATCAGCAGTGACACAGTCTAGCATGAGCGAATGTGTGATCGGGCAGCATAATTCCGGCGGCTCGGCCACGTTTTCACTCTGGATGTACAGCCGCCGCACCGTCTTGTCAGCACCACCTGAGAAATTGATGAGCTAATTCAAGAGTTTGTAAATTTCTATATTAGGCGCAACTCTCAAATGCCGAAGAGCTCTAAGCAAAGGTGGCTCAACAAGGTGCCGGGTAGCATGTTATCAAATAATTTTGACAGGCCGTAGTGACTCTAGGTTCCAAAATGAAACCGCGTCTGGTTTGCTGATATCGAGAAAAATGGATTTGTATTTCTGAAGAAATCCTAAGATAAGCCCAGGAATAATAATTTCATTCAACATGTGAATTTTATAAAAATCCACGAGAATCGACAGAGGTATTCCCGAGCTGATTTCAAGATATACATAACTCCAGGTAACGCGTTTTCAAGTTATGCAAGAAAAACGTGAACTTGGTATGAAACAGCTTGACCCGTTATTTCACCTATTCAAATTGTACCTGAAATGACCGATGTCGACTCTCTATTCCAGCAAAGTGACAAAACGGAGCCTGTGTGCTGCTCAATCTGTCGGATAAGGGCTCCATCTGCTGCTGTCCAAATGCAAATATTCTAGGAGCGATGTTACTTTTGTTTATCATTTCATATTCTCTTCATAATATATATTATGTATTGTGTAATAAGGCACCTTGTCGATTGAGCCGGTAGCAATAAGACAGTGATCATGTGAATATTTCACGCAATTCACGGGCGCAGTGTGGCTTCGCAGGTTTAGCACCAGATCGATACATGGCCGACGTCCTACATCAATCGTTATTTTGGAAATGGATAATCATATCTACAGTTAATCTTAGATGGACTCAGCTAACAAAGGAGAGCAGGATTACGCCTATTTCATATTTATTGCGTATTTCGGCACGGAGCTTTAGAACGCTCTTTAATAACTCATTGGCTCAAAAAAGACATTAATAAAATAACTTTTTGCAAACACTTTGCAAACGAATGATCTCATAGTTTTCTAAAAGCACTTGACAAAAGTCACGCTTACGCATGATAGTTAAGAGCCGTATTTAGTTATTTAGCTTTGTAACACTCGAAAATATCATTCCATTTGCCGAAAGCATGCGATTCTAATCCTCCCTAAGAAAGAGGCAAAACTCACCTGACTCATTGAGCCACCAAATGTGGCCAAGATTGTCTGCTCCGACTGTAACGATGTGACTTTTATTTGGATTTGTGTCAAGCGCCAATGTCCCGCATCCGGAAAAGGACTTGTCATGTATACTCGTTTTGCTGGCAAGAAGACGCCGTTTCTTTTCCGTTTCCCAGATTCGTAAATCTCCTGAACAGTCATGTTTCGTAAAAAGAGAGTGCTGACTAAGTAATAATATTTGATGCTTAGAAGACAGGAAGCATCGTGCTGTTAATAGCGGCCCGTCACGAAAACTTTTTTCATGTTAAAATTAATTGAAACGATTGTTGCTTCTATTGAAAATTAATACAAAACTTTCGAGCGGCGGAAGATTCATCGGACTTTTCACTGTTGTCCAGGCAGTGTCAAGATCCTTCATCCTCCTTCTTGGGGACCCGAAAGAACCTCCCGAGCTGGTGAGACTCATCGTCATTTGCGGTTTTTTTATATCGAGGAGATTTCCCATTTTCCCTCGACATTCCATCTTAGCCAGAAGTCCCAGTGAGTCTAGGCCTACGACATCACTGGGCACTTTGCTGGGTATCCCAGGTACCCAGCTGTGGAGGAGGATTTCTCAAGAGAGAAGGGTATACTAAGTCTATTATTATGTCTCCACATAGATAGAAGGAACCACTAGTCAGTACTGAGTACTGGTTCCAACATCAATGCTTCACAGACTCGGACTATGTGGGTTAGAACGTCTACCACACATATGCTTGGTTGGGAATTGAACACAGCCTGACGATTTATCAAGACCTATCGTGTCCCTGCCACGTCCTGGCCCACCAAACCAGACGCCCCCGAAAGAGTTCGTGAAGAATCTACATTTTAAATGCAATTTCAGAAAGCAAAAGCGTTGAAATTGAACTTATGCAAGATGGTGCTATTAAAAGTCTTACCGAGAGCGGAACCGGTAACGAGGTAGTTTCCCAACCATCCCAACGCGTGGACGGTACCATCACAATGGCCCTCCCACGACTCAAGACAGCGACCGGAGGTATCCAAAATCTGAAGAAAAATATCACCAAAGTCGGCAAAAATTTCTAAAACTAAACAAAGGAAATAACGAAACGCAACCGTTCTCATCGGGGGATGCGCGGAAATAAGGCAAATCTAATGAGTGTTAAACAAAACTCTGAATTTTTCAAGCCATACGGAAGGACGCATATTTAGGTGAACTAAGTGGTTAAAAGGAAATTGGGCTTATCTTTTTAATTGTTTTCGGAACGCATTCGCTTTTAAACAGAAACTTATTCAAACGCGTAAATATTGTTGTGTGAATGAAAACGGAAGAGCTTAAACGTGTTTTAATTCATTGAACGGTTCAATTCGAAAAAATCAAAACCGATTTTTTCCTGCTGAATCTATCACCGCACCGGAAATTCCGGCGGTCCAACTGTTCTTCTAAAATATTTCCAAATATATTTTGCTTTTTACCGTCGCTGGATGTATAACTTATATAATATAAGATTGGACGAATATTAAATATTTGCATCATTCACGGTGCCCTGAATTGGTGGCATGATTAGGAAATGAGATCTGTTTATAAAATAGACGAGACATTGGTTTGGTTGATTTCATAACTTACCGATACCTGCCCATCAGGGCCTCCGACGGCGATCTTTTTCCCGCTCCGATGGAGTGCAATAGATCTCACTACAATCAACTTCGAGGCGAATTCGATGCCATCTGTGGTCTTCACATTTCCATCTAGTCCGCCGGAAACCACGAGTCCGTCAGCGTGATCTGTAAACAAGGTTCGCCGTGCATTCCATACGTAAGTTAATCATAATTTACATCGAAAAAGTTTCTTTCGATGAAAAAACTACTGTTAGGAAAATAACGATATTGAAAAATTATGGCTATTGAAAAAAAACGGACCATCTCTTTTTAATTAAATCAAGAGTCACTTTGTTGGAAGATTATAAAAAGCAGCTGAAGTAACCTAAATTTACGCTAATGCATAAATTACTTCCCGGAAAGGACCTTCCGGATTAGTGTCCGTTATCGTCTACCTGACAGTAGTACAGTTACTTTTGCAAACTTATGAGTTACAGTAGCTTAAATGAACCAAAGCCTAAGCATGTCACAATCTGACTGTGTTTATGAACTTCTTGGCAACTTCCCTTATCATCTCTTTTGTAGAGCGTTTTGTCGGAGCAGCCATAAAAGATATTTCCCTTTCAATCGATTTTCAAAACTTAAATTGAATCGAAGAAATAGTGACGAGTTATTTATTCAATTGCTACGTGGCCCAGCCTGGAGAATACGCACTTTAATTTCTTCTGTCATTAAATGGCCTGGTCTAGCGTAGCGAATGTTCCATTTTGAATCTACTGAAAGTATACGTATTTGCACGGGGCTCACGTTTGGGGTGGATTAACAAGAGCACGGAAAAATTAAGCCCGACAACCGCAAAATACTACACGTGTATGCAGTCCAGTGTTGATTCAAAGGGATTATTATTCACCTAAAAACTAGGGTTTTAAAAAAAAATCTTGCCTTCGAAACAGCAACGCAGTTCACGTCATGACTGTGCTGGACGAGCACGTTGCTCATTCTAAAAGTGTAGAATTACAAGAGCTAGCTGAATTTAAAATGTTTAAACTACTTTTCTTTTCTCGCAATTCTTCAGTGCTCAGATTTTCTAATGGAATGGGAAAAGCAAAACAAGTGTTAAAGAGCGTTGTCAGTGAATTTTCGTCGTGCCAAGAAAACGGTAGCTGTTGGTTTTAATTTTTTGGGCATGAGGAATTCCATCAACGAATGATGATGAAAAAATAGTGTAAAATCATCCAAAAGATATTCTTTTGGAATCGCTAGTTTAAATTGACAGGTGAGGGTATTTCAAATCAATGGGTTGAAATTCAATTCGTCAAAATCACCGAATTTTCCGATCAAACATCGTTCAGAAAATAATTACAGGTTATCAGAGAAGACTCTATCAGTCCATGTTTCCTTTGGCCTCATATGGCCTGCTATTTTTATGTCAGAACGATGCTCGATAGTTTCATCGCCCCACGTTTATCAACAGAGATACTTCAAGGAGCGTTTGGCTAATGCGGTAAATATTTTATTAAGAATTTCAACCCTCGTTCCCGATCATGTTCATGGCCATCGTTTTACTGGCTAAGAAATGAGTTCATGATTGAGTTTTAAGATTTGGTTATTCGGGGTTCACGCGGTTCGCCGAAACCGCACCTGTTGAGCATTTCCTATGTAAAGCCGACTTTTGAAATTCTAACTAAAGAAGATACAAACATGCAACTTCAACAGGGCAGTTTCCAGCGAACAAGGTAACTCTTTTGCTTCTTCGTTATTGAACTATTCCTGTAATTTGGGGTTAGATAACACGCGCGACCCTGAGCGGGTTAGATGCCGACCCCGATCCCTAGAATGGCGCAGCAAGAATATTCCACCGGAAAAGTGGGTCCAGTAATTCCTTCTTTGAACAACAAATTAATCCTAACAGGAGCTCTCGGAAGCTGCTCAGATCTTGCCCAAACCCATTTGCTGTCGCCTGTCTTCTTCAAATCCTCCTCGTAGAACTTCAACTAAGAAAAAATGTCGATTTTAGTAGTACATAGAACGTAACGTTCTAATTCTACGAAAGTTACGCAGCAAGGGGACGTATGAAATGAGCACAAATTATAAACAGAATATATGATTTAATCAGTGGCGAGGAAACTCACCTTGACGGTGCAAACGTCGTATACTTTTGAAGTGGCGCTCAGCTCGGGGACTTCAACTGCAGGGTTTCCCTTGAAGAACTTTGTTATGCTTGAGCTGTATTTTTCACGATTCTTTCAAAGCTAAGACGGTACAGTACAAACAATCATACCCTGTTAAGCAGCGGGAAGGCTTTGCCACGGCAAATCACCACGTTTTTCTTCGCTACTTTCACACAAGTTCATCAGAATATTCCAAAAAAGTAAACAATAATTATGCCGCCCGTTTTTCACACGTTCCGCTCGCATTACGTTTGAATAGAACTTGCTCCCACGCTCCTATACAATCAGTGAATTGGTGCCACTGTAGAAGTTTCAACGGTTCACCTTGACCATGTAGCTTTTTAGGGATAATTTTGAATTACTTGTGTTTGAGGTTAACTGAACAAATTTTAATGATCCCTACTCAATACTCGAGTAATTTTGGGATTATCTCCCTTGCTCAGCGCATAATATTCCAACCTGTCCGGCACTTAAACACAATTTAAATAGGCTATTTAAAATAGCTATTTAAATTGAAGGAACGCACCTGACAAATGAGGAAGTTGTCGCATAAACACATAATATTCACGGGGCTTATCTGAACTTTTATTTCAAATACAAGATGATTAATCGCCATCTACTCCACTTGCCTCTAATATCGACCTCTGTAATTTCATTGAGGAATGACTCGGTAACAGTCGCTTCTTGAGAAAGACCTTTGACCGAGCTAATCGACTGCTGCGAGTCTTTAGATTCTTCATCACTCGAGTGACTTGTGATGCTCACTTCAGTCGGATTCAAAAATTCAGAGCTTCGTAATTTTCCGTGAAAAAGTTAATGAATCCAGAGCTTGGGAATAGGTGGATTCGGCGATGACTTGTTGTGGAAGAACAATTTCTCTTTGAGGGTTTGCAGCTGCTGCATTTTGGGGACGAGTTGGGTTCAGATTCTGTTCTGCTTTGATCTTGGGATTTCGGACTTCCTTATTTACTTGCAAAAGAAAATTTTTATAAAAAGAAAGTTCGAAGAATGTACCTTCTGGGGAACTGCTGTGTAAATCTGCACGTAAAACTGTCTGCACTTGTGCTAGATTCCTATCGAAGGATATATTTGGGTCTTGTTTACTTAAAAATCCTCATCATATCAGTAAAAGCTGTCTTACAATTTCCGATAAAAAGAGAGAATCACCCTATTGCAGCCGCGTTATCTGACAAGTGCCCCATAAACTACCCTTTTCTTATCATGCGAAAACTGTTTCTCGGCATCTTCGACTGATTTGAAAGTGTGCTCTTTCGCTTTGACATACTGTTAGTTCGCTCTACTGTAAGTGAAAAGTAAAAATGCAGAAAGAATTGTCTTTTTCTTGCCCGGTAACTTGCGATTAAAAGCTCAAGTGAACGGTCTGAAAAAACTTGCATGTACTTTACTGTTTGTAAAAAATTTATTCATCGGAAATAAATTAGTCAGAGAAATTATTTTCGTTTTGCTTTAGAAAATTCATGGTGTTTGTTCTTGATTTAGCTTGAAATGAATCTATATGAGCAAGAAGGAATAAGTACAAAAATGGAGACTAGTGGGCAGTTAAAAATTTAACCTGTTCGTGTAAGTTGGTTTTATTTTTGGCTGCGCCAATAGATAAGTGTTAGAAGAAAGGATATGCTGTTATCGGGGAATATTGACTGGAAAAGGGGTGCTCGTAAGGCACAGAGGGAGCAGCCAATTCATGAATTTGGCGACTTGTTATTTAACTGAGAAGATAAAGGATACAAGCAAGTAGGCTGGAGTAACTTAAAGATCAATGGAAACTTAAAATAACTTAAAATAGTCTTGAATAGGAGAGAAAAAGCTGATATGAGAATAAGCTTTGAATGCTTGAAAATGAGTTTGAATGATGAAGGAAGCTGAAATATATGAAGAAAACGTATTGAATAGAAAACACAGTACTTGATAGTAGTGGATAATTATGGACAAAAAAGGAGATTGGTCTAATTTTAAATTTTAATCAATTCGTACTGCAAAGAGGTCGTGAATGCAAAATGATGCTGAGTCCGGAAACAAAATAATTTTTACTAGATGAACAATATCCTGCTTGGAGAAAATGAGTCGAGAGAAATTATTTGAATTCATTGTTGTATAATTCATATCAGTAATAACAAAAGAAGGGGTGATTAGAAGCGTTTTTTGAACCATGTAGGAAAGTCGAGCAAATTGCGACATCATGAGGAATGATTTTGAGTGCGAGAAAAAATAAGAATATAAAGCTGCTTTATAATATTCTAGGGAACAAAGTAGAGTAACGTACAAAGGGAAATATAGGGAAATAGCACAATGATAATATCTAACAAGGGTTATTGTTGGTTTTGGGGTTCGGCGTTTCAAAAAATATGATTCGTGTTAAAAGCAGTTTCGTTTTTTTTTTTTGTTGCAAGCGTAAACAGTGTGTCATTATTTTTCATACATATGTCGTTTGTTTCGTATTTTGTTGAAATTGGATCGCGATATTATTAATTGTTGATGGGAGACGAGCTCGTTAATCGTACTTTTGGCGCTTTGGCGAATGGAAATTCTAGTAGCGGTGGTTGGCATCCTGGCTGGTATTGTTAACCACGGCGCGTTGTGAGGTTAGAAATGGTCAATTAACACGGACACGGAGTTCTGCCCGACTTGGTCGCCCAGTTGCATATTCTGCCACTACAAGCACAAGGTTAATCAAAAGGTCGATATCCCCAAAAAGATAGAGATCCAATTAAAAGTTCAGTGTAGTCATAATTAGAATACCTGATTAGCAGCGTTGTCATTGTCGCTCGATTTCAAGGCAAAGCTCCAGCCATCCGGAGTCATGGAGGCGCAATGTGGAAGACGTAGCTCGACGGGATGGTTGAAGCGCAATCCATGGGGGCCACACATCACCATCGGTGATAGCAATCGCTCCCCTCGCTCTTCATCAAGCGGCGGAACGCCTTCGTGGAGCTCTCGACAGACCTGAAATTGTACTGACAAAGATGCTTTAGTGAGTTGACTATACCTTGAAGTAAATTTCTTGTTGAATCCCTGGTGGAATTGCTCCTCGTGGAATGACGATTGAGACACCAGTTTCAACTGACGATAGAACACCACCAGAAACGTCAAAAGTTCCTCTTGCAGTCGCAACAACCTACACACAACATCGTTTATCGCTGAATTCATTGAACATAAAAGTACCTCTGGATCGTTATCATCATCCTCCACAACTGGAATAGAAGACTGCGACTGTGGATTTCTCGGATCATCTCGTTCAACCCCCGAGTCATAAGTCTGCTGCTCTGGCCTCGTTTTGAAAGGTCGAGGGCCGAGCCGTTGCTGGAAAGCTGGCTGCGGGTCGCGAATAGATCTACGAATATCCCGTTACTCACTAGAAGGATTTAAAACGTGGCTTACTTGACGTAATTATTGTATTCTTTTTTATCCTGCTGCTTGAACATGTCGAGCCTCTGGTGGAAGGGGATTTTCGCTGGATCGGACAAGCGGTTAGGGTCGTTTCTACTGGACACTGGAGCTGGATCCGCTGGGCGACTGTATTCTCGCTCTTGAGAAGGAGGGAAGGAGCTTTTCGTCATTGCGGGTGATGCGTAGGCAAGCTTTGGAACATCTTCATCGGAAGAATCGGGAAGAGGAGGCTTTGAGACTGGAGGAGGAGGAAGTTCTGGAGATGGATCGCGAGGAACTCGTCTCATATTACTAAAGAGATTTGTAAATAGGAAGGTAATGAGTTAAACTGACTTCTTCGCTTTTGACAGATAATCATTCGGCGCGAGTTCCGAGTTAGATCGCTCGTCTCTGCCGTATCTGCTGTCGCTACGATAGCTTTGTTGATCATCATCAAACTGGAATGGTTCTGCATTTTCATCCTCTTCTTCCGACTCGTAGTCGTCGGCTCTTCTCGATCTGTTCATTTCAGAGCCGATGGTGGTGACGGAGTATTCTGAGTTGGGTGCAGAAACATAGCTCAGACGATCGTCTTGATCTAATAAATGAATAAAAGCTTGAAGAAAGAAAATTAATTTCACCTTGATCGAGATTTTCGTCGTCTTCTTCAGGAGCCGCGACCTTTTCTGATACCCAAACAAGTCCATTTTGCTGATCAGCAATAGATTGGTGCACCCTTGTAAACCAGTCGGGTGCGGCTAGATCAATAACGTCAGTGAACAAGTAGTTGTAACCGCGTTCCAGCTTTTGCGCTCTCTCATGCATTTTCTTCGAGCTGGTGGATTTCTCCTTGGTAGAGACGGAGTATTTCTGTCGCAGGTCCTTGACGACCTAAGAATTTTGGTGAGCACGCGGCAAAGAAGTTTAAGTTATTTGTGTTGGACATGATTTAGACGATCATGAATTTCGCCTCGAAATAGTGGCATAATATTTTCTAAAACAAGCCAGATGCCTAAGATTTAATATAAGAAGCTCCATTTTGTTTTGAATTTGGATTATGAAATAATGATAAGTGCTGATTATAACACACCTGTATGGGAGACAGTATGTTTAATCGTAATCCTTATGTTAGGATTTGTAAGGCTTACTTTTGCGGATGGGGCCTTGAGGAAGATAACGATTGGGTAGAGTTGAGAATAGTTGAGCTTATCAACAGCTGTCGGCGTGATATCGAGGACTGCGTGCTTATTCCGCTCGATGATTTCGTTGATAACGGCGAGCTTAATGATTCCCTTTCTGCGACTTTTCTGTTGGAGATCTGGGTGGGCCAAGTCGTTGCGGGCAACTAAATCACAGTAATTTATGAAATTAGCTGAACCCGAAATTTGGAGCGATATGACGCGGACGATGTCTTTGAAGTTTACCTTCGTATCTATCTTGATAGTCGCCGACCAACAATTCCCTCGTTATATCCGCCAAAGCTCCAAGAATAACAACGGGCCGTTTGAAGCCAGCCTCTCGGAGCACCACGCGTTCATACGAGTCAAACTTGGCTCCAGAAATCGGCGCTGGTGGCGCATCATTTCCTTTATTCTTCCCTTTGAAGAGTTTCGCCTGGATACCACGACCGGTTTTGGCGGCGCGCATTTGCGCTGCTTTTGTCTTCGACTTGTTTGAGCTGATCGGCGCGGACTTGATTCGGGATCACGCCCTTTTCCACTTGGATCGAGTTCGTCCCGATGCGGGAAGCAAGCCAATGACCAACAATGCCTTGGTATAGTGTGTCTGTGATCAGGAACACTAAAGAAAGGGAGTCATGTTTTGTTTTGGAATAAATAGTCAAGAGCCCTGGAATTTTAATACTGCGATGACTAGATCTCGCGTCATCGCACGAAACCCCTCGTTCTTCGGTTCTTACCTTGACCCTTTTTGAAACCAAGCTCATGGCTCTGCGCAGCATCTCGTTTGAAGTGGGTTCGGATATAAAAACTATCTCCAGTTCCTCGCTCCAGAATCGACTCATAGTGTCGCGGTTTCGACTGAGCCACGATGCAAACCTCGCCACCAACAGGGAGAGACATCAAATTTAATACAGCATGCTCGCGTGTCAGTTGTCTGAAGCTTATTCCGTTGACTTCGAGAAGTTGATCTCCCATTTTAAGACCCTTCAAGGCGTTGATAAAATATGTTCGATTTTAAACAAGCAGAAATTTTCTAAAAGAAAATTGTTCAATGCCATTCCTGTTGGGCGGCTGGGGAGCCCTCCTGAACCGATGCGACAAAAATACCAACGTCATTTCCACCAGCAAGGCGGATTCCAACATTTTTGGCTTTTATGAAAATAATTTGGCGGGGTTTCTCATCAGCTTGTGCTCTTGGAGCGGTTCTATTCACGAGTGCAGAGTCTTGATATTCGCCGTAGTCAGGCGTCCCGTAGTCCGATTTTACAGGCGGCACGGCGCTGGCCATCGCGGGAAGGGCCACGGCCGATTGAGGCAAGCCGCTGGGCTTAGATGAGTTTTACAAATTGATCAATTAGGATTATCTCGACCACGTGGACGAGTAAATATGACAAATGAGATCGACTGAAAATAAAAACTCTCCTTGTTAGTTCGAATTGGTGGATCTGGCGAGGCTTCTTTCGGCGGCAGAGAGGGAGATCGCGATCTGGAAGGAGTTCTTGATCGAGAGGGTGATCTTGATGGCCTCCTCGAGCTCGGGCGCGATGCTGGCCTTGACGTTGAGTTTGGAATGGTTACAGTGCCGCCGTCTTGTTTTTGAACGACCAGAGCAAGCTGATTTTGTTTGCCAGAAATTAACTTTTCTCGACTAAAGAAAGGATGACTCGCCAAAGAGCCTAATTAGATAACGAAAAGAAGGTCACTCAACAAAAACGAGCATGATGATACCCTATTTATTCAATTAAGTTTCAGTTAGCCGCGTTCCTGAATAGCTTCGTTGACAGATTTATTATCAACGCCGTTGCTATTGATTGCTAGAACAATATCTCCGCTTTTGAGTCCCTTTTGGTCCGCAAGAGAGCCGGGTTGAACGTCTTGGATGTAGATACGCGTGCCAAGTCTGATGCCATACGATGCCTTTGCCATTTTGCCCTTGCTCAAAATCACCGTTTCTGGAGGAGCAGCTTTCACGGGGAGTTGCGTCGTATTGTAATCAGTGGGCGCGTCTGGCCGATCGGGAGAGAGTGGGGAAATGTCGGTCAAGTCCTGTCGCGATCGATGGCTCTTTCTACTTTGGCCGGAGTAACGACGACTTCTTTCGCTTCGTTTTGATCGTCTTGAGTGGTATGATCGTCTGTCATCGTCGCTATAGTCATCACTGTAGCTGTACGACCTGGAGCCTGATCTTGAGTGACTGTAGCTCCTTCCTCTCGATCTGCTCCGTCTTCTGTCTGATGAATAGCTTCTGTCGCGCGAATCTCTCGATTCTGAATGATGTCGGCTTCTTCCCAAGGTCGACCGCCCTCCAAGACGCGCCGGCACCTTGACGATCGCTTTTCTTTTCACAGTAAGTTCAACGCGTCTACCAGCCTTCTTCAGAAAGCCTATCGCTTGGTTGTGCGTCACGTTCTCCATTGACATCGAATTAACTTGGAGGAGTTGATCGTTAACTTGAAGTTTGTCCCAGGCCGGGCCGTTCTTGACAACATCGGATATCATTACGGAAGTGTCCCCTGTGCGGGCGGTTGGATTGTCGATTCCACCGGAAACGGCGATGCCGAAGCCGAATGCTGGCATTTTTTCGAGAACATATGTGTGTTGCTGCCAGATTACCTAGACAGAAAACATGAAAATGATGTAAAGATCGCTGGAAACGTACCTCATCGACCATCTCCATCTGACCACTCTCGTAGAGCCGCTCTCGAGAATACGAGGCGCTCATCCGAACTGATCTGAAATAAACCTTGTTATCTTCCCGTTGTTCCTCGAGCCTCTATTGTTGTCAAAACGGATAAAGAAAAAGCTGATTCAAATTTTTTAAAAGGAAGCAAAAAAACGCTCGAGTTCACACCGAGCGGGGCGATTTCGCTGAAGGCAATAAATCAAAAACGATTTTGGCGAGTCATTACTGTTCACGGCGGGGCGCATTTGTGAAAATTATATCACTCCGATTTCGAGGGTGCGTTTTCCGGTGCCACTTTCTCTCGATTCAAAAAAGCGGAGGGCAAAATTATCCGCCGCCAAGCCCGATGCAGCCCTGCATGGCTAAGAACCTCGGCGTTGGTGGGAAAATATAAGGGAGTAAAATAAAAAGCTAAAGACGCGAAAAAGAAAAGCTGCAGAAAACACGACACGCACGAGACGCGTTTACCCTTGGCGCGCGCGTTTGAGGAGCGCACACATCTTCTCCCCCAAAAATTGATTGATCTACACTGGACCTGAGGGGGATTAGCCACTTTGCCGCTCAGAATGGTAGAACGTTGACCGTGACATTTAGGGCGACCCGGGTCATTAAAAGAGCGGAAAATCATGGAGGACCACAAATAACATGAATTTTAAATCAATCTCTAAAAAAAGAGAAGAAAACCGTCAAACTTCAGCGGATAAAAATGATTCATACGTATTTACTTTTCGGCACTGAATAGTTAATACAGTAGTAGGCAAATATTTGTCGTCTTTTTCAATGAAAATCTCTCTTTTCCTCTATCTAATCTTTACTCTTTTGGAATCAACTCCAGATCAACTCGTTCAGAACGCGACTTCACTCTTTAACAACGAAAAACCACTCTTGGCATTTGTCAGGCCGGTCTTGTAAATCTTAAAAATTTCAAAAAGTTCAAGGGAATCTCGCTCGCGCAGTCGCACAGTCCCTTATTCCAAGATTAAACAAACATCTCTTCCTTTTGTTTCTTTTTCCACATGGAAAGAAATTTCTGATCAGGAAATTCCTTGCAGGTTGATTATGAAAGAATCGAAAAATGTGATTGATAGAATTTTGAAGCGTGTGCGATATTGGTATAAAAATTTAATAGAGCCAAAATGCAAATTTGCACCGCGGAGGCTCTCTTCTGATCTGGAAATCAAAATCTCTAAATAAAGAAATCTCTCATTATTCCCGCCTGGGCGATGGATTCAAATGGCCCGCGCGCATCTTTGATTGGCGCTTCCCACTTTCTATCGTCTCCTGCCATTATATTTGAATAAAGCAACAAATAGATCAACAGCGTTATCAATGGGAAACTCTCTCAGTGTTATTTAGTTTCGAAAACAATCGAATTCGAAAAAAGGGTTCAAAGAAAAAGCATAAAAAAAGTTGCGAGGTCACAAACAACAGTAAAGTGAGGTAGGCGGACTACCCGCAGGACAGCCCAGTGAGATAACATCACATTCCTCAGCAGGACATGTTTCCTTTATTTTGATTTTTCTTATGAGACAGATGATCATCAATCAATTTTGAACTTTTGATTTATTGCTTTCTGAAAAAGAAATAGGTAAAAGAAATACGATACGAACGTACCGGTCGTAGTTCTATCTCTTCAAATCAGTGATCAATCATCAATTTTCAAAAAGATCATCTTGATCTCGTTTTGATAATTGCTTTCAATGAAAATCCACATTGTTTTATTTACTCTATTAAAAAAGTTTGGGATAACTAGGAAAGAGATGTTGATTGTATAAATAAAACGTTAATTTGTGACAACGAATTCTTATTTTGCGTCATGTTTCCTCCAAACTCATCAATCGCTCATTAGCGCCAAAATATACTCGAAAAATGCTCAAGAAAATCTCAATTCTCAGTCCTTTCATTTTGACAGAAAATGAAGCTTCTTTCAAGTCTTCTCCTTTTTTCACTCGAGAGCGATGCAAGAAAGCCGAATGTCATCATGCTCAATACTGACGACTTCGGCATCGGAGATTTTACAATTTACAATAGAGAAGCTAAAGTGCCCACGCCAAATATTGACAGAATCGGCCATGAAGGAGTGAAATTTCTGGGAGCGAGTTCGGCTTCTAGTCGTTGCTCTCCTAGTAGATATATGCTAATGACTGGGCGGTATTCGATGGAAGATAGCCAGTCGAGAATGATCAATCAAGGCAACGTTCAAAATATTATTATAAGTTACCAATAATAACCATGCCTTTCTCCCTTGAAAAAAGGAAGGCAAAAATGAGGACTTTTTTGTTCAGAATTTCATGAGGATTCTAAAAATAGACTCAGATTAAAAATTTGAGACTTGGCAAAGAGCGACTACTATACCCTTAAGAAAATATTTTGAACAAAAATACAGGTGAACCGCATCTTGGAGAAATTTTCAAAAAATCTGGCTACAAGACAGGGATCTTTGGAAAACAGCAGCCTCTTCCGATGGGCATAGCTGTAGAAAATGGAACATGGCAGGACTTTGCAGCTGTCGGCCAGCGCGATCGAGCAGCTCTCGAGTATAAAAAAGAACACGGTTTGCTTGCTTATCCGAATACAGCCACCCCTCACCAGAAATACGGATATTACAATCTAAGAGCACCGCCACAATTGTACGGCTACGATTATTCCTATACCCTCCCCGGTATGTGCTGCAATCCGGGCTTGTCTTTCGAAAATGGAAGAAGCACAGAACCAGCCGAAACTTGGGTTCGCCTCCAACCTTATCCCGAAACAACTCCCGAAGAAAAGTATTCAGCAGGTGGCAACAACTTCCCAAACACAGGTTATTTTGGTCCATCTGGGTTTGAAGAGGAAGGCACAGATCCTTTTTCGTTGAACAATTACTACGATACATGGGCTCGACAAACGATTGCTGGGAAAAACTTTGACAGTCGGGAACTTGAACAAGAAGTCAGCCGAAAACTCGAAAACTTCATCGATGAAAATCATAAAGAGCCGTTTTTCGCCTACTACGGCATGAAATCTGGGCACGCGCCGTTCAACACACCACTCCGATTTAGAAACCAGACAGAAGCCGGGCTTTTCGGAGAAATGGTGTTGGAGACGGACGAAATCGTAGGACGCATTCTGGACAAGTTGGATGAACACGACATCGCAAACGACACCCTCGTTCTTTTCATGTCGGACAACGGACCAACGACGGTCGGTAAAAAGATTTTCAACGAATGGGGTCACAAGCAGTGGAGAATCGATCTACCAGAATCTCCTGGTGGTATGAAAGCAAGATCAGTTGATCTTCAGGAACTGGATCGGCAAGTGAAAACTTTAAATTTAAACATCTTCAGTTGGCAAGAAAATTCGTCGATCCAAACTTTAGGGATTCAAAAACACGATGGGTGAGGCAAGTCACAGAACTCCATTTTTATGGCGTTATCCAAAAAAGTTCGAGCCAAGGACAGGGTTTAGATAAAGCTTTTTTCTGCTAGATTAAAAATCGGAATCCAGCACCTAACTACAAAAAAAGCTCTTTATGACCCTTTTCAAAGAATCATCCACGAGCCAAGTGTTCAAGTTTCCACAGTTGACATCTACGCAACCCTCGCTGAGCTGATCGGATACGACTTGGGCTGTAACGAAGCCCCGGACAGCAGAAGTCTCTTGTCATATCTCGAAACTGGCGAAGCAAGCTACGAAGTAAAAAAACAAACCGATTATGACGCACGCTTACACTCCTGGCGTAAATTCCGCCATTCGAAAAGGAAACGTCAAATTAGTCCCTGGAACCAAGTCATTCTACAACACCGAGTGGGATCCAGAAGAGAAAAACAACCGTTTCTTCGAGGAAGATGAACAAAGACAAAAATATATTTCCTATTTGGAAAAATACATGGCCGACTGGATGGCGCACATTGATGCTCGAGAAGCAGCGACGAAGAGGGGAGTGGACCAAGAGAACTGCTACCCTCAATTTGAACGATTTAACTGGTTGTAAATTACAACAACGAATAATATTTTGATTTTCTTTGACTGAATTATTTACCCTAAATAAATAACTCTTAAAACTATTCGTTTGCGCAGGTGTCTGAATAGCCATCGTGTTCAGACGAATAAATGGAAAAATAAGCACTGAATGAGCTGATTAGTGAAGCCAAATTGATACTGAGTGTGTTGTGCTCATTCATTCAATTTAGGCCAGAAGCTGGAAAGATAAGAAACAAGCTGTCCAGGCGATTATTTGGGTGATTGATTTCTGAAGTGCGGATCGAGGGATCAGAGACGTTTTCCAGGCCAAGCCCAGAGCGACTTCCAAAAGGGCGCGCGAGAGGTTCGAAGGGCGAACAGCGGACTCCATTGACTGCTAAAAACAAAAAATACCACTGTAATTTCTCCTCTTTCGAACTGCCATCCAACTAAAAAATTATGAAAATAAAATACAAACAAAAAATGAGTGTCAAATTTGAATTCCTTGCATATTTTTACCGTAGGATAGATTTTATGATAAAAGAAAACAAAAGTTTATTTTTAGGTCTAGAAAATATTCGCCACTTTTCAATTTCACATGGGGCTACGATGCTTCATTTGCAAGTGTCTTGTCTCCTACCGCGTTACTTGCGAGTGCCTCAGCTGATCGACCTTGCGCCTCTCGCGCGCCTGTTTTCGAACTCGCTCTAGGCTTGGCCTGGAAAACGTCTCTTTATCCCGGATCGATTATTCTGTAATCGTCACGGGTTCCGTCGTCCATTGAATGAGACGCCATTTAAAAAAAAGGAAATGGGAATTGAAATGTCTTATTCATGCTCACGAAATCGACGTAAACGGAGGGCAATTCAGCCCTCGAAATACCACTAGATGATTGTATTATTGTGGATAATTGTTTTTCCTATAATTTCATTAATTCGCCGCCGCGTATTAAATATTTCAAAGTGAAATGATGATATATCTTTTGTTTTATGGACGAACGTCAGCAAAATTAATGAGCCGCCTTTCGATAGCGCTGCACTTGAGGATGAGCTACTCCTATCACCCGGAACAATCCGGCTCGCTGGTAAATCCAACAGGATTTGATTTGAGTCACCGATTTCACGATATTCACGCGAAGGAGTTGAAACTCTTTCGAGGAATTCAAACAAAGATTGATGGGAAAAATTTTGAATGGGAGATATTTACAGAGGGAAATTGACGTTATAAAATAGTTATTTAAAGTTTTCACGGATTCTTCATAACCAAACGGGTTAAATTGGGACTTATTCGTGTGCATTGAAACACTAAGTTCATGATAAACTCGTCGATCGTTAAATTTGACGTTCTTTTCTAAGAATGATTTAGGACGCCCAAAAAGCCCCGGAAAAGTCCAATCCCAGAGGCGTTGGAGAACGATTGTGTGCCCAAAAGCAAAAAAAAGTGGAAACAACTTATAAAAAATACGACTTCCGCAGGAGTAGCTACTTATGGTTTCTATACTAAAACTCACGTTTTTAGGGTGTTTTCTGACAGGAAAGCTCTGTAGCTCTGGGGCTAGGGAAAATCGGTGTTTTTCCGCAATTTCGTGTGGTCCTGGTGTTCGTTTTGAACGAGCAGTGTCTATAGACTGAGTGAGTCAGCGATGCGCCTCAAGGCTTTTTCATTTCATTTATCACCGCCCTGCTCAGTCTACTATGGAATGTGAACACCCTAGGCGACCTATTCAGCCCAAAAAGCGACCCACCCTAATTTACTACCAGTACTACGGCGCGTGTTTAATTTCCCACGTCGATTTATTTCACAAAAAAGCCGCGATGATCATCATCAATGGGTAACTAAGATTAGTGATCTGATTCGGGACTTCAAGGGATTCAGGGACCAGACGCTCTGGCCCAAAACTTTTATTACTGTTTCTTCTTGTATATCGATGGATAGATTCTATCCGATAGATCGTCAGCGATGATTGAAGTCTAATAAAATGCCCCACTTATTTCCCGAAGATATATAAAGAGGACCCATTTAGTTGGGTCATCATCAAAATGAGGCAAAACATTAGTAACATTCTTCCCCCTCTTGAGGAGGATTAATAAATCTCTCATTCTGCTTTTGAAATAATAAAACAAAGATAATAAACGAACATTTATATTTTACAATAGAAAATAAAGCGAGATATCTGGGCTACGGATTTCAGAGAGCATAGAAGCCATTTTAAGAGAGTGATGTTGTTTCTTTCCAATTCAATTGGTTTTTGTTTTTGCAGAGATAAATTTCGAACTTTTTCGGTTAAGTTAGAAGAAGGGTGGAAACAGGGATAGATAAATAGGGTAGTTTTCTTATTGGAGAAGCTTCATGCTACTAGAATGTCGCGAACGCGTTGATGGACTTATTGTTAATTGATAATTATGGCGATGGAGCTCGAGCCAAGCAAGAAAAACAGTTTGAAATGACTTTTCTTTTTTTAACCCGGTTTTGCGAGATTTATATAAATAAAATTTAAAACCCAAGCTAGCTGAAAAAATACGCATGCAAATTGTTCTCGATGAAAAATATAAAAAGGGATAAATGAAAAAAGAGAACAAAACGGTGGTTTGAACAAGTAACGGAATCTTTCGCTGATGAAGAGTGTGACGGTACAGTTGAACATGAAACAAATGATCGCGGTAAAACCTGAAGGTTCGAATACACGAGAGATCTTCTCGCTTGCCGGTTTAATTTATGAACAGGGATGAATGACTGAAAACAAAAAAAAGAAAGATAAACGATGACAACAAGGAGAATCTCGGTGCGAAATTGTTTTGAATGGTAGAAGTTTACTCGCAAACGTCGATTTCTTCGTTTTGCTCGTCGATCGTGGGATCGGACGTCACTTCGACGACTTCCTGCTGTGAAAACAGCTGTGGGAGAGAACGCTCTTGGAGCAATTTGCGCTTGCGCCTATCGCGAAGCGTCGTCTGAGAATTCAACCAGCGGTAAATATGGCGTTGTTTTTGTTTGCTAAAATTCAGTCATTTGCTTGATTCATTGAAAACAAGGACTCACTCTTCTCGCTTCTTTTTAGCTTGAATATGGCGAATCTGATCCGCCAAATTGGGATCAGAATTCGATCGTCTCAGCTGCGCCATTGGTTGGGGCGGGGCTGGGACGGAGAACTGTTGGGACACACTTGGACATGAATTTTGGTGGTTCAGGGGTGGTTGTTGATGGCTGGTGCAATTGTGCATTGGCTGCTGCAGATTTGTGTAACTCATGGTATCATGAGAGTAAGTTTGATTCGGAGCCATTTGAACTGGAACTTGTTGTTGCTGGGGATATTGGGTCGTGCTTGGCATGTAGCCTTGTGGGACGTTGCATTGAGCGACGTATTGCTCGACCTAGAGAGATGTTGGATTTTGTTCAAATTGATATCTATCATTCTAATGAATTTGATTTATCTTTTAGGTTGAACAAATAAAATAAGCAGATTCAAAGAGTACTCTGAAGCGACATCAAATGGCCACTAACCAGAAGGTATAAAGGCTGAAATAGTAGGACTCGAAAATAAGGAAAAGTAAAATGTAAAATCTGAATTAATGAAGTTTATGCGATCCCTGACTGAGCACACAAAATACTAAGTAAAATAAAATCTACCTCTGATATTTTGCCAGCATCGCAACTTTTCAACTGTAGATTCCATGTCTCTGAGCTCTGTACAGGATGTGGTTGGTGATGGGATGTCTGCGGTTGATTACTAGTAGTTTGCTGAAAGTCAGACTGCTGCAGATCAGTAGCAGGGGCAATCATTCGGATAATATGAAGCTGATCGTTGATTGATAGTGACTGGATCAGATCTTCTAGGTATTTCTTGCGTTCTTCGTCGGACAGCTGGTGCCATTTTTCGTGGATTTTCGACGAATTTCGAAGGGAATTCTGCGCCTGCGCTGGTTGGACTTGCGGCTGCTCGGGGATAACGGGTTCAGAAGGGCAAGGGCACGATAAGGAAGGGGTGGAATGAAGAGTTGAAGTACGAACTCGTGCTCTAAGCGATCATTAGATTAATTCAAACGGATATCTCTAGGAAAGGGAGGCTTCTTCAAATCCATACGTCGAGAGAGTCACTTGCCAAGTCACACTTCTTAACATTCCAAGCCCTTATTCAATAATTGGGCGAAGAATGTTAGTAAATGTGGTCAGGCAAAGTGACGGAAATTCATGGAAAATCAGCTCGCTCATCAGTGGTTCTCCAATCGCTCTCTTTGTACCTGGAATATGGATTGTAAGGCAAAGAAGGGCGAACAGATCGAGGGACGATATCTGAAAGAGTGTCGGCGGAGTGGTATGATGGCCGATTAGGCATCTTAAAACAGCGCTCAAGAGTGATGATTGAGAAATTTCCCCCTTACTCGATAGTGGCGTTGATTTCTCCCACCATTTTCAGAATATGTATCCAAATAATCAGGATGCGTCGTAATCGATCCTTCAGGAGTATCGCAAAGGATGAAGCCACTGTTGCTATCATCGAAGCTCGAATGGTCGTCCAGGTGAATTCCATCGAAATCAATCGCGTATTCTGAAATCTTGAGTGACCTTTTCAAAAAGAAAAAAGTAATTACCTGAAGAATGGAGCGAGGAGCAGCCCGATGTACGTGTGCTCCATCGATTGGAACTCCACTGCTGCGAGTAGCACTCGCGCGGTGAAGTATGCGAAGTCAGCTGTGAGCGGGCCTGTGATGGTGGATCGCGGAAAGTCGGGTCCGCCTGAAGTGTAAAAATATCAACTGTGCCAGCGCGGCGAGATCAAAAATCGATAACAGTGAATGAGTAAACTCGGACTTAGACCCATCGATTCTCGTGTGAAATTATCTTTGTTTAAATAAATTAATTATCTAACCAGAAATTGACGCCAATCATCGTCTGCATCGGTTTCTTTCTCCGGCTCGTATCTTCGATTTTGATCGCAAAGAGCGCTGAAAAGGGAGCTCTGCTTCTGTTCTTTCTTTGGCTTTATTCGGCTCTTGATTTTATCGCTTTATAAAACTTGAGCAAAAGCATTCAATAAATGCTTCTTGGATGAGCCGGGTCCTGAGCGAGACGAGAGCTGAGATCAAGGGCGTTAGCAAGCGCTTGCCCTTGGAACTCCATTTTTGGTTCCCATTCCATAAACTAAAAAATAGAAACAGAATTAGTAAAACACTGGCTTTTCATGTAGGATGTTTTTCGCTCGGCAGTGGAAATAATCTTCCTATTCAAGTGTAGCGCGAAATAATGGAAAATGTCGATTTCTCAAAACTTGTAGACAATTGAGAAAGAAAAAAGAAAAGACTGTCAGGGATAAATGAGACAAAAAAAGGAGTTGATTGGAGCTGGCTATTTTAGTCAGAGTCTTCGGAGTCGTTGACACGCTGCCGTTTCGGCGGTGGGCCGCTGGAAAGTCTGAATGGACGAGTAAATGCGCGGCGAGAAGTAGAGTATATTTACCCAGATGAGCCGGCTCCCTCGTCATTACCCTCCGTTGGCTGGATAATCTCATCTTGCGAGTCCTCGTCATCATCTCCGTCCGAGCCTTCTGGCTCTTCGTTGGAGTCGTAATCGCCATCCTCGTCGTCTTCTGATGGCAAGTCAGCGTTGTAGAGCGAAGCTAGAGTGCCAGAAACTCCAGCAGAAACTTCTTCTTCGGACTCGTCCTCCTCTTCTTCGTCTTCATCGTCGTCATCTAGGTTAATTTCGATAAGAGGCAACAAATAGAGATTCAGGTCAAGTTGCTTGGATATTCAAATAGGGTATCAAACAAACATCTCAGGCTGAGATTCTCAGACGCGATTATAATCGACGGTCGATTATCGACCTAGATTTGACGATTTTTGAGGAATAAAAGAGCATTAGAAGGAGACCATTATTACAATAATTAGACAGTTTACTAAAATGAAACTTTTGTCATATATGTTGTAGAGTGAGTGAAATTGCGTTTTGAGCGAAAAACAAGAAATCTTCATATTTATAAATAAAAAAAATACATTACCTGGTATTTCAACTCCTCTTTTATCAAATCCGTCAACATTGGCAAGTGTAGCTATGGCAGCAAAAACAGGCTTTCTATATTCCTCCTCTTCAGCAATATCGCATCCTTCGAGTTCAATTTTCAACAGGGTCTTGAGCTGTGCGAGTGGCTTTAATTGGTCGACTGATGCGATTTTCTTATTGCCCGAGACAGATAATTCCATCAGGCCAGGGCATTTGGCTGCCAATTCGCTTATGTCAGTCAGGCTATTGTCGTTGAGCTGGAGCTTGTAAAGGCCGGGCATGGTGGGCAGAGAAGACAAGTTGTTGATTTTGCAGGCGTTCAAGCTAAGCTCTAAAAAGTTATCTTAGATGCATTTTCTCTTGCAGAACCGTACCTGTAATTATGTCTGCTTTTTCTTTGAGCAATGAAAGATCAGGCTTCTGCAAGCCATCAAGATTCAACTCGGTATTTTCTTCATCAATTTTCTTGATTCTGTCAGCGAGCGAGACCATGGCTGAATTTGGCAAAAAGGTTTATCGATGAGTTCCAGAATCGATTGCATAATGTAAATATGAATAGGAAAAAAGAGGAAAAGCGAGTTGAATTTGTTCGATCTTGATATAGAATTAATAAAAAAATACTGAATAAAGATACTGAATTGTTTGTATCAGAATTGGAAATCGGGCGGAAGAATTTTTCTAATAGGATGCTTTGAGTACAGAATTCACCAGAAAAATGCAGGTAAAATATATTTGAATTAAATAATAAGCAGAGATTTGAGTGGAGGATATTTTTACAAGTTTCATGCTGACAGAGATCAAGAAGGAGTTCAGATAGAAATAGGCACGAAATGGAAAGGATTCTAATGTTTGAAAATTGAATTTCTTTTTCTGATTAAATAAATGAAAAAGGGAAACATAAGTAGTATATTGAAATATTGCAATTTTTTGATAAAACGTCAGATTTGTATGCACAGAGAGAAAACACCACTTTGAACAAAAAACTTTCTTTGACGAGGAACGGCACATTTTCTCTTACTTTGAAGCATTTTTTTTTTCTATTTTGATGGACTTCGGACTGGAATGGCTTAGAATCGGCCAGCTCTTTGACTTTTCAAGCGTTACGGAATGTGACTGGATCGGCCCAAAAAGGAGAGGGTGATATATAATTCCAAAATGAATTTCAAGGCCAATTATTCAGGGTTCGTCTGGAGAAAAGAGGGGAGTATACTATCAATATTCATTAATTTATTGTGATCAAAAAGGGGATGGTGACACGAGTGGACAAAAATGCGACAAATAACTTAATTTTTTACGACTGTCTGTCTAAAATTTGACCTAAATTTTGATAAAAATTCTTGCAATTTTTCGAAGACTCGTGCCACATCCCCCAAAATAGCCACAGAGAAATTTATGTACTTCAGGATTTAATCTTTTTCTTTCTTCAACATAATTTTTGAAAAGAATAAATTCATAATCGTGGTGTTCTTTTTATTGTGAACAGGAGAAAGACAGCACGAAGAGGTGAACGCTTTTTTATCTTGTTTTTTTTTGTTTATTTTATTTACATAATTGCACTTTCACTTTCAAAAATTGTTTTTCGTGCTAGAAAAGTGCTGCTGGAAACATTCTCTACAGGAGGGTTTAGAAATTTCCGTCACGCTGGCTTGGGGGTACAAGATGTTCCGGTAGTCTGGTGGGAAGCTCGTTGTTCTCGAGTTTGACCTTGATCAAGTGCATGGCCAGTGAAAACTCTTCGTCGTCAAGGTAGCCGTCTTTGTCGTGGTCGGCCAGTTTCCAAATCTTTCCTAACACCTAAACAACAATTTTAAGCTAAGAAAAAAAGGCTCGAAATCCTTACCGAGTTTGGCAATTTTGACTTGACCATTTCGTTCTTGGCGGCACTACCAGAGACTTTGCCATTGACGGGGTTGAGGTCATTAAAAATTCTATCGTATTTTGGCTAGCCCCGGGTCAAGCTTGCTACTTTCGAAATACTATGTGGTGAAATCAAGGAAGAGAATTTTAGATTGATTATATATTGAGCGTAATTTTGACCGATTCTTCATCTTATCGACTGGCCACTCGCCGGCATTTCCAGGCAAGAGGAAGCCAGCGCGAATTTCGAAAGGGTTGCTGTCGTCAAAGTTATCGCGTGGCTGATTGGTCAAATATTAAATATATTTAATTTTCAATATATTTTTCAAAAATTTGATTGATGAATCAATTTCAACAAAAATCATGCGAATCAAGAAGTGTTAGTGAGCAAGAAGCGAGTTAGAAGAAAAGCAATATGTTAATAAATAAAAATAGAGGAGCTGTTGATGACCCGAAATCTTGTCCTTGAGGCAGACCCAGTCGTCTTCATCACGGCCTTCGTCGACACCGCGGCCGTAGCCAGTTCCGAAGGGATTGTCGACTAGCCCGCCAAGCGCGCCGCCCTGTTGAGGGATAATAAGCATGATACGAAATTATAGAAACACCAAGTTTGTCACCCAATTTTCAAAAACATCGCCCCAAGAAACGTATATTTTTGAATACGATGTTTTGGAAAACTAATGCCGATGAAAAATATCTTGTGAATAATCTTTAAGAAGTCACCAAAAGTGACATTTCGTAAAAAATTGAATTCAATCAATAAAAGCTGAGATGACTCGGCTGTCTATTGATGGAAACTCGATTTGCTCAAATCCTTTCTGATTGACAGAAAATCACATCTTATCAATTGGAAAGTATTGAATTCGAAATGTCTGGGAGTTCTTCTGCTTGGCCGGTTATTTTCTTTTGGTGAAGAAAATGCGGGCAAGCAGAGGAAGTTCAAAATGGAAGCGAGAGATGATAAATATACTCGGCTTTTCATACCCCCTTGATTGATGGCTGCTCTTTCTCCTTCAAATTCGCCGCAGCTTCTTCCTTCTGGATCATCTTCATTAATTCCGGAATTTCTTTCCCAAGCATAACGTCAACCTAAAAGGAGGTGAAGAGACGATATCAATAAAGGCAGACCTTTTTGAGATATGTTTCACGCAAAGATTGGAATTTAGAGAAGTCAGCGTCCTTCAGAAGCTCCTGCATCTTTCGAACGTCTGGGAAATCACCGGGCGAGATACCATGGGCCTTGCTCAACTCGGTGTAGGTTTGTTGGAGGTTAGCGATCAACTTGGCTTTGGCTTTTTCTTTGCCGAACATGGCGGGCATGTTGTCGTGTAAATGAGCAATGATGAAACAATGAACCTGAAAAGGGTTGGAATCGGGCCGGTTAAGCAATGTACCTTGGCGAGACGAGCTCGCTTGATAAGATCATTCAATTTCCTCAGAGCCGCATTTCTTGGCAATGACTGGAGATCGGCAAACAAATCGCCACTTTCGGCCTCAAAGAGAGCTCGATTCTCCGAGTGAAGGAAAGGCTGATCCCAGAAGGAACCGATGTAGACTCGAACGACTTCTGGAGTAGTGATGACTTTTCCAAGGGACCACATGAGAGCACCGTAGACTCGCATCAACTGCTGCGTGTTGACTTGATCGGACTTGTTCAAGACGACGCGGATTTTGTCGTCGTAACCCTGAAATGTCGACCGTTAAAACTTGTGGAGGATGATAAATCACGTCTCATGCCCAGTTGTTATCATCCGGGACACGAAAAAAGATGGATAGGATTTACGGGGAAGGTATAAAATATATTTGCAATATGATTACCCTACCGTGGTACCGGATAGACCAGCCTAAAAAGATTAGACCTTGGCAGGTGAATTTATGATTACCTTGACAGCGTTGAGAGCTTCGTGAAACTCGTCGGAAATATCAAGTTTGTGTGCGTCAAAGAGGAGGATGATTCTGTCGACTCGTTCGGCGAACCATGTTAGAACCTTGTTTCAGTAAGAGAAAGGACAAGTTGGTAGAGAATTCACCTTTGAAAAGTCATATCCACGGTTGACTCGCTGTTTCTCTCCAGAAAGAATACCGGGAGAATCGATAATGGAGATCGAATCCAGAACGGGGTTGTCCATTTGAGAGCATTGTAATCTTGAAGGAATAAAAAAATGGTCATAGAGCGCATTTTACCTCGATAAGAAGTTGTTTCCGAACGAAGAAAGCGCTCTGAATGGCTTTGTCTTGTCGACGACAAGGGCGTTTCCTGGAATGATGCCTTCGTTGATCGATCCTGTCGTTGCGTCTTCATCGCCCTGGGAAAGAATTGAATTTGGAAGAATTTAAACGGGAAAGACACTAACGATTTCTCATATCTGTAGACACCCTTATCAAATAAAAACGAACTCATGCTTAGCTAGTGTCTGGAATATTGAAGCTATATGGGAAGAAACGCACCTTAGAGATGATGATGAAACAATCAGTGGTTGGTTCAGGGCCGATTCGCATTCCAGGGAACTCGGATTCCAGCAAATACTTGATGAAGGTCGTTTTACCAGTCGAGTACTGACCAACTAACAGGATCATCGGTTTGGCATCGAAATCAGCATCATCGAGGGGCGGGGAGTGGAAGTCATGGAATCTAAGAAGAATCGATAAGAATTCAAGACTTTTCCAAGTTGATTACTTGTAGGCATCTTCAAGCGGCTTGAGCTTGGAGTTGTAGAGCTTCTTGAGTCCGGCTGCTACAGTGTTGAACACTTCTGGCTCTTTCTAAGTACTAGTGAGCAAAAATGGTACTTTCGGATCGTTTCTCCGAGAAATGAGTTTTGATTGATAAATGGAATGTTTGGTAAATGAAACATGCGTTTAGATGAATGTTTTTTGTCTTATTTGGAGCGAAACACTATTCTTGGACTTTTTCAATTTTTTGCTCTGAAAGGTTCATTTCTGCAACTAAAAACGAGCCAGTAGGAACGGCTTTAATATTTAAATAGAGATCATCCAATCGGATCTAGAAAAGGGTGTTCGCTTCAAATATGACTAAATGAAGGTAAATGATGATGATGTCTTCTGCGTTACTGTAACTGTAAGGCTTTACTGTAAGTAAGTGCGAGGATAAATGCCGTCTTTTTTAGCGTTTGATTTACAAGGGAATTTTCAAAGATTCGGGCTTCATCCATTCTCTTTAGTTTTTGTTCTTTTTCTCGAGCACTTTGGATTTAGGGGCCCACCTGGAAGTATACAGCCATAAAAAAGATTAAGCTCTCTCGGATTAAAATTTGTAACTTTTTGGAAATATGTGAGCAAATATATTTCTTTTAAGAGTGTACACTCTGGCTCTAGCAAAGAGAGAAGGATGCACCGGCCGTGTGAAAATTGATTTCAAAGCGATTAGACGGTTATTCGAAAATGGAGAGATAAAGAAAAACACAAGCACATTAGGCACACCACCTAGCGCTTACCTTTCGCCCAAACTAAATGGAAACAATTAATGATGATTAATTTAATTCCGTATGATTTCTTCTGTCTAATTCTAAAGTCTATCAAGAGTATGAGACAAGGACTTCCAAAGCTTGATTTTTAAGATTTACTCCAGCTTTTTTCTCGGCTTTTCGGCGCTTTTTTTCGTCCTTTGCAATTAACTTTTTGATGATAGACATTAACAACGATATTTTAAAACTATTTCTACTTCATCGTAATTATGAGACAACACGAAAAGTCTAGAAAATTAGACAGAAGAAACTCATGAAAAAAGGGATGAAAAATCTGGGCAGAAACTTACAGCGTCGCGTTTCCTTCCCATTCCAAATAACGATCAATTCTATCTAAAAATATTAACTTTTCGATTTTTGCTCTCGACTGAACGGATGATGAGAAGCTGCGAGTTCATATATTCTAGGTGAGGAATGCAGACAAAACAATCACGAAACTGTCTTTCAATTTCAGAAATCTCTGTTTTTCGTGACGATTTTGATTATTACTGATAATTTATCAGTAACTCTTTCTCTTTATCTATCTGACCGAAATGAAAACGCGTCAAGAAAATTATAACTGAGCCCGATACCGATTTCCGGGGAGAGAAAAGGTCAAGCCGACTACAAAAACGATTGAATCTCATAAAACGTAAAAATGTATATCATAAAATTAACACCTTACAACTTTTGGCAAGAGCATTTTTTCTGTAGCAAATTGGGACATTCCTGAATAGCCACTCTGAATTTCTTTGTCTCTCGACGATGGGCACTTTTTCTCAAATAATGTCTTTTTCGAGGTTCTCGGCTTTTTTCACTAATTCGCCGCTTTTTTGTCGATTTTCTTGATCGCCGACGACTTTTATCAGGCTTCTGCTTTTCTGAGCTAATTCTAGTCGACTCTTCCATTTTTTCAAAAATGTGCTGGAATCGAATTTACTACAGAAAAAAATGCTCTTGCCAAACAATTAATTTTGACGCCCGATCAAGTATCGCATGTAATTTCATAAATCATAGAATCAATGAGCAACAAAAGCTTCAGTAGCGAATTTCTTTTTAAAATTTCGCGGATTAAAACTTTCTCTATAAATTGCAAATTTTCTAAGAGCAGTATGGACCGGCAACCCCAGGGGACTAATAAAAACTCAGCAGGGTAATAAATTTTCGTGATTGATAAAAACGGAATTATAAATTTTTTCGCAGGCATCAGGGAAAACATCGCACTTTTTTCTGAGAGCCATGTTGATCCAGCGTTAGTCACTCAAGGAAATTGAGCAGATCTGCAGCTTTTTCGAAACCAGAATCAATGCTTGGCGCTAGGTCAAAAAGCTTTTTATTATACCTATTGAAAAAAGATCGGAAATGTTAATTCTAGCACATGTTTTCCAAATGCCCTATTCAGTAGATTTCCAAAAAGAAAAGCTCACAATAAGTGATTGATTGATTGACTGAACAAGAACTGACGATTAGTAATTAAATTTAATTTCCTTATTTGTACTCTGAAATATGGAACACGAAAAACAGAGTCTGAAAAACAGAAGTCACTGGAAATAAAAGACAAGTTTATGTGACCCGATGATTCTCTCTTAGATTGTCTCCAAAACGTGATTCAATCGAAGGGTCTCTTCGGCCCGAGTTCAAGGGTAAAGCTCTAATTAGCCAGAGATATCAAATCTAGTGAGATTCGTTCTGAGTTAAAATTACAAAAAATTCAGTATTCGATTATTATTTTCGATCCTTTGATGAATTATTTATTGAAAATTATACTTTGCTTGAATTCAATATTCGAAGCGCTTTGGTAAAAAATTTCTTTTAGCTCTTCTTGATCCACATCTCTTGGCAAAATGACCAAAAAGCTCTTTTTTTTATCAATTTTTCGTTCATTATCAAAAATCGCAGGCTTCCTCTTCAGCGCGACAGGTCACAAGTACTTGACCGACATAACTAGTCGAGTATTTATTTGCTTTTTAGAAATAACCATTTATAAACGAACTATTAACTACATTCAAGGTTCACGCTGATAGTCGAAATTTTCGTTCCGGCTTGTTCTCTCAAGAAGGTCTCTTTTTGATATTTTTAGGAGAAAAAAGAAGTCGAAGAAAAAAAGTTTGTTTCCACATTTACCGGCCGTGTGAGAAAACTAAACAAGACGATGATGATGTTCGAAAATAATTACAAATAATATTCAGTGTGCAAATTTACTATGAATTTAAATCCTCTGGAGTTGAATCGAGGCTCAAAAAATTTTACTGGCACTCGTTTTACTGATTCGTTAGTTAGTTGGTGTTTTCGAAGACATGGAAGATTCTGCATAAAAGAGTGCTACTGGTAGATTTTGATGATTTGCTAGTTGGACAATGCTTATGCTAAAAATATAGAAAAAGACAAAAAAAGATGCGCAATTGTTCACTGATTTCCTTTTTAGGTGTCGAGCCACCCATTCCCATCCATCGTAGCATCTCTTTTATTATCTAAATTGAAAATTCTCTATTTTAGAATAATAGAGTAAAGTCGTCAGTTTTTATAAGAACGTTCTCATCGAATCATCGAAACCAAGAAAAAATATGACAATGAATCGACGGTCGTTAAAACTAGACCTTTTCGGTATTTCTTTTCAAACGAAATATGTGGCCAAATGCCAAAAGTAATTCACAGAGAGTACCTAGAAAATGTCAGTCCGCAGTTCTGATTTGATCTGTATTTTTGTAAATTGATGAACAGAAATATATTTAAATATATGAACAAAGAAGGAAGAGAATTTAAGGTCAATTATTTAAGAAATATTTTGAAGAAAATTTCTTGCACTTGGGAATCTGTAAACATAAGGGTGTATTCATGGGAGATATGTTCAAGGTAAGTTGATGGAGTGATTGATGTTCGGACAGAGAGAGTTCAGCTCAGTTTTCGAGGAGGGATTGGCGGAGCAGCGATCCCGGCAGAATTAATGTTTTGATTAGAGGTCGAGGAGGATCTCTGTGTTTCTGGAGAGAGTAGGTGATACTCAAAGGCAGGGTTTTCGGCGCCCATCAGTGAATTCCTAACTGGTGGACAAGGAGCAACTGGTGGAGGAGTCGGTTCATCATCAAACTCGTTCATGTAAAGATCGTCGTCTGGATCTGATGATGGTGGAATGCAGGGAGGATCGACAGGGATCGGTGGCAGAGGTCGGTTCGTTTCTTGTGGTTTGTTCGAGCTGAATATCAGGTCACGTATGGAAATCAGGCACAGAGATCGATTTTAATCAATTTCACGAAGTATAAAATTTGAACAAGAACTTCGGTAGGATGGGTTTCCAGGCTATTTCAAAATGATAAATAATGAGAAAAAACGCTTTTAAAATGAAGCCAAATCTCTTTCCGAGACTTGTATGACGTGTTTCTATCCTTTTGTGCAAGAATAAACTTAAACTCACTTTTTATCATTATCGAGACAAATCGGAGTTGTATCCCTAATGTCACATCTACAGAACGGGCATGTCGGCGTCGGACTGTTATCCTTGACCTTCCATTTCGCCACGCAATCAGCACAAACTAAATGATTGCAGGGCTCTATTCTGATGTCCTTATCCCTGTCCAGGCACACTTTGCACAAATTAAACGTCGTTCCCATGTCGAAATAAATCTGCACGCTTTCTTCGGGCACTTCGATATTTTCCGGCTTTGTTTCGTGAAGATAACGCGTCAAATCCGGGTTTTCAGGGCGCCCCTTTGGCTTTGTATAGTAGCCATTTCGTTCGCCGTCTATTAGGACTTTCATCAGGGATTTGTTCTCAGGAATCGTTTGCAAGATTTCGCCGGATTGGTTGACGTAGCCTATCGCCCATTGACCTAGTTTCGTGTTTGATAAGCGAAATGCGTAAGCACCGACGCTGTCTCTTTTCTCGGGCTCAAGAATGTTGCATGAGAAAATGCTCGATTGTTAATTTATACGAAGAATCTATCCAGCCCACACTATGCGGCTGAAGCTCTTCGTGAAGTTCTTCGTAGGTAATGAAGGCTGAGTAGCCAGGGTGTGTGACAGCGAGTACCTTCCAGTTAACAAGAAGCTGCGGCCAGGGCTGAAATAGCCTGAAAATAGTGTTGTTACAAGGTTGTTAAAAAAAGCTATCGGCACCTTGTAAAAACATCGAATTCGAATTTGCTAACATATTGGCTTTTTGTCAGCTGAATTGTTTCTTGCAAAGCGCGCTCCAGATCTATACTGTTGTCGATTTGGTGGACTTTCGTAAGTTCGCGTTTGAAAACCTGCCAGTTGATGATCGCCTGTGCACCGAAATTTTGCTCCCAAAAGGCCTTCGCCTCTGATTTGGTTATTTTGAAGCGGCCCCCTGTGAATGTCCCATTTGAAAAGAAGGCGTTTAGCTCATGAAGAATATGGCTGAAGACGAGGGAATACTTTGACAGTTCTCGTCGGACTGAACTTTTTAGAATGTGATGTGAAGAGGGGTCGTTTTTGAGGATTCTCTGAAAACTGAAATCAACGATGAGTACGCCAACGTACAAAGAGAGAGAACCGAAGATGTACCTTTAGCTCACGACATTTTTCGGCGAGATTGAATGCAGATACTTGGAAGTAATCATTATCTGCCAGCGCATGAAAGTCTCGATCATGCTCTGTTACAATTTTGTGGAGAATCGTGTGGATATCCGGAAGAATACTGAGGATGTAAGGAGGCGAGTTGTTCAAATTTGGGATCTTGGGATGAATGTTTAAATAAGGAAGTTGGCTTGTATTCTTACTTTACCACAAGCTTTCATTATCGAGTCCATATTACTCGTGAGCTCGTTGAAAGATGACTTTGTGAAGAATCCACTCGAGGAAGAGCTTTCTATAGGCTGGTTTAAATTTCATCCGGAATGATGTAGCTTACCATTTCTCCTTTCACGAAACGGATTCCTCACTTTTTTGAACATTTTGAATCCGAAATCTGAATAAAAAATTGAACGTCGATCTTTTCAGAATAATAATAATCAAAGACTATCAGCAAGTTGTTTACAGGCATCAGAAATAAAGTACAGAGAATTTTTGATAAAAAGTGTAAGGTCGCTAGAGAAGTTCAAAGAGCAGGTAATATTTTCTACGGAGTTTTGAATACTGTCAATGGAAGGAAGCTCATTTAAAATTGTCGGAATTGGGGTAGACTCAACAGCGGATTGGATATAAGCGGAGAATTGTATGATTTCTGTACTAAAAGGAACAGAAAAAGCAGAAGTTATTAAGGAAGAGTAATAGTCTTGTACAATATCGAGGTTAAAAACGATAAAAAGCATGAAGAATGTGGCAAAGTTAATAAAGCAAAGGAGTAAAAATTTCAAGAATAAATAACGAAAGCGTTTGAAAACCAATATAAATAGAATTAAATTGTCCCATTTCGGCGCTGAATGCAAAAGAGAACAGACAGACTCGTACATCTGGATAAGAAAAGCCGGATCGGGAGTTGTTGGAAAGAGGATATTTGGCGAGTTGAAAGCATCAAGAAAATACCAAATAAAAATGTTCAAAGGGTTCAATTTTTGAGGCTTTTTTTCAAACGCCACTGTAAAACATAAAATGTATGAAAATTGAACCCTATCAGAAAGTACCATATTGAAATAAAGAGAAGCACGAGCACAAAATCTTCAAGAAAACTGCATCCCATTGTATTTTATAAATTTTTGTGTCCCCTCTCTCTCATTTTTCTGGACGTAGCTTATTCTATTCTCTACTCATTTCCATTCTAAAGAAAATACGACCTGTCAGAGCACCCATCCATGAAGAGTTTTTATTATAAGATTTTTAAAAAGGACAATTGAATGAAGCTAGGTTTCTTTCTTCGTCTCTGTAATTGAAGTGCCTGGAGCGCGTAATCTCCTCAACTCGTCCTCAACAGCTTGCTCGTTTTTCTTTCTCAAATCGTCGATAAATTTTCGGTCACTGGAGACTTCAAAATTATGACTGAAAAGGGTTGAAAACTAATTTTCGTGAAGAAAAATTGAATTTCAATTCCATTCGGTCACCGCCGAAGGCGTTTATTACCGCGCGTAAATAATTTAAACCCGTAATTATACGTCCATCCTTGTTTTTCTTCAACAGTCTTTCCCTCCATCGCAAGATCAGCGGGGCCTTTTGGCAGCTCTGTCATATCTTCTTTGTTTGGCAGGTTTTTCATTTTATCGATAGCTTGATTTTAGAGTCAGTATCAAAATGCTTTTGATGAATTTATTACCCATAAAATCTTCGTTTCGTGTATTGGGACTGATGACTATTCGCTGATGAGGTAACGCATCATAAACGTCGATGAGTTCATAGTTTTGAGGATGTGGATAGAAAGTCTTAAAAATACTCATTTCTCAGTGATTTCTTGGTGATTACCGGAAAGATATTCAGTCTACGAATAGCTAGTGCAACTCTACCATACACAAGCTCGTTTGAAATCGGCCCATATTTGAGAGAGTCGGGATATTGACCAGCGTTATACGTATAATTATCCGATTCCAGCCAACAATGACCTTTGGGAACTTCGACGTACTCTATCTCTTTAGTTTTGTCATTCTGGATCATAACTTTATCTCCCTCGACGGCGATGCATCTCTTGATCACATGATTAGACTCTCCTTCGATGAGATTTTCAGCTTTCTTTCCAGGATCTTCGAACAGATAGATTTTTCCGCGCACGAGAGGGTCGGCTTTGGCCCAGGGCAAACGAGGCAGAAATAAAACAGAGTCGCCGAAATCAGCGATCCCAGGGTTGAATTGTGGAGACATTGATCGTCCAATAATCGGCGTAATAAAGAAATATTTGAACGCATAAATAGCCGCGGCAAGAAGGGCGAAACGCTTTCCAAAATATAAAATTTCATCAACAAACTGGTCGAAGGAAGATTTCTCTGCAACAGGAGGCGGCAAACTGGCGCTTTCACTCGTTTGGGACTCATTGGACTTTCGCGAGGTAGTGGAAAAAGTACGCAAGCTTGAGGATAATCTAGGTTGAACATTACTTCGAAGGAAACATGGCGCGATTCTCAATTGCCGAACAAGCATAATCATACTGAAATTTATTAATCATCATTTATGAATAAGCCTTATTCTTCGCAATCAGGAGAATAAGAAATTTTGTATTTTATTGTGTGTAAGAGGCAGTGAGGTGTAAAATCGTGCTAAATGTATTTTTCCTAACATGAAAAATTTTCAATAAAATTGAAACTTTAAAATTCGTCCTCATCCATGTCGTCGATGAACTCATCCATGAACGACTTGTAGTCGGCCATGAATCGAGCAACGAAGGCTTCAAGATGATAAATGGGCTTGGACCCAAGATTGCAGCGGTGCTCGAATTCTGCAGCGGCCTTCGCGAGCTTGGTCTTCATTTGAATATCTGGGCAGGATCTTTGAAGCTGCAGGAAAAGTTTCTGAGGATTTTTAGGGGTTACGAAAGGAGATAAGCTGTCTACTTGGAAGATAATGTGCGCGGGGATGAGTCGAACAATCAGTTCATAAAGATTTGTCCGAACGGCTAGAATCTGCGAAGGGGACTGGTTCGCGAGGATCATTTTCCCCGTCTTCTCCAAGAACTCTTCCCAGTCATAAGGGGGCGGGTTGCCGTTTGTGATTCCTTTCACTTTGCAAACCTCACCGAGAAGAAGTGCCTTTCGTAAGTTTCTATCAGCCACTAAACAAATTAAAGAAGCTGACTGAAACTGACGATTTACATTTGACGATTCGATCTAACTGATCATTAGACATCTCAAAACGCTCGTTTTCACATGCTTGAATCAGGCATTGCTTCACTTCCTCATTCGATGGCGCTGAAAAATGATTGACGAAGGATGAATTAAAAATCTTCCTGAAAAACCTTGTACTCGTATTCCAAGACATCTTGAGCGCAAAGCAGGGATCAGCTTTGATGTGGACTCGGACAAAAGAATCATCCTACATGTTGACATGTATTTTTCCATCGTTCGACGGAGTCCATGTTGAGCGTCCTTTGTAAGGCGATTCGCTTCGGTGATAACAATTACCTGAACACACCTTTTTTAACAAACTTCACTTTAGTACTCTCTTTACTTTGAATTGCTTCTGCTTATCTGCGTTCAGAGTTTGACCGCCGGCGATCGTTTTGACTAGCTCTTGAATGACGATTCGATCATGTACTCCAGCGTCGGCAGGGCAAATCTCGATGTGATAATTGCTTAGAAACTTGTTGTATAGGAAGGATTTTCTCTAACTGACCTTGCACAAGCATGAATCTCTACTTTCTTGTTTGACGGAGTGGTGTACTCATGCCGCTCAAGACGCAATTTGTCAACGCCAGATCCGTATAACTCCCGAAGGATGCAATTTATCCGCGTTTTCTACCATCCAAAAGCTCAATAATGATTCAAACCAGCTATTTACCTTTCCAGCTCCGTTCGTTCCCCAAACCAGGAGGTGCGGGAAATCGCCCTCTTTGACCATTCTTTGCAACTGATCCGCCTGCTTTACATTGTAATCCAACTCTTTGAAAGATTTTGGTCGATATCGATCACACCACAAAGACATTTTCTTTCTTTTCTCTTTTACTTCAGCACAAGTTAGCAATGGACAGATCAATTATAAAAATACAATTCATTGGTAGAAAAAATAAACCTTTACAATAGTAATAGTAGTCGTACAGCAAGTCTTAAAAGAATATATAGAATTAACGAAAATAGAGGATTGAGGATGGTTCTCATTGAACTTGAGCAGTTCCGCGTGCGCTTGGCGAGTTGGGGCTCATTGCTTTTCGAATATTTTCCATGAAGTTCTTATCGACGAATTCCTCCGCAGCTGGGACGGTCGTTTGCGTTTTGGATTGCTCGCGCATAATTTTCATCGTCAGCGTTTCCTTCTTGTTCGAAAAACGAGCCTGTTCGATTTGAAGATAAATAGAATGCTGAGTTAAACAAAAACAAACCTTTGCAGTTTCATCTTTCAGGCCTCTTGGTAAGGGAATAGAAAGCATATACTTTCCAGAAACTTCTATTCTTAATTCGGATGCAGAACAAGCAGAGTTGATTTCAGCGGGGTTATTGACTCCCGGAAGAGCAATTTGAACTTTCCAATAATCAGCGTGTTTATCATCGGTTTTGTGTCTAAGAAATGCTATCAAGATTGGATAAAAAAGAGCTTACTTACTCAGGTGTTAGAATTTTTGGTTCAACTTTTTCTGGAATCTCTTCGATAATTGGTTTTCTTCGGGCCTTTGGAGTCTGTGGTCGCAATTTCTTGGTCTTCTCTTCTGGCTCTTTTTTAGGTTCTTCTTTTGGTTGGCTCTTCTCTTCTTCTTTTGAAGCTATTATTTTTGCTTCCTTCATTTCATAAGTCAGGGCTTCTATCATATCTTTGGGGCCGCTATTTTTCTCTGGCTCCGGAGCATCTTCTTTCGGATCCTCTTTGATTATCGAAAGAAGATCTTGATCGGCTTTTCCTGTCGTTTTTCTGAAGCAGTCGATCAAGTTGGTTGGTTTGGGGCCAAAGAATTGCTCAGAGGAGTCGTCCTTCATTTTGAATGTCTTGATCGTATTTGGAAAGAATCGGTATTCTTTGTAATTATCAGCTACAAATTTTGCAACGAGCTGCTTGAACTCTTTTTCCATTTCCGGGCAATCAGAAATTTCTTCAAAAACTTTTGGATTGATGGCGATGCAAGATGCTATTTCGGTTTTGTTGAGCTTTACGAGCTTCGCTCCTGCCATCAGAGACAACGGGCCGTCCGCTTTAGGGTACTGCATTCTCTCCCAAGCAAGAATGTTCACATGCCATTTGAATTTATCAATGTTGGCGGCGTCAATTTGATAGACGACTTTTGGTATTGGTCGAATTTTCTCCAGCTCGATCATCTTTTTCTGAGACGCTTGAATATGGTCTAAAATAGTTTTTGATAAATAATAAATTGGTGAGCAGAGTTTACCCATGAACTTTTTGTATTTTTGAGGGTTGTTGTTTTGTAAATTCGACAGGATTCCCCATACTTTGTTCAAATCCGTCTTGTCGATGTTTGGAAACTCATTCGCAAAATCATTCATTTCGATTTCCTGAATTTTTTCTTTCAATAAAAGTCTTTTGAATAGTTATTGCACTCTTTTTAGTTTTCAGGACACGAGAATAGAATATAAATTGGAACTTAAAATGTATATAAAAGCTGAACTGAATTAACTGGCCAGAGAAAGGGCGAGTTATAAATGGAATAGTTTAAAATTGCACTAGAAAGTTTGATCATCTTTAAAAATATAGTTATTCGCTTGAGAGGAAAGGCTGGTAGGCAAGCAAGGCGTGACTGAGTGGCTCGAGGAGTTGTTGTGGACATTTTTGGATTAGATTGCAGAGCACCGGATACAACTCGTACAATTTCATCGTCATCTGGGAAGAACCCCTCTTGTCTTTGACGATGTTTTGAAGAATAGCTGAAAAAGGCAATTTAGTAGTTAGTCATACTGAGATCGCCTTGCCTCGACATGCTTGTAGGAAGAATGCCAGTTCCGTCAGCATGTGTTCGTCTGACTCCTCCCTGATCTTGCGAATGAGCGACGTACACCTTGAAATAACTGCCAACTGTTGATTCTCTTCCGCTCTTCCCAGACGAATATTCTCTACTAGTTTGATGATGTCTTCGTAAGAATTTTCATCAACTTTTGACTCGTTGCTTTTGATAAACAGTTACTTTTCATGCTCTCCTAGTACAAGTACTGTATTTACCTGATTCCAGACGCCATTTCAAAACAAAGTTTACTGAAATCATCTCTCTCTTGTTGCTGCTGTCCTTTTTCAAGAACTAAAGTCACGTTGTCAATAAATTCCTTCGAGTAGCTCGCTCTGTAAACAAGAATTTCTGACTTGATCAGAAGCGCCGTTTTGCATGAAAGTTCGAGATGGAGAGCAGCATGTTCATTTTCCCAGACGTTCTTAAAACTTAAATGTCATATCCGTGCTATGCTAACTTTTGAGAAAAAGTCTAGACAAATATAAGTTTACGAATGATAAGTTTGAGTCTCAGAAGACGGCTAGATCAGTGCTTATACAGTATGAGTCATACTTTTACTTCGGAAAAACTCCGTGGGTCTGCTAGGAAGTATGGCTAGACTTATTTGTAGATGAATGTACCTCGATCAAAAAACTTTGGAATGAATGAACCACCGTCCTCCAGAGTACATCTTCATCTGTGATACTGGCTGCGAATTGTCTGACAACAGGAAGACCGGTAGACAGGATGGATATGAATACTTTGTGCGCGACGGTCCAAAGGGATGATTTCTCCTAAATCTGTGTAAAAAAAATTTCTTTTCAAGCAGATAAAAGTCAAAAAAAAAGTTCTTGTTTTACCCCTGGGATGTTTGCCGCCTGTCAAAAGAGTTCAAGATGTTCCAATGGCATGTTTTTATAAGGATTTAACTCTAGTTTCTCGAAGAAATTTCATTGACGCTAAATTTGCGTCATTTTCATCAAACGGAAAAGCTGACAGGGATCAAACAATTGTTGTTCAGCGTGAAAGAATACAAGGAGGCGAAGATTTACCTTCATGTCCCAAAAAGGAAGCAGCGTCTTGATTAACTTGGCCAAAATAGAATTCTTGATGACACTGCGGTCACAAGCGACCTTTTGGTAAAGATCGCTCGCGCTCTTCATCAGATGATTGCCTAGTTTCTCAGGATTCGCGAAAAGCCATCGATTGCGTTTTCCTTCTGCTTCTAGCCTCGCATTCATCGGATCAAATGATGGAATTTCGTAGCACAAGGTCAACATCGCGCTTAGCAAGCCAAAGATTTGAGGATAAACATTGTTGATCGTCTGAGAAAATGACATGTTTAGAAGAGAGCAAGTCATTTAAGTAAAATTGACAAGTAAAGATGGATCAAAGAACGATAACTCCCATCTTTGCGCAATTTTTATTGGCATTGATGCTTGGTCAGCGACCTAAGTTAGCCTCGAAAATGGAGAATGCTTGAGAGCCTTGTAGGAAAACTTTAGTTCTAGGAAAACCAGCTAATCATACACAGATGATTGTTTATTTAATTTACCTTGTAAACAGCTAGTTTTTGTAAGCTGATAATGTTCGATAAGATAATCTTCTGCAAATTGGTTAAATTCGCATCGTCGCCGCAGCCAGTGAAGAGAAAAGGCAATGCGTCTGATAAAACAGGAACGGAGATTATTCTGACTAGCATCTCGCAAACACTCTCCATCTGCTCAGAACTCATCTTTTCGCCCAATTTTTCTGTGAAGAGAGGTAGAAGCTCGGCCCAAGATTGGAGAAATTCTTGTCTCGGGACATTTTGAGGATTTTGAGAACCTTCGTATTTCAGGAGGGATTTGTCGCAAATTGATATCCAAACTTGCCACGCGGCAATAATTGCTGCCTGAAGATTCGTCTCTGGAATTTTACCGGAGTTGGATAGATCTTTTTAGAGGACTTAAAATTTCTCTCATGGCAAATGAAGGCTCCTAAAATCGCACGATGCTTAATTTATATATTTGCCAAAGTACTAGTATTTGAGCCGCATTCCTGGTGACGCCTCAAGCAGCTCTTTGAAGGCCTCCAATGCCCCGCCGGAGACTTCCTTGTTGTCTGAGAACGCATATTCCTCGATGTACTGCAGCATTCCTTTCCAGCAACGGACCCATTCCGCTGGATTCAGGCCCGACTTGTTGTCTTTAAAAAGTTTTGTGAGCCCTTGGAGGGTCAGCCTTTTTGTCTCTGCCCATTGCTTCTCAGCTGTATCTCTAGATAAAATGATCTTCAAAGCTCGATTTCCCCGTTTCAATCTCACCTCGAATGATGGACTAAAAAGTTACTTGCTTTCGCACTCTTGGCAGTTTTCTCCTGCTCTTGCATCACGCTTTCGGCATTCTCTAGGATTGGAAAAAGTATTTCCCAAAATAATCGACGCCATGTTTCTTCTTTCAAACTTCCGCCGTGTGCTGCAATCGTTCCAAAGAGTGTTTGACCTGCTGACTTTCGAACGCTTGGCCGTGGGTCAACACAAAGAACGCCTTAATAGATACAGTCACTGAGAGTAAATACAGTATGTCAGGAGGGTCAATTCTATCAGCCGCAGATAAAAGACTGATATGAGAGTGGATTTTCGAGGGATTTTGAGATTAAAAAGTTTTAGATGAAAACAATTTACTTACCAATTGCATGATACAACGCAATCCAGAGATTTTGCAAGAGTTTGTCGTCATTTTCTTCGTCAAAATCATGGCAAAGAAAGTCAACAATTGTCCAAAGAAGGCCAATCGCTGTCAAAGAAATATTTAGACTCTGCTGTTGGGTACCGAATCTCATCGTGGACTAGAAACAAACTCAAGTTCAAGAAGAATTTACAACTTCAAGGGATTGTTTTGACAATCGGGCGTACAGCGTCAGGCTGACAATATACCTCTCAGAAACGCCTGCCTTCTCAAACAAGCGTTCAATAAATAAACCAAACGCACCTGGATAATGAGCTGAAGGTGCTCCGAAGGAGTCGTTGCTAGAAAGTCAGTCACGACAAGCTTTATCGCACGGAATCCAGACTTGACGAGCACCTCGCGCTCGTGATTTTCTGATTTTTGCGCTTCAGAATTCTTCTCCGGAGATTTTTCGGTTGGTGAGGAAGGTTCCAAGAGACCAGTTACAGACAGCTGTCGATTGAGTTTCACGGATTCATTTAGCGCTTTTGAATTGGTTGAGAGTTTAGCTTAGTTTACGAATTTTTGAGTTCAAACTCAGAAAGGAAGCCAACATCTGAGTTCACTCACTTACGAGATGAAAGAACTGCACTTCAAACATTTCCTTGATCTTTCAGAGCTTCACAGGATGCCTGTATAATCTCAAGAAGCACTGGCCACGCACTGGTTAGTTTTTCGCCCCGTGATTCAAGCACTTCTAGCACGCACTGCATCTGTCGAGTTCTGACGTCGATTTTCGGAATTGTCGACATTTCAGAAAAGGCTGCGAGCAGGGATCCGAGATTTTGTCGTCTGGACGATCGCGCACCTAGCACTTCTCTTCAGCGCGCGATAATCATTTTCGCTGCTAGGCGCGCAGCGCGAAAAATTCCCATCGGCGGGCTGGATTAGTCAAAAATATGCCGATGGTTTCCCTGCGCCCTTGCGCTTCAGGAGCGATGATTTTTGATCGCGGTGGGCTCGAGAGCGCGATAACTTATTTTCGGTCACCCTGGCTGCGCGCGACATTATATTTTCGCCCATGAAAATTTCAACATGGGGAGACCCCTTGATACTCGATAAAACACTGTCATTTTGGAGTAAGCTACACGATTAAACGATGGCGCTCGATGTTTAGCCAAAATTTGAAGAAGAAAAAAGCATTTATAAGGAGATTTCGATATATTCAATATAATTTTTATGAAATTTTCGAAATCTGCATGTTCAAAAGCCAATAAAAAGATATTTTTCAGTCATAAATTGGCTTAACAACAGAATTCAATTACTGTAAAAATATTTCTTTTGAAAAATAGTCGGATTTTACGGATATTTCCGGTGCCAAGCGTCACTGTCAGCGATTAGCACGACTTATTTGTAGGCAACGTTGCGGGAGGTCAATACAAATTTACAGTTTGTTTGTCGGCTCTCTTATGAACAACTTAGTCGAATTTAAGTGTTAACAATGTGACATCCAAAAATTGAATTTCCAAAAAAATCTGTCAACTAAGTCAGCAATCTCACGCTGATCATTTGATTCGTGGGCCTTGATTGAAACCAAGCGCCACCATCGCACTCCCGCTCGGCAGATTTTCGACCCTTTTGAAGCATGTGAGTATTATTTATCGGCGTAATAGGGCTGCGCGATCGAAAGTCATCGCCCCCTCGCCGAGAGAGCGAGTTTATACCATCGCGCTTGAACGCTGAGGATTTGAGCGCGCGAGTATTTTTTGTCGGCCTGATAGGGCTGGGCGATCGAAATTCATCGCCCCATCACCGAGAGAGCGAGTTTTTGCCATCGCGCCTAAACGCTGCGCATTTGAGCGCGCGATCGGAATTTTAGCTCCTGCGCGATAACTCAAATCGCGCCTGAAAAGTGGGCGATCGTCCAGACGACAAAATCTCGGATCCCTGGCTGCGAGGACCATTTCCTGACGCCTCTGATTGCTGAATATGGAATCTTCCGCAAAGGCTGACGTGATGAGATGACTGATGCCTTCAGCGCCGACTTTACGAAAATGCATGTTCGTGTGCTGACACACCTCGAGCAAGTGTCCAGTGACTAGCCGCCATATAACTTCCAGGCGATTCAAATTAGTGATGCTCACCTGGACCAGGTTGGCGACGGCTTTATTAAGGATGGATATGATTCAGGGATAAGTGTGATATTAACTTCGATCAAATAATGAAGAGTTTATAAAAGATCAATTTCATTCTGTAAGTATTAATCCCATTCCGAAAAGGCTTGGCTCTCTTGTGGCACTTCCATACGCCTGGTCCATTGTTTCCGTGCTCAATTCGCAAATAGCGTTCACGAGGTGATGGAGAGCAACTTCATCCAGTTTTGAAGAGTTCTCAAATACATCTGCCAATTTCTTCGAAATTTTTGGAATTTCTTGTGAGATCGCTGTTGTCAGAACTGTTGATTGCCCATTTTCCTGTACCTTGGCAGTCATTTCGCCTGTTATTGAACACTGGAAGCCAAGAATCCAAGAAAGATGCTGTAAGGCAGAAAGTACAAGACTCCAAGATTGACCAAGGAGAGGGCCATAATCTGACGCCACGTCGAGGAGCGCGCGGAGCACTTGAATATTCCGCGTTGTCAGCAGAACAAAGCCAGCACCGGAACTCGTTGACGCCGTGAGCGGCTGTCCCACTACCAACACTTGCCCGCCTTTAACACTTGATCAGAAACGAAGTTACCGATAGCAAATAACCTGATGTTTGTTCCCCAGCATACGACTTTTCATGATAGCCTGGCGGAAGGGCAAATCTACAAAGCGTGCCGACCAAGGCTTCCCTTGGACTGTCCATGTTTAGCCCGCCTGCGACCGCCGTCAGGGCCGTCATCAAATCCAATACCGAACTGAAGGGGCACTTATCGAACGCTAGTTTGTTTGATCTTACTTGACAGTGTTCTCATCTGGTGCTGCTTCGAAGAGCAAACTCAATGTCTGCAACAATCCGGACCAGCCGGACATGATCATTTGGCGAAGCGTGTTTTCTGTTTCGTTGATTTCGTGGATGGGGACATTCGCGGCGCGGCGCTTGATCAATTCCTTATCGCCCAGGTCGATGATAGCGGTGGCAATGTCGAGAAGACATGACATTGACATTCGAAGAACATAATCCTCAGATACAAATGGGATCTCGTTACGCTCGGTTGAAGCTTTTTATTAGGATGTTTAACATGTACGGGGGTTTGAATGATCAATGGGATACAAATGTTAAATGAACACGAAGGAAAAATTATTTTGAGAGGAAATATATTGGAATATAAATTGGAATGTTGCAACTTGTAAATAAATTTTAAATTTGTGTTAAACAACTTTACTTCAAGATAGTAATATTTTGTTCCTCCTTCGACCTTGTTTTTCATCGAGTTTATCAATCAAAATATTTTAAAACTGAAAATGGTAGGCATTGAAAAACAAGTGAACCTTGAGTTTCCGAATTGAGAATCAACTTGTTGATGCTCAAATCATCGAGAATTTCCGCATCGCTCGGGCTCTCTGGGTCTTCTTTGTTTCGATAAAGCTTGTGGAACTTTGATGACGTAACCGAGGCAAGTGCATTGATCAGCTCTTGAAAAACGGGAGTTGAGCCATTTGATTTATTCTGCAAGTCGTATTGCTGACAAATATCCCGTAGTTGCCTTGGTTTCCAGCAAATCTTGTGTAGAACTTCAACTGCAATCGCCTGCTGCCACTGCTCGCCAGAAAGAAACTTGATTAAAAAGCTGAGAAAAATCTCCGACTCGGTCTTGAGCACGCTGTTGTATCGCTCAAGCATGATCGCGACGACCTTTAAAATCTTCGTAGCGATTACATAATGCTCCACTTTGGCCTCGATCGAGAGCTGGCTCTGGAGATTCCACTTAGGCGAGAAGTTTTTGATGACGATATTGCAGACGTTTTCTTTTAGTAAAAATATGAACTGTGGAAAAGCGAAGAAAATTTCGACGTATTGATTGAGGACGGCCTCCATCATTTCAAGGCAGAAGCTCGGATGAACTGATTCAGAATCAAGAGCGACCAACCATTTTGGTTCATCCCCGCACGACATTAGGCACAAATCGAGGAAGAGACGGCAACCATCTTGGCCGAACTCGTCCAGGTCTTCGATATTATTCTGTTTGACCTTTTCACTTGACTCCTTGTTGCGGTAAGGGTAGACAAGGCCATTGGCAGGAGGTACTGGAGCGTCTATTCTGTCGAGGACGGTGCACACGGCCTGACGGATAATGGCCGACGCAGTGTGGTTCACTTGGAAATCGCCTCAATCAAGTCTTTTCTATCTGTGGATAAAATAAACATAATATATTCCGAGTCTTGAAGAAAGCCTTTCCTGAACCTAAAAGACGAAAACACAGAGCCAAACAATTAGACAAGGTCTTGCCCCGAACACAAGTCGTCGTGGAAAGCAACAACATCGAAGTCTGTAAAATTCTGATGCTGTCAAAGTTCCATTCCATCAACTGGGCCAGCATTGAGACAATGTTTGCTCCCGCTTGAGGACTGACGATTTGGTGCGTAATTAGGCGCTGGATGCCACTGACACAGAGAAGACAAATGTCTTGAACCTTGGTGTCGCATCCCATCAAAAATGGTTGAAGGACGGTGTTTGAATGTTGCCTCAAAGTGTCTAGCGGAGAGGATGATTTGGATTTGGTGGCGGCGGAGGAGAGGGTCTTGATTTTGAGAATCGCGGATTCCGCTGCTTCTTTGATAGGGCCAAAGCGCTTTCTTGTGTCATTGCTTTTGAAAGAGGTCTGTATAAGTATGAGGAACCTTAACTGACGAATAAAATATAAACAAATTGAAAAAATAACTATTTGAGAAGGTAGTGCACGTTAGCCCGAGTCTTCCATTTTTGGATATGCGAATTAATAATAGTAATTACTTGGGAAATTGATTACTTCATAAAAAGACCACAACCTGAGTTGTCTTAAATCACTCTGAATCAATTCTATGACAGCGGCATCATGATCAGCTGGAGATTTGACAGAGGGAGAAGCGGAGAACATCATCGATTCCTTGCCATAAAATCCGAAGCTTTCGACCGTATCTAGAATCCAACGGTCATGCTCGACATTCTCTCTTAACAAAGCGCACTTTTTAATCCCATCACAAAACACACACTGAGAAAACTAATCCATTATAAAAATTTTTCGAGAATTTTAAAGAAACCATAACTTCCGCTATTCGAGCGGTTAAAAACCAAGATCTTCTCCAAACCACTGGATAATCTCTTGTTCAATTTGTAAAAATTATCCATTTAGGTTCGAAAAGTTGGAAAAACTTTCGGAAGTTTGAAATTTTCGAGGACTCTTGAGCGCGTCCTGGACGCGCTTTCGTCGCCGCGAGCCAATAAGAGCGCGGGAAGAAATGGAACGCAACATTGAGCGAGTTTTCAGAAACCATAATCTCAATTTGAGACTTTAAGTTAAAATGATAAAAATATAATTGACAAAGTTTCAGTGATTACGATAAAATAAATCTCATAAATATGGAGTTGGTGGAGTTAAGAATGGATAGAAAATCCCATAATTATGTCTCTAACTTTAGATTCAATTGAATCTCTAGAACACTCTGTATTATTATGAATTTTCACGATTGTCTAATCAGTTTTGAAAATCCACGAAAATGGCCGCTGAACAACCCCAATTTATCAATACGTACAGATCAGAAGTCTGTTCTAGCGCCAAGGTACTCATTATAAAATTTCCTAAATCTCGGACTGTTTAGGAAATTCTGCATCAAACCATTCCTAACAAGCTGGAGAAGCTCGATGAACTTATTGAAACGAATGCTATGCTTCAAGTTGGTTACTGCGACGAAGCCAGACAGTTTTCAGTTGGTAAGAAACCATTCAATTAGATTGAACCTAACGATAAATTAGATTCTCTTGAAAAATATGAAAACGCGCTGAAAGAGATGGAAGCAGAAAAGCAGATGGAAGAGGAAGCAGCCGATGAAGATGACGAAGTCCCAGTCAAAAAGACGAAAATCGATGCTTCATCCGAAGTTTCCGTCGGTCTTTCCAAATCGAAGGTTAATTACCGGAGGATTATCCTCTTACTATAACCGGATTTTATATTCCATTCTAGGCTTCGCAAATGTCAGAAGGCGCTGTTGACGAGCGACTCCGAATCCCAGTTAATAAGCACATTGTCGACTTGTACAACATTCTTAAACCTGAGCTGATCGAGCTTGGTAAGTCAACACGGGCACTTTAGCCCGCAACGTCACACATTGCTTTAGGACAGCACTGCCAGCAGCTCAAGGACTGGATTACCATTCACGTTCCTCGACACGAAGATGGCAATAACTTTGGCGTTGAGGTCCAGGAGGAAGCACTCAACGAGTTGCAGGTACAATTTGCTCTTGATTGAAGAAGATTTAATGTCATTATTACTAGGCAATCAAGGAAGAAACGACGCAGACGATCGACGAGCAGTCTGCGTACCACATTGCACGAGCGAATATCATGGAAAAGATCGTTCAAGAAAGCAACATCGAAGATCTCAAGGTAGAAACCTCCAGTCTCGTTTGGGAAAATTTAAATTTCTATACAGATTTTTGTACTCGACGAGGATGAAAAACAGTGCCGTCGATTACGAAACGTCGCAATGACTGTGCGCACAAACTACACGACTATCCTCGATGTGATAACAAAGAACTACGATCGACTCACCAACCCAAGAGGAAACTCTGACGCTTCTGTCATGTACTAAAACAAGAAAGCTGTTCATAAACTGATTCTTTTCTTGGCTCGAGAAGCACTGTATATTCTATTTATCTAAATAAAATATTATTTTTATAAAAAACTGTAAATGATCCAAAAGAGAAGGGTCATTTACTAACGCGTCAATCTAGTTCTTTGAGGACGTTTTCGGTACAAAGGAAAGGACGCATTCATTTTTCATTCTGATTGTCGATCTGCCTGATTTACATAAGCTAATTAGGCCTGGAATTTGGTAAGTAATTAGATCATCCATTCTCCCGTGTTATCAATTCATCATCCCTGCCTGAGCGCGCTCCCCAACGTAGTGTGCTAATCCTGAGCGCGTCTATTATTCTCCTGCCCCAAGTACGTAGTATAAGCACAGAGAATACAGAAACAAGAGAGGGTCACCTTGCGCCAGCAGAAAAGAAACTGATAATTTCCATTTCTCCTATTGACGTTACTGAGAATGTCGAACTTCTTCATGAGCCTGTGGCACCCAATCGACGAATGGCAAATTGGTGGAAACTGGCTTCAAGCTAACGGTATGATCCATTCATTTTTTCCGTAAAACCCGACTGAAAGTAATTAGGTCTACGCGTTGAAGATGTCACCCCAGACAAGGCGACGATTCCATTCTATTGCTCACTTGGCTTACTTTTTTTCGGAAAGTTGATACCTTACTTCATACTCGCTGTCTAGGTCCTAGACTCTAGGATTAAATACCTTATCCTACATGAGTAAATTTCATACGGTATGATTCATACCCAACACCTAATAAAACCTCTAATCATTAGAGTCTAACGTAAAAGGTTATCTCATTTGAGCTATCTTTCCTTTGCTTCTCACGTGCGCCAGATGCTGCTGCACAGACAAAGAAAACAAAAACCCCTCAGAAGTGTAAGTTAGTCTTCTATGTCTTCATTATTATGAAATCGATTCTTTTCTAATGCTAAGCAATTTCACAGTGGCGCTACCACGGCTGCATCACTTCTTACAACAGCTGCCGCTCTCGTCGTTTTCTTCAGTTACAAATGCGACAGTATCGAATTCCTCCAAACTGGCATCATCCTCTATTACATAACGATCTTCTTGAGCCTTGTTGAAGCTATTCTGCTCTTTTGCGCATTTGGAAGGGCTTGTTGCGACAGTCAAGGATGTGGAAGCAGGCTGAACACTTTTTTGACATATGTAGTTCAGGTAAAAAATATTGAAATTTTTCAATTCAGTGAGCGTGAAAGAAACAGATGTTATCTTAACAACTTGTTAGACAAATGTTATAATTATAAAAAAATAATCTATTCTTATAAAATCATTATTTCAGACCCTCCTTCTTTTATTACAAGTAATGGTTATTATCTTTATCTGCATTTACGGAACTGGACGTAAGTAAATATTTCACCTCTCAGGAAATCTATACCAATTTAGCTGCCTTTGAAAACATCATCAAAGACACCGATGGCGGTCAAGAATTGCTTGACAAGCTTGAAGAGGCTCAGAATCTCGCAAACGAGGGAATTCAACGACATGAGTTCACTGCTTCGAGCAAAAATTAAAAGTTACTTTTTTATCCGTATGTTTATTATTATGAACAGTTTACAGATTATTTTGAAGCAGCATTGATCAAATTGCAGTATTGTTGGTACTGTAACATAGCTTGATACTGAGAAATAGGATTTAGCAAGAATGGTGCCGAGTTTGATTGAACTAAGGGCTGATGATATCCGCGCTGGTTGGTCATCATGTTCTGCATTTGTAAGAATGAAGCCGTGTTGAGAGGGTTCCCGATCGGAAAGCTCAAGCTTTGGGTTCTTAGATTCGGCAAGGATGTATTCGGGAAAAAACTCGGAGGAAAGGACTGCGATGAAGTAGACAATGGCCTCCAAGAAGGTGACACGGACTTGGTAGAAAAATCAGGCGAAAGCGAAGGCTCTTTCTCCAAAGGCTTTGGAATCGGCTAAAGAAATATGATAATGACACGAGATTGATGGTAGGGATCTTACCATGGTATTAGTTGGGTTGAGGCGAATGATGATTTCTTCGACATTTTTAGCTGGAATGCCGTGCGTATCACAATGGCGCTTGAGAGTACCGATTTGGATGAATTTTTTGAAGCAGATTTTGCATTGGTAGCGCATTTCTCCTGAAAAGAAATTAAGGCCCAAGTTGATTATTGTTTTCCAAACCAGAATGGGTGCGCATGTGGTAGGTGTAGCCAGGACGTTGGGCAAAGCCTCGATGGCAAATTCGACATGTGTATGGCTTCACTCCTGTGTGCAGGCGCATGTGTGTGTCCAAGTATCCAGGCGTCGAGAAAGATTTTTCACACAGCTTACATTTGTACGGCTTGGAGTAGCGCCCGTCGCGTTCCCTGTCGCCTTGAGGAGGAATCGGCTCAGCAGGAGAATATGTGGCTGGCAGTTGGTATTCCAGTGCTCTGAACGACAAAATAAGGATTTTGAGATTAAAACTTTTACTTACGAATTCGGGTAAAGTGGATTCGTATCGATCATGTCCTCGGATGGTTTTCTCGGCGATTCTTCTAAAAAAGGAATTAGTTTTTGCAGCCAAGATTTTAATTTTTTCAACTTTGCTCAAGTACTGGCACTCGTTAATTAGGAAATTACTCACCAGGCTGTGAAGTGCTCTCCTCAGAAATTTGCATTTTCTTCGCGTTGACGATCTAAAAGAGGCATAAATAAAAATTTGAATAAATAATGAGAGTGCAGAGCGTCAGGAAAAATTCGCCACTGCCGGTTTTTTTAGTACTGTAGTAAACAAGAAAAGAGGCCAGGGTCACTGGCCTGGGCAGTCAGACGTCGCGGCATTTCTCGATAATTTGCCAAAAACAAAACAAACAATTGTTGCCATTATATTTATAAAACGGAGATTAGTAGTAACTTGCTGTCGTTTTTCAAGGGGGTCGCGGATTTGCATATGTAGAAGGTATACTAAATACTTGTTTGGGAAAAAAGCTGCGGCTCCTTTTCCACAAAAATTAGCAAGCTCAGAGCCTGCTTAAAAATATTCGTTTTTGCAAAAATGAATTGGCAATTTGTGCTTTTTTTTCTTACCTCTTGGATTTGAAGCGCACTGAGTCCGGAGTTGAGAAGTTTTTGGCACATTAAATATCTCGCATCGTATGAATTCGGTCTCATTCCGACCCCATCGTCTCCGATGGCGTAAGGACTGTTACGAACTGTAGTTTGATCCATTTTACTGCGTTTTGTTGCTCTAAATGAATCTTTTAATACACTGAGAAATCGAGAAAAAGAGTGAGATTCAGTTTTTATAAAACATAAATTTGTATTATTGCTGCGGCGCCTCCCGTCTTCCGCAGCCGTGGAAAACTAATTTTACGAAAAAAACAAACTCGTTAATGCCTTGTAGATATTTTTTTTGTTGCGATCAAAACAGATGAAGTTTTTGGCTTGATGAGAAAAATGAAATGTTCAAATGAATGTATATCCGCGCGCTTAAAAAATAAGCAAGCTGATGAGCGAAAATGCTGCATGAACGGAACTCTGGCAACCGAATGTTTTTCAATTTCCGCCGCGCACAACCTAAATTTTTTGGCTTTAGCTGTTTAGCCGCAGATCTAAACAAAAAACTGCTTTTAGCGGAATGAAAACTTCATTTTCTCAAACCCGGGTTTTTTAATTACTTTTATAATTGAATTAAAAGTTAAAAAGAATTAATATTTTCCGACTACCATTCTGAGACTTACTGTAATCTTGTGAACAAATAAAAATATGAAGTCTTCAATTTTATGAGATCTCAATTTAAAATTATTGAGGTTTGTTTTTATCATCACTTTCGGCGCTTTTAACGATATTTCAAATGGCGCCTCTAGGGTCACACTTTACCTTTTTAATTACTTTTTTCTGTGCGCTACTCATCTTACATGTTACTTTTATAAGACTGTGTAACCTGGAAGGAAATTTTCCAGCCTTGAAGGAAAAGAGTCCGGAAATTTCCGGAGTCCAAATTTCCGGACATTTTTCAGATTTTAAGGCATCTTAGTGGGACACTACAAAATCGACCATTGTCCAAATTTCCGGACTTTTTTTCAAAATTTTATTGATTAGTCATCATTTTCTCTAAAAAAGGAATCAATTTTCGCTTAAATTAACTTCTTTTTGGGCGCAAGCTGAGCTTGTTCGCGAGGTTGAAGAAGAAGAGTAAAAACTAAGGGTCATTAAGTGGTTTTTCTTTCATAATCTCTTTGTATTGACCCTGTACCAACGCTTTTTAAGAATACTTGGTGGGACATAAAATTTTTCCGGTGACCTAAATTTCCGGACATTTTTTGGAAACCAGGGGACAAAATTAGTCCGGAAATTAGGAAACCAACTGTACTTGTATTGAATTCTCAGCGCATCTTACATGACAGATAGGACCAGGTTTTTCAAAAGGTCAAAAGGAAATGAGGAATGAATTTGGGGAAATGAGACCATGAAGCGAAATAATTTCGCCGAAATTTCTATTTTATCTCAATAATGGAAATGGAAGGCGCTCTAATTTAAGGAAGACTTTGAGTTATATTACCTTATCTTATACATCGTTGCAGGTTATTTCTGTTGCTCTTTCAATAACTGTAATGAGTAAGTATAATTCTCTTATTAAATGTTACGTTTTCAAGGATTAACGGTTTGCTTAAATCTTTCCACAAGCTATTGTTTTTAGTGAGCGCTGGTGGAGGTGCTGCACCACCAAAACCAACAGCGCCATAAAAACTAAAGTGGACACAATACTAATTAATTCATAAACGAAATTTTCAGAAACAAACGGTAGTACAAAAATAATTATCGTAAAGAGACACATCAAAGATAAAAATTTCTCCTTCTCGGAGACACACTTGTCAAATTATCTTTTCGAAATTTTGCACTTCAAAAATCGTAAAAAATAATTAAAAGCGATTTAGTGCTCCTTTTTTGAGATCTTTCGGTTGATATTTTATAGGCTTATAATTTTAACTGGACTTGTGAGAGAATTTTAACATCGAATTTGATACTTTCTTTGTCTTGCTAAAAGCGTTCCACTCGATTACGAGACTATCATTTGACCATGTCAGCAGGCGGAGCTCGCCCAGGAAGCATTTCAAAAGCAAAGACAATTTTTTTATTTCATATTGGAAATGCCACCTTAGTTTCATTTGCTTCAGCAAGAGTACAGAAAGCGCACAGCAAGAACAGAAGAGAAGCAAGAACTCTCAAATATGAGCTCAAACAACTGGACCAAGGCAAGGAACAGCTCACTTTTATTGGTCGGGAAACCCCTAATTCTAAGCCTAACCGAGGTAAGACCTTCTTGCTCCCTAACGGTTAGGGCCTAACCCGACCGATAACAACACCGCTACAGTATAAAAGTTCCTCTCTAAGAGAAGAGGTAAGGGTAACAATATCTGGTATTCAGCGCGTTTATTCCATAGAATCGGGATCATACCTATCTCGGATGAAATTAAACAGATGAATCTTACTCTCAAAACGCTAAAGTTGCACACCGGATGGCTCAACGAGGAGGGACGAGGATCATCAGCGTTGAAAAATTTTATTAAAAGTGAGCGCACATTTATGGAAAGAGATGACGAGATATACTGATTTTAAGATGGCGAGATGACAGGATTCAAAAGGAAGAAAGCTCTCGCTGTAAGTCAAGTTTATTCTTCCACCCGAGTTTCCAAAAAGCTTCAAGGAATGATTTCATTGTTATTTCTTTTACACTTTTTAACAGTATGAATCTCACGAAGCTACGAACTTGCACGAAGAAAAACTGGCGAAAGACATGAACAATTTTCTATCTGTCATCAAAATCTGAAAGCTAATAAAGAGCCGGTCTAAGTTTTCTAGGAAGGAATATTTAATCCGCAAACGGAAAAATTCCTGTCAACGTATGAAATCAGGAGGCTCAGGGATAATCCAGCATTTGAGTATGTAATCGAGCTCAACTGGTCTTTAATCGAACGCGTCACGTTTTCGCGCCACCTTCATAACCTGATCCCTCGTATCCAGGGCTAAGAAACTCTCCAACGCAATGTGCTGGACTAAAAGGTGTCGAATGTAAAATCTGTTCCATAAGGTCTTCTCTCTCAAAAAACTATTATTTATTATTTCTGAAAATATGATAAACGTCGAATCAAAAATTTGCTTATCATAAATGTGCATGTAATAATTATAAAAAATTGTAATATTACATTTATGTGTTCATAAATGAAAAAATTGATAAAACGAACTTCGTTTGGTGATTCAGCTCACGATATAAACTTGATATTGCGGCTGGTATTACGTATAATTTATATCTAATTTCTTTAAATTGTCTGTCCCATAGTTATTAACGCGTCATAAGTCGGAGAGTTAAACCTCAGTCGTTCTGATATGACGTTAGGTCGTTAGTTTTTTAGCTTTTTTCCGAGATATTTGCTAATCATCGTTGATTTCCTTGTTGACATGTATTTCCATTTTTGAAGCTAGTGGGTCTTTGAATGTTGATTTTTCTCTTCAATGCTCAGGTTTCTACAAGACTGCCAAAATAACGTTGCCATTTTTGAGTTGGATTACGCGTCGGCCAGCTGGAAACCTTGGGTTTGGCTTAGACTTAACGTCCGACGAGCCTATCAGGTGTCAAGCTTACACCTTAGTACCCAGCGGTTATGGCGCGCTCAACAGCGCCAAAGTGATAGATCACGATACTCGAGCAATGTCATGCTTTGCAGATCAGAATTAGGAATCAACCGATTTTTAGAATGATCTCCACACGAAAAATATTTAATACAGTTTTTACCCTTTTTTCGACGCTAACAGAGGCTCAGAATATCACCGCTCGAAATGGCTTCGTTACTTGCACTGTGCCAGACGCGGGCAAAAATAACCTAGAGAATTTGCAATGCAGCGATTCGCAGTTCGAAATCGACGGGACGATCAAAGAAAGTACAAAATGCACGTTTGATTGTATGGACGGAATGGCTCTTATCGGCGATGTTTCCGAATTGGTTTGTAGAGACGACGGAAATGTCGAGTTTCTCGGCTTCTGTAAATGCGCCGAGTGTTGCGATGCTCCGCCGTATAAGCCCGATCTGAGCATTACCTGCTCGAATGGGTACAGAAAGAAGTCAACGTGCGAGGTTTCATGTCTAACTGGAGTTCTTGATCCAGTCGACAGTCCAACGACCATCACTTGCCAGAAAAAAGAAAAACTTTGGACAGCTCCTTGGCCTGATTGTATCTCCGGAGAAACAACCACGGAAACAATCACCACAACAGAGGCAGTAACAGAAACGACAGCTGAACTAACAACACAAACGACCTCTTTCGTTTCTACGTCAATTATTACAACAACAACAACTGCACCGCAAACGACTCTTGCAGATAACGAAGACAACTCGATTGTTGGCCTTAGAATAGAAATTCTCGGTCCGACGACCATTCAAATGACCTGGAACGATTTGAGCAACTTCGGAGGTCAGCGAGCATCAGGAAGCGTGCAAAATATAACGGTACTTTTGAACTCGATCATCTTGACCAAGAAATTGATATAGATAGTAGCGATAGATCAGTTTGGCGATTCCACGGAGATTCCGGTTATTGATCCTTCTTGGACTGGTTACACTTGGACAGGAGCAACTTCTGGCTTCAAGTATTTGATAAGGAATGGCAATTAAAAAAGAGCATCTAAGAAAATCCGTCATTTTCCGTTATTTCAGCCATAACTATTTTTTCAATGATTAATTAGCCACACAAAGCATGAAAATAGTACTAACAAGTGGCCAAGAGTTGAGTGTGAAAGCGAACGCCTCCTTGATTGATCCGAAAAATGAAGACCTCTACAAATGTATCGTTTGTAACTCAAAAGTGGGTAATCAAGGTATTGTTCAACTCAAATGATTCAGATGTTCATACTTCTATGTTCTAGCTTGTAACGATGAAAAGAAACATTGCGATATCAGCAAGGGTCAGATGTGCCAAACAGTAGTAAGGGCTGAAAATGGCCTCCCTGCTCGATTCGAAAAAAGATGTAAACAAAAACTAGCGTGCGAGAATCAAAGGGCGATGTTCAAAGCAATGGGCCTTTGTGGCGGGGGCCAGAGGTTTGTTTTTAATTTCATGAAAAAGGTTTGATAGATGTTATTCAAGGAGAACGCTCGTTGATGTTTGCGTCTACTGTTGCGAGGGAAATTTTTGCAATGCAGAAGGATCATTCAGCAATACAGTGTAATTCATCAAGCTGCCTAATTTTAATTTGTTAGAACATACGCCCAGGAAATTGAAGAGAAGTTCCATCATGTAATGTTCCTGTACATATCAATAAACGATCAAGAAATCCATCTTTTGATTGTTACATATTGAGCAGAAAAACAAACAAAAGAACAGCGGAAGAAACGGCTGTAGCAAAGGCTGAATCCAAGCTATAGAACGTACATCCGTCACGCGAGCATGTCGTGCCGCAAGTCTGAAATTCTGATTACTCTTACCGTTTTAATAAAGTTTAAGGGTATATGAAGGAGTTTAAGAGGGCGAAAGAATCGATTGCGGAAGTAGGGTTTTAGAAGAAATTTGAACCCACCTCTATTAGGATTTTCGCTTGACCAGTTGATGCGGTGAAGCTTTGCCATTTCATTGCCTTAATTTTGTTGTCAGATCGGAAACGATTTTTTACTTTTGAATCAAATCAAGGGTCTTTACTTCGAGTTTGCTGGCGACTCGTCCGACGTAAATCTCTGAGCACTCGTTTTTCGGCATAATTTCCTTTCTCGAAACGCATCCGGCTTCTCTGTAAACTTCGACGCTTGAAATTTATGTTTTTAAAATCACAGTTTTTTTGTTGAAAAATTTAGAAGAAAAAGTGACTTACTCGTATGGGCTGCGCACACCGAGGTTTTGCGAGATTGCATATTTTCTGAAATTGTGTTAGAGCAAAATCAATTAATTATGGTTTTCTATTTTGCTTGCCTTGTCTCGTTATAGTAGCAGACTGGATCGGTGAGATAGCGACAAGTTGCGTATGTTCGCTCAAAGTTACCATCGCAAGGACCGCTAAATAAAATGGCTAGACGTTGACGATACTTGGTATTTAAAATATGGAATTTTAAGTTGAAATCAACGATGACTACTCTACTTTTTCGTAAAATGAGCTTTTCGAATTCTCTCAAACAAATGCTATTTTCAGTAGACTCAGAATCTCAGATACTTACCCAAAAACTGTACCACATTGATAGCACTGCAAGGCCTCCAGTGATCCAAGTGCAAGAAAAATAAGCTTGAAGCTCATCTTCTAGTATCTCTTTTTTGAAATACTTTCTCCCGGGATGATCACTAAGATTGATCCTGCGAACTCTCCTCAACCATGAAAATCACTTTTGGCAGATTTCTGAAGTTTATGGTCCGAAAAGATATGAATAAGACTTATGAAACTTTTATTTTCGGTGCTTTCTTGTTTTATTGATGAGTTTGGGAAAGCAGTTTTGTGAAGAGCGCTATTCATACTTGGAATTTCCGTATTTGTTCGATTTGAAATGTCAAATGTGCGAGATGTCAAATGTCAGATATTCAAGCTGTGAACATGCGATGACTCGAGCTGTAGAAAAAAGTGGAATGTACAGTTATTTACAGATTGAGATACAAATTCGTAAAAATAATGGTTTGTTTTTGATTCGTTTAAAAAGGGGAAGAGAAAAAATGATAAATCACGTGAAAAAATTAGGTTGCAATGACAAGCTCTTCATAAGAGACTTATCAACTTCATGAACTAACATTCTCCCAGATTTCGGACATCTTCGCTCGCGCAGCATTCTTTGTAGTCAGGGTTGTAGGTTTTCCCGGCGCAACAGGACCTTTCCGTAGAATGATAAGGGAACCTTTCCGGGTATTTTCCACAACATTGATCGGGTGGCATCTCGTGCTGCTGGTCGTATCCGGTGCATCGGCGCGGATCGTACATCCAATAGCGAGGCTTGTAACCCTTCAGCGACTCGATAATACTCGTTGTTACTTGAAAAACGATTCGTTACAAAAAGTATGAATATACGTTAATGTACCCATATTAACATCGCACTGACAAGCAAGCCACGCACATGAGCCAGGTGGGTCTTTGCACATCAGTCGGCGCCCTAATTTTCATGTTAACACAAAAAATATAATTGTTTCTGGAAAGCTCTCATCCTTTGCTATCTGATAATCTGAACAACAAATAGAGAGTATGAAAAGAGAGTATCTCTTTTACTCTTCTTGTCCAATACGTGATTCAAAAGCAACATACCATTCTGGTAGATTTGACCGTAAACTCGGTACGGCTGAGTATGCGGATTGCACTCATAGTTTGTATCCAACCCAACGCAGTTGAGACAAAGCTGAATATATAAAGTAAATTTCTTCGGAGAATCTCCTTCGTTTCAAAATTTTAATTGAACCGGTAACGAGACGGAAGTAAGCAACGTAGATGACATTTGGAGAAACGTCAGCATTTCTGAATTGAGCACAGCGTGGGAAAACTTGATTACCTGATGATTCCTACATGTAGCATCAATATTGTCGATTGGCTGACCGTAGCCCATTATAAGCTGAAACAAAAATAGGCTTTGACGAAAAATTTAAACTTACCTGGCCTCTTGGAAAACACCAACAACCATATTGAACCAAATGAGCGGGTCTAAGTCGATATCCGACCAAATAAAATGTGTACTAAAGTTCATTTCAAATTTGGTCGTTACTCTACCTAAAAATCAAAAGTCTCAATTTACCAGTCGCCGAAATTGGCGCAATTTCTGAAATCTATCCTCTTCGGATAATTTCAAATCAAAACCAGTCTCCGCTAGAAGATCGTCGAGGGTGATTTCGCCACTTTTGACCGCCTCAGGAAGATCATAAAGATCGGCACGGGCGGCAAAGCTTCGATCAAGCCCTTCGCTCAGGTCAACTGTTTTTATATAAGTTTCGTTTTCTCCAACACTGCCGATTAATTCCGAGTAGTCTTTGTTGTTTTCAATAGACGGATTCAAAGAACATTTTTAAAAAATTATCAAATTTTTAAGAAAAATTAACTTATTCAATGAAACATATTAATTGAATATTTGCCTAAAATTTCAAGACTTTCAAATAACAAAGCTACTGTTAAAATTGTGATTTTCTTGAAAACTTTCCTTCATAAGTATCGTAGTAGGCAAATCCATCGACCTTGGCTGCTAGCAATAAGACTGAAATTTCTCTGAGCCGCATTCCATTCCCGCGGCTTTTTTGGAAAACAAATTCTCCCTCCTCTCAAAGAGCAACGTCCGATTTCTGCCATGCGACGGAAATCTCGTCGAATTAGTGCCATGCAGCGCCATCTATCGAGAAGGATCAATCACGATCGAAGCCGCCAAATTGCATGCGGTTTTAGACACGCCACTGTACGCCAAATTAGCAGCAGTGGCAAACGTAAGACTTGGCCGCCGATTTCACAGTTACGGAAGTGCGCAAGACAGCGAACTTGATTGTTAATTAGTGACAATTTGACGGGCCGATGATTAAAAGTTTGGTCTGCGAAAATGCTCCTGTGAAACACCTTGCTTTCGCTACAGTAAAAATAAAAATGACTTCGCCATTATAAATTTCAATTTGAAACCCGCTCAAAGCAAGAATTTCTCTAGACGAAAGTTTCAATTATCAAAAATTTTCACTAAAATCTTCTAGAACAAAAGTTGTTGTGAGGGCTTAGAAACAGAATTTGGTCAGTCTCAGGATTTTTCCTGGTCCGGCAGCGAAAGAAACAAGGTGAGAAGCCCCGTTTTTAATCAATTATTGAAATTATTATTTAGAAGAAAAAGAACGGAATGACCGTTCTTCAGCGGTCAGCAACCCATAATGGGGTTGGACTGGTCGAATTGAGGCTTCTTCGAAAAGACGGAAGAAGGTGAATTACCTGATGAAATATCAGGTCCTCTTCGGTTTTGTTGCTTTCGACAAAAAGCAATAAAAACCTATCTCCCTTTGGGGTGAGCAACAAGAATTTATATTGCAAAAAGCAATAAAAACCTATCACTTTTTCAAACACTTGTCTTCTGTGTCTTTCTTTGCAGGATGTTAGCTTAGATAAACAACGGTTCTAGAGCGAGTAGACAGATGATGTTTAAAATTGGTTGAACTTGACATCACCGCTAGAGGAGAAACAATATTTGTTTCTAAAGAGCTACTGAGGAAATTAAATAGCTCTCCGAAAATTAATTCGTCAAGTTTGGGTGTAATCTGGTTACCACGCTCAAATCGGTGAAAAAGTGCTCCGTAAACGCTTTTCTGAATCTTGTTCAAATTTTAAGATTGTTTCATAACGCGATAGAAGGAGGATCAAGGTTAAATTTTAACGATAATCGTGAAAGAATCTTGCCAAAATCGCAAATATTGGCGGTTCAAAATCGCGTTTCTTACGATTCCTGATCTCTGACAGAAATGTTTAGCGATTTCTTTTTTAAAGAGTACGAAAAAGAATACAAAAAGGAAAAGACACTTGGACACGTGGAAAAAGGCGTTCTAGGAAAAACGATTCTAGCGAAGAAGAAGCAAGGCAATGATCTTATCAAAGAGGGAACGCTCGTTGTCATCAAACATATTGAATTGAGCAGGAATAGAGAGAAGGCAAAGAATGAACTTGCGAATATTAGACTCGAAGCAGCCCGTCTGAAAAAACTTGTTCATCCATTTATCGTCCGCTACTTGGACGAGCACGAATCTGGCAAGCAGGATTCTCGCTTCCCAGAGAATTTTGGATCGTAATGGAATACTGTGAAGGTGGTAGCCTCAGATCTACAATCGAAAATGCACTTCAAAGAAGTAAACTTATCAGTCTTTTTTTACGAAAATAATAATTTTATAGACGTTAAATTGAACGAGCAAAGCATATGGAACTGGTTCACGCAAATCACCATGGCTCTCGAATTCATTCACGAAAAGGGCATCATTCATCGTCTTGTGAAACCTGAAAACATTCTCTTCAATCGCAAGAAAGAAAGATGCAAATTGGGAGGTTTTTCTTTCGCAAAGCAACTGGATCATGGTGTTACTTCAACGGTGTCAGGCTTGGATTAATAATCTGAAAAATACCCTTTTGGATAAATTCTTTTTCTCAGTTAGATGCTTTATACTTTACCAAGCCTATGAAAGCAACCGGTGACATTGATTACTACCCCATCGAGTTTTTCATAGAAACTGAAAACTCGAAATTTGGTACCGATCTCGATATCTGGGCTATTGGCGTTGTTCTTTACGAGATGATCATGCTTGAAAATCCGTTTTGTTCTGCAGATGATAAAAAGAAGAAAAACCTGGAAAAGAAGAGAATGGAAATAAAAAAACGTATCGAAAACCTAAATTACAGACGAGTGGAAGGAAGCCCTGCAGCCGATGAAATTGTCCAGGGATGTTTTCAGCTCAGAAAGAAACGACCCAAAGCAAAAGACCTTCTGAGCCACCCAGTGTTTGTCAATTTTATCTTCGAACAATTGAAATAACATATGATTTTTAGTATCATGCCAATCTACGAAAAACTAAAAAATGAAACTGAGACGACAAAGAAAGAGCCTCTACCGTGGTATGTTCAAAATGAAACGCCCTCGAAATCTCCCATCAAACGGACAAATACTCTTCCTGTAAAGCCGAATTACAAAGAACATAATTTCGCTCAGCGAATGGCCTCCTCACCAAACCTTTTCTTGATGCAAGAGTATTCAACGGATCAGGAACATATCCAGTACAAATTATCAGAAATCGAAAGACGAAAGCAGCAGTTCCAAAAAGAGTGTGAAAATCACATTCAAAAGGGCAACGAGTTAACAAGAGAGAAACAAGAACTCGAACAGAAATTAGCAGAATTGACAAAAAGAGTAGATGATTGGAATGATTCTCAGAAAAAGCTCAATGATGAAAACAGAAGGCTCATAGAGCAAGAGACAGAACTAAAGAGAAGCCTTCATGAAGAAAAGAAGCCCCAAAAGTTGGAGAATTATCATCGAGACTTGGGAAAAGATTTGACTAGAATGCTCCGTCGCCAGATTTCCATGAATGATCAATATTACAAGGTTGATTTCATTCCAGAGGTAATATTTTAATAATTCTGATTATTTATTAATTCTCATAGAGAAAATATATCGAAATGTCTGAAGAGGAACTTCGTGAGCTCGGCGATAGCTCCTATGACTTGGATGTTATAACGCAAGTAACGATAGAGCTCGATATAAGAAATTCTTCATCGAAGGTAAAGCAATTTTACTTACACTCTTCCTAACCCTAACTGAAGCCTAACTAAACAATAGCTAAATATTGATTCAAGAATGGTGTGCGATACTTGAAATTCGTCGATGGCCGGATAAATGATCAAATTGGTAAGTATTCCTCAAATTATCTTTGTTTCTTGTCCTCAAGCGACTAAGATCTTTTTAGACGTAATTCATCAAACAATGACTTGGGTTGAGCCGGAGAAATCGCTTTATAAGACGACAGGAAATTTGCCCGAAAATGCAGTCAAGATATCAGAAGATGAATTTAACCAAGCAGCATACAATAAGTAGCCATAAAGTTTATTGTAAGTATAATTTTTAAGGCTTCAATAAATGAGAAAAAATTTCTGTTTTATCGTCATTAGCAATATTGAAAATAAATTAACAACTCGAATGGTTATCGACACTATATTCAATAGCAGGATAGCGGCTTATGTCGTTTCCCCCTTAGTTACCGAGTTACCACCTTTCAGATATACAATGCTGAATAAGTATTTTGTTTTATTCTATTTGCTTCAATTTTCAAATGCATTTCTTGTTTTTACAGCGCCCACTTTTGCTTTCAAAAGAGATGTTGAAGATGATAGTGGTGTCATTGATAAGCTAAGTATAGAGGGAGATTAGTTATGATTTTAATTATTATTTAGCTGACGATCTTGACAAATACGTGGTTGCAGACTGGATCAAAAGCATGGGGGACTTCTCCTCGTATGTCGATCAAAATAGTGACCACGGAAATGTTTTTGGTGCTCACTGGGTTTAGTGGCAACACTTGCTTTTATATCACGATATGATTACCTTCTCAATAATTTCCTGTTAATAAAGTTTATTTGACGGAATTCGGTTTATTATGAATTCGATTACATAATAAAATCAAGCTTACTGTAGTCAATCTCACTCACTCAGGGTCGTTTTCGTCGTAAGTAGTTTTAGAGTCTAAAACTTTTAGGCTAGATTTCGACCCCATTCCTGAATACATCGAGCCATTTTCCAGCGTAGACTTCCGATGAATCCAAATCCCGTGTAACATTTTTAAGAGATCCAAATTTAACATTTGGATTGAAACATTTTCGCATCAGTGTTGACGAAAGTTGAATAAGCTGTGCTCTTGCTTGGCGCCTTCGAAGTTTGAGAAGAGCGTTTTCTAGGCTTTTTCTGGCGATGCTGTTTTGAACCCATTCGAAACTGAGGCTGTACTCAATCCAAGAGCCACTGTAGATTTCGGCAAGATTCTTTTCGCGCTTTGATGCTTTTTTTAGAAAGTAAACAGGACTGTCTCTATCCGCGAACGATAAAAGTTGTTTACTAGTTCCTTGACCCACATCGACAATTGCCGGATTTCCTTGCAGTTGGTTGGGCGATTCTTCTTTAGTTCCCCTTGAATCATAAATTTCATCGACACATGTTCGAGCAGATTCTTGTTTGAATCAAAAGCGCTGTCAGAAAGAATGACTATTTTCGACTCAATCGCTGAGGTTGTAAGAAGGTTGCCGACAATTTCTTCCATTTCAGCGCAGTCATGAGAGTCTTTACACCTATACAGTCGGTTCCAAATACCGATTTGATTGCAAAGGGTGCACATGTGAATACCGTTGTCTTTTGAAGCTTCTTTTTTGGGGCTACAGAATATGGTCTTTTTCTAATCTTTTAGTTTTCTTTGAGATATTGAAAGCCCTTCATGGCTAAGAATCCATGATTTTCTGCAGATGAACAAAATGATAGATAAAAACTTTTGGTTCTGCAAAAACACGCAACTTGGCGTTCATGATCTTGCCGCCTTTTTGTTGAAATTCATCAAAAGCTTTATTCTCGCTTTCATTCAATTTTGAATCTCTTCCTGATGCAGCGAGACGCAAATCTCTGAAATCTGCGAGAATCTACGGTCGATGTTAAAATGAAAATTAAATGCAAGTATTTCATTGAATCTTGTTTTTTTCTTATCTTTCACAAGAGGAGTCTCTCAGAGTTTTACGCTGGCGTAAATATTTTGAAAGTTTATAATCAGACTCATTTCCCCTGAACGCCAAGCGCTACCAACGGAATCCCGGATTCAAAATCCGTTCAAAAAGTTGAGAAGAGAATCAATTAGTTTCAGTTATTTGATTTGGAAATTTCGTCTAGCTTAGTTTATCAGATGTGCATTTTCGACTACGTTAGTTAGGCGGCTCACCCGCCGCAGGTGATGCATCGAAGAGCGCCCTCTTTCGGACAAGCGAGTGCTATTTAGCCTCTTGCCGGAAGGTATGATCAGATCAGTGAGAAAAAATGTCCCAGTACAAATGCACAGAGGACCAACTTCGAAAACTACGTCTTTTCTTCAAGATAAATCCCTCGCCAGCACCAGCAAAGAGAGAGGCTCTCGCTGAAGAACTGCAGCTGACTTTTAAATATGTCGATTACTGGTTCAGACGGGAGAGAAAAAAGCACAGGTGAACAATTTATTAGTCCTCTTAGATCTTCATCAACATTTTAGACGGAGAAACATTGATGCCCGCACTTGGAGCATCCGGTTGACACCATCCGATTCAAATAACAATCAACAGTCCGGAAAGAAGGATACTTTGAGTATTGAAGAGCACCAAGATCAAGAAATCAGTAAGTTTTCTCCACCAAATTAAAAAATAATTCTTCTTTCAGAAAAACTTAGGAAGATCGTCTCAAGCTACCAACACAAAATCAAAAAGATGACTGAGAGCCATAACCAGACAGTGGAACACTACCAAAAAGCTCTGCCTCACATGCGTCTCCTGATCAACACTCTCTACTGGAAGACCGCCTGAAGGTTAATCCTCCTTGATAACTAAAATTTGACTGCAACGAACCTACACTCACTTTGAAACAAAATAAAAAGAATAGTCGTTTATACACCGTGTTTCGTAAGCATACAGAAATTCCAATATAGCAGAGTTTTTGAGGATCACGCCCTAGGGCAGGGCAAAAAACAATACACGAGTGTAGTCTGTCAACAACGGCGCCCTCGCTCTCATGCAAAGTGTGCCTAGCATCAATGTCATTCTTCGAAAGTAAAAATCGTAAAAATGATCACTTCCGCAGATCTCCAGCAAGTTGCTATTTTGAGACAGATCGCCTCCTACTTCCCTATCGGACTTACTCCGTCAACGGCAACAGGTATTAGAAGAGTAGTCTTCCTTGATTTCGAAGAAAGTTTTTGATTTTCATTCGATTCAGCCATACCTACGATACAACCCCCGATAAGAAGATGCATCAGATGCCAGTGCCCAAACTGCACAGATGAACGAAACGGAAAACGAATTCTTCCGATCGGGGCTAAAAGAGAACACAACTGTCCTTTTCCAGACTGCGATAAAGTCTATGGAAAAACTTCTCATCTAAAGGTAGTTATAATTTTTCCCATCTATTCTCAAATCAACCTCAGGCGCATATTCGTTGGCATTTGGGAGAGCGCCCGTTCCGCTGTGCTTGGCCTTACTGTAGCAAGAGCTTCACTCGATCAGACGAGCTGCAGAGACATATTCGAACTCACACGGGCGAGAAACGATTCAAATGCGACTTTTGCGGTAAAAGATTCATGCGATCAGATCATCTTGCAAAGCATCGTCGAACACATTCGTCCCAGAAGTCATAACTTTACTCTTCGACTCTCTTTTTTAATAAAGTTTATTTTGTTCAAAGCGAAACTTGTAGTTTTTTCTTCATTTTGATTCACGATGCTGACAGCGAGCATAAACTTGTATAACTGGTGATCGTTTGATACATTCCGCCATTTCTGCTGCGCAAATACTGCTCCTCGTTTGAAGTGACTGGGTATATAAATTAGTGAAATCTTCAAAGCGTGCTCCGAAAACTCCTCCTCTTCGCAAATCTCAATGTCATAAATTCTCCAGCTTCTGCCAACTTCCTTGAGCACAGATTCGTCTTACTGTATTCTTCAGACATCGAGAAAAGCACCTGGCGCAATTTTGTCAAGGGTGGGTCTTTAGCAATACACGCCCAAGGCGTTTATATATTTACACAACAGGGATTGAATTGAAATTTTATCAGGTTCCCGCCTCGGGTTCCTTTTGTACCCCGCCAACAGTATTTTTCAACTGCTGCCCGGGCTTGCCTCACTCTTCAAGTTTTGATCCAAGCGGATTATGTAATCGGTTTTGCTGCGACTTTTCACCGCCTTTTACTTTTTTTGATTAATTCGGCGGCGCACACGGCGAGCACTTGAAACCAAAGCCGCTCGGCGGGTGATCGGGTTCCGCTCTCCTCACCCGCTGTGTCTCATCCATCATTCTTATCAGTACTCCGTTTTTTCCTGGTCAATCGTTTTCTCCTCTTTTTTTCTTATCAAAATTGTAGGTCGGAGAAAGAAAGTTTTTATTTGGAATATATTTATTTGTACATTTTGCAGGTACTAGTAAAAAGAACTAACTGATTCCTAGAACATTATTCTCAGAATAAGTGATCAGTGAATTATGCGTCGAGTAAACATAACTTGGATACCAACCGGAAAACTGGCCGGTAGGATCAGATGGAGACATCGATGATCCCATGTGTGAAGAATGAGTTTGATGGTTGACAGAACTGCTCATCGGCACCATCGACGGTGTAGGATTCGTTATCTGTTGTGCTGCGATCTGGAGCGTGTCTGTCAACGGGTGTTGGCCCATTCCAGAACTGTTATTTTGCACGGTTGAGTTTCTAGCGTTGTTGTTCATTACGTGGCCGAATTCGTTGAGTTCTGGCTTTTCCTCGATTTCGTCCCAAGGTTGCTCGTGGTGATCTCCGTCACTGAAGCTGAAATATATAATGACTATCTTCCAAGTTCGCAGAAACGCGTACCTATATCCAATTGGCGATTCCTGACGTCCATGGATGATTTGACTTCCACCAGGCGAAACAGGTGCCATGAGCATTATCGGCTTCATGTCATTTCTTAAATAACTTATTAGCTTGTTTGCGTTCATAGGGAATTCAATTATGCAATCTAAAGTTTTCCCCTTCTAGCATTCCAAAATAATCCCAGTCGACTTACCCGTCTTTCTGTTCAGCTGCTCGATCCCGCTGGCGTCGATTCTTGAACCAGTTGGAAACCTTAAAAGAATAACCATTTAATCCTTCCAAAGGGCGGTGCTGCGCTCCGATTTCAAGCAGCGCTTGCTTCCCTTCCAAAAGAACTAAAACCTAATAATCCCCATGCATTAGGAAACTTGCCAATTTCTAAGGAAGCGTGATAAGTGCAATGATTGAGTTAACAAAGAGAGCTTCAAACTCTACCTGAGTGACCGTGAGTCCAGTTGCTTCGGCAAGTTCACGCTTCTCACGCGGGCTTGGATAGGGATTATGAGTGTACCAGTCGCGAAGCACGGCGCGTGATTTTTCCTTGAAGCAATAAGATGTCTCTTCCCCGTCCCAAATCGTCCGAGGAAGGGGAAACTTCCGCCGGACGCGGTATTTTCCAACAGCCCCAAGAGGTCGGCCACGGAGTTTTTCCGCCTCGATATAATGCGCCTTAAAATTCTCTAAAACCTTTCAATTTCTCTGTATCGTACCTTGAGCCAAAGTTGTTGGAGCTTGACATGGTTCTCGGGAGAGAATGTGTGCGATTCTAGCACTTTGTAAAGGTCGCGGAAGTTTCCTCGGTGAAAATTTACAACTGCTCGGGCTTTTAAAACGGACTCGTGCTTTTGCAAAACTTCGCAGTTTGGAAGACTCCAGATAAACCGGGAAAGTCGGTCGATTGCACTTGATTTCTGAGAAAGGGATTCATAAGGTAATAGACTATTAATAATTGTTCACTTTAAATACTCGAGGGACTTTCATGGAAATCTATACATCACTAATCGACTCAAAAAGATTTGTTATATATATTTTCAAGCTCGTCGATCACTGTCGGGGAAACTTTAGCCAAGTCCGACAAGATCGTATTCACGCTGGTTGTGAGATTTACGCGGTACACGCATCTCAGAAGGCGAAAGTTGAGATTTCAGAGAACATCCGCGCAATTTATTTTCTATTTTATAAATTTCAAAGTTCGGTAGAATTCTGCTATGGATATTTAAAAGAGAATCGCGGCTCAGAAGAAAATACTGAACTACGAATAGAATAATTTTCATTTAGCTTGAAAGTCAATCCCTTTTCCTGAAGAACTTCACATACACACGATATTTGTTCTATTGTGAGGCCTGCTGAGCTCGTTTGAACAACTGTTGCCTGTCTCGTCGTTCCTTGGTGTTGCGCTGGCTGCACCGCCACGTGAGTCCGATTCTGACCCGTCGAGTTGGGGTTATTATGACTTGCAGTTGATTGAGGGGCATTTTGAGTCTGCTGGGTTGAGCTGGATTGATGAAGCGACATCACTTTCTCTGTCTTTCTATTACACCGTTACTCGAGCTTCCTTGCGGCTTCTTCAATTTCCTCTTATCTCTTGGCCGCGTTGGTTTGGATTGCACAATCTCGCGATCAACCGATCAAATGTGAAGGTCAGATTCTACTCTGCCGAGATTGTCTTCCAGCTGATTGTCGAGTCTATCTTCCGTAAAATGATTATTGTTGTCGTATAGCCAAATTGAGTTGATGAATGCACCCGACACCACCACCAAGAACACACACTTTCGCCCAATCCAGTAACCGAACACCAGCGCCACCAGACGGACTTAGACCGAGCACCATCGGACAGCATTTGTGGTGCCACGGGATACGCCATTGAACGTTATTATTATATAATTCGTCTTATTTTCGACAAAACTCATTTTGTTAGAAAAAGTTTTTTATTAAGAAATGCCTCTATTTTTCAGTAAAAATGTTTTATAAGAATTTCAAGTGAACATCGATCATTTTTGTTATAAAAGTTAAATTTCAAAAGTTAATCAACATCTTATTATCAGATTTAAAGATCTTTTATCATAGAAAATTCATCGTCTAAGGGAAATTCAAACTATCACAAATTAATTGCCCGAGAATGAAAACCAATCTGATCCCAAGAAAACCGCATAGATTAAAAATTCATATGTTCATTACATTCTGTACATGTACGGAAGAAACAGTGTTGTTGGTTGTGGGCAGGGATAGAATCTACTGATCAAGCAGTGTGCGAAACCCTCAGGTGAGAGAGGATTAAGCAATTGTTTCGTCGCGTGCCAGGAGCAGGTCCTGTGCATTTGAAGAGTGAAAACCGATCGGTTAGCTGTGTCCGATTTAAGTCGGCATTTTCGCGTTCGCCTTTGATTTTGCTCCTCCTCGAAAGCTGCTGCTGGCTTTGCTGCACCTCGAGCGATTAAACGCGGACTTAGGCCAGCGGATTAGTCCTCAAAGGGCCTTTATAGAGCTTTTGTTTTTGAGTAATTTTATGGTGGATAACGCGCTTGCCGGATATTTTCGCAAAAGCAATCACAAAAGAAAATATGATTTGAGGAAAATGTATCGACAGAGTCAAATTAAGCTCCGTTAAACTCATTTTCGGATAAATATTTGATGCAAGAATGAGGTCAAATTTGGCAATTGGGTAAACCGAGAACAAATTTAAGATATTTTATTCATTGAGTATAGTTTCAGATGAAAATAGGTATTAATAAGGTATAAAACGTCGAAATAGCCGTAAATTGTCGAAGCTGCACTGCAGTTGGAGAAGACTTGGATCTAAATCGAGGAATAGTAAGTGAATAGTTTGCTGGAAATTTGGGCGGAAAGTTGCGGCGGCTGGAATCAACGAGGGTTATTTTTAGTAAATCTGGCGAGATTTCCGCGCCCGCGCTACTAAGATTAGCCGATACTCGTCGCTAATTGCCAACGAGATCATATTCCAGAGCGGAATATCGCGAAATTCCTTATTTTCTAAAATCTTTTTGTCAGTATTTATTTGTTTAAGAAAATATGCTCGTCGGTTTCTTACCAAAAGTTATTTCATGTCGAAGAAATCGTCAAAGATAGGCATTGAGTAGGCAAGATATTTGGCAGATTTTCCTTTCGGTCTGATTCTTCCATAAAATTTCGGGTTTACTTCGAATCTGTGATTGTATTCGGGATCTACATTTCCGGTAGCAAAAGCGGGGTCTCTCTTTTTTCCTCCTAAAAAGACTGTTTCTCTCTATCCTCAAGAATTACTCTTACCCGGATGCCAACCGTAGCTCCAGTGTTGTGCGCTGACTAGAGCTGACATAAGTAGCGAAAATATCCATATCCTTGTCATACTTTTTAAATCTCTTTTGAGCCGTTCTGATTTATGAACTTCAGAAAGCTCTGCCTATTTAAAAAGATAAAGTTGAATTCCCATAGGGGCATCAATTGTCTCCAGAGCGCTGCTAGAGGGAGTCCTGAATCAAAAGAGACAAAATGTTTTAATCTTTATAATGTAACATGTTATATTTACAGAAACTAAAAATTTCAATATTAGTTTTTCATTTCTTGCCCATGTTCAAACATGTGCGAAATAAGCAAATCAGATGAAATGAAATTTACAGAACAAATTTCGCACTGAAGTCTGCCATCGTTGTCATGTGATTTGAGGTGGTTGCGCAGATGAGCAGGGCGAGTATAAGTTTTCTGGCAACTTTTGACGATGCAGGCATGGTAAGTTGGTGACGGAATTTGATGGGCACGAGCGTGGCAGCATTTGAAGCAGGGGCATTTTGATCGGGAAGCGCGGCGATTCTTGAGTTTCGATTTTTCCATTCGAAGGTTGGGAGCGTTTTGAGAAGGGATTTCTGCAGACTGGAGGTAGGAGTTGATAGACGATTGGAAGGCTTGGAGATCAAAAGAAGCAGGCTGATTTGGAGAGAAGTTTTCGGGAAAGAAGAACTGCTGATTTGCTGGAGGATAGTAAGCCGGATAAGGCGAATAAGGGGTGGGAGACGGATGGTGGTAGAAACCTTCTATCGGTGGTGGAGTTAGTCCAGAGGATCCAGAAGTTGAGGAATTAGAAGATGAAGTGTTAGAAGAGTAGTAATCTGCAGAAGAACATGTTGAGTTGTAACCAGAGGAGCTTGGACACTCCAGACTTGGTAGAAGTTGCTGGCTATCCGGAGAGCTTAGTTCGGGACTGATAAGTCCGGCCAAGAATTCCAGGTTGCCAAGTTCATCCACGGGCAATTGAAACGTGATATTCTCGAAGCTGTCGGAAGAAGAGGTCATTTTTGCGAGTTGTTTTTTGTTTGTCAATTTTGTGATTATGATTTCGTGGAATCACGGCTCAATATTTATTGCGATAGACAGGTGGTTATGCGTTCTAGCGCTCCAAGAGCGTTGCCATGTCTTGATTAGAAACAGGTGAAGCTCGAAGCTGTTAGCGAATGCTGTTGGAAATTATCAGGAATCATGATCGAGATTTTAGTTGCGTCTGAGTCTACCTTTTCTGCAGAAAACATTCAAGCAAAATTAAAACTGAAATTATTGGCAGTATTAGACATTTTTGGGCACGTTATCAATATTTTTCTTGAATAAATATCTTAATTCTTAATTTAGGAAATTGTGGTATTTTCATTTCTCCACCTAATCTGACAGAATCGCGGGTTTTCATTATTAATCTATTCCTCCGAATACTTGCGCATTCGGAAGTTCTTTTGTGGAATATATCGCTTGACCTTATGAGTTCATTAATATAGATTTCATAAATTTAACTCACAGACTGTCCATCTGTACTTGATTTTCGTGGGCTCGACGCGTTTTCTACAATAGACAAAACTCTGCTTGAACTGTTGAACATGAATGCTTGTGGATGAATAATTACACAAGTAAGAAGTATTTTTCTATTTCATTAAAAATAACAATTTTATAAATGAAAATCCCTCTGATGCAAGCAAAAATTTGAATAAAAAACTGATTTTTTTTTTTATATATTTCTTGCTTCCTAGTTTTTTCATTATCGCCTTTTATATCAGTTGACGACTGTATTATAATAAATATCACTTTGAAGGGTAAAACTATCAAATAGTATTTTTTTAAAGAATACTAAAAATACAAAAGAAACAACTGTTGTTAAATTTTTTTGATTCATGTTTAATTCAAATTAATACAGAGATATTTACAGAGAATTGATTTATCGAATTACAGTTTCATTCCTTGACCATGCTCAAACATGTGGGAAATGAGCATGTCGGAAGTCATGAAGTTTTCAGAACAAATAACACATTTCAGATGGGAATCGTTGTCGTGTGACTTCAGGTGACTTCGAAGATGAGCTGGTCGAGTGTAAGTTTTTTGGCAGCCTTTGACGATGCAGCCATGATAAGTTGGTGAAGGAATGTGGTTAGCTCGAGCGTGGCAGCATTTGAGACAGGGGCACTTTGATCGCGAAGCGCGTCGATTTTTGAGGCCCGACTTTTCGATGGTCAATGGTTTGTCTCCGTAGACCGGTGAGTGATCTTGAGCGAGAAACGAAGTCATGCTTGATTGAAGAATCGCTGGGTCAAAGGTTGCTGGAGCTGATGGTGGAGCGATGGCGTGGGTGAACGTTGTTGGGAAGAAATATTGACTTGTTGGTCGGTAGTAAGAAGGAGTAGCAGTTGGAGTAGAAGAAGGATCGTAAGAAGAATATTGAGCGGGGGATGGATAGTAGTAAGTCGATGTTGGCGAGCTTGAGCCAGTGGATGAAGTCGCGTAGAGCTCCGAAGCGTAGCCGGAAGATGCAGGAGAAATTGGCGAAGCGGTCGGAGATGCAGAAGCTATTTCAGGAGAAATAAGACTTGCGAGAAAGTCGAGGTCGGTCAAGTCGACAGATGGGATTTCAATGTTGATGCTGTTGAAGGCCATTTTGTTTTTTGCTTTGTTTGTTCTTTGTGAAAGTTGTTATGATTCTCGGAAAAACAATATCGGTTTATATGTGAAAGTGCCAGGTGTGTGTCCAAGCGCAGATTCGAGCGCCATCGTCGAAAATTTCTCAGAATTTTCAGCTGCACCCTATCTGATCCAGGAAATTCTCCCGATCACTTCCACCTGGATGTAATTCCAGCGTTGCTAGATTGGGCAAGAGTTGAGAATCTGGCGAATGGAATTTACCGAAATTGAATTTTAAAAATGTCCACTCCGTCATTAAATTGAGTGACGTCGATGCCTGAAAGTCTATTTCGAAAAGCATGAATATTGAGTGCCTCATTTAGATAGAAATTGTGTACAGATTCTGTGAAGTATCATCTGTCTGAACGAAAATGCAGTTATAAAGTGCATTTTCATTTTGAGTGGCTCTTATTTTATGAGAGCGGATAATAAACAACTGAACTCAATTTGGCTCAATTTGTCAGAGGTTCAACTTCTCTGAAATCAACGAAGACAATACGGTTATTTCAAAGCCACAGTTTAAGGTATACTTTTCTTCTTTCTCACCCTTGATGTTGTAAAGTTAACTCCCTCATTTCCGGCTCCTGGCATTTAGCTCGTGCGCGCGAGCTGGTCTTCTTCCGGAACTAAAATGATCTACCATCAATTGCTCGCCCGGAAATAAAAGCTGATACGCGTGAAATTTCGCAACTAAAATTTTCCCCTTCGCGATTAGGGACTTTGCAAAATGAAATTCTCGTTCAATTCTTTTTTTCTTCGAAATCCTTCGATGAAAAACGCTTGGGTGGTCGACTGCTCTTCGTCTTGTGTTTTACGAGAAGAGCTTCAAAGCTAGCGGGGCCTTCCCAGTGCCACCGTAAACAAACCTCTCCCTCTCTCTTGTGGCTGAGTACTTATAGTAAGTTCTCTTAGCGAAGAAAGCTAAATTTATATTTTTCGTTTTAGAAGAGGAAAAAACTAGTAAATTATAAAAAAATATGGTAAGAATTGAATTTTTAAATTTCGACTAAATTTTTTCTAAAAATTTTCTTATTTTATTTCTCTTGTTAAATTTTTTTTCAAGCTCGGAAATAGTCATCATTGTACCAAGATTTGTTTAAGAACGCGAGTAAGGCAATTAGTGATTAGCGGATCGAGCGACGACCCAGTGGCTCAAAGTGGACTGAGAAAACATCAAGAGATTCAGAGAAGATAAATAAGAAGGAAACGACCCAATTCAAATGGACACTGCCAAGGTCCTCAGAGGAATCCTTCAAGTGCAGCTTATTCATTTTTCTCTGGGAATTGTTTACACGCCTTGGTCAATACTGGGATAAAAGTTTCTTTGTTGTCTTCCAAATTATCCAAGACAGTCTTGAGAAATTAAACCTGTTATTCAAAAAGAAGAAAACCGCTTCTTAGTTCAATATTTTGGCATCAGTTCACAAAGTGTCATAAATTATACTAAAAGTTTAATGTTAATGGCGACGATAAATGCTCAATAATTGACGTAAGAGTCACTTTTCACGAAAAGAACTTAAATTAAAATAACAAAGTAATTAGAAAACCGCTTAGAAACTTTAAATACAGAGCTCGTGGGAGAGCCGCCCTGGCGAGTGCGAGGTTTATGGCGAGTCAAGGTCACGAAAATGCATTCGCGACTGTATAAATCCAATGATCGTTGACCGCCGTGCTTGTCACGAGAAGCCCAGGGCTTATGAAACTTGGAGCCAGGTCAAGGGCTTAATTCATGCTAAGTGAGAGGTCTTTGAAGATATTTTCGTAGCAGTGTCGAAAGCCCTTCAAACTAGTGGTCAGAATGCTCAGTAGATTGTGGCGTTGGCTTCAAGTACAGGGAGAGTACCAATTCCGGAGAAGCAAAAGTTCAAAAAGAAATCTGCGTCTCCTGCAGTTTGAATTGCGACTACGAAGAATGCGTTGGCTTGAGCAGAGGGCCAAGGCAACATCATAATGATAAGGGGCGAATTTGATCTTTTATGCAAGAGGAAAATATATTCTTGATTCAAATTCATCCAGAAGAAAACAACGCCTTCCCGTCGAAGTAAAAAGGATGAAGATCATTCTGTATTCGGAAACAGCTTGAAAATAGATTTTTTATTATTTTCATTACCAGAAAGAGTACTTTCAACCTGTCAAAAGATGGAAGACAAGATCAAGAAATTGGAGGCTTCAGAAGAAAATATGCTGAGTCGGCTTTCCAAATGCGAAGAAAAGCTGAGTGATAGATCAATCAATCAGAGCCCCGAATTAACCGAAGTCATTAGAGAGCAAAAGATTCTTTCCCAAAAACTCGGCCATCAGGCTGAGCGGATTGATAGAATCCTTCCAATTTCAAAAAGATCAAGGACGAGCTTTACAATTCGTAATTCCGCTCGGGAGACATCACATTTGTCGCTCCTTTGATGATAAAAGCGTAGACTCTACGCCGTAGAGGGGGAAGTATTTTTCAGACTTGTCCAAGGTTAAAATTATAGCTCTAAAAAGCCAGAGCCGCAAGGACTTCCTCATGGATGAGCAATCCTCGTCGGACTGGCTTAACCCTTCGGATCTGAGAGGTGATCTAAGACCAATCGTCCAGAAGATTTATAAAAATGCAGACAAGGCTCGAGTACAGAGACAATCTCACTTCCTCCTTACCAAGTTCACATTCTGACCCGTTAAAAGATTGAAAACATTCATGACAACATGGAGCAAATCTGCCAGAAACTACTGAAACCGGCTATAACAAAAGCCCTCACTTCTCGCGATAATTACATCAAAATCAATCACAGCGAAATCAGCGAGATCAAGAAAAACGTATCTACTCATGCGGATGAAATATTAAAACTGAAAAAAGATTTAATGGAATCGTCGAAAGCTAGTCCCCAGAGGCCGTCCGGGTACTCGGCCGGATCTTTTGATAGAAAATACGGTTAGTTCAAGAATTAAAAAATACTATCTTCAAACAGATAAAGTTGATGAAGAGGTTTCCAAAATGAATATTTACCTGGAGAATCGAATTCAAAACGCACTGAATGAGCTGCAGAATACTAACTACGAGATCAGACGACTGCGTGACATAGTCGACACATACAACTCAAGAACCGATGAGTTGCAACGCCAAGTGACATTTCAGCGGCGCACTCCGAACGAGGATGAAATTTCTCGCAAGCTGAAAATTCTGCAGGACTCACAGCCTCGAATAAGAAAGTTGGAGCAGGATAATTTCGATGGACAAGTAAAGATGCGAGACATGGAATCGCGCGTATTCGAACTAGAGTCGAAGGCAAAGAATCTAGCTGAAGAGCTAATGAACACTTCAAAATCAGTGAAAGCAACAGGATTATCGAACATTGCTCAGAACTCGTATGATAGAGTGCTTATGGAGCTAAGAAGAATTAACGATGAAATTCAAGACCTCAAGTACTCAAACTCTAACTTGAAGCTTTCAATAAGTAAGTGAAAAATATTTTGATAGGGGGTAGAAAGTTTCTTTTAGATGGACTAGATAAAGAAAATATAAACGAACGCGCGTATACTGAAAGTTTATGGAAGAATATGTCCGCGATTATCACCAAAGCAGAATCGAGAAGGCAAACTTATGCATTTGAATATACAATAGGTTTGCATTCAATCGTTTGGTCGAGATGGATAATAATTTCAAGGCCCTACACAAATGAAGATGGAATCTCGTCCTCATCCTTTTGGTGTCGCGATAATTGACCGGTCGAATGGAGCTTACTTGACGTCCGGAAAGGATTGTTACGCGCCCGGTGGAGCTACGAAAAATTATTCATGCCTTGGTGTTTTCCGTGCGCCCGTAAAAGGACTCTACAAATTTAGCCTGCTTGGTTGCCAGTGGCTAGCAAACGCTAGAAAGAGTCATTTTACTGGATGGTTGAGAAAGAATGGCCGTGGAATGACAGGAAGCTATTCGAATAGCGGCGATGTTGCTAAGATGAAGGAGGGAGCTCTGCATTCGGTCTCGTTAGAGATGCTCCTCGAGGTGATTTTCAAAAAGTTCATACGCGATTACGTTTTCTAGTTGGAACCAGGAGATGAAGTTTCCACACTTTTCGTTGCATACATGGGTAGCAACAAGTTATATAGAACAAAATCTAACCATATCTTCAATTCATTCTCTGGCTATTGCATCGACTGTGAATAAAATTTATGTCTGTATTTGAATCATCATTTTCATATTTATTTTCATCAAAAAGTTTCCGATTTCAACAAGCTTCGGAATGATAAAGATAGAACTTAAAAGTTAAAGTACGTCTGTTGAAGTTTGTGCGCTTATTAAACCAAAATCAGAACGGAAATATGATTTTTTAGGGAAAAGCTGGTCCAGTTTTCAGTACTCCATAGAATTTTCTGAGGTATTCTGGAAGGCTTACTGAAGGAATTCAAGTGATTTTTTGTGGTAGTTCGGGTTCTTTCCAGTGAAACTACTGCCAAGAGACGGTGCCACGGTGTATCCAGTTGTACCTTTAAAAAATCGTTTTATTTTTCGTTTTAGTGCGTGTCAGTTACCTTGCATGGCTGAGGGAGCTTTCGGAGGACCTGATTTAGTAGATATCGTTGAATTCTGCCTCGAGTGGTAAATCATTGCATCCTAAAAGATAATTCAACCCGAAATTCTTTGACGAGTGCTTACCAATTTATTCGAATCCGAAGTGCTAGAATTCCTCTGTCTACTCTTTGACCGCTGCCTTCGTCTTTCTTCCTCCCCACCTCGTGATCGACTGCGTCTCCTTGATCGACCATCTTCTGAATTTTCTCTTCGACGAGATTGGCTACGAGGCCGTTCTCGACCCGATTCATACTCGCTGTTGTAATCTTGTCTATTTCAGAGTTTTAGCATTGTTTAGCTGCTCGATTCAAATATTAGGAACTGTTTGTAACGAAATCATCACTGAATAATTAAAACTCTATGCCTTCCACGCGACTGAGATCTACCACGAGACCTTGATCTTGGTCTCGAAGCTGTAGACTGTCTCCGGTCAGTTTCGTAGTCTCTTGATCTTCCTCTGGATTCCGATCTTGGTCGATCACCTCGTTCCTCGCTTTTTCCACGTGATCGGGATCTTCCTGAGCGTCGAGACTCATTTTCTCGACGTTCTCTGCGACCTCGTTCGGTTCGATGACGATAGCGACTTGGTTGCCGGCGCTGCTGCCCGACGACTTTGTCAAAATACGCTAAAAAATGTTGAATAAAGTTTATTGTAGACCTTCATACCTTGATTTATATTTGAAGAACTTCGACTAGCGGCAATACTCTCAATTTCTTTCCCGCCATCGCCAGGCTCTGCGTAGCTTTCAGGACGGCTTCTTGGCTGCTGCCATAAGATTTTCGAATTTCTTGGCAACGTTTTTGTTGACCCCTCACGAGTCATTCTTGGAGTAGTTGGCGCAGAAGGAGCTGAATTGAAACTCAAAAACTCGCAATTAATTTTGAATGTACCTTTATTGAAGTCTTCTCGTTCATCGCTTCGTAAATTGACTCCTGACTTGTGACGAGGGATGATAAATTCATTATCAGTAAGGCTTGAACTTCCGTTATTGACTAATCCAATCGCTGAATTATTTCTCGCCACCGGGCGGCGCAAGGTGCCGTAATTCTGCGACGGCGACCATTGAGACGAAGGCACAGGAGCATTGAAACTCGACGGTTTCTGCTGATGCTGGGAAAGTAGATTTCCAATGTCGACGGCGACTTCTTTGAACGGTTTAGACTCGTCATTAGTACTTTGAGGAGATGTTATTGACTCGTCGATCTCAGCAACTCCGGTACCATCGCGAGCAGCGTCAAGAGCTGTTTTGACCCCATTCAGCCGCAAAGACCAATGCCGACCAGGTTGAATGGCTGCTCCTCTTATTTTTGTTATGACTAGATTTGAACTCTTTTTAGCAAACCTTTTTTGGTAAAACAGAATAAATGCGTCGGGCGTTAGGCAGTCTTCAACAGTCACTTTTTGAACGACATCATCATCAAATAAGTACCAGCATTGATCCAAATTATTCTTCGTGACGGCATAGTAGTGTCCTGAGTGCAGATCGCCACGGTGACCGATGACACCGTACAAATCGTAAATGATGGGATGTCGAGTTTGAGACATGGTGATGAATTTTGTGAGCTCGAGTCCGGTAATTGGATACGATACATAGTTTGTTAGCTTTTTTTGAGTTTCATTTTTTGTCCAATTTATTTTATAAATTGACTTGATTCATAGACAAAACGCATTCCTTTGATCGTTTACCATCGGCAGCTTTGAAACGCTTGAATTGAAGAGTTAAAACATCTGGAAGAGAAGAAAATTGCATTCGTTTTGTGAACTTTTTCGATTTCTTTTTACAGTATTGACACAGCCAGCCTAGGAAAGCTCGTTTATTCAAGAAAAAAACTTCTTACTTACCATTATTCACAATCTCTTCTTCTTGCATGTGAAGATCAAGGCACTCGGCTAGGGTGAGTTCGCTCTGTTGCTGATCAAATATTTCTGTTAGACGAACGCTGGGTTCTTCTTTGATTCGTCTTTCATTGAGGTCTTCGATCATGTGAACAGCGTCTTGTGGGAATTCGGCAATGATGCGAATGTGAATAGGTGAGCCTGTTGGACACGTTTTCATCGCTGTTGTCAGAGCTGAAGTGAGAAGAGGATGCTCTAACGAAGGATCAATTGCTTCTTCAGAGCCATCGTGGTGGGATACTTTCAGGCGTGGTGCGTTCCTGGGCGAGTATTTCTGTTCTATTCGAGAGAAGATTTCGGTATGCAGCTCGCGCGCAGTTGCATCTCGCGCCATTCTCATGATCAATGGATCCTGTTTTACGTAAGATCCGCTTTTTAGAATTATCAAGAGAATACAGCTCTCCCATCTCGTTGTGCTACCATTCTGTCCGTTTCGTCCAGTTGATGGCGCAGCGGGAATTTGAAAAACCCTCAGCCCCTGAAGAGGTAGACTGTTGACATCGTCGTTGTCCCCAAAGCTCGGGCCAAAACCACTCTTGGTGATTTCAGTAAAGGTCAGTAGCCGCTGATGAATACCCATTTCCGCTGCGACCAACTGGCGGAAATCAGCAACGGAAGCGGCAATATTTGGCCGAACTCCGATTTTGGCAATTTCGCCGGACAAATAATGTACGATTGGATACACTGCTTGCTTCTTGGTTTCAACTGGAATGGGTAGCGAAAGTGTGAGAAACAGATCTGAGCTCTGTTTCGGTTTCTTGCAAATCGGACAAACGATAGATTGGCAGTAGTTGCCGCCGAAGAATCGTTCGATCGGTGAAACTGGCAATGGGGCTAGAGCGTATTTCTTTCGAAGATTTTTGATGCGACGGAAGGAATTGCGGGCCATGTTTCTTCGGCTTAGTCCGTTCTTATCCTCTCTCAAATCCTCATGGAGCATTGTCAACATCCACAAAAGAAATTCTTGAGCATCTTGTTGGACGTCAAACTCAATCTGCGGATTGAGTCGTACGACAGTTCCAATGAGACTCTGTGCCGCTTTACCAGCAGGCTCACCAAGCCAAAGAGTTCGGATCAGAGCGGAAGTTTGCGCTGTGATTTCTCCACCACGACAGAACTCGCGACAGATGAGATCCGAAAACTGAGACGTATTTGAAAGGCATTGGATTACCGCGTTCAAATAGCATGTGTTGCCGTTGTTTGGAATTCCAGTGGCACCTGAATTGAAGTTGAAAACAAATCTCCATTTTTATCAAACCTGGTACTCGTTTTGTGCCCGGCATAATTGGCATCTTGTCGAGTTTCTCTAGTATCATGTTATGCCCGGCAGTAGCAGCCAACGATCCGATGAGTCCTTCATCATCTTTCCAGTTGTTCTTCGACACTTCATATTTGGTAGAGCTGCTGAATAATGCCCGAAAAAGCCTGGAAAAGAAAACAGATACTTTTCCTCATTGCGGGATAAAATTTCATATTCCGAAATGAAAATTTTCTTTTATTTTTTAATCCCTTTCCTTTAGACTTCTTCGGCATTCTTGTTAACGTCTTCTTTTACTCTTGATTTCTCTTGCGATTTATCAATTTACTATAATCATATTTTCAACAATACAAAGAATGCTCGGCTGTAGTGGCCATTCACTAGAGGAAGAAGGTGCTGGGAGAGATGATAAGCCGGAACTTGGCCCCGGGGAGCGCCACTACTCCGAGTAGAACATCGCTATAATGCATTACGTAATGGATTCAATTACAGATTTGATTTTTGATATTTTCCATTTCGTTCTTTACAGACAAACTATAAAGATCCGCTGTAAATCGTAAAGTTATCATAATTTCTTCTCCAAGCATCCAGCCATGAATCTTCTTTTAGCCTTGAAAAAAAAATTATAAAAAGAAAATTTTCAACTAGCCCGTTCGCCTTACCCTTCGCCGTTGCATACAAATTGGCCCGAAACAACATCGTGAAAAGAGTATTTCATGAATTCAGGATCCGTGTACTTGTGAGCGACTGTGAGTCCACGGATGATGCAAATATCGTTGTTTTTGATTTCCTCTCCGAACCAACTTGGACGAACGCCCATACAAATTGTCAAAGAGCGGCTCATATGCTCACTAAAATAATGATTATCATTTTATAACATGGAATTTATACCTTATCTTCGCAGATTGAATCAAAGTACCAATATACGTATCATCAAGTGGTATCACCGGGGCATGATCGATCTGCTCTTCAAGTTTCAACGAGAATTCTCCACTTGTTACGTACGCTGCTCCAGAAAAATATTCCGGGTACGATCCTGGTTTGTAAAGTTGCTCGGGTACGAAATATTTGAATTTCGGAGCACGGATAACTGTGTCGGGCCCTTTGAGACATCCGATCGCTTGGATTTTGGGACGGTCTTTTATCAGTTGAATTTCCTTCGCGAGATTTTGAGGACTTAGACGGGCTTTTAATTAAACTTTTTATATTAGTATTTTATTGCGTAATTCGAATAAAATTAAGAAGCCCTAAGATGAGCATAATATCATCGTCTCCTTTGAACACAAAATCAACATTGCAGCATCTGTTCTTGATGAATTTTAAGAATGCGATGTCCTTGAAGGGCAAGTTGTAGTGGCTTTCATCAAAATCGACTATAAGCAGATCATTGTATGTTTGCGTTTCTTCATCCAGATCGACTTCCCCTGGTCTTCCGACGACAAAAACAATCTTTATTTCGAACCCAAGCCAATCCCAAATCTTCTTGCTCAGCCAGGTCTCTCGAATTGCTTTACGAAAATCCCTTGCTGACGGAATGGTTTTTATTCCGAAAATAATTGAGCTTTTATTTTGATTTTTAAAAGAACATTCGTCCGGCTGATGGATAACTGTTGGCTTCATATTTTTGTCAAATCGAATGAGGTCATTCAAGTGGCTAAGCCCGAAAGAATACTCGCATTTTCCATCTCTGATGGTTTTTGCTTGTTTTATCAGTGGGTACCGTTCCTCCATCAACCCAACATCTAAGAATGCGCCAGTGGTATCTACGTCACTGCATTTAACCGTTCTTCGTATCCAAGAATTTTCGATCTTGCTCGGTTTAACTCCTGGTCCTCCTCGGAGCTGGTAGGAATTTTTTGATGATATGACACCAAAACATTCTCTATCTTCCAAACACAGTTTCTTTGCTTCTTCTAGAGTCGCAATCATTTGACAATTATCTTTTGCGCATCCTTGAATAAAGACATTTTCTCTGTATTCCCAAATATCATCATCATCATCATCAATTTCCTCTTCTTTATTGACAATCTTTTCGTTGAATTTAAGAACAGCTTGTTGTCCAAAATAATTTCTTGCTTGAGCAAAATAATAATTATTCGACTCTATCGGTTCCGGTTCCTTTATCGAACAATGGAAAATAACCTAAGTCCAAGTTATTCTCTTGTAAATAAAAATTGATGATATCTCACCAAGGTAAATAATCCGCAGATGATATAAAGTTGAATTCGTCTACTATCTTCATCAAAGAATCTCATAGTTCTGTACTGCCAATAAGAAAGATTTTAAAAACAGGCGGACCGCTTGAAACTTTTAAAATTCTCTCAATGACACTTAGAAATAGCCGGACTTTCTGTTCAATGCTAGGGTCGGCGCCGACCATCGACCAAAACGACATTGTCGGGTGTCGGGTCGGGTTTTGGTCGGACCGACCCGACCCGACATTGAGATTTGTCGTTGGTCGGTCGATGGTCGGGTTTTTGTCGGGTCCGTGGTCGGTTTTCGCTCATTCTCGGGCATGTTTTCTGACATAAATTCACTTCGGTTATTCGAGAAGTTTTTCATATTTTAATGTCACTAGCGCCAAACCATTTAGAATTTAGGACATTTATAAAATCGAAAGTTTCATAACCCCCATCTTTCGATTTTGAAGCTTTTTCATCATTCTCATTGGTTAAAAAAAACCGACCACCGACCCGACCAAAAGGCCGACTCGACCCGACCCGACCCGACCATGATTTCGGCCATTTCAAAGTGGCCCGACCCGACCCGACATTGAAAAAGGGCGGTCGATGCCGACCCTAGGTTCAATGTTAGTATTTTACTTTTCGCGCAATAAATATTTGCGATGTCAAATTATCAAATTAGACTGCCAAGCGACAAACAACAAGCATTTTGTTTTGTTTAAAATGTATATTCAGCAGGAATTAAAAAATTTGGCTATGTGCATGTGTAGGTAGCGGTATCAGCTTGAGCTTCACCCTTTTTCGCGTCGACCGAATCAAAACAAGTTGACAATTCAAGAGTCCCGCTTCCATCGGTGAGACAGATTTGGTAGGAGCATTGAAGATTCAGACTCTGGCCTGGTGTAGTTGAGTATTGGAATGCACTTGGTTATGGTTTTTCAAAATGAATTTTTCAAAAGTTGTAAAAGTAAAGCATTTGAAAATCCTAGCCTGAACGAAAAATTATATTCATCTGTCGCTGCTGCCGACAGAACGCTTATTCCACAGCTTGCGGACTTAATTATTTCAATCGGACGAGACAGAGTATTGATATCTTCGTAGACGGTGCATGCCACAAGTTTAACTTCCGCCGAGGCAAGAAATGCCGTCGGCTCAGTAATTGCAACATCAACTTGATCTCCAAGCGCAAACGAGGTCTGCGGGCTCCCATTGAAGCTCAGTGTTGCTGTCATTAGATCTGCCAAATTGTAGCTTCCTGCAGTCGGGTTACTATAAGTCAGGGTGCGACTATTTCAAGCTCTGTACTAGTCGCTATCGTCGAGGAATATTCGCACGTGAGTGTCGTCGTGATCGGATCAGAAATCTCCATTGTAACTGAGTCGCCACTCTCAGTTGTAACGTCTCTTGTATAAAGTGTTCCCTAGATATCTTTAAGTTGATTTCAACGAATAATTTCTTACAGCAAGAACAAAAGTTCCAACAATTTTATCAGCACTAGCTTGGCTGAAAGTCATCGCTTTATCCGCGTAAGTATAGACATCATTTGTCGGGCCAACAGCGCCATCATCTGTCAGAGCAGTCTGTGCTTCCGTGAGGAAAGAATTCGCCACATTTGAGTAAAGATGCTCGAGTTTAAAATCGATAGAAATTGTACCAGCGCTATTGCAAGTGAATGCGAAGTCCGAGTCGGCGGCAGGAATACAGACACTGTTAACGCTGTCGTACTCCCAGGCGGCGTTTGGACAAGTTGTCGCAGAGGAAAGAGCAAGGATTGAAGCAATAACTTTCATCTCTCTAGAATGAATCGAAGTCACCCTGGCGGTCGCTTTTTATCCGTGCTTTCACGCCCCATTTCTTGAGTCGATGGTTTTCATGGATGGATTCACTTTCGAATTTTTGGAACCTTTTGACACAACAAAAACAAACCGGTTGAGTAACCACCTCTCTTGATTGAACCTAACAACAAAGAACAGATTGATTCCAGTTGGTGTATATTTGGCGGTGAATTGAATAAAATTCACAAAAGCGTAAATACTTATTCGCAAAGGATTCATCCCCTTTTGCTTGATTATTTGTTGCTTTTTGTGCTTTTTGTACAAGTCTGAGAATAAAAACACTCGGCGTGGCGTACCTAGCTGGAGAACTTCTACCTCTGTCCCCACACAGATATAACGAGACAGTTCTAGAGCTAATCACGTGGCGCTCGAGTGGGAAATTGAAATGTTGGACAGATTAGGTAAAGCGTGGACAAACGAACATATTTTATCTTGAGAATTTACATTGGCTAGTACAGTTGCTTGCTGGTGATCAGCAGTTGCCATGGATGACTATCGCCTCACACAGGAGACTTGACCATCGAAACCACGACCTCCAAGCCACTCGTCGGTGTTGAACTGAAGTTCCGCTCTGTTGCCCGTCGCCACGTAGCGCGTCTGAATCGGCTGGGAGGAGCAAAGATGAATTGGCGATCGCTCGGGAGTAGGGTTCCACGCCAGAACATCATTTGTACACTTTTTCAAATGCTTGCTTCCTTCGATGTCTGCATCGAAGAGTTCAAGAACGACCTAGTTATAAATTAAAATCATGGTTTTCAATGAACTGTACCTTTGAGTCCTCAGGGCCGACAATCGTCCATTTACAGTTGAGTCCATTTCTGTGTGGATTTGGATAGCCTGGACTGCTGATAGGCTGAGGCGAACAGTTCTCGTCAAGTTCGATCACCATTTCTTCTCCACAAGGATCTTCAAATTCAGCTCTATCAAATTCAGCAGCAGTGTCTTCATCAACGAATTCATCACAAGCAGATTGAATCCATTCGGCATGACGGGTAATGGATGCGAATTCAACATCATGGTCATTTTTACCAGCAGAAATTTGAATTCCAAGAAGCTCTCTTGCGTCGTCGACTTCTCGATAAATCGGAAATCCAGATTCTGCAAGTTGGACACTTTTACCACCATCAAAGCCAGCAGTGAAAGAAACTCCTTAAAACAAGTCAGAAGTGAAACCTCTCATACTATTTTGTATTTTTCAATCTAAGAAGATGAACTTTAGGCCACTTACCGGATGTAGAGAACGAAGAGTCTTTAGAGGAAGGATTAGCTGGCAACCAAGTTCGGAAAATCGCCTCGCCCTTTCCTTTCGCAGAGTTGATATTTGACTGAGAAGAAGCAACGAGAAGCTCTTTTGGGCTTGGTTCCTCGCTGCTGAAACAGGGCACAACAGCAGAATTGAAATTCACCGCGTTATCAAACTTGCAGACAGCAATGGCAGCGCCATTCGGAATTTTTGGCGAAAGTTTGCACGTGCTAAAAAGTTCAAAATAAACAATCATATTTTCTAAGAGCGCCGAAACCTTGTTTGATAAGAAATGCCGGCGACTCTTGCTGGTGTGGGAGTATTTCTTCCCATGGACATTCGGTTGATCATCTTGCCACACTGTTCCGATGTAACAAAGCACTGGTTATTACCGACCAAGCTTCCAGAGCAGATGTTTCTGACAATCTTCTTTGGTTTACTTTTGTTCTTGTCGTTTCGCCCAGGCTTGAATGGTTGCGCTGGTTTCTTCGACATTCCTGGTCGTTTGCCTTGCTTTCTTGGAGAACGACGACCTCTTCTTTTGCTGTTTGATTTATTTTGCTCTGGTGGCAAAAGAAGATCCAAGGCGACGAGGGACGAGTAAGATTTGATTGGATCAGTTGAAACACTTGTTACCGGGTTTCACACTTTTTGAGTGTATGAATTGAAATCAAGGAAGACAAACAAAAACGAGTTGAGCTAGACACTCACCAAACTGGTTGGTTCGGGCGCTTTCGGGGAATCTCAAGTCCGCGAACGAGATAACAGTCTCTTTCCAACTGTAATCCGCGTTGATACACGACACCGAACGAACAAGCTGGTGATTATCCAAACTCAGCTCCCAAAGTTCAAATTTCACCAAATTAATCGTGTCGATTATTTGGCAATACATAAAAATACGTGTGTGTCAAGCCCGGGCCTAAGTCCGAGCTGGTTAGGATTTGATGAGTAGTCCCGGAGAGCGCACGAACGAGCAGAGCCAGAGGTTCGCGTTTCTACCTAAACTCATTGTGCATTTTTGAAATTTTGAGTGTTTTTATTTCAGAAAAGACGGCTATTTTGTTGGCCTGCCGAAACAGGCAGAAGACAGGCCAAAAGAGAAGCTATCTAGGTAAACATATATATACAGAGTACATTTGAGGATAGAAAAATAATTGACACATGTTTTTCATAATTTCACTTCTACCTATATACAGTATAATATACTGTCTTGATTTTCTACATGATATTATTGCCAGAGATTAAGTATTAGCCAATTATATTGCTCGGAAACACTTGATTTTGATATTTCCAAGGTTTGGAAATTGGCCTTTTCTTTCGAGATCCTTTATTTTTTGGAGTTTTCTTCGGATTCAAAGTCCGCGTCTTTCCACCTACCTTCTGAGTCTGACGTTTTGCCTCGACGAATTTCTCGAGGATCTTCAGACAGTCTTGTCCCTTCTTATCACTCTTCTTACAACCAGTGTAATGAAGCTTGAATCTACATCGATCTCCGCCTTGCTTTCTGTCGATAGCCATTGAGAACACATTCTTGGTGCTTACATATGGTTTGCCATCGAAAAGATCTTCAGCCTCTCTATTTTTGATTTGAGTTTTAGAGGTGAATTTTCTGAATAAATCTAAGTTAGCAAACGAACTTAGAAACTTGAATTTTTGAAAAATATCATTTAAGAAATGATACAACTACGAATGCTTCATTCGTAGCTCATAAAAAAACGCCATTTTAACAATACCATAAAAAAATAGAGCACTCACGTTGATTTTGCAAATTTGATAGCTTTTCGGCACCACGGATCGATTGGGTCTTCGAACCAGACTGCTGGCAGGTCGAGGTCTTTGTTACCATTTTCTTTGTTGAATCGAATTGTGTAGAGACATGTCGGGTCATAGCTGAATCAAAATGTCACTTTGAAAGGGACGCGATAGGCGTACTTGTTTGGCGGGTTGAGTGGCCAGCCGACAGACTGAACTGATCGAACGACTCCATAAGAAACAGTATCTTCCATTGGGAATCCGCAGCCTCCTTTCTTCGCTAAAAATGAGTCAAGAGAACCGAAATTATATGTTTTCAGGTCGCTTACAAACTTTGCTGGCTTTTCCTTTTGGTCGGGAGTACAACATTTCAAATCCAGTTGGATTTCTAGATGATTTTGATTAAAGCAGTCATAATCATTGAATACGTACTGGCCGTTGTTATCAGCATTAGTCTTCAAGACAAGCTTGACAGACGTATTTGGACTGTCGACGACATACTGAGCAGGTCCGGAAACGCCGCACCAGCTACCCCGGTTGATGTCGAGATTCTTTCCATCGTAAATAGTCAAACTGTCAGATCGGCAATTTTTCGAATATTCCAAGTTAAATTCTTGGAATTTGATCACCATGAGACCCTTTTGTGGGGTCAAATTGACGATCCAATGACAGTGCTGGTTGTATCCGTAGGGAGAGGAGCCATCGTAGAGTGGTGATCGCACGTAACCTCGTGGGCCTTCAATTCGTTTCGGTTCTGCGCGGCAGGCAGGGTCGAGTCCGGCATTTTGACCGATGTGTTCGTAAACCCAGTCGATTGTCATTGCAAGTTTTGTGTAGACGCCAGGGAGATCTTTTTGCGCACATCCAATGCCCCAGGAGACGACTCCAGTAAGCTGCCATCGCTGATCACTTCCAACTAGACAAGCAATTGGTCCACCAGAGTCACCCTAAATGATTTTAAAATTAAATCAATCAATTTTTATTTCGTAAAATTCCTCCTGGGAGAGCCTCCCGGGCGTTATTCGATTCTAATTTATAAATTCTGCGCTCACCTGACAGGCATCTGTTCCGCCCTCAAAATAACCAGCGCAGAACATGTTTCGGGAGATTTGCGTGGCCATGCGTGTTGCGCAACCAGATTGCTCTAGAATCGGTACAACGGCGACATTCATGACATTTGACATTTGAATGTTGAAGACAAAGGTGCCGGGAACGGAATCTTTTGTTGAACCAAAACCAGAGATTTTGCAAAGAGTTCCGGTCGGTGGAAACATGTGCTTGCCTGGTAGACAGATTGGGCGAACGTAGTCGTTGAATTGCCATGGTTTCTCAACGACTTTAAGGAAGAATGTTATTTTTTAATCGAAGAAAAAGTTACTTACGGAAAAGAGAAAGATCAAAATTGACGGTAAGTGGATCGTACTGAGGGTGCATGTAGAATGCCTTGACCTTATTCACCTGGGAGTACAGTCCGTAATTGGTTCTATCTGTAACGCCACAGATAATTCTGAACTGCTCAGGTTTGTCGTATGGTTGAATACAATGAGCAGCGCAGATGGTCCATTTTGGCGCGACGATAGAGGTACCACAGGAAGGCTCTCCACGGGCTTCAAGCATACATCCCCATGGAATCTCTTTTGGCTTTGCTTGGTAGCCATTGACAACTCGACTTTGCTGTGTATTGAGACGGCCAGGAGCGCCAGCAACAGTTCCACAGTCCCATGGAAGATCCCAGTGATTTCCACATCGTCCCAAAACACCGCCGTTGTCACAGAATCTTGATTCTTGAAGCTCAACATCAGCGCAAGGACCATTGTAGCATCGTCTCGATCTGTACTCGAATCCATCTCCGCAAGTCACTGAGCAACTCGACCATGCGCCCCATTCAGAAATTTCCCTGCACGCATGAGCTCCACACTCTTCAACCTCAACGTTGCCGTCCACAAGTCGGGATCGAGATCCAACCGCTCCACATTCAACAGAACAAGATGACCATTCCTCGCTTACTGGACAAGCTGCTGTTTCGCAGCTTTGTTTTTCTTCGTGAGGACCGACGCAGCTTGCATCATTGGCCTTACCACCCTTGCACCATCGAGTTCTCTTCTGGGAGCCAGTTGCACAGTTACATTCGCCGAATTCACCCCACTCGGACCACTCGCCTTGGTGGACTAAGTCGCCGTTGACCATGACCTTTGATTCCGAGATATCCGTGAGTGGAGCACGATCACCGCAACTGCCGCCAAAATGCAAATTCATGACGTCATCAGGAGACATTGCATAATCAAAGATCTGCAAGTCGTACAGACTTCCAACGAAAGCTTGAGTGCTGTTGAAGCAGCCAAAGATGCAGTCTTGGTCTTGACCGATGATCATCTCACCTTCGCCAGGAACGGCTCGTCCACCGGTGTAGGTTGTATCAATATCTCCGTTTCTGTAGAATCCATCAACGTAGATGCTGATAGAAGTCGTCATGTCTGGCTGGCCTTGGACAACAACGCAAAATTGAGTTTTACCCTCCGGATTGAGGAATCCATTGTCGATCTCAAGGCTAAAGTCATTTCTGTAGAGTCGAATGCTGTCAACATTCATGTCTTTTCCAATAAAAAGAAGCTCGTTTCCACGTGGCGTGTACGGCTTAGAGTAGGAGAAAACAGTTCCAATCAAATCTTCACTTCCAGAGTTCACGGCGAAGCAAATTGACGTGCTTTGCATGTCAGGAAGAATATCAGTCATTATGAGATAGTTGGTAATACTCTGTTCTTCTGGAAACTTCCAGTGGGAATATGAACAAGTTGGGCATTCGACGCCAGAGCAATCTCTGAACTCGTTCTTTTCGCCGATGCAGGCGTCTGGATTGCCGGTGCATTCACGAGTTCTGTGGTTTCTTCCTTCGCCACATGAAGAGTCGCATTGAGTCCATTCAGACCAATCACCCCATCCTGCAGGGCAAAGTGAAGTATTACATGTTCTGTAGACTTGGACGATTTCACTGTCTTCAAAACTCAAAGGTTGTCGATATCTATAAGACCTTCCGCCACCACAGTTGTCGCTGCAAGCTCCCCACGCTTGCCAAGAGTTATCGCCGGTTAGAACTCCTGTGTCGATTCCTCCAAATGTAAGCTCCAAATCACCACCATTGCAAAAGTAATTTGCCTCCTGCGCGTCTCTAAGCATTCCTTCGTTTGTGGCGCTTGACGAGGCAGACACTTCATAAATGGTGCCTAAATTACCAGCAGATGAGTCTCCAAGAGTCAGCACAGTACTTCCACTCGGGGTTGCTTTTGCTTGCATAATGTGCCCATTGACATTGATTCTAGGGATTTTGATGCCAAATTTCGTGTAACTGTAATCAATGCAAATAAAGTTGTCGAGCTGTATTTTCGTTTTTTGGTCGGAGTTAAAGGCGAACTCGTCATCTTCAATTTCGATGATAATGGAATCATGCTCAAATAAACGACCAAAACTTGACGAGCCATTTGACGTATATCTTTAATTTGGATACGTAATGATTAGAATTGAGTAATATTGAGATTTAAAAAAATAATAATATTTTTATCTTTTCCTGAAGCAAATTTCAGCTGGTGGTTGTGATATCGAAACAGTGTGTTGATTTCTTAGGTTGAAAATATTGCTCGAACAAGGAGTTGATGGGCAGTTGCCGCCGCAAGATTCTTCATCGCGCGAAGAAGACCCCGACTTTTCTATGCAAGATCCCTCACCAATCACACCAAAAGCGCATGCCCTTTGTCGAGATCTCGTTCCGTCTTCGCTACATAAATCAGAACAAGGAGACCATTTTCCCCACTCAGCCCACTGGGCAGGTACCGCGAATTCGCTACCTGAAAGAAAAAAATCAAGTTGACTGTTCGTGTAGTCATGGGTAATCATCCAATTATTCTGGAAGGTTAATCACGTCCAAAGACACTGATAAGCGATAAGAAACGTCAAGAAACTCTCTGAGATAATGAAATCCCAAACTTTGCGTCCATAAACTTTCACGTCATAATTTAGAAAGAATGCTTCTAAGATACCGCAAAACATCAAACGATTTGAGCCCAGGCACGATGTCAAAAAAAGATGATTTTAAATCGAAAAGATGAACGTTTATTTTCATATTTGACAGTAAAAGTCAGGTGAAAAATCCCAGAAACTCCCCAGTTCCGAAATTTCGTAAGATTATTTTGAAGAAAAAACGAGCCAGAAGTTAATAAATGACCGTGAAATTTTCAAGTACTGATGTTCTGTGTGAGAGACTTGTCACAACTACAAATAACGCTCACGTTCTAACCTAAATTTATTTCTATCACAAGGGCCAACTGCTCATTTAATTCATCGCTATTTATAACACGTGTTCACGACGCTTTTCCTGTCTCAACTTTTAAATATCAAAGAATATTCTAGTTACTTACCAGCAGCAGTATGTGCCACCGCCGCAGCCAGGCCTATCAGGCGCATAATTCTTCGCCCCGTTTGTCTCTTTCTTTGTCTCTTATTAATTCTTCTTGTATAAGTTAATCTCTGTGTCTCTGAAGTGAGAACGTTGCCGCCGCCCGTGGGTCCCCGTGCGGTGCGATTCTGGTGGTGGAGGAGGCTAGAGCTGCTCACTCCATCCACTTATTCACGCACAGGTTTTCTCTGTTCTAGCCCTGTCCGGTGATGCCAGAGGACCTCTTATCGCTTATCGGGTACTGGCTTTGGCCAAAAACGACGTGAACGACGCTCCGCCTGGTGGTGGTGGAGCGGGGGAGAGCAGGGCTTGCTAGATAGCCAGCGGTAGCAGAAGGTAGAAGCAGCAGCCTGCCGAAATTAGTGCTCCTCTATTCTGAGAGGATATGCAATTGCTCCGAGGCAGGTGCGCTGGAACAAGAGAGAGCACCACCGCCCACTAGTGATAAGCAGACACTCCACACCATCACTGATTAGCATCACCTGCGCTCTGATTTTGTACAACTCAGCAGAATAAAGATATTTCATTTGAAAATTCAACCTTTCATTCGGTCGAAATTTTTATTTTCCCATTCAAAAGATGTGTACAAGAACTGATGAACCGACATTCGCTCGAATACTTCAGCTATCATATTTTATTCTTGACATTTTTTTTGACTTTTCTTAACTCAATCATGTTCGCATTAAGGTAGGTTGGTATCTTCGGGAGGTCAAGTTATCGACGTCTAAGTGACTCGACCGGTCGGATCGAGTTCGAAGAACTGATTTCACAGAAGCATGCCTGAGGCGGAATACGATGGTGAAATTCCTAAACTTGGAATAACTACAGTCTTAGACATCATGAATACTAGAAAATAGAAATAGACACAATGGTCAATACAAGCCTCAAATTATTAATTCATGATAGAAAAGTTTAAACGCAACATATTCTTTCCCCTGATCATTCACTCGATATGTTTTTTAGTCTTTTCATTTTGTCAATATTTCAAGATGTCTTCAGTCTTACGAGTGGGATACGACCACCAGAGAGAGAGACAGACGTCAAAATTTATACATTTATTGCGTGGATTAGCTCAGTTGAGTCAAGGTTTATCAATATTGACCCAATGTATAATAGCAACATTAAAAGCAAGCTTTTCTTGACTTAAAAACAGGCAAAATATGATTCAGTAACTGTAAATGTGATGCTTACTATAACTTGGAATGACTCGAGGCTTGTTTCGGATTCTCTTGATGACTATGATGTTCCATCAGATTCAATTTGGATACCAGATCTTCGGATAAATGATATCCACGAAGGATATATTCAATTGAACCCAAAACTTGCTAGAATTAGCCCAGATGGTTCTGTTAGAATGATTTTCAGTGCATCAGTTACCTTGTGGTGCTTCATGGACTTCAAAAACTACCCATTCGATAATCATGAATTCAGGGATTATAAACTACAGTTTTTCTTTATTCAAAATCACCGGTGATGCTACTCATGTATATATTATACAGGTACATGATCCCCAGGAAAGGCATGCTTACTGTAGACTCTTTTTCTCCTGGAGTCCGACTTTTTAATACAGAGGTTGTTATTTGGAAAAAATTCATAGATAAAAATCATGCCAGTTGGACCATAGGTAAGTTTATTTAGAGACTTTTTCCGCACAAAAATTTTCAAGAAAAAAACAAGGTCAAGAATGGTACATATGCCGATGGATCTGCCATATCGCTCTATCTTCCAATCGATTCTGGCGATCTTTTTCTTCTTGACCGTCCTTCAAAATCGGACTCGAGATGGGTCACTTTATTTTATATCGTTAGAAAGCCATCACATGATAAAACTAATGTTCTATTCCCGTTGTTTTTTATTGGACTCCTTGCAGGGCTCGCCCCTCTTATAAGCTTCACCGGTGGAGAGCGTATAGGCTTCATAATTACAACTCAGCTTGGAAATATATTGATGCTTACGATTATCGAGGACAACACAAACTCATCAAGAAATGGGGAAACACCCAGAATCCTAAATTTTTATGAACTTGTTCAAATTTGCTGCTTTCATTCGCTTCTAGGTAAATATTTTTTAACGCAATAAGTAGACCAACAATTATTAAATTAGAGACGATAAGTATTCAATATTCGATCGATCGACATGGAACTTTCAAGTTTCCTTGTTGGGTTCATAAAATTTTCCGAAGAAAAGTGATTCAAGAAGACACGATCGTGTATGAAAAATATGACGATTCTGTTCTCTTGCAGCGAGGTCAAATTTTCTTTTGTATTTCATGGCTTACAGTTCTTTTATCCTCTTTTCTTTATATATACATAAACATCCAAATTGACGGAGGAAAAAGAAATTCGTTCATAGATCAAAATTAATAAATTTACCGAAAGAATGTGTTGTTGATATTTTTATTATAAAAAAAAGAGAAAATATAAAATTATACAGTAGAAGTTTGCACTCCTCCTTGATTTCGTTCGGCAAGGGCATCTTGGATTCGAGGGTCGTCGAGGGGGACAACGGTTTCGGGATCGACGGCGTTAGTGATTCCGCAGAAGAAAACTGAACAACTGTTTCTCCAGTGAGCACCTCGGTTCTTCATGAAAGCAGCAGCTCGGACTTCGCACAAGTGGAGGTAGACGTCAATAAGAATGGCGATCACAGCGATTGTCAAAAATACCTCGAAATTGCTAGCCCGGTTTTAATAAAGGTCTAACATGCACCCAATGGTTGACAAATATGAACAGTGAAAACCGACCCTGTATGCGAACATAAAGAACCACACTTGAGCAATAAACATGAGCAACCAGTTAGCATAAGCCGCAAATTGCATTCGTCCACCAGCTTCTTTCATCGCTTTGGTTTGAAAATCCACAGTGACAAGAGCGTTTTTGTCAGAAACAGCTAAAATATCATTTGAAGACTTTATTTTTGAACAATTAACCTTTCCAGCTGACGAGTTTGATAGCAGGGAGCTTGAAGTACATAACAACAATTCGCAAGAAAATATGAAGACCAAGGTAAGAGAAGAATCCGAAGCCCTCACTTGCAAATTCTGGTTTGAAAAGAAGGTAAATCATTGTGCCAAGTCTTTGAAAATCCATGACATAGGACCAAAAGGGCGCAGCTTTTAGAGTCAATAAAAATCTATCGAAAGACGACTTCTCTAATTTATCAACGGTTCCTAAAGAAGCACGTCCACAACCATTGAAATCAAAAAATCCTGTCGTTGGAACGGAGGCATCAATGTCAACCTGAACAGTGTGAAAATAATCGAAACACATTTATCGGATGCGTCCTACAATCATGAATGGATTATGCGGATGTCCTGGTTGACCTGCTTGCTGAGGGTTCGCAATCATGCCGGATGGCGCGGGCGCATCCTTTTTCTTGCCGAACATTTTTCAAAACTGGGAAAATCAGTGTCAACATTTTGAACGTATTTCTGTATTCTAGAATAAAGCCTTGCTCTTGCTAAAAAATATTGAAATGTCAAAGATATGAGCAAGATGCTGTCCTTCACATATGCATGCCAAAAGGTATGAAAAATAAACAGAATCAGCACAAAGTTCGTTCACGCTTCGGTATTATATTTGAACTTCCTTGATAAATAAGAATATCCATCTGAAATTATTTGAAGTCTCACCGAAAATGGCAGACGAAGGAGAGTTTGATATGTCGATTTTCCAAAATAAAGGAGGGTGAAATAAAGCAAGGATGAGATAATTTGTGGTTTATTTTTATCTCTTTCAAAGAAAAAACAAGAAACTTTCTAGTAGAACGTGGCATTGAGTTTTCAGAGAAAACTGATGGCGATGATTGCATTCATTTCATGGCTTATCGAGGGGATCGACCATTCAGAAATTACATAAGTTTCAAAGAAGGAAACGGTACCTCAATATTATTTTCTTAATAATTTTCGATATTTTTTTAGTTGGCAACTTGAATGTCTACTGGATCAAAACAAGCAAATATGAAGAGAAGACAGATTCATACAAATTCGGTGATTGGACTTTTGAGAAATTGCAGCTCCATCTTTTCAAGACAACAACCGCTTGAGTGAAAATGAGCATGAAGTTACTGATTCCTCATCTCTATAAATTTGCTCTCGTCGATTTCCTGAGCTAATAAAAACGGCACATGATAATCTACTTTATTCTCCTTCGCAAAGTAAATTAACTAGTGCCATCTTTACCAGCTCAGCGTGGAAGAATTAATTTCTCTGTTTCTTCTGGCTGAGAAAGTCTGCATCGCTCGTTTTCTGTTTATCGTTTCTATTGAAAGAAGAAAGCTGAGCTGAACCGGTCGGCTTATCCCAAAATTGGACCTTTTGAGCGATTAGGGCGTTTTATAGCCCGGGCTGGGAAGTGGTGAATGTGAATACGGCTTTCCTCGCCGAGGCAGTTTTATAGGGGCTCAAATGAGCTCAGTTCGAAATTGCGACGTTTAGCGACAAAAGGAAACCCCATCAATTATTTCCAACACCGTAATTACGCCAGCACCTCAATAGTCAATTGTTGCGGGGAAGAGAATTGAAAAATTCGCTGCCGCCTGTTCAGCGTATTCTCTTTGTCATAGTGGCATTTTAACGAGGCAATTATGACTACTAATAATATTCAGAAACGAAATCTGAGTGTCAAAAATAAATGACATCGTAAAGCATTTAGATTGTTACTATCAGCTTGTTTTTTTTTGCGAAATCTCTTTCTTCTTTTCCGGAAGAAATATAATGCAGGTGGAGGTTCCTTTCATCCGCCGGGCGCAGCGGGGTGCCAAGGCCCGAATATGCATCGCTCTGAACATCTTATCAGCTGTTCCAAAAAATGCGCCTCACTTTTTCTGACCCCTCTATCTCTCACACTTGTGCAATAAAAAATCCCCTTTCCGTGAAAACCCCCTTGTTCCTTTTTGCTTCATCCTTTAACAAAATATAAAACGCGGGGTACAATCTCTTAAATACAGTGCAGATAATTATTTACAGAGATCTATTTCGAAGAAGCTGTTTTCACGAAGAAAAAGGTAAGATTGAAGAAGCCGGTTTGACTTTTGGTGAGTCTTAGGGGGCCCTCTCTTGAAGTCAAAAGTGAAATTGTTTTCTCAACTCACAAAGGGTACGATTATGAGCGACTCTTGCCACCGGTAGATCGTAAAAACTACAGACGCGCTCAGGCTGAAGATAGATTTACGAAAAAATCACTACCGTAAAGTTGTTTTTCAATTTCGATAATTATCCTTTCAAAATGCTCACATAAAATATCTCTGATGTAAAAATAACTTCTGCTCGAGTGTTAACTGGGGCGAGACTGGCCAAGTAGAATTGACGCCGTTTAAAATAATGGCAAGTTAATTTGGATGGATCTTTTAACCCTTTTAGGGAGACGCCGACAACGGGCAGTAATTAATTTTGCCATTAGCGGGTGAAAATTATGTTTAAAAATCGCTCCTCAATAGGATTTCTTATTAACTAAAATATTTATAATCTAGGAAATAAATTTATGTAGGACTAGTTCAAATTGACCCAAGCCACGTGTGGAAAATTCTAGTCGAGTTTGTCGAGCTTATATACTCCCTTTTAAAAATTTGTCTAGTGTGGCTAGTGGGCTCGCGCCTTATGTGGCCATCCGGTGTGGTTCCTTGCATTTGTTATCACTTTTGGGTACTGTGCATTTGGCATTAAACTGGGCACTCTCTCGAGCTAATCATGGCGACAATGACGAGCCTTTTTTCTTAAGAACTCTCTTCCTTTTCGTACTACTCATTCATTCCTTAGAAAATTCACTTGCATTAGAGAGTTTGACAATCACCTAGAGATTCGCAATCAACGAAGACTCATCAAAATCATATTTCGAAAAATCTCTGCTCAATCAACGCTCAGATTGATTCTCAGCGAACATTTTTATCTCAGAGCGGAAGGCCACTTACTCCCCAATTATCTCAAACCGGCGAAAAATAAAGCAAACGCGAGGTATTTGAGGAAATAAAGGATTAATTAAGAATGATCCTGCACTGGCTGGGCATCGTTCTTGGATGCCTAGCAGCTGCCGCACCGGCCGAGCAACTACAGTCACAGACAGAGAACAGTAAGAAGACGAGTCGGGGCCAGGCGGAGTGCGGCAAATTTCAGGGATGGGTAGGTGCAGAAAATCACAAGACGAAATGCCACATCGCTAAAAATCCGTGCGACTGCATCAGAGCAAACGAACTTTGCGGCTGGTGCGCCGATGAGTCTTTTCAATACGGTCGCTGCGACCTACCAGCTAATCTCGAAACCCTCAAGTGCCAAGATGTTCAGGTATTTAAGCACATTAATTTCTCTACTCGTAAAGAGCACATTAACACTATCATTTATCCTGCCAATAAAATAGGTTCACCATGGTTATTTTTAGACAGTGGAATCGAAGGTCTACACTGGAAATGCCGATTTCAACCCCGAGAAAGACCGCATCTTCCCTAAGGACGCCAACGCCATCATCCGAGTTGGCGACAGTGTAGACTTGCTCTTCAATGTCACCGAACCGCGAATTTATCCAGCCGAACTTTACTATCTTATGGATGTTTCTTATTCGATGCGTGATGATATGGAACGCATGAAGAAAATGGGAGGCGAAATTGCGAAGAAGCTGAGAGAGCTCACAAATCAAGAAGCAATGGTGAGAATCGGCTTCGGTACTTTTGTGGATAAAGGAATGATGCAAAATTTAGACTTTTTACATATTATATTTAGATCTTGGGAAATACACATTTTTGCATCTATCTAAGTCATCTCACCTCAAACGGAAATGACACCTTTTTATTTGGAAAAACCGTACAGGGACAACTTCGAAGTCGATTCCCCGTTTTTGTACAAGAATGTGAACCCACTCACCGACGACATCACCAAATATACGGAGAATATGCAGAACGAGCATGTTTCTGGAAATCTCGATGGACCAGAGGGCGCTCTTGAAGCAATGTATCAAGCTGTTCTTTGCCGAGATGAAGTTGGCTGGCAGCACAACACACTCAAGCTCCTCGTTCTGGCGACCGAGAGTTGGTTCCATTCAGGCGGAAGTGGCATGGGCAAGCTTTCAGGTCTGATCGACCCGGCTGATGATCAATGTCATCTTGAAAATAACGAATACATCCGTGGTGACCAGCGCGATTATCCGACCATCAAGCAAGTCGTCGATGTTCTCGAAGAAAACTCAATCATTCCGATCTTTGCCGTTCGAAAAGGCCAGCTTCATCATTACCAAAACGCCACTGAGCAGCTTTTTAAAGTTGGCTCCGCTGAGATTTTGGAGGAAAAGTCAAAGAATATCCTTGACCTTATTGAAAAGGCTTACAACATTATTACACAAAAACAACACTTGGTGCTCAACACAAAAGAGTTTCTTGACGCGAAGGATGTTTGTCTTGGAACTGAAGCTGTTTTCACTGACGCACAGGGTGTTGTTAAGGAGTTCACCGACGGCGAGGATGTCACAGGGTTGAGCAAGAATAGCAACGTTCAGTATACGATTCGTCAATCGGTTCACCCTGATACTTACTGCTCCGATACCTGCAGAACTACAAGCAAGTGGGGAGAGTTGAAAGTTCGAACTCAGCGATATGACGATTTTCTTCTCATCAACACAACTATCCGATGCAATTTCGACTGCATGGAGCAAATCGAAGCCAACTCGATCAAATGCTCCGGAAACGGCGACTTTGCCTGCGGCGTGTGTCTCTGCCACGATCTTTTCTTTGGGAGCGTGTGCGAATTCGAACGGCCGCCCTGTCCTACCCCAGGACAAAACTGTACTGATTGTATAAATCCAGAAATGCCAACAGAAATTTGCTCCGGCCAAGGACAGTGCCCGAAGAATTTCTGCGAGTGCAATCAAATCGAGTCGGGAATCATCTCTGGCAAGTGGTGTCAGTGCTCAAATACTGACTGCTACAACGACGGAGCTGATGGAACCAAGCCCGGTATTTGCTCCGATCATGGCCAATGCGTGTGCGATAAATACGACGGCAGAGGGATTTCTAAATGTATGTGTGATAAGGGCTGGACGGGAGATTTCTGCGAGTGTCCGGCTTCTCAGGAAACTTGCAGGGCTGATAGCTTCGCAGAAATTTGCTCCGGTCGAGGAGAATGCAAGTGTGGAAAGTGCATTTGCGAATCGGACGACTGGACTGGTCCTTTTTGTGATACAAGAAATTGCGGAGGAAAACCGTGCGCCAACTGTAAGACTTTCTCTGCTTGTATCGAGTGTAAGTACCACTCTGACGATAAAGAAGACTGCGACGATGTCTGCCCGAAGTCTGATAACTCAGAGATTACGTATACACTCGTTGGTAAATCAGAGCTTGTCCCAGCTGGAGATGATAAAACGGCAAAATACTCCTCTGAAGCTGGCCAGCTCTGCTCTGCAATGACTCAAGCTAGAGAAGGAGAGCCACCATGCAAGTTTTACTACAAATATTACGAGAAAGATAATGGCGATATCCAAGTTTGGGCAGAAGACGATCCTCATTGCGGAATCGAATACTCTCTTATCATTATTCTATGGGCGGTTTTGGCTGCTCTCTTGATCGGGCTACTGTTCTTGTGCTGCTGGAGAATTTGCGTTTTCTGCGTTGACCGCGAAAAGAGGCAAGTCATTTTAAAAATTTCACCAAAAAAAATTTTTATTTTTTTGAAAATCGCGCAATCTTATTGGTCGAAAATATTTTTTGACAGATATCATGTGAAACACCATAAAATAATTGTTGATTATATGATTTGGTCCTTAATGTTGTCCAAATCAACTGTCAATCCTTATGATTAAAGACAATTTTAACATGCCTCCGAAAATTCTCGAATTTGAGGATAAAATTTTTCTGAAGGACAAACAAACAATAAAAAATGTTTAGATTCCCAACGATCGCCTACCTCGTCGAGTTCATCAAAGCCAAATATTTCATGAAACGCTCGCAAACAGTAGCTGTAATTCCAGTGAGAAGATCTGTATTTGATGGCAATCTGTCTATCAAATGGCGCACCTTCCCTGTCTCCGTGGCGGATGATGATTTCCGACTGATTCGGGAAGGAGAAAGTGGTACTCTGGCAAGCTCGCTCGCTAGAGGCGATGGAAACTCCGTAGAGATGGAACGACTCTTGAGCAAGACAAACTGGGGCCAGGGCCAAATCGAGTGGAAAGATGGAGAAGAATTCGCAGACATCCATATTGACATCAAAGGCCCTCAATTTGAAGGCCGAGAGGCAGCTTTTATCGTGGAGCTAATTGATCGACCAGAGGAAGTTCACTTTGGACAGAAGCGCACGAAAGTAATTATTATCAAAGACGACGAGCCTGGCTCCGTCGGTTTCGCCAAGCCCTCGTACGTCTTCAAAGAGGCGGACCACTCTGCGCTCATCCCAATTCACCGTGCCAATGGTATCGACGGGCGAGTTGTTGTTTCGTACAAGTCTCGAGATATGACCGCCATTGGTGGCCAGCACTACAGACAAACATCAGGTGAAATCATTTTCGAAGACGGCGAAACCTCAAAAGTCATCGAGATCGAGTTCTTCCAAGACTCTATCTTTGATGGCCGTGAAAAAGCATTCAACCTCGAACTCTTTGATCCTCTCGGCGGTGCTACTCTCGATTGCGACAGATGCATGGTCACTCTTCTATATGACGAGACTGTATCTGTTGTTCAATTCCTCAGACAGTCCTATCCATTCTTAGAAAATTGCCAGAAAGCAGCTGTTCCAGTTATCCGAACAAGATCAACAAAAGGCAGATCTTCAGTTCGATACAGAACTCGAGATATTACCGCTAGGGCTGGGGTTGACTATAAATCAGTTGAGGGCGAGTTAGAATTTGCGAATGGAGAAACTGAGAAACTCATTGAAGTTTCCATTATTGAAAACGATCGATACATTGAAGAAGGAAGAACTTTTGGTCTCGAGCTTTACGAGCCATCTGATGGAACAAAGATGGAACTCAACAACTGTGAAATTAAGATCATCGAAGACGACGACCCGGGACGTTTTGAGCTTGCGCGAAGCAATTATGTCTTTAAAGCTGGCAAAGAGGCAGCCATTATTCCTGTGATGAGATCGATGGGTGCCGACGGGACCGTCAAACTCCCATGGGTCATTAGAACACAAGATGGCTCTTCAGTTCCCGACGAGATCACAACTTCGGGCACCTTAGTATTTGAAAACATGGAAATCGATGGCGCGATCGATCTGAATGTGAATGTCGACCGAGAAGAAGATACAAATCTTATTATCGAATTGATGCAGCCAACGAATAATGCTCGTCTTGGTCATCAACGATCGACAAACGTCAAAATCTACGGAAAAGGACATTTTGATGAAGTTGAGCTAAACGTTGTCAACCCAACAATTCTTCGCGGCGCTGGAATGTCTCCATTAATTGTAAACTTGGAGCGAAAAATCCGCCTGGATCCTCCTCAAGCATCAGTCGTTCTGTTTGAAACTATCGACGGAACTGCTAAAGCAGAAGATCATCACTATTCTGCTGTTAAGAAGGCAGTCATCTTTGATGCTAACGAGACTCTCCAGCAAGTCAAGATTTTCGTCGACGACGAGATCGACGACGAAACTAATGATGACCTTATCTTCACCTGCAAAATCATTCCAATTTCTGATTCCGTCATTGTAACTCGCGACTCTCAAGAAATCTTGATAACGAATCCAATCGAAGCTGTCCGACAGCAAAATGTCAGAGGCGCCATGCGCAATAGTGCGAAGATTTCTTTCACTCAAGAAAAGCATCTTTGCAGACTTTCGGAAGAAACTTATACTTTGACTGTCAAGCGAATCGGCAAAGAAGACCGCCAGGCCTCTTGTGTTATTCATCTAGAGCTAATTGAAGGCTCGATTCTTCCTGAGAGTGAGTTGATCCCTGTTGAGGTTCGCTTTGAACCTAACGAGTCTCAAAAAGAACTAACTCTACCTCTGCCATTAATGGACTGCGAACAAATTCTCCTAAAACATTCTCTTTCCGATTATGGTCCAAACACAACTGGTGGCAATCTAACGGAAACTGTTGTCAATGTCATCAATGACAGACACGTTGGCACTGTTGGCTTCGGCGTTCCAGAAGTGACCTTCCCAGTCGCCGACATTCAGCAAAACATTCATATCCTTCGACACGGAGGCACCGACGGACCACTGGAGATAGAACTTAGCTCTGTCGGAGACTCGGCAGTGAATCAGGTTCACTACGAGTTCGAAGATGGAACAAAGGTTTTCTTCGAAGACGGACAGTTCCAAGCTTCTGTGCCAATCACATTCATTCCTGGCAATCATGGAAAGATGGTTTCGCGAAAGATGCAATTGAAGATTGATTCCGTTTCTGGAATGGGTAAAATTGGTCAGGAAACATGTTCGATTCAACTCTTGACTGATCAAGCTCCTTGCTCGATTTCTTTCGCTCGCCCTGAATTTTCTTTCATGGCAAAATCTGGTGATCAGGGTCTTCCGCTCCTTCGAATCGGCTCGCTGGAGAAGCCTGCTGAGATCAAGTGGTCATTTGTAGACCACACTGACATGCTTGAAGAAAAGGCTTCCCAACTTCTGGTTCAATTGAATTTGCTGCATCAAAGAATCGCTCTTTCTTGAAAATCCCTACCGAAATGCTCGAACTGCTTATTAACAAGTCACTTTCCGTAAAAATCGAACCGATTAGCGGACAAGCAGCAGTTTCGCTGGGAAAATACCCTGACGCCATCATCAAAGTCATCAGTGGTCATGAACCTGGATCCTTCGAGTTCAGAAAGACACGAGCAGTTTGTCGCCAAAATGATGGCCAAATTGATCTCTCTGTCGCTCGTCAAGGAGGTGCTGATGGAGAGGTCAAGGTTGACTGGTCTGCTTCATCTGATCTCGAGAAATACGATGGCCTCTCTGGTGAAATCGTTTTCGCCGAAGGAGTTCACGAGCAGATCATAAAAATTGATATCGACAAGGAAATGAAGTCCGATACAGAGTCATTCTGTGTTCAGCTTTTCAAATGTTCTGATGGCCTTATTGGCGCTAGAAATATGGCAAATATTTCTGTCCTCAAAGAGAGCGAAGACGTTGAGTTTGAATTTGAAACCGACTTCATCACGACTGACATCGGCGCAATTGATGTTGCCGTCGGTGTTATTGTAAAAGGCGAGCTCGAAGATCTCGTGTCCTTGAGGTACGCTACTCAGCCAGATACTGCTCAACCAGGCGAACATTATCTTACTCAATCTGAACAGCTCGTTTTCAAACCGAATGAGTCCCGTAAAGTCATCAACCTCAATCTGCTCGATGCACCCCTTGAAGAACCTGTATCCCTCACACTATCACTTCTGGTCGCGACTGGACCAGGACGAATTGGATTGAAGGACTCTTGTGTTATAACAATTCCTCCAGCTGGGCATCCCGGACAAGTCAGTTTTACTCAAGACTTCTTGGAAGTCTCTCAGTCTGACAAAATTGTCCAATTGCCCCTAACTCGATCGCGAGGAAATCGCGGTGCTTTACCGGTTGGCTGGTCTGTCTCATCTGATAATTGGTATGACAGAAATAATGGCCAAATCATGTTTGATGATGGCCAATCGGAAACTCACATCGACTTCCCACTGAACTGTCAGCCATCAGATGTTCCTATCGAAGAATTCACAATCAAGCTGCACAAACCTGTTGGAAAAGCTGAACTTGGTCCAGTCCCTAGCCTGACCGTTAGAGTCCACAATGACCTCGAAGGTGGTCGAGTGGGTTTCGACGACGAATCCAGTGAAATTCTTGTTCACGATACTGACGTTATGACAACAGTTCTCGCACTTTCTGATGGCAGAAATCGGGTGGAGTTTGACCTTGAGTACCAGCTTCTCCCAGTTTCTGTAGATCAGAATGTCGCAGCTGAGCTCGCTGAAGCATTTGTTAGCACGATTCAAGTACCGGCTGGTCTTCAACGCATTCCTATTGAAATCCCTATCTCCTACATCCCATCTGGTCAGTCTCAGTGTCTTCTCGTCAAACTGCTCAAGTCGAATAATGGCGTCAGAATTGGTGACAACGACCAACACAGGTTGACAATTCTCTCACCTAAACGAACGATTGGATATATGGAGACGAAGGTCAACGCTAATCAATCTACTCGCGAACTGATTCTCATTGTCAAGCGAAAAATTTCGAACAAGGAAAATCTCACTGTTCCTTGGATTGCGTACACCTCTCCCGAGCCACTCAGTGGGGTTCTCAACTTTGCTGATGGACAGGAATTTGACGAGGTGCGAATTCCATTTAAGCAAATGTATATTTCTGGCACGCCACTTGTGGAAGAGTTCGATGTTGAGCTCAAACCTGGAGTCGTTTATGATTTGGAAGATCGACGAGGAAAGTGTCACGTTACACTCAACAATGATCTCGGTCCTGGTGTCATTGAATTTAGTGATGAGTCTGTAAAACAGCTCCAGTCAAATGGAAATATTACTGTACGACTTCTGCGTCATGAAAGATGCTTGGAAGAAGCGACAGTCAAATGGCGAGTCGATGCTCCCGAAGGATCATATTTCCGAGGTCTTGTTGGAACTGCCCAATTCAGAAGTGGCGATGAAGGTCTTGATCTTGCTATCAATGTTCCAGAAATGCCACAGGACAACTCAGAGGAAAAGTTCACAATCACTCTCGACCAACCTATCAATGCTTCTCTCGGCGACAAAACTCAGTGTTCCGTGTCTCTTCTCAATGATAAAAGTTTGTAAAATATTCAAAGTACAGTTTTAAAAGAGTTTTAGCTGCTGGAGAAATTGCCTTCTACGATCCTCTTCCTAAAATTGAACAACAATCAAATGGACGGTTGAGCGTTTGCGTTGTCCGAACACAAGTCAGTGATGGAGATGTTACCCAGCCTTGGAGACTTCAACCCTTCTCCAGCACACGTATGTTCTTTTATAACTTAATCATCATACTTACCGAATTAAGATACTGCCTACAAGGGAATAAGTGGAGAGCTTGATTTTGCTTCTGGAGAGACAAAGCTGTGGATCCACCTTGATCTACCGACCGAGCCACAAGAGTTCCCAGACGAGTCTTTCTTCATTGTCCTCGATAGACCAAAGGGAGGAGCTCGACTGAAGGTAAAGCACCGAAAAAGAACATGAAGGAAACCATTTTCAAATTCAGAATGGCGAGCAGCGCTTAGAAGTCAAGATCGAAAACGACATCAGTGAGTTATTGACACAACATCTTTTCAAATTTTTGAATTCAAAATTTCCTCCAGCTACTCACAAAATTCTAACTTCGGCATTCTTTGCTTTCTTTACTAAAACCTTACACAATGCACAAAAATCACACTATGCAGACACAGCAGGGCACTATGATTTTTTACAAAAAATGCACCGAACGGTCAGTTTTGAAATCAACGAAGACACAAGTTGAAGATTGATGGCTCAAAACGATATGAAAATGGGGAATCACTGTAAGTTCGTAGTGGTGTTTTCGAAAATTCTGCATGTGGTGATCACTTCCTAACTTGATGCTGTCTAGCTACTACTATGATATGACCACGGTTATGATAATAAGTCGGGAGTTTTTATGAAATGTCAAAAAACTCGAACTGAGCAGTAGCATTATATGATCAAAAAGCAGGATAAAAGGACGCAAATAAGCATTGTCAGCAGAAGATTTGTGGTTTCAAAATAATATCAATTTCTTGAAGTGGTGTATTTTAGTGACTTTACTAATTCTATCAGGAAGAAGGGCAAGCGCGAAGGAGAATAAATTATCAAGACTTTTTCTGCTATTTTCTATCTTTCTCGAATATAAAGCTCGTGAGTCCCAGCTGAATATTCAATTTATTGAACGAAAGATTCGAAAATATATTTGATATGGAAAACTCGTACGTGTGTACGAGTTTTCTTGACTTGTTAGGAGCATGTGGTGCTGTGTATCAATTCTAAAGATGGCTAAGTTAATTTTCTCTTCTAGGATGGCCAAAAGTCGGATTTGCTGAGAAGTCTCTTACATTCAAGCAATCAGATGGTGTTCATAAAATTACCTTGTTCCGATCGTCGGAGATGACCGCCCCAGTTGTCGTGAACTGGAAAGTTGACCCAAAGTCGAATGGACAAGATTACAAGGTAAGTTGGCCACCATGTGATGAAAGTGACATTCCTAGGATTTCCATGGACAACTCGTCTTCAATCCTGGCGAGTCCACAGCGTCAATTATCCTCACATCGCCACTCGTCACAAAAGGCGCTAACGAGGCCGAGTTCGACATCATTCTTGACCCCGTCACTCAACCAGTGTTGGGCGAGCTTCTCAATTGCCACATAAGAATCGAGAACAACATCAAACCGGCAAAGATCGGTTTCTCCGTTCAAACAGATGAACCAAAACAGTCTGACAAGCAGTTGAAGCTGAAACTTGAGCGTAGCGGATTCCAATTCGGAGACGCAACTGTTCGGTGGCAGTGTGAGACGCATCTTGGCGATGAAAGTTTCATGAAAGAATACCAAGCCAACTTCAAAGACGGCGACTTCGACCAAGACATTGTCATCGATCTTCCCACGCATCCGATGAAAGAAAAAGACGCGAAATATATTTTTGAGCTTCTTGGCCTTGACGGCGATGCCGAATTCGGAGATCCAAATAGACTAGAAATTCTTGTCAAGAATGACATTCAGTGGCCAATTGTCGAGTTTTCTAATGCAAAGCTGACAGCGCGACAGACCGATGGAACTATTAAAATCCCAGTCAAGCGAGATGGAACCGCAAATGCAATCAAAGTTAGCTGGCGAGAAAATGGCGAGCGACTTTTTGCCGGAGACTGGCGCAAAGATGCTGGAACTCTGGAATTCGAAATCGGCGAAGATCAAAAATTCATTGAGCTAGCTGTTTGCCAGAAACCCTCTGCAGCGAAATCGCTTGAACTTGAATTGCAACTTCTTGGAGCTGATGAAGATCAAGATTTCCTTCTCGGTGACAATATCAAATGCACAGTCAATCTTGTGCAAGACGTGCTTTTCCCAAAAGCAAGCTTTGATCTCCCAGAACTTAACTTGAAGCAGAGTGCTGAACGCGTTCGTATTCCTGTAGCTAGAACAACGAACATGCGGGAGGAGGTTTCTGTTGACTGGTATGTTAAATCTGACCATCCAGCATTTTCTGCGCTCAAAGGAAAGGTCAACTTCGGCGATGGACAATCACTTGGATATATTGAGTTTGATTTGCCAAAAATTCCGATCGGTGAAAGCTTTTCTACCTTCCAAGTCTGTCTTGACCGAGAGAATGACGTTTGTAAGATAGGCTCGCAGCCAGATTTGACGATGACAGTGGAGAATGACATCAAACCATCCGCGGTAGAAGTGATCGAATTGGAGCAGATGGTTGTCCGATCAGCAGGATCAATTCCAGTTGCACTTTTGCGTAAAGGATTCGCCGACTGTCCAATGACCATAAGTGCTCAAGTCGTCTTAGAGAATCAAGAAATCCTCACAACTCAAGTGTCATTTGCTCCGGGACAAGTTGAAGCCAGCTTTTCAATTCCGGTTGAAACCATTCCTCGATACACCGATGTTGACAACTACAAAGTCATCATCACTGATATCATAAGCGATCATTCATTTGACTTGCCGAAGAAAGAAGCTGTTTTCCAAGTGCACAATGATTTGCCACGAAGTCACGTGGAGGTCAAATCAAAGCAAGCAGAGGCACTGCAATCTTCTGGACATGCTGATTTTACTATGAAACGATTCGGTAATCTCGAAGGCGAGCTCAAAGCAAACTATTCAATTTTCGGCGGTGATCTTGACGGACACACAGGATCAATAATCATGAAAGATGGCGAAGAAGAAATGGACTTTAAGGTCCCTCTTCCTGATGTTCCACTTTCTGGTGATATGGGGAAGATTGTTATCTCGATGGACAATGTTGAAGGTTTCAGCTGTCCGACACTAGAATGTAAAAATGTTGAGATCGACATTATTCACGATGTCAAGCCCACCAAAATCGCCGTGATCAAGCCTGAAACTGCCAAACAATCTGATGGTCCCATCAAAATGAAGATTGTTCGATCAGGAAATTCTGCAGATTGTGTGACTATTCCCTACAAAATCTCAGCTGATCTTCCCGGATTCCGACCAATCGAAGGGGTCGTCTTCTTTGACGCAGATGATGCTGATGAAAAAGAAGTCGAAATCGCAATCGATATGACACCATCGGAAGTTCTCGAAGCTACTTACATCATTGAAATTGAAAAGGCTCGAGGTGGATTGATGACGGAAATTGAAGAGCCTAACTTCAAAATCGTTGTCTCCCAGGATGTCAAAATCCCAGTTATTTCTTTCGACAAAATCGACTTTACGTGCCGACAATCAGATGATCATCTCATGGTTCCCATCAAGCGAGATTTTAGCCAACATGGCCCTGTTATGGTAAAGTGCCAGATTTGTTCGACAAGTGGAATCAATGAAGAAAAGTGGGAACGTTTTGATGATGGAGAAGACTTGAAATTTATCAAAGTCGACTTCTCGAAGACCCCTCTTAATATTGATCTCGATGAGTACACCCTTACTCTGGTTGCTGTTGAAGGCGCATGTTTGCCAAAACTCGGTGATGATATTCTTGCTAAAGTCAGCGTTGAGAGCGATCTAAAAGCAACAATCATTTCTTTGCCAAAGACAAGCTTCTCTTGTAAGCAGAGCGAAGAAGTTTTGGATGTCAAAGTTGTGAGATCCCCGCCAAATCTCACTGGTGATGTGACAATTGGATGGCATGTTGTGGACGCCGATCATGAAAACCCATTAGATCCCTTCTATGAACGACAACGCGGCGTGGTAAAGCTGAAGGATGGATCTGAGGAAGCCACAATCCAATTCAAGCTGGTGCAAGTTCCGCAAAAATTCTCCGCAAACATCGCTAAGATTGTTATGGAACCCCCTGTTGGTGGTCGATGCACTGAAATGACACAAACTGAGGCTCTAGTAGCTATTGAAAATGATATTCCAAGGCCTTTAATTTCCCTTGATCTAACTGAAACAAAAGTTAGACAGACAAATGGAGATGTCTCATTGCCAGTTACTAGAAGTAGATTTATGGGAGGTAGAATTCTTATTCCGTGGTATTTGGACGTGACGAATGAGCACTCTCCTTACTATGGCGTCGGCGGACGAGAAATGATTGACGACGGTGAAAGCACAACGGAGATTAAATTCAAGCTTCCAAATTTTCCGATTTGGGCGGAAAGCAACAAACTCATGCTACGTCTTGGCGGAATTGGCGGCGATCATCATCCAGAAGGTCACAAAACAAAGAATGCAGCCAAAGTTTTCGTCAACAACGATATCCAAGCTGAGATGTTGAGCTTTTTGGTGAATGAAATAATGGCAAAGCAGTCTGACGGCGATATCACACTTCATATAAACCGATCTGGCTTTTTGAATACCCCTGTCAGCTCAAAGTACCACGTCAAATCACTTGATCCAAAATTTGCCGCTATCAAAGGAGAAGTTGCTTTCCGAGCTGGTGATGTTGACAGAACAATTGTTATTCCTGTCTCTCGTGATCCAAGTCCGGATGAACACGTCATCTTCACTGTTGTTCTTTCTGTACCAGTTCTTGATGACCAAGAGGAGCAGAACTCACCAGCACGCCGAAAACCTAAGTTAGGAAAGCATCCAGTTATGGCCGTCACTCTTCTCAACGACATATCGAGACCGACGACATCACTGCCAGTCGAGAAAATTACCGTCCGTCAATCAGAAAAAGTCTTTTCCGTTGCCGTTGTCCGAGGTGGCGAAGGAGAATGTGTTGTCGCATGGAAAGTTGCAAACGCGCGAGCCAAATCTTTCTACGAAAATCTCACCGGAAATGCCAAGTTCACAGGAGATAGTCGTCTCTTCAAGGTCGAGTTCGACCTCCCACAAGCTCCACAAGATGTGGATGAAGACACGTTTTGCGTGGAGCTTTACGACCCTCGAGGTGAAAACAACCCGATGTTGGGGGCTATACACGCAGCTGAAGTTACTGTTATCAACGACATCAAACGTCCTACTGTATCCTTTACCACGGAAAAAGCAAGTGTTGTGCAATCGGACAAGAAACTTGTTTTGCCCGTCTGCCGAATGTACGCTAAAACTGACGCCATTAATGTCAATTGGAAAATCTCCTCGAAATTTGGTGCAAAATCACCTTATAACAACCTAACTGGATCATTTTCATTCCAACCAAATGAAGAGCTCCAAACACTAGAAATTAATATAAGTCAATCACCGGTGCCTGACCTCTCTGACGATGAGCTCACAGTAACACTTATTCCTGATGCTCCAGTTCAACTTGGAGAAAAGAAGCAATGTACAGTTCAGCTTGTGTACGATATCAAACCTGCCAATTTTCAATTCGAAGCTGGCGTTACATCACCTCTATTTTTCACTCAATCTGACAGTTCTGGAAAGCTTACAATTACTCGAAGCGGGAACGCGTCTGGAAGTGCTACTCTCAAGCTTTCTCAAAAATGCAGTTCGAATCCCTTCTACAACAAAATTTACGAAATCAAATTTCTCAATGGAGAGCTCAAGAAGAAAATTGACGTCGAACTCGATCAAACCCCTGGTCATCACAAAAAAGATGAAGTCACTGTTGAGCTCGAAGCTATCAATGATGAAGAAGTCGTCATACCAATGACCTGTTCATTCGTCGTCGATAACGATCTCAAAGCAGCAAGATTTGACTTCGATCAGGCTGAATTCTCGGTTCTTCAGTCTGAAAATCATGTCAGCATTCCAGTCAAGCGATCTGCTTCTGCTGGATTGGCATCAGTTCGTTGGAGACTGACAACAGATACTCATCCCTTCGAGATGTCTGAAGGAAGACTCGCATTTGATGAGACGCAAGAATTTTATATTCTCGATCTTCCGATTGCTCAAACAATGTTTGAAAAAGAGAAGTTTCATGCTGAAATCGAACTTTACGAGCCGAAAGGAACTTATGCCTGCCTTGGCGATAATTCGACCGCGACGATTGATGTCAAGATGAATTTGACGTTCTTTGAATTCTCGTCAGATGATTTCAGTTTCAAACAGTCAGATTCTGTTGGCAATGTTGCTGTCAGACGACTTAACAACTTGACCAAGCCTTGCAAATTGGAATACAAGACGAGCTCTCCGCTTAAAATTTCCGAATGGAATACGGGAAAGCCTGAATTTATCACTTTCGATGCCCACAGCTCCAAGGCCAACATCGAGATGGAATTCGATCCTACTCCGATTTCCGTGACAACCGAAAAAGTAACGGTCAAACTTCTTCCATCGACAGAGGAGCATCAAATGGTTTCTGCTCAAGCTGCGGCCACTGTAAACATCGAGTACGATATCGAACCGACAAAGATAAATTTCTCTGATCCAATCTGCGTTGCATCGAAACGCCTTGGCAAAGTGGAGCTTCCCGTCACATGCGTCGCGAACAATAGAACGCCAAAATTGAAAATAACTGTTTCATGGCATTCCGAAGGACTCAAAAATGAACAGAAAGGACAAATTATCTTCTCTGGAGATCAGAGCCAAGCTGTTATCTCAATGGATATTGACATGGTCAAAGTTAAGGAATACGAAGTCTTCATTCGTGAGGTTACCGGTGCGCCATTTGTCTCCATCAACAATCCCAAATGCAAAGTCAAAGTTGTTGACGACTGTCCGGCCTACAAATTCACAAGTCCAAACATACAGTTCAACCAGTCTGATGGCGATATCAAGCTAAAATTGACCTCACCCATATCTGCTGCTGGTCGCGAAATCGCCTGGAAAGCAAAGAAGCCTGTTCCTGGATACAAACTCAGTGGAAAGGCGAAAATCAATGCAGATGGAACATGTGAAATCATCATAAATGTTCCCAAAGATGTCCAAAAGATAGAGAGCATAGACTTTGATATAATCATCGATATTCCCGAAAATAAGGGTCTGATTTCTCAAACTGTTGATGACCTTTCTTGTCACGTTACCGTCGCTCATGATGTCGCAAAAGCAAAGGTTGACTTCGTCCTCCCGAAACAAACAGTGAGTCGCCAGTCAACCCCCGTTGTCGAAATTCCTGTAAAAAGATCAAAAAATCTTTCTGGGGATATGAAAATTGCATATTCTGTTGATCAAAAAGAACCAAAGACGATGATCATTCCCGATGGAGTTTCTGAAGGACTGATTGAAATTCACCTTGATCAGTTATCCTTCGATGAGCCAGTCACAAAGATTAAAGTTGCACTCATTGGAGTCGAAGGCGTCAGTGAACTTGGCGACGAAGTTATTCACGAAATCTCTGTGATGAATGATGTTCCCTTACCAGTCTTCGAATTCAAATCGAAGTCATTCGAAGCTAAGCAATCCTCCGGAAAGATAGCCATTCCCATCATCAGAAGCAATAATATTCAGGCGGAAGGTCTCGTTGGCTGGAAAGTAACATCTCCTAATACGAAGAGCCCATTATTCAATCTACGAGGCTTGTTGCAATTTGGTCAGACAGATTTGATGAAAGACATTGAAATCGAGCTTCCTCAATTCCCGTCGATCGTAAAGGAAGAAGTCATCGAAATTGCCATCGAAGCCGTTCGAGGCTCCAATATTGGCGACAAAAGTGTTCTTCCGCTAAAAGTAACCTACGATTTGGCTTTGCCGAAGATAGATGTTTCCGTTTCGAAAGCGCTCGTTCAAGCGCGTCAAACCTCCGGAAGTGCATCAATTCTAGTTACGCGATCAGAGAGCCCGATTCCGACTGCAATCGAAGTTGCATGGATCGCGAAACCAGATACACCAGACTTTCCTATTCAAACAGGAATCATTGAGCTCAAAGATGCAGAGCCTTCGAAAGCCATTAATCTGGCCCTTCCATCTAGTCCGAGCTCGTTGGATGCGATCGGAATCGACTTCGAACTCGTCAAAGCAGATATCCACACTGCTGATTCCCGCCAAGCTTGTGCGATTGGAAACTCCAAGGCACTTATTCAAGTTGACATGGATGTCAAAGGAGTCGAGATGAAGCCATCACAGCCAGCTGTTGTCGTCAAGCAGTCTGAGAAAAAAGCGGTCATCACATACACTCGATCCGCTCCAGGTGGCGCCTGCCAACTTCCCTGGAAGACAGTATCGGAAAGCAAAAAATATGACAAGCTCTCTGGAATTATAGAGTTCGCTGATGGATCCTTGACTGCATCTGTTTCGATTCCATTGTCACTCGATGAGACTTCTGATGAAGAAGAATGTTTTGATTTCGTTCCCTTTGCACCAATCGGCGCTGGAATTTCTACAATTGACGTGCCACAGCCAACAAGTGTGAAGATAAAGAATGATCTGACGTCTAACCAAGTCGGCTTCAAAGTATCAACAGGAAAAATTAAGGCGAAGCAATCGCAAGGCTCTATTTCATTGCCACTGGAAAGAACTGGCCGAGTCGACACTGTCTCTTGGGTTAAATGGAAGATCGATGGTCCACCTCAAATGGCAGGACTCAATTCGGACGGTATCGCTACCTTCCAGTCTGACCAAGTCGATGGTGTCGTGTTACTAAAACTGCCACAAAAGCCACTCGCTGAACCTTATTCGATCGTCACTGTTTCACTTTGCGACCCTGGCGCAGCCAAATCCGAATGCATGCCCTGCATCTCTGGTACCAGCAACACTGTCATTTTGCAAATTGAGAATGACTTGGAGCCACCAAAGATTGAATTCCCAACTTCAAAAGCGGAATGCAAGCAGTCTGACAAAACTGTGGAAGTGATGGTTCGTCGCTCTGGATATGAATTCTGCAAGGTGCAGTGCGACTGGTCGACGGACAAGGGCGACTTTGGCACAGTCGAAATTCCAGAGCAGATGGATCATGTCAAAATCCCTATTCCACTTAGCCAAGAGCCGAAAATTGATGAGCCCGTTGAAATGCTTGAAGTTACTTTGGCGAATCCAAAATCTTCAGAAGTCACACCAAAATTGGGAAATAACAAATGCTTTGTGAAAATCTTGAATGATGTTTGTAAGTCAATATTACTATTTTCTTTATTATTTTAGAGCTACTGGCGATAATTATTATATATCACGTTTTAAGCACGCTAGCACCAGCACATTTTTATTTATTTGTTTTTCTAAATTAAACTATATTTTAGCTCCAATTACGGTAGAACTTGGAGAAAGCGAGTTTTTCTTCAAACAATCTGCTGGTGTTATTGAAATTCCTGTCCGAAGATCAATCCAGACTTCTGCCCTCATGTCGGTTGCCTGGAAAACAAGCAGTAGTAGCAGAGCTTATGATAGTCTCTCTGGTTTCGTCGAGTTTTCCGACTCCTCAGGGGTTGCATTAATCAAGATCTTCTTGGAAAAAGACCCGGTTATGTCTGAGCAAAGCTCCTTCGATATTCAAATTTCACTTGATGACAAAAAGATTGCACTTGGACGACGCCAAGCTAGAATTAACATTGCCAATGATGTAAAACGAAGCATCGTTTCCATGAAACCAACGACACAGGGCCAGTTAGAATTCAAACAGAGCAACAAACGTTGCTTCCTACACGTCGCTCGACGAGAAACAGCTCAAGAACGCATCGAAGTTCCCTGGCATGTTAGCTCTTCTGATCACAATTCGCCGTGGAATACTGTCAAGGGAAAAGTTATCTTCGAAAAAGGACAGTACGAATCTGTCATTGAAATGCCAATGCCTTCGGAGCCGAATCCAAACACTCCTGTCGAAGAAATCGACCTTGTTCTTGAAGACCCGACCGGACAAGCTATTATTGACAACAAACTAAGAGGTTGCCATTTCAAGGTTCTCAACGACATTGGAATGGGTCTGATTGAATTCAAACGACAGTCCTACCAAGTTGACTTGAGCAAGGATCTCGTCGAAATCGCACTGATTAGATCGAAAGGAGCTGCGTTCGGAACTGTTGTTGAATGGTTTGGAACGCCAGTGAATCCATCTGATGCTCTCTACCGTCCTCAAGGCGGCAAAGCCTTCTTCCGCCCTGGTGATAAGGAAACAAACATCCAGTTGGCAGTAGAAAACGATCCTTCTGGAAAACCAATTGTCTTCAATTTGACTCTATCCGGCGTTACTGGACGAGATACTCTTGGTCCATGCGTTGTTACTGAAGTTCACGTGGGCTCTCATCTTGAATCGCCTGGCCAGGTGCTTCATCAATCTGCCAACCTTGTTGCCGACCAGCAAGCAGAAGTGAAATGGCAGAGGCCTGAAACTGGTGGACCTCCAAGTGAGTACGTCGTGCTCTACTGGGAAGAAGGCAAAGAAAATCAGCGAAATGAGCACGTTTTACCATCAACAGTGACTTCGTGCTGTCTCGAATTAGAGCCGGACAAGAAGTATAACATCACTGTTATCGCGCGTAATTCTGCGGGAAACAAAGCACCACCACTTCCAGTGAGAATCAAAACTTTGCCAGCAATAACCTTGACATACAAATCTGACTACGAATTTAACTCGTCTGATGGACGCGCTGAAATCACAGTAACTCGAAATACAACTGAGTTCCAGACGACTCTTTCGTGGCGCATGATGAGGAAAGTCATCCATATGCCGAAGAATGAGTCTTCTGATTTGTCAAACTCTGACGAGCCTGAACCTCTTTCTTCTGGTGTCATCAATTTCGACAAGGGAGTCAAAAGCATGTCGTTGCCGATCAAGCTTAACGCTGACATGATCACAATGAAGGAGAAGAATGCGCTGTATATCGGCGAACCTGGAGGAGAGATTCTTGCAGAAATATCGATAACCATCGTGAACGATACAGGCATCCCTGGCCGAGTAAGCAAAATCTCCGTCAGCGATATCACAAGCAGAGAAGTCAGAATCAATTGGAGCAAGCCAAGACTTGGTGGTCCCGTGGGAGAGTACAAAGTGGCTGTTCGAGACTTCCGTACTGGTCGAGAAAAGTCCAAGATCGTTTCAAACGATGAATTTACAGCAGTTATCGGTGGCTTGTCTCCTGATTCGATGTACAAAGCTCGAGTTATTGCCATCAACAGGCGTGGAAAGAGTAGATACTCCAAATTCGTCGAGTTCAACACTCTCAATGATATTGAAATTCTCGATGCCCGAGATTACAAGATGTCGGAAAGAGTCGCTACAATTAAAATTCAACGACGATCAACGCAGGATGGTCTTCGACTGAAATGGCAAGCAATTGCTATGGCTGAGGTAGAATTCTTCGAGCGAAAATATTTTGAATATTAAACTTTTAATTCAGCCGCCTCAGAATTGGGGAACTGGCGAGCTGCAGTTTGCGCCTGGTCAGGATACGGCGCTTGTCCAAATCACGCTCTTTGATAGATCTATCAAGTCAAAGTCTGTTCCAGTCAAACTCCAAATTGTTGATAAAAACTCTTTGTAAGAAAATCAAAATTAATACAAAATTAAATATTTTTTTTAGGATTTCTGAAGTCGATTTCAAAGTGCTCGACGACATCTGTAAGTGAAAATCTCAAATTAAAGAAGGCAGATCAGAGATGTACTGCAGGAGAGACAGATTTTCCACCCTGAGTGTTTTTCTGATTTGCCGTGATTTTCTTGAGAAAATCAGTAAATAACCAACCCTTTAGATCCGGGATGCTTGACATTCTCTGAAGGCAGAATCGAAGTAAATCTTGACAAGAAGATCGCGAAGATTGATGTCAAGCGACTGAATGGACGCGATGGCAAAGTCGGTTGTTTCTGGAACACGATGGAGATCACGGCCAAGGCTGGTGTCCATTATGTTGACACAAAGGTAAATAAAAGAAAGGATTCAAGAAAGACTCATTTTCAGGGCATCGTTCTCTTCGACGATGGCGAAGAAGAAAAGACGATAGAAGTCCCACTTTGTGCAAATACCAAACTTGACGCCAACGATTTCCTCGAGTTCAAGGTTGTCCTCATCGAGCCGCAAGGAAAGTGTTCGCTTGGAACTAATCAAAAATGCTACGTCAAACTCCTCCCTGCCGAAGAAAAATTCGTGTTTTCTGAAAAATACCTGACCTACCGATTATCCGAGAAGATGGCGATCATTCCAGTTGAAAGAAGATTTACCTCTGGTGTATCGACACTCAAATGGCACACGCGATGGTCGAGAAAGATTCACGAAGAGGATTCTGATGATCAAGTTTCAGAGAATGAAGGAGAGGAGCCACCAAACTGGGCGTCTGGATTCATTGTTTTCAAGGTATTTATCTCGATTTATTATTTCTATGAAAAACTGTCTTCAGGATGGCCAACAAAAAGCTCATATCGAGGTTCCACTCATCGACAAGATTCCAAAGAAACGATCTCTTTGCTGGGTTTATATTTCCGACGCTAAGACATCGGAGAGCATCGCTAGAACTCAGATGCAACTCATTGAAGATCGCTGTATGTTCTCTTACTATAAAGAAATTCAAAAATTTTAGATTCAGTTAGCAGGCAGCAGGATATGTTTTGTTTCGAAAAAGCTTCTTACTAATATCTTCTATAACAATTTATATATTTTATCATTGACTTTAGTGGATGCCCCGACGAACATTCAAACCGAAGTCCACGCAACGCAATGCGTTGTCATGTGGGATTTCCAGCGCTATGTCCGCGAGTATCAAATTACTTACTCAAAGACATCTCGGCAGTCGGTGAAGCTGATGAAAGTTTCTGGCGATGAAGAAAATGTAAGCGAAGAATTTCATGCAAAAGTTTTTGACAATTAAGGTCGTCTTGCTTGATTTGGATCCTTGCTCTGAGTACGAGATCATGATCGCTGCGATCAACCAGTTTGGTAACAGCGCCACTTCGGAAACAATCACGATCATGACTCCGGGATTACGTAAGAAATCTTGCTATTTACATGCCTTAAATGATTCTAGCGCCATCAAAACCATCGAGATTGGCGTTCCAGCTCCTCTCTCCCACTTCTCTGCAGGTCAACTGGGGTGAGCCAACCCATTGCCACGGCGAAATTACATCCTACGTCGTTGAATACCATACAATCGATGAGCGTAAGTACCAATCAATTCTTTCTGGTGATAAAATTTTCATAGATTCTGGAATTCCACCGATGATCGTTCCACTTCCGGGACCAGATCACAGATCCCTCTTCGTCGAAAATCTCGTTGAGAACACGGAATATCGATACACGGTTCGAGCAGAAAACCTATGGGGTCTTGGTGAGATGAGAACAGCAAGAATGTGGATCAAACCAATGGCTGGTAGAGGCTCCAGACCTCCATCAAGTAAGTTAATGGATATTGACGGCATCGTTTTTATACATAAAATATTACATAATTATACATGTACATAACTACAGTAGTTTTTCTTATCAGAGGTCTCTAAGATTTCATTCATTGTAGGACAAGAATAAATTTACCTTCGTTCTAGAGTAGAAAAAATATAGAAGATTCAAACTTTGATCAGTATTGTGGTTTTTATCAATGTTTTAGCTGTTGTCATGGGCTCTGAGAGCTCCCTAGCTTCCCACTCGACTTGGCAAGGCGAACAAGGACAGTACAATATCGAGGTTGAGGAAACTGACAACACCACCGACGCCGGCTACAGATCCGAAAAGCACAAGACGTGGACAACTCACTCTAAGGTTAGACTCTCAAATATTTTTAAAGCTAATTATAACTCTAGGGTGGATTCACCACGGATACTGGCAACTCGGATATCGATCTTCCGTCTGATCTTGGTTCGCCGATCGGCACTTTTTCGCCTGATATTATGCAGCAGCATTCTGTAAGAACTTTAAAATAACTATTTTTGCAAAAGAAAATTTCAGTCAAACCAAGTGACGATCAGTGGTCGACCTCAGCAAGCTACCATTCTCTCCGAAGACCTGAAAATGTCCGGCAACAAGGTTCTCAGAACAGTCGTCGACGTGAACGTCAATCCCGAAGTCAAAAAGATCACAACCAAGAAAGTCACGAAGCAGTTCAGAAGCGACGAAGGCGTTCTCTCAGAAGTTGAAGAGCATTACAGAGTAAGAAAAAATCTCCAAGGCATACAATAACAAAATTAAAGGGACAGGAAGAATACATGTCACATGACGTCCAGTCGAATATTCATAAAGATGAACATGTTGACACTGATGTCAAAACCAGACAAGATGGCGATACAGAGGTAAATAATCTTCAACTTACTTTTCTGATATAAATCTCAGATCACAACAATCACCAAAACAGTAACTCACAGGACAGTCGAAGAAACCCGCGAAACGCTTACCGGAGGTGTTCGAAATTTACATCACGAACGAGTAAGTCCATTTTTTGAATAACCGGGTTTCAATCTCCCAATTTAGAGCCCTTATCGAGTGCGCCGCGAAAAACAGCAACCGATGGAATCATCTGACAGCGAATAAATAAACTAACAGCATATTTAAATTCAATCACAAAAAAAAACAGAAAATTTCTATCTTTCCTTTCTGCCTCCCTCAAAACATTTCTTGTATTATATAAATTTTGTACAAACAAGCTCTAAATAAACCGCGATTTTACCTACCGGAAATCGAATGAACGCATATGTGCAGCAGGGGTGACAAAATTGTATATTGATATTCATATGCATGCTGGCCGACGCTCCGAACTCGACACATGGATTTATTAGTGCTCCCTGAAGTAGGGAATAATTGTGCTCCACTCCTCATAATGGAGAATAATCACCTGCCAATCGAAAGAAAATCGCATTTTCAACTTGCACCTCACGCAGCCATTTCTTTCAGCTAAAAGATCGAAAGAAAAACTTTACACATAGAAATGCCCTCAGATACTCAGCAGAGAAAAAGTATGCTCAGATTGCACAAATTGGAAAGAGGTTGAACTATCGTTAACAGCTTTATACCATTTTACCAGCTCTATATATTCGGCCCAACGAAATATGTTGTCGTTTTCCACAGATTTTAATTAGGATCGATCATTTCCTTATTATGGCCCCTGAGAAGGGATCACAGTTGCGGTTCATTCATTTTGACCTTTTGAAAAAGCCACTTACTCAGGCATCCAAGTTGCTTCAGAAATCATCATCCCTTCGCACTCGAAGGGCAAAAAGGTGGGCTATTGAACTTTCTATTCACGAGAAAATTGCAGCTAGAATTTTTGATTTCCAAAAGCCTAGTCAAATACGAGAAGACGAAAAAGGGCGAAAATAATGACTTTTATTCTAAAATGGCAGTGGGCTTTTGAGAAACTAAAAACACGGTAGTTTTTCAATTGTTTTCTAAAAAAATGAATTCAGCAGCAACCATTTTGGACCAGAGCGAGCTCCACGGGCAGAGCCAGAAGATAATTATCTGCTGGATTCGCCGCAGATGATTTATGGCGTCGTCGAGGAGCAGCGGGCATGGATGAGAAAACGACAGAAGATCCTTGGAATTGAAATGATCAAGATAAATGTTGGAGGTAAAAGATCAATATTCATTAACACTGTTTGCTATAGAAATTTTCATTTGTAGGGTATATTTACAAAGTTCCGTGGAAAATAATCGACAACTGTCCTACATCTCGTCTTGCCAGATTGAAAGAAACTGAGTGCATAGAAGAACTGAAATGTCTCGTTGATGACTTCAATGAAGAAACTAACGAAATGTTCTTCGACAGGCATTGTGGCGCTTTCGACGCTGTCATCAATTTCTACAGAACTTTCAAACTTCATATGCCGGAGGACATGTGCCCAATTTATTTTAGAGATGAGCTGGCTTTTTGGGGAATTAATGATATCTATTTGGAAGGATGCTGTCAAGGTTTCAAAACGAAATCTCGATCGGTCTTTGACTTTTTGCTTTCTAGCTCGCTATCATAACAAAAAAGAGCAGCTCCGCGAAGAAGTCAGCCACGTAGAAAATCAAGAAAGCGACAAGACTTTCGAGGGCCACGAAAACGTCGCATTTTCTGGACAGCGAAAGAAGCTTTGGGATCTGATGGAACAACCGCAAAGCTCCTTTGCAGCGAAAATTCTGGCGATCGTTTCAGTCCTCTTCATTGTCTTGTCGACAGTTGCGCTGTCAATGAACACTATGAAGGAATTTCAGAACTTGGCGGAGCTGAATCATATTGAGTCGATTTGCATTGGTCATTTTTTCTCGGTTTTCTTCAATTGAAATCAGTTTAGCTTGGTTTACGATGGAGTACATCGTTCGATTCATCGCTTCTCCGACAAAAATGAAGTTCTTGAAAGGCCCTCTCAATTGCATCGATCTTCTCGGTAAAATATGATCCTGTGATACGACTCTTACGCCTCTTATAGCGATCCTTCCATATTATATAACTGTGCTGATGACAACTCAGAACGAAGAGATGCTAAAATTCAACAACGTCCGGCGCATCGTTCAAGTCTTTAGAATCATGCGAATTCTTCGAATTCTGAAACTAGCACGACACAGTACTGGCTTGCAAAGCCTTGGCTACACGCTGAAGCGATCATACGACGAGCTTGGACTGTTGTTGCTTTTCTTGACGATCACGATTATGATATTTAGCTCATTGGCGTACTTTGCCGAGAAAAATGAGGTATCCAAAATAATCGGTTGTCGTTAGCCAGTTTCAAGGAAGACACCGTTTTCTCGTCTATTCCTGCTTGTTTTTGGTGGGCAACAATTACGATGACTACAGTCGGATACGGAGATATGTATCCTCAAACTGTGTTGGGGAAGGTACCCTTTCCCAAAGGAGCTTTTATCATTAAGAATTCAGCTTGTGGGTGCATGTTGTTGTATAACAGGAGTTCTGGTGATCGCACTACCAATTCCGATTATTGTAAACAACTTCTCAGAATTTTACAAGGAGCAGCGAAGACGGGTAAGTCCAATCTTTCTAATTAGCCGGATCTACCGCTATTTGCATTCAGGAAAAAGACCACAAAAGAAGAGAAGAAATGATAAAAGCACAAAATGAGCAGAAAAACGTTATTATCGGAACTCTGCCTAAATGAGAAAAATATCTTCGTGAGAATTTTATTCATATATAACTACAAGAAATATAAAAAAAAATTCTGAATATGTGTCGTGTCTTATTCAGTATAAATGGCAGTCGGTGATAAAAAAGGAAGTTAAATATGGCAGCAGTTGATGTACTAAAAACTACTCCTCTTCTTTGGGAACTTCTGGCCAGTCTCGCACTAGGTTTCGTTCGAAATAGACGAAGACAGCCTGAATTAAAACATGGAATGAGGACATGAGCAAATGAATAAGACATACTTTCTTGTACAATTGGTAAGCGTCAGTAGTCCTTACGAGGAATCGGTCGCTTGAAGTGTCGTACTTTCTGAAAATAAAAATAAGCTCGAGCAGCTTTGATCAACCGCTTACTTTTTCAGCACAAAGTAGTTCTCATAATCTTTCCTTATGCATCCAATAATTAGCGGATCTTTCAATTCTTCTTTGTTCAAGCGTTGAGCCGATTCATCATCATTTTCATTCGCCTGTTTCTGATTTTTGTTGGGCTTCCTAGGTTTATGATTTTGATTATCTTCGTCGTCTTCAGAAAACTGATTGTCAATGAATTCTTCCATATAGTCGAAGATGAGCTGTGGAGCTTTTTCATAGACTCATAAAGGTTCACATAATTGCAATAAGCTTTCAAAAAGTATCTTTAATATCAAGAGACTCTTATTTCAATTAATAACCTATCCTTCATCAGCAGAAACGTGGTCGACAAAATTGTTCTTCTGACTCAGAGGTGATTTCCTAAAAAGGTACTGATAAACCAGTTATCCATATAATTAAGTTGGCCTACCATTTAATCAGAATCGTCAAGTCAGCGTATTCATCGGAAAACCCAAGAATGCGTTCTGGTTTCATGTTCCGGCCAAATCCAGTGTCTTCTTGCCGACGGGAGAAGTGTTTATTGAACTCTTCTGCTTTTGCTCGGTGTTTCTCTAAAACCAAATCATGGTAGACGAAAATTTCAAAAATACCTACGATGATACTCTTCAATCATTATGTTGCAGTTCATGTGCTCAAGCGGCTCCCAGCTATTCGAACTGCTGGGCCAGTTTTTCCATTTGATCAGATATTTTATTTCATTTTCTACGTAGCGATGGTTCACGATTGCTTCGATGACCCATTCTTTTTCCGCCTCGGTTTTTTTCGCGACTGGCGCTGACACATCTTCGAGCCATGCTTTGGAGTCGACGAAATCAATCATTTTCTTGATCAATTTTGGCTCTTCGGGAGATGTTCGTTCCTCCGGGGTGGCAACTTCTACTGGAGTGGCGGTGCCGCTATCACTTGAGCTTGATTCGTCCATTGTCAGGTCTATTGTTTCCACAGATTGTTCAGTTCGCTGATAACTCGAACTTCTTTGTCTCTTGCTACTTCTTTTTCTACTCGTCGAAACTTCATGGCTGGCCTCAACGGATCGTGGAAATTGGTGGTCTTGAGTACAATCAAGCTCTTCGAATTCATTTGCTAGACTCAATTGGCTCATCTTAAATTTAATGCTTTAAATTTTTTGAATATTATTCATTAATGAATAAATATTCATATAATTATTTATTAAATAAATACTCTATCGGCAGTAAAGAGAAGGAGCAGCAGTGAAAATTAGCGCTTTCGTTTTCCCTTCGACATGGCAATGTCTTTCTTGCTTTTCGCCTTTGACCCTGCCTTGGATCCTGCTTTCGAGCTTCCTTTTTTGGAGCTGCTGGTGGTGGAAGAAGATGCTGTTGGTTTACTGTCGTTGAATGGGAGGATGTATTTTTGAGCGACTTGCATTGGTGGACTCATCCCATTTGGATAAGTTGCGTCTTCAAAAAGAACGATGTAGTTGTCGCTTGGGCCTTCTGGAATTGATGCAACAACGCCTGAAAATTGAAATGAAAATTTCTCTCGAAAATGCGAATTACCTTTATAGAAACAAGTCGTTTGCGGATAGAGAGCCATTACTGTACTTCCCTCAGCGTGAAGAGCGTCGCCATCTTCGGCAGGATTCGCCCTCCATTGAGGCAATGGAAGAACTTTTTTCTTGTGCAATGAGATTTTTGCCTTGGACAAATCGACTGCGTCAATATCTTCAACCGTACACATGTTGTTCGAATCGTAACTCACGAACTTGGCCAAAATCCAGTTTGGCGGCTCGTTTTCTCCGGCACCGTCGACTTTTGCTGCAACTTTAGATCCAACAACGATTTCGTGCTTGGGCGCAGGTGGAAGTGCCCCGCAGAGAGGAGGTTTTTGATCGTTTGGTCCGCCGATCCAAAGAGGAGTGCATTTAGCGGCTTCTTGAAGTTGAGCCATTAGGACTCCTCGGCGAGTATTTCTTGGCTCGTTGCTCAGAAGCTTTCTTTCTTCTTGAAGAGCTTAAAAAGATAATCACATGAAAATGTTAGATGGTGCCAGTGAGACCTGGTCAAACTAAAGTGATGCCGCGACCGAGTTTCGGCGGACACCTGGGCACGCGAACAGCGCCATCTTTTTGGGAAAATCATGCATAAAAACGGAACCCTTCCCATGTTATTAATAAGACAAGATAGAAAAAATGAAAGGACCAACTCGTCGAGCAGGAAGAAAACTTGAAAATGTAAAGGGGCACAAGACCTATCGCCCGAGTCTGAGTGCTGGCTTGGATGTCATCGAAAAGATGAAGAATCAAGCTATCCAGAAGACAACTCCAAACCCTCGTATACTGCAGACGAAGAACAAGAAATATTGATAAAAAATAGAGAACCTACCTTTTTGGATGTAATTACAATATTCTCAACAAAAGAAATAGCCCGGAAATAAACAAACAAGAAACCAAAATTACCTCTTATGTTCTGAATAACATCGAGTGCGTTTCTGATTGCGGTTATTTCAGCTTCAGTTTCTTCAATGCTTATTTGAGTTTTCTCCGCAACATCTTCTTTCATTTGGGCTGTAACGGTTCCTTCTTTTTCGAAATTCACTTTGAATTCTTCGCGAGCTTCGGCAAGGTCTGCCAGTCCAAGTTTTGACATGTTCAGCAAAGAGTTTATGTGGCAGATTGATGTGTGAAGAGTCCGATGTAACTCGTCAATCTGAAGAAAAATGAATTATTTCGATGAGTAATTGAAAAACCATCCAAACTTCCGTAAGGCTTTATTTTACCTTCTTATCGGCTCTTTCAATATCATCCCCTTCTTCCAATTTGATTCTCTTCTCTAGTTTGTACATTTTCAAGACCCATAAATTGTGAAGAGAAATTCAATAAATAGCTGGCTGCGCGCTTTCCCGATCTGGCCAATCGCGTAGCGCGACGATTTACATTTCGAGAAATTAATTCTTTTTTGAGGGCGATTGTTTATAAAAAAGGGATGAGCCAGATCAAACTCGCAAGTAGAGAAATGCGAAAGATTTGTTCTTCATCAAGAAGAGCTGCTAGTGTCGCTATTCCAAAGGTTTGGTTTTGTTGATTTTTCTTCCTTGAACAAATTTCTTTTCTAGAGAAAGACCTGGTCCGAGGAACAAGTAGTCCGTGCGCTTCGTGATACCGTCCCTCGTCCAGAATATCCCATCCCTTGGGCACAAGGAGTCCAGCACGATCAGCGACTGGACTTCACCGAAACTAGATGGATTCGCCCAGAAGATCGAGCGACTTATCTTCAAAAGAAAGACCTCGGAGTGAAAGCTGCTGAATATATCATTCGCAACATGAAGCAAGAGTTTGACTACGACGCTAGCAAAGGAGAGTGGGGTGCGCATCATTCGTATTTTAATCAGCCGCAGTATTTTAAAAGCCCAGTCGAGGAGGCCGTTGAGTTTGATTTCGATGGATTTTCACAGGTAGTTTCAAGCTTGCTGGAATGTTTTTACAGTTTTCTTAGTGGCTCTTTCATATTCCCCACCGACATGGACTCGCGGAGTCGATTCGCTACCAGAATCCAAATCGATCCGGCCGAGATATCGCTGCTGCTTTCAATCTTCTCTGGGAATCCCCAGACTCGCCCGATCACGAAGAAAAACTCTTTGCAACATGCCGTGCATTGGTTCGCAATGCTGATACACCTCTCAAGCTGCGTGCGTCTCTCATCAACTGGTCACTTCAGAATGCGAAGCAAAACGAGCAGTTTTCCGAGTTGAGCGAAATCATCGCCGACGGATTCGACAATCTATCCGCTATCAGAAACGGTGCAACGATATCAGCCGACGATGAAGCAGACTGGGTCGCGCAAGTTTTGAGAAAATCGGAAGCAGCTTTCCGAACAAGTTCAAATTCGACATGGACGATGGGGCGATTGAGAAACTCTTCAAAAGCGCCAAGCTTCCAACAGTTCGACTTCTCAACGCATTCATGAGAACGAAAACGAGTACAACGAACGTTGTCGGCAATACTAAATTTGCGAGAAACATACAGAAGAACTTTGAAAATCTTGGTTTTAAAATGAGCCCTGCTACGTTTTCTGAGTACTACAGACTTATCGATGAGACTCATCGAAATCACCTATCAAGGCAAATGATGGAATGGGATTTTGAAAAGGAGGGCTTTTTGGAAGCAAGCTCGGACTATAAAGATTACGAAGCATTTAGTAATATAGGTTGGTTGATTTTCTCGCTTTCGATAAATAGCAAATTTTAAGTTAAAAATCTGAAGCAACGGGCCGCAAAAGTTTCACTCACAAAAGATGCCGAAGCCGCTGCCCTGGATCGTCTTAATTTCCGAAACGCTTCCATCTCCATACAAAAATTAATAATGACCAATCCTCAATTTCTTCCCCGCGACGAGTTCTACTCTGTCTTTCTTGATTTGAAAGATATCGAGTTGAAATTCGCATCTGAGCCGGCCGAAGTTTGGGATGCATTTACGTCGAGTCCGATTCAGCCGACTGAATTGCAAGCTGCGGTGCTCAACTGGGCGATTCAGAATAAGAATTTTAGCTTGGCAGCGCGATTGTACCAGTGGCTCGATTACCACGGCCTTTCAGTCTATTCGAGACAGCTGGCTAGAAGTTTGCTGGATTATGCACTTGATACAGCGCATTCCAAAGTTGGAGACATCAGGTACTTTCATTCTGTCCACCCTCTGGACTCATACGTTTGTTTTAGCTCCTATCAGGAAGGCACTGATAACGCCCTGGTGAGCCAGCTGATCGTTGTTGCTGTGAAAGAACTAGAATATATTATTGAGTTCATAAAGCTCGATGGAATAGGTATTATTTTTGGAGGAGATAAGCTTTTGAACTTTCTTGCTTTCCAGATGATTTGAGAAGAAGCCAGGTTCAGCAAACTGTCACCGCTGCGTTTAGTATTTTAATGAAGTGTAACCACGAAAAAGCCATGCGAGAGTTTATTCTTTCTTTGGCGCTTGATCGAGGACGACCGCCGATTGAAAATATGCTTATTGATAAGGAAAGGTTCTAAAAATATAAAAAATTTCAAAGTAAGAATTTTTTTCTTGTAAACCACCAAAAAGACCGTTGAATTTGCCTGGAGAAATGGATACACAGCCCTTATTGAGGCCTGCTTGCGCCTTGAAGCCGTCCATTTCGCTGTCGAAATTGATCAGTCTGTGAAGGATAAATGTCTTGATACTGCTCAAACAAAGCAGATACCCATGTTACTGGATTAAATCTTTTAATTTAACCCTTCTTCAGTTTTGCTTACATAGATCTTGCTTCAGAATGGAAGACTTCGCGATATATTTGTATACAATTTTAGCGGTGCTTGTGGGAGCGCTTATATTTTTATTAAAGAAATCTGGAGGCGATGATGCCCAACAAGAAGCTCAACAAGCTCCTCGTGTCAGACCAGCTGGTCCTGCTCAGGCTGGCCCAGGAGGGCGCAGGAGGAATTTCAACAGAAGAAATCGGGTATGATTTCGTTTGCACTATCTAATTATTCATGCCTATCTTCAGGCTCAAGAAAATGATGAGGCCGCTTTTGATGACTCCGATGGCGAAGGAGTTGCAGAGGCAAAAACATCTGAAAAAATTGGCACGAAAAAAGCCCGAAAACTTGAAGAAAAAGAGGCCCGTGCTGCTCAAAGAAAATTCGAAGAAGAAGAGCGAAAGAAAAACAAAGAAATCCAAGAGGAACGAAGAGCTGAACATTTGAAAAAGCTCGAAGAAGAAGGTAACCCTTCACTTTGCTTCGCTTTCTGACGATTTTAGACCGACTGGAGCAAGAAAGAGAGGAAGAAGAACGCAGACTCGAAGAAGAGAGGATAAAAAAGGAACAAGAAGAATATGAAGCGATGAAATGCGAATTTGAAATCGAGGAAGAAGGAGAAGACGCTAAAACAGAGGAACAAGAGGCCGAAGAAAAGAGGATTTTCATCAGTTACATCAAGGTTGATCCACGTCTTTGATTGTTTACTGACTATTTTTAGGAGAAAAAGGTCAGCTTCGTTGAGCAAATTGCTTCAGAATTCGGTATGCGAAATGCCGAGACTGTAAAGAAGCTTCAATCCCTGCTTGAAAGCGGAGACCTCACCGGCGTTTTAGACGACAGAGGAAAATTCATTTTCATTACACTGTGAGTTTCATCCGTGAAAATAGTTAGCACTAATGAGCTTTAAAGTGACGAGTTACAATCTGTCGCGGAGTGGATCAGTAAAAAAGGTCGCGTTTCTGTTCCCGATGTTCAAAGAGAATCCAACAAGCTCATCAAACTTGCATAAGCTAAATTCTATTTCAACGCTCTACGAAATAATTTAAGTCTTTATTTTCTTCTGTTATATTTTCTCACAGTTACTGTCACACCACTTCAATTTAAATAAAGATCGCAATAAGAATAAATAAGCCGAGTTCATTCAGTTTCATTGCTTAGCTTTGTAAATATGCTGCTAGAATTGACTTGGGCCACGCACCTGTGTACATCATTTCTGGCATTGTTCCTTATTGTGTGCTTATTTTTTATCCCATTGTCAAAGCTCATTTTGAGGAAGGGTCCATTGCTCATCTTTATTCTTGAGAAAATCCGATTCTAATAGAGTTAACTCCCGTTGGTAATTGAGTATGTTTACCCGCGTGCTGCGGCTTTCAAAACCGTTTTATTAGAGTATTCCATTTTTGCAGTCCAACACGCCTTATTTAATTGTCAGAATTAATATGCACTGACATTTTAATCCTATCGAGCGTGTCTTTGAGGAGTTTTCACTTTCAACCCCTCGGCACATTGATTTTACAAGCTACAGAAGTAACATCGAGAGAAAGAGCGAGATAGAAAGGAGATGGTTCAATTCGATTGTGAGATCTTGAACTCGGTCTGCAGTAGTGATCAACAATGTAGCGAGAATATGAAAGAGATATTCAAGTGCAAGAACTGCGAGTCGTCCATCCATGAGAAGCATAAATGCCACAGTTTGCAAGAGTCCATCCTCATATATGTAAACGCGCAGCTTTCCAAATCTAAAGGTACAGAAAATCAATCATTTTCTTCAAGTTGTAAAAATATATCAAGGAGTTCGAGCACTCGACTGCTTCTGCAACATCAAAGACACAACATCAGGCTGTCGACTTAAGCAAAAGTTGAAGAACAACTTCTATGATTGCCACTTATTATCTACACCAGATGATACTCAATGTCAGCAGTTGTATTCCACGTGCTCCGAGAATGCGTTCAACTCTATTTGTGGGCAGTCCTTGTTGAAGCTGGCTACTAATGTAAATGATATGAAGAAAGTAAGGTTGTTGACTCTGAAATTCTAGTGCTCAGTTCCGAAGAATGGCGAGTGCGACAAGAATAACTGCATTCAGTCCATCGGTGACTTGATTTTCAACGATTTCGACCCCAAGCAAGCAGCACTGTTCTTCAAATGCTGTGAGTACGAGCACAAATGCAGCGGCTTACCCTGGACGATTTACTCTCCGAAAGCTTGCCTGGACCGATCGCCTCTCTATTCATGCACTTATTCGTATTACAGCTGTATTGAAGATCCAGAATGCGCGAAAGACATCCAGACTATCGAGGACAAATGCCACGAAGATTTTCTACACGTATGTCACTATATTTTATTTTATCTTGTCTAATACGGATTAAAGCATAATAAAACAACCTGTGATAGAGATTGGCATAATCCTGCAACGAAAGACGTGGAAGAATGCTTATTAGCAACACAGTAAGTTTCTTTCTTTTTTATATCAAAATAAGCGATCAAGGCGGTTGGAGCATTATTTCTGCAGCTGTGAGCTCAACGAAACCCTTCCGTACGAAGAAGGAATAGCTGAGCTAGACGAGTGCTTGAAATATCGTCGACTATTCACCGTGCAACCCTGTTTTGAGCAAATAATCGATCTACCAGAGGAAAAAGGCAGACATATCGAGGATATCCAGCCGGTGTCTTGGATAATTTTCTACTCTTTACTGGGTATTTCGTGCTGTATCATCATTCTCTGTTGCTTTGCTAAGCCACCTCTTCGATCTCGTAGGTCCAGCTTCCGAAGAAGGTACAGTCTATCTACAGTTAAGTCGTCAATATATCATTTAGCCGACTGCAAGTGCCAGAACATATCGCAATGAGATCAAACTCTCGCAACTCTTCTTTGTCCCTTTTTCCACCCCGAAACGAATCCTCTGATTCCTTCTCGTCCCGTCTCACCCCGCGCTACGAAACAATAAGCATTTGGGAGCGTCTGATGATCATCACAAAATCTTACTGTACTGCAAAATTTCTGAAAATCAGTGGCCAAAGTCAAGAATCGTCTATTCCGCGGAATCAGTCGGTCAAAACTCTTGATTCAAAAGATGACTCTAGCAATATCCTTGTTCTTCATAAATAAACTCGTATGCTTGTCCATAGAATGAGTCTACCGCTTGATTTTGTGAAGCAATACTTGCGAAAAACCAAAAGGCTGAAAACACTAGAAGTTCTTGAAAGTACTACTTCCAGCGAGAGCAAGAAAATGACCAAACTCAGTTTTGAAATTTTGAAACCGCCGGAGAGGAAAAAACAAGAAACAAACACGAATCAAAACAATAATATCAGAACTACCAACAAAAACAAGAAAAAAGAAAGAAGAGGCGAGTTAGTCCCGAAGAAATTTCGAAAAATCGCGAAGCTTTTTGGCATCCATGAGGAGCATCTTGAGTTTTTTTACGAAAATCGAAAACGCTTCACCTGGAACATCAAAGAAAAGCCGAAAGTGCACTATACCGAGCAACATTGCAAATACTCCGCGGAATTCGAGGGACACTCTCTCGATGATCACATGATCGAGGCTCATAATTACAGAGATATTCAATGTAAAGAACCTAACTGTTCTTACCTGGCTTATTCACCCAAATCCATTGCCCAGCACAAATCGCGTTTCCACGGAACTGGCAGTAGAAATTCCAATCTTCGATTCGACTTCAAATGCCGTTACTCCAACTGTAACTTCTCCGCGAAATGCGTTTTCCTCCTCGACTCGCACTACAAGATCCACGAAAACCGACTCGTCGCATGCATTTGCTGCCAGTTCCGAACATCGGATCCGAAATCAATGAAAAATCACATGATGAGCCATTTCAATCTTCAATCGCTCGAGTGTGAAATTTGCAAGCGGAAATTCAACACGCCCAGCGCGATTCGAACGCACGAGCGGTACAGACACGCTGAAATGCAGAAATGTGAAGATTGCGGCGCCACTTTCAAAACTTCCGGCTCTTTTCGTAAACACAGGTAAGCAAAAACAATTGTTTAAAATTGCTTATCGAATAAAATATAAAATGAAGAATTACTTGCGAGCGAAGACTACTGAAATACGATTGAAAGAAACTTAGGCTCAAGCAGAAGGTTGTTTTCCGATCTACGGGATAAGCATTTTTATGGGCGAAAAAAAGACGAAAATGTGACGCAAATTTGCGTCAACGCTTCTTGGTATTCGTTTGAATCCGACCGTGTGATTTTCTTTTTTATAAGACCGTTACTTTACGCCTTTCCTATCTTCTGATCTTCTTTTCTTAACACCTGTCTAACTACTACTGATCTCTTTAGTTAAAACTATATTTTCAAATGTTTGTTTTCAGAAAAGTCGAATCGGCGACTCAGAAATTTGATGAAATCAAAGACTCAAGTGCTTGAAAAATCCGCAGCGTCGACGGGGTCGTTTTTTGCGCTTCCATATAAATATCCGCCAAAGCCGAAAGGTCTTTCCTTCACGATAATTGATGGCCCCTCCATGCAGCCAACGATAAACAAGTACGTGTCTTTATCCAAAATATGATTTTTCCGATCTTTCCTAAGAGAAAAAGGGCCCCTCTCTTTGAGCTATTTTTTGTTCATTTGTTGAATCAGAGAAAATGAAATTATGGCCGTATAAATCTGTTAATAATGTCAAGCTGGAGTACGTGGGTTTGGGCGAGAATCTGTTCTTCTAGGAAAAAGGGGGAAATTCATTTAATGATCGCTGTTTTAGTAACGGCGGGAATAATGCCTTCGTCCTGCTGAGTTTGGATCGCGACGCCACTCGCCATGGAGATATAGTCTCTTCTCGCGATCCTCAAAGTCCCCAGGAGAATGTCTGCAAACGCGTCATTGCGCTCGGCGGCGACAGAATCAGAGACAGGAAGAATCAGCGCGAGATCGAGATTCCAGAAGGCTTCTGCTGGCTGGAAGGCGATAACGAAGCTTGCTCGATTGATTCGAACGAGTTTGGACCAGGTAATTACGGGTATATTTATAAGCAATTAAGCGATGTATTTCATTTTATATCTGTCTCATGTAAATCAATAAATCACGCAAAAACTTAACCTACAAAGAGGCTAATTTCCTTTGATCCACCGCCTGACTTAGATCTGGCCTTGTTAGCACTTGAGTGAAATTTCTCAAGATCCCGCTTCAAACTTTTTCTTCATAAAGTATTTTTTTCTTTTCAAGTTTTCCAAGTACCAAAAGGTTTTTTTCTAGTGCCAATGAGCTACATAAAAGGCCGAGCAATATGCGGCATTGATATGGGAGAGAATAACCTACCGAAAAAGATTTTGGACGTTTCAAGAAAGCTGGACTTTGGCAGATTCGTCGATAAGAAGAATAACTGATTTTCTTTATAACGCTTTCATTTCTTTTTGTGTCTCCTTTAATTTAGATTCTGATTGTTTGATATTTGCATGATTCGAAAAACTGTACATTCATATCTACCTCACAGTACTTACTCGCATAGTAGTTACAGTAACTTCATTCTTACCTCGCATTCACTCTCTTACAGTTACTTCGCAAGGTGACGCTAAATAAAACTTTATTAATTCTTAACCTTGTCACAGTTAGCGTACCAGCTTGGCAGTAGCAATAACACTAATTTACAACTTTTCAGATTGTTGGCTCATTGAGGAAGGAGAAAGTGATATGAAGGTTATTCCTACAGAGAGACGAGGAAAGAGGCTCCTAATTAGACTTGACTTGTGAGTTCAGATATTCATGTAAGTCAAAGAAGAGTAACTTGACTCTTGCAAAAGACTTTCCCTGTACAAATACCCATCAAAAATGCACACAGTCACACTTTTTACGTCCGCAAAGGACCTCCGCGCCTGTGTGTATCATTTTATTGCGAATTTGCTTTTTGAAGATGAAACGAAACATTGCGTAATTTAACAGTGCTCTTGTGTGTTCAGGGCCCGTCCAGAGAGGTCTGGCTGCGGCCTCCGCGATATTTGCGCTTTCATTTTTCCTTGTTCTTCATTTTTTCTCCGCGGAAGATAAAAAGGCTAGAATCGAAATTATGATTCACCACTTTTGAAAAGCGGGTTTTGATGATTTGTTGCGGAAAAGAGGGACTTATTCGGAGTCCTCTGAAAAGAGCTACTCACCAATTTCGAAGTACTTGAAGCAGTGAACAGGCAACGAGTTGGCCACACTTCGATTGCGGCCGAAAAAGCAGCGGTTTAGCGAAAAAGTCACATTCCAGAAATTTTTAATTAGCCAAATATTTGAGAGATGGAGACTGAACAGACCACTGGTCAACTCGTACAAACAGATATCAGAATGAGCAGAAAGAAAAGGCAAAGAAGAGAAAGCATTCCGTCAAGGCAGGTAAGAGAAAATCAACGGTTTTCATTTATGTTGTTGTTTATGATTCTGAATCATTCATGAATGAAATTTATGGGCGTTGTCTATCAAGACTCAGATAATTGACAACTTGGCAAATTTACTAATTTGCAAGGTCCTCCTTTGCATATTTAGACGGGCCAAATTGGCCGCTAGTCTCCTCTACTTTCATCGTTTTCTGTCGGGATAGAGGATGTCTGTCTGACTTTTCGCATCGTTCAATGTCAAGACTTGCACTACTTTCAGTTTAATTTACTACTGTTAAAGAGCCCTTATTGATAATTTAAATTGAGGATTCATGAATCATGGTTAGCCACATCTTTAACTTAGCGAAAATCATATGATCTTATAAGATTCAACGTAATATTCTCCTAAATAGATGATGTATGCGCAGCTGAGCTACCGTAACGCTTTCGCACATATAAAATGCTAGTGACCACAACCTTGACATTTCTTTGAGAAATTTATGACACCTCACATTTCAATAATCATGCCGTTCCTCCTTGCCTTATGAATACGAATTTTTTATGACTAAAAATAAAATATGTTCCATGTCCTCTACAGATTGTGCTGACGATCAGACAATCAGGAACAATGTCTAACCAAACTAAACAAAACTAAAAGAAATCATCTCAGCATCGATTTTTGATTATTTTCTGAAGAACACATTTGTAAATGCGTTTTTTTTTCAGATGAGGCATTGAATACAGTAACGCTAGAGACGGCAAATTATTTGTCAAAACTGCCGGCAGCGCAGCAAACCAAAGAAGGAATAGTCGAATTTGTCCAGAAGCTTAAGGCAGATGATGATGGTGCTAAATTGCTCCCAAATGAGCTCATGCAAATTGTTAATTTACGCCCTCAACAGGTAATTTTTCTTCGGCCTCGATTGTTGCTTATTTTGATTGATTCCTTGGGAAGAAGCTACGGTATTTTCTTTATATCCTTGCATTCCTTCTATTTGCATTCCTTGGAAGCAAGTTCTCACGCTTATTGATAATCGCAGCTTCATCGTAGCTTATCGATCACGAGAACAAATTCCAGCGAGTGACGTGTGATGAAGCCTCTTTTTGAATAAATAGAAAAATGACTTGCATTTAAAGTGACGCAAATTTCGGCTAACTCATGGGATTTCTCCTTGAAATCAAGGAGGAATATTTCCATAAAACCTCTTCCAACTTTTTTCTTTACGCTCATTTCCTCGTGGAAATCAAGGAAGATTTATTTTTTTTTCTTAAAAATTTTTTAGCCGGTAGAGCTGTATTTGCTGATTGAAGACATAGAGGGAAGAATCAGTGAAGAGAACGTGGATAAACTTCAAGAGCTCGTTCAACAATAGCTCAAACATTGTATCTGAAAATGCAACTGCCCGTGGCACGCGCCACTCTCCTTGATTGAAATAGAGTGAATTCTATTTTTTAGAATGTCAAAAGCGCGAAAATTCAGAGGTAGAGATGCGAAGACCAGAAATCCGACGGGAATTAATCTCGAACAACTTCGAGAGGTAATTTATTGAAATTCTCATCAGAGCATTATTTATTTTCCAAGGCCGAGGCGGAGATAGAAAAAATAAAAACAGACGGGGATCTCAAACTGGATGAGAACATCAACAAGTCGATAACGAATAAAGATTTGAACGAGGAATACAACCAAGCCGCCGCTGGACTTCATGAAAGGTAAATACCATTCTTCGAACCTCGATGAACTATGAATTGTCTCTCCAGGATTCCATCTTCAAATGACACTGACGATAATGACCCAGTTTCTTCAGTCACAACGTAAGTCTACTTGCCCCTTTTGAATAATTTAGAGTTAAAGAGTACTCGCGCAGTAAATGCTTCTCTTGCCAACACATCAATTACAGTTGTCTTTCTTTAGTAATCATGTCGCGAAGCCCCCGCGGAACGTCCCAAAGAGGAGTATCTCTCGCGCGCCAGAACAACCCGAGCCCAAGCCACCAGCGCGCATTGTCCCCTCCTCAGACTCAGAGGAAGACGATTTGCCACTACACGATATGAACGAGGGAGACCTTCAACAACAAGTCTACGACCTTGAAGATAGAATCGACGATTTAGAAATGGAGAACAAAAAATTAAGAGCGCAGATTGAGCTCAAGGATTTGGTAAGTCAGCTACCTTTCCAATTTTGTAATTAAATACAAATCTTCTCAGGAAATCGAAAGACTCCAAAAAGAAGCGCGCAAAGCGGAGCGTCAACGTGCACGAGCGACTGGTACACGCACTCGCACGACGCGTGCAAAAGAAACCGACCTCTAACGAGACTTTCCCAGCAGCTTCAACTTCGACACCAAAACGAAACTTCCTATCAAATCGCCCATCCCTCGAAGTTATCAAAAAGCATATTTAAACAACCAATTTACTGTTCGATCACGAATAACCCTGTTCGAAAAACTTTTATCTGATGTTTCATTTAATATTTTTTGATGCAAGACTGTCTATGCAAAGGAATGAAATATGCAAATTTGTTACCATTGTTAAAAAAAACCTACAGCTTTTTAAGATTCCGAAAATATAATAAAATGCGTTCTTCTGTATATAATAAACCTTAAAATGTGATTATTTAAAATTTCTTATTTTGCAAGTATTGCACTGTGTTCTTGTTCAATTAATTTTGACTGCATGCCTCTGAATATTGAATATAATTGAGAAAGAAAATCAAAAATTAAACATCTTTTCAAAAAATATCAACTTCGCTCCTTCAACTTTAACAACTCCCACATGACCTATCTATTATTGTGAACTTTCCGCTAATCCGTTCCGAATCTTTCTAACAATTCATGACCACCAAATTCTGCCTTATCGCTTCACACCGTTTTTGACACCGCTTATTTAATATTTAATAAATGATAATTAAATTCACCAGAAAGCAAAATGAATAACAATTAAGATGGATTATGATAGTCTCCATCGAATTACCGCTGAGTTGCATACTGCAGGCGTTCCTGTACTTCGCCTGCGCGAAATAAGTCAAATTTTAAATCAGTGGACCACCCAAACAAGCCTCGACAATCTCCTCCTTCTCGTTAATGACCATCGAAATCAGACAGAATCAACCACATTTACCTACGTTTTATCCACTCTGGAGCAGTTTATCGCCAGAAACCAAATGGCGCTCATTAAAAACGGCCAAAAACAAACAGAAATATTCGAAGCGCTAGCGAAGTACACTGGACAGAGAGGATTTATAAAGACAAAAGTCTGCAAATGCATCGCTCTGATGGTCGTTATTTCAATGCAAGAAAGCCGAAATGCGATTCAGGTCTGTTCCAATTTTCCGAGGCCTATTCATCTGGAGATTCTTCAAATACTCTTTGAAGAAATCGACAACAACGATCACATGACACGCTTGAGACCGAAAGTGCACGACGTTATCCTTTCCCAGCCAGAGTTGATAATTCCTGTTGTCACTGACAGCCTGCAGAAACTTTCCGATTTTCAGCAAAATAAAGCCGAAGTTATGATGGCTATAAAGCTCCTTGGCTCACTAGGGAGCATTTACTCTCTTTCTACCGACAATCTCGGCGACTGCTTTAAACACGTGGTTTCTTTCGCCGTGAAACCAACTGAAGAAAACGTCGAAATTTCCGCCCAGATTCTCGAAACCATTATTGACTTTGTTTCTGGCAAGAATAAATCATGTTCAACAGTGATGGCCGATTACAGAACAAACCCAACGAGTTTGGCTGTTTTCAGCTCGATTTTGGAGTCAATTTTTCAAGTCATTGCGACGCTTACTGAAAACGAGGCATTGTGTGAAAATTTTATTTTGAAATAAGTTTTGAAATTCTCAATCGAAGTTTTTCTTGCTGTAAAGTTGACGATTTCTTCTTCGCTTTTTCTACAGATGAAACCTCTTTGTGAACATCTTCGTAACGGCTGATAATGTAGTTAATTTTCTCAATAGAGGGGCTTCGTTTATTTCTCATAATTCTATGTTTAATAATAATAGATAGAAAACATAAGTGTCGCCTTATAAAGAGACTTCATCATATTTAGTTGGTAAATAACACTTTTGATAATTGAATTGACGCTTTTCGTTCTGACGTAATTTCTTAAAATGACGTTCATTCTTATTATGAAACAATTGATGTCCTTTAATAACTTTTATTCACACAAATGAAGCATTGCGTAGAAAGCTCATTTCTTCACTGGAACTCTGGAAACAATTACGTCCCTCGTCTAGTCCATATTTGCCGCGTATTCATGTCTTCTCATTTCACTTTCTTTGAGAGTCAGAAAGAATTTCCGATTATGGACTTGCTATCGATTCTATTCAAGTTTACTTTTTCGCAGAAAAACACGGAAGCTTTTCTCGCATGTCTGGAAATTTGGGATGAATTCCTGGATCAGCTGATGGTTCTTGAATGGTCAAAGTTCCTTGGCGAGCGACCCTCGGTGACTTATCAAGAGCTTCTTGTTTCATTGTTCAACGAGTCATTGAACAAGGCACAGGTTCAATTCTCCGCGGATTTGTTGATGACTCTCGACAACGAAGAAACGGATGAATCCGGCGAGACAGAAAGGAGCAGTTTCATCACAGCGAATATCGAAATAATCGCTAGGATTTGCTGCCTCAAGCCGATGGATATTCTCACCGCGCTCATTCCAAATCTCAAATCTACAGTTTCTCAATTTCTCAGCGAGCCGCAAAGCTTCACTGATGCGAAAATTCTCGATCTTGGGACTCTTTTGCAGGTCGCTGGAAGATTAACGGAACATTTTCTCGGGGAAGAATTTCAAAAATTCGAGGAAGATGTGAAATTGATACTTGAGTTGATTCTTGAGCTAGCGGAAAAACTTTACCAGGAATGATATAAAATTGAATAATCTAAATCGAGGTTAATAAATTTGATTTGCGAGTCTCTCTAAATCGAGGTTAATAAATTTGATTTGCGAGTCTCTAAGAGTCCAACTTTGTTATCATCTAAAAGGTCGTCCATTCCAAATCGCACAGCGCATCCATAATCGAACTACACTGCCAAGTCCTCTCAGCACTCCGCCCATACCAGCACTGGCTTTCGCAGTTTTACGCAAAAGCCCAAAATACTCTTTCAATAGACACGAAAGAAAAACTCGAGTCAGCACCGGTCGTTCATCTCTCGCGAAAAGTTCTGCACATTTCCATCCCAGTTTTACTTCTAGAGCCGAGCAAAGAAACGCAAAAGATTCAAAAAGTGGCTGCTCAGTTGCTACAGTGTTGGGCGAGTATTGTGCGGCCCCATTTCGCTGATATCCTAGGTGCGTTTATTTTGAAGACTTAATTTTCAAATTTCAGGCCATCGGAGATAAAAAGTCGCGTTTATGTGCATTTAGTTGAACAGGGCTTGACTTTGAAAACCTCTAAAACGCGATCTAAAATGCATATCCACTCTATGTTATAAAAATTATTCAGCGAGCGAGCTAGGTGAACTTTATTCAATTGGTGGTATTGGCCCCAGTCCAAAGAACATTCCCCTGACCGAGGAAACGAAAACGATTGTTCTGAAAGCGCTGGCGAGTCTTTTCTTGCTCCCTTATCCAAATACAACTCAAGCAGATCAAAAATGGCCGGAGAGGACGGAGCTTTTCACGAGTCTTGTAAAATCACAGTCGGCCAGGTTCGATTTCATCAGTTCTTGTTGCTTCTTGGTTTATTCGGAATCCGTCGCCTGCAGGAAATCGTGCTCTGCGGGAATAAGAAATATCGTCTTCGACTGCGTGCCACATATAAACACTTTCAATGTGGATATAAAGGAGACGAAGGCAGCGATGAATCTAACGACTGACTACTTTAATTGCATGAAGCAAGAAGCGACGAAAGATATGGAACTGACGAGAAGAACTGTTCAGGCTTGCTATGAGGTTTGTTTTTGAAAAATTCTTTGAAGTTATCGTGAATTTGAAGGGATTCTCTGTTGAGAAAGCAAATGAGCTTTTGCTGAAAGAAGAAGGGGTTCAATTCCTGGAGAACATGACAAAGATCATTTCCGCGGTAGTCGAGTACTGCAAGGATGCGGAAATACTACCCGTCGTTCTTAATCTCACGATGAATATAATTCTTCCTGCTTCTGAAATGTCGCCTCCTGTCCATGCTGGTAGGCGGTTCAATAAATGAGTTTTCGCTGGAATTTAAATTTATTCAGCTGGATTGACGCTTTTGAAGAGGATCATTTCCGTCAAATATCGATTCTTTTTCCCGGGCAACGTTCTTTCTTCGCACTTCAAATCCAACTCTCCCGGCTCGAGTTATCCAAAAATCCAAAATGAACAGACTCTTATGCAAATTATTCGTTACTTTATCACTGGTAACGTTTCTCTAATAAACATTAATTAACTTTCTGTAGCTATCACTTCTACTGATCTAACACTGTCCAGAAATGCACTAAATCTCCTTCTCGAGCTTCAAAAAGAGCGTAAATTCTTTTCTAACGATGCTGTTCGGTAATTATCAAATCTCAGTTCCCTGAGCAGCTAACTCGATTTCTGTTTTAGAGTAAATATCAACCCGTTAATTGTCGGGGCCGTCTCCAGCACCCTACTCGCTGGCCAACACCTTATTATCGAGGATGAGCTGATAACTTTGCTTCACCACACGTTCTACGAGAACAAAATATGCGACCTTCAATCCATATTCACAAACACTTTACCTAAGCATCTCTCCGTAAGTAAATCCCCAGACCAACGGATGTCTCTACTTCCACGACTAGGATATTACATGAACGGAGGCCCTTATCGCCCTGATTATCTTGCACTTGAAATTCATTTCTCATTTTTTTCTCCTAGAGTTACACAGTTCCATCACTCAACACCGACTTTCCAACGTTTCTGAGCATCATTCGATCCGTTCTCATCGCTTCCAGAGGCTGATATTCAAATCCCTTTTTCTTTTGTCAACCATTTTATGTTTTCGCACAGTTCAACAATCGCATATCATAATCAAATAAGAAAAAGCACCACTACTGGCACACACAAAAAAAAAGCATCTGTACCCCCATTCTTCGTTCAACAACTGAATATTAAACATTCAAAAGTTCAGATTTTCTCCTCAATAATGCAATTCAGAATGGACATAACAGCAGAAATAACAGTGAAATTCCGATTGGCGATCAAAAAGAAACTCGCCGCCATGAAGATCGAGGAGGATGATGACTTGATCGACTTTGTGATGATCATCTTCGCGAGAAAGAAGCGATTTGATGCTATTAGGGAGGACTTAGAAGAATTGTTAGAAGAAAAAGCTGCGGATTTCGCAGTTTGGCTTGATCTTTTGATTCAAAAAGGTAATTTTGTAGTTTCATGCTAGAATTGTTTTACATGGGGATTTCTTTAGTCAATGGGCTGCCTGAAGATCCGAGCAGAGAAATGTATGAAGCCAGAAAGCGCAAAGAGCAAGAAAAGCTCGAGGAGCGACTTGAAGCTGAACAAGAGGCTCGAGAAGCGGCCGCGGCAAATTCCGGAAGCGATTCGTCTCAGAGCTCAGATTCAGATGGCGAAAGAGATTACTCCAGAGATCGCTCGAGAAGTAGATCTCGGTCAAGGTACTTATCATTGGAGATAAGTATAAGGTTTGATAACATTTCAAGATCTCCGCCGAAGAATCGCGTCAACATTTTCCTCGAGGATTCTCGACAAATCCACGATCTTCAAGAGCGATTCCAGGATCTTAAACAAAAAAGTCGCCGACTCAACAAAGAATTCACCAAACGCGAGGACAAGAACTCGAAGAAACTTTGCAAATCATACAAGTATGAATATATTTTCTGCTGATATTTTAATCAATTTTTTCAGGGGAATAAATGAAGCATTGATGAAATTGCTGGAAGCTTGCGATGCTGTGGAACTTGACCCCAAAGACATTCAAAATCGCGCGGATAGAAAGAAGATTATCAAAGATTCACAAAAGTTGCTCGATCGCAACGACAAGGCAATTTCGTTCCTATGATTTTTACTGTTCTCCTTCTTTATCAGACCTGCCAGTTATCAAGCCTAGTTGATCATTTTTTTCATTATTCAAGTGCAGTTTGAATTAAGAATGGAACTCTACCTTATCGACTGTATTTGGATTGTTCTAACTGTTGCCGGACTCGCCGTTACCTCGCCAAAAATCATCACCAATAACGGGTTATTCCAACAACTCACAACATTCGGGAAGACAAGAGTCAAAACATACCCTTTTGACGTTCCGAAAGCCTGGTTTACCCACTTTTATCTATTAGGAAGTTTGTTCTTTCTTCTTCTGCTCTATCGCTGGTGCTTGGGAACGGTTGAAGAAATCCGGATAAACAAACAAAAATGGTTCATTTCCTACCAAAATCAGTCTATTCGCGGTTCATTTGCTCAACCTAAAAAAAAGACGGCCAACCTAGTTTGCCTGAAATAGGACTCATGTCGATTGCGATGCATCCGATTTTGGATCTGAGTCTATTTACAGTTGGCGAAAGCAACCCAAAATTACGTAAAGGCGTAATGCGACTCTTGATACACGACTTTGATGGTAAGGCGCGTTCATTTTCGACTTTCAAAGGGTGTCATTAGATCGTGTTCCCTTACTTGGATGGCTCGTTCTTGTTCATCTTCTGCAGCGGTTGTTAGGAACGGGTTCGATATAATTACAATTTTGGAGAAAACAGTGAATTATTTGTCACCAAAATTAGACGCTCATATCAACTTATTTACTAATTAACATCTGCTAAAGCAATCTTAAGTAACAAAATATTGCAATTTGCTCATATCAATTGCCCCAGAAAGCTTCTTTGAAAATCGCTAAAGCTATTTTGGCCCATATTATTGCATTGCATAACTCCGTTAACTCGAGCCCTATTTTGAGAGTCTATATTTATAGCGAAGTCTAAAAATGTCATGTCGATCGCTCACTATGCGCTTGGTCATGTTTTTTACGTTCTGGTTCCATTAAGTACGCTGGCTTCTTTGCCCGATGCTCTTGACTTTGACAAGGAGCTATCTCCTGGCTCAATTTTCAAGATAACAGCAGTCTTTTCCGCGATCTTCTATCAACACTTGAGGTAAGGATATTTGTGAAATCTTCTGCTTTTATGTGCATTAATTCGCCGCCGAGGTGAAAAACGATAGAGATGAAGATTCAAGATCGATTTCCGTATCAAGAAATCTTCTGAAAGATCTCGATCTAAACCTATTCTCTCACGCGGGAGACCTAACCCATCTTGACTCCCCGCTTGGAAACAGCTGGTAGCCCCGCAGCGCCATCTTCCAAAGAGTTACTGTATAAAACCATTTGATTTCAGGCAATTCAGAAACACAGCTTTAATTTTAATCCTATTTAAATTTTTACAAAATGAAGAACGCATCTCATCTCTTGTGTACAGCCGATAACCATGAAAGACTTATCCAAAGCAAAAGAGTTTTCATCAAAATGCTCGAAAAAGAAGAATTCAAGCTTATCGTTCGAAAACTCTCCATCAACGAAGGCATTAACGAAGTTACAGAAACCGAAGCAAAGCTCGCTGCTCGAATCAAACGAGAGAAGTTGGAGCTACTGGCTCTGATCAAAAACAGCAACTTGAAGGATGATGAAGTGAAGAAAATGAGAAAGAAGCTCCTCGCAGAAATGAAGATTTATTTTTAGTTGAAAAATATTATTAAATGAAGCATTTAATAATATTGATATAATAATAGGATTCGACCTATAGAACAAACCATTAAAATGATTCTCATCTTATGTTTATGCTATAAAATGCGTTTTTGATGCTGCTATCAAGTTTGTATTCGAAATAAATCCCTTTGAATAAATCTGAAAATGAATTAATCCGAACACGCATCCCAATAAATTTCAAATCATCAGGAATTTATCAATGTCTATTTGATGAATTACCATAAGAATTTTTCGGGCAAAAAAATTTTTTTTGAGATATTGGTATATTCTGAAAGCCCGTAAAAAGTTATACAGAATCACCAAATTCTAGGGTCAGATGACGTCATTATGACGTCATCGGGCTGATTTGAAAATTTTGTCTTTGGAACGCTTTTTCGAGCCGAAAACGTTTTTTAATTTTATTTTTCTCGACGGATTCGGATTTTCCATGAAAAACTACGTAGGGACCCGGGATCAAACCATTGAATATCAACCATTACCGACCGGTCCAATTTTTGAAATCGAAAAATCTATTTCCAGCAAAAACAGCCTCAAAAAGCGTTCCAAAGTTTCATGAATTTGGAGCCTTTTCGGACATTTATTCATCATAAATGACGTCATCATGACGTCATTGAGCCCTAGAAATTTGGGAATCGACTAATTTTGACTTGGACTTTCAGAATATACCAATATCTCAAAAAAAATTTTTTTGCCCGAAAAATTTTTATGGTAATTCATCATTTGTCTATTTAAATTGATTTCTTATTTCAAGTTCTATCAATTTAGCATACGAGCAATGGCAAATCTTCGATCTGACCCAAATGCGCAAAAAAACTCTTGTCCTCCGCGAAGTGGTCTATTTACAGTAAGAAATCGGTGCCCCTGCCCTAATTCGATTCTATTTTAGTACATTATGTCCCCAACGATTGCTTCTGAAATTCTCTTCTACCTCGCTCTCCTGCCTATCGGTGGCTTTCACATGTTCTTTCCGTTCTTCTTCACTTTAATCAATCAATCAATCTCTGCCAGAATGACCCTAGACTTTTACAATTCAAAATTTGGAACGTCTCAAGTCGCCGGTCGAAAAGCTCTTGTTCCATTCATTTTCTAGACATGTTTTTTCCAGCATCAGAAAAACGGATAGCCAGTCACTTCTTATCGTAACAGTCTGTTTTGTAGACATGGTATCGATAAATGAAGGCTTTTCGGAGCAAGTTTTGATAAAGAGATTGAAAGCTGATGGCACCTATGATGTCCTTAGAAAGGCATGCTTGCAGATGGTCGAGGAAAATCCAGTTTATACGACGCTTAGGAGTGATTTGGACAAGCAAGTTTCAAGTCAGAGTAGAAAAGTTTATGTAGAATGGGACACATCTGTCGATTACCATTGATTACCTAGTCACTACCAGCTTCATATAATTTCTATCTCGTGATAAGTTTCCTCTCGAACCAGCAATGGAAACCTTCCATCAGAAAAGAAGACATGATGCGCCAACTCCGGACACATATGCACGGAGGAGAGCTCTTCTCTGCTCGCCTTCCGAAAATCATAAGCGACTTGATGAAATCCAACCAGGATCAGCATCTCCGCCCGGAAGTTGAGCGAACGGCCACACAGATGATGGAGGAGCGAGAAAAAGAGATTGCCTTAAAAAGTAAGAAAGAATAAGCCATCGAAAAATCCGCTTTTGGAATTTCAAATGCGCGAACGTAACAAGCAGTGAGCATTCGATCGCTTCGAATTGAACAAATATGGTTAATTCTTGAGCTCGAGTTTGACGCCATATCTAATCGCTCAACAGTTCACATTTGCTGCTAATTTGCAGCGATCCACGTGAAAAGACAAACTTCCTCTCTTCTGCTTTCTTTCCTTCCGGCGTGAAATTCATCAGGGTTAAATGCGGTTTTCCTAGCGGACGATTTCTGCTGAGATTTTGAACTTGAGATTAATTTTGATCAAACATTGACGGTGACCACCGCAAGCGCCATCGAGTCTCTTATAATTATATTTTCCAGAAAAAATGCATTTTGAAATTATATTTGTTATAGACAGCGAGTTTTTAAAACTGTTCTTCAGAAAAAGAATCTCCCAAGAAGACCTCTGAAGTTACGAAAACTCCACCAAAAGATCCCTCTACTTCTAACTCGTCAATCGTGAATAATGAGCAGCCTCAATCGTCAGGTCAAAATCGAATACCGCCTATTCAAAGTGTCGTCCCAACAACTCAACTGTCCAGCGACTTCCAAATGGATGTTGACTTGCCTCCGCATGGGCGGAAATTAGCGGATGTCAAACAGGAAAATCAAAGCAGCCAGGAAGAAGTGGACTTGGACTCGATGACTTTAGACGAACGACTCAAGTTTCTCCAGCAGCGAGAGCACGAGGAATGGTTCCTTATCTATTCTGAAAATAATCCCGGTTTCTTAAACCGGTTAAAACTGGCCTCGGTGAAAATAGAACACATCAAAATAAACCCTTATCTGGAACCATTAAAAGGGAGATGATTATCATTCTCCGGATGCATCTCCGATACACGACGAGCAACCGGCACCGGGCGGCGGCGGCCTTGCTAGTCTGCTCAACAAACTTCAAAACTCGGCGCTTAGCGGTTTGTTCCCCAGCGATCCAAATGCCGGTAATCTCGGCGCGGCTGACGATGTTTCAATGGAGTCAGGTAGAAGCTTCTTCCTCTTTTATTGTTGCTAATTTTCGCCACGGGACGTCCCATTTCTTGCATTTCGCTAACGTGTGAGCATGCGCAGGCAGCGTGACAAAATTGCTTGTAGCTCGGAACTCCGGGCGGAGATGGGATCGCTTTCTAAACCAAATCTAAATCTTGCAGAAGATCACTTATCTACTGTACGAAGGTTTTCTAGTGATTTATTGAATCTTCTAGAACCATACTTTGCCTTTTCATTAATTTTATTTTTAGATGGTGGAGCAACACCGATCATGGATGAAGATTTAGGAGACCAGGCTCCGGAAGTTGAAAACGCCGTTCCGGGCCTTCCAAAGATAGTAGAGATCGCTGGTGGATCAGCAGTTAAGAAACGTGTGGTTGTTGATACTTCCAGCTCCAGTAGCGACAGTAGCAGCTCCTCAGGTCCGGATTAGAGAAAACTGAAAACAATCATTTTCGCAAGATAAACATGCCAATTTTAACTTCTCAATACACGGGCGCGCAACTAAGCGCTCAAAACACGGGGTCGGGTGAGGGGACCACAATGCATTATTCAGCCCCGCGCGGCGCGCAAAATTCGGATTGTCAGAAAGAGCGCTCAAAACTTTTAGCTTTAACTTTCGTTTGCGGCGGGTAAAAAGGTAACAATTCATATCGCTGGAAAGCTTGAACACTCACCTATCAGGATAAACAATTACTTTTGAAAAACACTTTCTGGATTTGCAGCTGTAGAATGAAAGATGAATCCGATGCAAAACGCCACCACTTTTGAGAAAACATCCAAAATTTCAGAAAGTGGTTCGTTTTAGTCATCTTAGCTCACATTACAAAAATCAGGTCAAACGGATTATCACAAGAGAAATAACGGCGGCTCAAACTCGCCGTGGTCGGTTGAACCGACCACGTGTATTGAGAAGTTAACGGTGCTAACTGTATATTTTTTTTCAAAATCCGTCTGAAGATGACTCCGACTCTAGCTCGAGCTCGTCATCGAGTGATGATCGACGAAAGCGGCCTCGAATGCGCGAATCGCGTTTGGTTCGAGAAGAGCGCGAAAGAAAGGAAAGAATGCGTCGTCGTCCTTCGCGAAGAAGTCCACCGGATGGTCGAGCTCCGCGAGGATCTCCGGTGAGGGTTAGAAATGTGATTTTAGGTGACAGTTATCTAAATTTGGTGAATCAAAATGAAAAGCTCTTCAATTCAATTGAATCAATTCTATTGTGAGTCAATGTTTTTTTAAGACTTACGAAGACTACGCTTCCAAAAGTCCTCGATCGCGGAGCAAGGGAAGATCGCGGGACAATAGTCGAGATCGGGATCGAAAACGACGAGATAGTTCTGAAAGGGATGATGTCCGAAAAGAGAGACGTAGAACTCCGACTCGGCGGTCGAGAAAATCTTCTTCGTCATCTTCTTCGAGCTCTTCGTCTTCTAGCTCGGATGACGATTCCCAAAGGTATTGGAAGAGGAAAATCTAGGAACTCTATTTTATTTTGAAGCCGAAGCCGACGAAAATCGAAGGAGCGTGCTGAAGGAAGGTCCGATCGCGACCGACGCTCCGATTCTTTCGGACGTCCGTCTTCTGAGTCTCGATCCAGGTTAGTTAGGTTTTTTATCCCACGCTTCAATAAGCGACAATAACTACATAGTAGCTTCATATGTGAATTACATTTGTAGTCTTATATGATTCCATTAAGATGAATTTAAAAAACTTTTTGCAGGCAAAATCCTGACTTTGCCTGTTTTTATATTCATCAGAAAGCCCGTAAAATTCTGAGTCGACTGGACTAATTTCAGACCAAAACAGTCAGACGATGACGTCATAAATGACGCTAGAAGTTGGCAAAAATAGCCATTTCGGGCAAACTTTGAGTCACTTTTTCTGGGCCTTTTTGACGTAATTTTCTCATGTTTTATAGCTCAAATTAATCCCTATGAAAAACTGTACTAAGGTTTTTCTTGGATTTTCATTTGCTCGAAATTTTTTTTTCGGAAAATTCTAGAGCCAAATTTTTCAAATTTTTTTTCCTAATCCTTAAGAACCTTAGTACAGTTTTTAATAAGCTTTCATTTGAGCTATAAAACACCGAAAAATTCGATCAGGAACGCTGTAAAAATAAGACTCAAAGTTTTGGCTTTTTGGAATTTTCTGACGTCATTTGTGACGTCATTCTCTAGAAAATTTCAAAAACGACTTGGTCGAATCGACTCAAAATTTTCCGAGCTTTCTATAGGGCTACAAATCAGACCAAGTCAGAATTTCGCCTGCAAAAAGTTTTTTAAATTCATCTAATGGATCACTCATCAAAATTTTAGGAACAAGTCGCGTCGTCGCAGGCTGAGTTTATATTTCGTAATTTTACATTCTCAGAAATACTGTCAGGGCATTACTTGTGTAGACATTTTTAAATTAATGCAGATTCAACAGAATATGTCTTTTGTATTGCGCCGGTTGTGAACATGTATATTCAAAAACAAGGATTTAAAAAATGAGTTGACTTTGAAGCTGCACGTTGCATACTTTATCATAAATTGTTAAACTCATGCACTGGGATAAATCGTCAGCTCATCGCCCAAGAACAGAGGCAGAAAGGCGAGCAAGGAAAGCAGAATATAGATCGAATACTGCAAGCAGCCGTGGCTATCTTTCTCGCAAAGAATGGGAACGGCAAAAGTCCAAGAAAAGATCCAAGAAAACCTTGAGAGAAAGAGATTCAAGCATTGAGCGAAGTCCTTCTCTTCGTCGAAGAACATCAAGTCCGATTCCCAAGCGTTTCCGGCGAACTGTCGAAACCCGAAGCCGCACTCCAACTTCAATCTCCCCCATTCGCTCTGCTTCAAGCCGCGCACGAAGTCTCACTCCGAAACGAAAACGACGTAAACACCGAAGACGAGAAACCAGAAGATCTCGCAGTCCAAGTCGCGCAGCATCGGGTAAGCATGCCCGCGTCGCAACTCATAGTCGCGGCAAAACTCGTTCTCCAAGTCCTTACTCGCTAACTGAAGGGGTACCCTTTGGTTCTCCAACAATCAAATGTGATCCAGGAACTCCCCTAGTCAAAACTGATTTTGACTATCAACGATCGCGAGGTCGTTCATCCTCTCGTTCTTCACGATCTTGTAGCACGTGTTCTTGCTCTTCCTGGTCCGCATCATCCGAAAGTGGATCAGACTGGAGTTACTCGCGAAGACGATCAAGAAGTCGTGCTCCCGACCGACCAAGAAAACGATATCACTCGAAGTATAGTCGTTCATCGAGCCCGAAATTCAGCCCTTCACCATCTCGGAAAAAGAAGAATATCCGTCGATATGACCGACGGTATGGGTTATCTCCTCATCCTCAACTTTATCTTTTTCTTTAGTAAGCCATACAAATCGAAAACAAAAACAACTCGCGGAACACGAGCTGGAAAAAGGGTCAGGGCAGCGCGAAAAAAAGTCATGGATGCATTCAACGATTTCAAAGAGAAGCAGCCTTGGAAGTTCACATTCGGCCATGAACTTTTACCGGACAACGTGCCCATCATTGATCTTCTCTACGAACCGCACAAGGTAGATAAGCGCAAGCTCAAGGCGGCTCAGCGATCTTAATTATGAAATTAAGAACATCAAATATCCGGATCTCAAGCGGAAGGACAACGAGACGAACGAAGAGTACCACGAGCGCATCTTTGCCGATTTTGTCAAGCGTCGTAAGATTTTTTCACAGCCTCTTTTTCACGAAAGAGCTTCAGCTCGGTACCTGCTTTCGTGATCAATCGGAGTGAAAGTGAAATAACAGGTGCTCACGAAAGCAGCGTTTCCTTGAGCAACTTGAAAGTTGACATAATGTTTTGACACTTCTGTGCCCAGATAATCGGCACCTGACGCTTGACGCCCCTCCAGAGGACGAGGAGTCTGTTTTCGATCAGATCGCAAACTCATTTCAAAAAAGCAAAACTAAGAAAGAGATCACGTAAACCGCTTGCCTTTTTCAAGCAGAAGGCCCTTTATCAAACAATTATCATTTATCCCAGCATGGAATACAATATATTTATCAACCTCCTTTATTATTAAATTTCCTCCTTTTCGTCATTATGTTCGCTTATTTAGATCATCCGCCGGCTCAAGTTCCAGTCGCCGTCCAGGCTGGGCCGTACCTCGCCACTTCACCCCTTATCACCACCAAGCTGCCCAAATTCGTCACCATAAACCAAGCTTCGATATCAGAGGTAATTTGAACGTCAAGAAATACTGTCAATTTTATGTAAGCGAAAATTGATAAAAAATTAATATTCATCCACTCACGTGGACTATTGACGTTGTATTATGACCGGAGCTAATTATACGCCCATTTTTAGACGAGCTAGCCGAAACTGCCCAAAAGCAAGCCCAGCGCATCAGAACTCCTCCACGGGAGCCAAAGGCTTCTAAACAGGTCAATCCGGAGGAGGGTGAAATTGAGGACGGCGAATTGTCCGACTAGACTCTTATTTTAAACGCTACTGTATCATTCATTCACTTCATTTCAATTCATTCAGCTGCCATGAAATATATTTAAACATATTCGAACCCGTTGCTTCGAAAATACCGTTTTTTTTCTGGAAAATTGTTTACTCATTTCCAATAATCTTCAACGTTCAATCCGATGTTCCGGCAAAGATTAATCGTGGCTTCCTGCTGAGCCTTCCTGGATAGCCGACTTTAAGTTTGTCTGAGACAAACGTCTATTAGAAGACACGTGACCTATCGTCCCCAAAGCTCACCTTGTTCAGAATGCGCTAGCTCGAAGAAAAGTTGAAATCTTGACACTTTATATAAAAATTGAGAACAAGAGAAAGAAAGATGGCTGAATTGAGCTTTCAAAAAGCCGCCACCTTATGTCTGGTATGTTTTTTCAACTGTCCGGAGTTGTTGCTCTTTCGAAGTCTTTTTTGAAAGTCAAAATCCAGCTGATAATACGGGATTTCTCGACTTGTCATGTTCCCCGTAAATTTGATTTGCACCTTAAAATTTAAGGCTCTATTTTCAATTTTATGAATGACTGTAAATTTCCTTCAATATTCCTTCTAGTGTATATTTATCTGCGCTGCCTTCGGACTATACAATGTTTACCTGCAATTACCCGACTTCAGCCCCGATGAGCTTGTTCATATCAAACTGCCGCGAAATTTGGACGATGCAAAAAACCTTGCTCGAGTTATTTCTGTGTATCAGAGCACTGTAAGTATTTCTTGACAAAGAGCTTCTGCTCCAGAAATTTACTTAGAAATATCAAGCGTATGAAATTGCTTGGGCAGCGATTTATTGCACACGAGAGATTTTTGTCGATAAAAAAATGGAAATTTATTGAATTTTAGAAAAACTCAGCGGCGTCGAAGACCGATCATAATAATAAATATAGTTAGGAATGTTCCCCCTAACGTAGCAATAATTGCGAGTGACACTGTGCGTTGCTGGGGATCAGTAGTGCTTGAAGAAGATATTACAGTTGTCAAAGGGGCTTGCGTAGAATAATCGAGGACAGTTGAAGTGGTTCCCCTGTCAGCAACTGTTGTTTTTGTGTTTGCTGTCGAAGAAATTGTTGATCTCAGCGTAGTTATTTCTGAAATAGAAAGTCAAAAGTGACATTATTCTATTATGTCGTCATTGTTGAATATTTGTTGATTATGACAGTTGCGTCAATTCTCTGGTCCCTCGTTCAAGAATATGAAAATAACCTTGGCTTGTAGATGGTTTTAGCGTGGTTGGACTTGTCATTAAACGGGTTGTTGTTGTTTTGAGAGGATGTATTGTAGTTAATGTTGTTATTGGAAATGTTGTCAATAATGTTTTTGTGTCCGTCGTTGGGGGTGCTGTAGTATAAGTTGTTGTTGTAAAGGTTGTCGTAGTTGATGTTGTAGTGGAGGTGGTCGTTGTGGAAGTAGTGGTAGTGGTACTTGAAGTAGTTGAGGTAATCGTCGGGAGGCAAATTGGATCGAACTTCCGCTTGTTACACAAGTCACCGCGGCACTGTGACACCTCCTCTCTGATGTTTATCCGGCCCAAGTCTTCTGTCGGTACAGTGTCTTTGCACGCCCGTTGTACAATCTTTGTTTTCTTAATCAAACTTTCGTTTCCATTTTCCCACCGTCGTTCCTCGGCCTCTCTTTGTATCAATGAACAGCCAGCTGATGAGTCGCAGATTTTTGTTGGAAATTCTGATTCAACAGGCTCATTCAAACAATAATTATAATCGCTTGGGTTGTTCTCGTCGCTTTCTTTGCATTCTACACATTTTGTCTGTAGGTCTTTGTCTATGGGACTCGCCTGTGTGTCGTACTTGCATTTTCTGTTAACGGTTTCATGTTGTTTTCAAATGAAACTATTAAATACTGCTGCGTTGGCACACAGACAGTTTCTTTCGGTGAACCGAAAACCCGACCGAAGCATGTTCTTATGAAACCTCCCCATAATATTTACCAACCGGACCCTGATAACACTCCAGCACACTAGTCTCGGCCGAGCCATTATAACACACAGTATCTTCAAAGAACGCGTCTTCGGAATTCTTGTAGTTGCAATTATTTTGGTTGAACGTTGAAATTTCGATTTTGAATATATCTGGGTCAATATTCATTTCGCTAGAAGCGCAACTGCGAATCAGCCTTTGCGTAACCATATCATCTATTTGCCAGCTTGTGAATTCGGTTTGGCATGGGTAGTAACTGAAAGTTTCGTTTAACATGTTGCAGATTTATCGTTGAGATTTTCAGGTGCATGGCGAAATTGATCGAAATAACTGGCCAGATTGATAGAGTCTTATCGAGTTATTTTTATTTGCACGTTTCTCTGGACTTCTGACGGAATTTTTGCCACGGGCGGATCTTACTAGTATTTTGTCGTTCATGCGGATCATTTTTTATTATTTATTCCATAAGATTTGGTATCTTTTTAAGTTTTAATTTCATAGAATGAAAATAGAAGCTGTATTTATCAATAAATTCTAGCACTTACCAATTTTCCAGCTGCAAATTCTCCCCATCGTCTCCCTCGAGACATTCTAACTCTCCCAAGATTTCGCATTCATTCTCTCCGATGTCTCCGTATCTTATTGTTACATCGCATTGAATACAGTTCCAAGGCATTATGATCGAAACATGTACCCTTGCTCTGAACGTCTAATAAGAATGCGGTAGAGCCTTCATGGCCGTTCGTTTGTTCGCTGTCACAGAAAAGCTCATAAAACAGCGCCAGGAAAATCGCACTTCGGCGTGGGTAATTTATGAATTTATTTTTGGTCAAATTCTCTTTTCCTTTCATAGTGTATTATGGGTAAGTATTATCAAGTACCACGGTCAAAGTAGCACTCTCGACAACTATCGCTTACGTGTTCATATCCGCTTTAAGAAATTCATCGCTTATCAATCCCCCACCGAGCTTATCGGCATTTAACTCCTTTCATTGATTTCTAAATTCATCGTTTTAGCACTTCTACGCAGTGATGTCGGCCTGGTGCAGCTGCTATGTGTTTATGCAGACCTTTTCAATTCCCGGATCTACTTTCTGGAACGGGTTTCATTCTGTTTGAAGGCTAACTATTATTTGGCGTAACAAATGTATCGACTATTTTGGGGAAAATGATGGAACACGCATCTTTTCCCGGTCAAAAAACTCATTTTCCACTTCAGTTTTTGGTATAGCAAAAAGTAGTATTTACTGCCCTAGTAAAACCCTGCCTCAAAGTTCTATTCTTGGTGGATTCATGTGGCCTTGGTATGTTGCTTTACCACTGATCTGTGTTTGTTCCGGTACTGGTGCCAGCTTGTAAGTAGCCCGAGCTCTTCCAATTACGACTGTACGACCAGCTAATACGGATTCCAGCGACCCATAATCCCGTATTTGGTGGCTTTTTTGTATAAAATCGATCATTTTTGTACAGTCAGTATTTCGCCAAGTGCGCATTTCATCAGGAGGCGATCAATTTTAAGGCTTTAACACGTGTTCCCGAAACTTTTGGAATGTTTTTAAGTTTAGAATCGTCCTTTTAGTTAGACATCTATTAAATTATTCGACTGTTTATTTCGTGTAAATTGTGGATGCCAAACAATTTTGTGTGACCCAAAAGTCGTTTTTTTATCGAATATTGTTGATATTAAATTGTGCGTTGAGGACAAATGTCCTCAATTGAACTTTTCGCAAAATTCTAAAAAGAGACTCAAGAATTGACTTTGAGCAATATACGTTAGAAACTAAACCGCAGCTATTGAGATGCTTGAGTCCACTGGAACCAATCGGTATCTCCCAGCACAACAGCACCTGATAAATAAAACAAAAACATAATTCGCCGAACAAATCCTCAGTCTGCCCGCCTTATCGGTCAAAATTGAAGCAGACCTGTTATGACACGGTTATCTCAATTTTTCGAGTGGCAACGTGAATTCTATAACAGTCTAAAATTTAACGAAAAGCAAACAGTGCAATTCTTATTCTTATCAGTTGAAGACGTACAGTCTTAGTTCTGGCGCGTTTGAGTCAGCACCAAAACAGAGGAGCTCGTAGCTCCACACACTTGCGCACCGAGGTCCGTGTAATTTCAGCATAATGACGTTACCATTTTCTAAAAGCACCTTTTTTATGCTAATTTTGCGCTAAAATAAGACGCACGTGTGTACGACATTATTGCCCGTGCAATTTGGCCAAGCATCTCAACAGTATGCTAAACCTGATTTTTTGATACGAACTGATAACAAAGCTGTCTCACTCTTTCCATTTTTATTTCAGTTTTTTTCTTCTGAGAATTAAAGATAAGATAATTTCCTTTACAAAAATACTCGGAGGAAGCTACTCAATGTCTAAATGGTGGCTCATCTTTAATCCACACGTTCAAAAGCCCTTTTTAGAGGAATTTTGTCACGGAAACACTCGATTCCTAATTTTGTTGATGGAGAAACAACGAAATTTTGGATTTTTTAAAAGTTCGTTTTTAGATGCTTCTTGATGTCAAAAGTCGTCGGGCAACCGTTGGCCAAACGATTAATGCCGGAAAAGATGGCCGAGTGGCGTCAAAAAGTCCAGCATCACTCCGACGATTTATTCAATTACATCCTCTTTCTTCGTATCACGCCGTTCTTGCCGAATTGGTTTATCAACCTCACGGGGCCACTTGTTGGAGTTCCACTCAAGCCGTTCTTCTGGGGCTCTGTTATCGGTATGCATTCTTCTAGCTATTTATGTGATAACATTCTACGCTTGCAAATTCTAGCGGAATACCTTCTTACTCCCTATTTTGCAATAATTTTTCAAATTACTTAAATTAACAAAGAATCTATTCCTAAAATAAATGAATTATCAGTCTGAAATTTCTTAAACTATACCTTCGTATTTCTCCAATTATGACACCCGAAATTCAAAACTATGTTCATCTTCATTCGCACCGGCGTTAAGAGGGTCATTAGCTCGGCTTGAGCATTTTACATGTAAAAAAACACTCATAAATCTGTAAATTATAGAGTTGGGCTAAAAAGACAGCTTTTGATTACGTGTTAGACTTGCCAGTGGACGAGTTTAAATTTGATTAAACTTATTAAACTTTCTAGGTGTGGCGCCACTTTCGATGCTGGCGGTACAAGCGGGCCAGACGCTTTACACATTGACCTCGACTTCTGATACTGTCACCTTCAAATCTATCATTTTCGTCGTCATCTCCGCTATTGCCTCCGTTCTTCCTATCTACTTCAAGAGAAAGGACTCAAAGTTTTCTGATGCTTCTCAAACTGAAATAAAGACCAAATAACTTTTCTTCAAATCGAATGATCAAGAAAACTAATAATTCATTTCATCAATCTCATTACAGTAGAAATGTTAAATGTCTAAAATGTCTAAATCAAGACTGACAGCTAATTTGGGACACTCATCATTTGATTGAAGCATCAGTTATTGCATAGAAGCAGCATTTGTATCTTCTTGACGAATCGTAATTGCGGAATAATTTGTTGATCCACAGGGCTCATATTAGGTATAGTAAGGGTCTCTATGAATTAATCTAGTGACATATTGCGGTCAGCCTAAACCTTAAATTGGCACCGACCAGCTCATTCAAACGATCTCAGCAATTTTAAGCCACCTTTCTACGGATATTCTGTTTCTATCTCGGCTTATGATAACCATTCGCAATTTTTGCGAAAATTGCCAACCAAAGTACGTGGGACTAGTTGCTGATTATAGTCGATATAAGACAGTTTGCAGCCCGCGATTTCAAAACTTGTTTCTGCGCCGCAGATAAATGACAAGTGGGCTTAGCGATAAGAAAGCTAGAATATAGACATGCTTCTAAAATGCACGTTAAATTTCCGTTTTCTAGCAATAAAGCGGATCCGTAAGGCCTCTAATTGTCTGAATTCTCGAGATCTTGCGGAATTAAATATCACGAGCTCTTGCATTCTGAGTACTGGTATAAACTCTGTTGCTCCCATGTGAATGTTACAAGATAATTTTCTTTTCTCGAAATTTTCTGACCTACATCAAGTAAGTAACAGATTCTTCTATTTTAGAAAACTGGGAGAAAAATGGGAAAAAGAAGCAAAGAACTTCCGATGAATCATCACCTGAGAAAAGCCCCACCAAGAAAAATCTTCGAACGCCAAATGCCAAAAAGAATTCTTGTTCATCCCCCATAGGGAAACAACTCTCACCTCTTCGCGAAATTCCGGGGCCATCTGGGGATCAGTCAATCAACGACGGAACTACTGATGAACCATATTCCTCAAGCAGTGTGGAGCCACCATCATCCGAATACGAATCACCATCATCAGAAAACGATGCCACAATCGCTACAGAAAGCCAAATCATCTCAAAAAGCAAGGAAGATGGAAAATCTTTGACTGGACTACTGAAGAAGCTTTTGGATCCATCGATTCTCTGCATTTTCATCGCAATTGTCGCGTTTTTCACTGCCTTGCCCGCTAAGAAAGCATTTTTCGTAAGTTGACTTTAACTTGAAATTCATTTAATTTCATCGATAAGGAAGTAGACAACACCCGAGAACTGGAGCTTGAGCGATTCAATTTCCGCCGAAATACGTTCACGCAGGACTACCAGGATTCGGTTCTTATTTTTTGAAAGCTCAAAAATACACCCTAATTTGCGAAAGCAGAAATAAACCTGCAAAAAGCTCTCACAACGTGACCAGAATCTTATCTTCGCTGTTGTCAACAGACAGGTTTGTTTAATACTCAGCCAGCTTATTAAGATAAACGTTGCTCTAAATTTGCCACTTATATTATCACAAGTTGCTCTGCTCCTTGTTTACACGTTCCTAGAGGATCGTCAACCCGCCAGAGCGGCCGCTTGTTTTTCTGCTGATGACACCAGCGCTGACGCCACAAAATCTCGAATTCGCAAATGACCTTGGCCGATTAGCCAGGGGTCAGGATGTTAAGTCAATTCAATCTCACAAGGTAAGAATTCAGCCTCTCTAACTTTTTCTCAAAGAAAAAACAGGGGGCTAGAATTTGATTCCTAAAATCTACCGTAGTAGTTTACCGTATAGTATACGTTACATTACCTTCCTAAGGCGGCATCGAAATTATAATTTTCAGTGAGGAAAATCTTGGCTTCGAAATCTAACATGTTAGTTTTGGTAATGTTACGCCTATAAATTTAGAGCGTGCAGGATAATGAGAAAAGTGTAGGGTAAGCACGTGACTGTAGAATCAAGTTATCGCTTTTACACGCCTGTAATGACTGGCGATTAAGGTAATTTTACGGTCAATTGTACCTTTTAACTTTGATAGCACATATGCTTTTGAAACTTTGATCCTGAAAAAAGTGCTAACGGTAAACTCAAGATGTTTCAAATTGTTATCAAAGGGTTTCATTCAGGTACGATCAAGGAATTCGTTGATGGATGAGCTTGAGCGAAGCTTCCACGAAGACAAAGGAGCGATTATTGAACATTTCGAAGAGATGCCATCTGATGCCGCGCTTGCATTTTATGGGCAAAGGGTTTATCTCTTTAATAATCGCTAATTTTCTAAAAGAAGGGATGACTTTCGACTTAATCGCTAGCCTATTGCGTATAGCAAACCTAACTGTCTTCCGGAAAAGGGGATGAAAAGGCTTAATGACGAGGCAGATCATTACAGTCTCCGATTTCAGCCGTCTAATTTCGGGAGTGAAATGTCATCAGAGCCGCATTTTGTCACGGCGATTTATTTTTCGTGTCTTTAAATGACGATGTATTTTGTACAACTCAGGAACGATCTGTCCTCCCTTCTCCCTTATCAATAGATCCATGTAGTCTACGCGTCAAATACTCGCTGTTACCAAGCATGGTGTACTTAGTAAATGCGGTCTAATTAGTATTTCCTATTTATCTAAAAACCCGGGATAGAATAACAGATGAACGCGCACTTGAAAGTGCTAAAAACAAAACGATTGTTATTCTGTTCGAGGATAAAAAAACTCCGTCAACGAAGGCTGAAAAGATCTTACTTGTAAGTTGCGTCGCTGAATTTCAAAAATACTTAGTTTTTTCAGACTTGGATGGAAGAAAAAGGAATTGACACAAAGCTCAATCGCGGATTGATATCACGGATCTCCGAAAATGTCCTCTATCTTGACTAAAACATGTCTAAACTAGTTCACTTTTGTCCTATCGATAGGCTATCGTCTTCTGCCACTTAAATCCAAGTTTTCCACGCCTGTAAAATCTACAGTGTAAATAACAGATAATTCACCATTTTTTTCACATTCTTACAGTTACAGTTGACAATTCCTCATGTTGCTGATCTAATAAAGTTTTTCATAAAAATGAAAGAGGCTAGTATTTTCGTTGAAAACATTTTGTTCCAACAGTCCGCTATGGCAATGTAGAACAAAATAAATTTTGTAATAATAATTACTAATTCGCATCGTCATTTCTTGTTACAAGAATCTTGTAAGAGTAAAATGCAATCAGCGAAAACACCAAAAAAGCATGATTTTCATCGGTTCATTTCATTTTTTCACAGTATCTTTAATATTTTTTAATAAAAATCACATGATCATCAATTCCAAAAGAACCGACTACAAGTAGTTACAGTTGACTTGTCTTGAGCAGAAAGCAATTAGACGGAACATCAATGAGCCTCAATATTATTCAAACTCATTTGATACAATTACTTTTTTATCTTGATGTTTTTATCTTCGAAAGATCATTTGTTTTCGAGCAATTCCTCGACAATCTAATCCTGGTTTAGTGGCATTCTGTTGCGCACGTGTATCTTTTGTTTGAAAGCACTTATAATGGTGCTTAGGAAAAACGTGCGAAATTCAGTACAAAGGCCGTGAATGAAAATATAGATGTTAGAACAACCGAAACACGCCTAAATCTACCAGCTTAGAACTTTAAAAATTTTCATCCGACCGAAAAATATTCAACAATCCAGACTGTGGCTTTTTGAGATTTTGGGAGGAATCGGGGTGAGCTTGTGGCTTGTCTAATCTAACAGATTATTATCAAGTCGGAACGTTTTTCTAAAGGGCAAATTTCTAACATGAATTGGGCCAGAGTTCTTCTCGAACTGAGTAATTTTATTTCAGCGGTAAATTTTCCGTGACAATCTTTTACAATCAGATCAATCGGCAACGTGTATTTTCAAGGCGGAGGCAAGAAATTAACGATATTGGAAAGAATAGTTTGAAATAACGAAATTCTCAGCTTTTTGCAGAGTCGTCCCTCTTTCCTCCTAATTTTAGTATTTGGCGCGTAGACAGTTTGCCGATCAGACGATGTTGGAAAGGACGAAAATGGAGTAGAGGTAGGTATCAAAAGGCGTTCCCGCGTCATCAAACCGCCAGGAAATTTAAGCAGGAATTAAAGTGACCTAAAGAAGGTGTCTCTTAGACGAATGCGTTGGGTAATTTAAGAGATCGTGGCTGTTTTATTCAAAAAAGTTTGTTTCAAAACAATACCAAATCCGTAAAAACGTTGGAAATAAATTATAACGACACGGTCTTTTGTTTTCCGCCCTTTATTATTATCTACAATCAGACTCCCTTTTTCTAAGGAGCCAATTAACCTAAAATAATTAAATCGTAATTAGACTAGTACGTATTTAAAAAACGCCCTGAAGGAGCCTGAATTTTGGTCGCAGCCCGCTGAACTTTTTATGTTATTTCTTGGAGCGGCGCATCAATTTCTTAAAAATATTTATTCAATGTTTCCTGAACCTATCGCGTCAGCATTTATTCAAATTGTCTAAATATTCCCATAACAAGAAAATCCAGTCGATATAATTATAAAATACGATCAAGTAGTAGTAAGTTGTTTTGACGATGATCCAGAGTAGCTGGGGGTAAGTTATTATTGCCACTAGCGTAATCTGCGTTGATCGAACACAGATTTTCTCTGTTCGTTCCTAAAACTCGCACCGGTAAGCTAGTTATCGCGTTCTTTTGGGGCATTTCTCGTGAACAGTACCACCTTGGAATATCAGTGTCGTAATTCCTTATCAGTAAATAACAAAAAGATAATTTTTTTACGCAGGATTTGAGGAAGTCTATCTTAGTCCACCTTACTAAGGTTAAGGCAGAACAGCCAGTTCGAAATCCTACAGCGAATTTTTAAAAGTCTTATCGCAGCATGACAGGGGGCAACTTGTCGTTCTGCGGTTGAATTCAAGAATGTGTCTCGGCGACGCTACAGTTGATTGCAGTGGAAGTTCCAAGTGCGGCGCTCATTCTCTCTCGACGCAAAGAATGCCGTTTTGAATGCGTCTACCCTCCAACTTCACATTAGGCCGATAAACGAGGCACTTTTATCTTCAATAATTGATTCTTTCAACCCAATCTATCTGTGGAGATTTCGGGCTTGCAAGTTGCAAGCTCCAAGTATTAATATATACAAACGCAGGTTCAACCAATGAACTTCAAAAGGTGTTCACTAAACCCAAAACTTTTCAGGAAAGTCAACGATGTTCAAGGAGAAGCCAATATCGCGTTTATCACCTTGTCTTTAGTCGAACAGCTTGTTTACTAGCGATAAGCACCAATTTCCTTTAACGGGTGTAATGTCCTCAGAAAAGACTTCCCTATCTATGTTTATGGGTGGGGATAAAAAGAGCCTAGACGAGGTTATCATCAGTCAGCTTTCCTGGCCGTAACCTTGCGTAATGATAAATTACCGTTCATTGTCGCCGAGATGATAAGCGGTTATCATTTCAATTCGACATGGGTACGTTAGTCTCGCAAGCGAACAACTGTTATTGTGATTTGCCAGTTTTCTAAAGAGAAGTGGGCCAATACGTCTCACAATATGATGTTTATTATTTACGTCTTACTTTTCCGACGCTTATCATTTTCCTTGACAGTACGTATGCGGATTACTGCGCATTGAAAAATATTTATCAACAATATTTTTGAGGACAAGCGAATTAGACAGACAATCGTCTTTTGAGCATCAATAGCACTCTTAGATGCACCCAGAACTCCGGGTCAGCCGAGTGCGCGAGTTGTTTCCGTGGGCTGCTGTGTCGGGTGAGTTTCTTTCTGCCCTGCCCGCTCAGATGCATTGTGCAGACCCCTCAGACCCCGCAGACGACTAGCTGTCTAATCCATCGTAGTCTGTTTATTTTCCAAGTCGAACACAAAACCTGACTAGCATCGCTCTACGCAAAGAAGAGCCAGAAACAGCTCTATATCCAGCCAAAAAGGGTATTAAATACCCGTCTACGCGAGATCTAATGCCCGTCCTAATGTCTCAAACTGTAGTGGCTCATTAAATCTGACTCAATCGCGTGGAAAATGTCAAGTAGAAATGTTCCAGCCAGCTCGTGGCTCAGGCATCTTGTCATGATCTATTGAACAGCGAGATTATATCGAAATTGGAGGGTCCTACCAAATCGATTTCAGTCTAAAATAGATAGTATTTCATTCAACTGGTAATTGATATTGGCAATAAGCAATTTCAAAAGATATAAGGATCAAGAACAAAGTGTCTTACATAAAAAAGTACTTGCAAGATAGAAGACATGATTAGTATAATTAATCTAAACATGCCGGCAAATAAACTGCTCAATATAAATTAAGATTGCATAAGCTGAACTTGATGCTTGTATAGAATAGAGTCAACTGACTCTTACGTAAGAAAAGCGGAAAATAATTTTGCGCAAATGTTCGAGAATCCGCGAAAGTCTCCCGGACATATTTCATTCTTCTTCGTAACGAAAATTATCATACATCCGGGATCTGAATTCTTCTGAAATTGATTTCGCCCACTGGTGATCTTTGAACTTGACGCCTAGCAGGTCACAGGAGAAAAGAAAAGGGTGCAACTCTATTCCACCGGGACGTCACACTTACGTGATATCGGCGTATCAGCCATATTCGGTTTGATATTCAGATGACACTTAGTGCTAATATCATGTGCACCTAATTTCCACAAGAGGTCATTTGGAAACAATGATCGTTATTCAAAAAATACAAAAAAAGAAGATTCTGATTTTGATCTTCATATTCGAAGCGGATTTTTCCGGGGGGTCATGATTTTTGAAATGAGTTACTGTTATCCGCGCTAGAACTCATTATTTAGTAGAGCATCGATCACTGCCTTGATGATGATTTTTGGGAAAAGAGTTTGGTTTTATTACCTTGGCCCAAATCTCCTGGCCCTAATAAAGAGCCCCTTTAGCCGCCGAGAGGATTCCCACGTGATTCCCCTCTCGCCGCTCTTGTGTTTCTATCTACCCCCAGGATCAGTTGGACGCGCTTTTGAAATGGACCCCTTTGGCGATAATGATCGCATTTTGTCGGACATGGTATACATAACACACGAACAACATAGAATTGACCGATTTTGGGTTGTTTCTGTTTGTTTATTCGTTGAAGGACTTTGGGGAAAATCGGCGCGGCGGGAGGTCCAATCCACCCTGAACCCGGAAAATCGAGTGATCTTCGTCGGAAGCCGAAGAAGAAGAAACGACCACGTGATCGAGAGTAGAGTTGGAGAAATGTGAGTTCCATGGCTTACTACTGTTTTTCGCGGTAACGGCTCGATTTTAAGGGATTAGCTTGTCTTGCAGTAGATTGTCTGAGTTTAACAAGAATTTCAATCCGTTTTGGCTTGGTACGGTTCTCGGCTTACGCAGCTCTGACGAGAGCGAAACAAGTAAGGAAATAATATGTAAAGAAAGCTTTTAACTTGCTCTCTAATTAGCCCTCCTGATTGCTTATAATGGGCCAGTTTTAACGTGTCGGAAGCATCTCGACTTTATCGTTCGCACTTAATCAAATGTTATTTGTTCAAAACCGTGAGATTTCCTGCAAACATCATTTTCCCATTTTATGAATAAATAAAACAGAATGCTCAGTTTACTTGCATAATGTTTGACAGTAATCGCCCTTTCCCTTGATGACGCGATTTTCCCAAGTCTGAAAAGAGAAATGAGATTGAACTTCATTCTTATGCTTCTCATGTTAGTGTCCATTTAATTTAGAAATAAGGATAAAACTATTGATTCTGAAATGATGAAAGCATAGTTTTCTTATCATCTTTTTCTAGTGTATTCTAAAATAGGTATATTTTTTAATCTTAATTTTTACTCAAAAAAAAAATTTTTATTCGGTTTTCATTGGGATTTAAAACCACGTGAGTTAGTTACTCTTTTTATAAGGCTCATTTTGGACACTCGAAGAGAGAATTTGTAGAATTTGCGACACAGTAAAAGCACCAAGAGCGGAACCCTGGAATGTAGCATTTTAGACCGTCGTGATCATACTTTAGTGAGTTTTTTTACTGAAAACCTCAGAAGGGTGAACTTGCAAGACCTCTTTTCAGGATGTAAATTTGAAATTTAAGCTCACGTGATAAGCTACTTGTCATGGAATAAGGGCGACCTGGAGACGTGTATAAATTTATTTATTACTTGAATTGAAAAAGGAAGGGATGAAGAATCTCCTTTTGGTGACTATAGTCTATAGAATGGAAGCTACTGGCGTCTTTTTTGATGCAATTGGTCGACTTGTTCGTTAGTTGTTAATAATTATGCACGAGAATGTATTCTATAGCCGAGAATGATTTAAATTGCTAAAATTTGGAGCTTTATTTTGAATTTATGTCGCTAAATCGAGCTCTGAGTCAGAGCCTCTGACAAATATATTCGAGACACATATATGTATTAGTGTCTTCTTATAGTAGCTTCTTGATAAAAATGAACGCATGTGACGGTAAGGAGGACAACAATTTGATGAAGTTGTTGTCCGTTTCCCATTTTTGGGTTAGCCATTTTTTCGGGCGCTCGGGAGCTTAGCCGCGCGGCAGCCGAGAGCCCGTTTTCCTCAAAAATGCAAAATTGCCACTCAGATTATTAAAATACCATTATCTGAAATTTCACTCCGCGAAAGCACACAACTTTATTATAAATAGCGACAACAACAAAAAAAAACGCGGAGATAATTTTTTATTAATCTTTTTTACATAAAATAAAACAATAAAAAAAAAGAGATCCAGCAGAAAATATCGGAGAAAATATCGACTTCCGGAAAACGCAACTAGTAAGAAAAACGAAACCAACCGGCATTATGCCCGAGACAGGTAAATATTCGCAAGAAAAAAGCGATTTTTTTCTAAACCGGAAGTTGGGTTTTCTATGGATCTTTTTAATGGACGATTTTTTTAATAATAAGAAAGCATGAAAATTGTTAATGAAGAATTGAGGATTCATTTGAACTTTCGACAAGGAACAGTGTCGATTTAAAAGGACTCTCCCCTAAACTGACCTTTCTAATTGAGCCACAGCGTCAGATTGACGATCCGCGCTGGTTAACCGGGCGGTCCAGCGCGCCTAAGCGTTATGTCATTGGCCCACTGGGCCTGGCGCTTCGCACTCGAAGGTGGAATTTACGAAAAAAAAGCGCAGCATTTCGCATCCCACTGTCTAAATTTGATCCTATCAATGAAATGGGTGGGTTAGCGCTAGAATAAATCGATAGAAAAGAGAAGAAATTCTCCGAGCTCAATTCAGCCCTTTCTTCGCGTCATCACTTCCACCAGCTGCATAAATCAGCATTTTCTGAATTAAAACACGTCGCTATAGAAAGGGATTATTATAAGATCAAGGAAAAGACAGGGAAATCAGCCTAGATTTCATTGAGGAAAAGAGGGTTGAAATTAGAATAAATATATGTTCCTTTACAAAGAAACACCCTTATTAAACCCTGAATCAAGATTTTTTTTTAAATAAAAGTTGATAATTTAATGGAAAAATTTGTTTATAGACATCTGTTCGACAGCCCTTTTTATACGCGTCTAAAGTCTGAGCAGACGTAACAACCCCCGGGCGTGGATATTTTGATGAAGGAGACGGATATTTTCATGTTTTCAATAAATATTTGCCCAGCAGAACAAAAACAACATTTTAATTATCGGAGACGATGCAGTATTTCAAAAATAAATTGATCTTTTTCTACTTTCGAATTTTCAGAAAATCGATGTCTCCCAAGCCGGCCTAAATATTTTTTCGCACATGTCTGTTTATGTCAGTGTCGCTAAATTTGTGTACATTGTAAGACGACTCGGGTCCATCTAACCTAATTGGCATTCGTCTGCGAGTCCAGCCTGTCTGCTTCTTCGTCGTCTCCTCCCTTTTTTACCCAGCTTTTATTCGACCGTGTCCATTTGCGCGACAGAGCCCCGCGCTCGTGATTTTATGGCCTCTGCGATGTTACACTCGCAAAGAAAAGGGCGATGGCCAGACAGATGTTCTTCGGCGAACAATTCCGCCATAGAAAAAATTCAAATCGCCTTTGCCAAAATTGCATCCTCGCAATTTGCACCTTTGCACCGCCCTTTCCTGCTGTCTGCAAGACAAAAAGTCTTCGCGACACGAGATCCTCAAAATAGAAAGCTGTAATTTTAGTTTAAGAATCTGGAATTAATCTTTTCGTAGAAGTTTGAAACGTCATTGAGAATGGGCGTCATTTATGGCTTCGAATTTCCATCTCCCCTTTATTTGATTTTTATGATGACGTCGAAACTTTCTCCTTTGAATAAAACATGCCAGTTTTGCTCAGTTAAGCAAGAAGTCATGCCAAGTTCGAAAAATAAACTTTCTACAAAGGTCGAGGTCGAGCACTGAAGCTCACGTACGATCGTAGGTTAATTCCCTTTCTTGTCTGATAGAACTCGACCGAGATTGGCGGTCAAGTTCTCTCGGATGTGAATTGTTAGACGATGACCAAATCATGCGCAAATAGCGACTGTTTCAACGACCGTAAAAAGGCGTTTCCACGAAATCGTGAAATAAAATGACCCCGAAGACGACCCTCATCCCAAATCGATGCTCGTACTTCATTTACATAAGCGTTCCTCAACGCACTGAGATGACTACCAGTGCGTCGCCGGGTGTCAGATTTATTTCTTTGGAGTTGAAGGAAACAATTTTTTAGACCAAGGCCAGGGGTCTAAAAATTTGAGCGGCGCCGCGCAAGGGCATTAAATACTTGAAAATTCAATTATCGAGTCATAAACGAAAAAGTAATCCTGTTTGATATTTGCCTCGGCGTCGATGTATTTTGTCGATGTATTTTGTCGACATCGATTATCGATCCTCAAGCTTGTGAAAAATTGCTCCCCTCTGAATTTCCGACTTGTTAAAACTTTATAAGATACTGGGCAGCATATGTTTAATCGAAATTTTTCTTTCAATTTGTGAAAATTGAAAAAGATAAAGGTCAGAAATGCAACAGCGTAGCTAAACTGGTCGCCAGACAATCGGATTAGATGCAAACATTGCGGGAAAGGGAGCCTTGGCGCGTTCTCATTCGTCGAATGTTTTTCCTTTAATCCAAAGTTCAAAGCTCCCATTTTTGGAAGCTTTCTGCATTTGTCTGATCGAGGAGAATCTGTCTTTCGATGCTCTCAAATTTGGTAAATCCCGGAAAAAGCGATACCCTTACGACATTTTCGCGCATCCCAAAGCCACCGAGTTGAACTTTTCCACCACCACCAGAATGCGTCTCCAGTTTCTGCCAAGAAACCTGCCCCAGACATCGAAGATGAACTTTAAGCTCGCTTCCGAATGAAGCCCCATTCTGGTCGTTTTCGAAAAAGTTCAATCTTCTTGAGGGGATGAGCCGGCCGGGAATGACCGCGGAGGATCTATTGGTTCTGATTTCATGTTATGCAACTGGGTTGAATGTCACTTATAACCTTCACGCAGGCGAGGGATGAACTTTAGGCGAATAAACGTGCCCTCTGATTTATAAATTAGTATTTCAATTAATGATTCAGAATCGGTGAAGCTTTTATAGGCGATATCAAAAAGTAGACGTTCGCAAACGTGATTCTCCGGTCATGTTTCGCGGCGAATATGTTCCGGTACAACTACTAGTACTAGCAGTAGTCGAAATCGTGCTAGATAATCGACGGCCGCACGGTCTAACACAACCCTAATAATTTAACCGGCTCCGCTCATGTTTCTCCGTAAAACGGTTAAATATTTGAAAGTATTTAACCTTTTTTAAGCTCGCTTGTAATTCTATCCGGACAGATTTAGACTTGAAAATTTATTACGCTCAAGATGCGCTATAAAGTCTGGATCAGCTTGCGAGGGTAAATTCGGGGTCCTTTCCGATCGAACCACAGAGCGGTACTCGGGGAGGGGCCAACGATTCGCCAAAGCTTCCCCGGGCTCCCCTCCTCGCGTAGTACTCTCTCTCTCTCTCACCTCGGATACACTTGACTGGCTCGAGGAGGAAAAAATCCGTCTGAAGTTTTTGTTTCCCATTTTCCCGAGTTTTTGAGATTCTTATTTTTTAATTCAAAACTGCTTCAATTAGCGGCTCTTCAGACCGCTTGGATTCAGAGGTGAGAAAATTGTGAAAAACGGATCGTAAAGGGCTTATTGATATCATAGAGGAAATTATTACGAGGGATGAAATTTAGCCATTCTGGGACACTGAAACGGGCACTTCCGGTTTGTTTATGAGGAACCTAGACACCGGGTAGAAAAAATAGATCAATTTTATGAGGCGTAAAAAGGCTCCTTTCCCGAAAAATTTTTGTAAATTTCATCGATTTTACGGCGCGTGGAGTTTCGGTCCGAAGCCCAATAAATGCATCCGGCATGCAGATCTGATCGCTTGCCGAGCTTTATTATGCGCGGCGAGAAACTGTAAAATGACTGTACGCCAGGGCATCGTACAGTGCGAGGGGGGATTATTACACGCTACCGACAATGATCGACAGGCGCGATTTTGACGGAGGTTTGGGACTGAGCGACGCGAGCGCTTTGAGATGCGGAGACTCGTGTGGCCACTCTTGGACTGCCGCCAACGTCAGAATCGCTGAGGCAAATTAAACTTTTTGAAAAATTGAAGAAAATAGGCAGCACCGAATCTCACCATTCCACCCGATCGTTCTAGAGCTCCCTTTACTTCCAACTTCTTGAGAAACAGACAGACCAAGGTAAACGAAATATTCTTTAGAAGAAAGATTATGTAACAGTATGTATTTTTCCCGACAACGCGTCATTACAGTATTTGAGCCACGACGTGCTCAAATTCACGCCCAGAATCTATCGATAGTTAAATTAGGACAAGCATTTACGGATTTTTCCTTGAAGATGAATCCAAAGCGTCCTTGAGATTCACGAGTGTTAAGTTCCCAGGCGGGCTTGGATCGTGTCAAGTGCCTATCTTCTGAAAAGTAGTTTCCAAATGAAAAACAATTCTTTTACCGCCCGGTTCAACCCGGAACTGCATCCCAAATTTGCCCCTAGTAAATTCGCCTGGAGGAAGGAGCGCAACTTCCTCCGTCTCAGATTGATGAGCATTTAATATTTAATTGGCCTTTAAATTTTTTTTTTGCCTCCGAAGAAATCGATCCCCCTTGTTTACAGATGGGGAGGGTTTTAGTGGAAATAATTGACGGCGAGTTGATTGTGCGAGTCGCACAAAAGAAGGTTCAGAATTGCACCCCGCTGGGCTGGAGAGCCGAGGCCAAGAAAACAGAATGGTGTTTTAATTTTAATAAGCAGCCGGCTTGATTTTCGACGATGAAAAATGTTTAGTTCACCGAAATGGATCGGTCGTAAACGACTTCGGAATTCAAAATTGTGTAGTCACCAAGTCAACAGGCCAAATCGCCCGCTTAGGAGAAAACATAACAGGTGCGTGCAGGTGCATCTGTTGCGCAGAGACTTATCCCACAATTATAATTTGCCGGTTTTACGCTTCGGCCTACTCTCGGTACTCCTAATCCGTTAGATACTAATCAATCATAATATTTTCGAGGACACAATTGTTTTCCCCTTTGCTTCGTAGGAAAGACAAGACTCCATGAAATGGACAGGCAGCTCGAGGCGTGTTTACTCTGGCGAGTGCCCGACTCGACGCGGGAGGCCTCACTTACTCGCCTCCGGGCGGCACGCGATATTTTCCTCTTTTGGGCTCACTATTCTCACTTTATTCCCTTACGGCAGTAAATGCCCCAACTGACAGCGCTTCCGTTTGTCTTCGTTGCTCGATACAACTAATATTTCGAGTTTTTTATTTGCCCGAGAAGAAACGAGGACCGTCGATGTAAGAGGACTTTATTTCCGGTTTTGAATAGAACACAAATAAGGTAGAGACTTTTTTCATTCCCACGAGATTAACCTACTTTAGTTAATCTTCTTAAAAAATATTTTACTGTTTTGAGACTACAGTAAGGAATAAAGAGATGAAAGGTATTAGCCGCATTTCCCGTCGCAAGACATCCCCATCATAAAAATCCAACTTCCGCTAGCTATACATTTTTTGACGAATTATTCCCTTTCATGTGTTTCCATTCAATCTTTCTTTCCTAAATTATTCCTTCAGCCTTGGAGATGAGCCCATCGGACAAGATGGATGTCTGCGTCAGCCCGCAAAAGTCTTCGTCAGTCGTCCAGTACGACTTTGACATTTTCGGCGCCTTCGAAGTCACCAGGGTCATTTCCAACACGCAGAATGGAATTATCTACGAGTCGAAGCGACGCACCAATGACTCCCAGTTAGTTATCAAGCAAATTGCCAAGAAATCCGTTCGCAACTTCTACCTTATCCACGGGCAACCATGCCCCGCCGAGTTCGTTTATCACTTCACTGCTTCCGCCAAAGAAAAAGCTGCCAAGTCAATCGTCAGACCACACGAGTGGATCGAAGGTAAGAGTTTTTAGATGACAAAATTCTAGCGTAAAAACGGTAACGGAATGAAGGGCCCCTCAAGTAGTCAAATAACATCTAATTCGAAAGTGGCTTAAATTTTACAAGTGATCGAATCCGGGAGACAGCCACGGGGCAGTGGCGTCATCCGCGGGGACGATAATGTGGCCACGTGACTTGATGTGCACGCATCTGTTGGAACGTGTTCGCAAAAACGAGGTCAACTTTTTCCTTTTTTTCGTGATTGACGGCGCATTTATTTCGGCTTAGTTTAATCAATAGTAAAAGCTGCGATTTCTGGCGCCCGGCCAGGCATCATGCTCAGAGTATTCTTCGCTCTGACTGTCGATGCTATTTGTCGAAGCACTCTTTCCCTAAGAGCGGCTTGGTCTGGCTGCTCGCCAAAGGATCCAGCTCAGGCAGGAATATCAAAGGGGATAAATGATAATTAATGCCAAGTGTCTTAAATTCTAACCCGTTGAAATCACACACACGCTTCCATGTCATGTGGGTGATGGATTTAGTTCGGTAAACATTTTTGGAAGGGGCGATAATGGCCGGGCCAAGAATATAGCCAGACCAAGTTTAGCCTCGTTTCTATTTTTGGAAATCAGTTGTAATCCATCTGACTCAAGGGGGTAAAGTTCGCCCAAAAATTCCCAAAGACGTGATCAATCCATGAAATTCCTGTTTTTAACAATTTTTTTAAGGAACCGACTCTTATATCATGGTGATGGAACGCCACCGCCAGATGATTGATCTTTTCGAAGCCTCGCAAAAGTACCAAATCTTTCCTGAAAAATTTGCACGAGTCGTCACTTTGCAAATTCTTGCGGCAGCCAGGCACTGTCTCAAGGTCGGCATTCTTCACCGCGACATCAAGGATGAAAACGTCTTGGTCGATCTCAAGACGGGCGAGGTAAGCAAAGCGGAAAACTTTGATATAATTGTTGAAAATATTTTTCAAAGATGAGACAGACCACAGTGCGCAATTAGGACTCGCTCGCTGTCTTTTTCGGGAGAAACAAATCATAAAATTGTCTAATTGGCCTTATTCCTCGATCAGTAGTCCAGCACGGGATTGAGAGTTGAAAACATTAGGGTTATGTCATCAAGGGGGAATCACGCGATTTCGATTTTTGTCGCGGACCTTCATCTAAAAATCGAATTCAGGCACTCCTGATCGACTTTGGCTGCGCTTGCGAGGTACGCGAAGAGTACAACTCCTTCTGCGGCACTGCCGAATACTACCCACCCGAGTGGTACCGCCACGGCCGATACGCTCCCGGACCATTGTGCGTCTGGCAGCTCGGCTGCTTGCTCTACATCCTCCTCACCGGTGCCATCCCCTTCGAAAAAGAAGACATCCGCGAGGCCAAACGCGCGACCAAATATGAGAAACACCTTTCCTACGATGCCTTGGAAGCCATCAACGCGATGCTCGAGCCTGAAGAGTCAAAGCGCGTCACTCTCGAAAATCTCGACAAGCTAAGCTTCTTCAAGAGCTGAGACCACGCGCGCAGCATATAATTATATGGCGAACATGAATGAATATGAAACAAATCTCAAGTGCCGCAAATCTCTCATCTGGTGAGCCAAACAACGCCAAGCCGAAGCTTCTTCAAAACAAAAACCTATTTTATAAACAACACCCGCGTAAAGCATTCTAAGCTACACAAGCAAACTCTTTTCCTTTACAATTCTTCCTACCTACAAAAAATGACTTTCTAAAAAAATGACAAACCTTTATCACGCGAACAATCCGACTTTCTATTTCTTCTTTGTTTTCTGTACACACAAACATGTAAATAATGCCCCTTCTTCCAACAGCAGACAAAAAATAAATTGTACAGTTCTTCATAAACATGCACAATCATGTATTTCTCTTCGATGGACCATCTATGGCTTTATTTTTAAATTACGCGAACTTCTTGCAGAAATGGTTATTTACGGAGCACCGTTTGGCAGTTGATAAAAATTGTCTCTAATTTTATCCTTGCAGGAGATTGAACTTTGTAATCAGAACCAGCCGTCAATTTCTTCTTGCATGTCCTGAAAAATAATAAGTAATCAATGTTGATGGCGATATTCCACCTTGATCTTGTTGTACTGGTCAGGTTTCAGAGCGATTCCCTTCTTTCCGGGCTTCTTCTCGCCATCTTTATTGTAGAACTCCCGGATGTCAATGAGAAGGAATTTTCCCTATAAATTTTACTCCTTCTGAACGTTTAATATAATAAACGAACCTTGAATTTGGTAACACGGATTTGTTTCTTGTCGCTTATCTCGAGTGGATTGTAGTCTTCCGCCTCGGCGATGAGGATTTTTTCATCGACGTCGTAGAATGACTCTTTCAGTTTTCGCCACTCGCCTTGATTCAAAGCGACGCCTTTCTTTGTTGGCTTCATTCCCGTCGAGTCTTCGTAGTACTCCCTGATGTTCAAGTAGTGCTTGCCCTTTTAATAAACAATGTTCAGTTTTCGCCAAAACCTTCATCGTTTACCTTGAATTCCATCGGGCCTATGTATCGTTTCGGGCCAATGAGAGTCATGTGCGACAAGTCAACGCCTCCTCCATCGGGTTCGTCGCCACCCTTCGCCGTGGGTTTCTTCTTTTCCGGTCTAGCTTTTTCTTTCTTCCTCGGAGGAGAGTCCGGTTCAGACATGGGGAGATCGGACGTTTCTCGATCTTCCGCTTTTCCTTCTTTGGTCTTTCAGCTTCTGAAGAATTTAGTTAGCATCTGGTCAAATGTCTTCACTGGAATTAAAGCAGGGCTGGACTGGGCTCGGCAACCTGACCTGAGAAAAGCCCTGAGTCAGGCCCCTGAGTACTGAGTACAGTACAGTGTGCCTGAGTAAAATCGAGACTCGAGAAAAAAAACCCTGAGCCTGACCCTGACCTGAGTTAAAAGACAGGCCTGAGTTGCTTACACAGGGCCTGAGTTACTGTAAAAAAGTACTAAAAAGGCTCAATTTGCAACGTCAGGGGGTCCAATTACACTGATTTTCAATCATTAGGGCGATTTTCTGATTGCAGGACTGTCAGGTTGAAAGTTATCTGGGCAAAATGAAATTTTTAAGTGTGAACTTGGTCGAAAAAACCCTGTGTTTTACCCTGAGTCAGGCCCCTGAGTCTGACCTGAGTACCTGAGTCTGAACAGGCCTGACCTGTTTGCCTGAGAACCTGACTGAGTGAAAAACCCTGACCTGAGTTCCTGAGTAAATTTCGAGAAAAAATTTTCGAACCCTGACCCTGAGCCTGACCCTGTACTCAGGTTGCCGAGCCCAGGGGCTGGATAATTTGAAATCAACTCAAATCTCAACACCCATATTTCGGGAATTTGGCCATCCTGATTGGTCAATTGGGCCGTTTTGGGGTGTTGAGATTTGAGTTGATTTCAAATTATCCAGCCCTGAATTAAAGACTGTCAATTAGGAATTTCCACACACACCTCGCCCTCTCTCCTTCTTCTTTTCCTTTTTAAGCTTTTCCGCTTTGGGAGGCTTGGCGACGACCTTTGGTTTTTCCGATGGAACATCATCGTCTGATGAGTCAGAATCGCTCGAAAGGATTTCACGAGATTTAAACTTTGGCATGTCGACTTTCTTAACTACACTCTTCATGGATATCGTTTTTGATGCAATAATCAAAGGGAACTTTTTCATCTGATGAGAATTTATTTAACAAGCGAGCTTGAAGAACAGTCAATCATCAGGGAGGAAGGTTTTATTTAATCAAGCTTCTGGAAGCCAACCATTGGCGCGATTTCTCGGAAAGCTCGTCGAGAGACGTTGAGGCCGTACTTTCGGATGAGACCGGATCGGCAACCGGTGATTCGGCACTGTCGGAAACCTAGAGCACTTTTAACAACCACCTCTTGGGAGTTATCATACCTCGGCCTTTGGTGTTTTTGCCCTTGTGTGCGAACCAGATGTTTTCGTGTCCCATGTCGAAAAAAGTCTAAAAGCAAACAATCGACACCAACTTTGTTTGATAAGATAACTGTAGTTTTTGTTTCAATGGTTGTTTCAATTTCTGTCACTCGGTGATGGCAGTTAAAATAAAAGATAGGCCACAGGTGCAATTATTTAACGAAACAGTTCTTTATATACATGTTGATGGCGATTCTTGAGATGGGCAGTTGAAAGTTTCGGCTAGGCAGGTGGTGAACTATACGATATAGTTTGAGGGGATCTACTAGAGGCTCTCCTTACGCTTTGCTCTCGTCAGAAGTCGCTAATTTAAGAACGTTTGAGAATGTTCACTGGAACGATATAATACAATAGCTGGCCCATTGGCTGGGCGATGACAGTGACGGGCGCTTCTTCAGCTGGAGGCTCTTCTGGTTCTGTTGTTTCGACTACCTCCTCGTAGACATCGTTTCCTTCATCGATCACCTCACTCGCTGGGGGGCTCTCTGGTCGCACCCGCGATGTTGGCTCTGCTTCAGGGGGAAAGCCTTCTTCTTCAGTTGCAGCAATTTGAATGGATATTCCAACTCCAGAAGCGCCATCTAAAAGAGAAAGATAAGTCCGGAGATGTGTGAGGCCTTGGGTAATAAGGGCAGGTTATACAAAGATGTGGTAAGTTTTTCTTTCAGACATTTACCCTTCGGGGAAACAGTCAATTTGGGCTGTTGAACAAAAACAATTTCGAATTCAGTTTGAAGCAGTATTTTTTGGAGCGTTAAAACTTTTTTGATGAAACTTGAAGGGTTTGGTTGTACGGAAATGGTGCAGATTGTGTAGATAAACGAGAGATAATAAATGTCCTTTTTTGACCTTTTTTAGACTTCAGTCAAACTAGCCACTCCAAGGGCGTTTTTGACCAGAAAGCTGTTGGCCGGTCTGACATGGGCGGGAGTCATCTTTTTCGTTAAATCAAGTTATAATTTATCAAGTTTGATTAATTACCTTCAAGCTGAGTCGAGCAGGCTTTCGGAGGCGAGTGAAGAAATTGTTTGTACTCTTCATCAGCAGAGCTTCCGACAGTGGTTTCCGCGATCTCATCCTCAGTTGGCTTCGGCATCAATTCCTCCTCAATCTTATCACCTTCTGATTCTTCTCCAGCGGGCGTTTCAATCGCTTTTTCGTCACCAACTGGCGGCTTCTGCCCTTTGTTCTCCTCTTCTGCTGCCTTCTCATCGTCAGTCATGTTCGCTTGATCGACAGACATCTCCTGATCTTCCAGCTCTGACATGGATGGCATCTGCTGACCCTCGCTCTTTTCTTCCTCAACCCGCATGACGTTCATGCCCATTTCTTTCGCGATAAACTCCTGCGCCTCCATTTCTTCATCGCTTCCTGGCGCCGCGCGACCGGTCTTTTTCTGTGGCGAAGCGAGCTCGTCCATTTCTGGTGCTTCTTCCTCGTCGTTAGAAGAGTCGTCTACTGGCTGTCGAGATGGCCGCATCTTTTTCAGTTCCTCGACGACTTTTTTCAATGGTCGGCATTTTTGCTGGTGAATTCGCAAGCCTTCGTGAGAACCTATTTTTTCAAATTAATTCTAGCGATTCTCGAACTACTCTTACTGGTTAGTTTCCCACAGAAAGGGCACATAAATGGCTCAGCGAGCTCCCACTTGTTTTCATCAAAGTCTCGGGGCAACTGAAGAGGCCGCTCGTCAAGATCCATGTCCAAATTCAACACCGGCATTCCAGGAAGATCGTCTTTTGCGTAATTGTAGAGTTTTGCTCTTCGTTGGCGTTTTTCTTTTCGCCGCTGGGCTCGCCGTTTTATCTTCTTTTCATACTCGTCGATCAGGTGCAAACTGGATTCCAGGTTTTTTCGCGGCTCCCAGGTGTCATCGTCTAAGTAGAATGACGAAAATATCTGATATTTTTCTTTGTGTTATTTACCTGGAGGAAATCCGACCCAGCGAATTCTGTACTCAGTTTCTTCCAGTTTATTGCCATCCTCGTCGACATTTCTGTGGTCAAGGAGAGCTTCAACTTCCCACTCTTCGTCGCTACCGCCATCTGACATTCTTTCCCGTTCCGAGTTCTGAAAATTCGGACTTTTAAATTTGGGTGAAAAAATATGGAAAAGAAAACAGGAATAATTGATAAACAATATTTGAATAAGGCAAGAAAATTTGAAAAAAAGAAGTAGTAAAAGGTAAATTGAATAAACCCGAAAAGCCGCTCGCGGCTTCGAGCTGGAGATGAAATAGACGCGCTTCATTTTTTTTCTCGGAGCCGCAAGTGGCTTCTCGACTTTATGTGCTTTCATTGTTTATTTTGACGATTTTCGATAACGATTTCAGAGTGTATTCCTGACCCTTCTTTTTTATTAGTTCTCTAAAAATATAAATAGTTTCCGCTGTCTCTCAAATGATGATATTTCCTTCTCTGCACCTGCTTATAAAACAGAACATCGCGATAGAGCCTGATCTTTAGGGAGAGGCAAAATTAATTCGTGAAGAATTCTGATAATGTCTCGAGCAATCGTTGGTTACTCGCTTTCTCGGGCGACCAATCAGCGCCGCTCGTAGATTCTCCCGTGTACGAACCTTTTTCGTCGCTCCTTTTCCGCGATATTCTCAAGAAATTGGTTAAAAGAAAAGGGAGAATGCCGAAGAAACGGGATCTAAGACCACCAGGATAGGTTAAATTTTAATTCTAGAATTTAATTTTCAATCTTTGAAAAGAGTTCTTTTTCTAGAGATCTCAAGATCTTCCATTCGTCTTTTTATTACTAATATCATCGTCGATTTTCTTTTATTGCTTTTTGTCGGTCACGGTCAGTCAGATGCAATCAGAATGAAATCGTAAAAACGACTTGAAATTGCCCCATTGGGTCAAATTTTATTCGAGCAAACAAGAGCCCGCGGATTTCCAATTGTAATGCGACTTTGGCCAAAGAAAAAAATGCCCATAAATAAAGCGAAAGACGTCAAAAAGAAAGAAAAAGAGATAGAATACGAATTCGATTTTACAGCAATTCCAGCGTTTCTCTACGCCATTGGCCAATTAATCGTAAAATTCTCCATTATTTTGGCCAAGTATTACTGGAACGTCTACCCGTACACTTTGCCCCGGAAAATTCTAAATTGCTACTGTCTCGAATGTCAGAAACACGAGCAAAATTTAACCAGATTGAAAGATGATTCCGAATCGTCGGATTTGGAGTACATTCCCAGCGAGTGCCTCAACAAGGAGTTCTACAGAAAACACGGAGGACCCGGAACAGCACTTGAAAGAATTTACAACATGCTTTTTGACGAAGATCTGGAAAGCCACGAAATTCGAAGGCTTCAAAGAGAGGCGATGGAACAACACAAGCACAAACAGTTCCAAATGGATTTCAACGCGGCTCTTGAAAGGAAAAAGGGTTGAAAACTCACACTTCTATGAAATCTCAACGAATCTCATTTTCATCCTTTTTGCAGAGAACGACAAATATCAGAAATGCCGCTTACTCTTGGAACATTGAAGCTCTTCAAAAACTACTTACTGTAAGTTTCTCAATTGACTTGAGAAGATGCTCGCAGCTTTGAGCTGGAGCAAAGAAAAGGTCGCGTGACGCGCGGTTCCATTTTTTACCTCTGAAATCTTTCTTTTTATAATATTTTTCAAACGATGATTTTCTAGCGCTGTTTCGTTAGATATCCTCTGCTTGCTAATCCTGATCAGCTGGTACTTCGGCTCGTGGAGGATTCTTTTCACAGGGCTTGTTGTTCACTTCGTTTTCACGCACTTTCGAATACTGAAATTTTTCACTTGGAAATCGCTGAAACGAAACTGGAACTTTTTGGTTTATTATCCAAACGAAGTTAAAAACGGTAAGGGTGTCTTTTCGCGTTCGAGTTTTAAGGGATCAGCTTCAGAATACGAAACGCCAGAGGAAGTATTCTTGCGATACTACGATACGGAATGCTACAGAAGTACTCTCATGAAAACCTATCAACGAAAACAAGATCGAATTCAGCGAGAGCTCAAGAGTCAAATGAGCTTCGTAAGTTTCTGCTTCCTTGACGCTCATTTTCGATTACTTTTTAAGATGGAGAAGCAGTTGGAAAAGAAAAACGAAGAAATTGAAAACCTCAAAGTCTCCGTCGACGTAGAAAATATCTACGCAGAGGAGTGCGAATGCATGCGAAAGAAACTCGGATCGCTGGAAATCGAACGAGCAATACTCAAAACTGAAAATACAAAATTGCAGAGCCTGATGAAAGAAAAAACAAACCTGATCAACGAGAAGAAGAACAAAATCGAATCAATGGAGTCAAATCAAAAGCAACACTCCAAAGAACTCAAAAGCTTGAAATCGAAAATGGATGACGTAAAATTTGCCAATTCAAAAATGACGAAAGACTTGAGCAAGTCGGAGAAAACGATCACCAATATGGAATTCGAGATAAAACAACTCAAAAAGAAACTCGAAAATCATCAGAAAACAAAACCGCCAAAGGAAAGTGTTTTCTTTTTTGATTCTTTGCTTCTTTTTCGAGCAATTTTGAAAACACCCGAAAGCCCAAAAAGCCCGAAAAGATCAAAATCAAGAACCTCACTCCTGCCAAGCCGGGCATGCTCCCTGAATGTGTCATTTGTTCTGACACGGCCATGAATCATGATCCGGTCGCTCTCCCCTGCGGGCATGTCTTCGGAGCCCTGTGCATCAACAGCTGGTTCCAGAAGAAAGAATCCTGCCCCATTTGCAATACTTTTGCCTCTGACGAAACAGTGAAAACGCTGTACTTTGCTTATAGCTAAATACAGTTGTTCCTATCAAAAATCCCCTGCAATTTTTCATCACAATTAATTCATACAATACATGACTGAATACTCTATCCCAATTCTACTAGTACACCAATCAATCAATCCAAAAATAGTTTTTACGTTTACTTATTTATTTCCTGATGTAGATTGACAGTCGAAATGGCCTCCCAAAAAGAACAGTTCCGCGAAACGGGGGAAATCTTCACCCCCGCGAGTATGATCTTCGGCGTCCCCCCGCCGCAGATCATTTCGGACTACTCGGTCGTTGAAGTCAACAACTACCACGCTTACAACCCCGAAAAGCCTGACAAGAAGGAGCCAACGCAGCACGGCGTGTTTGATCCAAAACTAGGTCCATTTGAAAAAGGTGCGATGTGTCCCACTTGTGGAAATGACCGGATAGCTTGTCCGGGTCACTTTGGACACATCAAACTCGCCTTGCCTATCTTCCACACTGGCTATCTACCTCATACTTATAATCTCCTGCAAATGATCTGCAAGGGTTGTTCGAGAGTGTTGCTCGATGACGACGTCGACGAGAAAGGAAATGTCGTCAAGAACGCGAATAAGATCAACACCCGTGAATATTTTCGCAAAAAGCTGGACAATGCAAAGATGACCTACGACCAGAAAACATCCTTGAAAAAAGTCATCATGGCTTTGGTGAAAAAAGTACCAAAGGCCTGCTTCCATTGCTCCGAGTACAACGGACCAGTGAAAAAGGTCGGCTTTCACAAGTTTCTCCACGAGCGATACAAGTTCAAAAACACTGGCGCAAAAACTAGCCGGATCCAAGATCACCCGAGCCAAACCGAGTTCAAAAAAGACATGCAACTTGCACTAACCGACCCGGCAGCATCAAAGGACCTAAAGGAAAGCATGAAGAAAGTTGTTGGCCACACGATCGATGCTTGCAGAGCACAAGAGCTCTTCGAAAACATCCCAAAAGAAGATTACCCGCTGTTGTGTATGGCTGTCGACTCAGTTCACCCATCAGATTTGATACTGACGCAGATTCCAGTATCTCCATCAGTTATCAGGCCTTCGGTAACGTCTGATATCCGACAAGGAACGAACGAGGATGATCTGACAGCGAGTCTGATGCATATTCTCAAGATTAACTCTGGTCTTGAACGAGCAATTCTTGATGGAAAGGATATTGCAGGAAGAACGAGTCATGTAGGCCCATCCTGGGACGTACTTCAGTCTCTACATGCCTTGATGATCAATTCTGGCGTCAACTTGAACGCGTTTCCGTCGCAATTCCGGATCAAGGATACGCCGCGCCAGTCTCTTGTCCAGCGACTCAAGGGAAAACAAGGACGATTCCGCCAAAACCTTCAAGGCAAACGAGTGAACTTTACCGCTCGATCCGTCATTTCGCCAGATCCAAACTTGCGCATCGACCAAGTCGGCATTCCTATCGATGTCGCAAAAAAGCTGACCTTTGCAGAGCAAGTTACACGGTACAATATTGCGCAGATGAAAAATCTTGTCAAAAATGGCGGTGAATATCCTGGTGCGAATGAAATCCTGTATAAAAATGGAGAAAAATGTAATCTTACGTTCTTACGCGAAAAAAGAAGAAGGGATGAAAAATCTAAAGAGCTCCGAATCGGTGATACCGTCCACAGACATTTGCATGATGGGGATATTGTTCTCTTCAACCGTCAACCTTCCCTTCATCGCCAGTCGATGATGAGTCACCAAGTCAAAGTTATGCCTTGGAAGACCTTTCGATTCAACGAATGTGTCTGTGCTCCTTACAATGCTGATTTCGATGGCGATGAAATGAACGTCCATCTCCCTCAAACGAACGAAGCTCGATCGGAGGCGATGGTTCTTATGGGCGTAAAGTCTAATACGCTGACTTGTAGGTCTGGAGAGCCCCTCGTCGCTTCTATTCAGGATTTCATCACTTCGATGTACTTGCTAACTCAGAAAGATGTCTTTTTCACCCACTCAGGTGAGCTTTATCTCTATGAGTTCAATAAGTAAAACATAATTTTAAGAGTTTTTACGGCTCATCACAACAGTCACCGCGAGAAACAAGGGTCGACTTCGCATCCCACAGCCCTGCATTTTGAAGCCGACCCCTCTTTGGTCCGGAAAGCAAGTGTTTTCCTGTCTTCTTCGTCCAAATCGCAACTCGAATGAGTTGATCAACCTGAGCTCGAAGGCAAAAAGATTTGAAGCTCCAGCGAAGAACGCTTCTGGAAAATGGGAGTGGCGAGGACGAGAGTGTGTTGGTTATTCAAAAGGCTCGCCTGAGATGATTTGCAATGATTCGTGGGTGTTGATCCGTAATTCTGAGCTCGTGGCTGGTACGATGGACAAAAACTCGCTTGGCTCGGGCTCGAAGAAACAGGTCTTTTACATGTTGACACGAGATTACGGAGAAGAAGCAGCTGCACAGGCAATGTGGCGCATGTGCAGAATCGGCCCTAGATACTTGAGTAACAGAGGCTTTTCTATTGGTATTGGTGATGTCTGGGCGTCGGAGAATTTGTTGAAGAAGAAAATGAGGGTCATTGACGAGCAATATAGAAAAGTTGACGAGCATATTCTTGCCAAGAAACATAATAAATTGAAACTACAAGTAGGCCTTCTTTGTATTCAAATATTAACTGTGTTTAGCCTGGGTGTACAGCAGATGAAACACTAGAAAACGTGGTCCAAAAAGAGCTCTCGAAAATTCGAGACGACGCAGCTAAAGCATGTTTTGCCGAGCTGTCAAAGTTCAATACGCCTCTCAACATGGCACTCTGTGGTTCCAAAGGTTCAAACATTAATATTGCCCAAATGGTTGCCTGCGTCGGTCAGCAGGTCCTGTCTGGTAGTCGAATTCCAAACGGTTTTGAAGCGCGTTCCTTGCCTCATTTTGAAAGAGACTCGAAGAATCCGAAATCACGTGGCTTCGTCCAGAACTCTTTCTTTTCTGGACTGACTCCGACTGAGTTTTTCTTCCATACAATGGGTGGAAGAGAAGGTCTCGTCGATACGGCTGTTAAAACTGCTTCAACGGGTTATATGCAGCGTCGATTAGTCAAGGAACGGATCTATATTTCTCTTTACCCAATTTTACTTCTAATAAGAACGTATTTTCATCCTCAAATCAGGCTTTGGAAGGTTTGTGTGTCCAGTATGACGGAACAGTAAGAAACACTGACGATCGAGTGATCCAGTTTACCTACGGAGAAGATCAGCTCGACCCTCAAGAGATGGAGGGAGACTCTCGTCCGGTCGATTTTGATCGAGTTTGGACAGATTCGATCTGCCGATTCGGTCGGAAGCATGACCGAACTATCTGTAGCGATGAAATTAGAGATGTGGTGAGAGAAGCTGTCGAGAAAGTCAAGCAAGATAAACGATTCAAATATAATGACGAAGGATTTGGAGTCGGCTTTAGAAACTTTTTGGACAAAACAACTATCGAATTTGCTGATAAACAAGCTGACATTGTCAAGCGCCATTGGGAGAGCTACGGAGTTTATGCGAAATCTGATGATGAAAGAGCGAACTATCAGGCCATGCGAACAACAGCTAAACAAGGTAGTTTTTTTCAACAATCTTTATTCGTTCTAACCAAACATTCAAAATAACTTTCGTCACTCTTCTTCTTTTTTATCTCCTTCACTCTTCTTCTTCATTTCCGGGCTTATCTTCCAGATCGTACAACTCGTTATCCTTTCTGATTTCTTCTTTTTATTCGTTTCACTATATTTGTTCCTACTCTTCAAGTAACACTTATATCAAAAAACTTATATGAAACGAGCCTAATTTTTCCTCCATATATTCGTAGTCCCCTTTTGCAGCATTCAGGAAAGCCTTCGCATTCTCGAGTTCTTTCGTGTCAATTTGATTGGCATACGCCCCTCTTCGAGTTCGCTTTTTGAAGATTTCATCATCCACATCAGAATTTGGTACCGACTTGAGAGTTTGATCCAGAGCATCTTGCAATTTCTTCACCCGTTCCTCTCGTTCCTCGATCTCCTCTGCCAATTCCTAGAGTAATTTACGTATTTTTTAGGATTCCAGCACTAGTTTTACCCCCATCCATTTGATGAGCTTCAATTCCTTTCGCTCATTTCTATTCTTCATTACTTTGAAGTGATACTCCCAGTTGTTATCATCGTATTCTTCCTCTGAATCGGTGTCGAATAGCCAGCAGCCCATCTCGTGTTTTTTAAATCTAGAATAACTTATTCTGAATAAGGCTTTTTCTTTCAATATTTTCAATAAAACTTTCAAAAACTATTCATCTTTATGGGATGCAGCTGCCGAAAGAGGGCGCCACTCAAGAAATCACCCGCCAAGAGTGGGTCCCACGTTCTTTAGTTATCAGATCGGAATCAGTTTGGCAGAAGAGCAAGATAAAATTATCTCTTATTTTGATAACAATAATACAGAATGCGTAAAAATCACCGGGAAGTAAAACCATTCATATCTCTCGTTATAAACTGAACTAAATTTCTCACCGCTAGGATATATATACCGGACGCCGACTCAAAAGAGGAGCGAGAATCTAAAAACTTTTTCTAGTCGAACTCTTCGTCGAGCGATGCGCGCTGAAGTATTTCAAAGCCCGAATGGAGCCAGGAACTTGTGTTGGTGCAATTTGTGCCACTTCCATCGGTGAACCAGCTACTCAAATGACGCTGAAGACTTTCCATTTCGCCGGTGTTGCTTCTATGAATATCACGCAAGGTGTTCCGCGAATTGAGCAGATTATCAACAATACGCAAAAGATCAAGACACCCATCATTATGGCTAAATTAACAACTGAAGACTCGAAAGAATTCGCACAAGAAGTAGCTTCAAAGATTGAAAAGGTCTGCTTAAACTATTATATGTTAATAAAAATCCGTTATTTAGACAACATTAGGAGAAATTTGTGAGTACATTCAAGAAGTGCACAACGCGGACGAGTCATTTTTGCTCCTCAAATTGGACACGAAGCGAGTTAGATTGCTGAAAATGCGCGTGACCGTCGAATCTATCAAGCATTCGATCGCTATTTCATCCTTGAAGCTGAAACTCGGGCAGATTATTGCTCACGGAGAGTCGATTTTGACAATTCATTCTTCTTTTAACGATGACGCAGGAAAGTTTATTCTATATTCACTGAGACTATTCGAATGTAACATGTTGAAAAACTCGTATAAGAATGGCAAATGAGCCTGCCGAATCTGAAGGACTCAATTTGTGCAGTTCTTGTTCAAGGACTGAAAGAAATCAACCGTGCTGTTATCAGTCATCAAGACAAAAAAGAAGGATTTTTCGAAATGATTATTGATGGAAACGATTTGGGAGGCGTTTTGGCCACAAGAGGTATTTGAATTTATTTTCATTATTGCTTACGAATTGTGATAGGAATCGACTGGAAAGAACGTCTTCGAATCACATTCCGAAGGTGTTTGAGATTCTTGGAATTGAAGCGGCGCGAAGCACGATTATAAACGAGATGGAAAATACGATGGGGCACCACGGAATCCACGTTGATAGGCGTCACTTGATGATGTTGGCTGATTACATGACTTACACTGGTCCAGGTTTGTCAATTGAACTGATCGCCTTTTCTACTATTTTTCTTTTTCAGTATTTGGTTGTACAAGAATTGGATTGGCGAACGTTTCGAACTCGCCGCTTCACTTGTCCTCTTTCGAAAAAACATCGGACATTCTTTACAACGCGGCCTACTACGGACAGAGGGACTCCCTCGCTGGACCTAGTGCTGCTTTGATTCTTGGGGTCCCAATCGAACTCGGAACTGGTCTTTTCAAGCTGTATCAAGAAACGAAGTTGGATAAAGAAAAAGTTAAGAAGAAGGAAACACTTTTTGATCACTTTACTCAAAATAATGTTGGAGTGACTGTTGGGACGTGAAATTTTGCTTTTTGAATTTGAATAAATATTTCTTACCCCTCCATTAACGCTTTTGTTTTATTTGCAATCAGTGATTTGAGCAGTTTTATAAACTTATTAAAGATTCTCCCTGGCTGGTCGGGCTTGGCAACTCGGGAATAGGTGTCATTCTTAAAAGCAGATTTAGACTCTGATAATGATTACGAGCTCCTATGGGACCATTTGCTAGGCTCTTACCTTTTGATAGATCTTTTCTTCCCGAAAATGCGCGGCTCTGCGTCGTAAAGCAAGCATTCTGTCGATGATAAGTGCAGTTCTTCCTTGCTGGCAGTTGAATCAGAAGAAGACTGTGATTCCAAGGAGCTATTAGGGATTGTCGTGAGACGCGATGTGATCACTGAGTATTCTGAGAGCGCATAAGGTTCCACTGATTCGCGGTCTTCTAGTAGCACTAGTGCGAGAAGTCCTTCAAGCAAAACTCCAAGCATAACAGCGTAAAAAGAAACCCCAAACTCGTATTCCGCGGCTCGGTACTTTTCTGTGACTGCTAGGAATGCGGTAAGACCGAAGAAACCAAACATCGCGGATATTGTTAGAATGAGTGAGTGAAGAATATACTTTCGAGGGTAGAGAATCTTTATGACAGTCGTTAAGGTGGTACAAACGACTGCAAATTTGAGAAAAACTGAACTTTCGCGGGCGGAGAACAAATAGCGTTCCCAAGTGCTCATCATTTCTTTCGTCTCTCCGTTGCTCAAATCGGTGAAGTTTATTGGCCGGCATTGCCCATAACACTCTTCACTTCGGCAACATAATCGTTTGAGCCCCTATCAGACTGATAAAAAGCATACAATATTTGCCAACCTGAGTACTATCAATAACCATCCAAGTCACTTGAATGTGGTTATGTTCATCTTTCACGAACCAATTTTCTCTGCCCTCGATCCAGTGATCTGTACAAACTCCGACCAGTTGAAGACATAAAGGAAATTGTAGCAAAACCAGTACAAGTGACCTTTTTGGGGTTGATATTCTCTTTGTTATCATTCTTACTGTCTTCATTCGTTCAACTGCTTGGCAGAATTTTCGCCTTACCGCAGGAAAAAAGTAATTATTTTTAATTGATGCTCACTTGTGCTTAGAATTCCCTGGAGATCGAACATAAAGTAGAGGAGACAAATTATTCAAATAATGTGATTTACACAAAAAATTTATTAATTTCAAGGCGCAGACACTAGGCAGAAGAAACGACGCCCGAATCTCCTTCAGAGATGGCAGGAGATTTTGGAGAATCGTCACTAGAAAAGCTTGAATCAACTTGAAAAAATTACTGTTACTTACACAGTAGGCATGGTTTGTGCAATAACTCGGCAACGAAGGATATCTGTAATAGAATTAAAGCCATATTTGGTAGCGATGTCCATCGGAGTTTCGCCCCATAGATCCGGCTCGTCAGCTTTCAGCTAGAAATGAAGGTTTATTTCGTAAGAATACGACGATTACAACCTCAGTCTTTTCAAGCAAGAATCGGACAATTGATTCAGCGCCAACTGCACTGGCGACGTGAAGAACTGTTCGGCCGTTGCAATCCTTGGCGTTGAAGTCGTATTCGCTGTCGAAAAACTTCTTGACAAGTCCAAGTTCGCCTGCTCCAACAGCAAAGAATAATGAGGTGCGGTTACTGTCCTCAATCTTCATCATGTTATTTCGAGGGTTGATTTTCTGGACAGCATGATTTAAACTTAAATTTTAAGTTGAATGTCAAGTTATCAAATAAAATTATTATACCTGTCGAAATGATGGAAGTTGAATCGTTGGAGCAATCTGTTCATGAACTCAATACCCTTGGCTGAGTTTCCAAGTTTGTCGAGTGGAGGAGAGTAAAGGCACATCGCCATGACATTTGGAACAACAACGATGATAGAACCAGAAACACCAGATTTAGCGGGGAGTCCAACCTGGAAAGCCCACTGTCCAGAGTAATCGTACATACCGCACGAAAGCATCAGAGAAAGTGTCTGTTGGACGGATCGTGGCTCGTAGACTTTGTCGTTTGTAATTGGACAAATTCCTCCGTTGGCGAGGGTAGCAGCCATGACACAGTGAGAATCGCACTTGGCTTCGATGGAGCAGAGCTGGAAGTAGAATTCGAGGACCTTTTCAAGGTTGGTTCCAGCTGGGAAACAATCGTGCTCGTGCATGTAGTGACCAAGAGCGAAGTTTCTTGTTCGGGATATTAATCATGAATTTTTCAATAAGTAATTAGCTAGATATTTAGTTTACGAGCTCAAAAAGTGGCTCAGAATGACATAAAAACGGGTGATCGACGGGGTAATCAGGTTTATGAGCTTGACCTAAAAGCTTCAATTGATCAAAAATAGGTTGCATCGAAATAGGCGTGTTCTTTAAAGATCCCTCCCTATCAGCAACGGATCGCTCTGAAAGGTAGATTGAGTTATTGAAGCCAACATGGAGATCTCCGGCAAGTCGACGGAAGATTCCTTGCATGTACTCGAATCGATCAGCTGTGTTCATTTCGGACTTAACAAGTGAGGAAACCATGATGGCTCCAGCGTTGATCATCGGATTGTGAGGTTTGTTTCTACAAAAAACTATTTTTCCTTAAAAATCGAAAGTCATACCGTCCATCAAGGACAATTTCGTTAAAGCCATGGCCAGATGGCTCAGCAGAGACGTAGTTGTACACATCTTCATTTCCATAGAGATCCAAAGCCATCGCGTAGTTGAAGGGCTTAGAGGTCGATTGGATGGAGTAAGTCTGATCAATATCTCCAATATCAAAGCGTTGGCCATCAACGGTACAAACTGACACAGCCCAGAGACTCGGGTCGACACGGGCGAGTTGAGGAATGTAATCGGCTGGGTGACCAGAGTTGAAGTCCTAGGAAAATATCAAAATCAGACAAAAATAAAGATAATTACCTTGAGTTCTTCGTAAATTTCGGTGACAGTCTGTTTGAAGGTGCTGAAGTCAGGAATAACGAGATTTCCTGAGAACGCCTTGACGATCAACTCCTCGGCATCGCCGATCAAATTCATGAAATCATCAGGCATAATTGGTGCAACCTCCTCTCCTTTAGCAGGAGAAAGCTGGAAGTCTCGCATTCTGTTCATGAACGGAAGCAGTCTTGCATCGGACTTTTTGAGCCCCATTTGTTCAAGGCCATTGACGAATTTCGTGACATTGAGATTTCCTTTCTTCGTGACGTACAGGTCAAAAATATTACGGAGGATATCCTGTCTTTCCTCGGACATGATTGAGTTTTGTTGATCTCTCTGTCTCTCTGACGATCTCTGAGACGAAAAAATTGATTCTCTGAAACCGGGCTAAAGGGGCGTATATAAAGAACCAGGTTTACGATGCTATCAAGCCGTTCAATCTCAGATGAACCAGTTACCGATTTGTTTCTGGCGGCTTTCTCTTTCAATTATATGAAGTCAATAGCCAACGATATTTATCAGTCGAGTTCACTCGAGTAAAATGAACTTGGTCAGTCCTTTTTATGGTCTAATTTCCGGAATACGATTCTGATTGATTCTGCGGGGCCTTAGGTAAAATCAATTTTTAGAGACAACCGATCTATTTTGTGTAAATTTGCAACCGAAACTAATTTAAAAACGAACTTATAAAAATTGCGTTCCAACTCATCATCAAAAGACAAACAGTAAATTACTAAATAAACTTTGCTCTTCACTTTTGCTGACTCTTGAGAAAAAGCGCGCTACGCATTTTACAGTAATATCTTCTTCTGGGGCGCGTTTATGGCCAAGTTCTCATATTTGCTCAGTCGTGAGAATGTCAGCCAGCTTTTTAGGGGCTATTTGATACAGTATGCTTTGGCAAATTAACCGGAAATGGCCGAAAATGCAAAAAGTACCCAATCGCCCATGTTTGCTCTCTGTGGGGTAAACATTATGCCCAACTATCGCTTAGTGCAAATGCCAAAGCCACCTTGAATTTATGAAGCTACTTTCTTCAGCCTTTTTACTTTTACCAGAGATATTAACTGCCGTAGAAGGAAAGAGAAATCTTACGCTTACTGTTCTAGCACCATCGCTCGATGACATCATTTCATCTGAGCCAGAAAGATCAGTTGCTGACTTTCCTTTTCACTGGCAAAATGTCCGTCCCGTTATCGAAAGTGCGATTGAGTATTTCAAGCTTGACGAGCTTTATGACCTCGAGTTTGAGCTAGTGCCAGATGGTGGATGCGAAACTGTAGATATTATCGAGCCTGCCACCAAGCGTTTTTATCAAAGTCTTCGGGTAGAATCAATTTTCTTAAGTTTTGTCATTATCGTTTCTTTTAGCCCAAGACACTTACAGAAGAAGACTGTAGCGAGCAATTTACCTATTCTCGAAAGTCGAACATATTTATTGGTCTAACATGTGACTACCCTTATGCCCAATTATTGCACCAAGGTCGCTACTGGGACACCAGCCTCACCGATGAAATTCCTGGCGATGGATTTCCAATGATAGGGATCGGACTTCGAGGGAAGTCATTCAGATACAGAAACGGGGCTGTAGAAGGATTCACTTCTTACAAATCAGTGCCACATTTGATGAGACTAGGAGAAACGTATCATTACGCCATTCAACCTGTTATCGAAATGATCAAGCGTTTCGGCTGGGACAGAGTGACCCTAGTTGTTCCAGGCGTTTTTATGATGCTCCACAAGACGACTTCATATGGCCGGCCAAATAGCGACACAACATGGACGGACATTATGGACAGAGTTTTGAGCCTCAAAACCGAGCTAGAAATTCAAACCGACATCGAGTTCAAAGAAATCAGCCTCCAACTCTTGGGAAGGAATCCCGGAGATAATCAAATCTATCTTGCGGACAGTTTTGGAACGACTTATCCGAAACAAATGTGTGAAACTAACTGTATTCGTGAAACGCTCGATACGATAAGCGAGTCCTCAAGATTGGTGCTCTGGATGTTTGATAGAAAATATCTCGAAGACTTATTTTTGAACGAAGAAACGCAGAATTACAGAGATCATTATGAAGAGCCAGTGTTTTCAAAAACCAAAAACCCAAGTTATCAGCACTTCTTCTTTTTGGACAATGAGCCAAATGAACCATTTCCGCTGGAGTATACTAATGTCCATTTTCTATCGACTGAACACGTTATTCGGGAACATTATACGAAGCCTCCTGTTTGCCCAAACGACGCAACACCTATCAACGCTAAAGAAATTATCGAAAGCAGCTATGTGCTCGAATCTTACTTCAACTCAATTGGCCTTGTGAAGAAAATCTTTTCAGACGTTGAAAGAGCTTACCCTAAGTACCAATTTGATCAAATTCCAGGAACGATTTACGCTGACTTTGGCTCGAATACAACCTTTGAAGGGTATTTCGGCGAAGAAATAGCGGTCGACGAAGAAGCAGATCAAGTTATGACTATGATTCTTTACTCTTCGCCTCAAGAAATCGCTCTCTCGAATCGATCGTCAACTATTCTTCAGCCTTCAATCAAATTTTTTGATAATTCTGGGTCAACTATCATTCCCTTCACTGTTCTCGATGAAGAAATATTCAATTCAATAAAGAATTTCAACTTTCGAGAGCCCGAATGCGGATACGATGGAAACAACCTCGACTGCCAACCGTGCGGTGGAAATTGCTTTGGAGTCATAATGGGCATTGTTATTGGCGGTATCGGACTGGTAATTGGCCTCGTCGCTTGGTGCTGGTTCACAGCGGCGACCAGGGCTAGCTGGGAGATCCAAGCTAGCGATGTGATCTTCAACCCGGGAAAATATCGAAAGGGACCGAAAATAAGCTCTTTCGAAGAAATCGTCGACGACGATATTTTAGTAATGGGTTTGGAAAATAAGCTTGAAAAGTCATTTTTGAATATATATTTTGAACCTTTCATCAGCTGAATTCGCCGATCGAAAATCAAAGCGCTCAACAACACAGATGAATAAAAACAGCAGTATTGTAAAAGGCATCCATATTCCGCTGAATCCGCACGTTCCGGTGGGTATCTATTGGAAAAAGGATCTCTTCAACAAATCCCCGCCGAAACTTGTTGCAGTGAAAAAAGTCCGCCTGGCTCAAAGGATCAACTTTACAAAAGAGCAGCAGAAAATTGCACAAGTAAAGTGACTGTTTAATTTCTAACGCTAACCTGACTCAAAGGATTTGGTGAAAATCAAGCATGAAAATCTGGTACAGCTGAAGGGGCTCGTTGTCTTGACACTTCGAAATGTGTGTTACAGGATTACAGAATACTGCGGAAAAGGATCTTTGTACGACCTGCTGCAGACGAATATGGAGGTGACTTCTTTCTTTCCGATTTTTTAATGAATATGATTGTTCAGCTATCTCTTGATATGAAGATCTGTTTCACAAAAGACATTGTCAATGGAATGGTTTTTATCAACAAATCTAACATCGGACATCACGGAAAGCTCACCTCTAAAAACTGCTTAGTAGATGGTCACTTCAAGCTGAAGATCTCGGACTTCGAAAACATCCTTTTATCCGATTTCGCTGTCCAAGAAAGGCCACGGGTTGCACTTGATATTCTCAAGCATCTTTGTTTACTTTCGTACTTATCAAGCTAGAGAGATCGCTCGAGTGGCTAATCCGCTGCATAGCAATGGAGATCAAGATGCATTTCTTGAGAATCTACTTTGGGCCGCACCTGAAGTGATCAAAGACTCCGACTTTATGTACATGACAGATATAGCTACGGTTTTAAAATCGAAAATCCTCACTTTCCACCTCGAAATTTTAAGCCGTAAAAAGCATCAATGCGCTTCCGAAACTTCCAAATTCCTCGAGGAGAGCACAAAACATCAGATGTCTATAGTTTCGGCATAATTCTTCAAGAAATGCAATATCGGGCAGGACCGTTTTTCACCGGCTACGACGAAATGACAGTTACTGAGAAGGTTCAAGGTCTAATCGATGGAAATCTTTATCCGTGGATAGATGACTTTGAGAATATAGCATTGCGACAGCAAGAATACGAGCTCTTACGCACTTGATTAGGTTCTCAATTTAATCAGATATAAACCTTATAAATTATTCAAAAAGTAATGAACCAAAGAGCAGTCTGCATAAAGAAAGCAGCATGCGGCCGCCAGATTTTATCCTCATCAACAAGCAGCTGAGGAAAATGACGGGAAAGACGAAGAAGAATTTTGGTGAAGTTCTTATGGCACATTATGAAAGCTATCTTCAAAATTTAGGTCAGAGTTGAAGGAATCATCTGAAATGAAACGCGGAATTTTTAGATCGACAAGTGCGGCAGAGGGAGCAAGAATATAAACGACAAAAATACCTAGCTGATCAGGTGAATTCGCGACTACTGCCGCCAGGTGTCGTTGAACAACTCAAAAATCTTGGACGAGATGAAAGATTCGACGCAAAGAGCTACGATGAAGTATCGTTGTACTTTTCCGATATTGTTGGTTTTACGACAATTGGCAAGCAAAGTACGCCGCAACAGATTATGACGATGATGGATAAGCTGTTTCATATGTTTGATGATATCATTGGCTCTTTCCGTTGCACTAAAGTCGAGACTATCGGAGATGCTTATTTTGTTGTGTCTGGTTGTCCAGGAATGAGTTTTAATGCAAGTGAAATTGCAGTGAAATGATAATTTTGAAATTCATAAAAGACGAGTATGACGATCATGCCGCTGAAATCGCCCGATTCGCTCTTGCAATCCGAAATTGCTACGTTGTGGATTTTCAGATTCCACACCTGCCTCAAGAAAGATTGAGAATGAGAATAGGCTTGCATACAGGATCTGTTGTTGCTAGTGTTGTGGGAAATTTAATGCCGAGATGGTGCCTTTTCGGAGAGGATCTGGCGACTGTTGCGAATTGTGAGGAAATGTTCAGATTTATTTTGTACTTTTTACTCATATATTTTTTCATTATATCATTAAGAACTCAATTTATCAGCGTAAATAAAGCTATTTGTATTTCAAGTTTTGAACAAAGAAAGTCTCTCGGTGAAGCGAATAAAATCCATCTCTCGTCTTCGATTTTCGCAAAGTTGAAGGACGCCAAATTTGCAGATGGTCGTTACATGTTCGAACTCGGCCAAGATGGTGTCCGAAAAAAGTCGGACATGCGCTTCGAAATTAGCGAAAGAAGCTTTGACGATGAATTTCAATTTAAACGTGTGACACAAGAAAGGGGTTTCTGTTACTCGCCGTAATAATTTCAGTCAGAGCTAATGCCTCATTTTAAAACTAAAGAAGGTCATAAGTGCGCTTCTTTTATATAGCCATAGTTATCTAACGCACCACAGTTTAACCCTGATAAGTTCTCGGGACAACTTACTTTCTAATCAGGGACCGCGAAAAGTACGAAACTGAAGTCTATAATCCATCATCCGTAGTCGAGCGTGTCACAATGATGCGGCAAACTCGACGCGATACTAAAGGTTTGTCGATACTTTGTCAATACAAACGTTTTCCTGTCGATATTTATTCTCGTTTGGAAAATTGACTATCACCATTAAAAAGTACACCAGCCCTTACCATTTAGGAACCATCCGGCGCGTTCGAAGAAGTTCCCTTCATCTTGAATCTGGGTATGCCCTCTTAGCATATTGTTTTCCTCAAAAAATTCTAGCTCGCCATCAGGACTTGCCCAAGACATCCAACAAGTTCAGAAGATGACGCGCTTCATGGCTACTAGTAGCGATACAATAGGTACGAGGGGAAGGCTCTTTAGTTTGGAAAAAAATTAAGACACGGCTGGAGTCCAAGATATTTCAATGGTCGAAGATTTCTCCCGTCTGACGCAAGGAAACGGAGGGATGCGAAAAGGTTATCGAGAGAGCATCACAGGTCAGTTACCAATGAGTTGGGCCACTCAATTAAATTTATGGACAGTTTATTGTTATTTCAGAAATTGATGGAATGGCGACTAAGCTAAAGAAAAGAATAACTGGTCGCGAAACAGTCATCTACGAAGGCCAGGAAATTGGGCTAAGAAAAAGATCGATGAGCAATTTCGAGCTCACTAATCTTGATGATTTATTTGGGCAATAATATTAGTATACTGACAATTCTCTGCTACTGTAAATAAAATAATTTCAAAATCAATAAAAAGAAGTTTTTTTATAAAAATTAAATTATTTATGCTTTGAAAATGCAAATTATCTAATTATTGAAGGGATATTATAATTTTGATCATCGATTTATATGGAAAATGAGGGCAGCGGCCTCGGGGGAGTATCTGCGTCTACTTACGCATCGCTTTGCAGGCTACTGAGCGCGATTTCATTTTCAATGCGGAGTTAGTTCAATAAAGCTTACTTTTCTTCCGAGAGAAAGTTTTTTTTTCTCACGTTACGTGGAGACCCTACTCGCCCCCTGGCGCGTGTTTTATTTTGTCTTCGACACCTCCACAAGTCGTTCTATTTGTCCGGAGGCGACTATTGTCATCTACTACAGACAAAAACAGACAAAACAGAGAAAATCTGAATCGAAGAAGGAAAAAAATATTGAGAAGAAAAGATGCTATGATGAAAAATGAGAAGACAAGCGGTAAAGAAAAATATTCGCATTGAAAAGATTTGTATGAGATTTGTTCAGACGTTATGCTCGAGAAATTGCAGAACAGTTTCGCTCGCCGGCACGGGGGTTTTATTGCTAATAACTGGAGTTGTCGTCAAAAGTCTTAGGAACGGGTCAGTGTAATTTCCAAAATTCTACCTTAAAAAATTGCAATTTGAATGATTTATGACCTGCTTGAAAGTAATAAAGGAAGATACAGAGCCAGTGACGATTCAAAAATTTTCAACATCAGCACTTCTACATTTGGTAAGGCGTCAAATTCAACGGTTTATTTCTCCGGATCGCTAATTAATCCCCCTTGACAACGTGAAAACTAAACCACGTTTCTCCACTTGACGAGTGGCTGATCCCATCTTAACCGACTTCGATTTCCTTTTAATTTTAAGTTTTTGAACCGCGGAGAGAAATTAGGGCAGGATTAATGAATTGATTCAGGAACTGGAATTTTGAGTATCGGCGTCGTTTTCTTCGCAGCGGGAGTTTTGTATCACTGCTTGTGTCAGGTCCAGGACTCAATCGAGCGAAACAACCACGACGTTGTGGTGGCCGAAAGGGTAAGAAACAGTTAGCAACTAAAAGATTTGCTAGCAAGAGATCAATGAGTTCAAAAGAAAAAGAAACCGCAAAGAGCCTTACATAAGCGTCAATAATCCGTGCTTAGGAAGCTTAAAAGATTCCCATATCTACATTATGTGCACTAATCTGATCCTGTTTTAGTGTCAACTTATGAAATGAACACTTGTTCAAGTTCGATTTACCGGATTTTAACCCCTGATTTGATTTGTGAATAATTGTATTTTAGAGCGCGACGAGCCTGATTCGAACCCAAGTTACTGAAGTCGAAGCTTGAAAATCAAATATCCCTCCAAGATACGAATCCAATGATCTTTATTCAATTCTGCCCTCTTCAATAAAGCAAATATATTTCGTGAATTTTTTTATTTTGTCTCAAAGGAAAACACATCTGGATCTTCTTTCTGATGTAGATTTTTGAGTTCGCTCACGTCCATTGTTAGTATTTTCTGGATTTGCCAAATATGCTGGAATCGGTGGATCATTGCTGTTTCGGGCTTCAGGTACAGTTGTCCGGTCCAAGTCGTGAGGCGCATCTGCTACGCCGCGTAAATGATGCGACGCAATTCTATGGGGAGGTGGTCTAAAAACTTGTAATTGTTCAATTATTTCTTCTCGGGTTTCATTTGAATCTTGGATATTCTGTAGACGTGCTGCATGAATTGACTCGAGTAGTTTTGAATGTCTTTGACGATCTCCGTCAGTAAACGACCTTCTGCTACTAGTTCGAGCCGCATCCAAAAAATCCGTCGTCTCTCTCCTCATCCACACACTTCTTCTCTTCACTATTTCCTTCCATAATCTTTTTATCAGATATTATCTTATTTTTTACCTTGTCCATTTAACATTGAAATGCGTCTTTTTAAAATATATTTAAAATCTTTACTCAGATAAAATTGACGCCATAAAAATTACTCTTCGGCAAAAGCCACTGAAGCAGTAAGAAGTTTATAAGTAGCCTTTGAAGCGTAATATTAGCGCTTACGTTGTTCTAGTGAACGTGATGGGATAAGTCGCATAACGAGCGCGTCGCGGTGGAATATTCCGACCAGTTAGTTCCGTCCGTGAATCTCAGAGCACTAGAATCGCCAATCTTGTTATGCTCCTGTATGAATCATCTTCTTGATCATCAATCTGCTCACAGCGCGGTTCTCTATTCAGATTCGAGTGTTCTTTCTTTAAAATCGACTGAGCAAATATTCTTCATTGTCGTGAAATACTTCTCTTTAGATTTTTCTCAGCGCATGATAGTCTTGAAGAATGTCGCTTTTTCAACAGATTCAGGCTTTGCCTTACCCTGAAATTGCAGTTGACAAAGATAATTCTAGAGCTCTGGAGAGAAAGAAAAGAGGTACTCTTAATAGGTCTTTCTTAGCAGAAAACTCTTAGCTCGATTACGAAGACAAACTCGGAAGGAGGTAGAAAAATGCCTCAAAAAGCTACAAATCGACTACAGTAAGAAACTTCTTCAAAATAATTATTCCCCCGAAATTAAAACCGCCTCCGAATACGCACAAATTCACGAGATCCTCAGTGGACTGATGAGCGAAGTAAGAGACCTGCAGATCCGATTTTTTAATCAAGAATTCTCCAATAAACAAAGTTCATAAAATCTTATCAACCTGTGTCTATTTTTCTTTCGCAGCGATACAAGATGGCGCTGTCTAATGCGCGCGCTGTTTTTCTCCACCGGACGCGAAATCCTTACAAATCTGAAATAGAAATAAAAAAAGAGAAGTGAGAATAAAATGAAGATCAGCATTTTTTCTTCCTTTCTCGGCGTTCACTCAAGTGCGAAGGTTTCTGGAGTAAAAGGAAAAGAAGTCAGATGCGATGTTGAAAATATTCTTGCGGAAATATTCGAAAACGAAGGCGATAGAAAATCAGGAATAAAGCGCCTTCTACGAGGCTATAAAGTCAGGCCGGACAAGGAACACAAGAATCCCTCTTCCTTCAGGCTGAAAAAGCAAGAATTAATAAATTGGGAACCAAAAAAGGGGGCAGCAATCGCGCATGTGCGCTGTATCTATCAGCCGGACTTTAGGAAAGATTTTGAAAACGATAGAAATTCTTCAAATTTAACATACTTTGAGCTTTGAATTATTCCAATAAGAGTATTAAAAGTCGCGAAATCTTAACAGAACAAAGATAAAATGCTTAGCAGATGGCAGAGCAGTCCTTGAAGGAGAAATACCAAAGTGTGAGCGAGGCTGCCAAGTCTCTCAGCTCGGACTTTTCTCCGAAAATTCTTCTGATGGATCTTGCTCTGCACCAATATCTGGAATCGAGCCTCAAGGAAGCCGCTGCAAAAGAAGATGCATCAAGAACTCATCAATAGAAACTTCAAAGCCGATCTTCTGCGCGTGCAATGACAAATTTTGCAAATACACAGTTGCTCATCAGGGCAGAGACTTGCCCTTCAACCCTGAGCCGTTGAATAAACTCTGCGAGGAAAATCAAAACGGTAAGCGGGAAAGACCACTTTCACGAGGATTTTTCGCAAGATCCGTTCTTTCCGGAAACGCTCAAGTATTTTCAACCCCCATTATTTATCCGTAGATGAACGACCTTCAGAACCTCGCCGGGGAAAAGAAAAGATGCGAAGTCATTCTGTTGGTTTCAGCAGTCACATGCAACTTGATGCCGTTTCGGGAAGTTTTACAGAAGAAAAAGAAAAAGAATGCCGCTCGTATTACACTGGTGAATTCGACTCAGGGAGTGGTTCCGAAATTGAAATCTACCGAAATACGACAAGAGATACAGTTTTGGAAATCATGTTACAGGATGCTGGAGCTTACGAGATGGAGAGTGCCACTTGGCTAATCCAGCGTGTTTCAGTTTGTCTTGCTTAGAAGACTCGATGAGCGGCTGGTTTAGGGAAGATTTACTCGGTGATCCGGTAGACGACATAAACAGTCTTGCTTCAAAGGTTACACGAAATTCTAACAGATACAATTTCCACGAAACACTTGGCGAGACAGGAATCAGTTCAAAGTCTTTCGAAAGATAATACTTGAAAAATTTTCGGTAAAAAGTCCAGTTGGCATTTTGAACTTTCCAAAGGCGCGAAAATCTCAGATGAAGAAGAAGTTATAAGCTTTACGCGGACATTCTCCGATAGATATTTCGATTCTCCCGTTAATTTTAAATGCAGCTATCAAAAGAAAACAATTCTATCTCGAGGTATAGAAATTTTAATAGCTTTTTCGAATTAGATTTTCAGAAAGAGACATATATCATCAAAATACTGTCGAGACAACAGAAATCTGGAAAGACTTCCGAATCGACTTCACTTCGCGTCCTCAAAGACTAGGAGACAGAATCGGAGTCGGGATACGGTGGAATTCACCACCGAGTAAAGTTGACGTACGATTCCATCCTGTAACATGCTTCGTTCCTGTTGGCGAAAGCAAATTTCCTGTCGTAGAAAATTCCTGCTACGCGGAGCCAGTTAAGACTTTTCCGTCTTCTGATGTTCAAATTTGGTCAAAAGAGAAATTTTCGTTCTCCTTCCAGAGCTTTACTTTTAGCGACAGTACCGAGGTAGACAAAAATTGAAATCAACAACGACCTATTTTTTGATAGTTCGAGTTTACTGAGAAGGTAATTTGCGACATTGAATTCTGCCTTGGTTCCAACTGCACCATCAACACATCCTGCCCGCGATTTTATACTTCGCCGTTCGAAGAAAACTGAAAAACCTGCCCAAACGTGACATTGAAGCTGTAAAATGACCAATTTTGTACATAAATAAACGATTTGAAAGTAGCTTCGTTTCTTTTAAGTATCTTGATCAACGAGCCTCCTTTTATTAGCGCCGTAAAATTTCCACCGGGCCAGGAAAAGCCGACAGAGCAAGGCCGATCTTGGAAAAAAAGGATATTATGACGGAAGTTTTTAGTCTTAGAGAGCTTAAGGATGCAGTCGACGATTCAAGATATGAGTACAAGTTGATTTTCATGACTGTTCCGCATTGCATGAAATGCAAAAGTGTGAAGAAAAAGTTTTTAAAATGGCCGCAACGTAAGTCTTAGTTATTCTAAATCCATGTTATATTTACCATAAGAGCATGGATACGATAATGTCAAATACATCGTATTCTGCGCAGAGACTGTTTCAAAAGGACGTGATTGGGTCGTCAACGCCGGGCCAAAGGAACTTGAATATGTTAACTTTCCTTACTGGCTTTACTGGGTATGGCAGTCAAAAATACCATTGATAAAGCCTTTTTTCAGAAAGGAGGACTAAAAGGAGAAGCGCTGTACAACATGAGCTCTGGAATCACAGCTCTTGCTGAAGAACGACTTTCAGATCTCATCACAGTGGTAAGTTCTTGATTGATTTTTCTGAACACAATCATGAATTTACAATTAAGCGAGTGGATACAGAAACTCAAAAACACTACGGAGGTGGTTCTTGCTACACTCGAAAAGCAGAGTAGATTTTCAAAACGCATGAAAATACATTTTATATCACTTTTTCTATCTCAAATAAATTCTGTCAGAATCAGTGCTGCATAGTTACAAAGAATAATAATAAAAAGGCTCGTTATCGGTCGTTGTCAAAACGGACATCTGGTGTCTCCCGATCCATGATACCGTTTCGTTCAATCGTTATCTGCTCGTCGTTCCGCTCAAATATTTAAGCAGCTCAGGAGTCGACGGCAAAAGCGTGAGTGACGGCTTTGACGAGGAAATCTTGGTCGGGATTCGCCCCTCTGGCAGCATAGAAACGCGACCACAAACGAGGCAACCGTGTGAAAGTTTACTCAGCACTCGGTACATGCTTCTGATCCTTGAATAAATGCGCACTAAAGAACATCACAGCTGAAATTTCAATAGGACGTCACGCTTTCCAAGAGTCATTATCGACAGCTTACTGAATAAGCCTTACTCCAGGTAGGCTACAGGAAGCCTTACAATGTAATATATTTAATTAGATAATTTTTTTGTTGAAGTATATACTCGAATTACTGCAGATTCTCAAGATTAGAGGATCCGGCTTTAGATGGTCTATTAGCAGACTCTCACTTTCGAAATTTATTCAATTTCTTTTAATCCACAAAAATAGGGTCTATTCTTCGTAATCAATGAGTTCTGATGAGACCAAATTTGACTTTGGCCTTTGTGTCATTATTTTCGCACGGAGATGCCTTTCGCATGTACTTCCCTCCTCTTTTGTGTTCCTTTCCGCTTCTTACAACACTCGCCTTTGGGTAAAAATCTCTGCATGTCTGCGAAAGTGGCGCACAGGAGTCCCCTTGCGGAATAATGGAGAAATCATTTTATGTTATTATTATTACCAAAGAAAGATGGTTGAACAAAAGTGTTTTAAAAGAGAGTTCTTTCTCACTGCGATCTTTAACAACTGGGAAGATACAGTTAGAAAATTATTAGAGAATAATGGCCCAGAGATCTTTAGAAGAAAGACTGAAAAAGGATTGGAACGGGTTCTAGAGAAAGCCGACTGAAAATTGACTTCATTAAATAATAGTTGTCGAATCCGACTAAAGTCCCCACTCATGCTCGCTGCCTTCAAGCATAGAAACAAGGTGCTAGAACGACTTCTTCAGAAAGGATCAAGCTTCACAGAAGTAGACGAAAAACGAAGGAATGCGCTTTGGTACGCGGCAGCAGCGAAAAATTGGGAAGGATTCAGAACTTTGATCACTAGTCAGGTGTGTAAATATAAAGTGGCTACTAGCTGGATGCAATAAAGCTGGGTGTTTGGCGCCAGGAGGATTTTGATATTTGCGGAAACTTACGGTAGCGACTTTTATATGTTCCGGGAGGGCTGCTCGTTGATTCAGTAATTCAGGACTTACTGCGATCATTGCATAAATTATTCAAATTGGCATTATTTTATCAATTTTATTAGCAAAAACAGATGAACTAGTGGTTATTGGCAGACAGCTTTAGTTGTAGAAAAGCTTAATGATGTTCTCGTCCTGGAATGGCTTTCTGCAGATAGGGCAGAGCTTCTCAGGAAGAGTTGTCAAGCATTTGTGGCAAGATGGATGTCCGCACTGAAGCACGCATTGGAGTCTGTCTTCTCCATCGTATTTTTCAAAGCAGACGTTGCAGAAAAAACGGCGATCCTCTTGCTTTTCTTAATTTGTTATTTATAATTTCAAATTATTAATTCTTAATTTTTAATTATGTAAGATACCTTTATTCTGCAAAGAAATTGCTGCTTCGGAGAAGGATGCTGCTAGTTCATTTTCAATTTTCTCCCGGTTGGTATTTTTCTTAGTGTATTCAGCTGTCGCGTCATCAAATGCCTTTTTCGTTTCATCCATTTTTCTTTTAGCAGCTTTTTCTTCCTCCTTTGCGGTCTGTAAAAGATCCATTTGATTTTTCAATTTTTTGAATTCTTCTTGCTGGGCAATATCATCGGCAGAAATACTTGCATTCGCCTTGCGCATCGCAGCATTACAGCAACGTCGAAGAAGATGCTCACGAAATGATAGTCGCGAGTTGCAACTGTTCTCAGGGCATTTGAACACTGCGGTATGTACATAAGAACGAATGATTCTTTCGTTCGCTGAGCAAATTTCGCAGAAATAATCTCCGTAAGAACCGATCGAGATTCTTTCAGTGACTCTTGAATTATAAATTATAATATATTATTATAAATTATAATTTAAGATTAATCTCTTTAAGAAATCTTTTGAATATGTATAAATTAGTTTATTTTAAAAGATAATTAACAATTTCAAGTATCGCAACTAATTACCTTCTGCAAGCGCAGCAATTACCTCCGTTTCCCCAAGACACAACGAACTCTCTGTCAATAGACTCTTCCATTTCTATAGATTTTCCTCACTTTATTTTCTCAGTTCGAATTGCTCAATTCGTAATTTTTTTGTAAGTCACTTTCTAATTGGACATTTGCAATTTTCCATTTCGAGATTCGATCAAATGACGTCATCTTCATTAGGCAGACGCACAGATCCACCGAAAAGATTCCGTAAAGAAGCTGAGTCCTCTAGAACTTGTTCACCTCAGCAGCTGTCAGGCACCTCTCGAGGAAGGGAGTCCACATGGCGCCACATGTGTGTACTAAGTGACAAACAATCGTCCACTGGCTTTAATAATTTCTCGTAAATCCAGCCATAACTCCTCCATCCTGTCACATGTTCTGCTGACATTTGCTTTGCACCGGAAATGTACACTCCCGCTAAAGATTCTCAAACAACTAAAGGTGGACAATAACCAAAATGAAAGAACAGTAGTCGACGTCCAGAAGTTCAACGAAATTGGAAGACAAATACAAGACGAGCTGGCGTATTTGAAGAGATCAACTCAGAGGTCTACCTATCAGTTTCTCAAAAAGACTGATAGCTCAATCAATCCCTACGAGCCGAAGAAAGTCAAAACTGTCATTTTCTCAGGGTAAACTCACGTAACGAAGTTAATAAATTTACCACTTGATTGACATTTCGAATGGAAATCAAAGAGGACTAACGGTTCCTGTCTTCCGTAGCCTCCGTGGCTCCTCATAAAATACCGCAAAGACTCTTTTCTTCAATTATAAAGCTCTTGAAAATTTATCCGTTCCGCGCTGAACTTGCATTTTTAGCCGGAAGAAAAAACTTCGTCCGAAAACGTCTTATCGCTCTCTGGTAAGTTCTCATTAAACAACGGGCAATTACGATGACAGTGAACTGCTCAAATAATTGCCATTAGATATCTAATCTTATCACTAACAAATGTATATACAGTCGCCAGCTCCGTCAATTTCCCTTCTCCTGCCTCCGTATTTGATCGAATCTACCAATTCATTCGCTTCCAGCGGATCTACGACCTCCATTTCGTCCAAATTAAGCTTTGGTCAGAACTTTTGATTGTTGTTCATAGAAACGCGTTATAGTTTTTTTCGGTTAATGATCAAAAAATAAGAACAAGCACACGTGTCCGCAGCGCAAAAAGCGGTGACAGACCAGTGAGACCAGGCTCGACAGTTTCGAGTGGTCAGAGTTCGGAACTTCTCACTGAAGTTACGTCCATTTCGCGACTTTCAACAAGTTTACTCGGCAGTCAAAATCTCAATACTCAAAGGTCGCGGATTTTAAAACGCATTAAATCACGAAATTGACCACGGAAATTCAAATCATTAGACAAAATTCTCCTCGTTCGAATATAAAATCCTACGAAGACCTCGAAAGATTGCAGAAAAGGAGAATTGGCAGAAGATCCTGGAAGAATCTGCGTATTTCAAGCGGGACAGTTTCCGCCCAATAACTCGACTGGCAAAATATCAAGATCCTGCAGTTCTTGGCACGATTTCACAAGAAACTAAACGACTCTTATAAAAAAGCAATTGTGAAATGCTCTAAAAAGCCGCCGAAAAAATAGCCGCGCAAAAGAATCAAAGGAACCGCTCGCAATCCCTTTATGACAAAAAGCAGAGGTATTGGAATGCGTTTTTTTGTAATTTTTCGCTGGATTGGAAATTCCGCCGTAATGTCGCCAAATGATAATATTGTAATCATTTGGAAAAACTCTGAGATCAGTTGATTCTGGCTTATTGTTGATTCGAAAATTTGCACTCTTGATCCGACTTGATCCGGCCATACATTTGTCCTGCAAATGTCAGAAGCTTACAGTAGCAACTCTCACTCTATTTTTGGTAGTCCCAAAATAGAAACTTGCTTATTTTTTTTCCTCATTTTTTAACATTTTTCTCCCTTTGCGTAGTGTCCGTCGGGAGTCCGACAGTCATTCCGACAACTTGTCGCCAACTCAAAGTCCCAAAAAATAATCCCCTCCTTATTTCCTCAGGCCAAATTCCACAGCTAAATCGGCCAAACGACGACAATCGGAGACCCCGCGCTACATGTCAAACCTTTCTAACCAACCATCGACGCGGAGTTTTCCTCGGAGACGATCAAAAGTCTACTGAGACAAGTCCAATTTTTATTCCATCAAACTAAGCAATGCGAGCCATGTACAAAGCAAGGATAGATCAAAATCGATGAACGCGAAAAACAAGTTGAAAGCTGCCAAGACTTTGATGATGCTCAGAAGAACTAAAACCGTCCCTGTGCTACCTGTGTAAATTCTTTCTTTGGAAAAGAAAAAAATTATTATAGCGCCGTTATTCACACGTATTTTCTATAAATAAAACGCCACTCGAACATGTTACCCGTCATAAGACAAGCTAATAATAGTTACTTTATTTTTTATCCCTGTTTTTAGACTCCGATCCGAGGAACCTAGATGCTGACCTAGATATGTCAAAGATATTTATGCTTACGGCCCAAGCGAGTTTCTTCATAACGTTTCGTCGTGACAGAATTTTTCTAAAAGGGATTGTGAAATAAGCTCTAAGATGAAATTGGGCGGTATTTTTCAACTAGCGTTTGTTCAAATTGAAGCTCAGAGATCTGCGTGTCCTTCACTATACGATGGAACTCCTGAATCAGGTACGAGATCAACAGAGAAAAGATAAACTCGAATAAAAAGGTTGCTGGAAAGAGGAAAACGGCTCATGTAGGTTGGTCAATCCAAAATGCATCAATCTTCATTGCGGGACAGACAAAGTCTACGCTGCCATTTCTGATGATGTTTTCGCTGCGTACACATTTGAAACACAGGAGCTTTTGCCAGAGACATCTGACTCTTGCTCTGGAATTCAGCTGAGAGGAAAATATTTTCAGTACACTGCAGGCGTTAATAGCTGTGGAGCTTCTGTATCGCAGGGTTTCGATCCAGAGCGGGATGATTTAATTCAGAAAATATAAGAAATTATGCTTATTAAATGAAACATGTATCCATCCCACTTGTAGATTACAACGGCGACCTGATTTCTTTCACTCATCAAATATCCCTCCCTTCTAAAACATTCGACGGAATCTACCTCCTCCGACCCGAGGTCAAAATAGAATTCACTTGCCGCTACCCAATCCACGTCAACATCGACAGCGATCCCTTTGAAAGCGAACATTTCACCGCAAACGCGCATATAATTGGCGACGAAGTGCTGCGCACAGAAGTGAAACTAGAGATCGCGACTGATGTTGCCATGTCTGAAGTTGAGGAACTCAATAGCAATCCTGACGCTGCGGAGGCTTTGAAGAAGTTTATCCTCGACAATTGGCCAGAAGGATCTGGGCTTTAATCAACTTTATAAAAGAAAATAATAATAGTTTCTTGAGCCCTTTTAAGATCTTCAAAAACCTGTCGATATCATAATAGACTTCGTTGTCAAAGAATCTAATGCTGCCGAATTAAATTCACGAAAACGAAGAATGTCCGATCCCACTCAAATTCAAATTCAAAATACCGTTTACGCTGAGCTCTCAGTATTCGCATCTGTAACCTTTATCTTCGAAACTGAAACGAACGACCTTCCGGAAGTTTCAGATTCTGAAGAACCCGGCGTCATTACTACTTCGGCCGACCTCGCTGAGAAAACGGAAGAAGTCATCCAAACCCTTGTCACTGAGTCTCAAAAAGCTCCCCGAACAACTGGGTCACTCGATACAACGGCGGATATCATCTTCACTGGGATCGTTGTCGTTGCTGAGATCACGGAAGAAATCATCGGAACGACGAAAATAACGACCAAGGGAGATATTTCTGCAATTGGAAGCTGGGGAAAATCATTCAATCTCGATCTCATCGGCGCAATCAACGATAAATTCTACATGGGAGTGCCTGTTAGTGGAGTTCTTTCTAGCACCCTGAATATTCCTGACTTGAAGTTTTATATTGGTAATCTTTTTTTCAAAATGAAGATTGTTCATCTTTATTAAGACACTTGCAAATACTCATGCGGGGAAAAAGAAGGAGTCAATCTTATCGAAGGAAGCTGCTACTCATCAGTTTTGGGAGTTGAAAATATCAACCCGAACGGAACAAAGATCGTCGATGATGTATCTCAATTCAGGTAAAATTAAATTCATTTTCATAAATTTTCAAAATGAGTATTTTAAAAGGTTCAAGTCATTCTCCTTCACCGAGACTGCCGAGTCGACGTCTTGTACAATAATTTGCTCTGTAAACACCTGCCTTTCTAATAACTGCAATCCACCTCCATGCGAGGGCGGACTTCTTGGATACGAATAAACGATGATTTATTTTTCTTCTAAGATTTGTTTTTGAGTTTTATGAGTCCTTGTCGTTGTCGGAAAAGGCTGTTGTTTTTTCATGTCTGGCTCTTCCTTGATTTCGTTGTCTTTTTGGTAATAAAGATTGTAGCAGGCGCCAATGAGTAGCCAGCACTAAGAGTTCTTATTATGGGTGTTGGAAATATGGAAGCTATTCTTTACCTTGATCAAAAGAAGCCACAAAATAACATTGCCAAAAATATAGTTGTACTCGAAAAGAGTGCTTTGGCTTGAACAAGTTCTTAAAATAGAAAAACCTTCATAAAGCTGTGATAAAATATAAAAATAGATAATTTGAGAACTAAAGACAAGTAGGTCGAAGATTTACTTCCAGTTCATCCGATGGAATCTGGCAGTATTTGCCTGGCCAGAAGAATCGATTCTCAATATCATAATGTGAGGTCCAGCCACAGCACTTGAATTCTTCGTGAAAATGGTCGACAAACTTTAAAATCGGTATGTACTCAATAATTTCATTCAGAACCTACTCGACTTCTCAAGATAATTGTGTGATTAAAATTCGGAATAACAGGATCGCCTATAGTTGCATTATTACGATAATAATGAAGATTAGTTTGCTCGGTGTAGCCTTTGTACAGTGATTTGAGCCAAGGCTCGACATCAGGAGCCAATTTTTGCAGGAAAGTCATTAAAGTCAGTTCGGCGCTTATCATGGTCAAAATCCAGAGAACCTTCTTGTGTTCAAGACAAAATTTAAGGATTTTTTAAAAATAAAAAATAATGATCATGAACACATTCCAAAAGAACCAGATATTCCCTTCGGCAAGTTATAACAGAAAAATAGGACAGAGTGATGAATCCGACTAGTTGAAGGGTCGAAGCAAATATTACTAAACTGCCAGTTACGTGAGAGCCGTCCACGGTGTCGAAGAACTCCGGAGTTTCATATGCTTGAAGGTCTAGTTATTTCAATCGAATTTCCGAAAGGTACCTATTCTCTCCATGTAGTCCCGAAAGGTTATTACTTCCGAAAAGAGGGCCGTGGTTTTATACTTGACTCTGGAGATCGACGGCCCAGAAAGGTTTGTGACATTGAAGCAAGTCACAAAAACAAGCTGAGCGAAGATTGACAACGCAACGAGAGAAAGAAAGCCTTTTCCCCATTTTAATTTCAACCAATTTATCATCTCTCTTTTTTCGATCTGCGAGAAACGAGGAGCTGGCGAGATATTTAAACCCTGCATCAAAGTCAGTCGGTTTCCGCCTCAAAGATCACGAGTGTTCTTTTATCTCCGAGAACTTATGCTGGGGCAATTTTTTGTATATTTTATTTTTTACAGTAAAAACATACAGTTTTCAAGAAATCAATAAGGACGTGTTTTTGTAAATCATTTGATGGCTAGTAACTCATTCTTTTTTTTGTGAAAACATATTCTGATCATTATTGCGTTCTGTGTCATTCAGTGCGTTCCCCTAGCGACGCACTACGAGACGCTAACAGAAAAGCAGCGTGCCCAAACACATCTCTTTCACCTTCATTACTAAATTTACCCTTCGGAGCGGACTTCCTGAACGAAAGAGAGAAGGAACAACCGAGAGATGGGAGTGACTTACTACGGAGGAGAAAATGTGGACGATCTTGTGCCCCGCTCGTTGCCGCAAATTCACAAGAACAAGATCTACCACTCCAAACATAGGTGAGAGCGAAAATTGAATAGAAACTTCAATTACAGTATTTCTAAAAAGATGAATTAACACTGATCTTGTTCAAATTAGCCAGCAAGTGAAGGAAGAAAGATCGCGAGGAAAGCACGATTTGAGAACGATGGGTCACCTAAAGACGCCTTTGAACCCACCCAAAGATTTTCTTAAGAGTCGGGATCGCACTAGAACGCCAAAACCGAAAACTCCAACCTTCAAATACTCGGTTTGTCAACCGTTTGAATCTATCTTTTACTCTTTTTATTCAAGGATGAACGAAAACCGCCCGTTCCAAGAGCAACAGTTCAGCACACACCATCGCAGAATGATAAGAACTTTATCAAAGAGGTAGCTGTCTTCTATATATTTCTCCTCTGACAAGGTTTAGAATGCTATAAGCACTATAAGATCAACGGCAAAGCGACCTATTCCGAAGTTTGTAGACAGCCCTGGTGGACATTCGCAAGAGCTGATGCCATCTGGAATGTACCCTAAGGTAAGCATAATTTTTAACAATCTTTTGACAAACAGTGACCAACTTCTTTAGTACTCGCAGAAGGATGATTACGGCAGAACTCCAGAGTACATCAATCGGCGAAAGAAAGAAATGGCCGAGGCGCAGAAAGAGTACGACGCATACGTTCAGGTACCGATTGAAATCAAGGAGGAGAACCGAAAAATATCAAAATAAACAAAAACTTGCAACGTCCGGGAATCGAACCCGGGCCTCCCGCGTGGCAGGCGAGAATTCTACCACTGAACCAACGTTGCTTAGAGGAAGTTAAGACATATCAAGATATGAACCAATGTTTTAGGAACGCTTGGAGAGTGGGATGATGAAGAGAGTTCCCGACGCGGAGCGAACTAGAATTCTCGAGGGACTCAAGACCAACTGGAATCTCCTCCACCATCAGTATCAAGGACTCAGGTAATAAATCTGTGATGATAGAGGGCAATCCTGTTTCTAGCGTTATCACTGACACGATCCCAAAACGAAACCGCAAGGAGATGCTTGAGCGCGAGATGGACATTTTAGACAAAGACATCAAGCAGATTGAAGCTCATCCGATCCTATATATTTCCTAAGCTGCGTTAAAATCCCCATTTTGAATTAAAACGATTCATTTCTATTTTTCTAAACAATAAATAAACTAATTATATAGCCAACAAACCATAATTTATTGTTTTCGAGGAGATATCTTCCCACCAAGACAGCCAAATAGACTTTGAAGCGTTGAGACTGGTTGTCAATATTGGTAGAGTACCATAAATCCACCCGGTTGGCATGTGAACCTATAGAACTTGCAAAGAAAAACTGAACCAATCGGCTTGTTTAACTTTCCAGGGTAAGCCAATCATGTGTCTTTGAAAATAAGACTCTCAGCAAAACCCTCCCCCGTGAAAAGCGTAAAGGAAAGTCAAAAGTTTTTTTTTTCAACAAAAGCGTAATAGCTCAACCACCAAGATAGCAGAGAAAAAGCGGCCAAAACATAAAAATGACGGAGCTTGAGGATGTCATCTCCATTCCAGAGATAAGTGAGAAGATCATCGAACGCCTTACAGACAAGAAGTTACTGGAACTTCATTCAGGTAGAGCTTATTAAACTTGCCTAAAATAAATCCCGTTTTTTATCAACTACAATCGTTTTTAAACTTCGATAAAATAAAAGCTTAATTTACTTCAGACAATTTCTGGCAAGCGTTCAATTTTATTCGTCCATCATTCTGGCGCAAACGAGCGTACCACAATTATCCGAACTCTGAACTTCTTTATAAACTCCTCCTTGATTTCAAGATCGCTTCATTCAACGACTACTGTACATTTATCAAAGCGTACCAAAAAGTCAGAAGCTTCAAATCAAACCTCATTCTGGAGACGTTTGAGACGGAGAAACGAGCGGATGGACCTGGAACCGCACCAATTTCTCAGAAATCGTTTCATTGATTACAAAAAAGCAATTACGTTAATTAATCAAAAACGAATAAAAGGATAGAACGAGACTAAGCTCGAGCTTCAGATCATGTTGTCCAGTATCATCGGATATTGTCACGTTGACAAATCTAAGAACCTCTGAGGAAATTTCGGTTCCGACGAAACATTCAAAAATCGCATTTATCAGGGATCAGATGATTGCCTACGATCCTCATCAGCATACGATCAACAGTAGCCATTTTATCAGCCTATATGATAAAGAGTTCAATATTCGTGATGCGATTTTCCCCGCCGAGAGCGTCTTTTCCTTGACAATTTTCCCAACGAACAATCCGGACAAATTACTCGTGACAACGACGAATCCTGGCGACGAAGATGATTCTACCATTGTCGAGATTTTCTTTCTTTCAATCGACAAAGCTGGGCAGAAACTCAAGCTCAAGTCTGTTTTCAAAGAAAGATTCGATTTGACAGTCTTCACCGCGTATTACGCTCAGGATGAAAAGATCATGTGCTTTTGTAAGTAAAGTGTTTAATCTTTCTTTGAAAGCTTTGGACGTCAGCGCTTTTCGTCAAATTTTTATTTATGAGCTTGTCAGATTTAAATCACTTAGAATTTCCCACGTCAATTGCATTTCTGACAGCGGAAGCGCGCCCCATTGACCGAGATCACCAAAGCTGAATTCCTAAAAATTAGCCTAAATTCTAGCGCACCGTTTCGACTCGAACGACTGGGATGTCTCCATCATCGACAGTTCTACATCGACAGCGACGGTCATCGAGCACTCGGTTTTCCAGAACTTGAAGCCTCTTGGGTCCGATTTACTGAATGATGGGTTTGCTTGCTGGCCACCTGTTCAAATGACAACTTCTCAGTTACGGCTCACAAGTCATATTTTGAACTCGAAAATGAACACAACTTGATGAACCGAGCGAAGTGTCCCGTATTTATCGGTGCGTTTGGAGTCAAGATGAAATTTCGTAGTTACCACTCCGGAACTCAAATCATGAAGCGTTGTCGCTCTGCTGCTTTTTGCGTTATGAATACTTCCACTGTAGGTTGACCTCACATTTTCGTTCCGTGAGCAGTTTTGTTTTAGATACGATTTCGAAAATTCCATATTCCGATGGATCCATATTTTGACCTTTTCGTCCACGATGGTTTCATTCAAGCGCTTCCTCATACAACTGATCGGAGAAAACGCACTTTCGGGCGATTCTTCAAACTCGTAGAAACCGAGGGTGATTTTGAAGTTGTCGAGATCCCGATTGCTGATTCTTTGGACTCATTTTACCCGGACGATATTTCACGCGTCGGTTTTTCTATAAACGGAACTTCAAACGAGGATTCGATTTACTTGACTCTCAGAACATGGCCTCAAAGATCCGCAGCTGATAACTCAGGTTTGATAAAGATCAAAGGCTCTTTTGTACCTTTGGGTACTTAAATAGCTATTAGCAGCGCCATCTTCTGTTAAAATTTTATGGCATTATAAGCTCTGATTTTTGTGCACTTTAACAAAAAATCCACTTATAAAATGAAATCTCAATGCAGTTTTTCATTAGTTAAATTCCGCCTTCTGCACTACCAATTCACTCCAAAGTACGAATGAGCACGAGAAGAGATCCTTCAATTCGAAAAATATTCTGATTTTATTCCTACTTCAATAAATATTCTGTCCGATTCTAAACTGTGTCATCCATCAAAAAAGAACGAGCAAATCTTGAGTGAAAATTACTAAGTCATTAGACTAATAACTCCTGTCACTGAAAAAAACCTGTCCAGGAAATTAGAAGAATGTCAGACGCTCCATTGAAGTGGTCTTATTTACGTAATCACTCGCGTGACCCCAAAAAGGTCATCCTGACCTCAAGATGGCTCAGCAACGCGGCTCCGCTCACAAAAACTCTTTCATTAGCAAAAACACTAGAATCAAGATAAGAGCGTTAATTTTAATCAGAGATACATCTGCCTAAGAAAAAAAAAATCACATGTTGTGGAAAAAGTTATCAATCTTCTTGCCCAGCCTGGCTCGTTGTTGGGATTTCTCCGTGGCGGTCTACGGTGGTCGAAAGAATCTGACAGAAGCTTATGTAATCAACCCGATAGAGGGAACTACCGACGCCCTTGGAGATGAGCATTTGTTACCTGGCCTCGGGCGAGTGTACCACACGATAGAAGTGTTGAATAATGTCACTTATCTGATAGGAGGACAAGAACCTTCTGGTAATCAAACTGGAATGGAACCAAGTGATCTTGTCTTCTCAAAAACCGCTAAAAACTCCCCTTGGGAGCTTTTGCCAAACTCGAAAATGTCATTTCCGCGAGCTCGTATGGCGAGTACGATTTTCAACGGCCGCATTTGGGCATGTGGTGGTCGAGGTGGAGCTGCTTTCGAGTCGCTCACCGTTTGTGAAAGGAACGGATTTCTGCGGTCGTCTCTTTGCCGAACGTGACGTGATAATCCAGTAACCGTTTAACAGTGTTACGGACGTACTTGAAAGACTCGTAAGACTACAAGTCGTGGTTAGGCGCCCAGTTTGATTTGCGCGAATTTTAGTTCACTTTGGACATTTGACAGACAGCCTGATTCAAATAATTTCGTCGCGAAAAAATAATTTTCGTTTGATATTATCAAAGGCTTTCAAAGCTGAAATAATAAGAAATGATATTTATGCATCAACTAACGTAGCATCCGTTCAAAGTTTCAACGGAACACATTGGTTTAGAGAAGCGAGCCTTTTCGGTGGAATAGGAGTGCCTGCCTCACAACAAGGTCTGTTGATCAAATTAGCTCTTATGTTTGATATCCTTTCTTAACGAAATTACTTCTCAAAACAACAGAGTACCAAAATATTAAAACGACGATTATAACGTTTTCCAAAACGTTTTTTCCTTTCTTTCAAATCTTTCAATCACTTACTCGTTTTTCAGGTCGCGACAGATTCACAATATCGACCACCTCGGAAGGGATGATCGCGATTGGTGGCCACAACTCGTTCTTGGGCGAGCCGCAAAAGTCCACTGAAATCTACCAAGGTGGCGAATGGAGCCCCGGTCCGACGCTTCCTGAAGCGCGCTACGGCCACCAAACAGTAGTTTACAAAGACGCCGTTTTCGTCTTCGGCGGTTTGGTGGAAAATAGAGCGGCGATTCTGAAGCTGGACAACTTCCAAAGCTACTGGTCGCCTGTCGGCCGGATGGTCAATCCGGTTAGACTCAAGTTTAATGCGATTTTGAAAGGGCCTGAAGTATTTATCTATGGTGGCAAATGCGAGAGGATTGGAAAGCGCAAATTTCGCAAACAGGTTAAAATTCGCTAATAATTGTGTTTTCAATAAATAAATTTTTTAATAAAAAATAATAGTTAAAAAATAAAAATTATTTAAATAAATTAATTATTAGTAATAATAGTTTATTCTATTAAAATTATTTCAATCATTATTAAATCAATTATTTAATAAATAATGATAAGATTTTCTCGCAATATTAAATTTCTGTATTTTAGGAAACGTACGATGTTTGCGATCCCCAAGTGGAAATATTCAGCCTCGCCAGTTACCGTTCGAAGGAAAAAGTTTAGAAAATCGTAAACAGGACTAGTGCCATACGGGTCGCGTTTAATGTTCAAAAAGCCGCCAAAATCCAAACTTAGCAATATTTTCACTATCATCTGTTATGATAAGCAACATGGAGGGCGAATAATTTGTTTAGCGTGTAATTACGGGCTCGGCAGGAGACGACGGAGAATTGTAGTTTAATTGTTGGCAGTTTCTTTTGCTCTTTTTAGAGTTTTGCGACTGATGATTAATTTGATTATTGAAAAGGACTTTCTTTATTTTCATCATTATCAAAATTTCATAATCAGCAGAAAAAACGTTTTGCTCGAAGCAAATTAACTCGAAGAACCCAATTTTTTTGGATGCTTTTTGAAATGAACCTATTATTGTCGTGGAAAAAACATATTCATAGAAAAATTCCTGCATGTTAGTAAATTTGACTCATGCACTTAAGAATTCTAGTGGCATCATTGTTGATGTTCGTTGAACATTGAAAAACATAGAGAAATAACTTTTGATCAGGCAGTTGATTTTGATTTTCCTGGGAATTCTGACGCTCAAGCAATTTTATACGAAAAAATTGAAGCTACAGGAGTTGAAGAAAAGCCTCAACCAGCCGCGGTTGTTGATGTTCTCGCGGACACAAACGGTGAACCCGACAATAACAAGACAAGAAATACTTTGGGAAATGACGACGAGGACGAAGCGATGAAATCGGATGATCAAAAGGTGTCTGAGCCTGTGGAGTTGCTGCTGGATTTTGTTGAACAGAAAGGTTCGAAAAAGAGTCGAAAACGACGTGTTCCTTTACGAAAATAGAATATTGAATTCTCGGGATTTTAAACTTAGATTTCTTTTATTAGAAATTACTTTCAATAACCATACGTTTCTTTTTGAGCTAAAAATAATCAAATCATTTAGACAATCGAAAAGACGGTGAGTTCGAAGAAATCGAAGAATTCGAGGAAATTGAAGTTTTTCCAAATTACTCGGAAGAAGAGTACGAAAGTGAAGAGTACGAAATCAGCATTCCCTCGCTCTTGCCGAGTTTCAGCTTGCCGAAAGGAAACCTAGAAGATCTTCTGAGCATCAGAAAACGGCCAAATTTGCCGTTTTTGTTTGAAGAGCAACCGGTCGAGGAGGAAAAGGAGCGTAAAACGGTCTCTGAGGTAAGTAAACTTGAAAAATCTGAGTTTTCAGGAGTCGGAAATTTTCAAACAAGAACAAGTGTCGGAACTGGAATCTCTTGCTGGAGTTGTAATAGGAAAAGGGTTGGCGTTTATATAATTTTGAGTTATTTACATTTTTGAGTCGATATAATTGGGTTCTAAAAAGCGTCAAGTTATTTTAAAAGGGCGTTTTTGACGCAAACGCTCATGCAAAAATATAAATTCTTCTAGTGTATGCTTGGGTTGCGTTTTTTTTTGAAACAAGCATTTGAGACATGAAGTTTCTAATTCAATTTCGCGGTGTTAAAGTGAGCTAATCGACGACTCCTCGAGTTGGAAATTTATTGCTTTTGGGGAAAACAGGATATTTCTAGGGTACCGCTTACCGGATTTGGTCGTTTCTTGAATTCTTTATTAGTTTTTATCGGCCATTTTTTCATAAAGATTTTCTTCTTTTTGTTAATAAAACTGCTAAAAATAAATAAAGTGGCTGTTTTTGGCTTTCAGACTTACTTTTTCGTTTAACTGGTTTATGGACAGCAATTCGGGAAATCATTAAAAATCAGAATCGGAATTATTTTTTCATGACTAAAAACCCTTGTAAAGCGCAGATCCATCAACGTGCGCATCATCCTTCACGACGTGCGCCCCCGGAGAAGTCTGCTATCTTCGCGTAGAAATGTACGACCGAGTGACTACCAGGGTAAGAATTGACCGAGAATTCTAACATTTTGTTATGATTTTAGATTTCTGCTGGTTGCGCAGCGTCGGACGCCTGCGAGACTCAGAAGGCTCAGAACTTCCGCTTCAATCTGCCGCAAACTCTTTCTCGGTTGAACCAGTGCCGTCCGCTCACTCCGTATGTTGCTTCTGTTTGTCGACAGTGCTGTGCGACGGCGAATTGTAATAGCAACATTCCCTCGGATCTGAATGGATGGCTCTAACGAATGAAACTGTTGATGAAGAATAATGAAAGAAAATATTCGAAATTGAAAAACATCATTCCCTTTCTTTGTACATAAATAAAAAGAAGGCTCCGTTCAATTTCTGCGAACATTGCATATTGTTCCCGAGTTGTTGACAAGCCGAACAAATCGTTAACATCGTAGAAGTTAATCGCAGTTTCTCATTTTTGTTGACGGTTTCCGCCGCGCGCAGGAACCAAAAAAAAAATGGTGGCGCTGCTCAATTCGCTCCGCCGCCGCAGTTTCCCGCCGCGTTTGATACAAAAACTAGAATCTTATTCTTATCGATTTTCAGCACGAAAGCTTCTTTAGCGGCTTGAGAGAGAAAAAGACTTTACTTCTTCAACAGAACAATATAAATATAAACAAAATGTTTTTGAAAAAAGCTCTCTTCACTGCTGGATTTGCTGCTGCTGCTACAGATAGTGTCACCTTTGGAATTACACTCGGTATGATCTTGAAGCTAATTCAAAAGAAAAAAAAATCTGTTGGTTCCGGGCACCTCCCCTTAATTTTCTTGTCAAATATTTTAAGGTCTCAAATAATTTCGAAAATTATATTTGACCAAATTTCAACAGATTCTTTCTAAATTAGCATCCCTGCCAGAAAGATATGAGATCCATCCGCCGCAAGTAAACAAAATGTAATTTAATTTTACTTGCTTTTTACTTGCCACGTGGGAGTATTTAAAAGACTTGCCAAACCGTTTAAATTTGACCGTTAAATATTTTTAAGCGAGATTAGCGGACTCATGACCTTCTTTTAACACCCTTCCGAGAAATAGGATTATGATCTTGAAAACCAAAAAGTAGGATTTCTACGTCGATAAAATACAGCACCTATCTTTCGACTTATTATTTCGATTATCATTTAATTGTTCCCAGAGTAATAATTGAGATGAAACACTCAAGAATGAAGCAATTGGCAATTGCGGGTAATCCCACTGCCATGGGAAGTTTAAAGTAATTGTCGATAAAATTGGTCAATTTATCTGAATTTTGACATTGAATTTTCGTCTTCTGGTCCGAGTTAAATTAAATTTTAGACGGACACACACCTCTTTGCTTGAAATATCAGCCACCAAACGAGGCCTTCGATTTCGACGACTCATTCCTGGTGCCACTTCTTTACGAAGATCGATCCTCGCTCTCCTTGTTCGCTAATATTCAGATGGATGAAGATGAAGAAAATCTTTCTGTCAACCAAGGAATGGCTCGCCGAGCTGTTATTTGCGCGTTAGAAAAGTACTTTCATTCTTCGTGAATTCTAGTGTCATTGAACTGACGTGCAAGGGCTAATAGGTTAAATTAGAAAATTCATGCTTTCGAAGCCGGATGACATAAAGAGCAGGCTCTAAATTAACAAAAAGAAGCCCATAATTTATCACTGAATATGAAATGGCCCGAAATTTGAATAATTTCGTATAATTGCGGCCGGCGACCCTGTCAAAGTTCTCTTCTATTCACCTTCTGGTCACGTGTTCGACCTTTCTCTTGAAGACCTCAAGATCCCAGAAGGTAATTTACATCTTTCAACATGGCTTCAAAATTCTATTCAATTTTAAGGTGGATCTGAACGAAAAGACGGCAAGCTCGATTTCGACGGTCTCATTGCCGACATCAACACCAACCGAAACCTCTACATCTTCAAAACAGGTACAAAGCCATAACTCCCGTCTAAAACAATTTTACGTTCTAGTTATCCCAAAATATAAAAACATGCTCACTTAATTAGGATCTAGGGTAGTTTATTATTGCTCACAACTCATGAAAAGTGAGTTCTCATGTAATTTCATTAGACGAATGAGATAAAACTTGATATTTTTTAAAAAACAGAAGGTTAAAAATCGAATGAAAATAAACGATCAATTTTTTTTTGTGAAATTTCAATATGAAGGAAAATTTAAGGAGCTATCTAAAATAAAATGAATTTGAATGCAAGTCCCTTTCCCTTCAAAAAGCTAGTGAATAAGCCCTTTATTCAAAATTGATTCAATAATCCAGCGGTCGATGAATGCAGCTGAATCGGATCACTCTGTCCATTCTGATGTGATTTTTCGTCATGAGCCAGTTTTCGACTTTTCAGTTGAATATTTCAATTTGCACATATTCCAAATCTAATAAAATTGACACTTTTTTTCAGAAACTGGCCTGGTAACCCGCGTGCAACACTTCGGCGAAGACGGCTACCACGTGCAAATTGCGCTGGACAAGCTCGACGACAAGGTTCGTCACCTAATCTTTCGGATTTCAGCGGCTTAGTCAAGACTTTCCGAGAGTATTTCGAGTGCATCACAAAACACGAATTCTCTTCTTTATCACGTTTTTTCATCTGCTATTTTAGGTGCGCGGACTTTTCGGAAACTTCCACGCCGGAACGACATACAAAGTCAAGGCTGAGGCAAAGAACGGAAAGAAGCACAAAAACGGTGAATTCGCTACTGTCACTATCAACAATGAAGATTCTTCAGAAGGAACTGGTTCCATTTTATCATTTCTTAAGAAGCTCTCTAAGGGGCGTTTTACTATTTCGGCGGAGATGCTAGAAAAAATATAGGCATGTTTGAACCAGTGTCAGATTTCTCTGCTGTATACGACGACAACAAGGCTTGCTGGATGATCGAAGACAGTCACTCGGACATTCTTCTCCCGGCCTCAGAAGCTAACCTCATGCTCTGAGAGGGATGAATCACAATTTGAACAAATACTATATAGCCACTGTGTCCTGGTGCAGCCCGACTGACAAAGAACAATCTTTGCCAAACTAAACAATTCTTTTTTTCTTCTTGACTGTAAATACCTTTTTAAAAACGACATGGCTTCTGCAAATCAGAAGCTAATAAAGAACACAATGATAAAAAATTTGACTTTGTTCGGATTTACTTTCCCATGTTGGTTGGACATATTGTTATCTCGGATTAGCCATTCAATTGGAAAATCAAGGGCGGAAGCTGAGCTCTATAAAAAGAACGGATGTCGAGCCAACTCACGAGAGTGAAAAATGAGGATCTTAAAGATTTTTCTAGTGTTTAATTTGTAAGTTCTATTGCTTGCCAATCAGTATTCTCAGTGATATTCTAGCGCAAATGCGTTTACTTTGATGGACCCATTGGTCGACTTCGCAGTCGCAAAAATATGGGACACCATGGTCAAGCGCGTCATAGACACAGCTGGACAATCTACTGCATTTACGAACTACTTGTGGATGAATTTGACATCGACTGAGATTCGTGACATTATCCAAAATATTGACGTTGATGCTGTCCGCGATGGTGGTTTGACAGTTGATGATTTTGTTGCGATTTTTGATGTTAACCCTGATCTTGCCGCGTTTGACCTTACGGAGGGCTTTAACCACACGGGTCGGATTCGGTTGTAGAGGTGCTCGGACAGAGGGTTCTATTAAAATTAAGAAAACTACACTTTCTGTCGAAACCGGTTGAGTTTTATTCTTAGTTGTATTACTGTAACATCATATTTTATGGTTCATCTATGTATGGTAAAGCTTGATAAAAGGGTAGAAGGCAATGACATCGTGACCGCCATTGGTGCTAATGATGCTACTTGGAATGCTCTCCTAGAAGCTGCAGAGGTTCAAACTATATCTTTTTTGTGTTTATATTTATGAAATTTAGCTCTTACAAGAAATTTACTACGGCGAGATTGATGCATACAAATTCATAGGGATTTTCTCGGATGGTTTCGATGCACTTAGCTCGATCAAAAACAGCAATGACGCTTCACTTAATTCTGTCACTACTGCCGATCAGATTCTTCACTGGACCTTCATTTTTGCAGAAAAGGCCGCGTTTGCGTACGAAAAACATGAATGTAATTAGAAGACGGGTATAAAATTGCTGTACCGATAACGCTCGTCAATTAAGACTATTACGACACGATGATGTACTACGTGGGAATGCTTCAATTTCACCTCGAGAACTCGTACCAAGGAAAAATAGAAGACTTTTGTGACGCCTATCCGGAGGAAATCGACATTTTTGGAATCGCGCGGGATATAGTCTTCTTCCTACAGGTGAATTCTTTTCAAAAATAATGCGCTCAAAAAATTTGAACAGGTGCAAATTCTACCGACTCTCAATTCAATGGATTTACTGGCATTTGATGCTTGGAATCATTTTGTTGAAAACATCCCAGGTTTCTTATCTTAAATCTTATTATTTATAACGAATTCATAGTTTTGGAGAACTACGAGGTTCCAAAAGATTGGGCTTCGATCGGGTACACAACTGCTAATTACTACCTAAATGGAATAGATGGTAGCCTTGAGGAGCTCGAGATTATAAGCAACGCTGGATTCCTCTTTGCTGGTCGATCATTGGCGTCTTTTGCTACTGAAACAGTGCAGGACTTTATCTGCTACTAAATGCTTTTCTGACGATCCTTTAAATAAATCAAACGCAATTTTATTCAGGCGATTATCTTTCTATTTAATTTAACTTTACATATTTCCAGGCAAAGGCAAGTTCTTATTGCACAGTAATTATATGCTGCTCTCTGTTATTCTCCGGCCTATAAGATACTGCAGTTTGATACTGCATTCCCACATCGCATTCGTCCCTCTTTGCTCTCGCGAAACAGCCTGTTTTGTACATTACAGTTGCAATCACAGCTAGTAGTAATAATCCAGTGACCACAGCAAAGACTATCCAAAGAATGGGCAGCGAATCATAGAGAGCAACAGGCATTAAAACTGTGAATTCGATTGTTGATGTCTCAGAAAGAAAGATGTTGGTTTCTTCATACGGACCGCGATTTACTTCAAATGTGAATTCAGGAATAAACTTTGAGCTCGTATTCAGCATGCTGAAAATCTCGTCGTTGATTTCAGCTTTTCCAGGTTTTTTTATTTAAATTCAATAATAGCTTTAATTAGATTCAAAACCTTTCCTTCAAGAACAAGATTTAAAATATCATTCTTTCTCATCAACTCATCATCAGTGGAGCACGAGATCTCAACGCATCTGGCGCTTGAATTTCTTGTGGAGCAGTCGAACATTGCAAAATCGTCGATCTTCGCGAGGTTGAAATCATCGTTTCTATCGAAAGGAGATCCATCACTCACGATTGATGGAACATCGCATATTATTTTTTGCATCATAATGTTGTCCTAAAATTATACTACTAGCTAGATATTATGTTGGCATTAGTACCTGCTCGAGTGAAAGTTCAGCGTTGATGTTCCTCAAAATCATCCGACCCCCTTTCGTCCATTTGGGAAAATTAACTTTGATTGATCCATCTACAGTGCTGGGCCCTTTGTTCTCAACAGAAAACTCCCATCTTATGGGTCCATAATCTTTTTCGAAAGTAATGAAAGGGGGCACCACCTGTAGCTCATCTTGGAATCGCGTTTGAATTTGATGCGGTAATGACAATGTTCTCATTTCTGATTTAGCTGGAAAATCATTTGTTGAATTCGCCCAGAAATTCACATCCGTGCTCGCTTTTTTGAAGTCAGGATCAACATCGAAACGAAATTTCAAGCGATAGAGGTCGGGGCGAGCAGGATTTCCAATAAGACAGCTTTTCAGATGTTTCTCTAAAGCGAAAATAGGACAGATAGAGTCTTCTTACACTTACCTATTTGGCGGCAAGGAATCGTTTTTTGGTCACTAGCTCCATAGAGAAGCATCGCTACATTTAGTTTGCTCGTCGTATTGACAAAAATATATGTCCCGAATGCATTTTCTCCTCTGACTTCAAGCATCGTTGTTGCCTCCACTATGTTTTCAGCACCGTAGACGACATTTTCCGTCGTTGACTCAATTTTGCTGAGCGAAAGTTCGCTTTTACAAATGTTGTCGGATCCACATTCCTTGTTGAAAGCCACGGTCCCCGATAAATTCACTCCTGAAAACTGCATCAGGCAACATGAATTTCAATTGCGTTACCGGAATTCGGGTCGAGGGCAATTTCTTCTTGACCTTCGGACAGACTCGCTATAACATTCACAGGCAAGTCATGTTGATGGTCTAGCCACAGACTACGTTTAATGTCAAACTGTACTTCTTGACAATATGGTCGTCCATTTTCAAGAGAAAGACCAGAGAAGTAAACTTTTGGATTTTCAACTCTTGTTTGATCATGCTCGCAAACAACATTGATCCGAATCTTGTTGGAACCAAAGGAAGTGAATTGAAAGCAAAATTCGTAGGAGACCGAATAGTCGTTTTGCTCAATAGGTCTGTCAGGAAATTTTCGAAAATACGAGGTAAGCTTCAACGGAGTTCGCAAGGCCATGATATCGACATAATCTTTCTTCGGCGCGGACACCACAAGCTGGCGATTTCTGAGGCCCATTGCAAATCCATACCAATTTAAGTTGTCTTCCGATTTTATAATCTGGCTTGGTTCTTCTCTTAGACCTCCAGAGTGGCCATTATAGACGGAAATCGTCGCTTCCTCGCCATAAGGCGCCGCAATCAGCAAATCATCATATCCATCTAAACCCCCAATAAAATCACCATAAAAACCTTAATCTCACCCATGTCAATATCATAAACAGCAAGCGAGCTTCCGAATCGCGCATTCGGAGTATTTCCTTTCAAAATGATAGAATCATCGAAGAGCCCTTCTCCTCTATGATTTCTAAAAACGGTCACACGACCCAGGTCAGTTTTTCCGTCTTCAAACCAATAAGGAGAGATGATTTCAAAAAACTTTTTGCGCGGCCGGAAATCATGAAAAAAGTGCTAGTGCAGTTTTGTCAGGCTCGTCGAGACGAGTCGATTGGTATAGGTCACTCTTGAAAATTTTAAAGATTTACCGGTTAACCGGTTGATTACCGGAAATCACGTTGTCAGCTCCCGTTTTTGTTCTAGTCGTCGGATTTTCATGTTTGAAGCGTCAAAATGATCCTTATGATCAGGGCTTCTCTAGCCTCCGAGATGAGCCCCATATCTCATTTCCTGCCGAGCTTATCACTAAAAGTTTGAATTTTACGCACTTTTTTCACTTTGAAAGTCCATAACGTAAAATTTTTATGGTAAATACTAATAAACTTCTGCGGTTTTGATAGACAATTGAAAATTAATAATACCCACCGTTCAAAACCTTGTAACCAGCCGGTTAAAAAGCGCTGAATCAAAATTATGCCCTCAAAAACCACTTTTTTGATTATATTTTTCTCCTCAAAGATCGGAACTAGAATCGCGACCTTTTTGCGCAAAATCAATGCTATTTCTTTTAAAAGAGGATTTTTTGGAGAATAAAGGGGTCTATTTTAATTTTGGATTCCATAACTGGAACTTCTTGTATCGCCTTTTCCACTGCTCGCTTTTTTCTCAGGTTGACCAAGTTTGATTCTTGTAGACATTTGATGCCTTCTAGGACATTTAAGATGTTTTGTTGAGCCCCCGAATGAGCAGATCTCTTCTTGGAAAACTCGGCTTTGAGGAAACTCCAGTAAATTTCGAATTTTTTCTCTTCGCTTTCAGCTCGGACGAGTTGGTAGACCATTGAATGCAGCTCATGTTCTCAGTCCTTTTCTGTCATGTTTCGTTGACAAAAATCATGTTTGCACATGATGAATCTTAAATGCACGATTTTAAGAACCCTAATTCGTCAGAAGACTCCGCTAGCTCTGTGGCAAGTTATGAAACATGTCACAGTGACCTCCTGAAGCCCAAGAAGTGCTCCATATCGGAACGCCCGAAGAGGACAAGCCCAAGACTAAATTTATGATTGGCTCATTGCCGACGCAAGATAGCTCAGCTACGATTGTAAGAAGCTATGTATGGGTTTAAGTTCAATTATAATAAAAATTCAGGCTAAAATTAAATATAATCAAAAAAGTGGTTTTTGAGGGCATAATTTTGATTCAGCGCTTTTTAACCGGCTGGTTACAAGGTTTTGAACGGTGGGTATTATTAATTTTCAATTGTCTATCAAAACCGCAGAAGTTTATTAGTATTTACCATAAAAATTTTACGTTATGGACTTTCAAAGTGAAAAAAGTGCGTAAAATTCAAACTTTTAGTGATAAGCTCGGCAGGAAATGAGATATGGGGCTCATCTCGGAGGCTAGAGAAGCCCTGATCATAAGGATCATTTTGACGCTTCAAACATGAAAATCCGACGACTAGAACAAAAACGGGAGCTGACAACGTGATTTCCGGTAATCAACCGGTTAACCGGTAAATCCTTAAAATTTTCAAGAGTGACCTATACCAATCGACTCGTCTCGACGAGCCTGACAAAACTGCACTAGCACTTTTTTCATGATTTCCGGCCGCGCAAAAAGTTTTTTGAAATCATCAGAGCCAACAACGAGATCTTCACCACCATTTTTCATGCCGAAAACGCCGCTTGCCAAACTTGTTCCAAAACCTTCACCTACTTTCGCATCGATTGGTTGAACAGACCAAAGTGGGTACTTTGATAATTTCTGAATCGCCTTGCTTCGAACTTCATAAAACAAAACCCTTCCAGTGAGCTCATAATTTCGCATTCTTGACGGTGCTCCAACGACGAATCCAAACTCAAATCGCGCCAAAGCGCTTCCTTCATAAGTTTGATCATAATTTCTCCAAAGCAATTTTTTCTTCATCGAAATATCGATGTTGGCATGGTCTGGGAGCAATGTTGACCAGAGCCGGGAAATGTCGCGCTGCATGTCGGATTCTGACGCCGTGGAGACATTTGAAAACGAGCTGCCGCTCGGGTAGATGAGAGTTGAACTGCCGATGCCATGTGATCGTATTGGCTACAAAGGGCTTCATAAATCCGAAAGAATGAAAGTTTCTTCACCCCAATCATAAATCTAAAGCCATTTCCTGACCAACAATAGCTGTCTCGTCAAATGCCTCCCCAACTGCAGCAAAGCCAAATCCGAAAGCGCAGTCAATCGCCGGACTATTGTATTTATTATTAGAAGCACACTCTGGCTCGACGACTTCCGATTCCTCGATTCCCCTTTTTATATAACATCGCCCAGTCATCTTGAATTGAATCTGGTCGTACTTGGGAAATCGCTGTTCTAAGCATTGTCGGTTGCCTTCCTGATTTGAGTTATAAAAAGCGCATGTTGGCTTTTATCTTTAGATCAATAACTCGGGCCTGATTTGAGTCCACCCAGCTGCGACAGTACATGGGGGTCTGTTGCCTCGGCTGGCAGACGATATATTTATTGCTCGATATCCAGCTTATCGCGGCGCCGTACATACTTCCCCGGCTTCCGTCAAGCTTTCCCGAGTTGTCTTTCGCGCATTGATGATTACAAATGAAGCTAGAGCCGATGCCATCATCATTTGGTGCCCCTATGATCAAGCCGTCAGCACCGTCTTTTGTAGCTAGTGCATAGCCAAATAAAGACTAAAATAAAGCGTAAAAACAGGATAATTTCAATTTACTTACCCCAGGGGCACCTTGATGCGTCGTTACGACATTTCCCACGTTAAACGCTTCACAACTTCTTTCAGCAAAGATCGCAAGTAGCCAAAGAGCTCTTTTCTTCATTTTTTTCTCTTTTTTCGTTATGTATAAATTTCGTTGTTCAAAATTTTTTGGCTAAGAAATTTTCTCTTTCCATTTTCTTCTCGATGGCTGACAGGTTGTGATTATCTTTTTCTCTTCTCTTGAATGGTGATTCAAGAGGATTAACGTCAATCGTTTGGCTCGAGCTTCGGGTCAAGCTGCACAAGGGATGAAATAAAACGAGAAATAAAAAAAGCAACTCACTGCCTATTCAAAAAATGTGACTAGCTAAGTTCTTGATACCGCCAAACGCTGATTAGTTTTATTTTCACATGAGAAGGACCATTAAAATCAGAACTCAAGCAAACATTTGTTTGTACTTGATTTTATGCGATTGTAAATTTATGATCAACATAAAAGAAGGCTTAAACTTTTATGTTGAGCATTTTTATGATCTTTTTTATAATAAAAAAGCTGTTACTATCCCTTTTCTTCTGAATTTCTCTCTTAGCAAGTAGCAAAAAATCTCAGGAATGACTTTTCACAGCTAAAGTCGGCGACTTTTGAAAAACAAAAGAAGAAGCAAGCGAAACAGCAGAAGCTCGTTACCCATAATTAAAAAGTGGTGATTGCATTACGGCCGCGGGAGGGCATTAAAAGCTTTTCAAATTAGAATTATTGATGCATCCAGGATTCCTAGACAGACTCTGAAATATGTTTTTCTCAAACCTCTCAATCGATGAATTTCAAAGTCAAAAGACGATATTTTCTCGATGAAAGACTAGCTTGAATTATTGCATGGCGCTTCGGCAATAAACTAGTTCCGCTTTCTGTGACATCCCGCACGTGACAAACTATTTCTAAAAAGGAGCAGTGCTAGAATCATAAATCATAAAAGCACTCTCGTAAAATCGCATTGATAAGCAATCTGGCGAACAGAAAAGTTGCAGAAAGATGATTCCTAGATTTTTGATACTTTTAATTTTCAAGCTTGTTTCAAGCCAAGATCCGATCATTGCAAGACCGCCAAGTGAGGGGTACCAGAAATCGACGCAGTTATCCACCTTTAAAGAACCTCCTCCGAAGCCGCGGAGACGTCCCCCTCCTCCTCCTCCTAAGCCACAAAGGCACGATTTCAGCATATATTGAATAGGCACTCTTTTGATAACAGAGTATGTAAATCGATAAAGACAACCAGATGCGGGCAACCAACGCCCACAGCCTCCCCAGCCAGGTCAACGAGGAGCTGGAGCAGCAAAAAAAGAAGCGGCCCCTGTCTGGGATGGAAAAGTTATCTCAAGACAATCCTTGTTTCAACGGATGAGATCAGCTCCTAGATTTGATGAAAATGGAAACCCGATTCGAAAAGGAAAAAAGATGGGTCGTCAATCTGGACCTAGACGAGGAAACCAACAGCCAACAGTAAGAGAGAATTCTCGACAATAAAAAACGTACTTTGTAGAAGCCAGAAAAGAAACAATGGACGCCAAGAAAACCTGGTCAGCCCGTGAAGCCACGATTCAAGCCATCCAACATCGCATCTCGTCGACCGACTCCGAAAAACAATGAACAGAACACAGTGCAGCCAGAGCAACCACCGCAGCCTTCGCAACCGAAAAACAGAAATCGTAAGAATTTTAATTCATTTCTTTTTTGATAAGCTAGTAGAAAATAAGGATTCCGGAAGAACAAAGCTCAGCCAAAATCAGTCAGGGCTAGAGAAATTCTCTTTGCCTCATCGGGAATGGAATAAATACGATGTGACGCTGATAATTTTGGACATGACTTGGTCTCATAACGAGTATTGGAATCAAGCATTAGAGGCGCTTCTTGAGAAGATTTCAAAAGCACCAGGAATTGTTTATATCGCTACAACTTCGCCATATTCATCCGAACCGGGCATTTTCAAGGACCCAGTTTCATTTGTCGAAAAGATTCTGCCCTTGCTTTCAAGACGAGTGTCAATGAAAGGTACGTAAAGAAACGATTTTTCAAAATAAATGTTCTTCAGCTTCTCAAATCTGCCACGATGTTCGCTACGGACAAATGAGAGCCGCACTGGATGAGCTGCGAGATATGGATACTTGGTCCCCTCGAAGATGCTCAACCCTCATCTTTACCGACACTTCAGTGGTCAAGCAAAGCAGCGAGCTTTTCTGCAGAGGTGTTGAAGAAGCAAACGCATCTGATTGTCTGTTAGACAGCGTCTTCGAATCGAGGGGATGCCCGCTTGCAAATGTCCATTTGTTCGGAAATTGTAATTCAGGAATTGGTCATTATTTTTGTGGTTCATTTGCATTCATTATTTTAGATACCAAAATGACCAAAATAAGAATCAAAAAGCGATCATTAAAAATAAACGCTGACTTTCATCATTTTTTGTACAAAAAAGTTTTAAATGAATAAAGTTTATTGATTTATAAGAATGAAGGAGAAGAAGTACAAAACGTAGAAAATATTATGACAGAAACAGACTTAGTTACCGTAGTCCGTGTTTGAGCAAGGGCAGGATTGAATATCTTCAATAACCCAGTTTGCGTTGACATTGACAGCGTTGTTGAAAGTTCTCAAGTTGGCATCAAACATCATTCCACTTTGGAAGTTCGCGTTCTTTTTGAAGGTGACCTTCCATAAGAAGCCATCATCGTTGTCCAAGCTGATAGCATCGTCGACGGGGTGTCCCCAGCTGAGCCAAGAAACGCGAACGTCGAATCGAATCACGAGGAAATCGAGGTCGCTCCAGTCGAGGTCGGAGAGGCTGTAGGACGCGCGGATTCGGAAGCAGTTTCGGCATGTCCAGGAATTTTGGAAAGAGATTTTGTTTCTTGTGAGTTGAGTGCATTCGGGGGCTTTGTCTGCAGGACATCCTTCTGGAATAGTTACTGTTGGAGTAGAGCAGGAGTAAGAGCTGAGGTCGGCTGCCTTCTTTGATCCATCTTCTCTCCACTCGCAGCCTTTTCTCTTGTGGCAGTTGCAGACAAGGTCGATATTATTAGTCGCTGTAGCTGGGAAGATGTCGCCTCCGTTTGAGCATGTCATAGCGCATCTTCGGTCATCAGTGGGGTCATCGACGGAGCAGACGAATCCCAAGTTGTTGTCGGCGACGGCTGGCTCAGCATCGACACTGCCTTCGCAAGTTATGCAGTTGGGGAATGCATCCTCCCACTCGCCATTGATGCATCTGTTTCGCGCTCGTCCGTCAGGAATCGATCCTGGTTTGCACATCAAAGTACATCGCTTGCTATTGCAGTAGTAGCCATCAACGTTGCCACTGACTTCCGGGATCGTGCATTCGAGAGCAGCACGGGAATCATCGCTGGACCCAGCGACTCGGTTTGATTCGCTGACGCTGTTTCTGACTGTTTGTCTCAAGTCTTTGTACTTTCCTGGTTCTTGAGCAGTAGCGGAAGCAAGAAAAAGTGCACTGGTAAGTTTCATTTTTTTTTTACTTTTTGCGGCTGAAAAAGGTGATGATTTCGCACCATTCCAGCGCTTATAAACAGAGCGTAAGCCGGACACGCGAGGTGGCGCTGCGAATGAGCGTCGCGCGGGGTTGAAAGATAAGAAGTACTAGTTAATACGATATATGATTAGAGTGAGGGATAAAAAATCCCATTCTAAAAAAGATTTCCGTGAGAGATTTGACGGCCTTTTGAATCATGACATGGGATGGAACCATGCGTAATTAAGCCTGTTTAGAATATTTAAAATTTCATTAAGCGAAAAACTTGATTATTTCTTTTGAAGATTACAATTAAAGATAAATGTCTTAGCCAAGTATTCGTCATGAGAGAAAGAAATATATTTACGATATTTAATGTTATGATTATAAAAAAACGTTAGAACGCTAAAAGGCCGAAAACGCTAAGCCAAAACGGAAATAAACACTAATTATTCAAATTGTGTATAAGTTAATTTTTAAATAAATACTGTATTTACTTTCCAATCCGCAAAGTTCACTTAATTCAGCTGCTTAATTTTGTCTTATCTACATTTTTCCATGCACCGTTTTTACTTAATTGAGCTGTTATCTTTCGTATTTAGGCAGATATCAGACCATTTATCGTACCGTTAGCACGTTGCTGGTAAGTCCCCTCGAGATAAGACTAAATTTGCACGTGTATCGGGAAGCAAAAACATCCCAAACAAGGCTTTTACTTTTTAATCCCTTCCGCCTTTCGTAGATTGAACACTGGAAGTATTTGATAGGTTTCAGATGAACCCCTTCAACAAGAGTTCAAAACTTCCTCCGTTGGACGGAGTCTAGCGAGAAACCGTTTATTTTCAAAAGCGAAATTGTTTGAACTTTATGATTTTTACTTGCTTCTGATTGCGCATCCTGTGCAAGTTATAAAGTTGATTTTTCGCACGATTGCGAAAAATTTAGCGCCTGGCTTGGTTTCAATAAAATTGAAGAAAAATGAAAAAGAGAAAAAGTGGACAAGGCCAAAGAAGACTAAAATGACAAAGTGGACTGATACTGACGAAGAAGATGATAGAGACGCTCCACTTGCAGGAGGATCTGGCTGGAATTCGAGCGGGACAAATAGAAATACTGGTTGGAGGAGCTCCAAGGTATCTTTTCAAATAGAGACTAAATTTGATTCATAATTGTAAAAACATCTACTACGTGTATCCAGAGAAAGACCTTGAAATATGATTTGAAATCATTGATTTAAGAACGATCGATCGTGGGACTCGCGGAAAAATGATGACTGGGGCGATAGAATTGAATCTAATCAAGATTACAAACGAGAAAAACCATCTGCCCCGGCTGATGTGGACTTTGAAAGGGGTCGACCAAGAGAAAAAAGAAAGAAGTCTACGGAGAATTTACCTCTTTGCAGTCTTGGTTGGTGGATAGTTGGTGGCTTTATCAGTATATTTGCTGTTTTTGTTGTAGCTACGTGGGCTTTTGCATCATAAATAATACCTCGAATAAACTTTCAATGTTCTGTATTATTATTGTCGATATGGGTTGGCCAAAAAAATCGAAGGTCGTGCGCCTAACACGAGTCACCCCTCATTCGAAGCGCCTTCTCGAGAGGATCATTTTGAGTCATAAATAAAATTTTTAAAATAGCAGGAAGGCATCGAAAAAAATATTTTTCTGAAATTTTCAATTTTTCGTATTTCGATCAATATAACCATTGTTTACTGAGTCATATCTTTTGATAAGTCATGCTGACGTCATCATGAGTCATTTTTGAATATTCCTCAACGTCTGTTCTTCAAATAAAAATGAAAATGATCTATTCTCTCAAGAAAATCTGGGTCAAACGACGCTGTAAAGTCGGAGATCATATACGATAATTTTACGACTATTTTTTAGATTTCATTAATAGGCTATTAATAATAGCTCAAAATGACCCTCTCGAGAAGGCGCTTCGAACCAGAGTAGGCTTCACTTTGACAGGAGCTTCATTTGGACAGAGCTTCACTTGGACAAAAGCTTCACTTGGACAGCCCTGTCCAAATGAAGCTCTGTCGAAACGAAGCTCTTGTCCAAGTGAGCCCCAATTTAACAATTACGCATCAAAACATCAGCAGCTTGAAATCATCTTTCCGTTGGTACCTTTTAAAACATGTTACATCATACTTCCGATATTCAAAATTGAGGGTAATTTTTAGCATTGGAACGCTAAAAATATAGAAAAATCTCGACACGTACGCGTGTTTTTACTCATAAAGGCACATTAGCCAACTGTTGGGATAAGTCTACAAGACAGACCCAACACAACCCTCTTTGCAATCAAAAGATTCAAAAAGGTTACTTCTAACAGTTTTTAGGTCACTCATTGATTCAAAAAAAAAAATTCTTCGTCGCAGTCTTTTCCCTGATGATAGGAATTTCTGATAAAAAGCCCAATAGTTGCGTATAACACCGGTGATAACGTCGAGAATTTCAAAAACTAAGAGGCATTTTCATTTTATAAAATCTATTGTGAGATAAATGCTCGATAAACTTAAACCGAAGCCTCCTCCAACAGAGATGAAGTTCCACGAACTTCCATGTTCTGGGAAAAACGAAGAAAGTTGCGCTTATCTCCGCCATTCAGCGCGCCGCGCGTTGCCTACATTTTCTAAGCGTCATTCGGACAGAGCGTCATTTGGACAAAAGCGTCGTTTGGACAGCGCTGTCTAACTGAAGCTCTGTCCAGGTGAAGCTCTGTCCAAGTGAAGCTCCTGTCCAAGTGAAGCTTACTCCTTCGAACCACGGTTGACTTGTGTTAGGCGCACGACATTCAATTTTTTTCTGCCAACGCTAATAAGCAATTTTCAAAGATTTTTTGAATAGATTTATTTTGGGAATTATAAAAATCGGCAGTTTTTTTTCATCGTGCGTTCAATTTTCGGTGGCGGTTCTAGTGCTGCTAAGATCGCTTCATTAAAAACGTTATTGAGACCTAAAATAAAAATCAAATTACAAATGAACACTTTAAATCAACCCGCTCCAGTTAATGCTGAACATTCAACATATTTAGCAGCACAAACATCTTTCGCCAATTTTTCTCCAACTCTTGAAGAGATTGGCTTAAGCTTCTTTTTCGCAAGGCGTGTGATAGTACTCTCGTCATAACGTAAATCATTTTTGGAGCCTAGGTAAAATCTTAGAATTTTATATTGTTTTAAACTTGCCAATAAGAAGAATAGGAATATTTGGGCAATGATGTCTTATTTCTGGAACCCACTTTTCCTTCACATTATGCATAGATGAGTGATCGTCTATTGAATAGCAAACAAGAAAAATGTCCGTCTTTGGGTAAGAAAGAGGTCTCAAACGGTCATATTCCTGCTGTCCAGCGGTATCAAATAATCCAAGTGTGTACGGTTCTCCTCCAATCATGACTGTAACCGCTCCATTGTCAAAAACTACAAAATTTTTATAAACGTTAAAAATTTTTTCAAAATTACTAGTAGGAACGTATTCATTTGGGAGTTCACCACTTGAATATCTTATTAAGAGGCAAGTCTTCCCAACATAACCATTGCCAACTACGACACACTTGATTGTCTGCATTTTCTCGAATTTATCTTGATTATTAATTCTGCTTTGTTCTCAATTTCGGTGCTCGCTCATTTGTTTTTCGCATATAAATTCTTAATGTTAATATTTGCCCAATAGTGTTAGCCAAAAAATCGAAGGTCGTGCGCAAGTCACCCCTGGTTCGAAGCGCCTTCTCGAGAGGGTCATTTTGAGCTATTAATGAAATCTAAAAAATAGCAGACTTTGAAGGGTCGTCTGACCAAGAAGTCCTTTAGAACATCAATCATATGTATACTCGATTGTAAGAACAGACGCTTAGGAACATTTGTTGATGACTCATGATGACGTCAGCATGACTCATTAAAAGTTATGACTCATTTAAAAATGTTAATTTAATAAAAAATTGAAAAATCGAAATTTTCAGAAAAATATTTTTTTCGATGCCTTCCTGCTATTTTGAAGGTTTCATTCATAGCTCAAAATGATCCTCTCGAGAAGGCGCTTCGAATGAGGGGTGAGCCGTATTAGGCGCACGACCTTCCATTTTTTGGCCAACCCAATCGACGATGTCGATTGTTTAATGGATTGATCCGTAAAATAACGGGATAGTTCAAGAACAATACCGTAATTTTTACTCTTCCGATAGAAATTGCCTGAAAACGCTTCTCGGGAAGTTGAGGAAAATTTTGCGGTAAGATCCTCCGTACTCTGCATATTTCTATGTTATTTCATTCGAACGACATTGTCTGCATTCACAACCAGTCAATTCTTAGTGGTCAGTATTATTTTTGTTTTTATAACTTAAATAATAGAAAATGCATCGAACAGACTTTCAACGTTCGATACATTAAAATCACTTCTTCGGACCAAAATCCTGACCCCTATGTTTTTTGTTTTTATCTTGTAGCGCAGGTTCTGGGGAGTCGAATGGTATAATTTTTATGGGTCGGTTATACTATATTATAACTGATTCTAGAGCTATAAGTACGTGAAAATAACAAGTACTGAAGCCTCAGAACTCTGAACCTTTCTTTATAAAGTACAGTGATTTTGGGCTCTTTCGAAAGCCCAGCTCAAACTGTGGTTGGGCAGACTATGTGCGACGTAAAATTTTGTGAAAAAAATTTTGAGTGGAAAGTTTTTTGGCTTAAAAATTGTTTTTTGTTGAGAATAATCGGCTGCCCACCAACTGCCCAACCACAGTTTGAGCCGGGCTTTCCAATGATACCCATATGTCCATACTTTCTTTGGAAATTTTCGGAGATACAGGGCTTCACTAGAATTTTTCAATAGGGGTGCCTATGACGTCATTAATGATGACTCAGACCCTCAAAACTATATGAATCGACTCCTCAGGAGTTGCCTTTTCGAATGACCATAAGAAAGATGGAGGGTAGAATTTTCTTCCGAAGAAGTGATTTTCATGTATCGTTCTGTATCTTTGGTATTCTATATAGGATTGATCCGTAGGCAACGCAAAAAGATGTGGTCTAACCCAGATAGTGAGCTTCACACTAAAATGAGACGAGATAGTGGTTCTTAAATTGAGAATTTCAATTCGGATACTTTCTATCCAAAATACGGTTTGCTAGAAATTGAGAAAAAACCTTTCAGAGAAATTACTTTATCGATATTCTTCCGATATTTCAATTTAAATTTTACAGTTATTACCTATCTAAGATACAAATTTTGATTCAAAGTTATCTTTATATTATATTTAAAAAAAGTATATTAATTAATCATCATCACTGAAAGACTCGGTTCGAGTATTGTAAACGAACCCTTGTATCCTCACGTTCTACCATCACAGCGCCACCGCGCGTTTCCTATTTCGTTCCGCGTTTATAAACGCCAGATTGACAAAAACATCACTCAATTTTTTTATTTTTAAAATTTATTAAACACATAATGAAATTAGCAAGCTCTTTTTTGATTGCCGCCGCGACTTCTCAAGAGCCAGGGAAATACAAAGACCTGAGAGCAACTGTCAGAAACAGCAATGTCGAGTCAAATCGATCATCTGGTAGTCATCCTCGAGGTCTCACATGCACGATTCCAGAAGTATCGGGAAATGTCGACAGATACTACTGTAACAGCAAACGATGCACACTGATGTGTAAGCCAGGCTCAATTCCAGATGGTCGAGCACGAAACAAGTGCGTGGACGGTGCTTGGGAGAAGACATTCCCTAACTGCATAACTTGCGAAGGCAGTGTCGATGCTGAACCAGCCGTCGCCGACAATAACTTGGGATTCCTCTGCTCGGTCGATGACCCCACTGATGACCGACGATGTGCGATGACATGCTCCAACGGAGGCGACCTCTTTCCAACCACAGCGACAAATAATGTCGATCTTGTTTGCAACTGCCACAAGAAGAAAGGATGCGAGTGGAGAGAAGATGGGTCGAAGAAAGCAGCGGATTTGAGCTCTTATTCGTGTTCTATCCCACCGACGACTACACCTAATCCAGGCACCGATACAGACACCACGGGATGTCCAGCCGAAAAAGCTCCTGAATGCACCGACCTCACAACTGGAAACATCTCCTTCCAGAACTCGTGGACGTGCAGAAACTGCTTCCGAATCCGTGCTTCATATAGCCTCGATGGTCTTGATTGGAGTGATAGAGACTTCCTTTACTTCGAATTCGATGTTCGCGTCTCATGGCTCAGCTGGGGACATCCGGTCGAAAACGTAGAGAGCTTAGATGATGGCGTCCGATGGAAAGTCACCTTCAAAGAAAACGCCAACTTTGTAAGTGGAATGATGTTTGATGCAAACTTGAAAACCTTCGACGATGCTGTTAATGTCAATGCGAACTGGGTTCTCCGAGCTATCAAGTCGTGCCCCTGCACCAACACGGACTACGGTTCGTCAGTTTCCACAACCTCTTCTACAACTACGAGCACAACAGGAGTTAGTACATCGACAACATCGACAACTTCAGCGGCTTCAACAACCACTACAACTTCGTCTTCCTCCACAGGCTCAACAACATTAACTACATCTACAACCACAACGACCACAACCACAACAACCACAACATCAACGACGACTCCTGCAACGACCACAACAGCGGGAGGTACATGCTCTTCATTCAATAGAGTCGGCGAGTTTACACATTACGACTCTCTCTCCGATTACACAAACGGTGCCTGCGGCCTTCACAACAGTGGCAGTATAAAAGCTGCTACACATTTCGTCGCCCTTGACTACGATACCGACTACAGCGCAAGTGCGAACTGTGGACGATGTGTGAAGCTGAAATGCGAATGCACTCAGAGTGTTTTCACTGGAGCCTGTTCAGCTGGAAGCGAGGTTATTGCGATGGTTGTTGACACCTGCCCAGATGCGACATGCAAGCAAAATCATTTAGACTTGTCTCCATCGACTTGGAATGAAGTCACCGGAGATGAAAGCCCAAGGTTAGTCAATGGAATATTTAAAGCAATTTTACCTTTAAATATTTAGCCTTTACGATGGCTCGTGGGAATTCGTCGAATGTCCATCAGAATTCCTTTCCTCGCCCGTTTCACAACTATACATCAAAGAAGGATCAAGCCAGTGGTGGAACGCATTCCAACCAACCAACACACGATTCGGAGTCAATTTCATGTCTATCAACGGTCGAGAGTTATCTCTTTCAAACGGTGTTGGAGACAACTTTTACTTCGACGGGGGTTTTTTGAGCGGTGAATTTCCTCTAACAATTTTAGCAAGAAATACAGAAGGTGACGAAGCGACTCTGGTTATTTCGACAGCATCTGATATTGATAATAACGTCGGTTCTTTCCTTGATTTTGATGCCCTCTTGTAATTTCTTTGTGTTTTGTATTCGATAATAAATTCATATTTTGTACGAACTAAAATGACCTATTTATTTGAGTAAAATATCTGATATTCTATCAGTATCACATTCTCATTGCAGGAAATCAACAACGACTTTCTTCAAAAAGTCGAAGTATCCAGCACCGTTTGCATATTTGGTAGCATAGAAGAGTCCACCGTAAAAGATTGCAATCGAGACAAGAGAAATCGCATCAGCCATCATTATTTTTCGCTGAAAATCTAAGATGCTCAATATTTTTAACGGTACGGTTGATTCTTACCTGCTGAATCGTTGACTCTTGGATAGGGACAGTCGGGCACCGGCTTGCCCAGAAAGTCGCAAATAGGTTTCCATCCCTGCTTAGCATTATGAACGAGAAGCTTTTCTTTCGGAACAGTAGCTTTGACGTGCCCCACCCAATCAGTGTAGCATTTTTCCATTCCCGCTTTCGAATAGTCTTTTGGAGCGCCTCTGAACATTCGCTCGATCGTGTTTTGCATTCGGTCGAAGTCCTTCAATTGATACGGTTGATACGGCTCAGTAAGCAAATCGAATACTCACGGCAAAAGGAAGCCAAAAAATTGGCTTTATCACATGTCGATGAAGACCAAAAGGAAAAAGCATTTGAAGAATCGTCTTTCGACCGCCAGTGCACTCCGCAAAAATGGTCTGGTCGACGGATTTGAACCAGGCAGCTGGAGTATCTCGTACTTTTCTGAGTTCAATTTTTCGCCTTTTTCAAATAAGCGTTTATTAGGCTTTACTGAAAATTTGAACCTAGCCCTGAAAGAATAACTTTTGCGTCGGGGCTCATTCGCATAAAATCTTCGAAGAAGACGCAGCCAGGAAAATCCACGATCGCCTTGTAGCCCTTATCAGTAAGAACTTCCTTGAGAGCACGCTCGCGCTCTTCCATCGTTGTTGCCTCATTTGCTCGGTACCAAAAACTCTTGTGGTGGTATTTGAAATTTTCTAGCATGTGATAACATGGACTGAAATTTAATTTATTTTATTTTATTTTAAGGGTAATCCTATACATCGGCGCGGCGCCGCTCGCTCGCTCCGCGCACCGCCAGAACCTATTTTTCACGAAGCTGAAAAATCCGAATGGAGTAAGATTTTTTCAAAATTTAAAAAGATTCAGAATCTTTAAAGTCTTTTCTATGCCTCCAGCAAAAATGAAGAAAATCGAATTCAAGGAAGCATCTGAAAACCACCAGTTTCCTTCAAAGGACATTTCCCGCCGCAATTCTCATCCAAATTTCACGAAAATCAGATGGTCTTGTGGAGAATCGTCTGTTCTACAATTCCTGTTTCTCAGAATTCATTTTTACGTTCTGAATAATTCTCTATGAAAGTTTGAAGAGAGCGCTCTTCTGCTCTGCGCCTCTCCGCTTCCTATTTCTCACGCCGCTCTTGGCGCGAGAAAGAATAGCGCTCTTTTCAAATGGCCATGTAAAATTATTGAGAGCGTTAAATAAAACTAAGAAACAGGAATTGTAGAGCAGACGAATCTCTACAAGACCATCTAATTTTTGTGAAATTTGGATAGGAATTGTGGCGGGAAATGTCTTTTGAAGGAAACCGGCGGTTTTCAAATGGTTCCTCGTTGCCGATATTTTCCATTTTTGCTGGATGAATAGAAGAGAGTTTAAGGATCTTTTTGAATTCTGAAAAAGTCTTACTTCGTTCGGATTTTATGGCCTTGTGAAAAATAGGTTCTGGCGGAGCGCGGATCGCGCGGGCGGCGCCGCGCCGATGTATAGGATTACCCTTAAGCTTTAAGCTTTAATACGCAGTTCCGTCGAGCATGTTCAAGGCCGTGTAAAGGCTCAGCGTCCCGGTTCTTCCAAAGCCCGCACCGATAACTTCAAGACCAGACATTTCTCTTTTTCTTAAAAACTGTGTGAAAAAATACTAAAGCGCGAAAGAAAATAGCCCGCGGGAAAAGGATCCCAATAAAACTTTTGTTTTTCAGTAAATGCACTTCTAAAGATGGGTTTTAAACCGCTCTCTATCTCCATGTCTGGCTAATTTCGATTTTTCTCAAAGAAAATCCTCTGAAAGTAAATATTTTCTTTAAATACTCACTCCCAAATCAGAATTGCTCATCGACTATTTTACTTTCAAATCATTGTTCAAGGCTTGAACTTCAAGCAGGGCCAGAATCCAGGGACATAATTTATGTTTAGTTATCAGCAAAACTTCAGACCGATAGTTTATCCGCTCACTAAATGAGTAACTCTCATTTTATCATGGAAACTTCCGATATTAGAGTCAAGAATCCTTCTCCAGAAGACAGATTTCATGACAATTATTCTTAATTTTCTTGAATCAATCTAAGTGAGTCACTAGTTGAGGTTCTCCAAAAGCGCAGTAAGATTGATTGGCGCGCGCCGCCCACGTACCTGACCATCGCTTAGAAAAAAAGAGTCTCCTAAAAATTCCTCGGTGGTACAGATCGAGTCGTTCCAGCAGCAAAGATGAGCGAAAATGATGAGAGAAATTTGACAAAAGGTGAAAAACTTGCGTTTATACATCGCACAAAGCGGCCTCAGCAGACTAAGGCAAATAGTTATCGCGGAAAACTTTTCGAAGAAAAATGCCTTCAAAAAGTAATGGATCTCGAAATTAAAAGTGGAGCACTGATCGATAACACGAAATTTATTCATATTCTAAGGTAACAACTTTACTAACCCTAACCCTACCCTTTGTAAGGGTCCCTTACCCTGACCCTTATTAAGTTCATATCAAAATATGTCATAGTAACGTGAAACTCGCGGATGAATTTCAAAATGCGTATAACTTCGCAAATTTACGATTTGGAATCGGCAACACGCAATTCATGGCCAAACCAAAAGACGGCGTTTCAAGTTTTTGCACTGCTCTGACAAAAAGAAGACTAGAGGCAATCAACAGTTACAACAAAAACGATCAGGCAAAAATTAGGCAACAAGAAAAGTAAGGTTTCTTGTTTCTTGAGTAAAGTTATGTATTTTTAGGTCGTTCATTTTCATTGTCAGCAAAGCAGAAAAAAATTCTTCTGAAGCAGAAACTCCGTGGAAGATCGGAGCATGGAGTAATACATTACGATCAGAATTTGAAAGGTATCAAGGGCAAATGATGATTTCAAAAAACTTTTTGTGGGGCCGGAAATCGTAAAAAAACTGCAAGTGCAGTTTTCTTCAGCTCGTCAAGACGAGTCGAATGATGGGTCTAACTCCTGATAACTCTAAGGATTTACCGGTTTACCGGCTGGTTACCGGAAAATACGTTGTCACCGGCCGTTTTTGTTCTAGAAGTGATAGACTAATGTTTGACACCGGAAATTGTTTCTTATAGTCAGTTCTCCTGGAGCCTAAAAGATGAAGGTTGTATCAATTCTCTGAAGAGAGTTATCACTAAAAACAGTAATTTTTACTAAAATTTTGTTGTTGCTGCACGTTCCTAATTTCTAGTCCCATTTTCGCCAAAAATACCGAGTATTTCAAGCGTTTGCCCCGAGAAAATCAAAGGTTTCCATATATGGAAACCTTTGAAAATCCAAATCAGCTGTTAGCAAATCAGAGACTGTGGATGCCTTAGTGACGGCGCTTCTCGGGTTTTGAGTCTGAAATACTCGGTAGTATTTTAGTGATAACTCTCTTCAGAGAATTGATACAACCTTCATCTTTTAGGCTCCAGGAGAACTGACTATAAGAAACAATTTCCGGTGTCAAACATTAGTCTATCACTTCTAGAACAAAAACGGCCGGTGACAACGTATTTTCCGGTAACCAGCCGGTAAACCGGTAAATCCTTAGAGTTATCAGGAGTTAGACCCATCATTCGACTCGTCTTGACGAGTTGAAGAAAACTGCACTTGCAGTTTTTTTACGATTTCCGGCCCCACAAAAAGTTTTTTGAAATCATCAAATGCTTTCAAGTTCAAGTATCTATATTCAACTAGAGACTGCGTTACAAAAATAATCGATATGGAAAAACGAGAAGGAGGTGTTTTGTCAGATACTCGACTCGCTGACGTCATGAGACAGATAAAAAATCTTCCAAAATATGCTGTGAATTCGGAGCTGAAGCAACTTGGAGTCGGAAAAGGAAGCTTCTTCTTGAGCCTGAAAGAATCGAAATTCCCCAATCGCAGCGTATTTTGGTCAAAGCTACTTTTTGAACGAATGATTAGTTTTCAGTCATACGATCATGTTTCGAAAAATACCATTTTAATCGACATAACGTAAGGTCTTCTTCATAGGTTGCTTCATATCTTCTCTAGGGCTTTCCTGATAGATTTTGATGAATATACGAACTCCGAAGATGACAATGATGCTGTTACTGTAAAAGCCGAGGATCCGGAAGCTCCAAAATTCAACCCAAAATATCATCATTGTCCGCAATGGGAAAAATTGGCCGACCAGCATATCGATGATACTTTATTCGAAGATTTTTGCAAGTAAAAATTGTCATTTCGTCCCCTTTCTCGAAATTTTTAGTGAATGTATTGAAGAAATCATCGCCCTTGAATCAGAATCTGGCGAGATCGTTTCCTTTCAAACCCTCATTCAAATGTTCGACAGTGTGAGAAGCAGTGAAAAGTTTAAAAACGCAAAGCACTTGGAAGGAATCAACTTTCGTGAACTTGGAAGAAATCTTTATACAAATCGAAGAACAGCCGACTTGTACGATAAGCTGATGCAAACAAGGAGGAACAAATTGGACATTTACAAAGAAAGAGCAAGAGACGCGATTAATGAACCCCAGTCTTCGTATTTACGGCGAAAACGTAAATATAAAATGATCATTGAAAAAGGCGACGTGGTCAGGGAAATATCCGGAAATCAGATTCAAATTCTGAGGTTTGATGAAGAAGAGCAAGGTAGGAAAATATTCAAAAAAAACACTGTCCCTATTTGGTATCATTTTAGAAGAGTCGCCTAAATTGCCACTAGAAGAAAAGTTCTTTGATCAAGTGTTTCGCCTCGATGGAACGGTTGAAGTCTTCGAAAGGCCAAAGCAAGAAAGAGAAATAACTTCAGAGCAAAGGAAGCTTTTTGATAAAAAGTTGGAGAGATTCAGACATATTAAACTTGGGTCTAAATCAGGCGAAGAAAAGAAGTCTTCCAGCAAAAATGAATCCTCAGTGGCGGAAAGAATAATCGCAGACCATCTACTCGGAGTCCGTGAAAGCTTATCAGAACCTGAAACTCCGAAAAACACATTGACTCTGACGCAGATTAATGATATAACGAAGAAAACGAGAGATTATGTTTACGAAAAAGTGCTCAAACAGCAAGAAGAAATTCGCAAGCAAAGATTGGAGGAGAAACGAATTGAGACTGAAGCTATAAAAAACGACCGAAAGAAGATTTCAATGGCGAGACCAGCTCAGAACAAGGAAATTAAACCTATGAGTTTTGATTTCGGAAAAGTAGCGGTTGAAACTCCGCCTGCAAAGAAAAAGATTCGAGTCGTCATGCCAAATATAAATTCTCCGGTTCTTGGAGCATCCAACACACTTGTCATCAATACCGATGACGTGCAGATCAGAAATATCCAGGATGTAAAACCACGTGCCGCGCAGCCTCCGAAACCTCAAAAAGTGATGAGAAAACTTGATAATTTGAAAGCAATCTTTGGAAAGATTATTGAAAACATGGAGAGGATCCCGGAAGATGAACAGGATTGGTTCGAACTTTTGATTTTTAGGCAATGTCTATTTCAACTCAAATATTAAATAGAAAAATAAGTTGAACCAAAAACAAGCAGAGTATCATGGACACTTATCGAACTGATTTGGAATCGTTCTCTTCTAGTGCTCATCAATCAAGTTCAAAAAAATTTACTACTGCCTCAATTCAGAAACATCCCTGATTGTCTCGGCAAAATTTCGCTGCCAATTTTAATAAGGATTATTTTTTTTTTGAATTTTTCAGACGATGTCGGACGATGATAACGGTCTGCCGAAACGTCGATCGAGACGATCTATAAAAAGAGTAAAATATGATGAGCTCGCAGGTACGCTAGAAAATGATGAAACACAGGAAGAATCACTCGAAGAGGAAGATTTGAGCAAATCAGAAGACTCCGATTTTGATGTTGGCGATGATGAAAAACCTGTAAAGCGGAAAGCTCGACGAGGACGGCCGCCAAGTTTTGATCGACGAAAACATGCTCGATATGAAGAAAAACCAGAGGAAACAATGAAAATAGACCTCAAAAATATAAGTCAAGGACTAGGTTGAATGCAGATACAGAAAATTAACGGTGTGGGCACCCTTAAATTTGAATGACATAAAATCAACTCAAAAACAGAAGAAAGATACGCTTTGGCATTGAAAATTGCAGAAAACATAAAACACGGCGAGTCACTTTATCGAAATGCAAAAAGATACGGAATTGCGGAATCAACGATCAAGGGCTGGATTCAGCCTGAGCAACTTCGAAAATTTAAACTGGTAGTCGAAATAAAAGAAAAGACATCAGCGGAGAAAAAAATGGATCTTGCTTGGAGTACTTGGCGAGCAATCAAAAAAGTATTTTTCAAGTAAATTTTAAATTCATACTATGACGCTGATAACTATCTTATTCGAAGCGAGATTGTTGCAGAACTCATCTCCCTCGAAGAAGAAAATGGTGTCTTTGCCACAGACGACGAAATAAGCAACATAGTCGAAGAGATAAAATCTTCGGCAAAATACAAAGAACAAGGTAGAATCCAACAATCATCAGTTGAAGGGATCGTCAAGGATGTAAAATTTATGCCGAAAACGGCGCTTGGAAATCTTGTTAGAGCTGCAAGGAAGGGCAAATTTGATTAATTTCATAAAAATTTGAAAAATCAGCAATTGAGTCCCCAAAATTTGACAGAAAAAAATAACAATTTATGGTGGAGCTTGCCAAGCACTTATTATCGGCGGATTTGTAGGGCGCCGGAAGAAGAGAGCGAAACAAATAAAGGAAGATGCCATTTTCAAAAAAGCGAAAGCTGAAGTCCGAAACACCCAAAAAGTTTCAGAAAAAAAACCATGCAGTGAAATCAATGAAGACCAAGTTCATCTGGATAATCATTTTGACGATGAGACTGATAATTTCTATGTTGGAAATATGGAAAATTGCAGTTCTGAGGTCTCTGTCGACAATCAAAGCTCGCCAGCAACGACTAATCAATTGGAGTCTGCTACTGAGAACGGATCAATAATCATAAAATATAGACATAATTTTTGATTCAAATATCAGATCCTTAGAAAGATTCGCCAAAAAAGTCAAGAGAGCCGATCAACTGGATGAAAGAACTTTTCAGGCAAATCATCACGAACTTGGAAAACTGTGGCGATAAAGACAGAAACAAACTGATCAATGAAAACCAGAGCATGGTGATGGAGCTCTCCGTTGATGTTATAGACTTGATGCGAAAATCGGAAGCGAATTAAATTACCACTGTTGATCAGGACTTCTCTCAAGCTCGTCAAGCTGTTTTTCAAAGAAATAAAGCCATTTTCTTTTTGATTATTCGTTTTATTTATTGCATTTCCTTCAATTTTTTGATTAACATTATAGGGAAAAATATCAGAGCGACTTGTGATGCAATATGAAAATAGAAAATTCCCTTGAAGCCACTTTCGCCATATTCTTTCGGGATCTCCGGCAGGCCAAGCATAAACAAACTGTTCAAAAGTTATTATACAGTCTTTGCTCAATCGAACCTTGTTATGCCAAGCGAGAATCTGACAAAGCCGACGAGGCTTCCAAAGAATTGAGGCGGAAAGAGGAATTTCACGAATATTGCTGGAACTGACGAATGAAACGCTCGGTACATGTTGTAGAAGTAAATTATTGGTAGAAGATTTTCTTCTTTGAAAGTGACCTACATTTACCGTTAGTTAATATCCTTGTTAACCTTCAATAGCTACCTGAAAGGCGCATAAAATGATGCCCACAATTAAATCAACAACGACAAACATCAAAACGCCCAAAATTTTTCCAAAATCCGGCGACTTGTTTTTGAAAAATTTTGTCAACAAATCTGAAATAGGGCCGCAGACGAGGCCGAACGCCGCTGGTGTCCATGCGATGCTGCCAAAGTTGTCCACGTGTTTTTGATAGTTGTCTCCCGCGACCATTCTCGCATAAGCATTCCACGTGAAAAGACAGCAAAGGGTAAAGATGCTCGCTGTTGTTATCCAAAGAACCATTACCAAATAAGTGGCGTCTTTGAAATAAAAAGACAACCCCTCAGTTGATTCTAGGAGCTCTTGATCAGGGTCTGGCGCTATTTTCTCGGAATCGTCTATTTTGTTTGATCTGCAGAGAAGCCGTTTACCTAGACTCACTCTTTACTGTAAAGATCTTGAAGATGACTGTACCAAAAAACGTGCTTGGAAAGATATCATTTTTGTAAATGAAATGACCCTCAGGAAACAGGAAAAGCGTTCGAATCCACACTGGAATCGTCAGTAAGATATTTATCGCCACAATCCATTGATATGATACTCCAGAGTTGAAAATCATTGCTTGAATTCTTTATTTAGAGTTTTTCACAGATCCCCTATTGCAATCGATCTTTGATGGTGTAAAACTCTTCCTGAAGAAGGAGCTGGACATCTGGAAGATGCTTTGAACGATGACAAGAACAATAGCTGCGAAATAAGGGAAGAGCGTCGCCATCGTTCCATTGGTAAGAACGAATCCGTATCCTCCAGCCGAATTTAAAAATATCCCCGGAAACATGAGCCAGTTTACTTGAGGCGTAAACATCAAACACAGGAGACCGCTCGTTACAGTAATTGTCATCAATACACGGCTAATTAGAAGTCCTTTTTTGTCCAGGATATATCCAAAAAGGAGGGCCATGCAATTCATGGAAAATCCACCAATGGTCCCCGCTGTGCTGAAGATTATGTCTCGCTCGTTGCAGTTGACGATTCCGTTGGTCACAACTGTGGCGTTTGAATTCAAGTCGCACAAATCTTCGTAGACACTGACTTGTTTCAGAACCTCCGCGAGACTTGGCCAACCTAAGAGTGGGTTTATGACTTTCTATTTTTCTGAAGTATGACTGTCTTTCGACATACCCATAATAGTTCCGAAGAAAACCAGTCCTTCAAAAGGTAGGCTCAGTAAAAGTAGAGCATCTGCAATCCTCATTTCCGTTGAAAATGACAGTTTTGATGCTCAGTTCTCTAATTACTTGTCGACTCTTTTGATCCAGATGTGCTAATGACCGGCACTCGTGTTGTCGGATCATTAATTCTGCTGCGATATGTACTAAAACGCATTGCTCTTATCAGGAGGCGGAAAGAATCTCGTAAACACTCACTCACAAGATAACCTTATTCTTCTGGGTCTGAAGTGCTAACTTACATGAACCTTGATACAACTTGCAAGATTATCATGTCTAGGCCTCGGACGTAAAAAAGACGATTTTCACCATCCGGTCATCGTACGGGAACATGAGAGGGCTCATTCGAAAGGTCTTGATAAGGGCTTTCTATTTGACCGATAAAAAAACTGGGCCCTCCCTTTCTGTTACGAGTTATTTTGAAAAATATTTTTCGAAGCTTACCTTCAAAGTCAAATATCTCGAAAAAGGAGGACAGGGCCCAGTCTTTTTATAAGCCCAACAGAAAGCCCTGTTCAAGAGCTTTCGAATGAGCCTACTCTTGTTACCGTACGACGACCGGCTGGTGGTGATGATTTTTTACGTCCGAGGCCTAATCATGTCTGCCAGTATAATGTTCCTCGTGCCAGAACCCTTTTATGGGCAAATATCTATTTGGAAGTTTTAATTAGGGTTTCACCACTGAATTTGCTATTTATCTTCCACTTCTTGTCTCGAAAAAACAGTATCAAGTTTTTTTTTTTAATTGAAAATTTATTCTTCAGGAGTCGGAAATTCAGCAATAAGATCAGAAGCAGTGTCTAAGTTGCAATCTGCAGAATCGCAACAATCAAAACACTTGGAGCTTCGTTGCTGCCCTCGGCAAAGATTGATGTCGGGATCCTCGCCGCGGAAGTTGCCTTCGATCAAGTTTGCGCAGACGTCGGGTGCCTTGCAGCCCAGGTCAAGTAGGAGCAGATTGCCATGGTCGTCGCGGTGCTCAGTTACGTAACAGTTCTGCTCGTTGCTCATGCACTCGATTGAGGTGCCATTTTGGACGCAAAGAGAGGCAACCTCTTCTGGTGTCTGGTATACTTCACTCGTCTCGTTTCCGATGACGATTTCGGATCTCTTTAAATTGTTTTTACCCTTTCATCTTTTTAGTACCTGACAATTCGTACCCTGATTCTAACAAAGGTGTTGTTGGTATTTCTAGTTACGATCAAAGTTTGACAAGTTTAACAATTTTATCTGACCTATAAGGAAATTAACTAACTCGATCCAGATCACACCTACTTCTACACACCTATTTCCATAATTCAACAATTATTCTTATTTTCGACAAATCAAACCTCATTTTGAATGGAGCACGACCAGCAAGTCAGTTGGGCATCGACGGAAGCAGCAAAAGTAGCGAAAAGTTGGAAAAGCTTCATTTTTCAAAATTTATCCAATTATTCAAAATAACTCTTCGTGATCTTTTGAGCGTCGATTTTCAGTATTTATATGGGATAGGAGTAGCCCGGGGCTGGAATATACGAAGAACGGGACGGATTTGATTAGACGGCACAATCAACGGGGACGTGCAAAAATAGACTTCTTTCGAATCTTGGACAAATGTTTCGAAATTTTGATTTTCTGATTTCAATTTTCGAAGCTTTAAAATTGTCTGTTCTTTGACTAAGTTTAATAAAGTCATTGAGAATCGCATTGATGGACGCGAATTTTAGAGCGTTACTCCTAATTAGTTATGACGTTAATTTCAATCATCATTTTTTTTTTATTCATCGCGGTCTTCAGTGAACACAATGATTACTCGATAATTTCCGTGATTCTTCTCTGGGCGGTAGTCTAAACAACGCCAATTAGTATCACAGAAGTCAAAGGCAACTATGCCTTTGAGGCCCTTCGGCTAAAATTACAGCCCTTTGAACAGGAATCATCGTCTCGAGAGCGCTAAAAACACATTCCCTCTCCTTCACTTTCCTCCGCTATAAAAGTCGACGACGACTTTCATTTTCACGCCAAAAAAAAGAGGACGAGAAAAAAAGAAATCAAAATCAGAAACTTGACATTCTTTAATTTTTTCAATCTTTAGACGATTTATCCCATGAGAGTTCTTGTTCCACTTCTCTGCGGTAAGTTCAGAAAAGAAAAGTTTCTTTTATTTTTACGTGATTGACGGGCTATTAATTTTATGGTTTAGCACTTGCGTCTTCGCAAAATGCAACAACCGCCGCAACTTCAAACGGAGCAACAACTGCTGCGACGACAACGACCACTACTACGGGAACGGCCTCATCAGCCACCTCGTCAACTGCAGCTGCGACAACAACGTCTTCTCAAGAGACGACTACTTCCGCAGCAGCTTCATCAATTTTTGGTGCGGCTTTTCTTGCCGCGTCGACTTTACTTTACAGATATTAGTCTATTGAGGCGTTCTTTTTTCTAGCTTTTTAGACATTTGTTTTATCTGAATCTTAAGTGGAAATGACAGTATCTTCGTACTTGAATCTACTTCTCAAAACTGTATTTTATGATCATTTTTTCATTATCAATAAACTTTTATAAGATGCATATTTCTTGCGCCCAACTTTTTGACGTGTTCCTTGGCAGCTGTCCTCGGAGATAAGCCCACACGATGACGCAAAGCTCCACAAGAACCTTGCAACTGATTAGACAGCCCAGTGAGGCCAGGCTTCCGCTGATAAAGGCTTTTTTGGAGTATCAATTAGCCGGATTATTTGTTATGCGTTTTTAAAAGTTCATTAGCAGGGAAAACGCTTCGCTGCCAGTCTCCGGTTTCGGATTTCCGTGCAGTACGAGAGTGGGGGGCAGGGACGGTTTAAGAACCACGTGGTGTTGGATTTTCTACCGAATTCGATTACGTGATCAAAAATATCATGTCGCGCTGGCGCCGCTGCATCTTCGCATGAAACTCCAAGCTATGTTCTTTCCGACCTCGTACCTACTTCAAATTCGTGTACCGCTTCGATTGCCTTAAGGACCTCCCCATTTTAGATATGATTTTCAAAGCTATGCCATTTGCCGATTGCCAATTTATGATTAAAATAAAGACAAACAGATTTTTGTTGCAAGTTTTTTTTGTACAGTTAAATATAAATCAGACATAGAGAAACAGATGGGCAAAAGCAATATAATATTGTTGAGGATTTGACAGCGATCAAGCGAAAATTATGATAATCCAACGAGATTATTTTTTTCAATGTTGAAATAAATAGTAAGAAAGATGTGAGGTGAAATATTGTTTTCATTTCAGCTAGAAAGATGGTAGCTTGTTATTTTGGGACTTTGGCAATTTTTGTAATTGTGGAAAGTAGTTTGTAATTACGGACTTCTATAAGGTGGCTATTCCTTATGAGAAAATAAGTTATTATTTTTATCAGATAGACAGATTTCGTCTTCATAATTTGACTTTGAAGAAAATAAAACCTTACATAGCTAAATCGATAAACGTTTTTTAGCCAAGTCTTCGTCTTGTTCCATTCCAAGTCCAGTAGAACCTATTTGGCGATCTCTTCCCATTCCGAGAGCGAGAGCGAGTAAATGGTCGGTTATTTCCAGCTTGACGCTTTTTGCCTCGGTTTTTCTTGGGACTTTTCTGGGTGATAGGATTTCGAACTTGCTGCAGTCGAGTTGTCAAAATTGGTGGCCTCGTGGTTCTGAAGAAGGTTTTTTGATGAACTTTCAATTAAAAATTCGGCGTTTTCGATAAACTAGACACTTTCGATGGTACAACTAGCGCTACTATCAATAATATGTCGACTTTCATATATAATCTGTAATTTTTTCTGCCTGAAAATGCACCTGAAAGGACCTTTGATTTACATGATATTCTGCTTAATTTGCGCTTTGCCTTTTTTTTCCTGAAACGAACGTTGTCGCTAAATACATGAAAGTGTTTATCAAGACAACACAAGATTTCCTGTTAGCGACGTAATATCCATTTTCGCCTTATTTTTGCAACAACAGTTGACTCGCAACGTAACCAGCTCTCTCTTATCCCGGTGGAGTTCAGTAAAAAAGCGAACTCCAGGTCCAACTTCGTTTCGTTATGTACAGTAAGTACGCAGTAACAACCACCGGGAGTATTTTGTGAGAGAGGCTAGTCATGATAGAATGGTCATTTAGTGGATTCATTTATTTTTGTTTTGTATTATTTACAGCTATTAGATACAGGCGTTGTAACTTTTCTATTGATGTTTCAGTAGAGTTACTGACTATTGAGTTCGTTTAAAATTTTTTTAGAAAAAAAAAGAAGCCGACGGATAATTATCAAGTATTCATCGACGTACAGGAAGAGTTTTACCGTTCGCAGTTTTGGGAAATAAAGCGTTCAAGTTTCGCTGCAAATGGATATTCTTAAAAAATCGATCATCTTTGTCGATTTTAAAGGCAACCACTTGCAGCGATGATAAATAAGTTATTATAAACAGTATCAGGCTCACTTAGTCTATACTTTATAAATACTTTTTAATAAAATTTAGAGCGGATTTAGAAAGAGAACAAAATGCCCCGGTGGCAATTAGCGGCGAGTTTTATAAATTATGTTTTAGAACTTATGTTTTATGATAAAGAACGAACGAGTGAGTTTTGTTGTTTTGAAGTTGGATTTGAGCTGATTTTTGAAGGTGGAGACAACATGTGATGCGTGAGTGTGTTTTTGAAAGCGTTTGCGCGTGTCTGTTGGTATGTGAGCGCTTTTGGGTTAAATCGAGACTGGGAAATGTCTATTTCCCAAACTTGTATTTATAGCCCAATTTGGAATTCCTAAAGCAGCATTATAATATATTCAATATATTATAGGGTATCTTAATTTATCATCATAAGGCCAATTTACTTTCACGAGAAAATCACGATCGACGTCAAGTCTTCAAAAGATTCTAGAGCTATTGTGGGTTGATATTAATCATATTCGGTTGTATAAGAATAGGTATAACTATACGTTGTAGATCTTGTAGAAATTGGTGTTGTAGAAGTTGCTGTTGAAGCTGATTCCAGGCTAAAATGAAAATACCGATGATACGCAGTCATAGAAGAAGCCATATTTAGCCGACTTGCATATGACATATATCGATATGTTCATAAAATGGACAGGTGAGGGTGAAGTTAAAAGGAAGATGATTTTAACTTGCTGGCGAGGCTAAGGCTATTATTTGAAGCAGACTCGACTTGAAAGCGATTTTCAAGTGGTGAAGGAATTTCGATGTTTGACAATTTTGGGTTGATCTTTCTGTATATACAGTAGAGATCATTTTTCCAAAAAAGGCGCACGTTGTGCATTTGATCTTGGTGAACTTACTGTATCACCGCCGGCGCGCACATAGGCAGGTTCTTTGGCTTCGTCCGGCAGCGAGTTCCGCGGCATCGACACTCGACGATTCTGTTTCCTCGGATTTTGTAGTTCTCAACGCATGAGTACTTGACTTTTGTTGCTGTGCCCTTGACCATTTCAGCCGTGCCAATGACTTCACTGTTTTTAATGATGTACGCTGGTAGGTCGCAACTGTGGATATCCACAATTTTATCTCCTTGAAAAAAATATTAAGCAAAATTCTCAAAGGAAAAATACCTTTGTCATATTCAAGATGGTCTAAGCAATCTCCATTGACATTGAGCAAAGTGCAGACATCCTCGTCCTCGTTTTCTCCTTTGAGTTTATTTAATTCATCTGCGTGATCTCCAAGCATTTCATCAGAGCTAGTTGTTGTCGTTTGAGCTTCTGTGAACGTTCTTGCTGAAAAGAAATCAAATTTTTTCCCGAAATAAATATATTTATATTTCTTACGTGGAGCTCTTGTCGAACAGGCGCAGCTTCTGAATTCTTCGTGATTATCTGGACACTTCGATCGCGGATCTGGACGAGAACAGTGTCGAGTTCGCTTCTGTCTGTTTGAAGCACAGTTGCAGGCCGCCCACGTGCCCCAAGGTTCAAGCGTCGCACACTCGAATGTGTTGCATGACTCGGAATCAACTCCTTTTCCGCTACAAGAATTGCCAGAACAGCTTCTAGAGCGACTTCTCGAACCACCACCACAGGAAGCGCTGCACGGTGACCAGTTTGACCATGATTTCCAGCTCGATGGGACAGGACAAGATTCTTCGTTACAGTCTTTTCTTTGTGTGCTGAGCCCGTTACATTTGCCAGGAACATTGCATGCTCGAGATCGTTGACTAGAACCTCCGCCGCATGTTGCGCTGCAAGAGCTCCATCTTGACCAATCTTCCCAAGATGCTAAATTTACAGTTATTTGAGGATCAGTAATGAAATAGATAAAAGAATCAATACTTACGACACATGCTGGCTTCTCGGCAAAATTGGAACTGTGAGTCCAAATCATTGGTGTACGGATCTGCCTTGCATTCTCCCTTTCCAACACACTCTCTGTAACGTTTTTGATTGCCGCCGCTACCGCATGTTACGGAGCAAGCTGACCAACTTCCCCAATTTTGCCATTGCGCACACTTTCCGGCAAAACACTGAGCGCTATCAGTATCGTCACCACTGCATTCGCCCTCATTGTTGCAATATCTGTATCGATATTTTTTTCCAACGCCGCAGGAGACACTACATTCTGACCATTCAGCCCAGTTTTCCCATCTGGGACAAGCTCTTGTGTTACATTTAGCCTTCACATGGTATTCTCCAAAGCATCCTCGCTGACCTGGCTTTCCATTTTCGCATGATCGTTTTCTCTCGCGGAATCCGCCGTCACATTCAGCATCACAAGTTGACCATGAGCCCCATTGATTCCATGAAGGACAACTATCTGTTTGGCAGACTTTTTCTTCGTAGCTTTCGCCAGGACATCCAGTTCCGTTTCGGCAATATCTGCTCCGTCGAGACAATCCGCCACCACAGGTCCTTGAGCAGCCTGACCAGTCCGACCAGGAATTCCATTCAGGGCAGCCCTGTGAAAACTTATTAAGCCAGTATCCAAAATAGCAATCTTACCTGAACATTGCATCCCATCGAATCTTCATAAGATCCGTTGCATCCACCGACTCCTGGAACACCCCCAATGCACTTTCGAATTCGCGTTTTAACTCCTAAATCGCAGGATACAGAGCACGATCCCCATGACCCCCAGCTTTGCCATTCTCCGCAAGCCTTACCAGCAAAACATTGCTGTTCGTCCTCTAGCTTAAATCTTCGGCATCTTCCTGGGCTATAGCTGCATGTACGAGTTCTTGTCTTTTTCCCGATCCCACAAGTCTTGTTGCAGCTTGACCACTGAGTCCACTCTCCGATCGGCCCAGACACCTTTTTGCAGGGCTCGGTATTGCATCTCTCACTATCAACGTTGCTACCCGGGCAGTTGGGTGAGCCAGCATCTCGGAGGCAAACTCGTTGTCTTATTCTGAAACCGCCGTCGCAACTTTTGCCACACTGACTCCAAGAACCCCAGTTTGTCCATTTTGATTGATTGGCGACTTAAAAATCAACGTAAATGACGAGCGTAGCCTGGGGAAACAAATAAGCACTAGCCCTTTCATGCAGGCTTGGTTTAGGGTAGCTTAGCAGCGAATTAAACGACGGTGAAATCTAACCGGGCTGACATTAAAGTATGCGCCTTTGAGGAACCGTTTGCGTAGAATCTCTAAACGCGTCTCTTTTTTTAATTTTGTTAACTTACAACAGCTTTGGGTATTGCAATTATCAAACTGCATATTTTTGACTCCGTTGAGCACCTTGCATGGCGCACCGTTGACGCGATTGCAGACTCTATTTCGGATCTGCATTCCATTGTTGCACGATTTACTGCAAGGAGTCCAGGGATTCCACGGCGCCCATTCGCTTCCGACTAAGAATAAAAACATTGTTTGATTAAATCAAGAGAGCAATAACTTACCGCAATCGTGCTTGTTACAGTGTCTCTGTTGTCGAGCGTTACCACTGCATTCGCCATATTGGCTATTTCTGCATACGCGGAATCTCTTCTGAACTCCTGTTCCGCATGATTTCGAGCAAGACTGCCACTCTTTCCAATTATCCCATTCTGGAGTAGGAGGAGTCTCGGTAGTAGCTTCCCATGGCATAGGTGGTCGGGTTCTTGGTGGGTCCGTTGGGCGGGGTAAAATTAAATTCATGATGGCGCCTATTGTCGACTGAAGATCGTCGAACTTCTTGCTCTTTTGCATCATATGAAAATTATTTCCAGGAGAGAGAATATCTAATACTACGTTAAGATGTATCAAATTTGATGAATTTAATACCGAATTCTTCAAAGAAAGGGTCTGCGGCTTGCTCTTCTTCAAAATCATCGATGAAGCCATCACCGTTAAGGTCGTCGCCATTCAGATGGGCATTATCTTTGGCTTCTTCAATATCTTCCCTAGTTATTCCTCTCTCTTCCAACAATGCTTTCAAATCAAAACCCTGGCTTTCAGCCCTCAGAAGAACTTCTTCGAAAGACATCGGGCCATTTGCTCTTTCATAGTCTAAATCATTATAATGAATATTTTAAAAGGGAATAAATACTTACTTTCAATGGCTCGTAAATTCTTAATCACATCTATATCGATAGAATTCGCGCATGTGAAAGAAATCAAGCCCACAAGGGGAGTAAGCTTTACCATTGAACCTCAGTTTGAGAGCTCTTAAAACAGGTTATTCAGGATCACCGTTCTCTCCACAGGTTAGAAAAAGCGCTCAAACACGACAAAGCTATCAATGCGCGTGTGTAGAACAAAGCTGTGCAAGGAAACTCTGCAAGTAAGTCTGAGTATCGTACCTGGTCGCCACTAAAGTAAATCGCCCCGCGGCTTACTTCTTTAACTCGTTTTCTTCGTGGTCTTGTCTCTCTCTTTGTGTTTTCTGGTTAGTACGAGAGAAAGAAGGTTCAGTCTCTGCTCTGAGAGTTTCTATTCTCTTTTGACGGTGGTGGAGGAGCTCTTCGAACGTCAAACGTTATCCGCTTGGGTGCACAAAAATGAGCTGCCTCGGTAGGCTACGCGTGGTCACTCTTCTAACCGCTGTTAAAATTAGCAAAAATTAATTAATGTGACCAGAACGGCACATGTTATTTTGCGGTAACCCCTGTCCGATAACAAAAAGAAAAACGGGCCGAAAATTGCCTCGTACGCCACCTATATCAGCACACGCAGAGTGGCGGGCTTAGTGTTGGAGGACTCGGCCAATTCTGAAGAGACGGGCAACTCGCGCGCCCCCTAATCGACCGTTTGGTTGAACCATGTTATTTTTATGGGAAAAGGACAAACAACACGCAGACATTTATGAACGAACTTTTCCATGTCACTCATGGCGAAAATCAAACAATTTTCTTAGTTAGAAAAACACGTAACGTGTTAAAAAAATTCTCAAAAACCATAATAAATTATTAATTTTATTATTAATTATTATTTACAAGAAGTGAATGCAAAATAATATGTCAGTTTTGGTTTATTTTGAAGAAATGAAAGTTGTCAGTTTTTGGGTTTTCGAAGAATATTTTAAGACAATATCATCTTTGTATGGGTCTACTCCTCGCTTCTGAAGTGCAAATTTCTGTACTTTCATTGTTGGCGTTATTGGAATGTCATCTGTTAGGCGAACATACGTTGGTCTCGCGTACTAAGATTCATTATAGAAACGTTTATTGCCAAAAATATAAATTTATACAACTTCATTGCTAAAAGCATTTGCAAAAAGCATTTGCTAAAAATTAGACATAGTGACATTGACGATGTCATACAAATCGTAAGGATGATAATTATGGCTGTATACGCCTGAAACTGACCTTGGGTAATTTGGAAATGACTTCTGCTATTTCCATCGTCTTTTTCTCCAAATCTTTCTCTGCAACTTGAGCCAAATCGAACTTCATTACTAGCACGCCAAAAGTTCGCTAAAAGATCGTTACTAGAATCCGGTTTTAAACTCAAGCCCGCCATACTTTGTCAATTTCCGTGAACGTCGAGGCAACGGTGTACTTGAAATTCAAGAGCTTGTTCACTAAAATATGCATCAGCTTAGATCTTTATTAAATCATTACTCCAGAAAAAACATAACCGAAAACTAATTTTGCTAAACTTTTGAGACAATCGACAGAGCGATTTTTATGCAACGAAATCTTCTTACTCTTCTTATCAATAATCTATAATGAGGTTATCCGATAATGCTCACAACGAGAATATACTCGATTACTAAATTGCTTGCGTGATATTATTCGGCGGACGCCAAACCCGATCACGTGAACCCTGCAGAGTTGGGTGCGGCTTCTTTTTACAGATTATCCGTGCGCGTTGGGTTGCACCGCTTCAGAGAACCGCGTGAACTCCCTCGAAAGTCTTCAGGGGCTTTTCTAAAGCTTTTATGGTAAGAGTATTCTAAGACTCAGCTTTCTCATTCGGCGCTTTCATGTCTAGCGTTTCTTAGTCTAAAAGTCTCTAAGGCCTAAAATGGAAGTGCTCAATAGGAGTTCTAACCCAGACTTTTATGTAAGACACTTACTGTGATCTTCGATCATCGTTGAAGAAATATTCTCGCCGTTGATTCTGTAACAATCAGCAACGCGCTGAACAAAATAGCACCAGCCATTCTCGTCGATTCTGAGCAAGTCGCCGGAGATAAAAGCAGCGTCTCCTTGTCTGAATACGTCGTTGATTATTTTGCTTCGACTAGCGTCCCCGTCTGAATATCCTTCGAAACGAGAAAGGTAGTCGTTCCGGATTTTCCCAACGATTTGGCCGACCTCCCCTGGTTCAACCAGTTTGCACAATCCTTCTGAAGTACGTTCAGGCTCCATCGTTTCTATATGAAATTTTTGGAAACTTCAAGTTTCTAAAAAAAACTTACGAGGATCACATTTGATGAGATTAACTGGAAAAAATCTTTTGGCCAGTCCACCGGGAATAAACCCGCACGCACCAAGATGTCCTTCTGAATTAACCAAGTTACAATTCCCCTCCGTCGAAGCATAAAACTCGACGATCCTCTTGATTCCAAATCGGCTTTTCATTTTGCTCCAGACTGATTGAGACAGTCCGTTTCCAATCGCAAAGTTCACGTCGTGCGAGCGTTCTTCCGGTCGCTCTGGATGGGCCAAAAGGTAAGAGCCGATTTCACCGATGTAATTGATGACCGTCGCTTTGTGCGCTGAAACATCAAGCCAAAACTTTGATGCTGAGAATTTGTCTCTAAAGCGCTTTTTAAGAAGGATAAAAGACGCGATTTTCACCTGATTACAACAGTAGAGCCTCTCCAAAGCATCTGACCAAGGCACATTCCTCCACCATTTCCATGAAAAAGTGGCAATGGCGTGTAAAAAATGTCACTAGAACTGAAACCACAGAGGTTCGCCATACTCCAGCCCATAAAATGCGTCTTGAAACCACTTATTTTCACCACCTTGTTGTTTCCCGATGTTCCGGAAGTGTAGAGCATCTACCGATCAAGGTTCAGACAATGTCACTCAGAAACTACAATGTCTACAAAATTGCTCACCGTTAATTGACTAGCGCTTGTCTAAGATTATGCGGTCGTGTAACATTCAAGCTACATATTTACTATTACACATTGGTTCCGTACAAACCACAAAAATACCGCGATGGTAAACTTGTTCTTAGTTGACTCAGGAACTTTCTGAGACTTTTAGAATGTCCTACAAGAACAAGTTATTTTAAAAGTCCAGGGGACGCCTGCACGCCATTCTTTGCACTTGTCAATTTTGAACCTTTGTCAAAGTAGGTGAATTGAGCGTCAAATTTTGATAATATTCGGCTGGTGGGGGCTTGTTTGACAAGAGTGTCTCCTTGGCCATGTCAACGAGCTGAATATCGCCCTTGCTCGCATAATTCGTGAGTTGATACCCGAAAATCGCGACACCACTAGGTAATTCTCCGAAGATTTCTTCTGTATATATTCGATAATTATATCATCTACATTGTCTAGTAACCAATTAGTTTTGTTATCGCTTTCCTAGAGCAGGCAAAAAGTCTTCATGAACAATTATCGCTTCTGCTTTGCATATTATCAAAGCATGAACTAAGGAAGGACCCTCAAACATGGTATTCACAAGTGCCGCAGTACACCCCAATTTCACTGAATTTCGGGGTAAGTTGTTTTGACGGTAAACTCATTAGTTATGCACCTGCACCGAGCCAACTGGCTACGTACTCCATGCAATTAGGCATCTTTGCAAAAGACGGTTATGTTTTATCTCGTTAGAAGTTACCATGATGGCGACCACGGAACTAGGTTTGACGTTATACTTTTTCAGGACCCAGGCAAACTGGTTTGATAATTCATCGATTTCTTTGAAAGTGAATTTTCTTTGGGTGTGCGCTTCTATAAGAGCTATTTTCTCCGGATCTTTCTCAACTGTTTTTTGCCAAAGAAGCTTTGGATGGGTCAAGTTGAACCAACATTGATAACGTTTACTTTGCAGCGTATTCTATGCTTGAACCCAGTCCGGAATGTTAAATCCTCTCCAAGTGTACCAAGCATACATGATCTTCATAGTTACCAGCATACGTGCTAGGAAAACACCGCGTGAAGGAAATCAGTGTAGCCGCTCTTTACCTGCGTTCAGGTCTCTCTTGAAAGTCGGCGAGCATTTGGCAACCACAATCGCGGTAAAAACCGTTAACGCAAAAATTTCCAGCATATAAAAGTAGCGAAATCAATCTGAAAATGATTCTCCACGCTTAGATATAGTTTTAATGAGCTCTATATATTTATATCTCAAGATTAAAAAGGAATGACTTTTCCAGGGTTCATTATGTACTTTTTGTCGATAGAATTCTTGATCGTTTTCATCAAATTTATTGCAACGGGGCCTCTTTCTAACGCCATGAGCTGTTGCTTCCCTAGGCCGACTCCGTGTTCGCCAGTGCACGTTCCTCCTAGTTCAAGTGCTACCATGCCAACTTTATGACTGATTTCTTTGAGCTCAGCGAAGGTGTCGTCTAAATTCAATAAAGAAATGAAATGAAAAGCTTCTGACCATTGACAGGGATAAAGATATGAAAGTTTCCGTCTCCCACGTGACCCAAAAATGCGAAAATCCCTTCCGCATAGGTGCCCTTCATGATTTCTTCAGCTGCTTTGATCATCTCATCCAGCTTTGAAATCGGCACGCACACGTCTGTTGAGTATCCACGCCAGCCCTCACCTTCAAGATTTCCTGCCTTGAAAGGATCTGTTTACAAAATCATCATACAGAAGTGATTAGTCAGCAGCAATTTTTTTAAAGATTACCACGAAGTTGTATTTTGAACTCTTGTTAAGGGCTTCAACATGTAAAGTTACGCAAATTATGATATAAGATAAACACGAGCGTAAGGCACTATCGATTACTTGTAAGAAACAAGCGGTCATAAATGCACTTGCGTCATTAGGTTTTTTATCGCTAAATAGTACGACATGTAAAGCTTGTAAACATAGTTCCTGAGACAAGAAAGCAAACCACAACGAGTGGCGTGCTTTCCAAAGGGAGATTCGCTCTTCTAGCGTGTCAGCTTGCTTCCAACTAGAGATAAAAATCATCATGACTTCAGCGAAATTCCAGGTTCAAGTCTGTCCACATGTTTATCTTACTTGTCTATCTTCTAACTTACCACAACAAATCGATTTTACCTGACGGAGCCGTTTTCTCCCGCGATTTCTGAGAACATCTCTCTCTGCTCGGCAACTGCACTTTCGGATCCTTGGAATTCTAAAAACAAAGTCGGCTTCTCTTCCAGTCCCGTTTTACTGTAGTCGTTGACAGCTTGAATTGATCTCGAGTCAAGAAGCTCAACTTTAGCCAGTGGAATATTGTATTGAAGAGCTTGAACTGCGGATTGAACAGCGTCTTCGTTCCGGTTCGATAACTTGATACCAATCTTTCCCGAAATCATAGAAGAGAACCGGTCCTGAGACAGATTCGAATTGGCAAACAGCCGCTATTGTACATTCCGGTTGAGGATGAAGCCTCAATGTGAGTTGAGTTATCAGCCCAAGAGTCCCTTCCGATCCGACGAAAAGCTCGGTCAAATTCAACCCAGCAGATGATTTTCGAAAAGAACGTCCGTCTCCAGAAGTATGAAGGATCTCGCCCGATGGTAGAATCACTTCCATGTTGATAACATTCTCTTTCATGGTCCCAAATTTGACCGCTGAAGTTCCAGAAGCACTGGTCGCCGCCATGCCTCCAAGAGAAGCATTCGCACCTGGATCCACAGGGAAGAAAAGGCCTGTCGCACGCAAATGGTCGTTGAGTTGTTCTCTCGTTACACCTTCGCAGAAATTTAATGATTGCTCAACAAATTCATCTTTTCCCTGAGTTGAATCTATTTTAAATTTTCCCTGGTTGAACAACGCAATAAAGATCCTCCTCCGAAACAAATAAAATTTCGTCCATTTTGCTCATATCAACAGTAACTGAGTTCTCATTCTGAGCAATGACGCCGCCTTCCAGTCCTGAGCCAGTTCCGTATGGAATGATTGAGACATCATTTTCAGCGCACCAATTTACAATCTCAACGACGTCATTCTTGCTTGCAGGCGTAATGACGGCCTTCGGAAGAATATGGAAAGGATGAGGGGACTCATCGTGCCCAAACTTTTAGGAATGACAAAATATTAAATAAAAATGTTGATGCTTTCACTGCTTTTGGATTGTCTGCCGGAAATTATCAAAAAATAACCAAATTTTCCGAGAGAAACTATCGTAGCAATGAATGTTCAAATATTTGTACTCCTGTAACTGGTTTTGTGCTGCGCTGGAAGTGACAATTTTACTCTCTCCGATAACCTTCGCAAGGGTTTGAAATCGACGGAGACTCCTGATCATGCTTTTTCTCTGTCTGAATCTCCAAAAATGAGCTATTTATTCGAGTCTATTTTTCTGTCTATTTGATGAAGAAATGTGAGCTTTTGTACGATGAAAATACTCCAGGGCATAGTGCCCATGCCTCGGGGCGTGTTCATTACATATTTTTTGTTTTCCTGCAGATTAACTGAACAAAATCAAAGAATAGAGAAATTCTTGTAACTCTCTGTTCTTCCATGATTGTCAAAAAGGAGACCAAGTGATCAAAATTTATTTGGAAAAAATGTTCAAACATATTACAACAAAGGCATTCAATGTCACAAAATAAAATAAAACTATAATTTAAAATGACATAAATACACAGCTATTACTTACTAAGGGTATTATTGGATATTTCTTTTCAGGAAGTAAAATTGGGTTGGTGAGCAGAATTCAGGAGATTCAGGATTTCATGAAAGTGGCAGTGGGCCCTGGCGCACCGCGCGGTTATCTTTTTTATGTGCATTTATGAGTTGGTAAGAATTTAAAAAGTTGGATATTGATTTAGGATGGCTGAGTATTCTAAAGCTGGTCAAGGGAAAAGAGATCTTGAATTAGAAGTATTGCAATTGAACGGAAATGGAAAGATTTACTCGAAGTGTTCAAACTCAGCTGTAAGAATAATAATGAAAGAAAAAATAACCGCATTTATTTCTACTACCGATAATCGTGTGAGCGCGAGGCTTGAATTTTTGGAAAAATAAGTTACCCGTTTCTATATAAAATTTACAATAACAAACAAAAAATAGAGAATGAGAAGAAAATCACCAGGGTGCACCAAAAACTGGCGCCTGAATTAATGAATTTTAGGGACTAGATCAACTTGGTGAGATTGCAAGAATGAAGGAGGGGGAGACTGTTGAAAGTACTTATTATTGACAATTAAAAAAGGATATGAAATACAAAGGAAGAGTTAATGTTTTTTTCTGTTGAGTTTTCCTCGGTTGAGCTGTGATTTGATTGCTTTCTGGGGATGTCCCTTCTCGATCCCATTTATTTTTTTTTTATAATTGAGAGGAGGCGCTGGCAAATTTGGCGAATTTCGGATGCCTCAGCGGAGTCGCCGTGTTGATGGGCGTCGAGGGAAATTGGGAGAAGCTGCTTCCCTGTGGCGTTGAGCTACTGTTGAACGAAGAAGGAAAGGATCTGGCAGATAGAGGCGTACTCGGAGCAGACGGTGCCGAGCTCGAAGCCGGAGGGTTGGCATTATCCCCGAGGATCAGCTCTCGCATTACTTTGCGACAGTTAATAAGCTTCGTATCTTCAAGACAGCGCAAGATATGACAATGCCGTATCTAAAATTTCCGTAAATAATTCGCTCACTTGAAACGAAAACATACCCTTGCTCGTTGATGTTTAATACTAGTGGACAAAACAGCCAATTGGCGCGTTTGCCCATTTTTCTTCGGCAACATTTCCAAAACCTGCTTCGTGTTTTGCTCTAAAGAAAATCTCATCCAAATCCGTAAGGGTCCGATTTACCTTGGAGAAGCGCCCTAACATCAGCAGCGACCAAGTTCGTATCATAAAACGGTCTCAAGGTTTCAAATGGCGCCGTTTCAAAGTGTAGCTCTGGAGTGTTGTCTCGAAACTGCTTCACCCTACTTTCATGGGGGCTTCTGAAGAGGTGACCGTACTTCTCCTCAAAGATTTCATCGCGCGTTTTCTCGACCGTCGGCGGAGGACGCTGGTGATTGCTCTCGGAGATGCGCGGCTTTTGAGAGGGCGTCGCAGAATCAGATGGATCTTCGACTTTTCTCCATCGCTTTTTGGGGTGCATGGGCGTTGTGTTCGCATTTGAGCTGTTGGTGCTTTTTATGCTCTCCATAAGCTTCTTGACGTTTTCATCGTTTGGCGGGAGCTAGAGACGTGATTAAGATTCGGCCTGGTACAACAACTAACCTCGGGCTTCGGCCTTGAGTGATGATGGCTTCTCGAATGGCCGTTGACCTGATGACTAGATCGGTGCCCATTTCTATCAAGCTTGACGACTTTAGCGCGCTCATCGTTCCAATCTTTTGGCTTCTCCCAAGTGTTAACAGAAGTCCTGTGGTTCCAGTAGTAGACTTTGCCAGATGAAGAGCGGTACTCCTTCCAGTCGCCGTAAACACGCTCGGGATGTTTCACCTTCTGCGACCGCGGTGGCCGAGCGTCTGACATAAAACTCGAGTGGCAGGAGTGCGAACCGATAACGGCCCGATTAACTCATATCAATACCTGAATAAAGAAAGGTTGAACTCTAAGTCTAGCTATTTGGCTTGTCAATATTTGTGGTCCTTGATACAAGAAAGGAAATGGGCAGTGTATAAAATATGGAACAGATGAACTTAACGCTGGATCTTTGGAGGCCTCGGTGGGGGCTAACTTTGGGTTTGAAATATTTCTATAGCTAATTGATGGAGTACTTTATACAATTTTTGATCGATTGCAGACCCTAATCATGGATTCTCTATCCTTCCGCTTCAAGTTTCCATGCTTTATTCGATCGATTATCTGGTAGACGGTGAATAGTTTGCGAAAAAAGTACGCTCGTTCAAATAACTTTCACCAGTGCCTGTAAGAGATCCATCTTTGTAACTGGGTACTGGATCGAATGACAAACTGCATCAGCTGTTGTGACATGATTAGGAAAACTTTTGTCCTTGCGCTCCCGCATGAATGCCCATGATCGCTCTTTGAAATCAAATTTGCACTCGATGATTTTGTTGTCGTATTGACGGAGGTCGCGATGGAACTTCATCTTATCGTACGGTGTATCCTTACCGCCGACGTATAAGAGGGCTAAATAAGAGCTCGAGCTGCTCGACCGTAAGGAAACGTTTTCAGTCCTACCTAAAGTTTGAGGAAGCATCCCCATCTGTTGCTTTCCTTTTTGAAGCTTCAACTTGAAATCGATCGAATTAAGCTCTGGCGGCTTCCACTTCAAGATATCATCACAACGACCGGGTTTGTAGACATCAGTTTTCGAGGCTGGCTGGAATATCAACCCGTCGGTTTCATGCGCTACTTTTGAGAGAAATTCCCCGTCTTCTTCGAGCAAATGTGCCGACTTCTCAATGTCAAAGAATGGTTTGTGTCGGATGGAGAATGGCTCGCGGGTCTTGTTAATGATTCCTTTCATCATTGCTCGATTTCGTGGCTCGATAATTTCCGCTTGGATGCAAAGACTTCTCGATCGGAATTCGCACTGTCCAATTGGATTTGTTGGGGATGGAATATCTCCGAATCGGATCATATCGTAGATTAAAAACCTAAGAATATGAAAATGCTCATTATTTTCAACAAACCTCGGTATCTTTTCGCCATTAACGTCATCTAGTACCATTTCTCCATCCATAAGCACGTTACTCACATGACCGTTCAAATCTTTGCGCTTCGGAAATGTAAGTCCACTTATTTGAAAAACTGCGTTGTCACGATCGATGCAAAAAACTTGCTCTTTGCCAAGGATCAGCATCAGATATCGCGTACCATCGGCCTTCCACGATACCATGTAATCCTTGTCGCGCAAGAAGCGAATATTCTCACGCGTCATTGAGACTGGCTGCGCGCCCGGGAACTTGTTGCTTTTGAAGCCGATCCATTCTATCGCTTTGCGCGTGACTTGGTTCGTGACGTGAGGGGCTTTTACAAGCGTGACACCTTCTGTAATGTCGAAATCAGCGATAAACGGCTTTTTTCCGTCGCCTTTGACGCCTTCTCCGCTTCCTGCTTGCAATGCCAATCCTGGGTCGACTCCTTCGTCTTGATCCTCTTGAGCAGCATCTTCAAAGCACCAAGCAGGGAGAGTAGGAGCTTCAAGGGCACAGTCTGGATCGTCGTAACGCTCGAATAGCTCGTTTAGATAATCTTGTTTATAAATTCCAGGGGCACGGCAGTTCGAGAAATGACCGATCGCCGCGTCAACAGCCCAGTCAAGCTTTTCCACAAGATAGGAGACTAAATGAAAAGCGTTATATAAATTACTTTCGATGAAGTCTGTTACCGATAAGAAATCCAGTTCTGTTGAAGCCATGAGTACAGTGGATACCAATAATGTCAAGGGGATTATTTTGAATGAATTTTTCGACAATGCCGACGAAAGTATTTACAATTTCTTGAGATGGGCACTCGCCGTGGCCCTTGCACTCGAGTTTTAGATAAGTTGCACCATTTTCTTCTACGACTCGCTGGAATATGATGAGTTTCTGACTGGTTCTTGTCAGCCTACCTTGTCATAATATCTGCTTGTTTTCGTTAAATCAATCCATAGTCCGATTTTTTCTTTTTGCCTGGCAGCGCTTTTGCAAAGTCGAAGACCATGTCTGGATGAAATGTGTACTCTTCCGGGACTTGATCATCGTATTCAGGTTTGAGAGGGACTTTGAAAGGGAAGAACTTCTCCGCTATAAGAGATCCTTTCCGAGGGCACCTTAACCACCGTGGTGGAGGCCCCAGATGCGCCATCTAAAATTGAAGTCATAAAAGTTGAAAGAAAAATGTTCGGGATCCATACTTTCAAGTGAGCGCGGTGAATGGCAAGAGTGTAAAAGGCAGTGGTTGTGTGATTCATGTGATAGAAAGTATCAAGTAAGTACAGCAGATAAAAATTTGACTAAGTCTTAATAATAAACAATTTTAACTTTTGTCGTTGTCCTCCAAGTCAGGGTCGAGTTTGATCTTCTTCGCAGGTTGTTCGATATCCTCAGTGACAGGCTCTAAGTTAGGCATTCCACTCATCGTTGTTTCCATGGGCTCTTCAGTTGGCTCTTCTTTGACCTCTTCTTTTGACTCAAGATTTGGCTCTTCGGCGACGACTTCTGAGGTTTTCGGCTGGGATCGCATGTCTTTTCCGCTGCCATTCTCGACTGTTTCGACCATCTCGTCTCTAGGTACCGCGGGGTTCTCTGAATTCTCTTCACTTGCTCGCTTTGAATGTCCATTTTCATGATTGTGCCCGTTTTGAATAGGAGCATTAGATGTCATTCCTGCATTCAAACTTGGTGATTCTTCATGAGGATTACCATTTTGACCGTTAGACAGGGACTCCCCATTTACACCGTTAGAATGACCATTAGTGGTGCCATTCTCTACAGAAGAGGGGTCATCTAAATCAATTTATATTCCCAGAGAGTAAACGCGGTGAATACCTTTATATTTTGGATTCAAATCATATCGCCAGACGGTGCTATCGTCGAAAACCCCAACCAAAATACTACCATCATTGGAGAAATTGCACTGGCGACATTGAGCAGATCGCTTTCCATGAGTAAGGATAAGGGGTTTTGGTTTAGTACTTTTTGAAAAGGAGTCTAGGTCCCAGACATAAATGTTTCCATTGGCGTTTCCAGCAGCCATATACTTTTGTACACAGTTTCAAAGATGCCTCAGTTTTCGAAAGCATACCTGTAAATAACGATCAATTCCAAAGCGAACGTACCAATTCGGCGAGTCGAGTAGGGGAATGCTTATCATGGCGGTAACAGGTGGACTTGGATTGATCTCGTGGGGCTTCGATAGGTCTGGTTCCCAACACTGCAAGAAAAAAAATACATCGAAATAAAGCGACTGTGATTTAACAACCTTTATTTCGTGTTCACAGGATTTCGAAAAGATGAAATCCCCGTACCATCGAACGCAATCAATATAATTAGAATGAATGTCACGTGTGACATAGATAGGCGGCAAAGTTGTTGTTGGAAAAGGACTTTTAGAATACTGAAGTTGGAAGGCATCGGCAGCCTGTATTGCTAGTTTCGCCACTTTGGAGTCGAAGTTCCAGATCATAATCATGTGGTCCATCCCACATGATGCCAGAAGAGTTCCACTCTGGTTAAAGTCGCAGCTCAATACCTAAAAATCAACGTTTTCCCGTCTCTTTTTATTCAAAATTACTTCGTCTCGATGGCCATGAAGTCCGCCACAGATAAACACTTGAACTTCAGAGTGAACATTCCATATCCGTATCGTTAGATCTTTTGATGCAGACGCGAGAAGTCGTCGATGCTTTGGATGAAATTGAACTTCGTTTATAGCAGCTCCATGACCGATAAGATGTCTACAGATCTTAAACAAGGGATCATTTAGGGATCTCTTAAGCCGATGACTCACAATTCTCTTGGTTATATTTAAAACTCTAATGCATCCGTGAAATCCGGCAAAGGCAAGGATTGGATCTCCCTCGTAAATTCCCCAGGCAGTTGTGTAAAAATTCTCAGTTTTATCGGGATCTTCGAATACCTACAAATTTGTTTGTTTTCGATTTTCGTTGCGATGCTTACATGGATAGGAGTTGTCTTGTCTTTCTTGCACTCATAAATTCTCAGCCCATTCTTTGCTACAGTTGCAAAAATCTGATTTTGATTAGGATGAACAAACGGGTCGAATGTGACAGAAAAGATATGATCGTTGTGGTCTTCTTTTAAGGAGCTGTTGAACAGGAATCTGAATGAAAATTTGATGATTCTTGATGAAGGTATTGTAGAAGACTCATTTTTATCATGTAGGGGTGAATCAAACAGAGAAAGATTATCTGCAGTTTAAAAGGCCGGTATACCTGTCTGAGCTCTTTCCATATTTGGCCACTCTGCCAATTTTCGGGGCTGCTTTCTTCTTTGTCATCCGTTTTTTTCTCCCCCTTTGGCCTGACTTGATGCTCACATCCGAATCACTCTCGTCTGTTTTCATGCTCTTTCGCAGTTCACACGATTCCAGCTAAAAGCTATACTTTGAATGAATTTGAAGACATTTTGAAGACATTGATTGGTAATAAGTTATGTTTTGCATGTGGAATTGAAATTAATACTAGAAAAATTATTATCGTGTGAAATTCGTCTAGACTCTAGTAACAATCACTCGGCAGTAAGCGAAAGAAACAGGGAAAGAGCAACTGTCGCTACTCCAGCGGTGATGATAGCATTAGCTGCGAGTCCGCAAGTCATTATTCCGCCGGCGACGACCAACTTTGAGATAAAACTTTTCAAAAGGGAAATGAGAAGAACAGTTGAAATCACAGGAACAGCGGACTGATTAAGGTCTAAAAACCATGTTAAAATGGTAAAAAATCGTTAGAGCATTACCAGTTCGAGTCCAGAGCCAAACAAGTGTAACAGTAGCTGCTAGTTGAACAAGCTCAACATTGTAGCCAACTGCCATTTCGACAAACTCCCATGAAAACTCGTGTTTTCTCGCGCCAGACCAATAAACCAAGAGTGTCGATAGAAGAGCGTCAGTCAAACCCCAGCCGACAAGGACTGATAAGATCTAAGAACCAATCAAAACGAAGTCATTTAATCAGCGGAGTACCTTGATTTCAGGACGGCCGCCAGTTCGAGCAAGTGCATAGTATATTCCAACAATGTCAATGATGCTAACAAGGGGTTGGACAACATCTCTGGCTGTTCCATCAAGGCCGATTATTGGCACTATCGTTCCCAGTAAAAACATCCGAAGCATCACTGTCATCATATACATTGACGCGACAGAGAGGCATTTCTTGAAGTTATTGTTTCACAAAAATGTTAGTCCAGTCTTTTTCTTACCCTGTAAGGCTGGTATTCGGAAAGAACCGAGTTCTTGTAAATTAGGGCGTATGGACCGTAGGTAAGGGCGCAACAGTTGATAAAATAGAAAAATGTCATAATCAACGATTTCTGAATGTGATTTTGATGAGTTTTGAAGCTATGTCAGATGCGTTTCCGTTTTATTTCAAGTTAAAACTAAAGAAAGAACAGATAAAGGGCTGACGAGACTGACTGGTAAACTGGTTGAGTCGCTAAAGACGGGATACAGTGTGAGAATACACTATAATTTGAAATTCTGCATGATAGGCGAACGCTTCTCTGTCAGATGTGGTTCGGAGACATAATTTCTTATTGCTTGATTATTGGCAAAGAGGCGACTAACGATACAGGCTTTCCTGTACGATTGATTGAGGATTCATGAGATTTATTGACGGTTAATTAGCCTAAAAGAAGGTTGGGCAGAAAGGGAAAATTCTAGGATGGGCGCGCATTAGGGAACCTAACTGGTCGGTCCATGCTTGGCAAGTCTGTTTGTTATGTTTGTTTCAAGTGCACAGGTGAAATAGTCGAACTAAGCAGGGAACCGGGACAAATGGATGAGCATCTCTGACATGAACCGGATAGCTCAAAGGAGAGTTAGAGTTTTGATTCGAGTTGATTTTTTAGTAAAGTGAACAGTCCGGATCAAGCGACGAAAGTAGCAGCAGGAGTTCGCTAACTGTCAGAAACCGCACCCACGTAGCCAGTTGCGCTCCGTTTCCGGCAGTGGAAAGCCGGAGCGGCTTGGTGCACCGGGATCGCAAGTGCACAGGTCACCAGCAGCCGCCCACGCGACTCGTCTTTCAAGGGTTCAATGCTTGCAAATCTTAGAAGAAAACTGAATTTTGAAAATTCAATTTTCTAGTATTTTTTGAACCCGTGGCAATAGTCATCCAAATCAAAGTCGTCGTCATCGGATATATATTCTTGCGCTGCGAAATCCACCGGATAACGCAATAAGCCTAGGAATCAATCGTCATTTCAGCTTTTTTCTTATGCATGTTTTTACCTCCAATACCACCGAATCCTTTGACAAATTGAGCTCCTTCCTGTGACCTATCCGTGACAATCTCGAGCTGAGTTCCGTACTGCTTGTAATTCGGCTGATTTGTTTCGTCCGTATCCACCAACCAGTCGATGAAGGGCTCGACGGACACTGTTTCAAGCTCCTGTCCGGTGCTCTTGTCGACAAAGTGCTTTCGATCGCGTTCTTCGGTTTGATTCAGGTATTTTACTTCGTTCGCTTTAAAATAAATTTTAGAAGAGATCCCTCAAAAAGACGAAATCTTACATTCGCTGACTGGATTTCGGAAGACATATCGCTTGATGTCTAAGTTCTCCCAAATGATAAGAGTCTCGACTGCACCTTGTTCAAGAGCAGATACAGTGTCACCGATCGCGAAGCAGTACTTGCCAGTATCTCGGCTGATTTCGTCAAAGTATTGACCTGAATAGAAATTGATGAATTCAAGGAATAGTGATAGATGGTACTAACAGATAAGCTTCTTTTCTTGGACGAATTTGACGTTTGAAAGATCATCCTGGACGAGTTCGATTGCTTGGTTGAATCCATTTTCACCACCGTAGGAAACATCAACGGTTCGGATGACCTTGGCGGCCAATCGCTGATCGAACATGTCTTTTGAGTGGTTTTATGTTGCTTCTTTAGTCGGCAAATGAGGAGTAAAAAATATGAAAACCTTCCTGAGCCGTTCAGTTCAGTCTTGAAATCAGCAGAACCAGCGAGAATCAGACCGACGCAGGAAACCTTATCGTCCTTGATAAAGCACTTGACTGCAGTTTCGGCGACTTTTCGGACGAAGTTGTGTCTCTTCTCCATTCGCAATCGGGCGAAACGAAGGGCGGACTGACCACCTCGGCCGTGCTTTTTCGGCAGATCAACATCGAACTACAAGTTTTTTTCAAAAAACTCGGTTGATTATTCATCTTTACCTTTTGAATAATATCACGAGTGTTGCCAGTAAGAGTGGCGAAGAGAGCACCGTTACCGTCCATAACAATGAATCCGAAACGGTTATCGTCGGTGAGCAAATCTGAGAGAGCTTCAGTGTGGAACTTGTTGTCGCACAAGTAGAGAGAGGTGTTGATTGGCTTGAAAGGCTCGAAATCGATTGTGACCTTCTTTTCTTTTCCTTCGTCGGTCATGATGGTACCGCAGTAAACGACCAGGCCATTTGTTGGAACTAAAAGAAAACTAGAAAATGTACAGTGGAAATGCAAGTTTACCCTTGTTGTAGAGCTTCAATCGCTGCTGAGTAGCAGTAATAGCCGAGAGGACGGAAAGTCGATTGACTCGCGATTTGATGTTCGACGCCGTTCCATATTCGTCGGCCAACATCTACCGAAAAGAATGAGAGGATGATATTTTACGAACAAACAAGGTTTGGATAAACATCTCGGGAGACTCCCGCGAATAATGGCGATACGGGCCCTATTTTTGATATTTCGCGAAATTTTTTAAGAGGCTATAAAAGAACTCGACGAGAATCGGAAAAATTTTAGAAGTACTGATTAGGTTTCTTTCATTTACAAAATAATTATTCTCTTCTTGATAAGCCAGGTATTTTTTAGAGATTATCCTTTTACCTTTTGCTGTTTGGCGACCTGTTCCTTGGGAGGGATGATGAGAGAAATCATGGATGTTCCATTACCACGGGCTTTTTCCAAGTTTCGGATCAGTCGTTTGATCTTGAAGACTTGAACATTTTGATCTAGATCTGGGTCAGCCATTCTGAAACAACAAAGTTGAAATTTGAATCAATGAGTCCAATTTCCGGACACAAATGAATATCGATTCAAATTTTGGGACCATAAATTAGCTGTCTGTCAAAAATTTAGAGTAATTTTCGGTGTAACGGCTCCATTTCTGACTACAAAGAGAAGTGCCCCAATTCCAGAACTGAAAATCTCTGGTGAAAAGTCGGATAAAGGTTTGTTCCTGGGTGAGTTTAGCCCTGGTGCGCAGCGTTTCTATTGGCCAATTGCGATTCAGCGAGCTCCCCGCGTTTTTTTCGCGGCTCCGCCCCGCCCGCTCCACCGCGCTACCCAGATCGGATCGGCCCACTTCTCTAATTGATCGTCTCATATTGAGATTCCAAATCTCCATCAATTTCAAATTTTTAAACAAAAGAGAGGCCTGAAAGGCTCATCTGAATGTTTAGCTTTGTTGCGAGCTACCTCTGGGAGTGAAAGAAGTCATCGTCAAAGAAGATGCAACCCTTGAAGAAGAGACTACGATCGTCGGAGAATCCTCGTTCCTCCTCGCCAAATGATAGTACTGGATCAAATGAGACTGGGTACACAAGCTCTTCTCCTCCTCAGTTTCCGGTATGAAACTTTTTTGACAGATAAATTCATTCGAAAACTATATGAGATCTTATTTGTTATTTAAATTCTTCAGGAGAAATCATCAAACGAAGGTGACCAAACTGTTTTTTCTGATGAAGATCACGGCCATCAGGATTCTGGAGAGGAAGAATTCTCCGATACATCCGACGAGTTTTCGGAAGAAGACGATGGCAACGATGAAGAATACGTTCCCGAGGAGCCAGACATAAAAGAAGAGCCTTTGGACTTTTGGGGATATGAACAAGCAAATGAGCAAGAAGCTCAGCCTGGACCAGCTGAGCCGGAAGGAGAGGAAGAAGAGACAGAGCTTGATGATGGAGAACGAGGGAAGCTCATTAGGCAAAGATTGAAAGAAATAAGAATGCAGCATCAAAAGGCTCAAGAAGAGAGGAAAACAGACGAACCCGCTGATACTGAAGATCTCAATTACTATCTTAAGCAGCTAAGAGAACATAAAATGTAAATTGATAGATTTGATTTAGAATCTGTTCTAAAAATTTTTCAGGGAAGAAGAACGAAGCAAAAAACGAAGGCTGGACTCATCCGATGAAGAGGAGTACTTCGAAAAGATCGAAAAAAGACGAGTTCCCGGAGAAGGTCGAAAGAAAAAAGAAGCAAAGCCGAAGAAAATGAGAGCAACGAAGAACATGCTGCCAGAGTACGAGGAAAACGAAGTCATCGATTTGACAAGACTCGACATGGACTTCTGCAACCCCGTAAGTATTCGATTGCAAAACAGTTTTGAATTGAATTTCAGGCCGTCAAAAACGAAGCTGAAGAACAAGAGGTTCAAGTCAAACAAGAGCTTCCAGGACCGCGGGACCGAGTTACTGGCCAAGAAACCCTCCTTCACTCGAAGCAGGTGACGGAGGTAAATTTGGAGAGAATTCTCAACTCAACCGGGGCCAAACGAGTTCGTTGGGGAGCACTTGACGATATCGTTTTGGGTTTCTATGCGGAAGCCAAAGTCGGCAGCCTTAAACGGAAAGAAGGTTTGGAAAAAAGAAACAGAAACTTTGAATAATTTTGAATTTTAGATGTTCGGAGCCTTGCGGAGACGAGGATCACTTTTGTATTAACATTCAAGCTGAAATACGATGTTCGAAAACGAAGATCGATGATCTTCCGATTGGGCTGGTGCTACGACGAATCTGGCAATGTCTTCCGATGCAACCACTTTCTTCAACGCTTCAACAGTTGGCTCGCCGATCAATCCGACAAAGGTAAATCGTATGAAAGAATTTTTCTTAAAAAATTCTTCTAGGCGCGCGGGCTTGGCTAACTGCTGATTCCACCGCCTCCAAGAAAGAAGCAGTGACTTGCCCTTACGTCCTCGAAGCCGGAAAGGAAACGCACGCGTTCCTGAACAAAGTGCTGATCAGTAACGACGAAGGCGATTTCAAAACTGGGCTTGTTCTTGCTTCGAGATTGGTTTTGAGAATCACTGACTTGGAGAAACATTCCGTGGTGCAATCGATGGATAAGCTTCAGCAGCACATTTCGACGAGATTCAACTTCGCGATCAATGCAGATGATGATCTGAGGAAGGCTTTCGTCAGAGATAAGGTTATTTTTGTTTTGCTTGTTGGATCTTGTCTAAATTTCATTTAGAAAGTGCTAGCGTATCTGCTCTTACGATGTAAGGGTCACTCGATGCACTGCCGAACGGACTGCGGAATTCGGCCAGAACTACTCGAATTCGACGACCAGCAAAAGATCATCAAGGAGGATCGTCAATGCCCCAACTGCCAGAGCTGTTTGATCACTAATCCGGTAAGAAAACGCACTTCCCCTGTATATTTACTTGGTTATTTTTGCAGTCGCATATCAAGTGCAAATTTCACCTCAAATTGGAAATGACGGCAGACGAACTCAACACTTGGAAAGTGATCTATCCAGTGCGAAACACGCTCTATCACGGAGAACAGTGCCCAGCGAACGACTATTTCAAAAAGTTGCTTGAGCCGCTTCTTCGCAAGAAACCGAAGTTTCCGAAAAATCCAATCGACGCGCTGAACAACGAGACATAAGGTAAAACTTAGATCGCCTAAATCAGCTCATATAAGTGAAATTCTAGCGAGATCGAAACTCCGCCCAATGCTTCCTGACTACTCCAAGCAAGTTCCTACAGTAACTCATTTTTAGCATCACCTCTGCCTCTCCATTTCCCCCTGTCGAAATAAAAGTGCCTGTACAAAAAAGATACTGTTATCTTTTTGTAAATTACAATTTTAAAACTGCCCAAATCGTACCATTGATCTTTTCACTTTTCACTCGTTCTTGAAGAATCCCAAAAAGTTCACTTTTCCACTGGCGCGCTACTTTTTATTGAAAATACGAAGTTTTTGTAAATAAAAATAAACTGAAAAATGCCCAAGTCTGAGTCGATTTTATTAGCGAAGCTTGGTAGTAAAATTTCTCATTTCGGAGCTCCAGTTGAGTCATTCTGACTCAAGAGCGCGGCGCTCATTGGCCAGAAGGAAAAGAGAAAATCATCAGATGAGAGAATTGCTCGTCCCGATGGAATCTTCCTTTTCCCTTCTAAGAGATCTTCTGCCTTATTTTCGCTTCGTTACTTTTTTGATTATTCTTCATTAAAAAAAATTGATTTTTGAATTTTCAGAAACCGGACATGCGTTACGTCGCTGCTTACCTTTTGGCTCAACTCGGAGGAAACGATGCCCCCGATGCTGCTGCCATCAAGAACATCCTTTCCAGGTGAGAAAACTAATCCTTCAATGACTTCGTTCAACCTTCTTTAGCGTTGGTATCGATGCTGACGAAGAGAAGCTCGGGTTGGTGATCTCTCAGCTCTCCGGCAAGGACATCAACGAAGTCATCGCTGAGGGCAAAGAAAAGCTCGCCTCCGTCCCAACCGGCGCCGCCGCTGGTGGAGCTGCCGCCGCTGCCGGTGGTGCCGCCGCCGCCGAGGAGACCAAGGAAGAAGCCAAGGCTGAATCTTCCGAGGACTCTGGTGATGACGATATGGGCTTCGGTCTTTTCGACTAAAAACTTTAAAAACCTTTGTTTCTCCAATTCTCTGTTTTTGAAATTTGCTTTTCGAGAACATGATTTGTCGAGGAATGAAAAAAATCATCGTTGTTGTCTTCTTTGCAGGTTTATTTAGCAGGTTTTGAATTATCAAATAAACCCAGAATGAAATCGGAAAAGGTGAAAAGATGAAATCTGACGCGCTAAAAGCCGAAAAAATCACTCGTGTCCGTTTCCACCGTTCCAAGGCTGGCGAAAATCGCGTTATGTCAACTTATGCAGCGCAAATCCTTCTTTTGAAAATATTCTCGGCGTTGCTTCAGCAGACAGCGTACGTTCCTGACGAGTTTTATCAATCGACCGATGTCGTCCACAATTTTATATTGAACGAAACTTCTCTCACATGGGAATGGAAATCACCGCCGATTCGATCTCCAATCTGGCTAATGCCGATTCTAATGCTGGGAAAGCTGCTGCATTCGATTGGGTTTTATCGTTTTGTCAATCTTCATACAATCATGCGACTTTACGTCGCTCTGGCATCTGGAATTTCGGAAATTTCATTTCTCAAATTCATCGATAGAAGCTTCAATTCTTCCGCGATCACGGAAGGGGCCTTTTTGCTCATGACTCTATCGTTCCACCAGCTATATGCATCCAGCAGGCCTATTTCTAATTCCATGGAATTAGCTCTTTCCACCTTCACCCTCTCCTATTTCTCAGAGGACCATCTCAAATCATCTTCAACAAGTTATCTTTACCCAGCAGCTCTGAGCATCATTATGCGTCCGACAAGCGCTACTTTCTACATTCCTCTATTTCTCCTTCATCTTTTTCATACTGAAGATCGCGTGGGACTCCTTTCTAAAAGCGTGAAAATGACAGTTTTCATCTTCGCTCTCTGCATCGGAATCGACTCACTTTGGTTTGGCGAGTATACGATTACCCCCTTCAACTTTTTAAAAGTAAATGTGTTCGATAATATCGCAGTTTTTTACGGAAGAAATGGCTTTTTCGGATGGTATCTTGTTCAAGGACTGCCCATCAGCTGTGGCTTTTCCTGTGTCTTCGCCGCTGTTCGATTGTTTTCCTCTGAGAGATTATCGAAGCTGGAAAAGGGACTTTTGATGACATTGATTTTTAACTGGTTCATCTTGGAGATCGGATCCGAGCACAAGGAATTCCGCTTCATCATGTCCGCCTTGCCTCTTCTGACTCTGTTTGGGGCGAAACCCGCTGCTCGTGTTTTTCAAAATGAATGGTTGAAGAAAATCTACGTTGGGCTGAATTTGATTATTGGAATATATTTATCAATTGTTCACCAACGAGGGCCAGGAGATCTAGCGCGCTATCTTTAGGTGTAATGGTAGAAAAATGGACCACATGATCGCCTTTTTAAAACTTCAATTATGATGCAGATTTAGAATCGCTAGGTCGTGGCGATCATTTTGATACCAAGATCATCGGAATCGGACTAAATTTTCGACCGAAAATGAGCATCGGAAGTCCCAAAATGAGCGCTAGAAATTTTCGAGCGCCCGGAAAGGGATGAATACTCCATCCAGTCATTTAACACATAGTCTCACTTTGTAGAGCAGGTTTTATTCTCCCAGAATCACTTCACAGAAATTGTGAACAGGGACTCTAGTAAGGACCAGCGCCGAAAGAGGCCCCCCAAAAACGTGCAAAATCAAGGCGAAATCGTTAGTGCGACTTCTCAGAAACCAAATTTGGCATTGATTTTCCCCCATTTTTTCGGCTTCTTTCGGCGCTCGTCCGTACTAGAGTCCCTGTTCACAACTTCTGTGAAGTGATTCTGGGAGAATAAAACCTGCTCTACAAAGTGAGACTATGAGTTAAATGACTGGATGGAGTATTCATCCCTTTCCGGGCGCTCGAAAATTTCTAGCGCTCATTTTGGGACTTCAGATGGTCATTCTCGGTCGAAAATCTAGTCCGATTCCGATGATCTTGGTATCAAAATGATCGCCACGACCTAGCGATTCTAAATCTGCATCATAATTGAAGCTTTAAAAAGGCGATCATGTGGTTCATTTTTCTACCATTACACCTAGCTATCTTAGGGTTGAATTATGCTTCAATGAAGGCGATAGTATTCGATTTTACGGCCCGTGCCATGTTATGCCCGGAGAGTACAGTCGATTTTGCTTGAAAGGACATCATCTCGGTTCGTCTAACGCTTCAGCTAGAGTTTTACATTTTCTACTTCAGAACTTTTTCAACTTCAATGTCCACCTCCGGTCTCGCAAGGCCGCAAAAACGAACCCTTCAAAACGGACGTGGATAAGTTTCACGAAGACCCAGAAGACTTTGTCTACAAAGATTTATCCCAAAAATCATACGATTATCTCGCCTTTTTTGACAAGCATGAATCAAAGCTTCGAAGTACTCTTCAAGAGCTTCGATACTTTCACGTAGAGAGCTTTTTTCATAGCCCGACTCCGCTAGATGATGCTTCCAGGAGTATTGTTTTGTACAAAATTAGAAAATGAATATTACTGTACATATTTCACTTGAGTAAGCTTAAGCTTATCTGAATACGTGTGCTTCAGAATGTCTGGGATGAAGCGAAAAAGAATGGTCGAAAATGACGAAAACGAGGATCCTGGGTTTCTTTTTGCTGTCTTCGTGTCGGGTCACAAGGTAAAAACATCAAAAATAGTCAGCCGTTTGTTCAACAGTCCATGTCTTCAGGTGATCCTCGAAAACGAAGATGACTTTCAAGCAAGTTCCCGAACGTACAAAAGCAAGAATGGGGACTTTATCGCCTACGACCAGTTGTTTCCCGGAAGAAAAATCTTGGTAGGGTCAATTTTTGAAAAACTATCCTAATGATTTTTTCAGAAATGGAAGAAAGGGCCAAGAAAATTCTTCCCGGCCACAGTTGAAAAACAGCCTTTGACTGAACCAGGGTACAAGAAAGTGAAGAGTTTGAAGGATCAAAGTCTCGAAGTTTTGACATCCAACGAAGCCGCCAACAAAATTCAAAAGAATAAGAGAAGCATCGAAGATATCACGAGGGTTCTTCGACAGAAAGCTCAAGAGAAAAAGGTTACGGAGAAAGAGATTATTTCAAAGAAATTGGCTGAACCAGCACCAGTCCAAAAAGTCCGTGTTCCCGAAGAAAAAAAGAATGAAGCGAAGAAAGATTCAACAGGAACCAAAGAATGGCTTCAGATGGTCTTCAACGCTATTGAAGCACGGCTTCAAGGTCACAAAAAGAAAAAGGTTGGCAGCGACGGCTATGAATTTTAACTTATATTATCCTAGCAAACGAAAGCGCACAGACAAGAGTGTGAAGCAGTTAAAAAGCAAATCAGAAACATCAAGAAGATGCACTCGATGGGCATTGTGGCACCTCTCGTGGTTCGTCAAGAAGCCACGCATCTTCTCCTGGAAGTTTATCCAAAAGAAATCCGCCAAATCGAGGGCTTTTTCATCGATACCTCGCCCGACTTCAGCGCCGAGCAATTAGCATTCATGACCAAAGAGCTAGCCAAAAGATCGCCTTCGAAGACGGTCTCATCAAATTCGCCCAAGAACGACGAATTAAAAAAGAACAACAAAAATTGAATTCCGATTGACCGAAAGACCCCAGGACTCCCATTACTGCCATTAAAAACTACTGCCACTTGCTGCGACAGATCAGCCTTCATCCATACTGTTTCGGTAGTTCATTTTATTAATTGATAATCATTTTTGCGGGACATCCTGACATCCTTGACAAGGACTGACAGTCAGTTGATGCCTCATTTTAATAAATATATAAATATAATAAAAATTTTAATCTGGCAACTCATCAGAAAATGGCAGAAAATGTTGTAATCGATGCCTTGCCTTATTTCGATCGAGGATACGACGATCCGGGAGTCAGGGAAGCAGCAATGGAGCTGATTGAAAGGGAGATGCACAAGTTTCCACCAACCAAAAACTACCTTGAGCATTTGCCAGCTCCAGGTACCCATCGTTCATTCTAGTTCAAAAGGCATCAACACAATAATAGATCACGACAAGTTTTTAACCCCGCTGATGAAGGCAGAACTCGCAAGAATAACGTCGAAGAAGCCAATGGAACTGATGCAGACTGAACGATACACTCTCCCTGCGCCTACTCCTGGGTTGCGACACGACCCAGAAGCCTGGAATAAAGCAGGTACTGACTCTTCCTCCTCGTGCCAGCGCATAAAATTGTTCAGTCGAAAACTCAAAGGCTCAGCTGCAGCACCAGTTGGTTCGTATTGAAAACTTGGAATTAATGGCTGATTACGGCGCCCAAGCCTGGTTGAAATACAACGAAACTCTCAACCAAATGGTCTCCGATGCACAGAAGTAAACAATTTCTCCGTCCTTATTTGATTCATTCCCCTTTCTCTAGTAAACTTCAACAGATCAGAAAAGACATCCAAGAAGTGAACTGGCAGCGAAAAGACACTCAGCAACGCGCTGGCCAGACACTTTCGCGTCTTGAAAACGAATGGGCCACGCTTGTCCACAAAAACTACGAGATCGAAGAAGTACTCATCAAGCTAGAAAACGAAAAGAACAACATGAAAGCTGGACGAAGCGTCAAGAAGCAATTCGGCTTCTAACTTGATTTTCTTCACCTTTAGAATAAATTCTACTGCCCTTGAGAACCATAAGATACATCTAGAACCAATGATGTGGTATTTTTTAAAACCGTCTGGTAGTCGCAAAGTGTCACCTTTTTTCAAGCAGCAGTCTCGTGTTCAGTTTTGATGACAGCGTTCACAAGGTGTTAGAGCAACCCAGGGTCTACGACTGAGGGGCGGAGGATCCGCTCTTTGGTAACCGACTTTTGGGACATTTTGAAACTATCCGAAAACAAAACCATCTTAGTTAGAAGAACCGTCGAAAAAAAACCTGAGAATTGATCGAATTTAGACATAATGAAATCGCGGCTTGTAATATCCTCCGCTGTCCGTACTGCCTTGAAAAATCACGAACCTATTGTCGCCCTAGAGTCCACCATCCTTACTCATGGCCTTCCTCGGCCAACAAACCTGGAAGTAGCTCAGCGCTGCGAAGCTGCTGTCAAATTAAGCGGAGCTTTTCCCGCTACCATCTTTTTATACAACGGAAAAATTCACATCGGTAAAAATTATCATTGCGTCATTTTTCCTTACTCGATTTGATAAGGAGCAAATGAAGAAGAATTATTCGAGCTTTGCCAGTGTGACGACGCAGTGAAAGTTTCCAGACGTGACTTTTCTAAAGTCCTGGCAAGTTCTGGCTGGGGCGGCACAACTATTGCTGGTACTGTATTAGCGGCCAATTTAGCTGGAATCGATCTCATGGCGACGGGGGGACTTGGGGGCGTTCATCGAGGCGCCGAAGTTACTTTCGACATTTCTGCAGATTTGTCGGAGCTTGGCCGAACACCCGTGGCGGTTGTCTCGTCTGGAGTGAAGAAAATCCTAGACGTGAAGAAAACGCTGGAAGTCTTGGAGACGCACGGAGTTGGAACGTATACAATTGGTGATTCAGATGCGTTTCCGGACTTTTACATGCGCGACTCCGGACTCAAGTCGCATGGAGGAGCAGTTTCTGTCGAACAAGCGGGCAAAATTCTTGCAGTGAATAAAGAGATCGGAATAAGCTCGGGAATTGTTTTTGCTAATCCGGTACCGAAGGATGCGGAAGGCGATGGAATTTTTATCAGTGGATTGATTGATGAAGCTCTTTCCGAAGCAGAACGTCAGAACATTACTGGGTATGAGAAAACTATCCTTTATGATTCCACAGAACTCATGTTCTTTTCAGCCCCGCGTCTACACCATTCATCCTGTCAAAACTCGCAGATCTTTCCAAAGGAAAAACTGTCGAAATCAACGTCCGTTTGGTCGAAAACAACTGCCTCGTGGGCGGCCAAATCGCGAAAGAATTCGCTCTTCAACGAAATTCCTGGTGCGTCTAACTTGCGGCTAACTTCTTTCTGTTTCAACTTAATTTTGGCCAATTTTGTAAAGAAAAAAAAACAATACTCCTGAAAATCTGTTTTTTAGTTCTCAGCATCCTTTTCTTTCGCACTCACAATCATCCGATATAGGCAGGGATTTATATATAAAGCAAGTGAAAACCGTGTTATCGCATCGAAAAAACCCAAAGACAAGTGATCTTCGGAACTGCTAATATGGACACAATCTGGAAACTTGACTCGAAGGCGCGTCCCCGTGGAGCGTCCAACTACGCTTCTGTTCAGACAAATGTGGGAGGCGTCGGTGCCAATCTTGCAATCGCTGTGGCGCGTTCTGATCTGTCTCGTAGACCAACTTTCATCACAACAATTGGTGACGACTCGGCCGGCGCCTTTTTAGAGAACCGACTTTCGAAAGAGCTAAATCTCATAAAAGTAAAGCTAAATCAATTGATTTTCAACTAATATTTCTCCAGCAAGATGTAAAAGAAGGCTCAAGATCTGGACAGTACATGTGCGTAGTGGAAGACGATGGCGAAATCCACGTTGCTGCTCAAGACATGGAAATTTCAAATCAATTTGCAATCGATACCGAGGTCAAGCGGCGGATAGAATCTTGTAAAACAATTTTGCTTGATTTCAATCTTCAGCCGGTACGAAATTAAAGCTATCAGAAAATATAACTGTATTTTAGTTCGTCCTGGAGAGGATATGTGCGCTTGGCAGAGAATCTAAAAAGATCATGTTGGCTGATCCAACGAGTTTATTTCGAATTCCTGAGAGAGAATCAGTCATACGCCAGCTTGACTTTTACTTTCCCAATTTGGCGGAATTAATTGTCACTGAAATGCAATTAATCAACTCAGAAGTTGACTTTGATGAAGCACAGCGGATTGAGAGCATTTGGCTCTCTGAACCATCACGACTTGGTTTCCATATAAAAAAGTCCGTGGAAAATCTAAGAAAAGTTGGAATCTCCTGCGAGCTTCTCGTAACAGCTGCGGAACACGGCGTTTTTCATGTTGAAGGCACACAAGTCTGCCACTTTCCATTAATATCATCGGTTAATTGGAACAAGGTGCCACAGGGCGACCCTGTTCATGTTAATGGCTGCGGAGATACATTTACAGGATGTTTTGTCGCCCAATTATCAAATGGGCGATTATCAAAAGAAGAAATAATCAAAGCTGCGCTAACTGCCTCTCAGATTTCCCTGCGCTCGGCTCAAAATATTTCTCCTGTCATTGATTTTTAATGAATAAGCTTTATTTCTGTATCAACGAGATCCTCAGTCTTTATCTTCAGAAAATGGCAGATGTAGACGATATGTTCGGTGATGAGCCCATCGTGGTCAAGCCGAGTTTAAGTGAGGTAAATGGGGACTCAAAAATTGATTCGGGGGAACCAACGCCTGTTGTGCCAGTTGCCGCTGATGACAACAAAATGGAAACGGAAGAAAATGTGGAAAACGGGCAATCTGGCGCTGAAGTCATTACAATCGAAGATTCTAACCAGAATGGAGTGGAAGCAAAAGCAACAGATAAAAAGAATGAAATAGAACCATACGTCTCAGAAACGAACATTGTTCAGGTAGACTTTACTTACTTTAGAGCCTTTTCGATCTGGTTTTTAGGTGAACAACGTCACTACAAAAGCAACGGAAGAGCAAATGAGTGTATTATTCAGTTTCATCGGGCCCATTACAGACATTGCCTTGTACCCAAAGTATGACGTCTCACTCGTCCAGAACAAAGTATTCAGCCTCCTTCATAAATGCCTTCTCAATTTTTATCTCTAGGTCTGTTTCGTGAAGTTCCAGTCGAAGGCAGACGTTGTTGTTTCCCTCCATCTCAGCAATACTGGTATCTGCTCCTTGCTAACTTTTCCTTGAATTTAAATAATTACTCTTTAACTTTAGTCTTTATCGACCGTGCGCTTCAGGTGAAGGAATGGAAGGACGAGTGGCCAGATGAGTCCGAGGCGATTATCTACTGCACGCCCCAAGATGTCGTCAAGAACATGAACCTAGGAGACGGACTGGATGCTACTTCGGTGAGAATTGATCACGATGTGGCTTTTAAAATAGCTGATTTAGACCGCGCTGACTCTCTTCAACAATCCGCGTTTGATGACGACTGTGAATGCGCAATCGGCGGATGAGTTTAGACGACAAATTTGCGTTGGAAACGTTCATGAAATCGTAACAGATGAACAGGTAGCCTTTTTCTTTTCGGAAAAGTTCTTGATTTTCTTCATTCAAGGTGAAACAATACTTTGAATCCTACTCTGGAAAAGTCGACCGGGTGGAATTCCATGAGCTTCGAAAAGGAAGAAAGACTGAAATGGACAAGGACGATGTTGGACACCAAGTGCGCTACTGCACTGTTGTGTTTTCTGATGCATCTTCTGTTGGTGCAGCTCTTCAACTTGATGGAAACGTATGTAGCCTAGGTTTAACCGTCTTCCACTAGCTTTCTTAAGATGTTCGCTGGAATTCCGATATCAATCAAGCACACGAAATACTCTGACATCAAACACGACGCTGCTCCAGATGCAATGAGCAAGCTTGACCGAGACTTTGGTAGCAAAAAGAAGAAGTCTAGGTACTTTTTATTAATAAGAGCTTGTATAAAAAAATTATTAAGATCACGATCAAGATCAAGATCTCGAAAGAAAAGCTCATCCCGCCGTCGATCTAGGTCACGCGACCGTGATCGCCGCCGCCGAGAACGATCACGCTCTAGAGACCACAAGAAAAGTAGTAAAAAGAGTCGTAAACGGTAAATACATCTTGGGACATCCATAGCGGAACCTGTAATAATGTTCTATCAATCATCCCGTTTAGATCTCGATCGCGAAAACGCTCCCGACGCTAGCTCCGCTCGACTCATTTTTGACAACCTAGCCGTTTCAGTTATTCGAAATCTTATTTTTTTCTTTTGGAAAGCCATGCCTCAAACAACTGCCCTCTGACTGTGGAATTATTCTTTCAAATTAAACTGCTGACTACAGAGATAGCGAAAAGTAACATGTGAAATGAAGAGATAAAAAGACTTTTCAAGAATGTCAAAACTGGAGACATTCGAAATTCGGTTCGGAAGGGCTGAGTTCTCATGTGGGATTGGCTTCAAGCCGCATATTGCGATTGGCTTCGGGCCGTTGGAAGAGAAAATTCTAGTTCCACTCCCGAAGATGGACTGCGAGACCACTTGCTTGAACTTGGCTGCGGGGAAGCGGATTACGTATTCGACCCCTGCCGATGTCTGGGATTCGCCAGTCATCCTCTATTTATTAGGTATTCAATCGGATAAATAGCAGTCTGACCAGCTTTCCTTTCAGAGAAAAACGACTACGGGGAATACCAGAAGATCTCTGAAAGCTATTTCCAACTTGAAAACGGCTTTTACAGTAATGACGTTGCATTTGCCTCCGTATACGACAAGACATTCGAGCTTGGAACAATTTACGTCATGGCAGAGATTAAAGAAACAGTAGCTCGTAAGCGAAGAACAAGTCAACGAAGCAAAGGCCCCTCTCGCGCTATATCATCGATAAGTCAAAAAGCGCAAAAGAAGCCGCCCACTCCCAAGTTGCACCGTGGACGTCCTCAGCCACCAAGCTACAAGAGGCCGCCATCGAAGTTTAACAAACCAGAATCAGCATACGGAAGACCAAAATTGAGCGCTAAAGCGAGTCAAAGTGTCTTGGACGAGACAAAAATTCTGAAATCATTTCAAATTCTTGAGCCGCCGCCGATCCCTGAAAAGTACCGAATAAGATATGGAGAAGATGTAGGAGCCTTGTACAACCCACCACCGATGCATTACGTTGCCCCTGTTCAACCAAGGAGGAATGAACTCCAAGTCAAGTTTAACCAGTGGGAAGCACAAGAGAAGAGCCGCGATGAAATGGAATCTATCATCGAGCGTCTGAAAGCACCACATCGCACTGTTGTTTACCGCCCAAAAATCATCCAGGCCGGTAAAAAATGAATCAGCTTTAACACCTACTAAACCTTCAATTTCCTCAGACGAACAGACAAATAAGACGAAGCGAAATATTCTCGATGCGGGCAACATCGATAGATCATCGTGTCCACTCGTAGCGCAAATAATCGACGAGCTGAATAACTTGAACGCCAAGTGCTGCACGCATCATCGACATGCTGGAAATAATGGATCCTCTGAACGCGCTATTGACTCCATCAAGGGTGAGAAAATAAAAAAGCTAGATCCGAAACCACTTAACACAATATCTAGCGCTCGCTAAGAACAAACCTAAAGTCGAGGATGTTGAATCCTCGTCAGAATCCTCTTCTGACGATGAGGACAGCATGGACGCAATGTCTACCTCTCCAATGATATCGGCAAAGTCCATTTCCGAGCATGAAATCAAGCAAAGTGCTTCTACGAGGCTCCGACAAGACCTCCCATCTGGCACATACGATCGTTTTGGACGCCCAACTCTCAAGCCGGTATTCTCGGACTTGAATACTTCCCTCAATCCTGGAAATTGTTCTTCGACATCTTTGCTTGCCCCGGATAAGCGGCGATCATCATTGAACGTTTCAAATTCTATCAGACCAAAATCATCCAAGAGGAGCCTACTTCCCATGAATTCATATCCGGTTGTAGATAAAAAGCAACCAGGAGCGAATGCCGTTGAGTCTAAGCTTCGATCTGTGACGACACAGACGACTGATAACAGCGGTCAAAAGCAACCAGCACTCACTTCGGAGACTCTATTTGCATTTGATATTCATGAGAAGAAAGAAATTGACATAAATTCTAGTCAAGAGATCGTTTCAAGTAGAAAATCGTCTTCTGAGAAAACAAAAAGACCCCGATCTTCAGGTAAAACTCAAAATGGATGTAAAAATAACGAGGTTTAGTGAATATTTCCATTCCAACAGCGAAATCTTACGCAACAACAACTTCGATTTCTTCCGACAAAAAGACGGACAACTACTCGGACGATGATTTTTCTAGCATCGCTAGTCCTCGAAGCATCCAATCATCATCTCAAGCGGAGCAAATTCCAGTCACCAAGTCAGTAACAGAATTCCACGATCAACCAACAGCACCCATGAGTGATGCTAGCTCGAGAACAGCTACTCCTCGCGGGCGTTCCTCCTACGCTGACTCAAAATCCGTAAAAACAGAAACGGAAACTGATGACTCTACTGACTATTCCACTGAAGATCAGGATTTCGACAGCCCACGACCACCATCTGACAAGACGATTCCATCCGCTCCCATTCGCTCGAAAAGTCCAGTGATCAGTAGCCGAAGACAACGAAGATAATTTCAACATAACAAGCTTTCATATTTTCTTTTTTTTAGATAAAATTTTTATTTTTTATACAAAAGAAACGTTTCTCATTCTGATTTTTGTGATTTCAGAGTGAATGGAATCGTCGGATTATGTCGGTTGCTTCATAAATGACGCCAAATCCGGCCACTTTGGAATAATCCGCGCAAATGTTGCTGCTCAGAATAGAGCTGCTGGTCGTTATACCTCGCGAGGCTCACAATTCAAGCGTTCTTCCTCTCTCAGACAAAAATGCACCTGCTTTGCCAAACAATCCAGTGGCCGGATCTTATTCAAATCAACTCTTCTTGGCGCATGTCTCGATGTCCTTGCGAGAAATCATTACCTGGTTGACTTTTACGATATGCCCGACTTTTTCGTCGGAGAGGTGTTGCTGACAGGTAATCTACTCATTCTGATGGAACTCATTATCCGGTTTTCAAAACAGGTTTTGTTGAAAGAGGGATTTTCAAGAATAGCAAATGCCCAACATGCTGGGAGACCCTAACCCGTATGATTTTACAGTGAGAGTTCTTGAATGAAAACTTTCTTGAGTGAACTTTCAACTTATGAACTCAATAGTAGCCTTTTAGTGAGATTCAAAAAATGTGCATCGGAATGGTTGAAAAGATGATTATTTACTTTCTACTTGATTTTTACAACCCCTTTTTCTCAACCTTGACACAGCAAACATGGCAAGCTTCAAAGTGGACTTTTATGGGCGTTTTACGGGCGAAATAGTCAAGTGGCCCCTTGTTAGCCTTTTCGACCTTTCTAGGAAAAAAAACACGCGAATTCATCCTTTCGATTTGATAATTGCTTGTTTCTCCCGTAGGACGCCCTTTTAGTCAGATGAATTGGCGCCGATTTTCGATAATTTGACTGAAATCTCACTTCCTGAGCAAGGAATTTCAGACCACGGCGGTGTTCTCGAAACACTTTCGCGCAACCTCAAGGTCGAATTGCTTGACTTGTCGCGTAACCAAATTACGCTGGGAAAAGGGCAGGAATGAGGCGATTTGGGAAATTAATATCTACAGACAATGGGGCGTTAATTTGCGCGATCATACGGGACTATCTTTCGTTCTCAACAATTATACCGAATAAAGAATATTCTCTATCCCTGCTAAAGTCGGTCTTAAGGCTCTCCTCAGACCAGTTCACCTTCACCCTGAATGTCTCGGATGCCTGAAACACCTGGATGTTACATCGAACCCACAGCTACGCGAGGTAGCACCAATCATCTTCAACCCGTTGAAAGCGATTTTCGAAGTCGCGCTCGATGCAGAAGCACTTGGCCGCTCGCCAACCTGTACGAAACTAAACAGGAAAACGGGCTTACTGTACATTCGCGAAGCGTGGCCGCGCTAATGTGACATCGCGCTGTCAGTTTCTGATCTCGGAATAGACCGGCTACCACCGTAATACAGCCCATACGTCCTGATTCACCCCTCATTAATCTCAGCTTTGGAGCCGATCCAACGCGGCATCGCAATAAAAACTATTAAATTTGCGTTTTCATATTAAAATTTTTTGTACCGAAGCCATCCCACAGATGCGAATATAAAGACCGCCATCGTCCGGCCAAGATCAACTTTGCCCTCCCTGTGCCAGGCATACAACAAGTACTCTTTCAAATGATGGACGGAAAGGGCAACTACAACTGTAGCACTGCTGAAATCAGTACTGAGCCTGAGAAAGAAAATAATGCGAGGTAATGATACTGTTGTTTATGGACTGTAAATCTCATCTTGGCGGTTCTCACTTGATGTTTTTTCGTTTTCATTTACTTGTTTCATGCAGAAGCTTTTTGAGGTCACCAGTAGACAGACTTTTAGAAGCCTATTTGAAAATTCATGCAACCACAACGCCACTGTACATAAGTTTAGTTATTTACAAGTTCCAGGAGTCGCCTGAGGGACACGTGAAACCTCAGATGAGGTTCTTTTTTGAATTAACTTGAGTTGAATGAATAGCATTAAACTTTTAGGACTATTCTCTGCGCCATAAAATCCCATGCTTCTAAAGCGAGCTTGAAAAGACCCCAGAAACAGCAGGTGAGGCCATTTAAGCGTCTCAAAGGAAGAGGTCAAAAGCAGAAGCTGCTTTATTAATGGAATCTAACATTTCCTCTAACCAGCTTGAGCCTTTGTAGTTCCATTGTTTTTGACCTTGCACTAGCGAACTCTTCAAAAGCCATTCAAATGTAGCCGATCTCACGAATATACTGCCACTTACAGACAACACAATAAATTAATATTCATCGACTTTTTATTCAAAAGATTTTGACCGTTTTATCCATAATTTGTTCTTCAGATTTTCGGGCTAGGAAAATGTTAAAAGCCTCGCGAGCTATCCTACCCCGGCTCAGGAACCTGTTCATCACTACCGAAACAACACCTAATCCAAATGCCCTCAAGTTCGTCCCAGGCCGCGACGTTCTCGGACCCGGCTCCACCTGTGACTTTCCAGATATTCGAGAGGCGTACAAAAGCCCCCTCGCGAAGAGGATTTTTGCCGTCGACGGTGTCAAAGGTAAGGTTTCCGAAAAACACGATAGTGATCAGGAATAACAATTTACTGCTTCGGAAGGGATGAAAAATTGTACGAAAGAGATTCCGAAGTGCGTAAAATTGAGAAAATAGACCTTATCAAACTGCGATTAACACTAATGACGCTCAGATCTCGAATAATGAGAGACTGGAACAAATTTGAATATCCGCTCTTTTAGGCTGCTTTCTTGGTCCCGATTTTGTGACAATCATCCGCCACGATGAAACGGACGATTGGCCCGTTCTCAAGGCCGAATTGTTCGCCGTTTTGACCGATTTCTTCGACTCCAACTTGCCAATTATCAATGAAGACGCACTTCCTAATCAGGATACTATTATTTATGATGATGATGTCATGCTCGGGTTTTTCATTATTTTGGCTTTTAACGCAGCACACGTAAAACGCGTCTATGTCAGAATACGACAATGAATCAAGGTTAAACTTTTATTTCAACCGAAAATTAGAGAAACTCCGTGACGTCAATGAAGGCCAAAATGAAAATTTATTACAAACGAGGTGGAATTTCCTTCATAACAAATTAAGAATTTTGAATTATCATTTTCTTCCATAATTTTTGTTTTTATCTACCGAGCAGCTATAATCGCATCAGTCTGCATCTAAAATCCCCCAAAGCAAAACCAGCTCATCTTTTTCAATATATATGCGGTCGAAATCGATAGTGGGAAATTAAGGGGAAATACGCCGCGCAAAAACCGACTTGATTACCGAAAATAAACGTTACCCAAGGGAGTGGGCAAACTCTCCTGAGGCTTCATAAATCAAGCTCTGGCTTTGATGTCCTACTCAGATGAGTTGGCCGCGGGCGAGGGCCCATTTATTTCCTACTGATTTATGGTGATCTCGTTTGTACATACCTCTGACCGTTGTACATTCTGTTACGGGTTGTACCGGAGTTTACCCTTATCACATGCTTTCGTGTTTATTGCATTTGAAGGTAATGACAGATGTAGTCAGGATCTGACTCGACCTCGTGACAGTTCGGAACATCTGTTTCATTTCGCAACAGAATTCAAATACTCCAGTGCTTTTGACGGCTTTCACGGTCATCGTCGGAAATCGCCTCAGAATCAGTCAATTGTTTGCCGCCGGGCCAATTGATATTTGTCCGAATCAACAATTCCGTGGTCGGAAATTCGTATTCTCATTTCCCATGTGATTATACAAGCCATTCTCCTTCTTATATTTACACAAGTAGTTTTATGAACCTTAACAAATATTATGAATATCTTAATTTTTCCGGTTTTATTGCGCGAAATTTTTCAAGAACGAAGCTTCTCAAGGTTGCTTTTATGCAATTTTTAATGAAACGACCTTGATGATTTTTACATTTATAGGGAGTGGCATACACATAAAAGTAAATGACATTTATATATTGATCTGTTCAAGTAGTTACAGGTGAATTGCGGTATAATTTCTATTCCAATTTCAAAATGACATTTTTCAAATTATGACCGTTTTATAAGCTCTTATTACTGAATTTTCAAATTAAATTAATATCCAGTTGTCTACCACTTGAATATTTCTTCAACTTTGTTGCTAGAGTAACCTATTTAGGCGCGAATTACAAGTGTTTTACCAGTTTTTTTCTGCCGGGTGGATGAATACAAAACGTGCTCTTTTTAAACGTCATTGTTCTTTATTTACAGGTTTAAATATACAGTAGCTCAATGTGTTGGAAGATAAATATGTACAGAAGTCCCCCTGGGGACTTCGGATTTTTTAAACGCGAAGCTTTTCCACTAGCAAAGTCGGAGTTTGATCATCGAAGGAAATCGATGCGGACATGCCACGATCGCGTGCGACCACTAAAATTTTCTCGTAAATTTTTTGCCCATAAAAACGTGTCAAAATTCTTACCTAAACCGAATCTGATTGCGCCTGTCAGGAGTCTTCCGGGGCTCGTCACGATCATCTGAGCCATCTTTTCGTTTGCGAAAAAGTCGTCGATATCGCGCTCGATAGATTTGAGGTCGTCAGCTCCGACTACGAGTTGTAAATCGGTGTCTTCTTCGGAAAGTCTTCTCAGGAGAGCCTCTCGATCAATCTTGTTCATTTTCGGTATATCTTTGTTTTCTTGAAAATAAGTGAAAATATACTGTTTCGAGTTTGTAGCGAGTGTGTTTTATACAACGAAGTGAATATTTTTTCGCACTCGTCGCGTATTTTTAGCGTCGTCGACAAAGGCGCGCTCACGGGAGGGCGCTCCCCGGATCAGCTGCGCCCGAGCGCCAGACCATTGCGATTATTTACTGGACATACGATTAGTTACTGTGTGCTTATTACCTGTCGATATTAAGACCATCTTGCCTAGTTAACCTTATGAAATGAAGTCGATATTGGCTCTGTTTACCTGCTCAATAATAACTGCTTAGGTTAATTCTTATCGAGAAGTTCTTATCGTCTTTGGGATTAGTTATGACCGAGATGCATATGATTTTGATGAAAAATATTGATTATTATTGCGTTTTTATTGAGAGCAGAAACAATCTTCTTTGTCTTTATTTTCATGAAGGTTTCAAAACATTCTAAAATAGAGAACTTACTTTTTGTTATTCCGAATTTTCGATAGTGATGACTTCATGACAGATAAATTGGCAGCTATCCGCCAGGTCGACTCCAATTCTCCTCATTTAAATTAAATAGCAATTGAAGCCTTTAATAAGGGTCGGCGCTCTTTTATCTTATGTACGCGCGTATACATTTTCAAATTTGATTGATAATTTTCAGAGTTCCGTTTTCCAGGGAGCCTTATTGTTCCGTTTTCAAAAGTTAAATCGATTCTCATAATCGTAAGGGCCGTAATAATGTTCTTCATTGCCCTTTCTGGTGACAAAAAGCTGTGGGTAAAGAACTTGGGATTCTGTCAATCTGCCATGAAGATTAAAGTTCCATCAGAAAAAAATGTTTGTTTCACAAGTAGCTTGAATATGCACAATTTCGTACCAAACGAACTCATAAATATTGTTCTTGAAAGTGGTGGGAAAGGTCAGCTGCTAGAAAAACGTCAAAAGCGGCTTGTCTGAAAAAGTTCTTATGCGCATGTTAAAAGGCTCTTTGAAATTGATAACTGATAAAGCATAAAATTATCTGCTAATAGAGGTCAGAAAAGTAATTAGATTTATGGCCCTTTTGCCGGAAGTACCCGCCGAAGCCAAGAGTGTGAAACTGAGTTTTTTACCTGCATAAACTGGAAGATTTGCTTTAGTTAAAAGAATTTTAGATGACTCTCTTATTGAATAGAATTTTTGGTTTTACAATTTCACGAGTTATTTCAAAGACGTAATCCATCTTTTCAGAGGTCTCTGACGTTCTTTCACCCGAATATCCTTTTTCTAAGAGCAGGAATTTTTAATGAATAAAGATACCAGTATCACATGAGCAGCATCAGAATCTATGATGAGTGGGATTGGTCACATTTAGAGTCAGCCTTTTTAGGAAATTTTAAAGTGTTCCTAATTTATGATTTTCCGTTGACCCGAGCTAGAATGGTTTCTCTATCGAGACTGGCGAACATCTATGCGTCGTGCTCTTGAAATGACCTTATTCGGGCATTTCTGAGCCCCAATGCTCCGAAATATAAAGCTGTGACGTTAATCGAGGGTAAATTCCGCCTTCTCTATAGGTGGAAACTAGGAATTTCTGGCGAGCAGAAGTATCGCGCAGTCGAAGTCTGCGAGCTTATTCAACAAAGTAGTTCGTCATAGGGCTATCATGAAAAACCCGCCTTACAGATGAAGTCGTTGCGATGATAAAGGAACTTCTTGACACTAGAATCCGTCCAACTGTTATGGAAGATGGTGGCGATATCTCCTTCGTGTCATTCGACCCGGATACTGGTGAGTTCGACCTATTACGGAAACTATCGTTACTCATTTCTGTATTTAGGAGTTTTGCAGCTTTCACTTATTGGGGCCTGCGCTACCTGTCCATCAAGTGTTGTTACGTTGAAGCATGGAGTGGAGAATATGATGAAGTTTTACATCCCAGAAATTACCGAAGGAAAAGTTCTTATCTGACCTCTTAAAATGAGGCCGGGTTTTTATCGAGACACGAAAAAGTCTACCAGGTAGGTAAGGCAAGATTGATTAACGGCGTGATATGGATGTTGGAGTTGGCAGAAATGTGATAGGGACACCTGTCACGAGGGACGTATTTTTTCGACTGTAATTAGGGCGATGTTAATTGCCTTGGGAAGTAGAACATGCGATATCTTCGTGTTCCTTGTTTTAGCAACTAAAGTCCGGTGGGCATGTTTTCTGAATTCTTTAAGACAAAGGCCAAAAGGAGACAGTTAACTGTGTCTCTCTTGATTATTGCCTGTCTCGTGTAGGTTCGAAGGCGCACAATAGGCCCCGGCCATAGATAACACAGAAAGAACTTTCTTCTCAGTTGAACAAATACTTACCGCAGAGCAAGATCTCTCCAATAAAGAGTTTGAAAAGATTTCGAAAACGCTCGACAAGGACGAGTGATAAACAATGAACGAAAATATGTTTAATTTATCTCTGACTTTTTGTCTGAATGACCTATTCAGCGACTAGGGTGGACAGATTTATTTCGGATATTCAATTAATATATTTAAATTTCAATGAAATAATGCAAGTTATTTTCAATATTTTTACAGTGAACTGCTGGTAAATTTTATTTTTGTTCTTGAAATCAAGGAAGAGAACACTAGCGGTTTTAATATTATTTCTCGATGTAAGAATTTACAATTATTAACAATAATAACCTCCTTCTTATGAGAGAAGTTAATATCATATGTCTTTATCATTTTTACGTCTGATCTACCCTAGACGTTGTCCCGTGCTCCCCCACCTCCGTCTGTTCAAATCATTCTTTGCTCTATTTATTCATTGAAAAAGTTTTACGTGCTCGTATTCTGACCGTGCTTTTTCATTAACAATGGCTCTCTCTAGAAGGGTTCGGGCCAAGAGCTTATTTTTCTCGGGGCGTATTCGAGAGAAAATGGACCGAAACAACCCTCAAGCCGAATCGCTCGCAGGTGATTCCCGCAGTAGGATCATATCTTATCAGACTTATATGAAACTTCATTTATGTATATTTATCATCAAAAATGGAACATTCAAATTTATCCTCAGAGGGAGAGTCCGCAGAACCACCGGACGATGTGTGTGAGCCGCCTGACATTCTCCCTTCTGAATTCAAATGTGCAGTGCTGCTCTTCAAGACTTGGATACTCGAATTAACATAATGATAAATCTCGGAAATTCTCTCATAATTAATTCTGGCTAGACATTTTCGACGGGCCTCCATGAGTTCATCAGAATATATTTATCTCCAAATCGTATCATCTAAGAATGATTTTGTAAAGAGAAAAGCTCAAAAAATAGTCTCTTAGTGTTTTTTAAACAAAGTCCACCTTATTTCGACCTTGCTGCCGCATAAATTTGAGTACCCCTTTCACAGCCCAAATTCGCGGGCCAGTCTAAGGTGTACTCAGCGCTGGACAGCAACACTAAACATCGCGTCGCGATCAAACAGCTCCTCATTGATCGGACTTCCGACAGCCGCAAGGTCCTTTCACTTATTCGGGAGATTCGTTTTCTCCGCCGCCTTGAGCATGAGTCCATTGTAAACTTCCTGGATGTCAAGTTGACCCCTTCTTCTGTATACATTGTGCAGGTATGGCTACAGTATTACCGTGAATATCCTAATTTAACGATAAAGCAAGCGAATACCATGTGAGGTATACTTACCCTAAAAGGCAATTTTCCGTATTCGATAAGAATCAAGAACAAGGAATCCTTGTCAAGGATGGTGACATCAATTGTCATCTCCGAATTACCCTATAACGACAAAATGATAATTTCCATGTATAGGAACTGATGGACACGGATCTTGAATGCGTATTTGACAACTACCCGGCTGGCTTGGGTGTTGACCATTGTCGTCTATTTTCTTATCAGCTGGTGCGAGCGATCAATTTCATCCACACGGCGCGCATCATTCACCGAGACATCAACCCCTCCAATATTCTCGTCAACCCCGACACGCTATTTGTAAAGGTGCCAAGGCCGTTAATTTTGAACGAGCGGCGTTTTTGACACGTTCTATCTTTAGCTTGGAGACTTTGGATCGGCGAGAATTTTGGACGTTCGTTTCGGAAAGCGCTGCCTTTCTATTCCCGCCTATGCGCGGTATTATCACGCGCCTGAAGTCTTAGCTGGAACTGGCATCTATGACCTAAGGTTAATAGCATTTAACCATCTTATTCTAACAACGCTTTGTAGCTCGGACATGTTCTCCCTTGGCTGCGTCCTGTACATTATGGCAACTGGTACGATTCCAATAAAGCACGAGTCCGGAGCTGCCCCTGATCTTCTCAAAGAATGGAAGTCTTTTACACTGACGCAAAAAGTATCTCCCGACGCCATTTTCTCCAATTTGATCGAAAAGTGCCTTTCAACCGAGCCAACTAACCGTCCAACAGCAAGCACCCTCTGTAACTCGTCATTTTTTGCCGAACTGAGCAACAGCGCGGTGCACCAAGTGCCCAAGTCCAAGTTTTCTGTTGAAGAGGAAGTTTTCGATTACGAACATATTTACGATGGTTAGCTAAATGTTAATGTTTGCATAATAGCTAGCGTTGAATTAAGCGTTGGAATTGGCAGTCAAAGATTGTAAACCAGACATGGAACTGTCAAAATCTGGCCCAGCGAAACCGAATTCAATTCGCTCTTTCGCAGATTGGTCGGATTTTTCAATTGCTACTTCCACAGTCTCTGGTAAGTGCATTTTTTATTTCAGCATAAATTATCTTCCTCAGAACACGAGGCGCGCATTGCCCAGACCGATTTCGCCTTTGGAATTCAAATTCACGACTGCTCGGACAAAAAAGACAGAATGTTTTACGAAGACCATGTTGCCGAATCTGGCTCTGTTTTCGACCCATACAAGTGGGATCGTAAAGAGGCAGCAAAGCCGATCTCAAAGTCAAACTACACGATCAGCGATTGTGGCTATCAGTCGGATCCGCATGCCATGTCTAGTATTCCGAGCTTGATTCGATTTTCAGAGTCTCCCGAGGCGAGGTACTCAATCACTTTTCGGTCGATCCGTGAGTAATTGAATTCAGTAGTGATCATGAGTTGACCGTTGTCTGTGCAACAGAAGGAGAACAGGTAGCAATCCCAGTTTCTGAAAGAAGCTTGGAACTGGAGGAAGAAGCCTCCCGGCATCACTTCGACTACTACCACAATAGTCACCACCACCATCACTATCATCATCATCACCACCACCATCATAAGTCTCGAAAACACAAGGTAAGCCCTTCTCAAACATCAACATCTAACACTGTTTAGCATCATCGTAAAAAATCTCATGCTTTGATCGAAGCCACGCCAGTTGTGGAAGAAAAATAGCCAAGAAAGTTCCAAGCAATCATAGTACTAAATCTCGGTACAGAAAAGCAAAGACGAATACAACCAGACCAACTTTACCGAAAAAAATAACTCAAATTCCAATTATGTTTCTTATCAAAGTGTTTTGTTCCCGAAAATTCGAATCCTTATCTCTTCATTTTCTATTCCGTTTAATAACTATTATCGCTTGCTGCAAGAGAAAATTATGTTTCTGTGAGTGTTTATTTCTTCTTATCATAATTGACCTTTAAAGTTATTGATCTATTTCCCTTCAATCAACTACCGTCTTATCGAACTTTTCAAGAGGTTTTTCGCTCTTTTCTACTTTTTCTTCCAACTTCTTACTACTGTTATTATCAGTACTTTACCATTATTTATCGTTGCAGCGCAAAAAATAACTTGAAAAAACATGAGTTTTCAAAACTCGACTACAAAAATTTCTTTTCAAAAGATTCGCTCTAATTATGAAACAACAAATGATGACATCAATGAATTATTCTTGTCTAAAAAAGCTCAGTTTTGTTCCTTTTGCCTTGATACTTCTTAGTGATTTATATAAAGTGAAATAAAGTTAAATAAATAATGCGACTTTTGGTTGACTGGAGTAGGTTTAGAAAAGTCATGGTCTGGCCATTTGGGAGGAAAAAGTCAAAAGCGCGGCATAGGTCCCCCGTGCAGGCGCTGGTGATGGCGACGCAGGGGCTGGCAAGGGCGCATTCTATGGTCACTTTGAAGTAAGTAACAACTGTATCTCGGCCCAGTGTCTTATGAGTATCCCTGAAGAGTCCCGGAGACCCCTTGATAATTTTGCAAATGACGCGTTTGTCAGCGTAAGAACACACACTCGACTGTTTGTTCCTTCTCCGGAAAAAGGCGCTCCAAAATTATTAGATTCTCATAGAAATAATCAAAATTAGCTGATGTCGAAAGATATCAAGTTTATCTTTGGCGTGAAATCAAACTATGAGTTCCATTCAGTGATACGGACGCGCACGGAAATGAATTGGACACATACTCGTTGCCTGGGGACGAGCGCGGACGAACCGGAGTTCCGCAGCCGTCGGCGGGGCAGTGTGGTTCCAGGTCTGTCTCAAGAGACAGCTTTGACGATGTGATAGAAGAGTTAGAGACTACAAGGTGAAAAAATCCACTTCCTTGGAAGTTCATTTTACAACTAAATTAAGACATGGAAAGAAGAAGAAGAAAAAACTCAAAGGAGGGATACGGACTTTTCATGTAAAAGTGACTTTTTATGTAAAATTGAAAATTAAGCCATTTCATGTAAAAGTACATTTCATGAAAATTTCAGATTTACATGAAAACGCCTTTTACATAAAAGTCCTGTTTTTCAATTTTACATAAAATGGCGGAAAAAACTTTGAAAAAAAAATTTTTCTTTGATTATTGCGAGTTTATTTTCAAATATTAATTGGTTGTGATTAAATTAATAAAAAAGCTAATAAAGAGCGGTTTAATATCAAAATTAAAATAAAAAAGTGTCGAGTCAAGTTCCTAAAAGCAAATCCCAGTGTAGGTAGCATAAAAGTTGAAGTTTGTGTTATGGCGAATTTTGATTTTCTCGGGGCAAATGCTTGAAATACTCGGTAGGGCCTACCTGTACCGGGTAGGCTATAAAACAGCCTTGCCGGGGTCGATAAGGGTCGGGATCAACCATCGAACATTCCGACTAATGCTGCATTAGTAATGCATAAAAAAGCGTTCATTTTTGTCGCTTTGAAAAGGCAGCGCCTGTTTTGCCCAAGTCTATCTCGACTCCTTCACCCTCAAAACCGCATTTGAAAATTGGACTTTTCGACGAAAAATGACGAAAAAGTCCCAATTTTGCCAAAATTTCAGATGTTTATTGCCAATAAATTTTTAAAATTAATAATAAAAAATTATTAATAAAATTATTAATAAATTATTGGCCAAGAAGTGGTCCGAACAAGTTTTTATGATAAGTTGTACTTCCGGGCACGCTGAGAAGCCAAAATATGGCTTTTTTGAAATTTTCGATTTTTTTCGATTATGCGAATTAGATTTTTTTTCTCTTCAGATCTGAATTCCTCGTGCAAAAAGCTGCAAAAAAGGTCTCTAGCTTTTTTCGATTTTTGTAGAAAAAAGTGTCTAAAATCGACCTTGAAGTTACCAATTTTGCTTCATCTTCATAAAAATTGAAAAATCAACCCTTTTTTATAGTTGTCTAGGGGTCGCACATGGCACATTTTTAGAAAGGCTATGAGCTCAGCTTTCTGAAAATGCCCGAAATTATGGGTTTGGGTTATGCCCAGAGGGCAATTCACATGGTTGAAATTTCCGAAATCGTACATTTTTTGATTGTCTTTGTTACATACCGCCGTTTCATTTTGAGTGTGTGCACTCTCTTTTTGGTGACAAAAATCAAGCCTTTTCTGTCACGAAAAAAAGTGAACTCTTTTTTCTTGCACCTCTTTTAACTTTCCGCGTCACCTCAGAAAATCGACGGCGTCGGCGTTGCACAAGTTCCCAGGCGACGAGCGCGGTACAGCGACGGTACAGATTTTTTGGAAATAGAAAAAACTGATAGACGCTTCACTAGATAAGTGTTAAAGCTTAAAGAAACAGCAAGAAAAAAAATTTTGTAACCTAAATTTTTGGAGTAATCTCAGCCAATTAAATTGCCAAAAACGCGATTTTCTGCGAGATGCTCTCCTTCTCGGCGCCGTTGCGCGAGATGTGGTTGAATTTAAAAAAATCTGAGACATGCTTCACTAGATCTAGGTTTGCCCTACTTGTAAGTGAAAAAATTTTTGAAAAATATAAGTCTGTGTCGGCGTGAGCGCCGGTCGAAAATGGCCAATTTCGGAAAAATCGTTGGGGACCCCCTTAATAGTAGACCCGGAATACGCCCTCAGAAGTGACGCTCGGGTTCAATACCCAGGAGTCCTCAAAGAAGACCGAACCCTGACCCTTACCCGAATTTTGTTGATTGATTCTTTAAAAATGCACTCAAATCTAAGTGACGTTGACCACAGGGCTTCGTCTTAAAATGCTCGGGTTTAGTCTAGGGTTACTTAGGGTTACCTTCAGTGCCCCCTAACCCTAATCACAAAAGAAAGAACGGGATGTGGGCGAACCGGGATTATGGGCAAAACGAGAGCTGCCCCTTGAAAAAGGGTTCAAAAGCGTGACTTGGTCTTCTTGACATTTTTTTGATTTTATATGAAAGTTGTGGGATAATTAGTTTTAGAAATTCGAGGAATTCGCAATAGAACCAGAAGAAAAAGAAGCAGAAAGAGTGTTTTTTATTATTTTATTCCAACTGAACAAAACTTGAAATTTACATGAAAAGACTGGTTTTTGATAAAAAATCGAACATTTTATGTAATTTTGAAAAAAAACCTTAAAATTAACATGAAAAGGCTCTTTTTCTTTTAAAAAATCGACCATTTCATGTAATTCTAACGAAGACTCTCCTAAATCTATCCTCATTCAAAATACGCCAGCTCATGTCTCAGATGTCTCCTATTTCAGCTTACTCCAGTCCTAATCAAATTTTCAAAGATAGCTTTTTCAATTACTTTCAATTCACTGAGGAAAGATGAGATTTTTCTTGAGCTTCCCCAAGCCAAATCTGCAGCCCAAACCGAACGGTAGTTAGCAGATTAAGTTCAAAGCTACTTTAAAAGTCACTTGCTTGTTCGCGTATTTGGCGTTTTTCAGCCAGTACTTTGCTTTTCGAATCAACTCCGTTTCCGTTGCTAGCTTTAAAAATTATCGCGCCTAAATTGACCGCTAGAAAGCCAAAAAATGGCCTAGATGCAGCATTAGAGTCTAATTTAGACGAGTAGATGAGCATTGCTCCGAAAAAATGATTCCAACTCGACAAACACATGAGCGGCTCATCTTAGTTTTGACGATTTATTGATTATATATTTCGTAAGTTTTTTAAGTTTTTTCGGCCGTTTCATGTAAAATTGAAAAAAAGGACTTTTTATGTAAAAGGCGTTTTCATGTAAATCTGAAATTTTCATGAAATGTACTTTTACATGAAATGGCCTAATTTTCAATTTTACATAAAAAGTCACTTTTACATGAAAAGTCCGTATCCCACTCAAAGGAAAACCTCCTAGAATTGAAGAACCCCCAGTTCAGGTTCAAGTCGAACCAACAATTGAATCCGTTTATCAAGCTGCTCCTCCAGATAACTCTCAGAATGAACCTCAGGCAAAAACTCGTTCACCAAAGAAGAAGAAGCCAACAACTATCGATACAACAACTTCAGTGCCATCATTTGCTTCGGTTCCTTCGGCTGTCTCAGATGAACCTTCTGTTTCTTCCAAAATAAGTACTGTGCCATCGAGACGACAGTCTTCTCTCGACATATTACTTGCGAAACAGGTCGATCCAGCCGTGGATCAGCTTCAACAAGGTCTCACTTAATGCCTTACCTCTTTTTAAAACCCGCTATTCTAGTAATCAACAACTTGCAAAAAGAAAACTCCCGCCTAACAACTCTGATCGCCAAAAAAGATACGCAGATCAACACGCTAAATGAAGATATCCAAAATTTACAGCTCGCCTCGGCTGACCTAAAAAGAGATAATCTCTTCTTCGCGGGCGAGGTCAAGAGCCTTGAAGCCAAGAATGAATCGATGACGAAGGAAGTTTTCACTGCCAAGATGGATCTTGCCAAAGTCAAAACTGAGAAGGAAGAGGAGTTGCTCGAGGTGGAAAGAGAAAAGAGAGATCTTGAGTACAGAATGGAGCTGATCAAATTTGAAAACGAAAAAATTGGGCGCGATTGTGCCAAATCCTTGAGCAGGGTTGATCACGAGAGAATCATTGCCTCCACTCAAGCGAACTTCGACCAAGTTCTCAAAGGCATGGAAATGCAAATGCTTCAAGCTCAAATTGACGCGAAAAAAGAAGAGGAAAAGCTCTCGATGGCTCATGGGACCATCAAATCTCTTATGCAAGAAAAAGAACGTCTTGTTATTACTGCGGAACAAGAACGCCAAAAGACCGCAGACGAAAGAGCTCGGGTTGCTCCGCTTATTGTCCAAAACGAAAGTCTTTCGAAGCGTTGTGAAATTCTCCTCCACAAATACGAAGCACTATCGCGAGATTTAGACTCGGCAAATCGCCAAATCCACGTCCAGGAACGCGTCTTTACAGCCAAAACTTCCATCAGCTCAGAGAAGAGCCTTACGTCGATGAAAGAAATGATGTATTCTGTTCAAGATGATTGGAAAAATGTCACAGAGTTATTAAAAGAAGTCCAAGAAGAGAACCACCAGAAAAGTCAGCATCAATACCAGAACTTTTTGAAAAATATCCATGACACTACTCTTGATCTTCGCCAGGTAGAAAACGGATGGGGTTAGGGAGAGAATTTAAATCTACATTTTTCTAGCGAGAAATGGACTTGAGTTTCCGCGAAGATCAAGTCCGCCATGCCAACGCCATCGCAGCTCTTCGTGAAAATCGTTTATAAACTCAGTTCCCCACTTTCAAAATTCCCTGTTCAAGTTTTTTTTCATTTTCTATTGTTTCATTCTCGTACTAGTACAGCTTATTGCAACGTTCAAGAAAACGCTGGAATCCCACGCGTTACTAATTCAGCACGTGCCATATTTTCCTTACACGCTTCACTAAAGTAGTAGCCGTAGTCTTTTCACTATCTAAACGAATCAAAGCTTCGAATCACGAATCCCCTCATTCCTCGTACTATACCCGCAGCATGCGACAAAATCAAAGCATTCCTTATTATTTTTATATTTAAATTATTTTTGTAACAAAAAAACGCTTTCTCAAACAAACTTATTTCAGACCTGATAAAAATGTCCGACGCCTTCAACAAAGCTGCCGAAGAAGCAAAGAACCTCAAGGCAAAGCCGGCTAATGACGAACTCTTGAAACTCTACTCCCTCTTCAAGGTATTTTTTTTTAGGTGTTTATATAGGCAGGTCAAGCGGGATATTTTTCTTTTGCGAGGTCAGCAGGTTAGCAAAAAGAACACGCCGGCACCCTGATGGGGTTGCTTCTACACGCTGATTTCTTCGAAGAACTCGGCATAAATTTTATGCCGCATAATCGAACTACGAAATTAGAACCCAAGAGAGAGGCGACCAAAATTCCTTTTTAGCAAGCTACCATTGGTGATTGCAACACTTCCCGCCCAGGTATGATGGACTTCTCTGGCAAGGCAAAGTGGGACGCCTGGAACGCGCTAAAGGGCAAGTCCACCGCCGACGCGGAGAAAGAATACGTCGATACCGTCGAAACTCTTAAGGGCAAATACGGACTGGCCTAAATGTTCAATTACTATCTGCATTTCTTTCGTCACTCGTACCCTCCGTAGTCCTCTTTGTTTTCTTTCTTTGCTAATCATAATTCTGTGCAAAAACGATGACACGCGCAAATTTCCAAAAACGACCAAATTCTCAAAATCTAGATCAATCCAACTTCTTTGATTTCTCCTGCTTGATCAGTGATCATCAACTCACAATCTTTTACCGAATCACCCAACTTCGTCAAAATCTTATTTAATTTAAACCACCTCTTCAACAGCATATTTTTAGAGATGAAGCGGACTATTTCTTGAATACTTTTCTTTTCCTCGTCCTTTTTTTTTTGAAATTCCGAGCTTGATAAATAATGCGACAGAAGCGCGAAAAGAAGCCCACAGTCAAGGATGAGGCTGCCAAGTCAACCAGAAATCGGAGTCGCCCAAGCAAAATTCCCCGGAGGTATGAAAATTACCAGCCAATTAGCGTCACGCGCTTGTTGACCCCAAAAATTTGAACTATGAAATTTGAATGAAATTTCTGATTTTTTGAGCAGTCATTTTATTTCTTCGATGAGTAAGAGTAAAATCACATGACCTTCGAAGGGATTAGAATCTAGTAAGTGTCTCGTGATCTAAACTATCGTAAAAACATGCATACAACTTGGTTTCGTTAGACAGTTGTTAACATAAATTCAAACTATTTTTAGATCACCCCTTTCAAAAATGAAGGAGAGAGTGAGCAGCAGACTAGAATCATTCGGACTTTCTTCGCTGCGTCAAGGGAGCAGCTCATCGTCTGGAAATCTCGACCTATCGCCGAAAAATGAGGCCTCCACATCACCCAAACATCCCCACGACATCCCCAGCACTAGTAAAGCATCCCCGCCACCAGCAGAGCCAATGAATACCTCATCCTCGACAATGTCGACGCGGAAAAGAGCGTCGCTTTCTTCTTCTCCAAAAAATAACATCACCCCCAATGCAAAGAGCATTTCTTCCGGTGTATCAACAACCCCTGACAGTTTCCGAAAGAGGAAGCTTGCCTTTTCTCGCGACTCGCCACCCAAATTGCCTGATGCCAAGAAGCCTTTACTCGAGCAGACGAGTTCGCCGCAGGAAAATGAAAATGAGCGAAGCAAAAGCAACATTCAAGACCAAAGCTGTAAGTACCATGCTAATTCTTTGAGAAAAATAAGCCATTTCTTCGTAGAAAACCTAAATGCCCTCCCAAAAAGACTTTGGACTGGGCGGCAAAGAAGCCAGAAGCCAAGATGGATCGGATCGACAGTTGGCTTCAGGCTTACAGCACTTTTTCCGAAGAGGAACAACAAATCGCCCTTGAAAGGTTGATCGACGTTTCTTCTCCTAAGAATATTCGTTTTATGCGAGATGGTAAGTTCAAGCTCCGATGAACCAAAAATTTAAGTTCTCTTTATAACTTAATCAGTATAATTATATGAGTACTTATATATTATATGAACTTTTGGTAATTGGCTTATAATCATATATATAAGAGAGACCGGCTATTTTAGATGTCAAGAAATAGAGAATGTTTCCTCGATCATGTTTTCAGTAATCGAACCGCGCTTCCAACGAGATTTCATCTCCCTCCTTCCGCCCGAGCTTGCCCTTCATGTGCTCTCGAATCTAGAGCCAAAAGACCTTGTTTCTGCGGCGCAAACATGCCGTACTTGGCGGCAACTCGCTGACGACAACACAATTTGGCGTCAAAAATGCCAAGACGAAAAAGTAAAAGGTAAGCGATGGTCGACTTTGAGAATATTTATTTTGCGCAAATGAGCGATAGGAAATGTATCAGAGAGGACCACCAAAGAGCATATAAAGAGATTAATTAGGAGTCAATTAGTATGTCGAAATCTCCAGAGTCCGCGTTCACCTATCACTTGCCTTTTAAAATTAAAAATATGACCTACCACGCCTAGAATGCTCTCCGCCTGTGCTGAAGCAATACAAGAGCTGGGCAAAAACGAGAGCTCCAGAAATCACTGGTCAGAACATTCATTCCCCGTGGAAGAAGACAATAATGAGAAAGAAACGAATAGACAGTGTTTTTATATTGCACAAAAAGGTGCTTATTGGGGACGCTAACTCCTCCGGCCACAGTAATGCTACTGTAAAGCTTTAGGGCGGAAAATGTAGCCAAGGGTCCAAATTGTGCAGTAAGGGGGTTAAAAATTTTAGAGATGGCATTATCATGCCGAAATCGGCTGCCAAAGTCGGACTTCTCTGAATTTCGGGTGGAGGACCCGGAGGACCTCCGTGAGAGTTTCTCATGGAAGAAGAAAAGAAGAAAGAATTCATGAGTCTAGAAAGAAGAAGGTTAGTTTATTTTTGTGGACATATTTCTGATGTCATAATCAAGAAAAAAATAAAAAAATTTTCAAAATAAAATTTTGGAAAATTAAATTTGGAACCATAAGTAAGCAAAAAACTTGAATAATTTATATTTTTATACCATATGGGTGAGGGTGGGGTTGGGGACATAACTGAGATTGATCACCTCAGAGTCCCACGCTTATGTCAAGCCCCTTAAATTTAAAAATCAAGGAACGGGGCTGAAACGGCCCGAAGGGCCGTCAAGCCCCTTAAATTTAAAAATCAAGGAACGGGGCTGAAACGGCCCGAAGGGCCGTCAAGCCCCTTAAATTTAAAAATCAAGGAACGGGGCTGAAACGGCCCGAAGGGCCGTCAAGCCCCTTAAATTTAAAAATCAAGGAACGGGGCTGAAACGGCCCGAAGGGCCGTCAAGCCCTTAAATTTAAAAATCAAGGAACGGGGCTGAAACGGCCCGAAGGGCCGTCAAGCCCTTAAATTTAAAAATCAAGGAACGGGGCTGAAACGGCCCGAAGGGCCGTCAAGCCCCTTAAATTTAAAAATCAAGGAACGGGGCTGAAACGGCCCGAAGGGCCGTCAAGCCCCTTAAATTTAAAAATCAAGGAACGGGGCTGAAACGGCCCGAAGGGCCGTCAAGCCCTTAAATTTAAAAATCAAGGAACGGGGCTGAAACGGCCCGAAGGGCCGTCAAGCCCCTTAAATTTAAAAATCAAGGAACGGGGCTGAAACGGCCCGAAGGGCCGTCAAGCCCCTTAAATTTAAAAATCAAGGAACGGGGCTGAAACGGCCCGAAGGGCCGTCAAGCCCCTTAAATTTAAAAATCAAGGAACGGGGCTGAAACGGCCCGAAGGGCCGTCAAGCCCCTTAAATTTAAAAATCAAGGAACGGGGCTGAAACGGCCCGAAGGGCCGTCAAGCCCTTAAATTTAAAATCAAGGAACGGGGCTGAAACGGCCCGAAGGGCCGTCAAGCCCCTTAAATTTAAAAATCAAGGAACGGGGCTGAAACGGCCCGAAGGGCCGTCAAGCCCCTTAAATTTAAAAATCAAGGAACGGGGCTGAAACGGCCCGAAGGGCCGTCAAGCCCTTAAATTTAAAAATCAAGGAACGGGGCTGAAACGGCCCGAAGGGCCGTCAAGCCCCTTAAATTTAAAAATCAAGGAACGGGGCTGAAACGGCCCGAAGGGCCGTCAAGCCCCTTAAATTTAAAATCAAGGAACGGGGCTGAAACGGCCCGAAGGGCCGTCAAGCCCCTTAAATTTAAAAATCAAGGAACGGGGCTGAAACGGCCCGAAGGGCCGTCAAGCCCCTTAAATTTAAAAATCAAGGAACGGGGCTGAAACGGCCCGAAGGGCCGTCAAGCCCCTTAAATTTAAAAATCAAGGAACGGGGCTGAAACGGCCCGAAGGGCCGTCAAGCCCCTTAAATTTAAAAATCAAGGAACGGGGCTGAAACGGCCCGAAGGGCCGTCAAGCCCTTAAATTTAAAAATCAAGGAACGGGGCTGAAACGGCCCGAAGGGCCGTCAAGCCCTTAAATTTAAAAATCAAGGAACGGGGCTGAAACGGCCCGAAGGGCCGTCAAGCCCTTAAATTTAAAAATCAAGGAACGGGGCTGAAACGGCCCGAAGGGCCGTCAAGCCCTTAAATTTAAAAATCAAGGAACGGGGCTGAAACGGCCCGAAGGGCCGTCAAGCCCCTTAAATTTAAAAATCAAGGAACGGGGCTGAAACGGCCCGAAGGGCCGTCAAGCCCCTTAAATTTAAAAATCAAGGAACGGGGCTGAAACGGCCCGAAGGGCCGTCAAGCCCCTTAAATTTAAAAATCAAGGAACGGGGCTGAAACGGCCCGAAGGGCCGTCAAGCCCCTTAAATTTAAAAATCAAGGAACGGGGCTGAAACGGCCCGAAGGGCCGTCAAGCCCCTAAATTTAAAAATCAAGGAACGGGGCTGAAACGGCCCGAAGGGCCGTCAAGCCCCTTAAATTTAAAAATCAAGGAACGGGGCTGAAACGGCCCGAAGGGCCGTCAAGCCCCTTAAATTTAAAAATCAAGGAACGGGGCTGAAACGGCCCGAAGGGCCGTCAAGCCCCTTAAATTTAAAAATCAAGGAACGGGGCTGAAACGGCCCGAAGGGCCGTCAAGCCCCTTAAATTTAAAATCAAGGAACGGGGCTGAAACGGCCCGAAGGGCCGTCAAGCCCCTTAAATTTAAAAATCAAGGAACGGGGCTGAAACGGCCCGAAGGGCCGTCAAGCCCCTTAAATTTAAAAATCAAGGAACGGGGCTGAAACGGCCCGAAGGGCCGTCAAGCCCCTTAAATTTAAAAATCAAGGAACGGGGCTGAAACGGCCCGAAGGGCCGTCAAGCCCCTTAAATTTAAAAATCAAGGAACGGGGCTGAAACGGCCCGAAGGGCCGTCAAGCCCCTTAAATTTAAAAATCAAGGAACGGGGCTGAAACGGCCCGAAGGGCCGTCAAGCCCTTAAATTTAAAAATCAAGGAACGGGGCTGAAACGGCCCGAGGTCACGTGACCCAAAATGACCTCAATCGATTCGAACATAAAAAGATCTTTGAAAAGTGATCAAATGATGTATGTGTCACTGTATATAGCTTTTATTTATTTTTGAGGTCAGTTGGGGTCACGTGACCTCGGATGACCTTTGAGAAAAAAAGAGGATGAAAAATGACGTCGAATGGTACTAATGACGATGTCCATTATAGTCTTAATTTGAAAAAATACATTATTTCCTACTATTACGTAATATTACGGAATATCACGTGGGCTCAAGAAAATTTCAACCCCCTCACTGCACGCAGTAGACCCTTAGCTACATTTTGAGCTATTCGGGGACTTTCTACGATGTCTCTGGCCGGAGGAGTTAGCGTCCCCAATTCTTGTGCAATATAAAAAAAACACTGTCATAGAGAAGGTCTGGATAGAAGGAGACGTGACGCCGCTAGAATTGGTTGGCCACGATGACCATGTTGTCACTTGTCTTCAATTTGATGGTCAGAGAATCGTTTCTGGAAGCGATGATAGTACACTCAAGGTAAGCAAGTAGGGTCGGAATTCGTTACTACAGTTTTAGGTCTGGAACGCAAAAACCGGACAATGCCAATCGACGCTTATTGGACACACGGGCGGAGTTTGGTGCCTAGAAATGAAGGTGAGTCTTTTATTATTTTTGATTGCAAAAATTAACTGACAAAAAGGATGACTGGATCGTTTCTGGCTCCACCGATCGGACTCTACGAGTTTGGTCCGCCGAGACCGGCAAATGCATAGAAACACTTTACGGCCACTGCTCAACAGTTCGATGCATGGCCTTGGCTGGAAACGAGGTCGTTTCCGGCTCTCGAGACAATACCTTGCGCCTCTGGGATCTAACCACTCTCAAATGCAAGGCTGTTCTTGTTGGTCATTTTGCTGCGGTAAGATGCGTATGCTTTGATGGCAAGAAAATTGTCTCGGGATCGTATGACAACACAGTAAAGGTAAATCAGATACAAGTTGTCTTGTTGCTAACTGAAAAATAGATTTGGGATCCGAAATCGAATTGTAAGCTTTTGCACACTCTTCAAGGCCACACACAGCGGGTTTATTCACTTCAATTCGATGGAAAACATGTTGTCAGCGGTTCGTTAGATACAAACATCATGGTGAGACGCAACCTCCTTGTAGAAGCAGAATCTAATGATTATTTCATAGGTGTGGGATGCTGATAATGGCACCTTACTACACACGCTTGTTGGACACCAAAGCTTGACTAGTGGCATGGAGCTACGGTAAGAGACGTAACTACATCTTGCCGTTTATATCTATTTTCAGAGGGAAAACTCTCGTCTCTGGAAATGCCGATTCATTTGTAAAAATTTGGGACATTGACACAGGTAACTCTCTAAGAAGCTCTTTTAGTTTCTTATGGGATCATTTAAGGCCTTCTTGTGAGAACATTGGACGACAAAAACAAGCACAACTCGGCCGTTACTTCCCTCCAATATTGTGGCAAGTTCATTATCACGTCGTCGGATGATGGAACGGTGAAATTGTGGAATGCGGAGACTGGCGAGTGGATTCGCGATTTGGTCTCGTTGGATACGAGAAATACCGGCGGCGTTGTTTGGAGAATCAAGGCCTCTGAGACGAAGCTTGTCTGCGCCGTTGGATCGCGAAATGGAACCGAGTTGACCAAATTACTCGTCCTCAATTTTGATGATTTAGCGCATTCAAAGCGATCTACGACGACCCAAAAGTGAACGGTCTATTTCAACTTACTTTTTATCATTTTTCTAGCGCTCTTCCCGGCACATCAGCCAACCTCGACCCCGCCACGATCAATTTCAACAGTCTCGGCCACGTCAATCCTACTTAGTTTTCGTTTTCCACTTTCTTGCTCCGCTCACTTCTTCAACTATGAGAATAACAACTGCAACAGATAAAAACTGATTTCAAACCTGTGCATCAGCCTTTTTATACTCACTTTCACAGCACTTTTCACGGTGAATATTTCACCTTTCTCCCTTCATCACAAAAAATTTTAAAAAATATGTTCAACTATTGACAAAAAACAAAATAAATTTTCGCTACAGGACAAAAAATGAAAGAATCGTGCCAAATTTTATAATTAGAGAGATGTTCTGTTAGATATTTTTTTCAATATGCGAAGTGCATGGTTAATTATGATCAAGAGCTTTCAGCTACTAATGCTTCGAAATTTACGATTATTGCAGCAACTGTGATGCAGCCTTATTATTTGATCGCGAGTTATTGAAAAATATTCTGTCGCATTTTCTTTTTATTTTATTCCTAGCTGTCGATTTCTTTCTTCACTCGTTTATATAATTATTTCTTACTCCACAACGAAGTTATTCAATAATCCTTCTTATCCACTGATGCATGTTAGAATGAGATTTGGACAAGTCGTTACTCCTCTCCGACAGCTTTCTCGGCCAGTCGCTCCTCGAGTGGTAAGACACAAATGCATAAATTTCAATTCTAAATTTTGATTTCAAAGCTTTCTCAAAACTCGCGTCTTGTAAGACCTGTTGTTTCCTCTATCCAGCCTGTCGTCGCCGTCCAGCAAAGAAACTTTGCCGAAGCCATCTACTGGATTGCTGCCATGATCTACATCCGAGCCATTCTCCCAAGATACAAATACATTCAAGGACAGTTGATTTATTTTTATTATATTTAATCAAAAGATATGGTTAGATAGGTTTTTCAACGAAAAAAAGCTCTTCAGTTTTGCTTTGGAATCATGAACTTGTTCATTCTTATTGCATTCTTGTAAACCAACTGTGCAGCAACCACGTTATTTATTTTCGAAATAAAGAAATTCCACCTTTAGAAAAAACGTGCAAAGCTTTTGTCAGATATTATATTTTTGAAGCAGGGTTTTTGTCAGAAGCAAGTTTATATAAGATCTATTATTTGCTGGAAGCCGCAATTGCATCTTGCAGGCTCTTTGATTATTCGTTCATCAGATGTTCCATCTGGACATTCGACTGTAATCATTCGGTCAAGAAGACCAACGGGTTCGCAGAAGTGTAGGCCGTCAGAGATAAAGAGCTTCCCATATTCGTGGTCGAATTCAACATCGTCCTGAATTATCAATCTAATTAATTTTTAAAGTTGTTTCATAACCTCAAGGCAAGCTCCCGTGCAAACTTTCAAATATACATTTTCTGCAACGCAACCATCTTGCATTAACACATTTTGTCTCCGCTCGACGAGTTCACATGAGCCTGATTCTCTTCGCTCTCGAGAAACGCAATGGGAAGGGCAAGAGTTGTTTTTGAAAAAGCTGAATACTTCAGGACATGATGCTATGCACGTATCTGAAGGCCCTTCTCGTTGAGTTTTTGTTGTCTCAGTGTCAGAAGATCGGGTTGTTACTTCTGCTGTTGATGTTGAAGTAGACTTTGTAGTTGTTGTTGTAATCGTCGTCGTGGTTGTCGTAGTAGTTGTCATGGTGACGGGTTTTGTTGAAGTCTGTATAAATGCCGCTTCCAAAAATTGCACATTTCTATTGTAATAGCAAAAGCTCAATCTTTCTAGTTCGTCAATCAATTCTTTATCTTTCGTTTCGCCAATGATATTGATGATAATTGAGTTTGGAAGATCATTTTTAAGTTTATCGAGAGCCTCAAGATTGTCTCTATGCTGGAAGAACTGCTCTCGTTTTAACACAAGCTAAAATTATCGTTTAAATATCATAAGTAGTACAGAACTGTACTTGAAGGGCGTGCTTCGTTTCAGCGATGAAATTCGGCCCATTTTTTATTCGGTAAATTTCACCAAGATGAGCCAAAATGACTTTTTGCTCTGGATGAAGATCATTAATCTCGGCTAGCAGATCAAGAATTGCAGCCATTTGAAGGTCCCTTGGAAGAAGAAGAATTATTTTTTCTTTCAGGCTGTCCATTCGTCCTGGTTCGAGAACTGCGGAGCATTGGACCGCTCTTTTAATTTCGTCAGGTTTAAGAGACTCTATGTCTTTTGAGATTACTGGCTCCACGATGGGTTCAATGAAATCGTCGGTAAATATGGGAACGACAGGTTTTTGAGTTTTTATGGAAACATCCTTTGCGTCTGTCACAATCGTTGGTGATTGTTCCGACGAAATTGGCAGGATAAGGCTCGTTCCAGTCACATCTTTCGTTGGTAGTTCATCTGACGACAGTATTTCAAGAATATCGGCTTGTAGAACAGTTAGAAAAGATAAGCTAGTTATCATACCTTTTTCTTCCAGAAACGGAATGATTTCATCAATCCGGTCGTCCGGCTCCTCTTTATCTTTTAGAACAACGACTTTATTGAGCGGTGTATTTTTGATTTGAGTATTAATATCATCCATGATTTCAGGAACTGTTCCGTTTTCGATGTCAACTTGTAGAACATTTGGAGCATCTTTGAGAATAGAATCGATGCTCTCGAACTCAGCCGTATTCGAAGAATTTATAATTGGGAGGATGACCGTTGACTTGTCAGCAAGAGTCAAAATGGGGTCCAAAATCTCGGATTTTAGTGGAGCTGGTTTAGCGATTGTTAAATCCTTTTCTAAACACAGAATGAGTTCTACTTATTTTCGATATAAAATGACCTTTAGCTTTTTCAAGAGGCATTTTCTGAATAATATGATCATCTCCGACTATGACATCAACATCCCCTTTTGTATCTAGCTCATCTAAAATATCTTCAACTTTTTCTGGCTCAATATCAGAAGGAGCAACGATGATAACTGGTCGTATCTTTGTCAAATTATTGAACAGCTCTTCATTGGGCTCGTCTTCAAGGCGGATCTTCTCTGGAATAATTGGCTGTCTGATCTTCTCGCCAATCAAAATAGGATTCGTTCGCTTCCCAGTTTTTTCTTGGAGATATTCTGGCAGAAGTTGCGTCTTTTCTGATAGAACGGGAATCAAATTCGAGTCAGTTAAATTTTCTGATTGAAGGAATTTGTTTATCTCGTCTGCGACTTCTTTTTGGGGTTTGGTTTCATCGATAATTACTGTAGTTATTGGCTCAACTGATGCTTCTTTTAATATTTCGATAACTTCAGCTTCCGGAATAGACGAAGCAATCAATGCAACAACTTGCTTAGGTTCCGCTGGCTTCGATGAAATAATAGATGAAGTTGTTGTCGAAAGAGTCGTTGTTGTTGTCTTGATGAGTTTAGAAATACTCTTTGATATCTATTTTTTATGATTTAAACTCTTCCCTGTATAATTGTGAAGCTCTCAACAGCAATCTTTTCTTTGAAATCTTCATCTTCAACAAGTTTGTCGACGTCTTTAGCCTTGATCAGTTTGCTTTCTTCGACGAGATCGATCGGTATATTTTCTCCTTCGGGGTAGTTCAGCGCTACAGGGATGGTTTGTTCATTGTCTGGTTTCAAAATATCCATCTCAACTAGCTCGATGAACTCTTGTTCGCTTTCGGGAGTGATGATAGGGATAGTAATTATGTCAGGCTTTTGAACATGCTCGATGACCGCTTCCACGTCATTGACTGGCGCTAAATTAACCTTTTCGAATACTTTTGGCAATCCATGTTTTATTTTTTGAGCATCGTTCATCGACACCTCAGGAGGAAGAATAACCAGTGCTTCTGGCAGACTCTCTTTTGGAACAGTGGTCAAGTCAAATGGTGTTGTTGTCGTCGTTGATGTCGTCGTCGTTGTTGTCGTCGTCGTTGGAGTAAAAAACGAAATTTCAATCGTGCGGAAGCAAATATAAGTCTTTTCCACCAGCTGTGCCAGGGATGATGTGTCTTCAGAGGTAACCAAGATAATACTTGAGTGGTCCATTAGAGCATTTATCTTGAATAAACCTCGTTCATCGGTTTGTAGCCGATTCAAGGAATCAACGGCTGCATATTGTCGTATTTTTGTAATGGTGTCGATTTCAAACATCGGCTGAACATGGAAGATTTTGTTTCTAAAGAGCACCTTTGAATCTGTATTTCTTGATGCTTCTTGTAAAATTTTGAGAGGCTCTTTATAATCTTCAATGTTGTCAGGGAAAATGATAAATGAAGAGGGCGCAAGGTTAGACAGGGGATCGGTTGACACATCAGATGCTTTTGTGCAAGAAGGCATCGACGCAACGGGCTGAGGGACAAGATCGATTGATAATTCATCCGGATTGGTAATTGATTCCGGTTTTATGACTTTGATTTCATCAACGATAACTGGAAGCACAGGAATCTTCGCTTCATCGAGACTCAAAAGAACATCCTGATTCTGCTCAGTGACAACTTGAACGACATCTACTGGTTTCAATTCAATGATTGCTTTAGCTAGATCTTCTACTTTAGGCTGATCTTCAAGATTCGGATCTTCCGTTTTCGTCACAATCGAAATATCCTCTTTGGGAACAACAGATCTTCCCACAAAAGTGGTAATTTCATCCTCAGGATTAAAAACATCCAGTCCGTCAAGAATATCTTTCGATTTTGAACCAGCTGGCAGAACTGAGACCACATTAACTTTCGGAACCTGGACATCTTCTATTGGTGACACTTTTAGAGCAGGAAATTTTTCTTCTAGCTTTTTGAGTTCATTTGCTCTTTCTGCGTCGTCAGGCTCAATGATCACAGTCAAAGCATCCTCGTCAATCATCTTTTCCAGAGTTTCGATGTCAATAGGATTTAGATTGATCAAAAGTGGTTCGATCACATCGACAGTGACTTCTACTGGTGATGATGGTTCTAGTGATAGAATTTCTTTGTCTCCAACAAAGAGGTTCAATGATTTTTCTTCATGCTTATCTTTCACTTCGGAAACAACTGGGACAATCGTTGCTGCAGGGGTTTCCCATGGAAAGTACATATCAAGTGATCTTCGTTTTCTGCTCAGAGTTTCATCTTCTTGAATATCTTCAAGCGACTTTTTAAATTTTTCGGGCTCTTTAATAAACTCAGGCTCATCTACAGGTTCTACTTGAACTGGGTTAGTTGGGACACCAACGAGCTTAAGCTTTGTTGGAAGATGTTTTGATTTTTCTGAAATGATTGGAACAACAGGACTTTTTACGACATCTACATTTTCTAAAACATAATCCACGATATCGTCACTTGTCTTCGACTCGATGAAGTCGTCAACAGTATCAATAAGATCTTGAGTGACTGGAAGAATCTCTTCTGGTGCTTGATTCTCAGCGAGAATAGAGGGACCAAGGAAAACAGTAGCGGGTTGTTCTTTCGGCAAGTTTGTAAGAATCTCATTTACTTTAGTCTCGTTGAGATCAGTTGGAATCAGATACACAGTGGGAGCTTCTTGAATAGCATCCGTTGCGGGCATTGATGTTGAGGGTAAAGTTGTTGTTTCTTCGCCAAAAACAGTTTCTGCTACTTTATTGATTATTTTCTCGGTAATTTCTGGTTCGATTCTGTCTGCAATAGATTGGGATGGCGCTTTCTCAGCGATGATAGACTTTACATTTTCCTTTTCTTGCATAATATTCTGAAGCTCTTCCTCATTAACAACATCGGCATTCTTCAGTTTTTCAGCGATTGTTGCATTGAGTGTTTCCTCTCTTCGTTCTTCTTGGTTAGCTTGCTCAAGAATTTTAGTAGATCCGACAACGACTGTAATATTTTGCACATCTTGATGGTCATCAATAAATTTCTCCACCTCTTGCTGAGTTACTTCTTTGGGCAAAATGAAAACGAGCTCTTCAGTTTCATCAAAAGGTTCTGTTACTGGTAGCACGATTGTTTCAAGCTCAGCAATACTTGAAATGTTGGCCACTATGTTATTGAAATTTTCCTTCTGAACATCTTCATCGACAATCACAACGAGTGGTTCGATTGGCAATTCTTTGACCATCTCAGAATTGTCTGCGTCTACAAATGCAATGACATCTCCGATCAGGTCCCCAGTTTCTATTTCTCGCTTTGGTTCTTCGTCGAGCATTGCTTCCGATATTTTATCAACAGGAGTGTCCGAAGCAATAATTTTATCATTTTGAACGATCTTTACAGTTTCATTCTCAGCAATAGGCACAGCTTTCAGCAAGTCTACGATTTCCGACGAGTTCGCATTGCTTGGAACAATAACGGTCTTTGATTCCTTCAAGACCGGAGCCTCTTGAATTTCTGGCTCGATTTCGATTGCTAACTCGCCAAGAGAAGGATTCTTATCAATGATAGCTTCCAGCGCTTCTTTGTTCGTCTCAGTAAGAATAGGAATCACAATTTGGTCATTATTTGTGTTTTCCGCGAATTCCTCAAGATTGACTGTTTCCGACGTGTTTTCTAGTAGGTCTTCAATTCTCGCTGTATCATTTTTCGATCCATTCTGTAAGATAACTTTCTCGCCAACAAGAATTGTCAGGGGAGCATCGTCAGGTGATGGAAGATCATTTACCAAGTCAACAATGTCTTTGGCGGAAATATCTTCAGGCAAAAGAATAACTGACTCAGGAGCTTGTTTGATCGTTATTGGCTGTGTGGTTGTTGTAGTCGTTCTTGTGGTTGTTGTTGCTGTTTTAGTTGTAGTCGGTGTTGTAGTTTTAGGTCGCTCCGTTACGTCCGTTACATTTACGAGAGACGAGATAAATGTCAATTTTGTCGTAGAAGCCATTGTAGTTGTAGTTGTTGTCGTAGTTGTTGTCGCCACTTTCTGCTTGTTTTCCTTAGTCACACAAATCTTGTCGACGAGCTGCGCAAAAAGGTTGAAAATGTCTGCGAACTCGTGCGTATAAAATGCTAGATCCTTTGAAGTAGCCAAGGCAATAAGCTCTTCAATTGGAGCAGTGTGCAAACCAACAGCCAGAACAGTTGTATCACCAGAGTTTCTTATCGTGCTTGAGATTTTTTGAATATCATCTTTCGTCTTACCATCTGTGACAATGACCATTATCTTAGTGACTGAGTTTCTTGCACCGTAGCGTTGATCAAAAAGCATACTCCATGCTTTCTCCATTGCTAATCCGGTGTAAGTAGACCAGCCAGAGTCGTACTTCATTTGAGTAATTTCTTGCATAAGATCTTTTTCAAGTCTGTACTTGAAATTAAACTCTTCTGTGATAACATCTGAATACTGAATAGCTGCATATTGAATGTTTCCTTTGAGAGCTTCAACTGTAGCACTAACAAATGAAAGAATCTGATCAAATCCATCCTGCCGTGTTGAAAAGCTTCCGTCAAGGACAAACATGATGTCGGCTTCCATTTTAAGATCACATGATCTCTGTTCGACCAGTTTCTGTTTCGGAGGGGCTGTGAGAAGTGGCGCTGAGCAGACCGCAGTAAGAACTTCGTCGATGACGTACGGTTGAGTTGCCGCTCGGACAGAACGCGACATGAAAAAATGAAGGCCTTTGTAATCGTATTCAGTTAAACTTGAGAAATCCTTGCCGTTTGGTGCAACGATGAGAGAGCTAAAAGCGATCTGATGCTGCTTCAAAAGTTTCACGACATATTTCGTATGAACGCGATCAGAATTGTCCTGGGAACCGGAAAAGAGAACAATGGAAGTCCGACGATCCTTACTTATCTTGAGGTATGTCAAAACTTTTCTAAGGAAGATCATCGGCTGTCGGCGCTTGTAATTTCTCATTACAGAAAAATCAACGGAAGCAAGTTTCTCATCAAAAACTTCCTTTGAATCGGATATGAAGGAATTCTTGTCAAGTCTCAATCTATTGTCGCCGTAAAACTTGACGTCAACACTTGTTTTATTGAAATCAGTTCGCTCGCTTAGCTTTCTCAAAAATTCGAGTACATATTTTCCTCGATTTGATCGCTTTTGCATTTGTAAAGTTCCATCGACAAGGATGATGAGATTCATCTCCTCCGAGCAAGCACAGGAGTTTGTGTCCGTGCAAATCTTTGGAGAAAGATCCGCAGGTTTCGGCCGAAAAGGCTCTTTCAAATCTGGAAGTGGCAGTGGGGAAGGATCGAATTTTTCCGGAGCGTTTGGAATCTGACGGGATTGGCAGAGTTCGGCGATGATTTCACCTAGAATCATTTTACATCTGTAACTAATCCATTTGATTTATGTTGTTTAAAGAAGGGTTGTCCTTCGCTTAGCGTCATACCGCGTAGAATGAACCAGTTCTCGTCCGATCACTGAAGTTAAACTACGACGGGCGGGGTTAGTACTTACATGGGTGACCGGTTGGGAATACCTCGTGCGCTAAGCATTTTGATTTTTGTAAAGAATCCTATTTACTCTTGAAAGCATACAGATTCCATCGAAAAGAGTTATTAAGGGATCCCCCGATTTCGCCAACTTTGACCTCTATCTACTTTTTTTTGAGCTTACGTAGGAAGCTGGTTTTGGGCGCATTTGAAAGCCCGCTTCGAAAGAAGCAAATTCTGGTAGAATCAGCTTGCCAGCAAAACATTCGCTTATGCATTACAGGCCGTCAAAGTGATTAACATTTTGAAAAATGGCCATTTAAGGTCATTTTCAAATCGTATCTACTTTTTGGGCTTTAGGATTCAAAATCTTTTGGTTTATCTAAAAGTATAGACGCTGATCTTTATTTTTGGTAGAATGAGCATGATCGGATAAGTGAATAAAAAATTCTAGTTGTAAAACTTTTGAAACCATTTTTGGCGTTATTTGGGTGTTAAAATGCTCTCTAGCGCCAACAATTGGCCGAAAATTCTGGTGCGGTTATTATATTCGTAATCTTCACATTCTAAGCTTTCGAAAGAGCCCTTGTTTGTGTTATTTCGATGACAATGAAAAATCGAAAAAATTGCGATTTTCACGCTAAGTACAATTTACATGCATTTTCCCGAACTTTGGGAGCCAAAATTTCGGGGATGCATTTATGTAAAGGGTACTATCATATATCAAAATGATCCTCAGAACACAAGGAATCTAATTATAGGCGATAATAACCGGTGCCAATGTTTTGAAAAATCGGGGGTGATCCCTTAAAAGAACTTCTTTTATCGCTTAGCGATGCTTCGGTGGAATGACGCTTCGTGTAGGGCGTTGTCTCGCTAGAGAAAAGCGCCCTCCACCGTGCGCGTTTTTAAAGAGGTCGAAAATAGGAGCGTGCAGCGACAAAACGACCTCGAAATCAAGCACCCCTTCTCTTTACTCATCCCATTTTTGAGTCCGATTTCGATTGTCTAACAGGTAAGAATCGTCTCCATGCCTTCTCTCTCCCATCCCTCTCGCCTCTTACGATTTTAAAACCCTACCAAGTGTCTTTTCGTCACAGAAATTTTGTTTTCCATGCCAGACTCGGAAAAAGCAAACTCCAGATGTAATTTTTTCGCTGTAAATTGTCTACAGTGTAGTATTTTACTTTAAATAAAATTCAACTAACTATTATACTTATTTAATATCTTAAACATACCCCATACAAATGTTAATATACGAGGAAAGTAAGTTAAAACTGCATCTTTCATGGAGGGAACTTCCGTGACAGAAAACATTCAAGAAGAGAGGGTATGCAGGATATCCTGTCAAGACCGATAAATTGATACTGAAGTAGTTGGAAGTGAGTGATATATCACCTTTACTTATACTTAAACTTGTGAGAGGCGAGAGGGATAGGAGAGAGAAGGCATGGAAACGATTCTTACCTGTTAGACAATCGAAATCGGACTCAAAAATGGGATGAGTAAAGAGAAGGGGTGCTTGATTTCGAGGTCGTTTTGTCGCTGCACGCTCCTATTTTCGGCCTCTTTTCAGAAAATCGCACGCTAGAGGGCGCTTTTTCACATAGACACGCCGCCCCGTCAGTAGCGCATTTAGCAAAATCATGATTTTTAAACACCGAATAGCACATTATCTGAAACTTTCATTTGAACTTTAACAGATTTGACAAAAGATTGATTCAATAGAACCTCGTCAAAAGACAAAATGCTTAGCGCACGAGGTATTCCCAACCGGTCACCCATGTAAGTACTAACCCCGCCCGTCGTAGTTTGACTTCAGTGATCGGACGAGAACTGGTTTATTCTACGCGGTATGACGCTAAGCGATGATTGCCAGGAAAGATACATTATAAATTAATAGGTACTGAATAACAAGTTTTTAATAATAACTATTTAATATTAACTTTATCATAAACTTATTAATTACCAGTGAAATTTTCCTCTTAACAAAAGCGTTATCCCAGTTGACGCCACTGTTAAGTTTGGTAAACTTTCAAAATCTGTGGTCGATTTGGTCGGCCGGGTCGGTTTTTTCTTCGTCGGTCCTTTTGATCGGCTTTTGGTCGGATTGATAATTTAACAATAATTTCATAATATTTTTTAATTAAATGTTCTTTCAGTTCAAAATTCAATGTTGCTTTTGTAAGCGTATGTTTCTAAACATCATCATGCATGTCATCATGAAGTTGCATTTTTTGAAATTTGTTTGGGGTCACTGATAAATTGTACGCCAATATTTCTTCGTCAGATTTAATGAAAGTTTGGCTGTGATCTTAAAAAAAATAAGATTTGAACGTTAGACAAGTCTTGCCAATTACGGTGCCAACATTCATCCGCATACACATGACGTTTGTCCGTACCGTTTTGCGAACTTTCTGGAGAAAAAAAAGACTGATAATATCTGATAAACAATATCTTATAAATAATTATAGAAAGTTTTTATGTATTGCTTATGGAATAAATTTTTATTTTAAAAATTATAATAAAACTTATATGATGTAATATGAAGGAGGTCAAGTGGAAGGAGTCTGATCAGCGATTTTCAGAAAATATATTACGTATATAATATTAGTCATTTTTTACTGTCCTTCATATACTTTTTTCAAGCCCAGCGAGCCAACTCGTACAGAAATTGAATCAGTCAAGTCTTTTGATAAATTCGAAAATTCAAAATTTATAGAAGACCCTGTAAATAAAATATTTAAGATATTAAATTCGAACTTTCCTATCGTATATAAGGAGCTTCTCTCTTTATTCATGTTCGATGATTGCTATACGGCGGTGAAAAAGCAGAGGCTATAAGTAGGGAAACTCGATGAAAAATGGGCTTTTTTCTGGGCTTTGTAGAGAGGGAGTATAATACAGATTTAGAAAGCCCAGAAGCTGAGGATCATTTTGACTATTTACAGTATGGGGTTTGGATCATGTCCTGGGGCGTTTTTGGGCGTCTAAAGTCCGGAAAATGGGGGTAGTTCCAGAAAAGGGATTAAAAAAGTATCGGTAGTCCATCCTAAGAAAGAGCGGCTAAGTGTACGTTGTAGAGGAGGCTCTGGCGGTTCAGAATCTGTATAGAAACCTATTGGGACCCCCACATTCTAGAGGCGCTAGAGGCTCTAGAAGTTGAAGAAGTTACCTCAAAATCGGTACTTTTTTACGAAAAGTTGCAGTAAGGGTTATATTTTTATCCGAAATCGTCTTAAAAACGTTCCTATCAATTTTTGGATGTCAAAAATATCGTTTGGGGTCATTTGAGGTTATTCGAGTAGAGTTTCGGCCAAATTCTATTTTTTCTCAAAAAATGACCCCAAGTGACCTCAAACGACCCCAAACAATATTTTTGACATCGAAAAATTGATTGGAACGTTTTGAAGACTATTTCGGATAAATATAAATCCCTTAGCGCAATTTTTCGTAAAAAAGTACCGATTTTGAGGTAACTTCTTCAACTTCTAGAGCCTCTAGCGCCTCTAGAATGTGGGGGTCCCAATAGGTTTCTATACAGATTCTGAACCGCCAGAGCCTCCTCTACAACGTACACTTAGCCGCTCTTTCTTAGGATGGACTACCGATACTTTTTTAATCCCTTTTCTGGAACTACCCCCATTTTCCGGACTTTAGACGCCCAAAAACGCCCCAGGACATGATCCAAACCCCATACTGTAAATAGTCAAAATGATCCTCAGCTTCTGGGCTTTCTAAATCTGTATTATACTCCCTCTCTACAAAGCCCAGAAAAAAGCTCATTTTTCATCGAGTTTCCCTAGCTATAAGGAGCCGCCACCAAGCGACAATCCTTGTAGCATGATGAAAAAGTTGCGCTGGAAACAACGTGCTTCCATCATACGTTGATCGATATTTTAAGCTTGTTTGTTCAAGCGCTTGTCTTTTGAAAAAAATCTTGACGTTGAACGCAACATTGAATTTTGAACTGAAAGAACATTTAATTAAAAAATATTATGAAATTATTGTTAAATTATCAATCCGACCAAAAGCCGATCAAAAGGACCGACGAAGAAAAAACCGACCCGGCCGACCAAATCGACCACAGATTTTGAAAGTTTACCAAACTTAACAGTGGCGTCAACTGGGATAACGCTTTTGTTAAGAGGAAAATTTCACTGGTAATTAATAAGTTTATGATAAAGTTAATATTAAATAGTTATTATTAAAAACTTGTTATTCAGTACCTATTAATTTATAATGTATCTTTCCTGGCAATCATCGCTTAGCGTCATACCGCGTAGAATAAACCAGTTCTCGTCCGATCACTGAAGTCAAACTACGACGGGCGGGGTTAGTACTTACATGGGTGACCGGTTGGGAATACCTCGTGCGCTAAGCATTTTGTCTTTTTGACGAGGTTCTATTGAATCAATCTTTTGTCAAATCTGTTAAAGTTCAAATGAAAGTTTCAGATAATGTGCTATTCGGTGTTTAAAAATCATGATTTTGCTAAATGCGCTACTGACGGGGCGGCGTGTCTATGTGAAAAAGCGCCCTCTAGCGTGCGATTTTCTGAAAAGAGGCCGAAAATAGGAGCGTGCAGCGACAAAACGACCTCGAAATCAAGCACCCCTTCTCTTTACTCATCCCATTTTTGAGTCCGATTTCGATTGTCTAACAGGTAAGAATCGTTTCCATGCCTTCTCTCTCCTATCCCTCTCGCCTCTCACAAGTTTAAGTATAAGTAAAGGTGATATATCACTCACTTCCAACTACTTCAGTATCAATTTATCGGTCTTGACAGGATATCCTGCATACCCTCTCTTCTTGAATGTTTTCTGTCACGGAAGTTCCCTCCATGAAAGATGCAGTTTTAACTTACTTTCCTCGTATATTAACATTTGTATGGGGTATGTTTAAGATATTAAATAAGTATAATAGTTAGTTGAATTTTATTTAAAGTAAAATACTACACTGTAGACAATTTACAGCGAAAAATTACATCTGGAGTTTGCTTTTTCCGAGTCTGGCATGGAAAACAAAATTTCTGTGACGAAAAGACACTTGGTAGGGTTTTAAAATCGTAAGAGGCGAGAGGGATGGGAGAGAAGGCATGGAGACGATTCTTACCTGTTAGACAATCGAAATCGGACTCAAAAATGGGATGAGTAAAGAGAAGGGGTGCTTGATTTCGAGGTCGTTTTGTCGCTGCACGCTCCTATTTTCGACCTCTTTAAAAAAACGCGCACGGTGGAGGGCGCTTTTTCTCTAGCGAGACAACGCCCTACACGAAGCGTCATTCCACCGAAGCATCGCTAAGCGATAAAAAGAAGTTCTTTTAAGGGATCACCCCCCGATTTTTCAAAACATTGGCACCGGTTATTATCGCCTATAATTAGATTCCTTGTGTTCTGAGGATCATTTTGATATATGATAGTACCCCTTTACATAAATGCATCCCCGAAATTTTGGCTCCCAAAGTTCGGGAAAATGCATGTAAATTGTACTTAGCGTGAAAATCGCAATTTTTTTCGATTTTTCATTGTCATCGAAATAACACAAACAAGGGCTCTTTCGAAAGCTTAGAATGTGAAGATTACGAATATAATAACCGCACCAGAATTTTCGGCCAATTGTTGGCGCTAGAGAGCATTTTAACACCCAAATAACGCCAAAAATGGTTTCAAAAAGTTTTACAAATAGAATTTTTTTATTCACTTATCCGATCATGCTCATTCTACCAAAAAATAAAGATCAGCGTCTATACTTTTAGATAAACCAAAAAGATTTTGAATCCTAAAGCCCAAAAAAAAGTAGATACGATTTGAAAATGACCTTAAATGGCCATTTTTCAAAATGTTAATCACTTTGACGGCCTGTAATGCATAAGCGAATGTTTTGCTGGCAAGCTGATTCTACCAGAATTTGCTTCTTTCGAAGCGGGCTTTCAAATGCGCCCAAAACCAGCTTCCTACGTAAGCTCAAAAAAAAGTAGATAGAGGTCAAAGTTGGCGAAATCGGGGGATCCCTTAATAACTCTTTTCGATGGAATCTGTATGCTTTCAAGAGTAAATAGGATTCTTTACAAAAATCAAAATGCTTAGCGCACGAGGTATTCCCAACCGGTCACCCATGTAAGTACTAACCCCGCCCGTCGTAGTTTAACTTCAGTGATCGGACGAGAACTGGTTCATTCTACGCGGTATGACGCTAAGCGAAGGACAACCCTTCTTTAAACACTATAAATTGGAAATTTTTTACCTAAGATATTTTTATTTTTGATGAGATCCCTGAAGCAAGAAACATAAAAGCTCCCTGTGTCACTATGATCAATCTGGTTTGGTGTTATAACGAGATCATCTTCTTCAAATTGCAGTTGCCCTTCATCTTCATCAAAAATCAAAAAGAGTCTTCTTCCCTGATTTTTCTCGGATACGCGACTATCAGTCAACCCGAATGGACCATTCACTTCTCCTGTCAGATAGTGCTGTATCTTTTGCACAAAATCGGAAAGTTCTTCTTGTGAAATTTTGTCAAAGAAGATTGAAATCGAGTTCTCAGCAGTGCACTTTTCGATTTTGACGGGCTCAGGAGTCTTGTCCATGACTTCAGCTGGAACGATCTCCTGAACATCGATTTTCGTTGGAACTTTTGGAGCGTCACAAAGCTCTTGAAGAAGTTGGTGAGTTCCATCAGCAATTTGATCAGGCGAAGAGATCGAGACTAGGCGGTTTTCAAGACTGAGCACGTCTGCTTTTGAGAGAGAGAAGATCTCTACTTTCTCTTCAAGAAAGATATAATGCCAGTAAGTTGTGTTAAGCTCCGAGGTCATTGCAATTAGCTGCTTTGAGAAGCCTGTGCCTTGACTGAAGAACGATTTCAAATCATCAACGATAGTCAATGAAGAGCGTTCAGTCCAAGCAAGAGTTTTTTCAACGTTATCAGTTTTGAATCGCGTAGCTTGCGAGACTGTCACTGCTTTGACAACAGTCCACTTCACATTTTTAGTGCTTAATGCACCGGCTTCGCCGAAAATCAGATACTTTAGGGAAGTAGCTGCATCAACATATCTTTGAAGGAGTTCGTCGTCATCAGCGCTCTCCATAAAAACAACGATTTCGCGATCAGCAAGTTTACAGGATTTGGCAATGTTCTTGACGATCTCATTTGCCAATTCTTTGATTGGTTCAGCAATCGGTTCTTTTCTTGAATTCAGAACTCGCTCAGTTCTTTTTCGCTTCTCACAGAAATCAAAAATTTTTAGAAATTTCCGTGCTGAAATTTTCACTGGTTTTGGCTTTTGTGGGACGCTTATTTTTATTAATTGTGGACGATTATATGCAACAGCAAGTCTCAAAACAATTATCCATTGGCCTTCTGTTTTGCAAGTAAAAATCACCTCTGCGGCAATCAAGGTTCTCTGACGACAGGCCGCTTGAGATGGCCGTCTTGTTTTTATTTTATAGTTGCTGTTGAAAAGATTTTTAAGCCGTTTACAAGAATAGCACTTTTCGTCACTTCTACGAGATCGTCTCATTCGCATGCGTCCTTTACGTCGTTTTCTAGCTTTTACGGGTTTGAATTCAAGTTCCTAAAAAAACAGGTTCCTCAGAACGCGGTTCATCTGGCTCCTGCTCCTCGGCTTGTTGGGCTCGTCTTTCCTCGCAAACATGGCGAAGAATGCAGTCATTGTCGATGTCACTGAATAGATACCCTTCTGGACATGTTGGAAAGCAACCATCAATGCATTGAAGGTTTTTGCTGAGACTACAATATGAGCGCTCGCATCTTTCTTCGCAGTACGGGCGGCAAGTATCGTAGTGCCAGACACAGCCTTTTGAAGGATTTTACTCGTTAAATTGATTATTAACTGAACTTCTATATAAATACTCAACTGTAATCTATTTCAGTTAATCACTTTAAGAATAAAGAAAAAAATTTAAATTGATCCTAAATGACTTTTAGTGATAGTTTTGGTATTCAAAACCCGGTCCTCCAGGTTGTTTTTCTTGAGCCTCGCACATGAGCGGGCATAAATCTGGCGATCTCCATCTCACGGGTTCTCCGGCAACAGCACAAGCTCTGGCAAAAGAAGCTATTGTGGCACACAAGCACTCGCATTCTCCTCCACGTGAGCATGAACAAGCGGATTCCTTGCAGTCTTCATAGAATGCCGTTGGGTCAACTTTTGCCCGGCATTTTTCAAAGATATCGGAGTATATGAGTTGACATGTTTCAATGGCGTATGCATTTTTACTCTGATCAGTAGCAAGGCAGGTTGAAGACGAGTTTTCATCAGTAGAAGGAGCTGAGCACATTGATTTGCGAGAAGAGAATTTCCAGCCTTCTGCTAAAAGATCTCCCGAGGTAACAATTGCTCCGTTTCGACCAGTGAAATCGTCGCTATTGTCTCCATTGAAATTTCCGCACATTCCACACACATCACCGTTTAGGTTGTTTTCAACGATAACGTGGACTCTAAGGCTCACATCCCAAAGTACAACTACATCTGGATTGACTTGAATAATGAGATAAAGCCCAACTTGCCGAACTCCAAGCCGCGGTGGATCTCCTGTCCTAACAATTTTTCGTCGCCCAGAAGACTCGTAATTTCCATAGACAGAAAATACCTTTCCATTCGAATGGTAAACCCTAAGCTGTTTGGTGCAAATAAGATTAGTCCCTTGGCATTGCTTGTTTTCAAGCGTGACAGTGAAAGATTCTGAAGGTTTCGATTTACATTTGTTTGTGGCTAGAATAATTTCACAATTTGACGAAAAAGCGAGACTCTTCCCATCGAATGTTTTCATGTGTCTTGTACCATAAACTGAGCATTCACCAGCACAGGGTTTTGCTTTTCTCAGCCATTTGCCATTTCTGCAAATGAACATATGACAGACTCCATCTTTCGGCTTTAAATATTCTGGGCAGGTGCATTCTTGCCTCGTAGAAACACATTTCTGTAAGCTACTGTCCCAGAATCCAGCTACACACCCGCAGACCTTATTGTCTCCGGTAAAATCCTCTTGGTTGCAAACATTCGCTGTTTCCTTATTTTGAAGCTCAAGACCGTACCCACAGTTTGATCTTAGATAATTTCGCTTTCCTCGGACAAGTTCATTATTTGATGTTTCTTGACTCTCGCAAGTCATAACTCCACTTGAACAGGAGCAATTTTCTCCAGCAGTATTGACAGATGTTTCTCCGGGATACATGGCGAGTCCATCGTTGTCGTAGCAAGGGCATTGTGCTAAAGGAATACACTGGTCACGATCATCGCGGTAAAATCCGTCTTTGCAAGAGCACGCAGATATCCTCTTCGAACAGTGACCTTTTCTTTTCGAAGACATGTTCTGACAGGTTTCTTCGAGGGGACACACAGAGTCTGACCAGATTTCATTTTTTGAACACTCATTCACACAAATTTCTGGAGTCATTATTTCCTTCTTCAAAGATGAGACCAGCGCATTTTTACAATGTCTTATATACTCTGCTACAGATTCACAAATAACTTGATGACATCCAACCTCGTTGAAACAATTGCAGATATCCGCTTGACATCTTGCAATAAAAATCTCTGGGGGAATCACGTGATTGCATTCTTTCAGATCTTGTGAAACAAAGACTTGACACATTTCGAATCTTTCGCGGGCACAGTTTCCGATTTTCTGAACTGGTAGAATCAGGTTTCTTTGAGGCAAAAGATTAAAGATGCTGGCGAAGTGTTGAAAGTCAACGTCATAATGCCCAGTATTCGCCATAGTTGTCTTCGGAGCGCAAATACCCTCGAAACTTTCTGTCCCTCTGTATTCAATCATCACACTTACGCCTGGAACAAAAGAAATGACGATGTCCAGTTCGAGAATTTCAATGACACTAGTCTGAGACAACCATAAATTCGGATAGATTCATTCTCATGAATCCCAAGAACTCGCTCGCCATCAATGAATATAGCGTCACTAGGACCAAGTCGGATATGGTTACCATCTTCGTTGTCCACAGATACTTTGTGCATACAGATTGAATACTGATCCCCTGCGCATTGGCTGAACTCGACTTTTATCGATAATGAAGGCAGCCGGAGAGCGATATAATTTCCATGTGAGTGAAGGCTATTCTGCCCGCCATCAAAATCGTCAATGTGCCCCGCTCCAAAGAGTCTGCATCGACGTGGACTCGCATCAGGCTTTTTGCAAGCCCAACTGAGCCCTTTGCACGAGCATACTTCTTCATTTGTGGATACAACAGAACCTTGAACGTAAAACTTATCATTCAATGTGCATCCACACGCTTCTTCACTGACACAAATGCCGTCTTCTCGAAGAATTTGCTTCTCAGGACAGGTACATCCAGGAAATTTGTTCATTATAGGACAGGAGTACGAATTTTCATTGCGTTTATCGGCGCAATTTGGCGTACATAAATCGACAGACTCTGACCAGATCTGATTTTTCGGGCAATTCGGCTCTGGGCAGAGGTCAGCCCGACGCCAATTCCCTACTTCGAAGCCATACTGAGCGCAAGTACTTGCCCAGCCAGACATAACATGGCAAAGACAATCAGTATTATGAGAATCAGAACATTGCTGGGAAAGCTCTGATACACATTTAGACATGAGATCAGCAGCGATTGGGACGACCTTAGCGCACTTGTTGAAATTTCCCAACTGCATTAGGTGATCGCAGGTATCTGCCAGTTGAGCATGCTTGATTTTACTCTTTATTGGAGGCTCATAATAGCAGTTTGATGGAAGTTTTCCATTTGGCAAGAGAAGATCAGATGTCTGAGAAACAGAGCTAGAACACAGCCCTCCAGGAATTTCACTACCAGTGTATTTTATCCAAACTTCTTCGCCGGTAGAAATTATGACCAGCTCAGAAAAGGAAAACTCTTGTCGATTTTCACCGAAATTTGTCGAAAAAGGGGACTGTTGTGAGAGGATGATTGTTTCGCTCATTGACCTCGCAATTAGATCATTTGTGTCCGTTCGCAACTGAATGTCAATGTCCCGACTTTTGAACAGTGAGACCGTGCATTTAATTTCATCGTTCTTTTGAATAAAATGAATAGACTCGTCAAATAACATCACACGAGCGGACGTAAAAGAACAAATCTTGGCTTTGGGTCCATATCTTTTGCAGCTTGGTCCGCTCCAGTTATCTTTGCAAGAGCACAAATCTGGTGCAGTGCAGCGACCACCATTTTCACATTGCTGTGAGCAAACTGCTTTCGAGCATCTGCTACCAGTCCATCCTTCTTTGCATTTGCAGACACCACCGGGCTGGCATTCGCCTCCTTGACTGCTACAATCGTCACATACTGGAATTTCGCAGCGCTCTCCTCCCCAGTGGTCTTTACAACTACAGGTCTTCGTTGATTGATCGCAAGTTCCATTCTCACAATCACAAATTTTCTCACTGCAACCTTCTCCTGCCCATCCTTTGTGGCAAAGACAAAGGCCAAATTCACAATCCCCGTTGATGCAAGTGTCTGTACTGCAGATTCTATCATTACTGTTCACTAAGATGGGCAAGGAAGCCCAAAAATTGAGCAACCTCATCTTCAGTATCTCTGTTGTGAATCTAATCAAGTTCAAAGAAATCTTCTGAGCAAGAGGATGTTTATATTCTGAGATGAAAATATCAACATAAGAAAACAAAACCGGCAGAGGAAATCAGAGTTATTTTAGATCAGAAAATGCATAGGTCTGTTCCTTTTCAAATTACAAGTTAGTTTCATGCCAATCGTATCCTGCTATGCAAGAATTAGTTTCAAAGTGGTAAGACTTTTCAAAATGAGATCTTCAAATTTGACCACTACTTCCGATCTGATGTAGAATTTTGAATCGACTTTAATATCAGTTTGTAATACAAAAAGTAAAAAGCAAAGTCTGAGCGAGTTTATGTTCCGTGAGAGTAAGCAGCGTGAAGTAAACAGAGCGATGGATTCTGAAGTGTTTTTGATGAATGAAGTGTTCCTTATTTATTATAAATAATTTTTTTTTTGGAAGAAAGTTGATTGTTTCTTTTTTCGAAGCCGCCTTAGAGGTTCAAGCTGAGATCTTGTTCTTTTTTTGCAACGTACTAAAAATCGGTTTAGGTAAAATTTTAATGAAGTCGATTACCTGAGTGAAGGTTCTCAAAAATCGTGGATATTCGCGTCTATATACAGTTCTAAGGGCTTTCTTTGGCACCCAACCACCTGGATTGATCGTAGCTGTATACACTAGAATCTTTCTAACGAAGAAATATTCAGAATTTCGCTTACCAATTGAGGTTTTAATGTCTTTTCTTGTAGGATTTGTGACTCCGTGGCGAACATATGTTCTGCAGATCATTGCTACATCAACAGTAGCTCTAACTGAACATAACAGGTGAATTTTCTAATAAAGTAATAGAGTTTACCCATCCCAGGTTGGAGTTTTGCACCATCATGATCGACCGAGTAGTTGATTACGAGCCAGCAGTTCTTGAGCTCGCCGAATCGCTCCAACTCGGGCTCCTTGTAAGCAATCTTCTCAAGTCGGATTTCCCTCAACCCAGAAACGTAGCAAACATCTCGCTGGGCAGCGGGCCACACTCGTTTGTGCGTTTGATACAAAACGACGTCTCTGTCAGATAAAACCTCGCAGACGCGGCAAGTTTCGATTGTGAGCTCCCATTCAAGGCGAACTTCGGTGTCCCAGAATCGTGTACAGATTTCTTTAGCGCTGATGTTGTCGACGACGTGGACAGCTCGCAAGGGATCAACACAAACACCTCCTTCTAGTTCAACTTCGCGCGTGAAAAGCTTCATTTCGCCGTCTTCGCAGAATAGTTCCCAAGACCCGTTTTCGCCATTTGCAGCGGGAGCTATCGTCGTTTCAAGATGATCCTAAGAGTTTGAGTATAACATCCACGCAAGAACAACTTACCCTGATTTTGAAGTCCAAAGCGACAGAGTGCACATGATGTTCTGATGGAGCGCGTACTTGACTCTTCAATCGGCTAAAATTTTATCATGAGAAAGTCGAAAAGTATTCTTTTCAATTTCACCTAGTGTTTATCAGCCGCAAATTTATATCAATGATACATTTCGGCCGATAACTCGAAGGATCATTTTCATCAACATATTCACAATTCGAAGGAAAGAAAGGGACCGTTAGAATTTCCTCATATGCTTCGGCGTATTCAAAATCAACCTTATCAGGGTTGAATAACGAAGACGTTCTAGCACTAACTGGAGGAGGTGAATCGTCTCTGTTTATACTCGAAATTTGCAATTTTTTCCGTCGATTTTTCAATCGCGAAAACCCGCTAGCAACTTGGGAAATGTATGCTCCCTCATCCAGTGCAAAACTTATCTTTTGCCCCATCCTCCTACGTTTAAAAAACAACTGATACGATTAACTGAGGTTCAGACTCTAGAGATAGTATATGGAGAACTGTACCTGTTTTCATTGAGCTCTTTTTCAAGCTGATCTCGTTTATCGAGAACTTCTTCTACAGCATCAAAGAATTCTTCTTCTGTAATAGGACGGTTAGGGCCTTCAAGATCTGGTTGCGAGGCGATGGCGAGCTGCTTTGCCAGACTTTCCTAAATGATTGTTTTCAAGGGGATCTGTCCGTCGAGAAACCACCATTAGATTCGCTCCTTTCAAACTGAGGTCGAAAGTGAGGCAAAAATTTTGTATGAATCAATTTCTAGAGAAGAACAAACCTTTGTCTTCGTGGCTTTATTCAGTTTTCTCTTCCAGCTCTCCGTTTCGGTACTCATCAAATCCAAACAATGTTGAAGCGTCGATAGAACACCAAGAGTCGTTGCTTTGAAAGTTATTGCTTCTCCTTTGAAGTCGATCATATTTTTTCCAGATGTCTGAGACTCCTTATTTTCATTTTCCAACTCGTCTCTCTGCCCCATCTCGTCGAAGTACTCTTTTGACAAAAGATTAAATTTCAAAAGAAAAATTCCACGAGGCCATTCCGTGAACGAGCATCTGCTTGGCCCAAAAATAGATTTTGAACAAACAAACGTTTGATTCCATTTCTGGGTCAAGATAGGTGAATGCCTCTCTCGGCATCGTTTCCTTACCTTGAAGTGAGTCAATTTGACCCACTAAAATTTCACGATAGGTTTTGAGTTCTTCAATTTTTCTTTCAACAGAAGCGGCAGTTTTGCGCTGCGACGAGCTCGAGTGAAGACTTCGCGAGCCAATTGACAATGATCCTGCTCGATGAACGCGTCCAGAGAGAACATCTGACTTGGCATCTTCCAGGAGTTCTAACCAGCAATTTTTCTCTTCCTCGCTCTCTGCTCTGAAATACCAGCTTGTTCCGTCTGACAAGAGCAGGTCAAATCGAGGCGGGTCGAAATCGTGCGTCACGATTTCAATCTTGTCCAGTTGAACAAGCCCTCTGCAGCCGAAGTCCATCTCTGACTCTGATTTGTAGTAAGCAAGAGTGCCTCGCTCGATGATAACATATCGACATTGCCAGCCAGAGAGGTAGTTGGTCCATTTGAACAGTTCTCCGCGCTTGACTAGGATATCATTTTCTTCTTCATCGTCTGTTGTCGTCGGTGTGTCGGACATTTGGCTTGTCACACCTGCATACGACATAGTATCATTGGTTTATATTACTTTCGATTTCGATGGATTCTATAAAGAAAAATCCTCAATGAAAGGTTTTTGATGGTCAGTTGATTCTTGCAGGGTTTTATTATACAGTATTATAAAGATACAGTAGTGTGAATGGTTTCAATTTATAAAAATCTATCTGATATGCATTTTAGTACTTGAAGATATTGCTAGAATTGTGACCTATGGAAGTTAAATGTGTTTTTGCATCGTCCATCATTCTTATAGTGCCACAGAGAAAACAAGCGTCGATTTTTTCAGCTGGAAAGTATTTCTCGATCATTTCTTTCCCTATTCTGCCCTTTTCTTTGTCCCATGTAAAGTCAGGTTTGGAGAGTGTGAAAATCACTTTGAAGCGAGTTGGATAAGCTTTTGCAAGCTTCTCGAGACGATCGCGCAGAAGAATGTCGTGTTCGTAGCGATTTCCGTAGAGGAGAGTAATTCTCGAGCCAATTCTAAAAATATTTTCATGAAAAGGAAAAGTCTGGAATTGTTGGAATTCGTGTTTGATCGAGGTTGCTATAGAATTACCGGAGTTTTCCCTTCAACTACAAGTTCAATGGAGAATCTGCTAGATCAAAGAGAGGCACGCAGAGTGGCGATGACTGAGATTAAAGAAGGCCGAAAATCAGGTAGCATTAATTATAAGAAGAACCTGTTTTCATAAAAATCAGTTTACGAGATATTCGAAACCTATCAAGAAAGCGAGAGTCCTCTAACAAGTGTTGCCGATAAACACAGTCAGTATGAAGAAGTTAGAGGATCTATTCTAAGACCCCTCGGAACTGCATTTTGGACTAGGAGAAATGATCGAGGTATTGATGCAATACTCGAAGAGAACGAATCGCTTCGAAGCTATGTTACCTCAACAAGCATCTTGATTGAAAGAGAAACTTCAAAACTTCAGAATAGAGTCTTGGAGTTAGAAAACGAACATTTGAAAAAGAAAATCACCGAGCTTGAAGAAAAACTCGAAGGAATTTAATTGTAGATGCAAAATGCTCTCAATAATTTTCAAAAGAAAAAGAAGAGAAGAAAAGCGAACAAGACTCGAGATGCCGCTTCAATTTTCGACGAAGTTTGGCAAAAATATTCAAAAAATAAATTTCCACACCTTTCATTGCTGAAAATTTCTTGAATAAGTTGCCACATTGGAGTAATTCCAGTTCCAACGGCTAATAAACCAATATTTTTAAGCCCTGTAAAAGCACGTTATGATCAGTTCTAAGTCAATGAGAAAACCTGTTAATTTTCGTCCACCGGAAACAGTGAATTGATCCAAATCAGAACGATATTCGATCGTGCCGTACGGAGCACTGAAATCCATTTCATCGCCAATATTGAGTGAATCCATCTGCTGGCTCATTAGTCCGCCGGAAGGAAACTCATCATTGGGAAAATAGACTTTAATAACTAGATCAAAGTGCCCTCGTTCGTTCACTGTCGACACTGGAGTGTAGTTTCGGGATATTTCTTTGCCAGCGATGACTGCATGAACTTTCACGTGCTTTCCTATAGATATTCCGAGCTCTTCGTTGTCTGGAATTTCAAATCTAAAGAATATTTTATTTTTTCGAAGATTCGAGAAGATTCTTATTTGATAGCGATAAAAGAAATTACCTAAACAATCTTGTATCTGGACTTAAAACAATTCTCTTTATCAATTTGAACTTTCTTCTACTTCTTGGGTTTCTTCTGAAAATTCCTCTGGGACTCTCTTCTGATTTCATAAAATAATATGCCAAGTATCCAAGTGCTCCCGCTGTAGCTGCCTGTAGCAGTATTTTAAACCCTTTGTATTCAATAAGTTTGAGTGAATAAAGATAAATTTGCACCTGGCTTTTGGAGAAAGTCGCTCATCGTGAATTTCAGAATTTCTTCAATTCAAGCTTTGCTGGACGCGATTCAAGAACTACAAAAGGAAACAACACGTAGGTGTGGTAGCTCAGAAGGGCATTACGTAATCGATGGTCAGGATGATCCTCTGGGAAATCTCTTAGCACTGCCAAGACTCATTCTGAAACTATTAACTGCTTGTTATTGCGTTTTGAGAAAATCCGCGACTCTTAATTAGCTTCGAAAATGGTGTATTGTAAATATTTATTTACGAAATAATACAGCTAAAAATCATTGAAGAGACGAAGAAGGCCGTGCAGGAGGGGATGAAGTAGAGTATTCAAAAGACGGATTATTTGGCGCTGACATTAGAGTGTTTCTTTTTGGCCTGGGAGGAGATATTTCTGCGGAGACGTAATTAGGCACTGAAGATTTGAAGGAATTAGCCTAATGAAAATTGTTTACCGTGGACACTGTGTCTACTCGGAGCAGCCGGAGCGACCATATCTATTTTTGAATTGGTGACATTGTTAGATCTTGGAGTTGTACTTTGGCGAACCGAGCTGCTTGCTTGGATCTCCATCAAACTTGAGCCAGTGACACGAGCAAGGTTGGTGAAATGTATTTTCATCCGCACGAGACAAACGATGCATAAAATGGACGAAACTGAAATGAAACTTGAGAACTTGAACTTTAAAGTTTGAAAGTGAGTTACCCGCTAAGATTGGCATGCAAATGTTAGGAATGAGCGAGCAATCGAGAAAGCTGCTGGGACCACTGCAGAAGTCAGGCTGAAGCTCTTCGTAAATCCACCATGAAAAACTTGAGACGTGAATCAAAGTGTTAAATATACTCCACCCGAGCATACAGGAAACCAACGACTCGGACTGAATAATAAATACTTGACGATCCATCTCTGGTCAATTATTTTTACCTGATTGTAAACACCATACGAGCCGGAAACTATTGTTCGTTTTGAGTACTTCAGAAGAAGGAGGATATTGTTCACATATGTTACCACAATCTTTTAAAGTTTTAAATTGTTTCTTTTGAAGAGGTTTTAACCTGTAGTAGAGTGATGTAAATAACTGGCGATTTATCATGCCTGCTGATCCATTTCTGTGCCAAGATGGTGACGATTGAAATAAATAAAATCTTAAATCGGCTCATCCAGTACCGGTGATTACGCTAAATCTTACCTGGATATTACACAACACCAGTTTCTGCGTCTTTAGCGAGCATCTAGCACACCTTGTAAATTAAGAGTTATCATTTTGAATTAGCCTTAATGAAATTATGCCCTTCTCTCAAGATAATGGTCTTCTTGCATTTCGAAAATGAGAAAAAAATGAATAATGTCAAAAAATAAGAGAGATCTATTTTTACTTTTATGTGCTGAAAGGGATCAAGACCTTTCCATCCGGGCAATAAAAGTTCAGTGTCTTTTCCCCTCAAATAATGCGTGGTTGTTACTTGTATCTCTTACGGTACTCTCCCTAACATCATGAGAGAATATTTTTCAATTTAAGGATATTTACTTTTTTGTTGAGCTCATAATCACAATTTTACTGTCACGGCGGCGGTAAGGGTACTGAGTTATAAAGAGAAAGGTTTTTATTTTCATCACTTATTAAAATTTCAGGTATAGAAATAAACCTTTCTATAATCAAAAATGAGGGATTGCCTTTTCATCTGATCTCTCATTTTTTATCTAAAAGTTTTGAAGGGGCAGAGGTCTTCTATAATCGACTGCAATCAAAATTGACATATGCCAGTCACAAAGTGAGATTATGTGTTCTATCTACTCAAGATTTATGTTCTCGCTTGAGCATCTTCCAGCATATAATTTGAACATACAGTGATTGCAACTGTGTTGTGATTTTCTACTTGAGCAAAGAATCAAAAATTGCTATGAATGAGAACCTATTTCTTCAGAATCAACCGCATCCGATTAAAAGCACTTGCGCTAAAAGCCTCTGTCTAAATCAATCTGTCCATTCTTTCGCCTTATAAGAAATCTGCTAATGATGGCATAATCATTTAAGTTGGTTTCACCCCTTTTACAGGCTTTGAAAACAGAGAAAATCATGTATCTATCTATCCTCTATTTGAGGAACTAGAGTATAAAAGTTCATTCTTGTCTCAAGAGATATTAGTGTCTTACTTGCGTCTTCTTCCAATCGGAAGTCTTGAAGGACCTTCTGCCAGATCACAGTCAGATGACTTCGACGTTCTTTTCATTAATTAATTCTCTGTGACGAAGTGTATCTGACCTTCTCTGCTGTCAGTATTTGCGAAAAAGCCTTGGAAAAAACGTATGACAGAATGAACAGGTGAGCTGTTCATCAACGCCAGGAATTAGGTCTCGATCACCGGGCTGCTCATTATTTATCGATTTTTCAGGCGGGATGAAAAATGCTGAGACGGAGGGCGAAAGAAGAAGAAAAAAATTGCAGCCAGATGCGTTGGATGAATCGGAAAGGCTTTGCTGGATAAGCCGAATATCGAGAGCCGCCTTTGTGTCGCCCCCCATTCCGAGCGATTAGGCACGCTGAGCATACGAATATGAAAAAATATCCAAAAAACTAATATATTCTATTAAATAAATAACATAGTTCACGGCTGATTCCGATGAAACTTCTTTCTACGATTTTAAGCTTTCAGATTTTATGGAATGAATTTGAATTTCATGCGAAATATGAAAATTATATCCTGAAATTAAGAAAGAAAATAAACAAAAATGTACGATATAATTTATTAAATTTCTGTTTTTCATAGGTAAAATTGAGTAAAGAGCGGAATGGACAATTAACTTTAGAAGTTAAAATGGTTGTAAGATGGATACGTTTTCAAGAAAAAGTTGTGAAGAAAGATAGTCAGTGGGATAGTTCAACATTTGAGCGGAAAAAAGTACAGGAGAGTTAAAGTTCAAAGAGCGGAATATGTATTTTATTCCGAATATGGTCGATGCGGTAGAGGTGAACGGGGCAGTTCATGCGTCTTGTCAGTAGTCACGCCGACCAAAGACAGAGTTGGACATTACGGGGACGCGCGAGTTGACGTTGGGCGGCTGGGCTGAGTGATATGCTTTTTTAAAATACTGTTCGTGGAAACGCAGTTTCTGAAGAAGAAATACGGTTGAACGATGAAAGCTTTCGGGGTCACGTGATTAAAAAAAAGACAATTACCTGCTTTAGGATTTCATTAAGCAGCTCGTAGCGATGATTTGGATGATCAACCCCAAGTCTTTCTAATTTCTCATCGTCTAATCGCATCAGTGCTCGGCCATTAATATCTTATATATTGGAGCAAATTAGAAACAAAATAGCAATATACCATGATATCTGAAGCTTTGAGAATATCGACCGCTAATGTCGCTGGAGCAATTTCGACAAAGCCAATTGACTACCTCGTCTGAAAATATAAATGTAAATTTAGATAATGCACTCAAAAAGCTTACCGACTGTCCATGTAAAGACATCTTTTCTATTTTCAGCGGGTCTGTAAATGGGTTGGAAAATCGACTTGCGAGAAGAATATTATTATCGGAGGATTTTCAACCCTTTCCTCGGACGAAGACTGGAAGTGGATGACATTGGCGGGTATCTCTGCTGCTGAGGCTTGATCAGACTCTGGCGATTTTGAGCAACGATCGGGTGCTGCTGGGCGAAACGTTGCTGAGTAAAACATTAGTCAACCAGTAAGGGCTCAAGAAAGTGGAAAGTTACCGGAACATTTCGCTGAGTGTACATTCCGTGAGCGGCAAGGTGATTCATTAGGGTTCCATTTTGATCTTAATTTAATTTTAGCACTAGAAGGTCTTTTACTGTCTTTATCTGGCTAGGAAGTTCTGGGAGTTCGAAAATGATATTTCAGCCTCTCATAAGCTATTTCATATTAATCACAAATATATACAACGATTAAATACCAGCATCATATGTATACTGAAGATGCCCTAAAGGTTTAAAATTTTAATGAGCAAGCCTTCAATGAACTCACCTAATGTCGCCATGTTGCTTTGACTATGGCTAAAAGGTCGGCTCTCCATCGTCTAAAAAGGTGACGATGAGAACAGTTCGATGAATATTATATATTTATTATTATAAGAAAGTCTTTCGAACAGCATCAGAAATCGGAATAATTTTTTGAACTTGGTAATCGTAGGAATTTTGCCACATCTTATCAGTGTAATATCGGTAGTTGACCATCATCGACAGTGACTCGGCCATTCCATACAGTGCAGTATTGGCACCGAAATTGAGTCGCTAGAAAGAAGATGCGGACAAATTCGGGCTTTATCTTTTCTTACCCAAAGTTCGGCACCATTTCGCACGTGAAAATTGCAAACAGGACAGAGAGCGGAATTTTCGTTGCCTCTGTCTGCGTATAGATATTTGAAAAGAAGTTTAGGCAACGAGTCGGAGAATTTAGGTAACAGTTCGGTATCAAGTGAAGCGACGAGTTCGCGGAAGTCGGAATAGTTTTCAGCACCAATTATTTCAACTAGAATTATCTTTAGATTTGGAGCCTGAAAGGTAAGACAAACCAAGTGAGGATTCATCAGAGTCCATCATTTTCAAGATCCAGCGCCGAAAGCCCGGAACGGGAGATAAAGATGAAAATTGAGTCACACTTTTCAAAGTTTCATCTTTTTGCATCTCTGCTGTAGCTGATGTAATAAGTCGATGACCAAGATCAATCCCTCTAGAATTTCTATTGAGCATGTGAATTGACCAAAGAGGGATTTACCGCAATCCAGGTTCAAGTGAAGAGATGGAATAGAAAATGGCGGAATCGGGAGCTTTCTCCTTTTCATCATCATTCATAATTTTTTGAATGGAATTCGCGATTCCGTTCGTGAGAGCAACATTCACGACAATGAGCGGATGATCGGGATTTTGAAAGTGCGTCAAGTAGAACACCCGGCGATCGGCGTTTTCCAGGCGGCGGATCATCCGACATTCAGAAACTATCGGATGAACTCTGTCGGAGCTCTAGAAAAAGCTCTTATAGGATCACTTGCAAGATCAAACCGAGAAGAGGTTAAGAATAGCTCTGGAGCTGTTCGCGGTCATACGTTGAACTTGGAGGCCAGAGTCAAGATTCGCCGTAATCGTATCAGTGAGGGCAGAAGACAGGGAGAGATTGAGTTTCGCCTTGAGAAGGGTTGAACGAATGGCGATGAGCGTCGACACTCCATTAGGCTGTCGAGTCATCAATTGCAGAAAGCGACGGCCAGCATCTTCTGGGATCGAGTCCAAGCTTTCAATTATCTGCAGCTTTGTCTCTAGCTCTGCATTTGACTGAAACATACATCAATCACAATCTTATAAGCTCTATACTTACCCATTCCAGTTGAAAGGCTTGAATCTCGGTTGGAGCAATGACCTTCTCTGCATGTTTCAACTGAAGTCTGTCGCTAAGTGATTTCACTGAATATTTCATCGGTGATTTGAACAAAAACAACTGAAGAAAATGGCTAGTGTTTTCTCGATTCAGACAAAAGTTTCGCAACTTGGCTAGACAGAAATCTTTGCTTACCGACGCTCATAATGTCTGATCAGGATTGCATGATATTATTGGACGCGGTAGATAAAATAAATTGCTAGCGTAAGGAGTATAAAGAGGAAGTCTAAAAATGAACATCTCTCACGCAACCCGTTCGATTGATGGTCATGCCGAATCGCCGAGCAACTCGAAGCATGATTTTCTTAAAATAGAAATTAATTTTTAACATGATTTTTGTTATAACATAAATAACGCATCATATCAGTGAGGTCAGCGAGTAAGATCAGGTGAATTAGATTTTCTCAGTTGGAAAGCGCAAGTTCTTTGGTTTTATTCCCTCTTTCATCTGTTCATTTTGGATCTTCGAGGCTAGTTGAAGCCTTTGCTCGCTCTGTCTGTACTTGAATCTGTCTGTATAAAAGGGAATCCACGAAGAAAGACAAGGCTCTTGCATCTTCACTTTCAATCCGCTGCACGCCGTTTCTGCCTCCTCATAAATGCGCTTTTCACAATTGCTGCCGGAATTTTCTCCTTGATAGCCGCATTTTAGATTTCCAGCACCGTCGAGTTCGAATAATTCAGCCGTGTGGCGAGTCATACAATCGTAATACTGGTCACGTAAAGCGAAGCAAGTTTTCCGATCGATTTTCTTTGGCATGATCTTGGAAAAATAACATAAAAGCGTTTTGAATTATTACAAACAGGTTTTTTTTAACGTTGCACCATTTTTGTGGAGCGCTTTTCAGTGGGTTAGAGTTGAGATATTTTGGTTATCTCTTTTGCAGCATGTAGGGGACGGTCTGTAGTATGTTAAATAAGCTTTTTGTGTCGGTAGCATTACTGGTGGTGGAGTAATGACGTCATTCATTGGGAATTCGCGGCAAAGCGCGAATGGTGGGAGAAAATTTGAAAAGTCCTTAAAAGCACCAGATATGTTTTTTATCATACAGGGATGTTTCCTACATGTATGCGAAATAATCCTGATAGTTTTTGGTGCCAGCACCAAGGTTGGTGCTAGAGTAATGACGTCATCAAGATTTTTTCCTATGATTTTAGTGTATTTTGGATGTCGTGATTACTCCACCACCAGTGATGGTGCCGACACCAAAAGCTTATTTAACATACTACAGACCCTCCCAATTAAGGTCCAAAAGAGAAAATTGAAATATCTTGAATCTAACACCATCAAAAACGCTCCACCAATTATGTGCAACGTTAAAAAAAACCTGTTACATTTAGTAAGAATATGGCAGGACAGATTGATTAAAAAATTTAATCAAGAATGAAACAAAAAGCATTTGATGGAAATTATTGACTGTGGGACGACCGATTTCGCTTTCGTCCGCGACCAGTTTTCTTTGTCTGCTTTCGGTCAATCTTTGAAATTTCAGTTTTGATTGCATGATGCTGATTAGCCAAGTAGCAAAGGTGCATTTCGAGCATATTAATGCGCTCCTCAGACGATTCTGTTTGATCAAATTGGGACATTAATTGATGGTGCTCCGATTCGAAGTCTATTTTTGAAAGCTGCTCTAGCGATAGCTTTGACCAAGGAAGAGGCGAAACAGGCTGAGTAAGAAATATTTAAGAAGAACTTAATACGAGCAAAGAAAGATACCTCGTTAATAGTGGGTTGATCGTTTTTCTCGCTGTGCGACTCGGCGGAATATTCAGAATCTTCCTCTCGCGCGTCTTTCTCTGTCGGACTTTGGATGCTCTCGTCGTCCTCGATAAATGATGAGTTGGCGGAAATCATGGAAGACAACAACTCATTGCTCGTCACTTTGTCTCCAAAATGCTCTGGGTCATTGAGTGGTAGAGAATCAAGAGTCACTGACTCGTCGAAATGTCGCGTTCCTTTTCATAGGATTTAATATATCAATTTAGTTAAGTTAGTCACCTTTGATTCGTAAAGAAGATCGCTTCATAGTCTTCTCGTCCATATCATCAAAAACAACGGTATAAACCGACACGTCTTTCAACTTGAGCACGACCCCTTTGCGCCCTTTGTATTCTACTTTGGCGCCCAGCCTGGCTTCGCCGGTCACGTGTCTGTCTGACGTTTGCAGCACTTTACCGTCTTCCATTCGCAATTTTAATCGAAATTCGGCATCAACGCTCTTTATGCGGGCTTCGCAGAAAGCCCCTTTGAATTTCGCTAAACAAACAAGAAATATCGAGTCTTTTCGAATGAGTTCTAGTACCTGATACTTCAAGGCCAGCCTGTAGTAATCGAGTATCCGGTTCGCTTATCATATCTGCAAAAAAATATTTATTTAAGTGCTTCGAAATACTGTTAACTTATAAGTGAGCTGGACAATTTTTACAAAGAGGCTACAGCTTTAGAAAGCAATTAAAAATAATAATTATACACACTACAGCATTTTTGTGTTTTTCTACAACTCAGACAAGGATTATGTTTGAGTTATTCTTTGAAAATAAATGTTGAAAAATTAAATGGGAGTTCGCCACAACTCAGAAAATGTCGGAACAAATTGCAGCAATTGAATAGAAATGGTTGAAGATGGACCGGTCGTCTGCATGAAGGGTGTAGGTATAAGGGTTAGCACAAGAGACTTCAGTCGAGTGAGCTTTTGTTTCAATCGAAAAAGGAAGTGTAAACTTTTAAAATGATTACTGCTAGTTTTCGATCCTCAAATGAGAAAATCATGTTTCTTGAGTCCAAATCAGAGACAGCCCAACAATAGGGCTAGGGGTTGAAAACTGGAAAAACGGGATCACATAAAGTAATTTCAGGAAGAGAGAACGGGAGTTGGGCGATTGCTAAAGGCAGTTTTGAAAGTGAGATCGGGTCGATTAGCACAAGTTCCATTAGATTCCTTGGATAGCAGTGTTCTGAAAGAGAATATTTTTGAACTCAGGAGCCATTGTGTGATTATACCTTTTTCTTAGCGGACATGTACTCGTCCATCTGCTTATCCAAATAAGCCTTTGTTCCGCTCATGTACTGATCCATTTCCTCGTCCAGTCTGGCCCGATTATACTTTGCAGATTTCTGCATGTATCCTTCTAATTCGCGATCAAGCTGGCGGCGATTCGTTCGGCCGTAGTTGCCGTACTTTCCATTGATTCGGTTGTTGTTTCCTGAATAATAAAATATTGCTTGATATAAAGGGTTTATCGTACGTTTGAAACGGAAGCCGGCTGCTTGAGAAGGTCGGAAACCCTGTCGTGATCGCATTTCATTGAATTTTCTGCTAGGTTCTGGCGTGAATCGGTCCAGTGGATTCACGAATCGTCCAGAAGATCTTCTGGATCTGCTTTCTCTGGGATCTTGAATGAAAATTTAAAAAATATTTCAAAATTAGTGAAACTCACAGTTTTCCTGGCGATTCCGATCCCAGAAAGACTTGTACTGTCTTTTCTGGACCCTTCCATTCATTCTTCGAGCGAAGGGAATTCGGTCAGGAAAGTTCTTTCGCCCGACTCGATGATGGACGCTTGTACGTCGCTTGAATGTTAAGTTAATCGACTTATCTGTCGAAGGGTTAACTTACAGTGTTTTTGTACTGTTGAGCACGAGAAACAGTATTCCGAGCTGGGTATTTGTATCCTCCAGCGATGACTGATCGTGGTTGACGAGAGCTCATGTTTGAGCGCATTCGTGAGACTGTTCCCGCAATTCCTCGTTCGTCAACACGAATGTTTCGGGTCACCGGCTCTTTCACTTGAGTCTTCCTTGTCTTCATGATGCGAGTGAAGCGGTCATTTAGAGAAGATGAGGTAGTAGAGGTCATTATGACACGCTCACTCGCCATTTTCAAGGATTTTCTTCTTTCTAAGCCTCTTTTCCTTCTAAAAAAATGAGTCTGATGACGGTAATTTTTACGGAAAACTTAGCGGGTAAATTGGACTTATTTATGTATGTTACAGAAAGTTATGTTTTTTGAAAGAAAAATGAACGTAGAATTATCATGAAGAGCTTTTCGAATGGTAGCTAAGGAGGTTGAATGCAGGATTTTCAGTTTCACCAATAATAATTTAAAATTTCCTAAATTTTGCAGCGAGATTTTTTATTGTTCTTGAAACTTTCAGCAGATATTTCTTATTGCGGATAGCCGGGTCGTACGTTTCTTGAGCCTCGGTTTAGTCTGTATCCACCGGCAGGGGCGCCCTAAGACTGTAAGAAGATGGAAATCAAAATAATTATTACCATTGGTGGTCCTGATGGAGGTGCTGCAGATGGTGGGGGTCCGGCCGAAGCTTGTGGAGCAGCGTATTGCTGCTGATATCCCATATTTGGCTGTTGTTGCGCTTGGGAAGCCTGTGGATAACCATTTTGTTGTTGCTGTTGTTGCTGCTGCTGTTGCTGAGCATAGTACTGTTGATACTGAAAGAACACGTGAGTTTGACTCGTGAAAATTAGTTCTTACTTGTTGCTGGTACGCTTGTTGTTGTTGCTGATACAATTGTTGCTGTTGGCTCACTGCCGGGGGTTGTTGCTGCTGTTGAGAAACGGGTGTTTGTTGCTTAGCAGCTTCTTGTCCGTAGAAGTACGCCCCTGCTCCAGAAGCTGGAGGCTGAACAGGAGTTGGCGCTGCTTGAGGAGGCTTTGCTTGATTCTCTACTGGCTGAGCCTTAGGAGGAGCGACAACGGACTGTGGAATTTGTTGAACTTGAGAAGGTGGAAATGCAGATGCTTGTGAAGACGCTTGGGGTTGACCATGAAGAGAGTTTTGGTTGTCACCGCCGGGGAAAGGGGAAGGGGCTGAGGACGAGTTTGCGGATGAATTGAATGCTGCATACGGATTAGAGTTTGTCTGTGCAGGAGTTGGCTCAAAACTAAAAATATGATTAAGATGGTTCAGAGAAAGTGAAAATCGCGAGAATTCTTGATAAATGGTTAGATAAATTAAAAACATAAAATGATTTGCGACGAGAAAGCACGCGTGTCTTACTAGTTTGATGGCTGAAAGAAACTGAATATTTTTTAATAAAAAGTTAAGTTATAATTTGATACCTTTGCGCGCTGGAAGTATCGGCAAAAGAGCTTTCAAGAGTAGACTGAGAAGGGGCAACTGGAACGGGCGCTGGAACTTCGGCTTGGACTGGAGTTGGCTCTGGAACTTGAGCCGTTGGAGCTTGGGGAGTTGGTGGAGCCTGCTGCTGTTGTTGCTGGAAAGAAGAGGCTGTGGAAGGGGCGAAGGAGGCTTGGGACGATGGTCGATCGACAGAAGTTTCTATGACGAAGATTCAATTCACCAGATTATTAATAGAACTTACGGTTGTAAGGATCAAATTCAGAAACTTCTGGCTTCTCAGGCTCCGGCTGGGGAGTTGATTCCAGGACCGATGATTGCTCGGCAACTTCTTGTTTGGGTACACTTTCTGGAGCAACAACGGGAAGACTTTCGGATGCAGAGGACTTTGAGCTATTTGCACCAGTGAGACGATCTTTAATCATGTTAACAAATATGAGTTCATAACCAAAATTGACAAAATTGATAAATGATAAATGATCATGCCAATCACGGTGAATAAATGCGTTGTCTCAAGCAATACGAATACAAGTTCTGTTGTCGATCATATTTAGAGTGACTTCAACTTCAGAATTGTGAGTGCGAGAAAAATCTTGTGAGCTGTCTATGATTTCTGACTACCCAAAACTCCATGCTCAACAAGCGGCAAAGAAATCAGCGGGAAAAATGAAAATAAAGGAGATTTGATAAATCGAATCTGGTAAGCGTTCCCTGGTCCACATCAAGAACCACTTACATTTCCTCAAATATTTGTTACAAGTCCCTATCAGTCCGATCGCCCCATCACGAATAGATCGTAAATCAGCGAGAACATCTTCTGGAACATCGGAGCTTCCACCACCGACTTTAATCTTCAAGAACTTTCTTCCGTCATCTTGGGCCAACTAAAAGTCGATTGAGCTCACTGAAGCGCTGATTTTGAAAACCTGGATCGCAAAGCTGAGATCATTAGTGTCGTTCATCGTAATCCAGTCATTTTCAGAGTCAAGGTACTTTACGACATCATCGTCTCCAATATCTGCTGAGTAAATCCTAAATTTTTCTTGATTAACAATATAAGAATACAGGGAAAAGAATACCTGCAGAGCATGAGTAGTAAATCATCAAAGGTAAGCTGCTCGTTTGCCAGAGGAATATTTCTCCGGTCGCCTTTGAACTCTGTTTTCAGGATAACCATTCTAAAACAGCTTGAAAGTTATGAAGATTGGGTTGTGAGGGCGTGTGTTTATTTCTTGACGTTGAAGATAGTTTGCAGTAATTGACATGTGCTAATGTTGTCATCAGTGAAGAACGATCTTTGTGACTTTTAACAAAAGATAACAATAAGAGTCTTTTTTTTGAACAGATAGATTTTTTTCTTTTTTGAATGAATTTTTGTGAACCTATTCGCAATAAAAATAGGTTGGGCTCCTTTACGAGTTTTGAGACTGTGTGAAAACGCTAGGCAAAAATTGGGAATAAATAGAGCAAAGAAGTGATCGATGCTTTTTTAGAAAAGGGCGTAGTCGGGTGAATCGCGCACTTCAGTGAGCAGTTTTGAGGCTTTGTCATAGGCGTCAAGCATGAGTTGGTACTCGCGCCGATGTTCGGCGACAGACTCGGACTCTGACAAGAGCATTTCGGCATCTTCTGCCTATGATCATAAAAATAAGAAATACATCGTGGAATAACTTGAAGTGTACCTTGTAAAGCCGGTTGATAAGAAAGCTGTTGAGCTTATCCTTCACATTGTTGACCAAAAAGTTCATGACAGCTTTTGGCACGCTGTCTTGAATGTTTTTGCGAACGATGAAGAAATAAGTTTTGATTAGACGCTCAACAACTTCGCACTCTCTTTTCTCCTGAAATAAATTGATTCGAACGATGGCTTTCAAGAAATTTTCGCGAATAAATGGGTGAAGATAACTGTCATTTTAACCGGTAACTGTTAAAATTAAAAATACCCTCATAGAAAGCTTAGGATTGCCGCTTTGCTCTCTTTGAACTTTATTTCGCGCAGCAACAACAGTCGGAACCCGGACCGAAAATCCCTTTGTTGGCGCAACTGAGTTAGTAACAAAGCTCTTTTCCGTGTCTGGAATAGCCTCAGAAACATCTGAAATTCCACCGATGGATGCTTCGGACATTGACCAGCAAATTTTATAATTCTATCCATCAAAAAATTAATTTTCTCTCCACGATTTTTAATCTGAGAAATTAAAGTACCTTTGGGTTCATTTTTTCGCGCTTTGAGGTTGTACGAGGTGTGAAATCCCCTCTGCCGTCGGAAATAGCTGGAGGTAGGGAAGCGGATGAGGGACCCTCGCTAATAGAGCCGGTTTCTTTTCCATTTTCAATCGCCATCTTGGAAAGCTGCCTGTGCTGAGCTACTTCAGACCTAGCATCCTGGTAACTTTCAGCAGTTGTATGTCCAAGAAGATTGCTGCAGGCCTTTCAAAGATGTAAAAAACATGGTTTTATTTTAGAACTCACTTGTTGGCGCGCGTCTGCGAAATCAGGATGCTTTGTGTTTATGTATGCAAGCTCATTTTGAATAAGATCTTCGATGAATTGCTTGGTTGGGCCCATTCGGTCTGCTATCTGAATTTCAAGATGAAGATATTTCTAAAATTTTACAAATAACCTTTTCTGAAACAACTTCTTTCAATCGCTCAACAAGCTTTGGGAATCGCATGTATTCCTTCGTTATACAATGCAAGATTATTCTTTCGAGCTCTTCGTGAACGAGTTCAACACATCTACAACGAAGAAATAATAAAGAAAGAAACTAAATGGAGAAAACCTGATGGAGGGTTCTTCCAGTCTAGCAATCTGTTTCATGACGAGAGACTCAAAGCTGGCGTCTGGGACGAAAACAGCCGTTCTTGGACCGGTAGAGTTTTTATGGCAGTGAGCACTTCCAAGCGGCTGAGGCCGTCCAAGGGCTGTACATTTTCGAGTGTCCCTACATTTATAAATAGTCGAAGAAAGATAAAGAAAGTCTTACGTCCGAAAGTCTCGTGGAAAATATAATTGATTCGAGCGCCTCCAGAGAGTTCTTGGAGAACAACGTTGCCAGTTCCATCAATAGCAGCCTTAGCAAAGAGTTAGTTGACTGCTTCTATAGAAAGGTTCACCTTATAGTCAACAGCAAATTTAGTCAGAAGATCCAGAATCGTCGCAGTAGGATCGTCGATGGGCTTACCGCAACCAGCTAATTGATGCTTAAAAAATTCGGCATTAAAAAAACGACTCTAACAAACGTCACACCTTAAACTGTCGTTTCAGGATATTTATCTTCATGTTAATATCTGGTAGGCAATCTCGAATATGCGAAGCAAGAAGCGTAGCGAGTCTCTTTTTGAGGTAAGTTGTACCCGAGCGGGATGCAAGGGATGGGTATTTCTTCGTGAAGAATTTTCGTTCTTTTTCGAAAGCTTTTTCGATTGATTTGTTCGAGTTCAAATCTGCTTGAGAACGGCACACAACTCCGATGATTCCTAAAATAGACGATGATTTTTTGATTGAGTGAATTTAGTAGACCTAGGTTAACAGGGAGTATTCTGCCACACAAGATATCCATAGCGTCTGTTCCATGATCCATGATGTCCACTTTGGTGACAACAGCCAAAGTCCGCTGACTATCTGGGTCTACTCTCCGGGCTAGGTCGATAGCATCCGATGTAGCGAAGTCTGTATTGGCAGGAGTTACGGCAAGGATCAGCGTGTTCTTTGGCTCGATGTACTTCATGATCATGTTTCTGATCTGCTCCTCTGGGAGCAAATTTATGGCTGATGAAGGCAAGCGTTTTCTTACCAATATCATGAGGCTGATCTCCTACAGGAACCCTTGTTATTCCAGGTAGATCTACGATCGTTAACGAAAGAACATCAGGAGAGAAGTATTTTAACGAGATAGGTTTTGCCGAAACAGCTTTATTCGAGCCACATTCGCGTTCTGTTTCGGCGATGATTTCCATCTTTACTTCTTCCATGTCGACAAAGATCTGCCCTGGCTTGTGTAGGAATGTAGCCCATTGACTGTAGGTTTCTCCATCGACGACTTCTTCGTTTTCTTGAATTTTTATTAAAATCCGCGGTGATTAAATGAGTACCTGTTCGAATAAGCTCTACTTTCAGCGGTCGTCTGGTGCAAATTCCATTACTTCGAGGGAGAAACTCTCGACCAACGATATTTTCCAAAACAGAACTTTTGCCGCTACTTTGACTTCCGATGGCGACGATTTGAGGGAGGGCAACAGCATCTGTAGTTCCAACTGTTGCCAAGATATCGTCAACCTTTGACATCATGGAAATCATGGTTTCCATCCATCTTGACTCTTCTGGGACAGTGCTCGCATCACTTCCGTTTGTCGCTCGGCTGTCTGGCCGTTCCGACGGCATATTCTGAAGAAATCGAATGATAAAATTCATTCAGGAAATGAGAAAAGTCGAATACAGAATTTTTTATCAATTAAGCAACATAAACATAATCAAAGCCTTCATCATCCTTGTAAACTTCATACGGATCTGGTTCTATACTTTCTCCAGCAGCAACTAATCTATCGATGCAATGCGTTATCACACTGAAAAGAACATTGCAAAGGACATTCGAGCAGATGAATCTAGAAGTACCTTTGATAAAATTCCTGGCTAGGTTTGAGCATAAACGGTGAGCTTGGAAAGGTCAAGACGAATTCGGTTGGAATTGACAAATCAAGAGAACCTTCTGGCTCATTGAAAAGACCCTTGTTGGCGACTTTTCTGTCTTCAACTCGGTAGCAATGCGTCAAAAGACCCTAAAAAGGAATTGCCTTTCCATCACATAAGGAACCCGAAAGAATAGATCATTACCTTGACCTCTTGGACAGGCATGTGATCAATGTACCAGTGAAGCATGCGTCGTTTATTTTCTTCGTAACGAGAGAAAAGAGCACCTCGCGCATATTGGCACATTATCGCAGTTGTTGGAAGAATCGCGACGAAACCAAGCATGATTGCAAGCGCTGGATTCATTGTCATTCTCGCTGTTCTAAAGAAAAAGTTATCGAATCCCTATTTTCTACGAGTACCTGGCCATAATAAAGGACTGATAAAGGAACTGCGATAGAAAACCAACGGCGACGGGCGAGTAGTTGATCTGATAATATGGAAACGCATCGGCGAAATATTTGTCCAAGAGAACACAAATGCTCAGCAAAGACTCTCGTTGATTCTCCGACATCGTAAAACTTCGACAAAAACGGAAAAGGTTCTCTGAATCGCCAACAACGGACGTTTCTGTTCCCGATAGCTTCGACATGTCTTTCAACATCGATTCCAGTTGGTCCGAGAGTTCTATAACATCCGAGAAGAAGCTCGTCGAATTGATGAATACATAAAGTTTGTCTTCGTCGATTTCCGCTCTTCTCTCCATTTCGCCAGTCTCTTCAATGGAGAATAAGAATCGTCTGATTTTGTTGGCAAGACCTGACCAAAAATCTGGGTGACCAAATGTTGCAAGCCTCGTTGTTGTTGAGATCCTGGGAAGGTGACGCTTAGTGCGCGACACCCATGTTTTGCAGTTTTGTCTCTAGAATTGTTGTGCCCGTGGGCGCGGCGCGAGTCGAAAATCTCATTCGCGTAAAAAGCACGCTCGGTGAGGCCGATTTCTCGGATTTATCCGATACGACCACCGTAGCTTAGCTTTTTAATTTTATTTTATTCTAGCTCTTTACTCAGTAAGGAGACTAGTCGCGATCAACCCTTCAGGTTCAGTCTGGAGAGGTTTTTTCTGCATCTGGCTGACCTTAGTCTCCAGATGTTTTTTTCAGGGGCTCTGTAAATCCTAAATGGTCTGGGTCCTCTCGCAAGCTCCGGCTTTCGCTGAGAAAGGCTTTCCGTCCCGGTTTACCGGTGTACTGAGCCGTATTTGGGGATGCTCACGCATTTCCTCTCGCAACTTCGTTTCGCAGAGAAAATTTTTCCCATAATCGGGTCTCCCCGATAAATGGTGATTTGTTTCACGAGTTTTCACCCGGAGCACCCTGTTTAGCTCTACAGCGAGCTTCTCGTGATCCATTTCTACCGAGATTGAGACGGCCGCGCGCCGCCTACGCACACGTGCCCTGAGGGGATCATCCGCCGCCAATCATTAGCGGCGCAGGAGCCGCGCTGAGCTTGACGTAAATTCAAAGCGTCAGAATCTCTCTAACTCTTTCGGCTGAGATAATTGTTCCCTTTTTTCTATAAAAATAGAGATTTAAAAAATATTGAAAAGAGAAAGCTCGACAGCTGCAATGTATGACATCCCCGAGTCACTGAGGGACATTTATCAGGACGGGTTTTCGGATCCGCACCCAGGAAACTGGGACTCGGTAAATCGTAATGGGGAAACCCATAAAATACAGTTACCAAGAGGCCAACTTGACCCATATGCTGACCCCGGTTTCTCAAGAGCCGCGGCTTGGGCAGCATCCAACGTGGGCCTACTCTCTAATTTGGGAGTAATCCCTATTTCACTTTCCGCTTTCGTGGTAGTTAACACTGACCATCTAATCGAGGAAGTCAACGCTTTCTGGGGTTTTAAACCAGTGAGAGATCCAGGTCTTCTGTATGCGCTTGCATCAGAATTCAACTTGGTTAGCCTCGAGCCAAAGGTGCCTCAGAATAATGATGGGGTGAAATCGGAAAGCTCAGAAACAGGGGATACCCTGACAGAACTTAATCCCTTCTTGATTTTCATCAAGAAAGATGCCTCAGCGAGGCAGCTGCGCACAGCTCTATCGAATCTGGTTCAATTTGAGCTAGGGCCAGACGCGAGGACAACTTTGTCAGACTTGGAGCTGATCTATGCCGCAGAAAACATCCGCAGGAAGTTCTCAAACTGCCAGCTGTTCGCTTGCCTGAAAGAAGACCCTGAGTCGATCATCAGAATCAAATACACATCCGAGCCAGTGAAGGGCAAGAAGCCGTCATTCATCAAGCGAGTTAGAGGAGCTTCAAACGGCTTAGGCGTAAAGCAAGAGGCTTTCATGGAAGCTTGGTTCTCCTGGTTGCCCAGGTCAAGACTCGGTCCACGTTGGTCAATCCACAAGATGTTGATGACCTCCATCCTAACTGACTCTTACTGGACTTACGTCACCTGCAAAGTCCTGGAGGCAACTCCGGATGCCATGCAAAGGCGAACATTGCGCCCAGACCCGAATTGGTGGTTCGAGAGATTAGTCGGTTACGCGGCAATTGACATCTTGGCGATCACCGATACAGTCCCAAACTCATCAAAGGACCCGATTGGCTTTGTAGAAGCAATCGCAGCCAACGCCGCGGCTACGGAAAGATGGGTAGACAAAGAAGACTTCGAAAAAGCGAAAGAAATCAGAGCGAACCTGATCTTTCCGACCAAAGACGCCGACGAGAACTTCGAAGGAGTCAAAATGAGGTTAATTCTCAACAACGCAGTCGCCTGCGGTCTCGACAGGCTCAACAAATACCTAGAGCCCACAGACTACCGTCTGATCCCCTTCGGGGCAGCTTGCCACCCTTTCTGGAGGATGAAGCTCAGAGCTCAGCTGGCCACGAAGCTAGCGGAGAAAGTGGTGAAAACCAGGAATAACGAAAAAGTCCTGTGCGAAAAGCTGATGTTCAGATCAAGGGACTGGAGACAGGCAAAAATGGAGAAACAAACGAACACGTCCGGGAAACCGTTCGAATTCCACTACTCTCTGACGACGCAAGATCTGGCTGATCCAGTCCTGTCGCTGTTCAAGGAAGTGCTGGAGGGATTCAAGAAGGTGAAACTCACAGCTGTTGCGATCAAGGATTGGTTCGATTCCATCTACCAATCTGCGGAAGAGACTATCCTCAGCCAAAGGGAGACCTTTTGGGAAAGAAATCCTCTGATGAGCGGAGATTGGGACACCATTCGTACTTCGATTCCGGGCAACCAGATCGAGATAGCTCGCTTCTCCTACGAACAGGCAACTAGGAAAAACATGAGCAAGGACCACTCGAAGCTCCAGCTTATCCCGGACCCGTGGTTCCCGCTGATCAGCGAGTTCGCGCTCGGAAACACAGACTCGGACCTGGCTTGGCAAATCCCAAGAGATTTCTGGGAGGTCGAAGCAGAAGGAAGCAGAGCCTGGAAAGCCAGAGCTACCCGACTAGTCAAATCGGCGGCGGTGGGACACTTTGCAGTGAAAGCTTGCAACAAAAGACCCGACGCGCCGATCTCAGACCCACTTCATGCGGTGATAGAATATGCCGCGCAAACGGCAAAACAACCGGCCGAGGGCTCACTGAAGGAAACGATCGAAATAGTCGCGGATAACCTTTTCGTCGCATGCAGTGAAACCGGCGAGAAGCCCCGAGAGATCTGGAGAAATCTGGAACGAATGGCCAAATCATACGAGCTAAAAGCAGTACAGCAGCCAAATGATTTAGATCCGAAGAAATTCGGTTTTCTTTTCATGCACCGAGTACCCTCGGCGAAGAAATCGAAGCTCTTATTCCAGTGGATTGGAAACGATGCGGACGCAGCAAAGGAGTCGTTTCTATGGGAGAAAGACCATCCTTACAATAAGAAAGGCTCCTACATGTCGATCGAGAAAGCTACATCGCTACTTAACGATCTAAGCGAATTCAAACCAGCAGAAGCGGCGATTCTAGTGAAATTGATCGCAAAGGCGAGACCAAAGGGTCACCCCCTCGTGTTGATTGCCACATCGATGGAAGCGCAACAAAAATGGCTAGACCTCGTCACTAACCCTCAATTGAAGGAGGAGACTCCATCAGCACTCTGGGAAGAGAACTTCGGCTCCCTAGAATTCGAAGAGCTGAAAGGGCTAAACAAATACTGCCCCGTCCTTCTTCTTTTGGTCGAAGAAGACCAAAATCGCGGCCTATTCCGCTGGCAAAGGTTAAACTTTCGGGAAACCGAAAGCGGCTATAGAGCAATTGTCTGGAACTACCATCAGCTGGTCGCCCCAGGCAAAGTGAAGATTCTACGGGACTTAGTCTCGTGGGGAAAGGGCCACCTTTCTAACAGACACATCCGGCAGTCGGAGAAGCTTCGAGAGGCGTCACTGTGCGAGAAGTTCGACAGGAGCGATTTCAAGCAGTGCAGCTTAGGCTTTGGTCGAGGAGTTTTGGCTAGATTGGCATGCTTGACAGCTTCGCTGGCCCCGCCAACATGGCTGGACTTGGTGTCAGTTTCGGGACTGGGTTATCGCCCGACAAAAGACCGAACTCAACCCTTTAACACGGGACACAAGACCAATTTCATCAGATAGAAATGAAAGCATCTTGAATTGGGGTAACCCATTTATTTAAAACTCGTCATTACATTTAGGGTTGACCCTAATATTTATTAATTACTGCTTGTCCGTTGAGAAATCAAGGAAGAAAACCACCTGCTCGAGAAATCGAGCATGAGTTACGTAATCACAGGATTGAGTCACCGCGGGGGCGGCACGTGCCACGTGCGGGCCAATCCTGAAGAAGCATTCGCGACGCTGCTCGACTCACTGCCACCATAGAAATGAGAAAAAATTTCGCCAGAGAAAAAGAAACAAAATAGAGAAGGAAAAGTTGCTTGCGCAACGAAAATCTGCGAGAGAAAACTCCACCGCCAACCTCCTTTCAACCACCGAGGTAAGTCAGAGGGTGCACCAGGGCCAGTTTAACGCGTTTTTTCAGAGAAATCTCCGGTGAAGGAGTGTCTTATTAATCGTTTCGGCCCCCGGTTAGCTGGGTATCGTAGTCAGACGCCATATAGAAGAAGAGTAAGCGTGAAATACGCCTCTCCAGACTAAAATTTCTTAGTAATTTTCTGTGTGTTTTGTTTCTACCCAACATTTCCACCTGTTCCTTCCTGTTTCTCAACTTCCTTCTGCTAAGGGGCAACCCTTAAAAATGAACGCTTACGCGTACATCTACCTTATTCTGTTCATCTTTTCCGTACTGGCAACACTTACTGTCACCTGTGTTTTCTTCCACATGCTCGTTTCCTTCATTTATATGTAAAATGGACATAAATTAATCAATTTCAGCATTCAGAGCAAGAGAGGAAGCTCTCAAGTTCGCTCTTTTTTAAGCGTTTGTTATTTTAGTTTGAAATCGGCGACAAAATGTCGGAAAACGAGGAGAGATCGGGGAGCCCCAACGTCGAAATAATCGACACTCCCATGGATGACCTTGAAGAACTCATCGGAGAAGACGTCCTTCTCCCCGGCTTCAACGAGCACAACCGTAACGAAGCAGTTGAAGTTGGAAATGGGGGAAACCCCGTTCCAATGGATACATCGACCGCAGCGGACTCCATCGACGTCCACGCCGGAGAAATCGAAGACGACTTACTGGGTAAGTTAACGGACGAGGTGACGAACCCACTCTTTTACATCATCTGGAGACTCCGAAGACTGAGACTCTTGACTCGTCTTTGGGCAGATAAGACCCTCCTGGCAATCCGAGTTTACGCTCAATTTAGTCTAGTCTTCTCAGAAAACGGGGTTACCCGAATCGAGAGAACGATAGATCGGTCAGCACTAACAGAGTGGTTTGCGCTACTTCTGCTTTTTTGCCACGCTCTCATGTACAAGTTTTACTTGGCATTTGAGAATTTCACCTTCCTAATCCTGATTTTAGGACCGTCAGGGCCTCTCGTCATGGACGTCCCTTCTTCGTCAGCTTCAGATCGACCGGAGAACAACGACTCCCACATGAGCTTAGACGAAGAAGAACTGCTGAATGAGCCAAAGAAGCCGACAGCGCGGGAAACCGCATCTTCTTCGAAGAAGAAATCGCCTCCGAAGCCACCAACGGCGAACCCTTTACCGAAGGAAACTTCGACGGAGGATTCTGATCACGACAAACCTGGTCCTTCGGGTCTTCAGTCGAGATCTTGCGGCTTCGTCAGCAAAGAACGTCCCTGCTGGGTCACCAACAAAGACGGAAAAAAGGTTCGACCACGAAAGCAACTCGCCACCAGACGTCCAGCGCGCCCAGATGGAAGACCGTACACAGATACCGACTCCGATGACTCGGATTGCTCCGACAACCGTGAGAATAGAAAAATCGAAGCGGGAAACCGAAAGCGAGCTTCGGACGAGGAATCCAGCGGTCGCAAGAAGCAGAAAGGAGGAAACTCCAGGCCCGTCGAGCGACCCGACTCCAACAACGCCACCGTCGCGGACAACACGGTTGAACCCGCCAACAGCGCCCCAGCAGTGGCCAGCAACGCCTCACCGCCATCGACTCAACCGTCGCAACAATCAGGCGAAGGATGGGTGATTAACAGACCAGAGCACGTTGGGTGGAACTCTTCGAGCCGACAACCAGAGTCTTCCGGCTGGAGAGAAACGACTAACCGTCAGCGAAGCTCGGGAAACCGAAGAGAAAATGCGGGAAACCGACAGAATCAGAGGTCACAAGGTCAGGCTGGAGAAAGATACGACCCGGACCTGGCTTGGCATCAGCGTAGACTGAAAGCGCATTACTGGCTTCATCGTTTTGGCGAAGGCGAGCGCAGTGAAAGCTGCACGAATCCGGCAAACCGGCTGGCGAAAGACCTCGACCAAATGGGCGCTTACGCGAAAAGAAAAGGTTTCGGCCGCTATTTCCCGACGAAACAGATGATCAAAATCGGCGAGTCGATCTACTTTGGGGTTTCCCCCATAAACCCACCAGCGCGCTTGCGAGAGGACATCAAGAGTGCCTTTATGAAGCTGGTCAACCTTCGGGAAGAAGATATGGGTTACCCCAGTCGTTCTCCGAAGTTCGATGTTTTCGTCAACGAGCTTGACGAAGTTCAGAAGGCCTACTCAAAACGAATGGCGGAACTAACAGCAGCTTCGAACGCACCCCCCTCTTCGCAGCATCAACAACAACAGCAGCAGCAGCAACAACGCCAGCAGCAGCCGCAACGAGCCCGCCCGAGATACATGCACGCTCGACGACCGTCGACGGACTCTCTCCCCACCTACTCAATGGCAATGAGAGATCAACGCGCGGGCAACCGCCGTTTCCAAGAGCCACTTCCACACAGACCAGAATCGCCGCTTCGACCACAGCAAAGCGCAGCGCCGATGATTGTTTCACCGATCCAGCAAGCGCCGACTCGAGTGGTGACCGGTGTGAGTGGTACAACAGCCGGGCGACCGACGATCGACTTGACTCAGCCGGTGGGGGAGAACGAGCCGAGAAGATGGGGCGAGCCCAGAGTTCCAAAAGAGGCGGAAATCGTTCCAGATGAAAATCTGAACGAAGACATCCCCTACGACTACGAGCCGGAGCTCACGGAAGAAGAGCGCGCAAGAAAGGGCTACTTCTGGAACATCAGCCCGTGCCATTTTAATGTCTCCGCTCGCGGCCTCAGGAGGCCAAGCCCCAACTTTATCGCGGATTCCGTGATTATCAGGGACAAAATCACCGACCTGATGAAACGAAGGGCAACCTTCGAACGAGACCTCGTCACGCTGGGTGTAACCAAGATCTCGCACCCAGCCAAGCTGGAATTGGACCTCGACGCCTTCCTCGTCAGATCGGGTGACCCCGACAGATTCAAGCTCGCGTGCAAGCAGCTCGTCCTCGTCGAAGACGCCAGACTCGACATCGCGACGGAGATCCTCGACGAGTTCGTCCAGCTGGCCTCCCCATCGAAGTTCCCATTGGGAGAGCTGATGTGCTTTTGCGCAAATGAAGCTTTTCTCATGGGAGGCCCAGCTGTTAGACGCCTTGCGCATCGTGCAAACGAGCGCATTTTGGCGTGGGCCTTCGTCTCGGCAAAGAAAATTAAGGGTAACCCCTTAACCGGAAACGAGGTCCCTTCGCTTGGTACCTCGTTTGAGGGCGACTACTTCCTGTGAAAACAGCGCCCAAAAAGCAGAAGTCAGGTGAGAGATAGTTCTTCGATCCATACTTTAACTAATATGGTTTGCTAGCGCACCCTCCACTCCTCATCACCTTCACCAAGAGTTGCCTCTTGCTCTACATCTCCGCCAAGACCATCGTGGCCTTCAATTTAGCTGTACATATCACCTTCGCCTCCACCGAGCCAGCATCACGTCGACACGCCCTGGCGAGCCTCTTCACTTTTTCTCACAGGTAAATTACAGCTTCGTGAGAGCGAAACAGTTTGTTAACGAGCGTATTTAGGTCTCACAACGCACTCACTGCCGTTCGTCCTGTTCTCGCCAAAAAATTCTAAGGGGTGACCCTTACTCGCTCTTTTCCGGATGCTGCCAGCTCCTCTACTCATGGATACTTCCGCTACGGTTCAACCGAGTCCTTCTTTCTTCCACTGAAAATATATTCCCCTGTGTGCCTTTTTTGCTTATGTGCCTTTTTTCGCCTTATTTATGCCGCTTTCCCACCGCTTTTCCCTCATCTCTCGTTCAATTTGCGCTGATACTGCTACCCCTCTCCTCACCACATTCTTGTCAAGTTTCAAAATAAAAGACAAGCCACAATACCCTTGCGATAAAAGGTCACCCTTTTATCAGTCTCTTCTGTTTTTTCAGCCGGGCACCCAGCTGCAGGAAATAGTAGAAGCAGGAATAGATAATCATTCTCTATTTTTTCAGAGAATTGATTCGGTCGCATGAATAGAGCAGAAAAGGATCCCATTACGAACACTACTCGCATTCAAGGTTGCTTGCATTGTGGCTTCAAGTTCGATCTAGCAGTGAGGCGCGAAGTTATCCTGAAGAAATGCTCGCACCAGATGTGCTTGAAATGCCTTGTCTCCAACCCAAACAAACTCGGTGGTATAGGCTGGTTAGCCAAAGAATCTGAGGCTCTAGAGGTAAATGGGGAAACCCAAAAGGACAAGGAAAAAGTGACAGACTGGCCAATTGATTTCCTATGTGTGTTTTGTGGTAAATCACATCTGTTCAGTACCTTGGACATCGTCTTCGTAGAGAAGGGCGAGCAGAGAGATCTGTCGCAGGCTTCCGCCTCAAGCTTCGAGACTCCTTCAGTCGAGTCCATTAGACATGTACAAGAAGCGGACTTAGAAAGCAATCCGGCGTCCCCTCAGTCAGGTGACCCTGATGCAAACAAGGAGGACAACGAAATCAACTCCCCAGCAAAGAAAAGAGCGAAGCTGGCCATGCCCGACTACTCTTCAATCTACGATCATCTTTTCGATCTACCTCCGCCGGACCTGAACAAGATTTCGACGATCGAAACTTGCCATTTTGAAGGAGATGAAGAGGAAGATCGCCCACCCTTTGCTGTTCGCATGCCTAGGTTACCCTACAACGATCCGAAACAGACGACCGCAGCGGCGCTGATCAGAAACCTGATCTGGCTCTTTAGCTACTACGACGCCTACTCTGACGGTAAAGTTCCAATAAGGGAAATAAAATACGTGTTGAACACGGCGGTGGATATGGTGAAAACCAGAGATCGAGCAATCAATCAGTATCCAGGCCCCTCACCGACCCCAGAGGCACCATTAATTAACATCAGCGCGAACTTGGAGCACCAAGTCACCCGTCTCCACGACTTCGTTCTCACAGGAGGCCTGAGGCCCAACAACGAAACGGGAGGAGCAAAGAAATAAGTTCCTTTTTCAACAAGTCTCCCTGTAAAAACTAAGCGCGAATGAAAATTCCAGCGGAGCAAGGAAAACAGATTGAGTTCTGTCAACTATTCAAGGGCACTCATATCGCGGTCCCTCGTAGCATTAGAGTAACGTCTGGGGGCAACCCATCAGTAGTGGTAGTTTTAGTTAAAAATTTACAGCTTCGTTGGTCACGGTGTGTAATGGGCGGTCCACGCGGTAAATCACAGCAATGTGGTTTTCCAGGACTCCCCGGCTCCGCCGCTATCCAAGGAACTTATGGTAGCTCTAGTTTTATTTAGGTTTAGTTAAAAGTCACGGGTTTCCCCGGTATCTAATGCCCTTTTGACTGTCACACGTTTTTTCTGTTTCACTGTGTCCGGTTCAGCCAGTTTAACTGTTCTAAACAGGATTTTATTAACTTACGGAAACTTCAAATTCCCTTGTTTAGACAATGTCTCGGCGCAACAAGAAAGTCCTGGAGACCGGCATGAGCGGCCTCACTAGTCTCACAGAGGATTCAGGCCCGGCTCTGAAAAAGAAGAAGGACCTCCCGCTGGAGGAAGAACTCAACGGGGAAACTTCTATTACCCCGATCGTCTTATCTTCCAAGGCCTCTCAGGTGGAACCATTCTCGGAGGAGAATAGGGCTCCCACGAGTGAGCCGGCATCGGAAGAAGGCACTAAAACCGAGGTTCCCCTCGACGAAAGTTCGGAAACGGACTATAGAAGAAAGTACCAAGGTGCTTTAAAGGTACTGAACTCCTTCCTAGTGCATCAGCCCTTAAAGCCGCACGCAGGAGTCTCGGCAGCCCAAAATGTGGCGAAACTGTATGAACTCATCCAGAAAATGCAGTGCTGCGTGAATGGTGAAAACCTTTCAATTGACTTAGTGGCAAGAACTCAAGTCAGGTTAGCCGAAGCCATTAGCAACGCAATCTCGAAAGAAGCGGGGCTTGTCTATCGCTACATTAGTCAGTCAACTGACTTTTATAAGCATAAAAAGACTCCACTGGAAATCCTGGAGTTCCGGTTCACACCGGAAGACCAAATAGTCAAAGAAATCCGGGAAGGGCTAGCCCTTCTCGAAAGAATTGCTAACGCGGGTGGTGAAAACCACTCGATAATTCCACTAAGAGAAATCTTTGCGTCACACGCTGCGGAAGCTCATCGCCTAGTTTGGTCGGAGATCTTGGCGAGTCTGGCAGTTTCGTCCGAAGTTGACCCAGTGTCGCTGGTGAGATCAGTTAAAAGGCTAAAATTTTTGCTAACGCAAATTTTCGGAAACGAATTCACGATGATAGCGCACCTACAGGGATGGCTCAGCGCAGCCGACTCTCCCAGAGAAATCAGGGACACTCCAGTGGACGATCAGGTGAAAACCTTAAGAGACTTCTTGTTCCCAAGAAAGTGCGAATTCATGCCATCATCGGAGAAATACGAGGCCTGGGGCCTGAGCTTTATCGACCAGCGCTCTTTCGTCCTCATGAAAACCGGGGGTAACCCTGTGACCGTTGAAGAAATTCAACCGGTAGAAAAAGAAAATCTACCAATGATCTCGGAGGAGGAGGACTCCTCGGCGAAAGAAATCCAAGAGTTACGAAGAGCGATGCTCAGACGGGCTGAGAAGGTCACGGGAACAACCTGGACGGAGAAAAGCCTGGACTTCGACGAGGATTCTATGGAAGATTACATCTAATAGTTACCCTCTTCGTGGTTTACGCTGCGATCATTTAACCTGTACACTCAATTTTTGAGACCTTTATCTGTACTTTGGAACACTGTCCTTCCAACTAAATAAAGTTTCCTGCCTGTGGGAGCAAAAACCACCCAATTTTCTGCTTAGAATGGATTGGAATCGGCACTCTATTGCAAGAGATATGAAAGAAAGGCTCGATGCCGCAGAATTCGGTAAACTCATGTCTTGGGAAGACCTATATCTTCCTTGGCCCCCACCAGACGTCAGGGCTGTATCATGGAATGGGAAACCATTCGGGGAGGGAGTTAACCCTCCGCTCTGCTGGTCATCCTGGCTAATTGAGGCTCAGCGCATGTTCGACCTGTCTCTCAAAGCCACAGACTCGTCGTTCCAACCGAAATGGGACGACATCTTCTTCCGAGAAGAGAAGGACTTTTACGCGGGGAGTTTTAAGGACTTCCTGCAGCTCTGGTTGATAGTAATCAAAGAGTTGGACCCTCCGGATAGATCGAGAGCTTACGCTATCCTGCAAAAAGGGGTGGATGTATTTGAAAACTTCAAAATGATTCACCCCTCGGAGCCCCGCAAATTCAGATCTAATACGCACTTTGCGATGGTTCACACCATTCATGAATCCCACTCCACGATTTTCATCAAGGGAAACCTGAGCAGAAGGGAGCTGGGAGCCATGCAAGACTCAGACAAATATGATTCTGAAGATTGGCCGGCCCATAGAATGGTGAAGGCACCGGTTCACATCGGTGGCAAAAGGCACAGGTGCCCGCTTAAAATCAAAAACTCGGGCAATGTTTCCGCGTTCCACCCAGATATTGTGGAAACACTGAAGAAATGGTGCTCGACGGGAGCTTTGTCACCCCTCGAACCTTGTTCTATAGACCCCCTCCTGACCTCCGCAATTATTCTGGTCCCTAAAGGAGCGGGTTGGCGAGTTTGCTACGATGGGTCACCCCTAACACTAATGGAAATCAAAAGCGTGAAATGCGTTCTCGATGACATTAGAGAAGTCATGGCTACAGTAAGAAAGGGTGACCTTCTACTAAAGCTAGATGATAAATCGGCCTTTCACCACCTCTTGCTCGATCCAATGTCAAGCAGAATGGCCACTATGCAATGGGGCGGCCAACGCTTCACATACAGGGCAGCAGCATTCGGCATCCCCCGGATTCCGAGTGAATACCAGCTCATTAACGGTTCCCCGATAAACTTCTTGCGGAAAAAGGGCCATTTAATCCTGTTATACTTGGATGACCGTCTTATAATTGAAAGACCAGACTCCGAGCAAGAGCGCGAAGCCATCGTCTCGGGAAAAATGGCGCCTAGAACGGCGTTCGCGATTTGCGCCCTCGCTTGCGCGTTGGGCACATTTTTACATAGAGAAAATCGACGTTCACACCGTCACATGAGATCGAATTCTTAGGCTTTATCATTAATACTACGGAGCAATCCATATCGATCCCGCAAGGGAAGTGGGAAAAGTTCAGATCCGAAGTAGGAGCGATCCTTAATAGCAGACACACCCACCTCAAGTCGCTCGAGAGAATTAGGGGCAAATGTGTGCATTTCATGTATGTGGAGAGACGCATGCGTCTTTTCATTCGAGTGCAAAACGAACTCATCAAAAAGGCCCTGGAAACAGGCAACCCAATCATCCCGGTCTGCGCAGATCTATACTCAGAGCTGTACAAATGGATAGCGGTGGGGTCAACCCCAAGGAAAGCGAGATGGCTCGAGACCGGTGTGGTCCACCTCAAGAAAGAAATATTCAGAGAAGAGGACCTTAAAAACCGCCTATTGGTTTACACCGACGCGTCTGGAGGAGCGGGCGGCCTATGTATCGAGAACTTGGGAGAAAAAGAACCATTCTACTGGCCGAAGGGTTTCGAGTCGGAAGATATCTTTATGAAAGAGGCTTACGCCATTTACATTATGCTCAAGAGAAAGGGCAGCCGCCTAAAAGATAGGAGAATTCTCATCAAATGCGACAACCAAGTGGTCTGCAGTGCCCTCTACCATGGATCCAGAGTGGGGAGACTCAACAGCTTGATCCACCGGATCTATGAGGTGGCCGATGAGTGGAACATCGACGTACGAGTCGATTACGTCAACACCAAAGAACAACTAGCGGATGAACCGTCCAGAACCTTCGACTTTAACGAGAGCGAGATCACCGACGAGGCGTTTAAAGAATGCTGTTCCTACTGGGGGGAAACTCCCACTATCGATGCGTTCGCAACGAAAGAGAATGCTAGAGCCGAGAGGTATATCTCGAGATACTCCGATGACCAAGCAGTTGCCCGCGACTTTTTTCGTTTTACCAGATGGAGAGCGAAAGAAGTCATCTACGCTTTCCCGCCAAGGAAACTGGCAACGCTAGTCTTCAGGTACCTGGAGGATTATGCAAGAGGAAACTCTTGGATGCTCATCGTGCTTTGCTACGAAAGGGAACCCTTAGCCTTAGCATTAGCCCGAAGAAAGAAAATGAAAGTGATGAAAATCAAAGCGGCGGTACCGGTAATATCCCCGTCGCCAAAGAAATCAGAAGACCTGGGTTATTTCAGGCCGCTGAAGGAAGAAGCATCTGCTTGGGCCATCATCCACGAGGCTGAGGTAACTCAGCAACGCAGAAGAAGAGACGATTGAGTCAGCTAACGCTGTCAGAGAAGATGAAGCCGTCGGCAAAAAACTCTCCTCTGCTTTATGCCTTACTTTCTGTACTTCATTCGTTCGTCTGCGGCGCAGAATTTCTTAATTACACCGACAGACTTTGTGTTGCCACGCTTCTAACTCCCTTCGTTTTTAGTATGAGTTCCCTTGATGTAGACAACGATTTGGATTCTAACCTAACCGTCATGGCCCCCGTCGCGCTAAGAAAGAAGGAGAAAGGAAAAGACACTTCTTTCGCAGCCATCAGAGAGAAGTTCGATTTGTCTTCGAGCAAACAAGCGGTGGACAAGCGCACGGCATTACGTGTTATAGCGGAGAATTTGGGTCACCCCATACTTGGTCCCTTGCTCAAGGAGAGGAAGAGGACTCAAAACGAGCTGAAACAAATGGTTCCTATCCTAGACCATCTAAAGCTTAAAGCACAGGAAGCTCGGACCCTCCAGCTTCTTTACAACACGGCTCTAATGAATAAAGAGACGGGGGCGACCCCAAAAGGCCAAGCCGGCATCGATGAGGAGAGATTCCTCAACTCCCACTCGAAAGAAAAGATCAACAAGGAGGTGCAAACCACCAAAACCGAAAGTGACAGCTACGAAGCAGTCAAATTGTCCCTGGAAGATCGGGTTAAAGCCCTCGATAAAGAAGTCCAGGAGAAGGCGGAACGCCTTAAAATCAAAACGGCGTGTCGTGAAGGCGACACATACTACCTCATCCAAAGAAGGACGACCGGTTTGAAGATGACAGTCCACCGCAACCTGGAAGAAGTGGGCCAGGAATTCTACCAGAAGTTCGCCTCGGTGAAAGCCTTGGTCAACTTGGATAAGAACGACGTGGCGCCGATCATAAGCGAGCTCCTTCGAGTCACCCCACTGGAATTGGTTGACGACCGCCTCATCATTATGAAGATTCAAGAGAAGCTGAACGATGAAACGCTCTCTAGACTGGATTTCTCCAGACTCTGTTATTCCCTGTTTACACAGGAATGCCAAGACGAGTTCGATAAAAACTTCCACCAACTCGCCGACAATGAGAACAACCTCAGGAAGTTCCAACTGCCCCTCGACTCTGTACTTCGTGAAGACGAAGAATACCGCACTCACACCCATGCTGATCAGAAGCGGGTCAAGTCAGTTACTGAGCGCCTCAGATTCAACAAGGCGACAGCGGAGGAAAAGCGCTGGCTCATTAACTACAAGAAAACCCAAGCCAACAACGAGGCCGAGTTGAAGAAGGCCACGCAAAATGGCAACCAGCGTAATAGAGGCGGGAGATCGCAGCAGAAAAAGGGCCAGCAAGGTGGAGGAAACTCCAACAACAACAAGGGGAACCAGAATGGTGGAAACCAGAACCAAAACCCCAACAAAAGACCCAACCCTAACAACAAGGGTCAGGGCGGAAACGCCAATAACCAAAACCAGAACAACCAGTTCAAAAAGCAGAAACAAAACGAGCCAAGAGGCCCTCCAAAACAGGAACCCAAAAAGGAGCCCTGATTCAGCGCTTAGTTTCTGATTGAAAGAAGGGAAACCTTCATTCCACCACCCCAGCGAAAGGTAACTTTCGAATAGGATCAGCAATGATCGAAAACTTGTAAATATTATTACCCGAAATATACCCAGGGCTCACCGGGCAGCCGGTTGAGAAGGGATTCATTTATCTTTCTGTAACTTCCGCCTGTTCAAAGTATAATTATTCTGGAACTTTCTGTTCATCTTAAACATGACCTGCAAAATTCTATGGCTTTGCTCACAAATTCATATGTTTCAGAAAGTGATTCGCTCGAAGTTAAACTCACGCAAGACGAGCGGTAGAGCAACGACGCAAACCCACGGATGGGGAGAACCCAAGGGTAGCGACGTCTTGCCTCAACGGCGACCAGCTTCGCCCTCGCCAATTACTACTCCGCCCCCTCAGCCGAAAGAAAAGAGAAGATCGCGCCGGATCGACGGTAAAGATCCTCCGCTGCAACCACCGTTGGAGAGCCTCCTCCCAATACGGGGCAACCCGAAGAAGAGAGAAGCATCTTCGCCTGCGTCATTGTCGGCCGACACCACACAAAACAGCGCTCCTTTAGCCAAGGAAACGTGCACGGCGCCGGATAAATCGAAGAAAAGAAAGAAACCCGCTTCAAAGAAACCGAAGCGAGCACCTACGCCCAATGAGGAAGAAAAAGATTGGTTTGAAGAAGTACTGGGTGAAGACCCGGTCTTAGACGACGACGATGACAGCGTGTGCTCGGAATCAGTGTGGACTGATGCCCATATACGCGTGGCAGCATCTAACATGGTGGAGCTCAACAGAGGGAAAACCTTTGACGAAATTACGACAGCCTTTCTGGCTTGGATCGACAAATACGTATGCCCGCCTAATAGACCGAATAGATACCTACATTGGTACCTAGTAATTAGAGCTGCTCTGGAAAGAGAAAGCGACTCCCGGTTGCCCAAGACGTGCTCAAACGACATCATGAAATGGGCCAAGGCGAGAGCGAAAACTCTATCAAGCAAAAAGCTATACGAGCCCTCCCAGGCGGAGAGATTTCGATTGAGTGACATGGTAGCACTCTGGGCCCACCTCTTGAACTCAGGGAAACCTGTCAGAAGAGAGGCGGCGCTTTATAGCGCAATCACGTTTTTCACAGGCGCTCGAGCAATCGAGGTGGGAAAGCTGTGGATTGAAGATCTATACGAGTCAATCCAGGGTAACGCCATTGTGATGCCGATTAGGGAAAGCAAGACGAATGTCTTCAAAAACATCCCAGAACGCCTGACGATGTTCTTCCCAAGCAACTGCCCGATTAACTTCAAGGCTCTGTTATACGAAATCCTGGGTGCGAGGGAGGAAGGGAAAGTCTTCCTCCACTGCAGAAACCGTCGCATTTTGTGCTACCATTACAGCCGGGCTTCGAAAGAACTCGGCTGGGCCAGAGTCCCCTCTGGACACTCAGGCAGAACATCTGCTATCACAATGGGCATTGCAGCGGGCATCCCCAAGCTAGACCTGGAAATTATGTACAGATGGGCCCCGGACTCAAGGATGTTCCATCGTTACAGAGCCCTAAACATGGAAGAATCAGAAATCGGAGCCCCGGCGCTGGTAGCTAAAGCTCTGGTAGACTCACTGTACAACGGCCCGCAGGGAACTGCCCCTCCAGCTCTGTCTGCAGTGAAAACTGACTTTGTTTCCCCCGAAGTGGGATCAAGAGTTCTCTCTGATGCTAACTGGTACGCCAGAACTGTAAAAGAGTTGCACTCTAATCATGTGGCGCAGCAGGGTATCCCGCTAGCTAATGCACCTAAGCAAAGGAAGGGTCTCCCCAACCGTCCTAATTCCTCTGTAGAGAGCGCTAACCCGACTGGAGTATCCTCTAGTCAAGATCATATGGCTCCTCCCACAGAGTTTCAATCAACCGTCTCTATCCAGGACCATACGACGGTGCTCACAACTCTTCAGACGGCTCAACCGCCCTCTTCATTGCCGAATCGGGTAGGGAAACCTTCGCCGATGGAGACAGCCAAAGTCTCAATAGTAAGCAACCAGCAGTGTACCTGTTGCGCTAAATGCCGCGCTCTGAGGGAAACCTCAGTTGCCTCACAATCGATGGAGTCGCCAACTCCAACTAACTCCGAACGAAGAGTCTTACCAGACTTCATCAAACGACGGATGGCCTATCTCAACGACGATCCCTTTTCGAGGTACTTGAGAAGCCTAGCGAGCCCTATGCCCCTTACTCCATTCTTTCAGTGAGTCTAGCGGCTAGAGTCAAGTGCTGAGGATGAACCAACTTTCCGACGCAGCTCCTTTTTCTATGACTGACTGCAACCTTGCTGTCTCTGTCCTGCCATCCAGTTTTATTCAGAATATACTTTTTGTATTGCTATTTGACTGACCAGGTCCGCCAGTGTGCTAACACGGGACCAGCTTTTGTTTTATGCATGCTCCTTGCAGGATTCATCCTTTTTATCTGCAGCAAGCTTAAACGCCCCAATTCGTGTACAGTATATCGCCGAAATAACCAAGCAGACCTTTTTCTTTTTTTGACCTAGCAGGTTATATGAGTGAGGTGGTTTATCTAGGTTTGATCGCGTGTTAATGCGCAGCTCTACTCGAATATCTTGTTCATGTATGCTAGTGTAAACCAGCGAAAGCGTAGTTGGTGTAAACCAGCGCATGGAAAAGATCCCCTCCCGCTCTGATAACTTCAGAGTTGGGCTGCTAGCATGTAGAGCCTAGTCTCCGTGCCAAGTCCGCCCGTGGAAACAAGGAAGGATACCGGTAATTCCGACTTCATTCCATCTTTTCCCGGCCGGCCGACAACTGAGTACGATGTATCAATAAGTGATAGAAGTAGTGAAGTCTTGCGCTTATATTTGCATCTATTGATTTTTCGTCTTTTATGATTAGACCTGACCAAAAATCTGGGTGACCAAATGTTGCAAGCCTCGTTGTTGTTGAGATCCTGGGAAGGTGACGCTTAGTGCGCGACACCCATGTTTTGCAGTTTTGTCTCTAGAATTGTTGTGCCCGTGGGCGCGGCGCGAGTCGAAAATCTCATTCGCGTAAAAAGCACGCTCGGTGAGGCCGATTTCTCGGATTTATCCGATACGACCACCGTAGCTTAGCTTTTTAATTTTATTTTATTCTAGCGACCCCTCCCTCCGTCCCCCAGGGCGTTCTGTCCCGGGTGTGTCATGGGGGTGACCCCGAGTCAGATTCCAGTCCGACCTCCCTGGTCCTGCAAACCAGTATCTCTTTCACCGGTGGTTAGGTCTGCTTCCTGCCACATACGGTACCCGTACATATCATAGAAGACGTTACGCTTGCGCTTATATTTGCATCTATTGATTTTTCGTCTTTTATGATTACATCGGACTTGTAATTTTGAGGGTCAAAAATGACGAATAAATCGAAGATGTCGACGTTTTCTTCAGGTTTATTTCCCATAAACGTCGGGACGAAGATAATGTCGCGATTTGGGTAGACTTCTGCCAAACGAGACTTTATTTTTGAGGTAACGGAATGGAAGAGTTCTTGCTCGTCGGGATTTAAAGGACTTTTAGAGAACTCAAAATGAGATATTCTTATATGAAATCTCAAATTGTAATCACATAATTTGAGAGACTTTCCTTCGCTGTCCAAAGCTCCCATCCGTTTTATAAACAATCTTTCCCCAATCAACCGACGAATTAGTGATAATATACTCTGCCAAATCCGGCATTCTGTAGGGACACTCCATTTCACTCTTCGAGATGGAGAAATGATACAATTCATAGGAATAGAAGCCAGCAAGAGCGCTGAGAATAAATCTGCCGCTCCAATCGCGCAGCTTCGTCCCGGGCTTGATCGAAGAACTACCCGAGGAACTGGCGAGCCGAATCGAGTGCCGTAATTTTCCTGGAATGGAAAAACGCATTCTAGGGACGCATCAACTCAGTTTCATGAATTCAACTTTTTGTCAGGATGGAAACTGGTAAATGTTTATTTGCAAAAGTAAGTGAGGAAATCAAGCAGTGTCAAATTATTTAGAATCTATACGGATCTCCAGCGATTCTCCCAACAACTCCAAGGGTTCGCGTTATCTTCAAATTCGCGGCCATTTTGACCGTCAACCTCGCCGTATTTCTAGCATCGTCGATTCCCGAATGATGCTTTCCTTCCCAGTCCATTTTCAAAACTTTGAAGAGCTTTCGAAGCACGGGAATATGCCCCATTTTCTTCTTTACTGATTGTAAGTAGACTCGGGAAACAGAACGCAGATCGACCCAAGATTTGAGGATTTCAGGAATTTCGATCTTTTTGCGTTTCGTTTCGTTTAAAAGTTGAGTTGAAATGTCCCAGTCTGTCCAGGTGCAGATACAGCAGATTCTTTTCGTAGAATCTTTGTTTACTTTTACATCTGAATATACTTTTAGCATTTTCGATGTATTTTTCATTACCTTTCGGTGTGTAGAAATACAAATCATGTTCCCTTTGAACATCTCTTGCCCAAAGAGCAAAGTCTACCATTACTTCTTGCAGCGACTTTTCAACTGACAAATCTTTTTTTTCCAAATGTGTGAGTTTCTTGCAGAAATCCGTGAGTTCTGGATGTTCTGTTGGGCGAACGAATTCATGAAATTCGGCCACGTTTTCTCCAGTTGATAAGTTTACGAGAACAGCGGGGAATTCTGTGATTTCTGACAAGAAATTTGGTGCAAAAAAAGTTCATGCTAAAGAAAAATTCATTAACTTGTAAAATATTGCACCAAAACCTTCCATCCTTTCGGAGGAATATCTCCCGGACCATAACACGATGCTTCAAAGTCAATAACCAGCGCAAAATCGAATCCCATTCTTTCTTCTTATTTTCCAGAATTTGAATTGTAAAGCGATTAGTTCATTCTTCCATATTTTTTTCTTTCTTTCTCTCAAAAAGTGGTTCGATCTGGAGAAAATTCTGGCCCAATCAACGCTCTGCGATTTTGCGCGAAATTCAATTGAATTTTTATTCCCGTGAAACTTGAAGGTTGTGAATTTATTTTTATTTTGAAGCTTTTTCAAAGAGATAGTGTTTCAGCGATGAAGTTTTTGTATTTTGGCAGTTTCTTGAGTCTAAAATAAGTTTTATTTATTTCAATAAAATTTTTATTCTTACCTCACTAAGTTCTCTTCTGAAAGAACGATTTCTTTCGATATCTTCGCTATCGAATCCACAATCGAGTCCATCGGTGCACAGGCGATTTCTTCCATGATTTCGTCGTTCCATTCTCTTGGAATTTTCTCAGCAAGAGTCCAACTTGCGAGGCAAAATTCAAGAGCGCTTCCATATTTCTTTTCCTTCAACATTCTGCTGACAATGCTGACAATTTGATTCTGAATATAACCGCGTAAATTTAGGGCTTTATTTTGAAGAGATTCTGTAATTATTGTTGACTCTGATCAAATAGGGATCTAACGGTGTCTTTGTTGATTTCCTGAAACAACAAAAGAACTCCCAAAAATAAAAATATTTAGAAATTCAAACTCACATTGAGCTTAACCAAAAAAGGCCGGAGCTTCGTAAATTTCATCGGACTTCGCAGCGGGCAATCAGAAAGTCTGTTGATGCTTCTCTTCTTTGCCTGGGCCTCTTTGAGCTTCTTGAAGACCTTCGTGATGCTCTCCAAGTCGTCGGCAAGGGTCCGTTCTTTAGGAGCTTCTTTTGTCGGAGACTTTTGAACGTCGACTTTTGGAATCTCTTTCGAGTTTGCCACTGAAATCGTTTGTGGCAGCGATTCTGTTTTGAGGATTTTCGATGGAGTGGAAGAGGGGAACAGAGCATCTTCAGAGTTTTCTTCTGGTAATAGGAAAAGTCTTTCAAGAGTTTCGAAAAGCCCTTCGTCTATCAGAAACATGCGAAAAGGGCATGCTAAACTCGTACGATTATGAAACCCGCACCTTCGCTTCAATTTGTTTTTACGCTCCGTTGAAAGCACCTACAATTTCAATTTAGTACCATAATATCACGTCGATTTACAACTTGTAACACAAGTAAACGTACCAGTGGTGCATGTTTCTTTTGTGGAGTAATAATCCCTTCTGACAAGTATCCAGAATCGTCATTATGCTGCTGAACATCATCTCTCATTTTTGCAAATGCAGGTTTTCGCTGGTTTTCGCGCAAACTCTCGCCACCCTGTTTATAACATGAATCGAACAAAAACTAAGAAAATAATATTTTCGGTGTTCGTTTTTTGAGAGATAGAGATTCCGCGCTAGTTGCTCCCGCCAGCAGTAGTAGCTCAAGATTGACATTAGGGTGGTCGAGGGCACCAAGCCAGTCAAACATGAGTAGCTCGCGCGGAATTTCACAAACGAAGGATTTTTTTTTATCTTTTGTGTAACGTGACTTCCTTTCTCACGGCTGCGCACGAACATGTGACGGACGATAGATTGAGATTGGGGATCCTGGGGTAGATGTCTTTCAAAATCAATAATTTGCAATAAAAGCATTTTTTATTTGATTACAAATAGCAAATATGGCTACTTCTACGGCATTTTGCCTTTGAAATTAGTGTTATAACTTTTCACAAAAGGAATCTGTCCAAATAAGGATAGAACTGTTTTAATGAGATAATTTTAGACGTGGAAGCCCTAGCTATTTGAAATAAATGTTCTTGTCGTAGTAAGCGCGCTCGCGCGTCTTGGCGCTGGATAATCCGGGCAGCGCCAATCGCGCAGAGCGGCGCAGGCCGAAATTCCAAATTTAAAACTGACAAAAGAAAAGAGAATCGAAAGCGCGCTCGTTTTTCGGTGACCTTCACGATTTTGGGCCTTTTACGACTATGACTAGGGATGTGAAAGGATCGCATCGTTAATTTTGCTTGAGACTTTGTTCTTCAAGAACTGAATAGTTTGTTGAATGTTAATTCGCATCCTTGAAATTGAGTGAGCAAGGATCATCGCTCAAGCTCATCGACACGCAGAAATTAGAAGCGTCACTTGAAAGTTGGTAACAACAAGCAAGTGCTTTGTCAAGCAATTTTCAGGGGAAACGGAGGACATCCGCGATGATATCGATCGACTTGAGGAGAACATACGCTCCTACGAGACGGCATATTTAGGAACGAGTACTTTAGTAGCATCGCATTTGTTATTTAATTAATCTTGATAATCAGCTCGTTCGTAAGAGGAAAGCCTCCCATATGGAAACTGCGTTACGGGTAAGCTTCAACGCTTGTTTGTGAAATTTGACATTTCAACAATGAAGGCTACAATCTCGAGAAGCTACAACGTTTTGCCCGAGACAGCGAAGAAAGGAAGCTTCAAAAAGCCAAACACATCAAAAGAGGTCCCTCTCTCACATCGTCAATCAAGCTCACTTTAGTAGACATGCGAATTTTCTCAAGAAGTGCTGCGAGAAAGCCTCAAAATTAAAGAAATTGATTTTTCATGAAATGTTAACAGAACCCCCGAAGAGAAGAAGTCGACCATAGACCCCAATAATGAATAAGTTTAAAATATGAACTTATAAATAGATTTTTATTAATATTGCTGACAAATAATTTACTGATATTTCACAAATAAAAAAGCTGAAGAAAGACTTGATATGAATAAATGTGAAGAAAAAGCAGAGTATGATAGGAGCATGCATATAGTAATCTTATATGCACATTAATACGAGTTGACGTATCGAGGAAGATATGTACAGTAATACGTTGAATACCGATTATCGAGAAAATATCATCTCGCGTATTGAGAGAGGCTTTCAGAGTCTATCTATTGCTCGTACTGAATGATTCATTAAGTACGCTTATACGAATGTTATGGCAAATTGGTGAACTGATAAAGTATACAAGTTTTAATACTGTCAAGATAAGTATTGTCCCTTTGTTTAGATTAGTTGTTCAATAGAGTAATAGCACGCTGGTTAGCAGCCTTGATACGGTCGTTGTTGTTGTGCACCTTCGCGTTGAGCCTTTCCACAGTAACGTTTTGCGAGTTGATTTCGTTGTTCATATCCAAGGCCATATGTTTCAGGTTGTTGATGCATGATGAAACCTAAATATTGATATATAAAGGCGACCTGGATCGTTTTCCTTGTTCAACGAAAAACATAACGTCCGCTTGTGTGTTTAGATACTGTAATTGAATTGTACCTCGGGTGACTGTTGAAATCGATCCCCTTTTATATTGACATGAGCGCGCTAATGAAACTGTTGCCGCGCTGACATGCGAGAAAGCTCACTGTCAAGCATGCATCAAAAATTACATGAAAACTCACTGAGTTCAGGAAGAATTCTGCATATTCTGAAACTAACCTGTCCGAGATTTTCCTCCATCTCATCTTCGCGTGCATCATTGGTGACTCTCTTTATCATCGGTCCGCCGATTGTTACCTAAATAATAAATTAAGCGACACAAGGATGAGTGCGACGTGCTCCTTTCACTTCTTCTGACGGAACCCGCCGAATTATTAATGCTAGTGTCATCTCTGCGTTCGCCAAGGTGTATAGCGATAATTTGGCAAATGTTAAAACTTTAGTATCCTTATACTTGTACGTCGAAATAAAGTTGACTTACCGCATTTCTGTCATCAGCAACATTCATCGGCTGACTGGAAACAACCTTCCCGTCCTGATTCTTCTTCCAGATCCTTTTGTATTCGTCGTCTTTTGGAGGTGTTTTCCCCTTTATTAATAATAAATTAGTAAGTCGAAAGAGTTCGAATTCTGACCTTTTGCCAAGGACACGCACATAGACCGCAACATTTCTCCAGACCAGCCAGGTTCTTTTCTGCATCGCGCATGTCTTTATTTACCGTATTCATAGCTAGAAAGAGCATTTAGAAAAGACGGATAATGAGGAGTTCAAAGTGCGGTTTCATGAAATCAGGCTAATCGAGATTTTGGGAGACAGTAAAGGCCTTACTGTAAGATTTCCAGCATTATTCACTTACCATCTTCTATACGTTCCAGTTGTTCGCCCTGCTCATCAAGTGCTACCAGAGTTCTGATGCCATAATCCTGACATTCTTCCATTTGAGCCACCATTCTCCTGGTTGCGTCCAAGGACTCATCCGTGAGCTTTAATTGAATATTGAAAGAGTTACCATTGAAAAATATTGAATTACTCCATGAATTTTTAATCGAAAACTATTTTGAAGGTCGGTTCAACATATGGTTGAGCAATATGAATGTTTTATGGTCTTATTTTGAATGGATTAAAGAACTTTGTTGAAATTTTTTGGTTGATAAAAAAATCTTTCGTCGTACTATCATTCGATTTGAATAAAGATTTTGAAGAAAATCTGGGTAAAATTCTTTAAAAAATCAAACCTGGTTAGCTCGCATAGTCATAGCTTCTTGATCGGACGTCATCTTTTCAAAAGATTGTCTTATGTTCTAGTGCGAGTGGTCCTCGTTGATTTCTTCTCTCCCCTTGGATTTCCTTCGAAATATATAGATCTCTCTGTCTGCCTTTAGTTACTGTAGTGTTGTGATGCAAATACAGTTCGAGTGTTTCGTAGATGATTTCCTTGAGTCTTTCCTTTTTCTGAATCTGTCTCTTGGCAATGCAGGCGGCGCCCTCAGGCGAGTCTCCCTTCGTCAATAATACACACACACGCAAAGGATGACGATTTTGTTGAAAATCGATACCTAAACACTTATTCCAAATTTAATTTTGACAATTCATGTAAATTTATCGACTCCCTTTCTGGTCAATATATTCAAACTTCGATAAATAGTTTACAGCTTCCAATATGGACCCTATTATATGGGTCAGAATGTACAACCCACGGGATCATGCTAGGATAAACTGCCAGGTTTTGTAGGGTGAAAGGCGACTTCTATCTTGACCCTCATTTTGATATAAAAATTCCGGCCAAAAATATCTGATCGTTATTAAGTTCTTGTTCGACACATCGAAAACTTACGATTCGCAACTGACATTCGGAAGTCAGTAAAGGCTATCAATCGACTTGAACCCAAGCCTTTGTTTTATTTTAATTTGATTAAAGCCGATCCCCTGGGTCTCGTCACAAACGTTGTCATCAATAGGGACAGTTTTATCAAATGGTCAATCTTATAATTGGAATATTGACGGAAAATATTGATCCTGACAGTAAGACCAAGGGTGATCCTGGCTAGACTAGTATTCATTTGGAATGAACTCGACCTGCTGCTGAATAAAACTGCATCAACTTGGTCATGAATTCTTTATCATCTACTCCTGCATAAACGAATCAAAGAGGAAGTTATTGGGCAAATCATTTATTTGATAAATTTAAAGTAGTATGCAGAGACCCTTCGATGAACACAGTAGTTACGATAATGATTTAGCCACGGTTTTGAATCACTGTTAAATATGCAGATATTTTCAGATGTACAAATGAGTAAACCCCATTCTAGCCATCACGCCGTGAGGAACGTCCAAGGGTTGAGATGCTTCCCATCGCGGATAGGCGATCACACAAATATTGTTTGTTTAACTGGTAGTAGTTTAAGGCAAGTTGATAAAAGAGGCAAAACTTTTAGTTTAGTTTCAAGTTAATCGAGCAGATGCTCAGGTTGTTGGCCTTCATTAAAGCGATCCATCATCTTTCGGTAGACCCGTTCCATCGAACTTGCGTAGTCTTTCACAGAGAAAAGTCGTGAACTCATACGGAAATTATATAATCTCGAACTAAAGAGAATGTTAGGAAATAAATAATTCCCTGGGATCTTACCGAATAGATCTTCTGTAGTCTACATCGTTTCCGAGTCTGATAGCGATAGATTCATATGAAGAGTAATCATCCGCAATGAGCTCACTGAGGCCGAGAGTCTTCATCTGACTGGAAGCAACACGGGAAGCGAACGATTCAAGCGGGAGCGTGACCATCGGGCAGCCTGCCCACAAGACGTCCATACCAGTTGTGTGTCCGTTGCCTAAATTAATAACTAGCGTCAGGTTAGGCGAGATAAACTTACAGAGAGGAGTGTCAAGACAGACGTCTGCGAGTTGGCCTCGCCTAACGTGCTCTTCTTTAGCGGCGACGGGGGAGAAAATTATCCTCTCTTTAGGAATATTGTGATGGCTAAAATTTAAAATTGAATAATTTAACGCGATGTGGGTGGTCTTACCGCCAGCACCAATCATGTACGTAACGCTCTCCAAGAGCGGGGAATCGGAGAAGCCAAATAACGGCATCGGGAACTTTTTTGAGAATATTACACCAAGCACTCATCGTGTTCGGGTCAAGCTTGTAGAGTTGGTTGAAGTTGCAGTAAACAATGGCATCGTCTGGAAGTCCGTATTGTCTTCTACTTGTGTACACAGCATTGAGGACTTTTGCTTCGCCTTGCGAAGCTTGGGGCTCAAATGCACCGAGATTTAGTCCGTTGACTATTTTGATGTCGCCGATTTGAAGACATTGTTGCCCTTTGATGACCATGTTTTGAAGAGCTATCGATGTGTCGTGATTTTCATCCAGAGCAGCGTATTCGGCTAACTCATTAGAAACGTAGTTCAGCGCGTCATCCTCGCTTTTGTAGTTTTCTTCCATTTGAAGGCACATGCAGCCCATCAGCTGGGCAAGGGTCTCGGGATCTTGGTAGTTAATCATCGCGGTAGTTGAGCGGCCATTAGAGAGAAGAATCTTTCGTTCCATGTGGGCAAACATCTGTGCGTGATCGCCAATAAAAAATGTTCGGTCCATATAAGCGAGTTTTTCTGAGTACTGCTCAACCAACGAGACGGGTGAGGTTTGGTCATCGGTGAGAATGTAGTCCATGAAGTCAGCGCCAGAAGTTCCTGGATAACCGAGCCACATCACCTGAATGGGCGCTGGTCGGAGAGCGAAAATTTCGTTTCGCGCTCCCTTAGTGTATCCGTTCATGTTCAGCAGAATGTCGATTCCATCTGCTTTGATTTTGTCCGCCGCCTGGGCGGTGTCAATGTACTGTGAAAGATCTGTGAAATGTTCTGCTTCGGAGCTGATCTTCTTGAAGTATGTAGTGCCGTCGTCGGGTGTCAATGCATAGCAGAAGACTTCTACATTGTTACTGTCATGCATACCCGGAATGGACTGCATAAGATGCGCGGTGGGATGATTGCCAAAGTCAGATGAGACGTAACCAATTTTTATTCTCCTGTTGCCGAGTCGAGGGGCGAATTTGGTTGGAGGGCGCTGGTACAATGCGACCTTGTCTTTACAGTATTGAGCGTGCTTGCCAGCGATCGCCTTTCGTTGATGATGAGACAGAGGGTAAAGCATGGAGTGATGTGGGTGGACAGACGGAAGACGTGCCTTTTTCAACTGCTCGTCGACAATTTCAACGATCTTGACGTTGCGTGAATTGAAATCGTTCCAATCGCAAATGTACTGGTGACAATGAGCGCGAGCACAAAATGCTTCGGGGAAGTTGGGTCGAATGCGCAGCGCAAAATCGAAGTACTGAATAGCTTCGGCGGTGTTACCACAATCTTTGTGAAGTGATGCAAGATTGGAAAATGCGTCGGCGAAGTTAGGATTGATTGAAATGGCTGATTGGTAGCACTGGATCGCTTCTTGATTCCGAGCCATTTCCTTATATGTGTTGCCCATGTTCGAATAGGCATCAGCAAACTGAAACAAAGTTAGCCACATAAATAAATAAAATGGTGGAAACGCAAAAATATCAACTAACCTGAGGGAAAATCCTAATAGCCTGTTTGTAATGCTCGATTGCTTCATGATGTCGACCTTGCTGCTGAAGAATGCTCGCAAGATTGGAATGAGCAGCTGGGAAATCTGGTTTGGCCTTGAGTGCGCGTTGGTATAGCTCCATCGCCTCGTGAATTCTGTTTTGTTCTCGTTTGATATTCGCCAAATTGTTGAGCGAGTCAGCATGTTCTGGGTGGAGCTTCAAAGCTTGTTCGTAGCAGCTTTCGGCTTCGGAGACCAAAAGGCGGTCTTTCAGTGCATTAGCAAGGTTGCAATATGCGTCTGGGAAGTTTGGCTGGAAAGAAAGGCTTGTTTCTACACGAGGATTTCGAAGGATTTACCTGAAGCCTGATGGCTATTCTGTAAGTTTCAATCGCAAGATCAAGTCTACTTTGTTCGTAGTAGACTGACGCAAGGTTCCCATGAACAACAGCGTGTTGGTGATTGAGAGCTAGAGCTCGTTGATATGCATTGACTGCTCTGTCAAAGATTCGAGCTTCTTTGAACATGTTTCCAAGGTTGATAAACGCATCCAAGAACGTAGAGTCGAGTTTGACTGCCTTTTCAAAGTTGTGAATTGCTAACCAAATGTCGCCGCGCTGGTTGTAAACGCAGCCCAAGTTACTGTAAGCAACTGCGAAGTTTGGATTACACTGGATAGCTTTCTGGTAGCATTCCTAAGAAAACATTGTTAGGGCTGAGCGTGAGAAATGACTAAAACGGATGAGGAGCGCCTGCAAGTCCAACTGAAAGCGTCAGTGGCATATGCGCGACAAAACTCCCCGTGCACATCCGTGTGAGTTCGCATGATAATGTCGCGCTGTGAGCTGGTTCTTCCCGAGGGCCTGTGCGCGGCCGACGTTACCCCTTAATCCTTATTCTTTGCGGAAATTTGTGATGTCCTAAAGTTATTAATTCGCAATTATGGCGCTGGATTTCGCTATTTTGATTCTTGCATATCGTTTGGTTGGCTTATTTCTGAAAATTGAAAGCGGTTCCTAGACTAGCCCGACCCAGTTTTATGTACCACTTGTGGTAAATCGTCGTGTCCCTAGTCGTTGCTGCTTCTTGGCATTTGGCTTCGTCGACCTATGAAGCGCGGAAAAGATCACCAACAGAAATGCCGATGGTGATAGTTCAGTTCCTCAACTTCAAAAATAGAATAGAGAAGATGTTGTTGCGGGATGGAGACAAAGCTAACTCCTGTTAGGGCGATGTCAAAAGCTGACATGTGAGATGACATGTGGCGTGACATGTAGATCGCCTGAGCAAGAGGCAACTCGGTGAGAAGGGCGGTTACTCTGGGATTAAGAGAATTGCCTTTTGAAATCGAAAACGGCAAAAGATGAAAATATGCTGGCCGAGCACGGAATGGTCCAAATGGAGAAGTATTTTGCCGTCGACGAGCTAAGTGGTTGACCCTGAGAGTAATGTTTTTAGAGAGACAAAAGATGATCTGGATGAATGAATAAATATTTTTATAAAAATTTAACTGCCTTGTTTAGAAAACTAAACAAGCAATAACTTTCTTGTATATGATTTGATGACGATAAAACGCGAAATTTATCACCAGATTCTCTTCGTCCTCTAAATTTTTGTAGCACTGTTGAATTACCCGTAGGGCTAACCGGGTAGCGAGTGTGAGGAAAGATACTTGGCCATTTGAAAAACTAGAACACCTAGTCAATCCTAATCGCCGATTATGCGCACTTCACAAGCCACATGTCCCACGTCTCTCACTGCGAGAGAGACGCGTGTTGCGGACGACTTGGAAGGAATTGGACACACTCTCCTTCAGTGCTTCAATTGAACCCTGCTGCGGCTGGGAAATTGGCCATCAAGAGAGTGCTTTAGTCGCGTCTAAGCGGCTGTCCGCAGACGCTCTGTGTGTCCCGATAAACGCGCACACGCCTCAGGGCAAACTGAACAACGCCTGCGGATAGCTAGGTTAATAACCCTTAACCTTAAAACTCTGCCGGGGATAGGCGGAAGAGACCGCTCCGTGCATCGAGCCAGCGGGATTACCGAAGGCCTTGTTGCTAAAATAATCAAGATTCCTAAAGTGGCCACTTGAGTTATGTTTCTGCTTACGCCCTGAGTAGCCAACATCATCCACTATCGGCTCATGCAAATAGCTCTCTCAGGCGTGGAATAGCTTTCATGATAATTGAGGAGTGTTAAGCCGCACAGAGAGAGAACACGCGCATTACGGCCGATAGAGATTGGGTAGGGTGGGTACGGGAGATGTAATTTGCGGACGGGTACGTACTTCGGCCTCCTCAAGTCGCCCTAAGGACTTGAAGATGTTCCCGAGGTCCGAACGGACCCCATACAAATTTGGGTTTATCTGCAGGGCTTCCATGTGAGCTTTAATCGCGCCTTCGTAGTCCTGGATCGAGGTCAGAGCAGCAGCCAAGTTCACATAGCTAGAGATTAATGATTAATTGCGAAGTGAAATCAAGCAAGAATGTTCTTGCTTTCCGAAAACAGATGGGTACTCATAAGCTTGGGAATATTTCTTAATTGCGAAACTTAACCGAGGTTAAAAGCAACCGCGGCCTCACGCCCCTAGGCGATGGCAGCCATCTAAAGTTTCCCGATAAGCTTGGGTCTAGTACAGCCGCCCTGTTGTGCTGAGCTTACCCGTCTATGAAGTCAGGTTTGAGGCTAACTGCATATTTGTAGAATTCTAGCGCTTGTTGGACATCGCCTTGTTCTTTGTGAACATTGCCCAAATTACTATAGGCTTCGGCAAGGGTGGGGTTGACTCTTATCGCCTCGCGGGAAAAGTAGGCCGAATCGTCAAGCAACCGCTTTTGGAAATAAATCGAACTCAGCAGAAGCAGCACAGCGGGTGATTGAGGGTCTGTTTGATACACCTAAACAAGGCTTGAAAGGAAAGATGAGAGGAAAGATAGTACCTGTCTGCAGTGAATTTCAGCGCTAACATAGTCGCAGTTTTGATACTCCCGGTGGGCTTGCTCTAACAGTTGTTCGCGAGCTGATTTGTTTGGGTTGTGTGTTTTGTTCTTGTTGAAATTGAATTGATATGAGGACTGGAAAGGCTTTTTATGAGAACTCTGATATCTGTAGTCAATAATTGACATCATTTTTTGACTTGAAAAAAGTGGTCTTTCACGCTAACACTATTATCTAGTCTAGAGAAAAACACCCTTTTGGGTCCGGTTGTTGAGTTGATATTATTATTTTAAAAAGCCTGCCTGTAATCCATGCGTCTGATGAGATACAATCTGCACCCCTGCAGTCATTTTCTGCTTCTTGTTTCCGAAATTTTGCGAAATCGAGGGGTGCTTTTCGTCAAAATTCCGCTTTTCGGGCTTTTTCTTCTTGTCCACAGCCACGATTGCGGAGAAGCAACTCTCTGATTTTTAATCTCCGACTTTTATATTACTCTCGGTTCTTTCTCTTTCTATTTATCCGAGTCGGATTTATCGACGGTAAATTGCGACTGAACTGGCGCCTCAAGCGCCCCAGGGGAAAACGCGTAGGTGGCCAAAAATATCAGGAGCTACCACACCGCGAAGCTCAGTGTGGTGGAATAAGCTAATGACGTGCCAGGTTTGGTTCGATCGCGACTCGCGAGACATTTTGACTCGCTGACGGGAATTGAGGAGATTCTGCACTTCCGGAATTCGAATTACAGTTACTTTTGCTTGCTCTATCGTTGACTGATAACAGTAATCAATGCTCGATTCCCTGCAGTTTCTCTCATTAATCTGCACTAGACCCGGCAACCTTGTCTAAAACCTGAGTCAGGGTCTTGAAAATATCAAATTGAAAGAGCCTTTCTTTAAATTCTTTCAATTTGAAAGTTTCAAGACCCTGACACAGGTTTTATACACAGGCTGCCGAGCCCAGAATCTGCATATCATATGCAGCATATGCTTCTCAATTTTCATTTATAATGCAGTTGTTACTAACAACTTGTTAGTGCTGCAAGATCTTTGGCATCAGTAATCAATATTTCATACTTTACTGATACTGTGATGAAAAGATTGGAGGAGGATTGACTCAATCATGTTCATTCAAAAGGCGTTCAGGAAAGAACAGAGCGTCAGGAAAAGAATAGAGCAGTCAGAATAATAATAGTCCTAAAAAGAGAGTCTTGCCGGAACAGTCCGGCGGAACTAGCTTCAGTCTTTTTCGAGAATTTGAACCGTTCAGTCGAACTTTCGTTTGAAGCCGCCGGATCCACGGCCGCCTCCTCGTCCTCCGCCGCGGCCACCACCTCGGCCGCCGCCACGACCTCCAAATCCTCCTCGGCCGCCTCCACGGCCACCAAATCCTCCTCGGCCGCCTCCACGGCCACCAAAACCTCCGCGTCCTCCTCGACCACCACGGCCGCCTCGACCACCTCCGCGACTAAAATGAAAGTTTATTAAAAATTCGAGCGAAGCGAATCGTCGATTAAAAGTTCAAGGCTCGCCACAGAATCCCACTCCAGATTCTGGACTCCAGATGAGTAGATTTTCCTTGTAGAAGATAGAAAGGGGTTGAAAGAAAACTGCTACGTACCCAGCTGGTTTAGCCACCTTTCCGGCTGGCTTCTTGGGCTGTGGGAGGAATCTGCTGAGAGGGAGAAGCTTGGCAGGGTCGCAGAAGAATTTCTTGTCCTTGGCAAACGATTCTGCCTTCATGTTGTTGTCTAACTAGAGGTTGCGGGTAAAGAGGGGAATGAGGATTTCAGAAAATACCTTGACAGAGAGGAAGAAGTCGGTGATGGGGCCAAAGATTTCGTCGACTTTGCCGATTTTCTCTTTGTTTTCGAGATAGACGGGCGAGTTGAAATATGGGATCTTCTCGTTCGTGCATTTCACAACGAGGTCGTCCTAACAATTAATCAAAGCCGAAAGGATTTCGCTGCTGTACCTGGCAGGTGTGTGAAACTGTTCCAAGTTCGAGGACAGACTCCGGAGGGCCCTGATCTTCGTATCTTTTGAAACCTCCGCCGCCGCCTCCACGGCCTCGTCCTCTGCCACCGCCGCGTCCACCTCGGCCTCCACCGAATCCCATATTTTTATTTCTGAAAAGAATCGTTTAAACCACGAATTGGTGTATTCAGAAAGACACATATATTCACTCGTAACGAGTGACTCGTTACTTATTATCGACATCTGATATAAATAAGAAAGGAGCAAAACTTGGGAACACTATTGAAGTAAGAGATAATTTTTGAACTTCATTTTATGTCCTTGAAAATAAAAAATGTGGTGTCTTAGGAACTGAACAGAGATCATAAACACAGAAGCAAAGAATTCCTCTTTTAAATCCATTTCAGAAGGAAATTTGATTATAGAAAAATATTAATTTAGACATTTTCAATTACGAGGCAGCTTTAGATAACTCAATTGTTTTCTCATTTCATTATCGAAAATTCTCAGTAGAAGTCGGTCAAGTTTACGAAAAAGACATTTTGAAGAAATTAATATTTTTCCTTCGCGTGATGACGCTTTTTTCTCAAGTGAGTCAGAAATAGTGACTCAGCGCTCGTGGGAGCCCGTGAGCCAGGGAAAGAAAGGCTTATCCGGGCAAGAAAATGAATCACAATCAGAACGGAAGATATAAAAGCTACTTTTTCATTCGCTCAACTTTTCATTCTCAAAACAAACTTATAAGAAATGACGCTTTACCCAAATTTGGCAGAGGAAGTTCCCATCCCTCCTGCAGGAAGAACGAGTAGCCAGAGGAATGAAACAGATGAATCCGATGATGTTACTATAGGTTAGCTAGCGAATAACTGACTCGGTATTGACGAGAATATTAGTTCTTCAAATACCAGCTGGTTCGGTGGAAGTCACTTTCGTCCGCTCAAATGCTCCGATTTCAACTGATTTTCCAACGATTTCCATCGAGGATTCTTCTCGTGGCCCTCTTCTGAAATTCGGGAGCTATGAACTGCTCCTCGATCAAAAGTAAATTCATCCATTCTTTTCCATCAATTACAGTTTTCAGCATCTTCGTGCTCCACTACGACTTGGAAATGTTCTGTATCGGCGGCCGACAAGGCCCAATCGATGGAACCGACTATCATTTGTTATTGAAGCTCATTAACCCGACGGAAGATTTGATTGTCTCTACTACTTGCATATTCATGAACAATGCACGCTACAAATGCTTGTTCTCCGAGGAGCAAATTGGTACTCAAGCCCAAGAAGCTGCCGACATTGGGGATAAAGTTTCGGCTGGGATTTTATATGCTGCGGATGGTCTCAGGTACTAATAATCTGGGCTCGACCACCAGTGTTGAAATCCTGAGTCAGGATCTGAATGATATTTGATGAAAAGCCGCGTATTGATTTTTTAAAAGAAGTCGCGAAGCGTCTTCGGAGGAATTTAAAAATATATCGAAATAGCAATTTTGCGAAGCCGCTCTGCCACCCTTACTTAGATTTTGCATTTAGTAAAGGAATTGCTTGGGCAGGAGATAAGTCGAAATCTCTGATGGAAGGAAAGGCCCAAAAATACGTGGAAACTACTCCTGCTCTTTCCGACCCAAAAGAAATTTCCCCTGGTTGGAAAAAGACGGCCGAAGTCGCTTCAGTTTCGACAAAATACGTGGCAAAAGGAACGGGCTACCTGGCAAGTGCCATTGGCCAAGTAGCGACGTATGCTGGAGGAAAGATTGCCGACAAAGTTCAGGAGAAGTACGGACAAAAGGATGGAAACGGAGAAACCAGCAGCACATGGAGAAACACGACTAAGATTCTCGGTGGCGCTTTGGCTGGATATGGAAAAGTTTGGGAAGCGTTGGAGCACAGTGGAAAAAAGATAGCCGTCGCGTCGCGAGATACAACGGCAAAAGTCGTCACTCACCGAAGCGGAGAAGCGGCGGGAGAAGTGACTTACAACTCGATGAATGTTGGAGTGAACTTGACAAAAACCTTCTTCCATATTGAAGATATGGGTATGAAGAAAATTTGCAAAACGGTGGGAAAATCCGCGGCAAAGAATTATCTTCAAAAGCATCTCGATGCGAAGCGAATTAGGGATCAACAAGTCGGAACGCAAGGCAATCAACCGATGGCGATCATGCAATAATACCTTTTTTCTTTCTTTCTTCGTTCTAAATCAAAACTCGTGTTCAAAATATGCCTTTATACCTATTTTCTGAAAAAAAACTTTTTATCGTTCTAAATATACCTTTTGTTTAAAATTAACAAACTTCAAATTGATCACTATGTCTTGAAATCAGGTGAAGCAAACACAATTTTGAGAAATTTCTCTAGAACGCACTTGGCAGTCAATATTTGCTTTTTCCGCCCCACAATCTATCGTTTCAGTTTCAGTTCGTTTCTTCTGATCTTGAAGAAAGCTCATATTCAAAGGCCATGGATAAAGTGGTCGATGTTTTATCGGAAGTTCGGGCGAAACTGCCAAGAGCCCTTACTGAGATTCAAGTTCCCTCTTACAGAGACATTCCTAAAAAGCTCAAGGAAGCTCCTCTCTGGGTCAAGGTAAGCGAAAAAGGGGATTCAAAGAAAGATTATTGCTTCTGTTAGATATCCCTCGGAACATCTGCTGTGTCTTACTGTTACATTCGATACAAATGGACGGCAATGAACGACTGGGGAGTTCCCGTCTTGACCCCTTCGCTCCTCACATTTGGAACAGCGGGCCACTACGCCGTCGACAACGGTTTCAACGAACTGGCTGACAAAGAGCTCAAGGACAAGAATCGTAAAACCGTCGGTTACTATCGACTTACGTCTCCTGTCATTTTCACTGTTGATCACGAACTCATCAATGCTGTTTTTACGACACACTTTGGTTCATTCTCTGCCAGACAACCTGACATGGGATCTTTTGGCGTCGGAAAAGGTTTGCTTTCTCTGCTTGCTAGAATTTCACCCTTTTTTAGAGCTCAAACACACTTTGGATATTCTGACTTGTCCGGTCCAATGGAGACGAGTTCGCCAATCCATTTCGCCAAGTTTCTCAAACGTCCAGCTTGAGAAAATGATGTCAGTAACCAAAGCTCGTCTCGATATCCTTTGTGATCAGATCAGAAATCTTAATGGAGAAAAAATCAATGTCAAAGGAGTGACCGGCAAATATACTATGGATGGTTTTCTCGCTGGAGCAATGGGTGTTGATTTGGAACTTGAAGATCTTCGAGACTTCACAAAGTCGAAAGAGTACATGTATTTTCATGAAATCTTTAACCCAGGCGCGCAAATTTTCTTGACTGTTTTTATTCCTGGATTCGGGGATCTTTTGGACAGTCTTGAGATCCCGATCTATGCCACTGAAGCTGTCAGGTAAATAGTTTTTAACCATCTTGATTCAAAGCAAAATTTAGGTGGTTCACTGGCTATTGCAAGGCCATGCTCAACGCTGATACTCCCCAGACAGACCGTCGAAACTTCTTGGAAATCTTCAAGAAATTGAAGATCACTGACGAAGAAGCAAAGGCGGCGACAAAGGTTGTTTTAATCAGATGATCAGCAGTCTATAACTTTTCTAGGGACTCACACACGATGAAATTATCAGTCAAATCTTCGTTCTCTTTGCTGCCGGATTCGAAACAACCGCTACGCTGCTTCAATTCGCGATTTACGAAATCTGCAAAAACGCTGATCTCCAAGAACGACTGGTCGAAGAGATCAGTGGGGTCGGCGAAGATTATAGCAATTTTAACTCGAAGAAACTCCCGCTTCTCTGCGCTACACTCAACGAAACTTTGCGTCTCTATGCACCCGCTGGGGTTCATCTTCGATACTGCAACAATGATGTGGTTATCAACGGAATCCCCTTCTCAAAGGGCAGCAATGTAGAAGTACCAGTCGATGCCTTGCACGAGAACACAGAATACTGGGGAGCCGATGCCTGCGATTTCAATCCCGATCGCTGGATATCGAACCCTGACTACGAAAAAGCTCCCTTTTTCCTGCCCTTTGGAGCTGGGCCAAGAAACTGTGTTGGAATGCGATTTGCCAATATGCAAGGTAACTTCTAAACTTTTTCTTTAATCTAATACAAATATTCAAGCGCGCCTTGGATTGATGCGAATTCTCAAGACATTCAAGCTGGAATTCCCTAAAGATTTTGTCCCTGACGTCAAACGAACTCGGCTCACTACGTTCCTCCTTGCTCCAAGCAAGGACATCGATGTTTGCTTCCTCCCTCGCGAGTACATTAACTAGTGTTACGTCTTCTCCATCCAGCTCTTTCTCTTTCCCTTGCTTCAGTTCAATCAGTACCTTCAATTCAAACATTCATAATTCACCTCATTTTAGTGCAAATATAATTCGTTCAAAAATAGCACAAGGAGATGCGTTATTCTCATTTGAAAACGCGTTTTCCGCTTCAAACTAAAATATCAAAAATTGTTTATTTGAAGAATTTATGATAGAAGCAGGCGGTATTCGTAAAGTTGCTTGTTGAATCGCTTCTTTATGTAGTTGTATAGTTCCATTTCAAGCTTCATTTTATTCGTTGATAATAGGTGCTGTCTCATTTCATCGCTAGAAAGCATATCTAATTGAGCTTGTTAACATTCAGATGACTTACCTTATCGGCTCTTTATACGTGGTCTTTGAATAATTTCGTATCCACTTTGAGGCTTTGTTGAAATCAGCCGCTCCTTCGAAGATACGAGGAATCATGATCTCCGCCAGCTCTAGGAATTTCGTGTAGTTCTCCAGAGTACCGACAACCAAATAATGCTTTCTGATGTTATGAATCGCCCTTTCTAGCGCTTCTCGTGTCGGTTTCAGACAAACAGGATCTCTCCCACAAAAGTACGGAACATAGCTCCAATCTCCCCCGTTTTTGCAAACGATTCTGAAGTATTTGTCCGGATGATCATCGGCTTCTTCGAGGCATTTATTTATCGATAATATATTCGTTCTATCTTTCGTCTTGTCATGTTGAAATCCGACTTGTCGGTAGTAGAACTTGGAGACGAATCGGTCGATCGGATGGCGGACAACGTTGATGAAGGTCAAGTTTAGCGACTTGGGAAAGTCGAAATAATAGAAATGGCGGGTGTAGACGAATGCTTTCTCGGGCTTTGCATTTAGGGCATTATTTCAACTTTCGTTTTAGTTTTAGCCGCTCCTTTATACGGATTTTCTGCTTGAAAGTCTGAAAATTTCTGAATCAACCGTTTTTCTTCGTTGTCGTCAATGATCTTTGAATCGTTTTTCTCGTAGTGAAACCATTCTTGGAATCTTGTCACGCTTCGAAACGTGTAAAAAGACAGTTGTAAAAATAAGCTTCTCTTGAAAAATTGAAGCGTCAAACGCTCTCTAAGCGGATCCTGTGATTGTTCTCTGATAAGCCAGCGAGTACTAATCGGGTTGAGGATGAACCACATTTGGCCACGCGGTTATAGACGACGTATTTCGCCTCAGTCGGATTACTTTTTATCGCTTTTTCGTCTTTCTCAGAATATATCGGTTCAAGAGCTACAAAAATAAGCTCTAAAAGAGTTAGAAAGAAATTGATTTCTTACGCTCTTGGTGCAATATTTGTGGCGAACTCTGTTGCTTATTTTCCTTTTTGTAATTCGTTCTTGATGAAGTACTACTTTCGTAAAAAGTCAAAATTGCTATCAAGGCAAAAAGAACCACGGAGAGCTTCGAGCTCGCTAGAATTTTACCCATCTTCCCGCTCAAGTCTCTCATTTTTGAATTATTTCTTCTTCAATGATCTTGACAAAACATCAACAAAATTGAGTCGTTTCAATAAGCTATGCTTGAACCAACTAATTGAAAAAAGCTTACTCGTATACTTTTCAATGACTACAAGAATTTCATTTCTAAACGGCGCGGAGATCTGACCCTGGAGGAGATTTGGCTAATCTACCCCCCAGCTCAAATATCGGCATCAGATAAACATAAACCGATAATATGAATCAACTCGTTTTGCTCTATTTGCGCTCTGAAGTCGGCACTCAATTAATGCTCCTGTACTTTGTTGGCTCAGACCAAAAATCAAACTTTTTTTTAATAAGACTTTATTCACAAAGATAAAGGATGGGGCCCAACCAGGTTTTGAAAAGGAAGAGGTTCACATTACATAAGTTTTTACACAGAGAATAAAGAGTGTTGCGTAAAGTTATTAATAAAAATAGCAAGTGGTAAATATACTGCATAATCATATTCTTTTTATGAGAATGCATTTGTCAAGAAAGTAAAAATAAGGATAGGAAGGAGCTGTACAGAGTTAAGAAAGCTTCGGATAATGGCATAGGTTGACCTTGGTCAAAGCGCTTTAGCAGCTTCCGATCGAGGAGACGAAGTCATTTCGGCAACACTCTTGAATGTCCGAATCGTAGATTTTACCTCCGCAACACTGTTTGCCAGATCCGTCAGCGTTGAATTTGTATGGAAGTCTAAATATATCAATAAATTCTTTAGTTACGTTTCGTTATATATGCTATGAAAATATAAAGGCGAAAATAGAATTGTTACCTGTCCATTCCAGTTCCACAGCACTGAACTTTGACGTCGTTACCGCCTGGTCCTGGCAGACTTCGAAGGCATTTAGATCGGGAGTCAAATCCACCGTAGAAGGCGTGATGAGCGGCGTTCCATCCATCCTCGCTTTCGGAAGCAGGGACAAGTCGGGTGGCGAGAGCCTTGTCGCATTCGCAGATTTGTCGTCGGCAGGTTCCTTCTCTGTCCACTTTAAAGAGGTTAGAAAGGAAAAACTTCGTGGTTCGTATTAATCAGAAATAAGTACGTACTGCATTTGATGTAAGCCTCGCCAGTGACAGAATCGTAGGCTCCTTTGTGTCTGTAACCAGTTTCCTCAGGGACACATTCCTGACCGAAATCCTTCTTAGCGCATTTGTAGCACTCTTTTTGTTGTTTGCAAGTCCTGAATCAATGAGAAAAAAGTTGAGCCTAATGATACTTACTTGTCGACATTATCTTGTGGAGCACCGATTCCTTGTCGCATCGGGTAGTCGCCCATCTGGAAACACCAACATCCATAGACCCAATATTTGGTGATGTTATTACTGGAAGTGTCCATGAAAGTCATCATCTTCTCGAGATTCTTGTACTTTCGTTCCATTGCTGGTCCCATTCGTGCAATATCCTAGATGCAAAGTAATAATTAGACCGACAATCTATGATTTTCTATAATTTTTAAGCATAAAGAGCACTTACGGGTGCGATCATTGGGTCATCAAGAGCAGAAACTGGGGCTGCTCGTCCTCTGGCAGCAAATGCTGGGTAATCTGCTTCGTACTCCGGAAGAGGAGACTGTCGTCGAGCTATCAATTTAGTTAATAATCATCACAAGCATTATTTCTAGCATCATTTTAAAGACTAAATCATGATGGAACTTACATCGGCCAGCAGCAGCAAGTGACAAGAGGGCAAAAGTCAACATTTTATTCTTTTATTCAAAATTCTTTTTTATTCTCTTTCTCTTCTCCCGAAGTGGTTGAAAAAGATACTGATGGGTATTTTTAGCAAAGCCCAGTTTATATACTTCGGTGCTGATTGTCAAGAGAATTGCAGACGGCGGCAGGTGGCGGTAAAATTGCCGGAGAGGTCCGGGCGGTGGAGCTCGTCTTGAAAATGGATACCCCGCGAATTATCCTCCAGCGAGTTGCAACCAAAAGTGAAGTTGGTTACTTGACTGATGAAATTGAAGTTAGAAACTGGACTTTGCGTAGCTCACCGTGGATATTTATTTTCCAGGGATATTGCCGCAACGGAGATATTTCGTTGAAGAATATGGATCGAGTTTAACGAAGCGTGTTTCTCAAGATCATATTCAAAGTTGACATCGATTTAGCTACAAAACTTTGCTCTTTTGACAAAGTTGGAAAAGTCGCCAAGGAAAGGTAAAAACCTGAGTTGGCATATTCACACGTTCAGAAGGACTTAAAAAATAATCCAACAGCAAATCTCTTTAGGAAAATCAGATCTTAAAAGTTAAGCCACCCGCATTGTCGTTTTTTCATGCTGACGAAAGCAAAATATCATATCCGGATCGGACTTAAAATATTTTCTCTTCAAGGTCATCCGGTTTTCTGCAATTTCTTTGCCGAAGCTTCTGCCAGCTTCAGATTAGGTTTCCTGTTGGATGAGTTTCTTGAAGACGGATATCCGACGCCAAATCCGAAACTATCGTGGTGCACCCTGCTTCTTATGAGTTGATCTTTTGAGGAGCTGAGAAACGGAACATTCCAGCTCGTAAGACGCTATGGATAGAATTTCTTGGAAAGCAAGATAATTTGATTGAAGTCACTTCTGTTTCTGACTGAAATTCAGAGATCAGCCTCTAATTTCGCTACTGCAAGCGTAGCTTACTAAGCACATGTGTGGACGTTCATATGAACGGGTGGGGAGGTGTTCTAAGTAAGATAAACGTGATCAGCTTCTTTCGTTATCGGTTTAACAGATCAACTTGAGCTTGCATTAACCATGTTTTTGACGACTCATCTTCTATTCTCTAAAATCTCAAGATCAAAATTACCTTTTTAAACATATTCAGCGCAGTGCTCATAAATCAATCGCACTGTTACCCTGTGATTGTGTTCGAATGCCAGCAAGTTTCAATTAAAAGTATAGTCGTCACAGTCTCCTGAATATGGGAACACGGACTCGGATAAATCAAACTGGAATGCGAGTACATTGGATCAAACGCTAAATCTTTTCGGAAATCTTGAAACAAAGAAAGAAAATTTCGTGACTGGCTTCACAAACATAAAACAGCTTCGTGAAAGCAAATTTGACATTTATACTACGTGAGGCGAATTTCACTCACTACGCATGAGATTTATATTTTTAGCTTTAGCATTTTCTAATTTCAAACAAACGAGATGTAATAAATTGACGAAAGAAGATATTTGCACTGCAACTAGGTGTCTAAGAGTAAGTTGAGACTAGAAACAGATTGATTTTGTATTGAAAAAGTGTCAAGAAATCAAAAATTTTGGCACTGGACGGACAATTGTTTATGAATTCTGTGAGAGGCTTTTGCGATTGCGATTTTGTTGTTCTGATTTCTTCCAAGCAGGTTAATTGGCTCAAGAATCCCCTTGCAGTAAACATTTATTAGAAGGAAATCCTGTTGGAGCAGTGGGTCTTCAACCACTCTTTCAACTTGGAAACGACCGTCATAAAGTGACGCTCAACTGTGTGAATCAGGAAAATTTATGCCCGATAGAATGCAAAATTGTTGGAAGATCATTTTCTGTCTACGATGACTTTTTAGAAGAATCTGAAAGTAAGTTACTTTTTCAAATTTCATCCTAAAGTCCTCACATCTCGAGTCATTATTTGACAAATTATTATAGATATTTACGCGCTGATGATAAATGATGACATAAACGATTTTCTCGAAAACGCCGAGCAGTGCCAAAAAGTGCCAAATGAAGGCCACATAGAAGCAATTGTCTTCATCTGCATTCTACTTGACTTTGCCGCGATAATGTAGGTGAAAACGCATTTGTGTGAAATAATCCGCGAAAGATGCAAGCGAACAAAGCTCAAGTCGCAAATCAAGTAGCCTCGAAAAGGCTTATAAACCTAAATTTGATCCTCCTGCTTTAGAACTATCATCTACACCAGATGCTTGAGCTGAATTAACTTGATCGCCTTTGTGAATACCTCTGCTACAGTTCTGTAGAAATCTTGAATAAATTGATGACTTTCATTTTCGACAATTGCAGACAAGGTCTGGGAGAATAACGGAGTCGAGTAGACATTTCACGTCAATAGTAAAAACTGTTCTATATATTGATTGTTGACAGGGCCTTATTTTTACAAATTATGAATCGATCGGGCACGCTCAATTCTGGAGCACTGTAAACTCGATCGACGAAAATATCTCGTTGTACTGGTTTTTCCTCGCCGTGCGCTTCTAGTGCTTTTTAACGAAAAATTTTTTTATTCGACGAAAAGAGAATTGAATCTTGAGAGGGGCAATTTTTTAAATGACATAGTCCCGGAACGGAGACATTGAGCTTCGCGATGGATCCTCAGGAAAGAGTCACAAACCGAGATTAACTAAAATCATCAAATTCATTTTAAAAAATGTTTGTTTACTCACAAAAAGCAATTAACCGAGCATGCTATGCCCGGTAGTACAATTGCTAAGCTGATCTCTATCATAATTCTATGCCTTATCAACACTGCAGTTTACCTCACGCTCTGGCGGAGCTATATCCGACCAAAATGCATTCTGCCCTACCAAGATCCGAACTACCAAGCTGCTGATCACAATGTCTTCAAGCCAACAAACTTGAGATTTCAGCTCTTGATTTTTATGCTTGGATTCATTGGTGCCCCGATCTTTATCCTTCTTGGTTGGCTTAAGGTCCCTGGTCCTCACTGCTTTCTATTCCAGCTCTGCTTTTTGACAAACGCTGCTCTTTATCCGTTGCTTCTCCTTCAGTGCATGTGGTCATATCGTCTCTATTATCGGTAAGTTCCTTTAATAAGACTAGACTCCTAAACAAAACGCGAAACTTATACGCTCTAAGGTTTCACTGTCTGGCAAGTGGCGTACTCTAAACTGTGCCTTTTAAACTTTTTTAACTTGAAATTAAGATTGCTATACATGCGAGGAAATTTCTACTTGAAAGTGTCGGCCTTTCAAATTTTCACCCTCGTTCCATTTCTGCTCGCCTTTGGTTATTTCAATTACCAGTGGGTCTGGATCATTCAAGCCTCGCAACTCGCTTACAATGGGAAGAACGACTCCACAACTGGTCATTCGAATGGATTTTGCTTTGAGTACTTGGATAACAATGGAACGGAAACGACTCTTCAATACGCGATTCCGATCAAAGGGTATGTCTGGGGATCACTTGGAGCAGAAGTCTTCAATATGCTTTTGATCGTCATTTTCACCATCAATTCGTACAAAGAAATGAAAAAGATCGGCTACGATATGGATGCCTTGGACGGAATCGGCGTCATGGTGAAGCTGGTTACTGCGCAGATTATTCATCTTATAAAATGGGCGTAAGTTAGGATCAACAGTCCGTCTCATGTTAACGAGGTGTTATATACACCTTATATGTCCGTGAAAAATTAAAGCAATTCCTGCAAAGCTCCTGAACAGCTAACATTCCTAGTAGAACATTAGCAACAGCACGAGTAACCGGTTAAGATGATTTCAAAAAACTTTTTGTGGGGCCGGAAATCGTAAAAAAACTGCAAGTGCAGTTTTCTTCAGCTCCTCGAGACGAGTTGAACTTTCATCTTTTACCCTGCAATAGAACTGATTATAAGGAACAGTTTCCTGGGTCGAACATCTATTTACCACTTCTAGAACAAAAACGGCCGGTGACAACGAATTTTCCGGTAACCAGCCGGTAAACCGGTAAATCCTTAGAGTTATCAAGAGTTAGACCCATCATTCAACTCGTCTCGAAGAGCTGAAGAAAACTGCACCTGCAGTTTTTACGATTTCCGGCCCCACAAAAGTTTTTGAAATCATGTTAAGCACTGGTTTAGAAATCATATCGATTAGGCAAAACGATTTTAGAAGCAATTTCTTTTGAACAAAGAAGAAGAAACAGCCTAGTTTTATTAGAGGATAAAAATATTATTTCGAGAAAAAAAGTTATCCTCGCTGTTCAGGGCACTGGCTGATCCTCTCATCCGGCTCAAGTGGATTGATGTAGTCCTTATCTACTTAGTCTTCGTGCCTATTGATACGCAGATGATCTTCTTGCCGGATTCAAAGTGGAGTCGGATGGTCCGAAACTACGTTCGCCAAAAGTACGTGACACCTTTCAAATTTAGGCTCTATCTTCTTAAGTTTGAGCCTTTTTTAAAAATAAAGAAGGCGAAATTAGAACGACATTTTCAGGCTGACCGCATTTGCAAATCAAGTGGACCTACCGATGGCTCCGCCGAATCCGTCCAAGGTCTCGACCGAAAATGAGAAGACGGTCAAAGTAGAAACGCAGGGCAAAGAGGCAGCCAAAGGATCAGCCCCGCCCAACCCCACCGAAGTGCGGGCCAGCAAGGCAAGCCGCGAGGTTGAGGTAAGAACGGACATCTATAAAGCCCCCGAATAAACGAGTTTTACAGGTTCAAGGCGCACAAGGACAACGAGTTTGGGATGATGATGAGTTGGCGAGTAAGGCGGTGAAGGTTTTCAAGGAAGAACTGGCTGAAATGAACAGAAGTGGACTTCCGAAGATTGAAGATGTAAAATTTTAATGATTTGTTCAAGTTTTACTATTCCATTTCAGATGGTTCGACCGAAAATTATTGAACCAACCGAGCTTAGAGTCGTAACCAAAAATCCTTCCGACAAGGCTCCACTTGGTGCAAAGTAAGTTTACGGAGATGATAAACGGTTGCTTTTTTCATCATCAAACAGGAAAATAACAGGAGCACGTTGCATTATCAAGTACCAGCAGTAAAGCTGTGTAACTAACGAGTGATCAACGCCGAGGGAGAAAATATCGTTTTGAAATGTATATGAGCGATAAGCTTCCCCACTAAGTCGTGACCGAGCGGCTTTTTTGGAGCTCCGATGACGCTAGCGAAGCGTTTTTGGACTTTGATTTAAAATAGAGTGCTTTCTTGTTGACCAATTCGGATGAAAATATTTATTTTTAGTTTAGCTCTTTTTGAATAATTTTTTTAGCTATCGAATCAACAACTCCGTCTACAAGGGAAACAAGGTCTTTTTGGTTTCACAGGAAGATGGATACTCGCTCAAAGTTTCTGATATGGATGCTGGTGTATTCGGGTAAGATGAACTCTGAATTCTGATAATTAAATTTAATTTTTAGTGCCTTCAAAGAAGCTTACACAACTAAAATCTGCGAAAATAAATATTTCCTAAAACTATTCGGAATCACCTACACACCGGATATGAATCCTGTCTTCATTTATGGTGGTCGAGCAAAGGGCTCGTTGCTTGATGTCTTGCGCAACAAACACCAGGAAGTCACATACCGACTGGTAAGTGGATACGCACTTGTCCTTGGAAAGGAGATCTTGTTTAGGCTCTAAAATGGCTCAACCAGCTACTGGACTGCGCTTATCTTCTTGCCAAGGAAAACATTGTCTATCGAGAAGTAAGTCGAACAACCAAATACGCATGCTAAATAGAGGTTTTAGCCGGTACTTCCGGCCGGCGTTCTTGAGAATTACGACTTACATCAGACCATTTCTCGCATCACTGATGCGGCATCAGGAATTTTTTTTAAATATTCTTTATTGAATTCTTACTTATTGTCACTTTAGTTCATTTCTGCCAACATCATTATCGACTCCAACGAAGACGTCCGAATTGGGTCTATTTATGATTATCGAAATATCTCCGATGAAGCAAAAATTAAAATGCATGATTTAACCAGGGGTAAATATCTCGATAACTAGTAAATCTCTTTATACATTATCTTAAGAGGACGGTCTTGAAATTATGCGATGCTTTGCTCCAGAAACGCTTCGGGACGAGACGAAATTCACGAAAGAAAGTCTCATGTGGCAATTTGGCATTTTATACTGGGAAATTCTAACTAGAGGCCACGTGCCATATGACCAACTTCAAGTCTCAGGTAGCTCCTTGAAATTAAAACCACTATGTTCACATAAAATGGAGTTTGTATAGCTCCTTGGCAGGGAATTTCAACAAGTGTCGGGTTCTTACTGACTCCCTTTGTTTAGAGCTTGCTGTTAATATTGAGAAGGGTGTTCGTTGCAGACAGCCGTTAGAATGCGATTTGACACTGTATAAGGTTTGCTAAAAGATTCTGAATAGAAGACCTAATCTTCACTTCAAGGTGATGTTGGCTTGTTGGCATCCGGATCCAATGCAGAGGCCGATCTTGAAGCACATCATCGATTTCATGAAGCAATATGAGATTGAATTAACGACGCGAGAAGCCTCCATGTTCATCAAAAAATACTCAAATAAGCGAGCATGCGAGGTAAGGGATAAAATCTTAGAAGAAATGACGATTCTGCGAAATTTGATAATACAAAAGACACGTTTTGTTGAAAGCAAAACAAAGAGGCCAAGTTACCGCTCATTGTCGAAGAATGTCTGTATTGTTTTTGATATGGTGATCATTCCGCTACCCGAGCCGCCATTTCGAATTCGAAACTGATCTCAAAAAACGCAACTAATCCTGCGATATTCGCAAAGCTGCGTTCTTTAGAAATGAACCTCTAAGACCTTGGCTCACTCGTATAGCACAGCTATCTAAATTTCATCCTAAAAGAAGACTTTATTTACACTTGGGTTTAAATTGTTCTTTTAGATCGTACAATCGGTCGACGCAGCAAAACTTGGCCTCGAATTGGGTTATATTGACCAGGAATACTTTACAAACCTCAAGTGCCTGGCTCAAGAGATCGCCGATAAATTCAAGTAGGTGTCCGGTTTAGTTTGTTTCCATCCTGTTTCTGCATTAAACATTTAGAGCTCTGACGAGCCTCCTTTTCACACCAACTGCTTCTTTCAAAGTGCTGAGCTGTCTATTGTCCATCGCTCTTTTTGCAGTCAATTTTACATATTTTTAAGTATTGATAACGAAGAAACCCTGGGCTTTGAAATGGAAAAGTACGACTGGCCGAACTGGGCGCTAGAAGTCAACAGTGAACGCGTGCACGTACCGATCGACATCAGAAAGATGGAAGACCCCGCCAAGATCCAGCCATTGCCGAGGATCTCGCACCAGAAGAAATATAACCTCAAAATGCTAATGAACCAGTGATCCAGTGGACAATACCGATTGAATATTTAATATTCAAGCAAATAGCTTACATATTTTAACGATTTTCAATATTTATTTTTGTTGAATTTCGACTGATATAACTGTACATTGCTTTAAATACCGAACGAGCCGACAATGAAAACGCGCAGCGCCATTAAAAACACACTTGACGTCGAATTAATATTTTTCTTGAGCTAAAAGGCTTGTAAAGTGGAAGACCGTCAAATCGCGGTGCAGTCTTTTATCTCTTAAATTACTTCTAAACCAAAGTGAGCATCATCTCTGTTACTTAAATATTAACAGACGTTAACATAGCACTTGTGGTGAGTGCTCTTGTCAACTCATGATGTTTACTTGTGGCGACATCAAGTGCTAAAAATGGCGTGCGTTTTTTCATTAAAATAATTGAACGATATGGAAATAAACTTGAAGATACTTGAGCATTACAGAATATTTTCTTTTTTAGAGACAATATCATCTCGATAAGCCTCGGGATAAGGCGGGAACAGTTCCGTTTCCGCGGCGAAGTCTCAGATGCAATGTCGGGAAGCTTTTCTTGATGAGATCGACAGTTTGTTGATGGGTGAACGAGGCGATGTTGACGGAATTGACGGCCAGGAGAATGTCTCCAACACGGATTCCACGAAACTTTATCTCATTTGTTGTCTCGTGAAGTCTTAAAATAGAATTTTTTTCTTTCGAAATAGTGTTATTTATACCTGAGAATATAGAGCGGAAGCTCAAAATCAGCGCCTCCTCTGACCCCAAAGCCAAATCCGGCGTCGTCCTTCTCAATTGTCGTCTGCCAGCTCATTAATCGCTTGATTCTTAATCTAAGGACGCGACCTTGCTGCACAATCTGCACAATCTGGTCATGTGACTTGTCTTCTACTGGCACATCGTTGACAGAAAGGATCTTGTCGCGGTATCGCAAATCGACTCGCGCTGCTGCCGATTCTGCCATTATGTCGCCGACGTAGTGCGCAAATTTACAGCTTTTAGCGGTCAAAAATCAAGTTATTTATCTTGCCTCGAAGGGGAGCATTTTTAATGATCGAATGACTCTCCAGTAACTTTCAGTGAGCCATCATGAAACATTCCCGGCTTCCCAATCGTAAACATTGATGAACTCTTGTTTCAATATTTGATTTTTTCAGATACATAAATCGTGTCAGATAGTTCAAATTCAGCTCAAAGCAAGATAAAATGTATTGTATTCCGACACTTCAAGATATCCCTGGTATGAATGATATTTTTTTTATCATGTTAATTTTATATTTAGAGCTGTCCAAAGACGTTTTAAAATCAGCAGTTTTATACGCTCAGAATAATGTACCAAGAAAAACGTATCTTGTTCTTGCCTCATTTTGTGGAGCCGCTGTAATTGGGTATCTATGGGTTCAACAGAAGTGGAAATATTGGGAACGAAAAGGTGTACCAGGACCAAAGCCATCTTTCAAGGATATTGGTAACACAAGATCAACATTTCGCGACCATGGAACTCAGCTTGGTAAAGATTTTCCCATGGATGCAGTTGGGATCTACATCTTTGGGGTCACACCTGCCCTTGTGATCCGCGACCCAGTTATTTGGAAAGAAGTCTGCGTGAAAAAATTTCATAACTTCACTACAGGAGGAAGAACCAGGTAAGAAATCATTTGATGAACTGATTTTCATTAATTAAAGCGCGAACTACTTGTTTGGTAAAATCAGCCCCGATTTCTTAACTGTCGCCGAAGGGCCGAAATGGAAACGACTGAGAAGCACGATCGCTCCATTCTTCTCTGGAAATAATTTGAAAGAAATTTGCCTGATCATCAACGATCTATTTGAGTACTTCGATGAGAAATTTATCCCTGAAAACGATGAGACAGATGTCAATGCGAAAGACTTCGCGAGCAACTTTTCTTTGCGCGCGATTCTCGCTTCCGGCTTTGCGATAAATGCAAAAGAAAATGAAGAGCTCGCTGAAGATCTTTACAAACATGCCAGTATTCTATTTGAGGTTGATTGGAAACAAGGTATGAGAATTGAGATTCCATTAGCTACAATATTTGAAGCAACGAAATCGATGATGCTACCAAAATGGCTCCGTTTCAAGCTGAATGTTACGAGCTATCCACACTCGACTGACGTTTTCTTCCGGAACATAATCTCGGATATAATTGAAAACGGCAAAAAGAATGGAAAGAAAAACCTGATTACGCTGATGGCTGAAAACATCATTGATGAATCTGAAGAGCTTACTGCTTCTAAAGGATTCACAAAGGTAGCGTAAAAATGAGAGCGAATATAAATGAATATTTCAAGGGCGAAATTTTGGCACAAGCGTTGATATTCCAATTTGCCGGGCAAGATACAACAGCAAATGTTCTATCATTCTTCCTCTTTGCTTTGTCTCACAAACCCGAGCTACAAGACGAAATTCGCGGGTTGCTCGAGGAAACTGACTTATCTTACGATGGGCTCAAGAAAGTCAAGTTTCTCGATGCTTGTATCAAAGAAACTCAACGCTATTTCACATTTCTTTTCTTCTTGAGAGAAGCCGATGAGGACTGCGAGGTCGCCGGGGTCAAGGTAAGATTCCCCTTAGAAATACGAGTGCACACATTAGATTGCAGGTTGAAAAGGGTAGCTCTGTGATGTTCCTGCCCAAAACAGTTCATCGAAATCCAGACTACTACCCTAATCCGGACGCGTTCGATCCTCACCGATTCGACAACAATGAATCAAATACCCTCCAAGATGACTACTGGTTCGGCTTTGGTATAGGCCCACGAGCTTGTCCAGCTGTGAGATGGGCATTTGTTGCCATAAAAATCTTCATCGCCAATGTTTTGGTCAAATACGATGTTTTGCCGGGCGAGAATGCACCTGCAATGGACGAAGTCAATGCCCTCTTCCGAGGAGCAAAAGTCACTACCAACAAACCCATGCCAATTCGATTTAGAAAACGTTCTTGATTAAATCTAATAAAACTATTCGTTTCTGACCATTCCTTTCGAACGGCTTCGTCAAAACGACGAAACCAAAACTGTCGGAGAATTTTTCCAACAAAATGTCAATAAATCCATCTTCGTACTCGCCCTCTCTTACTGTCATTGATGTGGTAGAAGAACCGCTCTCTGATGATTTTAGCGAGTTTTTAGATGGGCTGTGCTTCGGTGGACGTAAACTTGAAGTCGGCGAGATAGATGAATTTGTCCGGCTGCGTCGTAAAGGAGAGTTGAGTAAGCCACGCAGCTCATGAATAGAACGAGGGGAGCTTACTCCGTTTATAGTGTTGCATAATGTCGGAAGAGGCGGCGTTGCTTTGTCCGAATCTGAACGTCACATAAAAATAAATCAGCAAATGCATAATTTACCGATGGTGTTGGCTCTCGAATCTGTCGGAGTAAACCGCTCCACCGCTTCTGTCCTTATCAGGGTGCCCTTGTTCGTCGCGTTTTTCTGAACCGAAAGTTTAAGGCCACAGCCAAGATTGATCTCCATCGTCAAAAGTGAATCAAATTTCCCATCTCTCTGAGAGATTCTCTCAAATAATCACTCGAGAACTAGTCGAGAGTGAAAAAAATAGAGTGAAAAAAATAGAGTGAAAAAAATATTGCAAATATATAAATATATTAAAAGAATTTTTTACTAGGAAAAAGACAAGTTTTGAGACTCTATGAGAGCTGTTTATCAAATTTCAGATAAAATCTCCGACAAAAAAACTCACCTCAGCATCCATTCTCTGTTTTTCGATGTCTCTCAGCGGGTCCAATTGCATTATCTCGTTTTAATTTCGTTATTAATGGGCCGCGTGTTTTAGTATTAAAATGTATCAAAAAGAGACTTGCGGATAATGAGGATGAGACAGGACCTTGACCTGATGAAGGATAATCCTGGCTGCTGTTGTGCAACTTGTCAACAACGGAATTATTGCTCTCCACTAGCTGTTTGGCGGCACCTGCCATGTTGGAGACGAGACTCGTCCTTTGGGAGAAACTCCGACCTTGCCCAAGTGAAGCGCCTTATTTTGGGTTTAATTTTTATCACAACTAGGTTTCTTTCGTCTTGAGTAACGTATTGATTGACCACACGAACTTCATCAAAAGATTCTTTTTAAAGCCCTTCCTTGAACTTCTGTAGAGCTTTCCTTCCTGACCAAATTAACTCTTGAGGGACTTCTTGTCGTCAATTCCGACGCAAAATTCAATTCGGAAGCCGTCGATAATTTTCTCGACAATCTACGCGCAGGTACAGTTAACCCCGTCGTGTTTGATTCAAAGCTCTCGGCATTCTTCATACTAAAATCCAATGATTTATTTTATTCCTGTTTTTTTCGCGTCACAGGTGGCGGTTATTTGACAATCAGGCATATTTTCTGCGGTCAAGTGAAATCAATAATCGCCAGAGCTTACCTTTGAATACTGTCTTGTGTGCCTTTCATTTTCAACTTCGACAGTTGTAATATTTTGGATCGGTTTTGCTGCACAGTGCTGGCGATTGCGGACCTGAACTTGCTGGCTCCTGGACGCTGATTTCCGAAATTGATGTTTCCATCTGAAAAGGGGAGTTTAAACTTCTAATTCGACACTTCCTGGCATTTTCTCAAAAATGAATATTTAAAAATATGCTAACTCGGTATTAATAATATTCAAGTATTGAGGTACGCCGTCAAGGAAAGATCTAAATGTTCAACTGGCCGAAAAGCAACAGTTATATTGCCATGAAAAGAAAACTAAGTAATTTTCACGACAAATGCAGGAGCATAAGTTATTCAATTGACATTAATGATTTTGTAGCTTTTGGCGGAAAAGCCTTGTAAATATTGAATCAAATGTTTTGACCATGATTTGATAGAAGGCAATATCATCGATTATGGATAAGTGGTTTATCTTTAATCAGATCAAAACTGAACAAGCAGGCCATGGTTAATCGACTTACCTTCAAGGTCAGCGTTGACCGTGCATCGAACAACCTTCGAGACTTTTTCCCAGTCCATCTTTCCCAGATCCTTGTTTTCTTCGATCGTCGATTTGGTTAATTTTGCGGCCACTATTTTCATTAAAAAATTGGTGGGGGCTATTGTACTTACTTTGTGAAACTCTGTAAACATCGTAAAAGAGCCAGGCGACGCACACTTAGGAAAATGGTTCTCAAACTATTTAAAACTATTTAAATACAGTAGCTCAATAACAGTATATTTCAGAATAAAAGCGTCTCTAGTCGGAACGTTTGTCGGTTCAATCATTCAAAAAGTGCTCACATATTTTGAATAGTCAGAGAGCTTTGGCACCAGTCCAATCAATGGAACATACTTTCTAAGTAGAATTAAAACAGAGTTTGAGGTTTTTTTCTGAAACTTTAATTCCCTCTTGTACTTTTTAAGGGGCCCTCGTTCAATTTATTAAGCTTTTCAAACCATTTCCTAAGACAATAAAAATGATAACAACTCCGCTCCCAATCGTTGCACAAGAGAATTCATATTCTCTATCCCATAAGACACAGTCAAACTCTTTTTTGCTTCGTAAAAGTGCACAATTATGAGTCGATTTATGTCTCTCAGTATAAAAAAAACAGTAAATTTGTAGGAAAAGAGAATAAAGAATCCTGGGCACGCGTCAAAAAATCCAAGTGAACACAGCTAGAGACAATAGATGCCTGATTGAGCAAAGAGATTTTTTACTATTCAGAATTTTTAGTTCTCTCTCGGAAATTCAAATACTCTTTCAGTTAGACAACCAGCATTTTTTCAAAAATATGATTGATTTTAAAAAGATTTCTGCACTTCGAAAAGCGTTGAAATTCGTAAATTGAGCGTATTGTGCACTTGCCTAGCTCCCATTTTCTCTAACCAAGAAATTTCTCTTTTTGCATGTGTAATTTAGAAGGGGGTTCTAAAAACGCGAGTGATTTTCGCGCGCTTTCGTGTTTTCCTCTCAGTCCCTGACGATATCGCGTCAAGAGTATAGCACCACTGAATTATTAATTCGAGCAATTATTTTTTCATACAAAGGGCTCTTAGTTATGCTCATCAGTAGGAACACTTTACTCTTACTGTAAAGCTAACTGTGTAAGTTGTGAATTGATAAACTTATTGGGGCTCAGACGTACCTCTTCTTCAGATTTTACTCTCCTTCCATCAAAATGAGTATGCGGCGTATAATCAGATTCTGGCACCTGTCGTTCTGATCCACTACCTTATTATATAGCCTTTTGACCTGATCATGTCGAACAAATCATCCCGGCTAAGATATTCAGATGAACTCTCCTTTGCTTGGGATCAGGGTTCGAAATCGGGCCGAAAAGTCGCTAGGCTAGGCTAGGCTAGGCAGAGCGAATTTAAAAAAAGCTAGGCGAAAAAAGCTAGGCGAATTTTTTGTCACAGACTCTAGGCTAGGCTAGGCTAGGCGAATTCGCCTTAGGCGAATCTAGGCGAAAAAAGCGAAAACGCGATGCATTTCAATTTTTCTAGGCGATTAGGCGAAAATTAGGCGAAAAGCGAAAATTAGGCGAAAAGCGAAAATTAGGCGAAATTTTCGCCTGGATCTGCCTAGATTTCGCCTAAATTCGCCTAATTTCTTCGCCTAGGCGAAATTCAAGGCGAATTTTCATTTTCGCCTTGTCGCCTAGCTTCGCCTAAGGCACCAGTATGAGACTAGGCTAGGCTAGGCTAGGCGAAATTTCAAGAGTCCTCGCCTAGCTAGGCAGCAAGGCGAATTCGCCTAGCCTAGCCTAGCCTAGCTTTTTAGGCGAATTCGCCTAGGCGATTTCGAACCCTGCTTGGGATAAAAAGAAGCTCGTCAACAAAAAAGTTAAGATTTGAGTTGAGACAATCAAATATTCATTCGAATGGGAAATGGAACCAACAGGTTCTTTCTTTTTTGGTTTCATGTTGCTCACTTGAAATTATTAAATCATCTGCGTTTGGCTAATATATAAACCTTCTGCTGTTTGTGAATAAGTCAAGAGATGCTGGTTGTTTTGGACAACTTGCGGGGGTTCCACGCAACATCGTGGAAGTATCAGTCCCTAGTATATGATTCTTACTAGTGCCTGCATCCACTAGCGTAGCCTGCATGAACATAGAGATAAAATTGAGAGGATGTTATCAACTTCTCAATGAGTAGCTTATATTTACTTGTGTTTGGTATGCTGTTTATTTGAGTACTTCGTTGGAAATAATTCGTTTGTAAGGAAGTTTGATGAAAGCAGGGTTAGTGAGTTATTTTAAATTTGAACTAGTTAGAGCACCATTCATTCATATCTTCGTAAAAGCAACAAACAAACAATAAGATTTTTTCTCGGCCACAATTTTGGAATACTAGAGCCTAGCCACACCTTGGGCCAGATTTGATCTGGCCCAGGGGGAGAGAGGGTCGGGTCCAGTGGCAGTATCAGCAAAGATGAAACAATAACGGAACTAGACTTTCATTAAAAGGAACATGAGGAGTTTCTTTGAAAGAGGCGATAAGGTAAGAGAGGTGCTTATTATCATTAAGGTTTCGTAGTTTATTTAAAATAAATTATTTTAGATGGGCACAATTGTCATTTTTCATACAGGAGGAAAAGCTGAACAACTCAGGGCTCGAGGGAAATTGCGCAAAGGTATACTTTGTTCTGTTTAATTATGAATTCTAGTACAGTAGAAATTCGACAAGAGAGTGCGTACAGTAGCACTCACTGTTGTGAGGAGCATGAAAATGAAAATGTAGGCATTTGAGGAATTACAATTACGCAGTTAAAAAATCTTCCGGACAAAGGCTCAAATATGCGAGGGTAAGCTGGTTTTGGGAGGAATACACATCAAAAAATATCATTGGAAAAAAGTTCAAAAATTCAAATAAATTTAGATATAGTAATTTGTCACAGTGTCTCTAGTTGTCTGCGACTGGCTCAGCGGCTGCGACAGGCTCTTCGTCTACTCCAGGCATGATCATATCGTAGATCTGCGTGTAAGAGTAAGTCGCCATCTTCGTCAAGTTTTGGACGAGCTTGACGTGTGCGTCTCGCTGGTGCCAGATCAGACCCATGAAGAGGGCGAGGGCAACGACGACGATCTCAAATCGACGTTACTTTTTAATATTATTTATCAAGAGCTTACGATAGTGTGGACGGGCAGATTTTCTAAGCAGCTGCAACTGAAGGAGAATTTGGATGAGGCAGCAAATTTGGCGGCTTCTTCTCCTGATGGAGTGGGAGCTTCCGCAGCAGACTCTTCAGCTGGAGATTCGGCAGCTTCGGCAACCTGTTCTACGCTCTGTTCTTCAGCAGGCTGGGCATCGCCACTTTCAGATGGCTTTTCTAAAAGAGAATGTTGGAAGAAATGCTAAGAAAGCCAAGTCTACCTTCAGCGACAGGTTCCTCTGGAACAGTTTCTGGCTGGGCGACTTCCTTTTTGGATTCTTTCTTCGCAACTCTTGCGCTTCGTCTTCTGGAGGAGGTGTTTTGGACAATTGGAATGTCACTAGAAATCAATCAACAACTGGCAACAACAAAATAACTTACTCGTCATCAGAGAAATTCTCGACGGGTTCGGCTTGGCTGAGATCCTCTGCTGGGGCCTTCTTTCGCGTTCTTCGGACAACTTTTGGTGGCTCTTCGACCTCCGCTCCAACTGGGGTTGCTTCCTCTAAAGAATATTTCATAAGCTGATTATTCGGTTCATTGATTTTTGATTAACGATTGATATCAACGAGGACTCACCGTTATCATCGGTTGAAAAGCCGGATTCGGCCTTGCTCATCAAGTTGACAAGTTTCTTCTCGTAGATCTTTCGGGTTGAATCTGAAAGTAAAGATTGCAATAGTTCACAAACAAAAAGTCATACCAACAACTGGACCAACATTGATTCCCAAGTTTTTGAGTCGATTTCGAAGTTCATCATTCGTAAGTGACTGGACTTCGTCGGCGTAATCTTTCTAAAACAGACTGTAAGTATTTGGATCCTTTGCTTTTCTGAGAAAAATATGGATAGGGCTTAAGTACCTTTGCTGTTTTTGCTGGCATATTTGTTTATTAATAAATTCACTAATAGAATACAAGTTCTGCTGTTTGAAGAATAATTTTCTCTAGCCTCTTTACTGTACTAAAACCCTGACAAAAATTAATAAAAACAAAATGGAATTTGAAGGGTCTGTAATTTCTGCGTGAGTAATAATGCGGAAAAAAGAAGGCCTGTGTCGATATTTTGCGCCCGCGGGTGAGTCGTGTTCAAATAGCGCGCACAAAAGAGCCGACCAATGAGCGCGCGCGTCGCCACCTCTATTTCCGTTGAAGCGTAGTAAACACAAAGAAAGGCAAATAATAAAAAATCGATGACGGAGGGAGAACGCGACGGCTCGTACGAGCAGTTCGGCTCAGCGTGGCCAGGGGCAATGGCCAAATACTATAAGATTGTGGAACATATGCCGCGGGGCATTTTCAATCGGTGAGCTGCCTGAGTTAGCGGTGGAATTCTCAAGGGCCGTAGATAATTGATTCAAAGCTCAAGATTAAAAGCAGCAAATTAGTTAAGCCGGCAAAAACAAAGCAAAGATAGGTTAACCGGCTATCAAAATGTTAGCAAGCTCATGCAGGATGTTAGTTTCAAATAAAATATGATAAAAAGGGATGGGTCGTGGAAAATGATAACTGTGATAAAATGTAGTCTGTGCAATGCTTACTTCAGCGTCAGAGAGTTCGGCTTCAGACCCGTCCTTGTTCAACAAGGCGCGGGCTTCCTCGATCTCTGCGAGGGCCTCGTTCTCGTTCTTGGGTGCCAAAATGCGTCGTGGAATCTTGGATGGAGAGATTGCTTTCTGTCCTCGGCGAGTGCGCGCTGCAACTGGTGGTGAGACGTAGTCCTCACTCTTGACTACTGGAGCTGCTTTATGCATGAAAATATGTATCTTCCTTGATATTAAAATGCAATATGCGCATGAATCAATTTACCGAGTTAACTACTAAAATCGGGAAAATCATTGCTATTCGTATTGAATTATCCTGCATAAAATTTCATACTACTGCCTTGATCGGGAGCGTTTTCAAGATCTTGAACTCCTTGCAGTGCTTCAACTTGCTGGTTCTTGAGAGGAAAAATTGTTAAAACAAATCTTGGCACAAAGAGCACATGAAAGTTTGAAATTCAAAGTTACCTTTTTCGCCATTTTTCAAACGGGAAGTTCTTTCGAAAAGCCAATCTAAAAAACAGAGGTATGAAACGACCGTATTATTTTTTTTTTTCTCATATTGACAGTGAGCTCTAATGGGAAAGTAGATAATAATTTTTGTTACTGTTTCTCTAAGACCCTTTCAAAAGCCGCGGTTTTCTAGTGGCGCAACAAAACTCTCGTAAACGGATGAGACCTTTACGATTTCAGCCAAAATTAAAACTAAAAAATTCCTCCTTGGAGCTAGCATTTCCCTCAATTCCAAGCGAGCTGGCAGCATAGATAAATTAAATGACTAATCAAGAGTTTTCTAAAATGATAACATGCTGAAAACTCAAAATTTTAAATGGATCGCTTCGGAAAAGAGGAGATCAACTTTGAATGTATGGAGGCTTTCCGAGGATTTGCTTTCACACTTTTTGAAACGCAGCCGGGTTCTCTGGAATTTTCTCTCTCCAGGCCAGTGCCTAGTTCGAAACTGGTACCTACCAAGAGTGCTTTTGATTGTGAAGAGAGGGAGTTGATCTAGAAAAAGATCAAAAGTTTTGGCCGGGGAAGAATATGGGAGCAAGGTGGGACGTAAAAATCGGGGAGGACTTCAAACAATTTTAAAGGGGAAATTAAACTAACGAATTTACGTGACGAGCGACTTGATCGTAAGGACTTTTTTAGCCTTGTTAGAGGTTGATAGAGTTGATCAAATAATATCTACAAGACTAGATGTATCTATCAACTATCCTTCGCCCTCAGAAGAGGATGACTCAGATGATCCGCTTGAAGACGAGCTGGACGAAGATCTTTTTCTTGTTGATCGAGAAGAAACTTTTCTGACCTTCTTCGTCCTTCAAATTTTCTTTAGTTACCAAAAACAATTGATAGGTTGAATACCGTTTCGAATCTTCAGTTTTCTTCAACGAAACCCGTCTCGTTGTTTTCACTGGCAGGGGATCATCCTTTTCCTCCGATTTCGAGGCTACTCGGCGAACATCCTTTATTGGGGTGTCTTCGGTCTTTTCTTTCTTCGCTACTGGCTAAAACAGGTATGACGAGTAGTGTAAATTAGAGAAAGGCGCACCTTTCTTGGGGACTTTTCCTGATCAGATTCACTATCTGAAGAGTCTGATCGGTGTCGTCGTTTTCGTTGATTTTCAATTTCCCGTCGTCGCTCTTTTTCGTCACTAGAAAATTTCAATCATCCTCTTACAAATAACAATGGCACTCACGTGGCTTCTTTTCTTCCTCCCTTTTCTCTTCCTTGATATCCTCTTTTGGCATAACCACTCGCTTGTCATTGACGATCCTTCTGGTGATCACGAGCCGCTTGCTGATTGGAATTCTTTCCTTTTCTTCCGCTTTACCGTTCTCCTCTTTGCCTAATTGTAGATAAGATGTCAATTAGGTACTCTAGAAATTTTCGGCTTACCGCTGAAGTTGTTGTTCTCCTTCAAATCTTCAATCTGGCTTGTCAACTCGCGCTTGAACGAGGCCCAGGACTGTTTTGCTTCATCCAATTGTTCTAGAAAAGGTCACAGATTAGACAAACTGAACACATAGGCAATCTCTTACCTTCAACAATCTTCTGAGATTTCTTTAACAGCTCCTTGCTTCTCGCATCTGGAATACGCGGTTTCCAAAAGATGTGCGGCTCAGTTTTCGTCTGGATATATTTGCTCCGTTCGTGGAAGTTCTCTTCCCAGTCGGGACGCTAGAATGCTCAATTTACGAAATTTTCACTACTCTCGGTTCAAACCAATTCAGAAAGCTCCTTCTTCTGTTCCAAAAGATCCAGGAGTCTTTCTTTCTCGCGCTTTTTCTGCAGCAGCTCCTTTCGTTCTTCCTAAAAACAAACAGCTCTAGAATATTCAACATTACAGTACTCACATGAAGTTTTCTCCTATCAGCTGCGACCCTCTCTTCTACTTTCTGCTCGACTTCTTTTCGCTTCTCAGCAGATTTTGACTTCTTCTGCTCTTTATCAAAAGTTCTTCAATCAAATGCGCGTTAGATGGTTATTATTGGAAACGTTCCAAACCTCAGTGTCCCTAAAAGGGATGCAAACATTCTTCTCGCTCCACGCTTCTGCTTCTCATCACCTATTCAAAAAAGATAGATCCACGAGCAAAATTTTAACAACTTAAACACTGTTTTTTTTAGGTTTACTCCCACTTTGTCCCAACGGCATTCGAAATCCTTAGGTGTAGGCCCCGTACATCTATATATTTTTAGAAAGCCCAGACCTTGCTGCGTGTCCTCGTCTAGGTCTTGTGACCTCGGCGAGGTCAGGTGACCTCAAATGACCTCGCTGAAGTCGGTCATCAAGGAAATCTTGTTTATACATTGAAAATGCTTTCAAAAGACGATACAAATCGACTTAAAACTCGTCTTTTTTAAATTATTAGTATTCAAAGGTCATTCAAGGTCACTCTGACCCCAAATGACCTATAAAACTTGATTTCAAAGAAATCAAATGAATACATTGTATTCAATTACAATTCCTAAGACTATTCATCGTCTTGACACCAAATGACCTCAAATGACCTCAGATGACCTCAGATGACCTCAAATGACAAAAAACAACCAATGATAACAGAATGATGCAAATTTCATCTCTTAATTCGTCAAATATTCACTTATCCATGAGGAAGGCATGTCATGACCTCAAATGACCTCAGATGACCTCAAATGACCTTTATTGATTCATAATAAGGTAATAAGACGAATTAAATGTCTAAATAGTAAATATTCATCCGCCATTAACAAAGGTTCTCATTGACCTCGAATGACCTCGAATGACCTCAAGTGAACTCAAGTGACCTCACAGATGTTTTGTGATAGGCTAAGCCTTCTATCTTATAAAATTTGGTCAGTTTGCATGAATACTCGCTCCTCCCATTTTTTCGCGCTCAGATTTTTTTCGGTTTAAATAGGGGTTGATAGCGGCTGTTCTCCGAGCCAGTTTGGCTAAGTAAGTAAGTCGCTGGCTGCGGCTGAAAGCGTGTGGGTTCGAATCTTACCATGAAAATGATTCTTTCGAGTCATTCTTCATCAGATTCTCAGACAAGACAGTAACGAATGTTCAGTTTAGAATGCGGATCCTTATACATAACAACTACAATGTTCTGGCGCAAGAATTGACAGAGACTTGCGCCCGAGTTAAGGAAGAGTGTGCTCTTGATTTCTGTGAGATCAAGCCTGGCGCACTTCATACAGGAACACGCATTCGAGGCCGTCCATTGCGGACAATGCCGAACCACCGTCGGCAATATGAACCTGAACATCGCCGTTCAGGCTTCATAGACATGAGACTATCGGTATCGGATAATCCGGTGGAGGCTAGGCGGGCGCGGGCAAACTTGGCGAATGCATTTCAGAAGATCTATCGTGTGGTATACGACAGGGTCTTCTATGGTGATGACGAGCTAACTCACGCTGACAATGAGCGTAGGGAGATCTGGATTACGATCTATGGCCGAGATCCCTGGAGCGTGCGACCCTGGCAGCGTGATGAATCTCGAGAACTCTTCGGCCGAGAGCAGCGAACTCCACGGCAAGGCACCGGGGCCTCGAGTCACAAGTTCAAGCTCTTCACATCAAAGGGTTCAGCGTTCGGTGACATCTTCAACCATCCGACCTTCCAAGCCTTCCACTAAACAGAAATTTAACGATTTTTGTTTGATTGAGACAAGAGTTTCACATATTAATCAAGCATTTTATTTACCTTTTTTCTACGATCAATGCTTTTAGCAGCTCGGGCGGCTTTTCTGTTTATCGTCGGGTCCGAAGCAATCTAAAATACCCTCATGCACTCTCGTATTAAGCAAGACTCTTTCTTTCCCAATCGGTGTCACAGAAAGAACCTTGTAGGCAGTGTTCACACAGGCAACAGTGACGCCTCACGTCAATAAAATCTTCCCGAAATCGCCCATTCTCCTTTAAGAATCTCACGAAAAAGACTCTTCGGGATCCAAGGATGCCTCTCTGTCCGGGTTGTACTTGTCCCTCTGGATTTGTAACCTCAACAAGACGACCGCGAAGTCTGAATCCTGTTTCATCTTCGGGTCGATCCTCAAGCTCTCCATACGCCGGCAATCCCACAAGATAATTCATTATCTCATCGGCCGACCTAAATAATTGAAAATAGGCTAATCACATGCGTTCTCTTACTCAAATCCAGCTCTCCGACGGGCAGCGTTCTGTCTTTCAACACCTCGTAGCTCCATCGCGCGCCTGACATCTCTCTTTATCGCAGAATGAGATGCGTCGACCTCCTAAGGTGCACGCGTGAAAAAAGTTTTAACTTTATTAGACTAACCCCCTTGCCGTGGCCTTTAATTCTCTTGCAAACGATGAGGTTATCCGGACTCCACCCTGTTTCCTCCCTCAACTCTTCCATCATCGCCGGAATCTGACGCCAAAGAATAGCAGTCCAAAATTCCTGAAAATAAAATCGTTAACTACTGCTTTCTTTATATTTGACAACCTTCTCAGCGCCATCGGATTCTAATATCAACGTCCTTGGCTTCGCGTCCTCATCGAATCCCAAAAGATTATCCCGCACAATTGAAGCCAGAAGCCTTTTGTAACCATCGACAACCATAAGGCTTTTCGCGGTATTGAGCTCTGCAAGGATGTGACCGTAAACTTTGCTGTCGCCAAAGTAAGAAACAGCTGATAAAACTGGCCAGCTTGCAGGGTTCCAGTGCATCGCTGCATTTTCAACAGGCAGCCTCTGTTGGATACCCATAGCTAAGAATCAATTAGATACATTTCGTTTAGTATAAATCTACCGAAATCTGCAGTAAACATCATAAGGCGGCGATTTTTAGCAGCATCCTTCAGCGAGGCAAGGAATTCTTTCGACTGTTTTCGCATCTCTAGATGTGTGACAGGTCGAGGTCCCGCGCCGCATCCGTTTTGACCGTTGTGAAGGTACGCAACAAGCTTGACGATGAACTCATTTTTCTGGGCGACCTTTTCATGTGCTTCTGGACCAAACTGGCCATTTTTGTATTCAGTCCATGTGATCTGCGTATCAGGATGGATTTCCGCCAGTAATTCCTCTACATTCTGTCGTACATACTGCTCTGTTTTGCAGGTTGGACAATCCCTGTCCCAACATTTCCTCCTTTCTTCCATACTTTGTTCGGCGCGGTTGCAAATCGACTTACGCAGAAGAGCGTCGGGTCGAATGAGAATTCCGGCATCGCTTATTGCTTCGGCAAAAGCCGCACTTTGTTCACAGCATTCACAAGCGCAAGTCTTTAGCATTCTTTCAGATGGCTGCACAAAAATTTTCAAAGACTTCATAATCTTCAAAAAAGCTGATCTGCTCACGCGTTCTTCAGGATCTTGCACTTCTTCGTAGAGATCAAACATTTGATTCCCTGAGAACATCAGGTAATGCTTCAGTACAAGCTCTCCATCGACACCCTTCACATAATCGCGCGGTCTCGGAAGAGGAGCTGTGTCGGAGAAATGCTCCAGGAAGTCCCTCACGACCGCTCGGACTGCAGGGTTATCTGTTACATTTGACGATCGCCGTCTTTTGATCGTCATTTGTGCCGGCTGGTCATTTTGAATAACTGCTCTCGGCCTTTTTTTATTGAGCTCTCTTGGTAGCGGCACGTGCGCGAGGCCAGCTTCGTTCATTGCCTCGGGGAGCATCTCAACATCACCCAGACCAATACTGCGCAGCTGATTGACAAGGACCTTTGAATCGGCTGGGAGTGAGCGGACATCTACAGCCATCGCATGACGAAATGCTTTCAGGAGATTATCAAGTGCTCCTTCTTCATACGGGAAAAGCTTACAAAGGATTAATCATACGAGTCCTTATCTGTTGACAAAGAAAATATATCATGATTTCATTCTTTCCTGATCGATCTCCTCGGCTCCTTCCATCTCAACATCTTGTCCCTCATCCGGTTCAGGCTCTCCCTGTGCTGCGCGACGGTAACCCTAGGGCAACCATGAGTTTCATTTACAAGAAAAGAATATTTCTTGGAAACTCTTGTCTCAATAAAATTTAATAAGGGGATGGGGACCCAAGAGTCAACACAAAGATCTTCAAATCACATACTACTTTAGTCGAAAACACCCTTGAAGATCCTTGCTCGCCTATCCCTCTCAAAACCTATCGTGGCCGATACAGTGCCAGTCTGAAGCAAAGTCCACTGCCAGATAGAGAGTTGATCGGGTACTGATAAAACAGTCGAAACACAAGGAAAATTTTCTATTGGACCTGGGGACAACGGTGACCGTCGCGAAAATCCTTGACAAAAGTCAAGGGGGATATGGTAAGACAAAATTCGTTAATGGGTACAGCTTAGTGTCTTCCATAGATTCGTAGCGCAAAGCTCGTCATTCTTTCTGTGGTTATACGTACGCACACTTTCTCACGAGTAACATCTAACACATGAAAGTGTTAAATGTAACTCGTGAGAATGTGTGAATACCGTGTTTTGTAGCTACATAAAAGCAGATATTAACATTTATCTACAAAAGGTACTGTTTATTGAATAAAAACTCGAAAATTCGGACAATTAATCTTTTCTAGATGCTGATTGGCTGACGCGAAAAATACTGGCCCTGATTGGCTGACGCAAAAATACTGGCCTCTGATTGGCTGACGCAAAAATACTGGCCTCCGGTTGGTTGGCGCAAAAAACTGGCCATGATTGGCTGACGCAAAAAATACTGGCTCTGATTGGCTGACGCAAAAAATACTGGTTTCTTATTGGTTAGTGTATCCGAATTTTCGAGTCTTTACTTAATAAACAGTACCTATTGTAAATAAATGGTAACCTCTGTTTTTATGTAACTACCTACTAACCACAGCGAAGAAACGAGTTTCTACGCTACGGGGTTGACATCTGGAGCTGTTCAAACTCGTTATCAAACCCATAACCCTACACAACCATCGGATTATGGGTGCCAACGCGTGGACTTCACACCATCCGGCAACCGGCTCAATGACCCTAGTTCAATGACAACCGGTTGCCGGAGAACCTTTATATATTCTTATTTCTGACCCATAGTTAGGTCTCGGACGTAAAAACAGACGATTTTATCCATCCGGTCCTCATACAGGGACGTTTTCTCTTTCTCATATTGAAAAGAGGCAAAAATTAAAATTGCTCTTTTCAAATGTCGATTTTTTATGTTTCTCGTGCGTTTGATTCGCCAGAGAGGAAAGGAAAAAGTCTAGAGAATCAAGAAGAAAGAAAAGAAGAATTGAAATCTAGAAAGGAGCGGATTGATTTTCAGAATCAGGGAAAAGAAGCAGGGAAGAAGCAAAGCAAAAAACACAAAAGAACACCAATTGAAATAAGCGACGATTCGGAGAGGGTTTTCACGTGATGAACGTTATAAAATAACATCATAAGTTGTTTTTTATGATTCTCCGTTGAATTTCCTTCATTTTTATCATATTTGAAAAAAAAACAAGAAAAAAGGTCATCCGAGGTCACCGTGACCTCAGGTGACCTTTACTGACATTAATGACATTTTTTCATTTATTTAAAATGTTTTTAAATATAAAAAAACAGTCAAAAATATGATTTTTAGAGAAGTCCAACTTTGACGGGGTCATTTGAGGTTATGTGACCTGACCTAGGTCACGAGACCCAGACGAGGACACGCAGCAGAGTCTGGGCTTTCAGAAAATATATAGAAGTATGGGGGTTACATGTAAGGATTTCGAATGCCGTTGGGACAAAGTGGGAGTAAACCTAAAAAAAAAAACAGTGTTTTACCTATCTGCGCCTGTTTAATCGTTTCTTTGGAGATGTCACTCTCTCTTCGGCGCCCGGTCTCGTATACAGCAGATTTAAGCTAGAGCTTTGTTAAAAACAATTAGATTTTTTTATTTATTCACCGATCGTCGTTTTCTAGGACTGTCGTCATCCTCCTTTTCTTCGTCGTCGTCGCCGTCTTCTTTCCTCCTTGAATCGTTCTTGCCAACCCTAGAACCACCACTTTTTACCTCCACGTAAACTCACAAATCAGTACCTCGAGAAGATGCTCTTTGATTTCGTTGTATCTTCATCCTTTTCTCCATTTCTAGTATCAAAAGATAAAGCAAAGAACAAATTGAAATGTCTTACTCCAGTTGATCATCCAAAGCATGGATTTCCGCCTCCATTTGCTCGATTTCCGTCGCCAAGTCGCCCATGATTTCTTCTTGGGATAAGAAATTAAAAAAAAATGAAACGCGTAATTTATAATAAGTATCTTTACGGTAAAAAAGGAATGGAACTACAGACAGGATGAAGAACAGAGCAGTTTTGCTGGTATTAAAAAAAGATGAACAAAGTTTGCGAGATTGAAGAAATCGTTGACAGGTAGTGTGGCTTTAGATAATGTGGGTTTAAGTTATGAACACAGGTAGGCTAGAAATGGAAAATTCTAAGATAGGTAGAAAAAGGTATAGATACAGTGATCTTGAAGAACTTCGTCAAAATAATTTGCGACCTTTTTTGTTTTCTCGCCATTTCGTCACGCGGTTTTTCAAAAACAGCCACATTTGATAGAGCTAAAAAGACAGATCAATGTAAGTTTATTGATTTTTGAAAGTGCCGAATTTCAAAGAAAAATGAACCTGTAATGAGGCGATTGAAGAGAACAACAGTGCTCTTATTATTGGATTGTTCCAGCCTTGATCTTCTTGCTTCGCCAGTCCGAGGTAGAAAACCATGACTCCGAGAGCAAGTGATAGAATTCGCACGGAGACGAAAACTCCACAAGTTACATAGGAAAGGTATGAATGAACTGAAGTTACAGTTTCTTAATCGTCGTCAAGTTGGATGTACCTTGTTTTGAAATAGAAAAGCACAAGCTTAAATTCAGCGCCAAACAAACAGTTTCGCCGCAATAATGAAGCGTGATAAAAACCAGCCCGCTTTTCCAAAAGCCAAGACAGTAAGTAGCACCGATGAGCACAAGATAAGCCAGTGAGTATATGGAGCGATTGTAAATTTCACTTTGGCCACGGATTTTTTGGAGATACAGTTCAGGATATTGATGGATCCAGAAAGACAACTGATAAAGTTGATGGTAAGAGAATTCTTGAATTCAACTTGGCTTACTTGAAAAATATAAAAGAGCTTGACTTCCCAAGGAAGCAGATTGTGCGGCCAGTCTAGATACAAGCTCGTCGGCTTCTTCAGAAAGTCCATTTCCGCGGATAAATAGATCCCCCAAAAAGAGGAGAGCATGAACCAAATAAGGAGCTGCCCGTGTTCGGAGAACTTCGACGTCCTGGTTTTTGAAAGATTCAACTTTCGAACACCCTTGTCAAAAACATATTCTTGCAGCGCTGCGTGCCAAACTATCAGACATGTCGTGTAGAAAAAGAACTAATAAAAGCATTTTTATTTATTTTTTCTAACTAAAATTACAGTAATAAAGTCGCGAGGACCAATAAGATGAGAGATTGAAGTTTCTTCATACCCTTCTTCTGGCTCGACAGGGTACTGAAGAGCGATAAATATATTTGCGGCGTTTTTTGTGAACTGAAACATGAGGCCAAGGATAAAGAAGACGACGATGCTTTTTCAAGGTATCAAACAAGTCGAATTATAAATGTATTCCTTGTTGATTTCAAAGAGAGATCAAAGGAACTTTATTTTGATACCAGCCAAGCAGCAATATCCCCATGATTTTCGATAAACCATTCGCTTGTAAAAACAGGTGGCTGCTGTTTCTCGGGTCGTCTCCGATGAGCCATCTAAATTCCGTCCTGCATGAGCACACACATGAGTTTTCAGAAGAAATTTAATCAAAATAAACATTTCGCGAGCATTTTTGAATCTGTCTTTCACTTCGTTTCTAGCCTATTTTTCATATTGAAAGATGGACTTTCTTTTGTTTTGTGTTTGGTATGAGAATGGAACTGTTGACAAGAAGAATGAAGGTTTCTTTCATACAATGGCACTGTAGACGATTCTGACCATGATTATTTTGTAAAACGAGAGGATAGCGTTGAAAATATAAATAAAACTCAAATAGAATATAAAATGAGATGGGAAACTAAGAGCGAGAGTCAGTCAAGCACAGGTCAAAGCAACAGCAAAATAATTTCTGAAAGGAGGAACGCTGCTCGCGAGGAAGAGGAGGCATAATGAGGTCGATATCGCTGTCGTCAGAAAGTTCATCTAATCTGAAAAAATGTTGCAAGTGTTAAAGTATTCGCGGTTGATAATGACTGCCACCTGTATCCATCGCTTTTAAGCTGCTGGGTCATCGCACGGCCAGCATCGGAGTAGCCTTTTTCAAGTTTTCTTTTTTAGTATTAGATAATATGTTGCTATTCTCACTGAAACGACTCATAATATCTTTAAAACAATGGCTAAGAAACTCATTTCTTCATTTAGCAAATTTCTGGCTTCATCGATCCTCTGATAGTGAACTGTTTCTTTACTTCTACTGAACGTCGCCTTTGCCAGTAAATTCTCTAGCGGCATAAAATCTCTAAATAAATACTCTCTTAAAACTTCTGATTTGAAATTGTACTTGTTATTGACCAGCAAATGCGGTTGAAATGGGTTTGAGGCGATTTGGGTTAAAGGACAGCAAATTTGGATGCTGAAATTTTGAGCATAAAATAATTTAATTTTGACTTGGAAGATGGTTTATTTTTCGGTTATAAGGACGAGTTGAGCGGCTGCGATGATAATTTTTATTATAAAATGTTTTGATTGTGCAAAATTGGCGGAAGAAAAAGTCAGTTTGAGAAATTTTAAATAGCGCTTCTATTTTACTGGTGCTCTTATTCGCAGCAAGTAACGAAGTGATTAAAAGAATTAACAGTTTATTTCATGGGGAGTACTCGAGTGAAGAAAAGCGACAGATAATTGGTAAACAGGAAGTATTGAAAATTGACGAAAGACGGACTCTGTATGTCGGTAAAATTGGTTAAAAACAGGGAAGGAGCATGAAAGAGGTCAGTAATGATGCGATTTAAAAGGGATTAGGCTAATATCATGAATAATTTTTCAAATTAAATTAAGAGCGTTAAATTTGGAAAACATACTGTATGCTTTCAGTCAGTTGAAGTCTAATTACACTAAATTGCATCCAGTCTTCTTGGCGCGAGACTTTTTCTTGGCTACTGCTTCCCTTGTTGCCATCTAAAAGAAGTAGTTTAGCCTCGAAATTCTAGTGATGCCATGGCTCGAGTGTTGACTTTCATATAAAATACGCAATAGGAATGTCGATAACCAGTCATGCGAGAAGAAAAATGCGGAAATTCCACTCAGTTATCCTCTCATCCGGATATGGTCGAATATGAGAAGAGTGGTGAACCAGAATTTTCAAGTGGCAAATTCCTTACGGGAGGTGAAATCATGCGTCAAAAAAGTGTTTTGATTACAGCGGATTTGCTTTCCACCGATCCCCGCTATAAGCGAAATATACACTGTATCATCTTCCCGTTACATTAGCGGATTAGGAAAGAAGACGCGAAAATATTTTCAAGCGGCTTAGAACTTTTTAGTAAGAAGGCATGAATCCTTATCGAAACTTTCGTAGATTCTATCGCCGATACTTTCAGTTAACGGATTGAAACTCTACTATGATTTCATGACAAAATAGACAGTGAGATAAAACGTTTATGCACCGATTGCTTTGCAAAGATTGCAAAACTCGATAACATATTGTTCGTTTAGCTCTGTGAGAAACAATTCAAGACGCTGAAATGCCAGTTTGATTTATGAGAACACTCCAAATTGCCTTCCATCCGATAAGCCAGTTCCCATAAACGGGTCAACTAGAGATAAGGCACTAACAGCCTTGGCCTAAGCACCTGTAAACAAAGAAGTAAATATCGGGCAATCTTTTAGGGCGCAATTTTACGGTTAGCAAAAACGCGACGCGCATCGCTAGATCAGCTGATAGCGCCGCCAACGTGCAACTACTCTCTGGCGCGACAATACGCCCAGCCGGTGCGAATATAAACGGTACCGAGGGAAGTAATTCTATCACAAGCATCTACTGCAAAGAGAAAAAAATATCAAAAAAGAGACGGAGAAGCTCTAAAAATAACTGATAGGCCTGAACACCCCTTTAAATTCTTTCGATAAAGCAATCTAATTACCAAAGCTTATTGAAGAATTGCAGGTGGTGGACAAGAATATCAAAAAATCGACGATAAGAGAGAGAAACTAACTCACCTCGAATACTTTTCGGACATTGTCTCCACTAAGGGCAGAGCATTCGATGTAATGTCTTGCTCCAATTCTATCGGCCATGTTTTTACCCTCTTCGTATTTGACTGGCTGTTGCTCTGGAAACAAATTTGATAATTTCAGAAATCAAGGAAGAGTAACTTACTCATCCTTGCCAGTTCCCTAATCGTACTTGGGTCGTCCCTCAGGTCTCGTTTATTACCAACAAGAACAATTGGCACATTTGGGCAGAAATGTTTCACTTCTTGAACCCTTATTAAACTTTATCAAAACGCCCCTAATTTCTTAGCTAACCATTTTTCTGGAATATTTTCTAACGAGTCTGGCGAGTCAATCGCGAAGCACATGAGAATTACATCTGTGTCTGGGTAAGAGAGAGGACGAAGCCTGTCATAATCCTCTTGTCCTGCTGTATCCCAAAGAGCAAGCTCGACCTGAAAATTGCGTTTTTGGAAAAGACGGTTCGATTCGAGATCAAACTGACCTGTTTGTTATCTACTTCAATATCAGCCACGTAGTTTTCAAAAACTGTTGGGACGTACACCTACGGAAAAAAATCAGTTTTATCAAGATATGCAAATGTAGTTTTACCTCTGGGAATTCATCTTTACTGAAAACTATCAGAAGACATGTTTTTCCACATGCCCCGTCCCCGACGATAACGAGTTTCTTCCGAACAGTCGACATTTTCTGAGTATTTTTTTAAAAGTTAATCTCTAAAATGAATACAGGAAATAAAGAAATTTCAAATTTGATCGAAAAGGACACAGTAAAAGGCAGTGAAAAGAGGATGAATCGTTATCGACGACGTCTTTTTAATGGTTGATTTTATGTCCCATCAACTGGTTAAAAAAACAAAAGAACAAACAACCCTTTCCTTTCTCTTGAGCGCGATCTGCTCCTAGAGCGCGTCCTATCTCTTCGTGATTTCTTCATGTGATCCCTTGAGTTGGAACGTTCTCTTCTCTTACGATCATGGGAGTTCGACCTCGACCTGCGTCGATCTCTTCTCCTTTTTGAAGATTCCTCGTCCGACGATGATTTCCGTCGGCGATTATCTGGTGAGCTTGAGCTCGAACGCCGCCTTGATCGCGGCTTTGGAGAGGATGATCGCGAACGGCGCCTATTAACAATTAGAGAGTTTTTTCTTACTGGGAACGTAGTGGATTAAGGAATGTCTAACTCACTCTTGTTTGACGTCAGCCTCTTCCTTGATTTCCATCTTTTCTTTTTTAGACTTTTTCTCTTTCTTTTCTTTCTTCGCCTTTTTGGACTTTTTTGGTTTGACCATTTTTCCAGAACGGAGTGCCTCGAGCAGACGCTCTTTATCCTTGGTAGTCATATTCCTAAAAATGATTTAAAAAAAAGTATTCTTGGATGGAGACTTACGCAAGTTTATCGCCAAGAGGGTCTTCCTTCGACTTTTTATCTTTCTTAGGCTTCTTTGAAGACGAAGCGATCAGAGTATCGTCTACTTCGTAAGTTGCACCGTTCTTGAGTGTAAGAGCGCCGGATTCAAGTTGACCGCCGTAACTTTTTTCCTAAAGAAAATATTACAGTTCAACAGGGGTTGCTTAGTTAAATTTTACCTTGAAAGTAGTGGGCGCGAGCGAGTTACTCTGTCCGTACAAAGGGCATTCCTTATCAGTGTTCATGTGACCCCATTGCTTGCACTTGAGACATCGGACATTTTTAACAGCGATACCAAACGGTTGATCTGACTGGACGCTTGTGTCGTCCTTGAGATACTTTTCTCGGGGAGCATTTTTCTGCCACTCGAATTTGAACTCTTGTTTCTTCTCGCCAATCAAGTCCATATCGTCCTTTTTGAGACTGGCGGGTTGATCATACATGAAACTCAACCCAGCTTTTGCCTTTAAAATGTTTAAAGAAAGCAAGAATATGATAATACCTTCGAATCACCCATAAGAAGCTTCGTCTCGAAGAGATCTTGCTCTCTTTTGAACTGTTCGATAGCTTCGGCCTCTTCTTTGCTCTCTTGCTGAAGCTCCTGTTCCCTCATCCATACTTTCTTGATGTTATGTTTTGCCGTAGGGTGAAAGAACTTCTTGCACATAAAATTCTCGTACGATTTCCCCATCTTTGACGATTTTTATCAATCTAAGAAATTGAAAACTTAAAAAGAGAAAAGCTTTAGGGAACGAAAAGGGGGGTTTCTTTTTTGATCATTTCTGAAGTGGCAGATATTTGGTGCAGTGTTCTTCTAGTATTGGTATTTGGTGGAGTAGTCCTTTGGTGAAACGACCAGACCACGACCTTTTCGAGCACCTCGGTAGACGGTTTCGACGATGTCGACGAATTCTTGCTTCAATAAGGTTTTGAATTTTTCGAAAAATTAGCTTATCAGTTTAATCTCGATTAGGATTCACTTGTTACTGATTACAGAAGCTCAGGTGCTGCAGGTGAAGTCTGCAGGAGCGCGCACTTTCTCTCACCTGCAACTTGCCTAAAGCGAGTGCGCCGCCACAATATATAAGAGGCCGTGTGTTTCTCAGAATTCATCAAAATCATCAAATACAACAAATAACCAAAAATGGCACCAAATGCATTTACCCTCCCACTTCACCCTGAATATGTCGAGATGGTCCCAAAAGACGCCGGCGAGCGACGAGATTCAGTCGAAATCTTCGAGGAATCCAACTTTCCCAAGAAACAACGTGGTTTTTCCTTGCGAGGCTCGACTAAAAAGATGTCTCCTTCAAACGCTTTCAGCTGGAATCGCCCTGACAAGAAAGACACTGAAGCGAAAATCAAGCAGAGTCCGAAAACTGCTCAAGTCGGCGATTATTTCCATGGAATTTGCTATCGAGCCCCAATCCGTTGTAGCAAGAATGAAATGAACGATAGCGACCTAGAGTGGTCGAAATTTCACCTCATCGTCGTTGGAGATGTTTTCCTATTTTTCTCCGCACCGAAGTACGAGTTTGAATCACGAATTCATCTTTCGACCGTCCGAAGCATCAGACGAGTGCGAGTCTTTGGCAAATCCGCAATCTACTTCTCTACTATCCGCCCTTTCCTCCTGCGGTTCCAAACTAGAGCCGAGCGATCAAACTTCTCGAAGATCATGCCCAGCCGAACGAATCTCAGAATCCCGACCGTCAACTTGAGCCGAGTGGAAATCGAAGAGGCTGAGAAAAGTTTCAACGAGACACTCGACGACGAAGTTTTCATCGATGGTCCTGAACTAGAAGAGAAATCTGACATGGACGGACGCAGAGGTCGATTCTTCAGCGTCCCAGAGGCGGAAACTAAACGAGAAGTGGACGCTCGAGTGTTTCGATCGCTCAAAAAATCAGCGAGAAAATCAACCTCCAAGGATGCAAAGAAGAAACATGGCATCCTCACATCATTGAAGAAAAAGTCTGCTCAACTCAAGCGACGTTTTTTCTAACCCGACATCATAATTTTACTCTGTGTAAATCTTAATCCATTCACGAATAAAAAATATCCAAATTTAATCTCTGATTTCGTTCAATTTTCAAAACCTTCCTTGTCATGAATGGCCCAGTTGATCTTGTTGTTGTTACCGGTTCCCAAATCGATCATAATGTGCTTGTTTCGGAAGAAGAACATCACCGTGCATGGGTCGTACAACTCGTACATCTTGTTGAAGTCTGGTACTTGGGAAATATCAACCAAGTAAAAGCAAGCGAAGTTGCGGCATTTCTCAGCGACTAAAGGGGTGATGATATTTGAATGAACATAAAAGGCGTCAATCATACCCGAGTAAAGAGTCTCATCCATTTTCATGCAAGTTGGGTCCCAATCGTGTCCAAAGCGCACGCAGACTACCTGAACGTTCCCGTGAAGATCTGAAATCGTGAAATTATCCGATCAAAATTCAAAATATCAACCTTGTCCTCTTCGTGCTGAATCGCCTGGTCGACCTGCCAGCCGTTGGTCAAGTGGGGCAACATGTACGACATTTTCGGGCGGTTAAGAGATTTCTGAAGAAAAATAAATTAAACGCTTATCAGAATGAGTTTGTATTAAGGAAAAATATCAATCTTGGACGTTCAAGAGAGAAAATTAGTTGGGTCTTCAGTTTGACAGATAGTTGAGCAAGTAAGAGTTTCAAATTTATAATTCCGCGCCTTTGATTTCACCTGAAACTCTTGAACATAAACGACATGGAAGATAAAACAGAAAACGAAAAAGGAGAGAGATGGATAAATTAATCTGAGTCCGAGTCATACGCAATAAGACTAGTAGGCTTCCATTGAGTGCGGCTGGAATCGATACAATCCAACAGGCCCGACGTAAGATCATCCTCATTAACAATCGGAGTGGGCTCGACTTCTTTACGCGGCTTTTTGCTCTCTTGAAGGCGCCTCGTGCTCTCTTTAAGCTCTGTCTTTTGCTTTTCAGCTAGTCGCTTTCGAACCACTAAATACTGTTAATTGTAAATATAATTTGTCAACGAACTTTTCATCTGTGATTCTAGCGCTTTCAAATCCTCGATTCGCTTTCTTTTAGCCTCATCTTCTTCGTTATTTTTAGCAACTGGAGCAGCGCGTTTTTTCTTTACTAGAATCATTCCAGGTTTCGGTGGTGGTGGCATATTCTTTGGTAAGTCCTAAAATTGATATATTTTCGCCTTTACGAATCTAAAATACCTTTTTCTGGGCAGCGTCAGGACTACTACCAGTTTCATAATCAGAGTCGTCCGAGTCATCAGATGAATCATCGTCGCTAGAATCGGACTCCTGCTCCATCATGTGCTTAATCTCTGCCAGTTTTCTAGCGAACTCTTTCTTTGCGGCGAGTATCTTTGCTTTTTCGTCCTCGTCTTTTCGCTTTGGCAGGGTGATATTAACAGGAGTGGAAGGGCCAGGCTCGTCTTCCTCGTCCTCGCTCTCGACTGTAAATAACAAATTAATTAACGCTGACGATAAAAATTGCGACAAGGAGGGATCAAGATCTTACCGATGGGTTTTTGCTCGTATTCAACCTTTGGATGCTTGATTTTAGTTTTGCTCGATGCAAGTTGTCTAGCCATTTCAGCTTTGAGTTCTTTTTTGACCGCTTTTTTCCTCTTCTTCTCGGCTTGTTTTTTTCTCCTGCGCTGCTCCTCAAGTTTTTCCAAGAGCTGTTCTTTTTCCTTTGGATTCAGGGTCTTTAAGAATTCCATTTCAATTTCGCCCTCTTTTTCACGGCGCCTTTTCGACTTTTTCTCCGATGGATCGAAGGACAGATCACCAACATGCTGTTTTGCAACGTCTTTGAGTTTGAATCCGGAATTTTGAGTAAGTCTGCTCGCAAGGATCTCCATTTGCTCCTTCTTCAAATCCCACTCTGGATTGTCTCGATCACCGACCTTGCCGTACATTGGACAGACTCTGTCGACATTTGAGTGACCAAACTCGCCACATTTCATACATTTGACATTTCGCACTTCGATACCGAAGGGTTTGTGGTTGAAGATGGAGTTACGGACTTCTCCCATTGTGTTAAAATGGGAATCGCGAGGGGCGTTTTTCTGCCACTCGAACTTGATTTCGAAGTTTTTGGCCGTCTGACCAGGGCGGTCTCCTTGATTTTCGGGAGCATTGATATCTGATGAGTTAAATGAATGCCATTGGAAGAGAAAATGATAATTTTACCTTTTGGCATGATATTGTTGGGCATTTCGTAGAGGAAGGAAACGCCGGACATGGCCTTCTTGTCGCCGAGCGCTTTTTGGACGAGATTCCTTTCATTCTCTTTTCTTGCCTCTTCTGCGCGCTCCTGCTCCTTGCGTTTGTCCGCCTAGACTCATTTTAAATGCGCTTTCGAGATTATGCGAGGCTTAGATCGCTTAGGCAGCCTGTGTGACCATTGAAATCATCAGAAAAGCAAGAAGATATGCTGCACATATCCACAAGCATTAGCAGCCGCCTTGCGCGATTAAATTTAAGATTATCCTATGTACGTGAACTAGATCTATCGATACAAAAATATGGAATGATGAAAAATTAGGTTACCCACCTCCATCTGCTGCTTTCGCTTCCAGACAGTGACGATGTTCCGCTTACTGGCAGGATGCCAGAACTTTGCGGACATGTACTCATGGAAAGTCTTTCCTCTATATCTCGGTCCATTCGACATTTTTACCGATTTCTTATTCTCCTGAATATATCAAATCAACATGTGCTTTATTGATACGAGCTTTATAAGAAGAGGCAGGCAAGTGAACTTGATACGATGAAATGTGGGAACTAGTCGAGCTTGATGCCGAACTGGGACAGAAATGACTCGTCGATTTTATGCTTCTTTCCATTGATTTCTTTTTCGAAGCTCTTTATCTCCGTCTTTGGCACGTAGACTCTTCCAGCTTCCTTGGCTTTTTCTTCCTCTTCCTAAAGACGACTTTATTGATCATATGAGTAGTAAATGCTCACTTTTTGAAGTTTTAATTTTTCCTCTTTGGTCATCACAGTTATTTCTTTGGAGGGTAGGCAAATACTTGACACGATGACATCAGCATCGGATTCTGAAACTTTTCGTTTGGGCTTGAAATTTTTATGGGCTTCTTCAACAGATCCAGCGAAGCCGACTTGGCGGAGGGTTTCGGATTCTTCTTGCTCGGCCTTTATTCAGGATGCGCGCGTTGTTCGATTTAAATTACATTTTTGCAAGAAATAAGCGCTTATTTTGCTGACACCCTTTCTTTAGTCGCTCAAGCTTTTTGTTCATTTTACGGAGTTTTCTTTTCTCCTCCCTCTCTCGCCGCCGGACTTCCCTATCCGCTTCATGTTTCCTTTCTTCGATTCGCTGTCGAAGAAGCTTCTCAGCATCAGTTCTGCTCGCAACAATGCTCATTTCATGAAGTTGTTGTTCTTTTCGCTGTTGCGATTCGGCGACAATTTGTTGGTCTAGTTCTCGAAGGCGTTCCTCGATTCCTTATTACGTCGTAAATATAAAGGTCGCACATAGCTCGACTACCTTTTATTTTGGAGATGGCTTCAAAACCTTTCTCCTTCCTAAGTTTGAGCTCATAAAGCGCTTTAGTTTCGTCAGTTTTGTCCAGTGTCTCGGTGATGCCTTTGATTTCATGCTCAAGTTTTTCAACTTGGCGCCGCTGCTTTTGCAACCGCTGACGAAGTCGCGCTTCTATCGATTTTTTCTTTTCCTCTTCTAACTGAATAATAATCGTTTTAACCCCCGCTTGACTGTCCATTGATCATTAAACTCAATTAACTAACCTTCTTGAGGTTTGACTGGATTTCCTTCTTTGTTGATCCTTCAGCAACATAGACGGAAACGGCCTCCGCTAATGGATCTTGTTCCGACGACGCATCAGCCACTACTTGTTTGTATTCTGCTTTTAAGTTGTTAAGCTTTACTATTTCCTCACAACGGCGTTTCGTCAAACGGCTCCTGATTTTTTCCTCGGCATCTGTGAGCTCCTCCTTGATTTCAACTTTCACCGCCGCCTCGAGCTCCGGATACTGATTGACTGGCTCGGATTTGATAATTGTATCGTCGATAGGTTCAATTTTAACAACAGGCGCTTCAGAACCAAAAACAAGTTCGTCGATTACGTTCGTGAATTCTTCTTGGAGCTCAGGAATGTCAATTTCATACTCTCCCTCCGAGTCTGAGTCATCAGAAATGTAAATTTTATCAGCAAGATCAAAGAGTTCTTTTTCCAGGAGTTTCATTCGAAGCTTTCGTTTTTTCTCGCGCATCATTCTTCGGACAGTTGTAAGAAGCACCCGCCTTCCGACAACTCCGAGTCCTTCAACGTACTCGAGATCTTCTTTTCGACGCTTTTCTCGCTCCATCACAGGGATCATCGTATCGATGCCAGACTGTTCCCGGAGGATTTTCGTCGTCTCTGGATTCAACGCAAACTGACTCTGTCGGTACGCGAACTTTTCCTTAGCGATTGAAGCTTCTGGTGCTCCATGATAATTGACGTATTCGTTTGTGAAGTCCTCGACGAGCGTTTCGATTCTACGCGGGTCGATTTCAACAAGTTGAAAACTCTTGCCCATTTCTTTTAGTTCTGCTTCAGAAATATCCTCACTGTATCTTGGGCAGACTTTATCGTAAGTAAGATGCCCATGCTGCTTGCATCGAAAGCAAGGAATGGAAAGCATGACGTTCGGTCCATTAAAAGGCATATGAATCTGTGGCTTCGAAGCAATTTCCGTCGGAAGAATTCCGTCCACGAAGCGATCTCGCGGGGCGTTCTTCTGCCACTCAAACATGTAGCCTTTTTCGATCTCTTTTATTCGCTATGAAAAATGATCAGTTGGTTTGGCAAGCATATAATTTTGAATAATTACCTTGTCGCGTTCTTCTTGATATTTTTCAACAATCTGAGGTTGATCGTAGAGAAAAGAGACTCCTCCTTCAGCCCTTTTTCTCTCCAAGCCTCGAGCATCTCTTTTTCGGATCTGCTCAACTTCATGAGTTCTCGCATTCTCCTTTAGCTTCTCGTCGATTGCCTTTTCTTTTGCCTGGGCGAACTGCTGCGCGCGATATCGTCAAAACAACCGGATGAAGATTTACAAGTGCTGTTTTAGGAATTTAAAAATTTTGATATCAAGGACGAGTACGAAAAATAACTAGTCACGAGTGAATCTTTCAAAGCCTGAAATAATGAGATTTCGTTTTGAGCTCGGATGAAAGAACTTGTGTCCCATAAAAATCCCAACAGTTTTGCCCAAATGTCGACCCTCATTGATATTGCAGGAAAAGCCCGGGCCGAAGCCAGTTCCCAAATCCCCAGTCATGATTACGATCAACTCTCTAAGATGAAAAATTATGCAAAAGGGAGTAGAACTTTCAATAATTGTCATTAATGAATAAGAGGGAAAAAAAGGGTTTACTGGCGGTCGGAGCAGTTAGAAAAAAGAGGAGATGAAGCATTTTGGAGCGATTCAACCAAACATTGAAACTTGGACGATAGCAAAAAAATTGCCGCAAAATGACAACCTGCTTTAAAAATGCTCGAAAAAATTTCAACCTGAAACTAATTCGACCGAAAATGGGAGGATATGAGCGCACCTTCTTCGTACAGAATAGAAACTGGTCTTTGCATTTTGATAATTACGCCTATCTCGGACATGGGTTGAAAAATATCGTATAAATTTGTCTATGAAAGTATGTTTGTCTATTTCAAATAACATCGAAAAGTGTAAATTTCTGGAGAACTCTGTTTTGCATCAAAAAGTGTTGAAAGTCCAACTTGAACTGAATACAACTGTATTTTTATCTTTTGGTAAGTATTGTTTCGTCGATCAAAGAAAGTAATAGTGGAACTTGATGGCTGTGTTTTGCTTGTGTTTGGGGTAGTAAAAATATTTTTTAGAGAAGAAGAAACATGAATTAAAAGAAATAAAAGTTGTCTTTTTTTGTTTTGTTTCGAAAGAATAGGAATCAACGCAACGGTTGTTGGTGGCAGGGCGAATATAACACGAGAAAAGGAGGGTGTTCAAGTTTCCATGAGCGAATTATTAGATTCAGGCACAATATCCGGGGTTGGCTTGCCGCGTTTGCACGGACTGGCTAACAAACTGTCGGAGTCCAAATGGGACGATTCGGAGAATATGCTCTCGGAAGCTTCTTCGTCGTAAAGTCTCTTGCGTTTTCTAAAAACTTTGATGAAAAAGAGCAAAATTGTAAGGAACGAACCCTGGTGAGGAAATGACATTTATTTCTTGTAGAAGTTCGCTCATTTTTTGCAAATTGTCACTTTGGTTTGCTTGGCAATGATCTGTGGGGTTTGAGCTTTCTGAAACGAGAAACGCGTCGGAAGACTAAAAACGAAGTTAAGAGCAACTCGAGTTGCAAGATATCTACTTCAAGGGACTCGATAGTAGGCACATCGTCGACATCTACAAGTTCATCAGAATGCTGATTGGTGAAAAACGACTTGCACGGTGCAGAAGATCTCCGTCTGTACTCACCCGGATATCAACAAAAACATACACTTAATCTTTAACTCATTTGCTATCCGTTACAGTATCTGATGTGCCTGGCGCACTGTGTTTGATAAAAGTGCTTCTTTGCGCAGTTCTTTTTTCGAGTTTCAGAATCATCCTTGTTGATTTTACAAGCATTGTGTCTGGTCGAATTCTGAAGCTTTCCTGGACATGCTGCCTCGGCATTTCGCTGACGCTTGTCGACTGTAAAAGCCAGAAGAGCCTCGACTGACTCCTCAGGTCCAGCTTCTGGCCCGATGTTCATCAACTATCACGTTTTTCTTCAGCTCATCCCTTTCCGCAAGTATCCAGAAATAAGATTGATCCCGTCCCAGTTTGATATGATTTTTCAATCTCAAAAAGTATTAATTTCTGTCGTCCACTGTCGAATTTTCGGAAGCTTGGTTCGTGAGAAGCAGTTGAAGAAATTGTGAAGATTTGCGAGAAAGAGAAAAGATAGGACACGTGTGGACAAATGGAAAGAGAAGACAACTACTTGTCAAAGAAGTAGGGCAAGAATTGTACTCCAGCTTAGAACAGTCAAGTAGTTTTTAAAAATAGAGCAACGAAGAGTGCTCTAAATTTGTTCTTTTGAAGTTATTTGAGATTCCAAAAAGTCTGGGCTGAATTGAATAAAGTAAGTAATGATAATTTGGTCTTAATTTGAACCTTGTCGTTATGTACTGCGATGGTTCTTCTGGAGCCCCTTCTCGAAGGAACGTAAAGGGCGGTCTATCTGGAATATAAGTCCCCGACCAAAAGTAATTTATCTGAAAGAGAAATTCTTCGGTGAGCTTTTTTATAAGCATTTGTTGACTGGCACCTTGCTGGACATAATATCGGGGCGGGTAAATCCATTGTTGATAAAATGATTGATGGCGACGAGGAAATCGCAGTCGTATTGAATGGTGGCGATCGAGCGTGTCTTTTTCAACCCAACTATTGGTGGTTTTAGGTAATCTAGCTGGGCGAGTACGTCTTCGTCAGTACAATTAAATCTAAAGTTTAAATGTTTAACTACTTCTTTTGAAGTTCATGAAATTACTTGATAACTCCTCCTTCATTCCAAACGAGCAACACATCTCTTTTATTAAGCCTAGCTTGCCGATGTCTGAGTTCTTCAACTAGAGGATCAATCATGAAGTACTCGGCTTCGTGGAGTAACTGGGGGAGAATTCCTTGTATCAGATCATCTGATATCACTACCTGAAAACAGAATTATTCAATCAGAATTTTTTTTGAAGAAAGCTTACCTTTGACGACCTGAGGAACTCCAGAATATACTTGAAAATTTGAGGATCTCGATCAAGGAAAGCGTTTCCCTCGCTATCCCGCCGTGGTGGTATTTTCCCGTTGATCATTCGCGCCAAAATCGAATGCGAGTAGCGCAAAAGTGTACTCTGAAAATATGCATCACAAATAGACAATTACTTTTGATCTTACTCTGAGTGTCGTGAATTTTACCCCGCCAACATTTATGCGTACGATTTCGTCGTCTTCGACAATGGGTTTCATTTGTTTTTTCTGAATATTGGTTTGAGCACGGTTCAAATATCAAGATATCAATTGTTAACTTCTCAAAACACGGGGTCCAATCATTGGACCACGGCGACTTTGACCCCCGGTAATTCCCGTTGTAGTAATCTGTTTGACCTGAATTTTGTAATGTGAGCTGATAGGACGGAAACGAACCACTGTGTGAAGTTTCGAATGAAAACTCAAAAGTGGTGGCGTTTTGCGCCACATTTCTCTATCGCTCTCTGGTTGAAAATCGGAACGGATTTTTTGATTAACAATAGTAAATCTTTAAAGAAGAAGGTTTAAGCTCTCGAACAATACATTAACGAGCTTTTTTACACAACGGAAACGTCAATTAGAGGCAAAAGTTCTGAGCGCTATTTTTCACACTATGAATTTGGCGCGCCGCGCGGGGCTGAATAATGCATTGTGGTCCAATTATTGGACCCCGTGTTTTGAGGGTATAGTAGCGCGCCCGTGTTTTGAGAAGTTAAGAATACAGAAAATAGAAGAAATCATATCGCAAATATAGGAAAAAACGGATGCATACAGTAAAAAGGATAAGATAGGTAAAACAGTGGAGAAAATATTAAAATATTTAATGAGAAACTGAACGAGTAGGAAAAGTAAGGAACTGATAGGAGTAATAGTACAGAAATAATTATAAGAGAAGGCAATCGTGTGGATAGTCTGGAAGCATTGAAAAAAGTAGAAATTGTAAACTTGCGTAGTAAATATTTACAAGAAAGACAGTGCTTGAAATTATAGTGAAAATCACCTAAATTTTGTAATCTCGGATATCCTAATTGACGATTTTTTAAAGAAGAACGAAATCGCTCCGAATAGACGGGCGTCGGCAATGATGAACAACGGCTTGTGAAAATTAAGAAAAAGAAAGAAGAAACGACGCTATATCTTTTTCTTCAGCCGCTCAAGAATTGCGTTTTTGAGCTTGTTCTCCATGTCGAGCGTCTTTTTCGCAAAATCCTGAGATGGACTGTCGAAAATGGCGACGCCAACTTCGTCTTCAGAAATTGTCGCGGCCTTTTTCTCGGCTTCTTTAGCCTCTTTCGCCGCGGCTATTGCAAGATCCACCTCGTCATTGATGACGGGCTCGTCAGGACTTGTTAAAGCGCGCACCCAGATTTTGGTCCGTTTCAATCGGGATATTCTGATCATTTTATAACCTTTACAAATAATTAATAAGAGCTCATTACCGTAATTTCATCGGCTCGTTCATATAAGGCCCGTTAGTATTTTCTTCCTTGACTAAAACAGGTAAGTCCGCCTTGTTGATCGGTTCGTCGATTCCGTTGAGATACTCAATTTCTTTGCTCTGATCGGCGATCAGTTGATTCTCGATGTCGTCGTATGCCGCTGCCTCTTCTGGATCGAGGCCTGGTTCTTCATCACTCATGCGCGAGTTTTTCGACGACAGCTGACTTCGATTTGAAGCAAGTGATCCTAAAAATGAACTAGTAAAGCGCATAATTTCCCTGTATAAACCAGAAGAGGCCGAGTTTTTCTCTGAATTTTCATCATCTCCATCCGACGACGGGTTATGATTGGAAGTAGCAAGAGAGGCCCTGCGATCGAAGGAATTTGAAGCGCCCTTCTTGCCAGACGAAGCGATTGATGAGGATTTGGCAGAGCTTGATTTCGCGGAAGTGTCAGATGGATCGTCGGACGTGCTTGATTTCACTGCTTCTGATTCAAGCTCCGATTGGGCTTTCTTTTTGAGGATACGGTCACTGAAAAAAACTTTTCAATTCAACGTTCGAATAAATGCTCTTACCGTAATTTAGCTTCGACATCATTTCCACCCAGCGTCGGTGAGTTGAAAAGCGTCGAATAGTCCTTGTTGACATCATCATTTTCATTCGACTTTTTCGATCGTTTCGTCTTCGTCCGCGACTTTGTCTTTTTCGACGCTGAAATGCGCCTCTTCCTCGTTTTCGTCATTTCTCAAGCATCATCTTTCTAAAGAAGAAACAATGATTTCTGAGCTCCGTGAATTCTGGTGTGAAATTAAAGGCAGTGAGTTAAGTATAAAATAGAAGAGATAGTGAAAGTTGATAGTTGATTTTGTGAAGGGTCTTATTTTTCTGATTCGGAGAGGCGAAGTTTGCGTCTAGCTGTTTTCACGCCTGGAAACTTCTTCATCTATGATTTTTACATGAAAAAAAGTCGAAGAATATAGGTTTTACCCTAACACTGGAGTTCGCATCCTGAACCACCGCTCTTTGGCCGACCATTTCGCCAGATTTGAGATCATCAAAGGATTTGTTCAACAAATCGTCGTTTTTACTCAGGGGCGAGGGCCCCACTTCGGCTGTCATTTTCCGCCGATGTGATCTTTTTGAAGGCGAGAGGAGCTCGTTTTCGTTGCCTAATGGTTATGTTTACAAGTGAATTTGTGGGATAGCTGCTCGGTACCTGCTCGGATAGGTGAAGTAAAAGTGAATCTCGCTGGGGGAATCTTTTCAGAAACAGCTGATCTGCTTGAGATAACTTCATCATCCGACGAGCTTGCTTCTGATTTATCACCACCAAAGAGCAACGAGTGGGCTAATTTGCCATCGCGAGGGGATAACAAGTCGGCCGTCGAATTCAAAGCCGATCTGTTGAGCTGGTCGTCTTCTGTAATAAGTATATGCTCTCTGTAATGACTGCATTTATGAGCAAACCTTTGAGAAGCTTGCGAATAGGCCCTGCTTTTGGAGTGTAGTCCGAATTTTTCATCGGCGATTCTTCGACTTGATTGACGACGTCTGAGGTTGAAACTTTTCTTTTCCTTTCTCTTCTAAAATGGGGGAGAAAATGAGATTTTAGCGGTTTTGATTTACCTCAGAGAACGGAACTTGGACCTCGACGAACGCGTTCCAATTTCTTGAGCTTTGAGAGGAGTGTCTTTGGCGCTTCTAGTGTGGAGGACTTTGGGCTTGGGTAAGCTTTTTCCGGGCGTGCGGTGAACATTCGACGATGATGATGATGGCTGTGGTTGACTTTGAACTCTTGATGAATTTGTTGAATTTTGAACTCTCTGGGCTGCTTTTGGATCTGGTGAAGCCATGAACAGTGCGCGTTTCGCTCTATCGGATTTGCTAAAGAGTGAAATTAGGAAACCATTTCGAAAGAATTGAGTTTTCTTTCTTACCGAGGCCCTAATTTGTTCGCTAATGGCGACGGGTCCTTTCTTGCTTTTGATTCTCTTCTGTGACTTTTTCTCAGTGGTTCGCTCATGTTTCTGATTTGGATCATCCGGTTTTGGTTTGAGCTCGAGAGCTTCCGAGAGAACATTTGGGTTGAAGATTCTACCGCTCGGGAATTATTCGAAAACACGCTCGAAGAGAAGCTGATGACAGAACTTGTTGAGACACTAAAGACAGTGATAAGGAAGATTTGAAGGCTGAGAGATTACCTGGAAGGCTCGACTGTAATGGCATCTTCATCCTCTTCTTCATTGGAGCTTGAATCGGAGTCGGAATTAGCGGGGAGGTATTTGACAAGAACTTTTGGAACATTTAGCATCAGATCATTATATACATCTAGCAGTTTTTGAATCATCTCCTGAATATTGAAAAATGGGTATTATATAAAATCTAAATAGAATGGTTTCCTTGACAAATTTATTAAGTAGACTACATAACTGTCATGTACCTTATCGTTTTTCTCAATCCAAAGTGGAATAATCGTCTCCTCGAAAAACGCGTTGAGATCAGCAGGCGAGCTTGAAAAAGTAAACCAGCGCATAAGCGTCCCCAGCTCACGGAGTTCACCTACACATATGTATTAAAGAAATACGCACTGATCGAAATACACATCACATGAAATAGAATCTAAGAGAATCAAGAAACGCTACCTTCGTTTGTGTTTTTATCCAAGAGGTAGAATAAAAATTGAAGTTTGCAGAGACGCGTTATGTTTTCATTTTTCCCGTCAAAGATTTCATCTTTCGTTTTTCGCATTTCTTTGAGTCCGATTTGCGCGTTTTTGCTCAAGAAATTCGTGCACAATTTGCAAACAGTAACGTAGCAAGAATATTTCATCGCGTTTTTGATTTGATCCTCCAAAGAAGAAATAGAATCAGGAAAATATCGGCAGAGCCGTTTAAGTTCCCGGTTTTCGTTTTGCGGCGTCTGTGGGGTCGCTCCCCTGGTGCTAGAATTTTGCCGAGGCGTGCTTGGAACACTTGATGTTGGGGTACATTTCATCGGCGTTTTGGTAGGCGTTGATCTGACACGCAGTTTTCGGGGTAAAATGTTGTCATGGTCGACTCCTTCTTTTTTGGTGAATTTGGTCATTTCTTCGATCTTTCGCTGGAGAAGAGAAAGCCCTTTGCCGCTATTGTCCGCGGCGGTTTTAAGGTAACTGAAGTCGAAGCGAGTCATGTCCACAGTGGCTTTAGCTGGGGCAGATAGGATATGGCCTGGATAGGAATTTTCAATGGGCGTTTTGTTGTTGAGAATTGGCAGCTTGAAATTCTCCTTTGTCTTTCTGAACTGGAAAACGATCTTGGATAGGATCGGGCGAGAAACAGAAGCAACCGCGACACGTTCTTCGTTCAGCCGGACAATGAACATTTTCCCAACAAGCGGTAGAAGATCTTTATTGACATTAGCCGAGCAAGTGCCCTGAAAAGGCCGCTCTCCGAGCAGCTGCGAAAGGATGCTGACGAAAGAGTTGCTTGTCAATTCAGCACGGATCTCCACTAGTTTGATTTTCTCCCTAGCTGTGACTTTGATTTTGTATTCTTGATCCATGAACTTCATTGTTGTCTCTGAAACTCCCTCCGGCGTCGCTAGAATGCGCTTTTCGTAGACCATTTCTGCGAGACTGATTCCAACTAGATCGGAGAAACGCTAAAATTGCCTCATTCTCATAATAAAACAAGATCTTTTTACCGTTATTTCTTGCTTGCTATCGAGAAACTCAATGTTTTTAAAAACCCTCTCGTCGGCTAAATGAACGATCCGTATTTCTGTATTCAGGGCCCATTTCAAAACCGAATCCGTGATCAATTTCGCATCAAAATCTTCCTTGGCAATGGTTCCAGCAAGAACAATGACTTTGGCTCGCTGAAGACCATTTCCGCCCAGCGAGGTTCGTTTTTTGACCGGAGAAAGGATGTCCGTAGAATTCCACTGCAAGGTCAATGCGTGGCGGATTATCTTTTTCAGTTTTTGAGAAGAATTTCCGGCCGCAGCGATTCGGTCGAATTTCTCTTCGTATTTGGCGAATTCGATGAGGGGACGGAACTTAGTATCGGGAAGAGGGAGGTTTTCTGATTCAACGAGGATATTCCACTCGACAGAATTCATCCACGGCTTGTCCATTCTGGCCACGGTAAATGCTCGGAAGCAGCGCTCGCAGAGCTGGAAAAGCTCGGACGGGGGGTCTACCCCGAAGATGGGCACAACTGCCACCTAGAAATCATAATTTTAATACACCAGCAAAATTAGATCAATCGCCCAGAATTAGTTCTTTATTGGGAATTCTAACCTTGTGCGCCATGATGCGACTGGTAGTCAGTTATTTCTTAGATTTAGAGAAATGTGCGTAAAAGAGGGATTGCGCGATATTGGCACCATTCTAGTGTGAGTTTCTCATTCAGAGCGTTTCGAGAATGGAAATCCTTCTTGACTCATGCCAAGCGCTGAATGGACGGAATTCTCGAGCCTGATTGGCCGAGCGCCAAGGACCGAACCATTACTTGATGAAGAAGGCAGAAAGAATGCTTTCAAAGCAGAGGATGAAATTCTAAAATTACAAAAATTAATATTTTAAGCTCTGCAGATACTTTTCCTTATTATTTACTCGAGAGTAAAATGCCGCAAATAAATGAAAAAATGACACTGGTTCCTGATCTCTAATAATATAAATTATAAAGTGATTTATTCTTTTATCTATACAATTCCTGTAAAAATGTTACCCATAATTACAGAATATGAAATAAATGAATCCACCAAAACCAGTCTGTCTTCATTTCTTGTATAAAAAATGGGCGGAGAAAACCCGATCCTGCATGCATTGTTCTAATTCCCTGGGAAAATGCAATTTTAATCATTCCGTCAGCTGGAGTCAGATTTCTAGCGCTAAAAATTTCAAAGAAAATGTCGAGAGATTCATGGTACAATAGCTTATCAGGTATTTTTTATCCCTTCTGAACCGGTTGTTTTGAGACGTTGTAGCGGCTTTTCTGGAGAATGAGGATAGAAATGCGTTTGGCAGGCAGAGGGCTTTGGATAGACAGATGAATTGGTAATAGAGTTAGAATTTGAGGGAGAACTGTATTGACTTTGAAGGGAAAAGAAGAAGGATGAACACTTCGAAGCCGATCAGAGGAGACTCAGATACAGACAAGGATTGGTGCTCATTACAAATAAGTCGAACTTAAATTTTCGATGTAAGGAACCAAAGAAAGGCTACCTAAAATCCGTCGCCGATAACAAAAAGCGTGATGATGAACGAATCTCGATTTTAGAACAAGCTCAAATCGAGAGCCGCCGACGACAAAAGTCCGCGGTAGAGAACTCCATGTTAGTGGAAGAAATGTCAAAGATCTCGATTGAAAGCGACCGTATTAGGCGTGCCCGTAAAGAAGGTAACCGCCAAGAGTTCATTTCGCTCATTCTGCGGCGCTCATAAAGAAGTTTAATAATATCGACTTGTTTTATTGCTTTCAGCTGTTGAAAGAACTCGTAAACTCGAAGAATTCCGCCGAGCTGAATACGAGAACGAACAATTTATTCTTAGGTACTGCATAGGCTCGCACATTCTTCCAGTATTCATGCATTCTTTCGAATAGACATTCGTAGACTCATTAAATTTCAGGGAAAAGCGTAGGAAAGAGCTTGATAAACGACAGCTCTCAATTTCAAACGAAGAAGAGCGCGAAATATTGGCGGAGAAAGCAGCGAAGAAAAGACGAATCCGCCATCGGAATCAACTTCGCAAACTCAGGAAATATGTCAGCTTTTTCTTTCAACTTGGTTGACCTAAGAAAAAAAACGTATATTTGGATGAGCCTAAACGGAAATCTTTTTTTCCGAAATATTTATCAGAATAAGCTTCTTAGGAAGACTTTTATTATCATAAAAATGTCATATAAGCACGAAATTTTGCGACAGGACGATAAAATCAACTTATTACATGTCTTTAACAAATCATAAATTATCAGCTGATTATTCGAAAAGACGCAAGGAAGAATTCAACGCGCGGCAGCTTGATTTTACGAATTCAATAAAGCGTTCGACAGATCAATTTTATATGAATGCACTTGTCAACACGCTGGGTATGATGTAACGTAAGAAAAACTAAAGACGAGTTCCTTTAGGTTCGAATAGAAATGTGAAGACTTCAACAGTGAGGAATTACTCCTCAAAAGAGCGTTATTCCAGCTTTAGTCATTGAAATAAAACGGAAACGTACTGGCATGATGTATTCTTCCTTGAATTGAGCAGAGCGTAAAAGAAGAATTTGCAGAATCGGATAACTTATCATTCGCCAAATATCTCCAGCAAAAATAAATTTTCAGAATATGGATAGCGGAGACAAATTTACTTCCTCCAAGTCTCAGCAGCCTCATAAAGTCATTTTTAATTAATTGAGCACCTTTCAAAGGTCCCAGAACTCAAGATTACGATCTATCAACAAAATACCGGCTCATAAATTTTATACTCTTTGTCTATTTTCTGACATTTCTGCGGAATTTCTGATAAAAATCATAAACACTGGTGTTGTTTTTGTTCAAAATTTATTTATCAAAATTTTCACAGAATTGTATTAACACTGTCACGCGTACTGACTGATCATACAGTAATCAATTGGAGATTAAGAATGTGTTAAAATGAGGTTCTTGAAGTTCAACTGCTCATGCGCTCGAGGAAGTTACTGAGGCATCGCCTTGTTTTGGGCTCAAACTTTGAATTTTATTTATCGAAGAAAATTTTCGTTTATTTTCATTTCAATGTCGAGCCGGTCCTGGAATTCCGGTCTCATCAGCATCATCAACGTTGACGACCTGAGTGTAGCAGCAAGATCGGCAGATGATCTTCAGTTTTTGTTTGGGCTCTGAGGTGTCTCCAGAGGTCTTTCCTTTGTAAGTCAAGGCCTTGAGGACAAGAGAGACGAGGAGAAGGAGAATGATAGCAGAGCAGAGAACGAGGGCGGCGATTCCCTTTCTGTAAAACAAATTTGAAGTTTTTAGAGAAAACTCAATTATTTACCGATGGCTGAAGTCGTAGAGGTTGGTTGACGCAGCGTTATTCTTAGTTCGGTTGTAGCACTCGGTAACGAAATAGGCAATGTAGAGTCCAAGGGCAGCAGCGTTGAAGTTCAACGAGGTTGGAAGGTGGGTCTTGATGATGCTAAAGAAGCAAGCGGCAATCGCGCACCTAAAGGTTTCTATTATTTATGTTCTTATCGAGTTTGCCTTACGAAAACCAGCGGAAAGGATACCGAGCCACCAGTTCTGGCTTGTAACAACCGGAGTTGGCTGAATTGCGCCGCTGTTGGGTTGGTTTGCAGTCATAGCAAGAGTGAACTGAATGACGACAAGGATGACAGTGATGACCAAGATTCGACCAGACCAGGACTGGGCCCAGAACTTCTTGGCAACAGAGTATGCGAGGTAGGCCAAAACGACTGTGTTGAAGGCGGTGAGGATGATTGCAGTAAGGAAAACGGTGTTTTCTTAAAGAAAAAAGAGCTAAATTTAAACTGATTCATGTCAAATATACCCATGTTGTCTGGAGTGATTGCAACAGCGGCGATCCAGAAGATGGTGAGGGCCAGGCAAGCGATTCCGGAGTAAAGGTCAAGAAGGTCACCGTCATTGATGAGGCCGAAGATATAGCTGATGCAAGCGACAAGGGCGAAGCTTAATTTTTCATTAATATCTTGGGTGGTAAGAAAAAGTTACCAAGTTCCAGCAATGAAGAGCCCATGGACCCAGTTGGTCATAAGTGGAGTCATGCTCAAAGGTCCAGAGTTGAGCCACAAGATGAAGGAAAGAACAGTGAGGAAGAAGCAGAGAACAGTTGCGAACCAGGCATAGTCTTTCTTCTCCCATCGTTTTTGGAACCTAAATATGTAAATCAAAAGTGGTACTTTACAAAAAAAGCACTCACATGTTCCAGAAGCAGACGTAGAGAACGTGAGTAAGGCACACAACAGCACACCAGGCAAGAATGCAGGCTGCAAGAGAAAGATCCTGAACACCAGCAGCCGTCTGAGCATATGCTGCATTTTCTTGGGCGGAAAGGATGGCGAAGGTGAGAGTCACGGCAAAGGCGATAAATGCATGAAGTTTGAAGGTAAATCGCCAGTCGTTTCCGAAGAACATAAGGATGAAGGTCCAGGCGGTGAGACTAAGTTATACATTGATTTATGAAAATTGGGCTTGTGTTAAACTTACGTAAAGGCGGCAGCAGCAAGAAGATCGTTGGGGTTGGCAGTTGAGTTTTGCTCACCCTTGACATGGTAGATCTCGAGAATGAAGTAGACGAGTGCAAGAGCAGTGGCGAGGACCATAGAAACTCCGGGGTGTGAGGCGTCTCCCCATGAGCCCCATCCTCTCATTGATCCGGGCTGAGCTTTTCCCATTTCTCTTTTTTCAAAAATTAATCTTGATCAGAAAAATGTGATGAGATGAATGCGGATGCTGAGAAAAATCAGATTGATCAAGGCTGCATCGTAAAATGAAGACGGTAAGCCTAGCGCCATCCACCGCGTGCATCTGATTAGGTACTAAATTCCTTTGAATGGTATCTTCTAACGTAAACTTTTTCAAATGTTCATTTGCTACATTTCTGCAAAACTCCTCACTGATGAAAACGCTGATCTTTTACTGAATTTTCGTTTATTAAGATTTTCACAGAATTATATTAACACTGTCACACGCACAGACTGATCATACAGTAATCAAAAGGAGATTAAGAATGTGTTAAAATGGGTTTAGAAGATCGCGTGCTTAATCACTCGAGGAAGTTACTGACATTTCGACTTGCTTTGGGCTCAAACTGAAGTATTTTTGATGGATTTATTTATAAAATATAAATATTTTTATATTATTTTATGGTGTCAATGTCGAGCCGGTCCTGGAATTCCTGTCTCATCAACATCATCAACATTGACGACCTTAGTGTAGCAGCAAGATCGGCAGATGATCTTCAATTTCTGTTTGGGCTCAGAGGTGTCTCCAGCGTTCTTTCCTTTGTAGACCAAAGCCTTGATGATAAGAGAGACAAGAAGAAGGGCGATGATACCAGCGCAGAGAGCGAGGGATGCGATTCCCTTTCTAAAATACAAATGGATAGTTTCTTGATATTTTTGTGTTGTTTACCGATGGCTGAAATCGTAGAGGTTGGTTGATACTGCGTTATTCTTAGATCGGTTGTAGCATTCAGTAACGAAGTAAGCGACGTAGAGTCCAAGGGCAGCAGCGTTGAAGTTCAAAGAAGTTGGAAGGTGGATCTTGATGACGCTGAAGAAGCAAGCGGCAATCGCGCACCTTTAATTATTTTTTAATACTCTGCTTGTCCATTCTCCCTTACGCAAAACCAGCAGAGAGGATTCCGAGCCACCAGTTGGCCACAGTAACAACTGGGGTAACCTGGTTCGCGCCGCTGTTAGGTTGGTCTGCAGTCATAGCAAGAGTGTACTGGATGACGACGAGGACGACAGTGATGACCAAAATTCGACCAGACCAGGATTGGTCCCAGAACCTCTTGACAACAGAAAATGAGAGGTAAGCCAAAATGACTGTGTTGAAGGCAGTGAGGATGATCGCGGTGAGAAAGACAGTATTTTCTTAAAAAACATGAATTCAAAATTTTCTGGTTTGCGACAACATACCCATGTTGTCTGGAGTGATTGCAACAGCAGCGATCCAGAAGATGGTGAGGGCGAGGCAAGCGATTCCACAGTAGAGGTCGAGAAGGTCACCGTCCTTGATAAGGCCGAAGATATAGCTGAGACAGGCGACGAGGGCGAAGCTTAATTATATTTTAATTATTCACGATGCATAGAAAAAGTTACCAAGTTCCAGCAACGAAGAGTCCGTGGACCCAGTTGCTCATAAGTGGAGTCATGCTGACAGTGCCAGAGTTGAGCCATAAGATGAAGGCAAGAACAGTGAGGAAAAAGCAGACGACAGTAGCGAACCAGGAGCGGTCTTTCTTCTCCCATCGCTTCTCGAACCTAAAAATATGAGTTCAACTCGATGCATATAACGGGAATACTAACATGTTCCAGAAGCAGACGTAGAGAACGTGAGTGAGGCACACAACGGCACACCAGGCGAGAACACAGGCTGCAACAGAAAGAGCTTGGACAGTGGCAGCTTCGGCATTTTCCTGGGCTGAGAGAATGGCAAAAGACAGAGTCACGGCAAAAGCCAGAAGAGCATGAAGTTTGAAGGTGAATCGCCAGTCGTTTCCGAAGAACATGAGAATGAAGGTCCAGGCGGTAAGACTAAGTAATGGATTAGTTCAAGGAATTCTGGGATTCGATCAACTCACGTAAAAGCGGCAGAAGCAAGAAGATCGTTGGGGTTGGCAGTTGAGTTTTGCACACCCTTGACATGGTAGATCTCAAGAATAAAGTAGACGATGGCGAGAGCAGTGGCGAGGACCATGGAAACTCCGGGGTGCGAGACATCTCCCCATGAGCCCCATCCTGTCATTGATCCGGGCTGAGCTTTTCTTCCCATTTCTCGTTTTTCAAAAATAAATCTTGTTTCGAAAAATGTGATTTAATGAATGATGAACTGCGAACTCTAATTGCTTAAGTTTACGTCGTTAAGTAAAATACGACCCGAGCGCCATCTTATCAAGTCCTAAATTCCTGAAGGTATTGTCAATAACGAGATAATGGTCATTTAATAATGGTACATTTTCTCGATAATTTTTGCAAGTGTTTATTTGTAAGATACGCATAATTTATGGTCAATAATTTATGGATCATTTTATTTCAAAATTTTATTTTATTATGCTTATAGAAAATTTTATACTGGATTTGCTTTTCAATGCAAGCAAATTCAGATATGTAAGGAAGATTTTCCTTGCTCAGCATACAAACATAATTTTGAAATATTTTCAAGAGATTTTTAGCTCGATGTTTCCAAAATATTAACTCAAAGATTGAACTTTCTTGAGCAGTTATTGTTTCGGGCTCCGCGGGTATTTCGAACTTTTGATGCGTTTTATGAATAGATAAAAGGAAGTATCTGACCACTAGATATTCGCGTGCTGGCACATAAATCAGGTGCCAAAAAGTTGCGATCATCTAGCTGGCAGGGTCTTGATCAGACGATTTATAGCATTCCGCGCCAATTTATTACCCTCTAGTCAGAGATGCCATTTATTCAACGCAGATCTTGAATATTATATCATTAAACTCTAAATTCACAATGGTTTTTAACATAATCTGGCAGCATCAAGTCAAAATTATAAATAAAAAATCTTCAAAGAAAATAGACATAAAAGTCAAAAATGACCTTTTCAATCCGGTTCCTAATAAAATATTAGACAATTTATAGTTCTCTCCGAGTATCAAGAAAATAATTGTTTATTCATTATTATTGCCGATTATGGAATAATTTCTAGATAAGAAATCAGCAAACCATATTTTCATTTCAACCGACTTTTTGTTAATCAGATTTTCATCTGCTCTCCGGGTGCGGAAGAGCAATTTTCAAAAGCTGCGCAAAAAAGTGCGATAACTTTAAAAAAGCTTGAGTGCTAGAGATTCAATCGAAATGAATAAAGTCAATAATAATGAAGGAAAAGTTCGTTAATGTTAGCTAATATAATCCTTCAGGATACTCAAGTATCTTGAATTAATAAAGAACTGAAAAAGCAACAACTACTCGCTCTCCACCGAAGAATAAGCCGAAGACACCGAAAGCACGAACAACTACCAAAGCCAAGAAAAACAAGCACCGAGAAGAGCTCGTCAGTAAGTCCTACTATTGTCTAACCAAGAGAGGATATTTTTTCGTAGGAATCTTCTCACAGCTTAGACTTCCGAATTACACCGAGGAAGACATCTTATCACTATCAAGCAGCGAAAAGCGACGATATCTTTCTTCTAAGCTCGAAATGTGGGAGATGAGGTAACGATTATTTTATCTACCACGAACTTTTTACTACGTTTTGAAGATCGCACATCAGCGAGGGCGAGCTTCCACCAGACTTTGAAAAATTCGAAGACAAGTTTCTTCTCGCCGATGAGAAAATCAGGCTCAAGGTAATTTCCGAAGTGCCAGTTTATATTCTTATTTTCGAACTTTCAAGGAAGCAAAACTACGCATTCATGAAAACCTGCGGGACCTTGCCTTTGATTCCTTCCAGAAAATGCACGGTCAATAACACTATTTATCCAGCACACCCGTACTATCAATAAACTGCTGTAACATTTTTTAAATGGAAAAATTAAGGCTACGTCGAACAAGGGACTCGCCTTAATCTTCGACTGACACTTAAATACTATATTTATTCACGATTCAAATGACTCTTCTGGCAGGGGAGGTAAAGCAGGATCTGCAATTGCGAAATCAGGATTGCACGTAAAGCCCATTGTAAATGCAAGTCTTCTAGAGCTTGCCACTCGTTCTACTCGGTGAGGATTCTCGGCGCCAGAGGTAAAGGCAGACACGCGTCCGGCTCGAGGTTCCACCGCTTCTTCTTCTTCGGTACCGGCGATTTCAGATGGCTCGAAGAAAAAACGACCGCCGGTGAAGTCTTTTCTAAAAAACTTCTATTATACCCGCAACTTGAAGATTGCTAAGCGGCTCAGCCTTAGCCCTGTCACTTACTCGTAATCATTGAGATACACCAAGGCAGTGTAGTCAAAACTCGGATACTGTTTCGAATCAATGTGCGAGTGCCAATATTCGTCGTTTTCCGTCTTTGCCGGTTCACGAGACAACTTTATTTATTGCTAATAAAACCTATAGTCCCAGAAGGTTAGTTACCAGCTTTTTGATCCTATCAATTTAACAGTCTATTGTTAAGAGCAAATTCCTGCGAGAAAAAGGTAGGGGAAGCAAGTGACAGGACGCCGCTTTCCAAGCCAAAAGCATTTTCAATCGCCTGCTTGACTTTTTCTTTGGCAGAGTTGTAAACACCGAGGTTGTCGCGCGAGTAGAGCCGCTCGACCATGATTCGGAATTTGTCGTTGTCGCTCTTTACGGATGCTTCGCGCAGCTGGAAGAGGCTAGAAAATGATTGAATTACGGTGGGGAAGAAAGGCTGTACCTTTGGAATTTTTCACCCGAGGAGACGGTGGAAGAAGAGAGCTCGAGGATCGACGCTCCTCCAGCACCACCTCCAAGAGCTTGAGTTCCTTCGATCGCAAGTCGATTGAGCACTTCGATTTCACGAGGAGCCAAAAGTCCGTCGAGCACTAGACGGCCGCATTTTGTTGGAGTGCATCTTTTCACTATACAAGAAAGTAAGAAAACTGTGAAAATTTTGCTTGTTTGAAAGTTACCTTGCGGCTTTTCAGCATGCTCTGGTGAGCATTTAACTTCCTTGTATACGTAGACATCGTCGTTCGCCACTGATGCAAGTGTTTTTATTTCTTTGTTGATAACATTAACCCACAACCAATAAGCACCACCAATAATCGCCATTGTCAGCACAACCTTCCATGTTTCCGGCCCTAGTTAAAAATTTCTCTTTTTACCATTTCTTCAATTTTCAAAAAACCTCGATAAACAAGCTCCTTTCTCTTCTTCTTTCGCCTCTTTTTCTCAGGCTGGTCGGGCTTCTTTTCCTTTTCGGTCGCCCGCTTTCTAACTTCCTCCTCTACCATTCTAAAATAGAGACACCATAAGTTCACTAAATTCCGAAAAGCAATATTTGGAAATCCTCCCTTCGCCGCTGTGGAAAGTCGCCATGAGGCAGCGAAGCGTAGCCAATCCGCTGTCCTTGAAGAAATGACGTTGCCAAATTCATTTTTAATAAAGAGGAACCAAAAACAAATCGTTCACTGAAACTGTGCTCCTGAGAATATTGCCATATTGGCAGATTGAATTAATTCTAATAATAAATTAAAATTCATCAGATAAAATTACTGCATGATTTCCTCATAAAAATATAAACAAAAATGATCGATCAATTATAATCAAAAAGCTAAGATTCTTTCATTTCAGCAATGTTAACGGAACTGTATCGCTACGAAACATTCGATGACCTGCAGACCAAAGCCGAAGAATTCACAGAAAACTCGACCATTCCTGGCGCTCCTTCAGCACAATACAAGGGTTCGTTTTCCCTATTTTCGTTGGGAAATATGAAAGTATGCTTTAGCGTTGAAAATCTTGGAAACTCGCCTCAAGCCATGTCAGTCGTGTGCGTCAAGGGATGAAGAAAGTTTGTACATGAACAATTTTCTTTTAGGAACAGTTTGAATAAGCATTTTTGACAACAGTCTATTGTCAATAGATAATCATGCAAAAACAACCGAGTTTCAATCTGGTAAAAGTCAGTCGCGCCCTATCCCTTCGCCGAGAACACAAAAACGTAATCCCAAAAGAAGAGCTTCGAGCTTGGATGAGTAGCTTGGAAGAGCTCGACAAAAATCTCCGAGTCCGTTACGAAAGACGCCACAGACCAGCCCTACTTGAGTACAAATTAAAACAAGCGAGTGAAGATCTTTCAAAAGTGAAGCAAATTTGCGACGGGCGAACGAGCGAGCTTCAAAATGCGCTTTCCGAACTGACTGCTAACAGGACCAAAATGAACCAAGAAAGACAGAAATACTTTCGTAAGTTACTAAAAAACGTTTTTGATTATGACAGCCTTAAGAGTTGCACAAAGACCTGGAGGCCCAAGTGAAAGAAATGAAAGACCAATTGCAAGAATCAGAAGCCAAACTTATCGTCAAAACGCACGAATTCGAAGAAAAACTGAAAGAAAAAGACAACGAGTTCCAGCAAAAATGGGAAAGCGAACGACAAGAGCAAGAAAAACTCAAAGATACAGTCGAAAATCTCGAAAGCGGTAATGCCAATTTGCAAGTTTAATTGATTTTCTTTTCAATTATTAGAATATCTCGAAGAAATATCTGAATTGAACGCAAGGATTGTCAACTTGCAAATGGAACAAGAATCTAAAGAGGTAAAAAGCCCGGAATAGGAGTAGAGAAGTCATTTTTAAAGAATAACGAAGAAGAAATGATCAATCCTCCACAAAGAAACGCTTCCGAATATACAATAAGAAGTTCCGAATGTCGTATTTGCTTCGAAGCCGACAGAGCCAAGGACAGTCTTCCTGTAAGTCTGAAACAAGGTCATTTTTGCAACAAATTCATAGTGCGGCCACTTTCTCTGCGAAGAATGCTGCCTTCAGCATGTGCATCAACGGCGAACCTGCCCATTTTGTCGAGCTCCGACTAATCCGACTGACATTCGCCGTTTGTTCGATTCTTGAGTTGATTCTTTTCAGCTCCATTTATTCAACCACACGAAATTCTACTTCCTATCATTTTCCATGTCATTCTTTTTATGCAATATTTCTTCACAGTTCACAGAAACAATAAAATTCTCCTTCCAGAAATTCCTCTTTTTCTAAAAAAACAAGTCTAGGGTTATTCTTGCGCAGCTAATTTACTAACCCATTACCACTTGGCGGCGCTTTTTCACCCTTGATTGACCACGTCATGCTGACGCACGCTCTCTCCCATTTTTCGGCCTAGAGCAATTTTCGGCGTTTGAATAATTGTACCAGAGAAAAATTTTTTAGAGTAACATTTAGCCAAAATGACATTTGAGAAGTTGTACTATGCCGGGGGTATTTTAACGTTTTACGGACTGTTGGGAATCGCACAAGAGAAAATTACCAAGGCCGATTATGAAGATGATAAGGTATCTTTTATTATAACAAGTTATTTTTTACATTTTGTGATTAGTTTGTGTATCAAGCTGAGTTGGTCTTTACGATGGTGCTTTCGAATTTGGTATTTGCCGCTTGGTCTGGTTCGAAACGCGACAAAACTGATAAAACACCGAAGATAATTTACATTTTATGTGCGATATGCTACGTCACTGCCATGCTTTCCTCCAACTACGCGCTAAAACACGTCAATTATCCAACACAGGTAGCTTTAGCCATCTATTCTCTGTCATCATTCCCTTTTCCAGGTTCTTGGAAAGTCCTGTAAGCCTGTAGCGGTAATGATCATGTGCCTGCTCCTCCGACAGAAGAGTTACAAATTCTCCAAGTACTTCTGCGTCTTCCTTATTGTCGCTGGAGTCGTCACCTTTTTGTACAACCCGAAAAAATCTGCTGCAAGTGGCGAGCTTGGAAGCGGAGAATTGTGGATTCTTGCGTCTCTTGCGATGGACGGCTGCGTTGCGAGGTTTGAGTTTTTGGGTGGCCTTGGTTTGACGGAATAATTTTTAGCTGCCAAGAATACATGAAGAAAAATTACCAAAGTCCAAAGTCTAATATGATGTTGAATTTGAACCTGGTCGCGTTGATTGTTCTTGTTGGACAAAGTCTCGCTAGCGGCACTTTCTTCGGTAGTGTTCGGGTTAGACTAGGGTTGATAAAATTTTCAGGCTTCTTCGGCTTCGTCCAGCGCAATCCCGATTGTCTCAAATGGCTCGCCGCTCTTGGAGTCTGCTCCGCCCTTGGCCAGCATTTCATCTTCTCCATCGTCACTGGCTACGGTCCCCTGCTGTGCTCTATCGTCACGACGACCCGCAAGTTCTTCACAATTCTCCTCTCCGTCGTACTCTTTGGCAACAGCTTGACAACTCAACAATGGTCGGGCTCAGTCCTCGTCTTTGTCGGCCTGGCCCTCGATGGCTTCCTCGAGTCCAAGGCGAAATCAGCAGCTGCTGCCCAAAAGAAAAAGTCTAAATAAGAAAAAAATCTCACGTACTTTGCTACTTTCTCTCTAGTCATGAGAAAAATACGGCGAGATAAGAATACTTCGTCATGATTGTGTGCAATAAATGCTTTTAGTTCCACCATTCCTTTTCATTCGTATTTATTTTCGATAAACAGAGAGATTCTTTACTAGTGATTGTCGATTTTAAGATTTGTATTATTAAATTAGTCCAGTTATGATTCACCGTCATAAATTTTTTGTTGGAAGAGAGGAAGAAATACACAAAAACGAGTACTTAGGCTTACCTTCCCGAAACAAAGAGAGAGAGAGAATTAAAGAGATTTGGAGACAGAATTTTGTCTTGAACTCGATTCATTTGAGTATCCTGGATTCCAACAGATTTTATTTATTTGCAGAGGCAGAGTCAAAAGATTGAGAGATAGAGAGAGAAAATATATTCTTTTTCGCGATAAACTGGGGTCAGTAGTGGATGATTAGGTCGGCTAAAATTCTCAATTGAGTTTAGAAATTCAATTTCTTTTTGTAAGTTGAATAAGAAAATTTAGCCTTTTGAGAGTTGGCCAGATGAGATTCAAAAGTTCCAAGAAGTTCAAAAGAAAAACCTTTTATGAAACGAAAATTTCATATTTACGAAACCAGAATGCCCAGTTTATAGTATCATCTTCCTTTTATATTCATTCTTTCTTCATACCAATCAAAAAGTACGAATGATACCAATAATCAAGCATGTTAGAAATAATGAAGACTTAGCAGTTTAGATTGATTTTTGAAGAAATGAAAGTGCCTCGTGCAGGACTTTCACTGATAGTTTTCTCAAAAGCGAGCTTCTCGAGTTCTCAATCAGTTGCAAATCAATTGTCAAAGCCTGAGAAAAACTGCCCGAGTATGAATTTGCAAGCCGGTAAGTTTGCATTTGGGAATCCCAAATTGGGATATCTCATTTTTTCTCATACAAAACTATCGATCAGACAAAAATAGAGATAGACAATTTCTTTCAAATAAAATCTTCAAGCTACCAAGTTCTCTGGTGTTTCTTTTTATATCTGTCTATTCTGCTCTTCTTTTTTAAGCTTGAAATAATCTTCTTTTTGTTCAGAAAAATCGTCAGTCAAAATCGCAGACAGTACAGTATCGTATACATGTAAAATGAATAATGAGGACTCGGTAGAAAGAAAAAACTCTGTTGAGAACTCTTGCGATAAGCGCGAGCCTGCGAATACATTGGGTAACTAGCCAACACTGCTTCGGCAAACGAGTGTAAATGAATTTAGCCTCCGATAATGAATCGACAGAGCAAGAAGTCGATGAGCGCGCGAATGATCCTAAATGCGATGCAGCAACGGGCAACGAAAAGAGCGAAGAACTGAGCTCCGAGGAAAGATCCGAAGAAGAAGAAATCCAAGAGGAATACCTAAAACAAATCGATGAGAACCTGCGAAGTGGTCATTACAGAGATTACTATTACCAAATGCCTCCCTACTTCAACCATCATACCTTCAAGGAAGCAAGGAGGCAAGGAAAGTGCTTCGAATAATCTCCTATTTCGATCCAATAAAAAACTTTTTCGTGCACTTTGAAAAGAAAACCGCGAAAAGAATCGGTACATCGATATTATGCCCTACGACAAGACGCGTGTGATTCTCCGACCCTATGTATCTGGCGGCAGCACTGGTAAAGATGAAAGCTCATCCGCAGGAGGAGCATCATCATCCGGTGGTATTCGAGCCCGAATACAAAAAACCATCGTTACAGGGCTTAACACGTTTTTTCCAGGCAAAGACTCGGCCACCGCTCAAGGGGACTATATTAACGCTAATTATGTCAAAATGCTAATTGGCGACGAAGAACTCGAGGAGCAAGCAAACTCAAGCGGCTATTACAGACGCTGGATTGCTAGCCAAGGTCCACTTGAAAACACGAAAAATGACTTTTGGAAGATGATTTACGACAGGTTCAATTTTGAAAGCGTATTTTTGGTTTAATCATTAATTTCAGCAACGCGTCGTTGATAGTAATGGTGACGCAAACCCGCGAACTGGGCCGGCCAAAGTGCGAAGACTACTGGCCCGAAGAGCCCGAACCAGTTTACCTCACGAATCCCGATTTGTTGACCGTCCGATTGCTCAACGAAGAGCAGGAAAACGAGGGAATGATTGCGCGCGAACTTCAATTCCGAAGCGAAGATGGAACCACTAGAAACGTGAACCACATTCAATTTGTCGACTGGCCTGATCATGGAGTGCCACACGATCCAGCTCACTTTTTAACCTTTTTGAGAAAGATCAGAGCGCTCAAGAAAGAATCTGGTGCGCTTATCAATCGATCAGATTCGTATTAGATAAATTTATTTTAGGAGATGATATTCACACGATCGTGCACTGCTCAGCCGGCGTTGGTAGGACAGGAGTGACGATCGCGCTCGACGCAGCGTGGGAGCGCCTTGAGAAAGGCCTCTCTGTTGATCCTAAGGCGCTACTCGAGGAAATGCGCGATCAGCGCGGCTGTTTGATTCAGGAAATTGGAATCAATCATTTAATTTTTTAAAATGATCCATTAGGTGTTCAGTCTGATGTGTTTTCCACCTTCCCATGGTCTTTTCATGGAAGTCGTGATATTTTTCTTGAGAGACTGTCCATCCAATTTGAGTATGTAAGATAAATAGTAAGTACCCCCTTTACTAGTGAATGAGTTGATTAATAACGCGAATCGGTAGCCTAGAGCCCTTAAGGTTGGGCAATCAATAAAGTGAGAGGACGTGTTACTCGAGAGTCTCAATCAGAGTGCTGCTGTCCAATATCCGTGATCCCACCCAAATTGTATTGATTCCCGTTTGAAGACTGTGCAACAATTTATTTTTGTCTGCAACACAATCTTACACCTCGCCGAAGAAATTAGGAGCCAACAGTCGATCGACAGAAGGAAAAGAGAGACAACCTCTGAAGATCAAAAAGATAGCATAACAAATGACAAACAGGACTCAAAGGAGACAGTTATATGACTGAATTTGCTGCCCCGTATTTTATTAAACTCTTGAACCTTCATAAAAGAAAATATTTAATAATTTATTGAGTCTTATTCTGACTAAGATTTGTGTGTTGCAGGATTAATAGAAAATGATCGTTTCAGAATGTTTGGTGGACTAGGAGTCGGAGGAGAATTCACACTATCGCAGGATGAAAATACCCAGTTCAGCCGTGAATTCTCGCAGCTCCCCTCCGCTGGCGGAAAAGTTACCGCCGAGATAGCCCGGACATTCTTCATGCGTTCCGGTTTGCCGAACCAGGTTCTTGGGCAGATTTGGATCCTGTCCGATAATGATAAAGACGGCGCGTTGAATCAGAAGGAATTTTGCGTTGCCATGAAGTTAGTACGAATGGCACTTACCAAACAACAACTGCCATCTTCTATCCCCCCTCAGTAAGTGGTCAATCATGGATTAATCCATGCATATTTTTAGTATTTTTTCACCGTCCGGAAGTCATCTTGGAAACCAGGGAATGGGAATCAACCCCAATTTGACTGGTAATGCTGGAATGGGAATGACACCAAGCTATCCTCAAATGAGGCCGATTCTTACCGGGCCTGCCAGTACCTATCACTCGCCAATGACGCCCATGAACCCAGGCGCTTTAGGAGCGCCAGTGATGACACCACTTTCTGCTCCAAGTACTTCAACTGTAAGTAGAACTTCATAAGGCATCAACTAAATTTTTTAAAGCCCAGTTCTTATGGATTAAATCTCGATCTTAATTTCGGCCAGTCGAAGCCAATGACGGCAACCTCGAGCATACCCGGCAACTCAGCACCTATCAATCCAAGTAATCGTCCGCACGACTGGACCGTCACTCCAATGCAGAAGAGTAAGCTCAACCAGAAATTCAACACGCACGATATATCAAAAAGTGGATTCATCGAAGGCACCAGAGCGAGAGGAATCATGATGGACACTGGGCTACCGCAGCCGACTCTTGCGAAGATTTGGCAACAAGCGGATCAAGATGGAGACGGAAAGCTGAGTAGACAAGAGTTTATTGCGGCGATGTGTCTCTGCGAGGCGGCTTTAAAGGTGAGCTTAATTCGTGGACATTTCTTTATTGATCTATCATATTTAGGGTGTTCCTATCCCAGAAAAACTTCCCGAGGCATTGGCTGGTAGCGGCGTTGCCGGTTCCGGTGCTGGAAAACCTCGATCATTCGAAGACGAACGCCGGGAAAACATGGAACGTGGCCGGGCAGAGCTCGAACGAAGACGTCAAGCAATTCTGGCTGAACAAGAAGCAGCCCGTCTCGAAGCCGAAAAACGCAGAAAAGAAAAGGAAGAAGAGGAAGAGCGGAAAAGACAAGAAGCGGAAAGAAAACGCCAAGAAGAGCTCGAAAGACAGCGCAAAATTCAAGAGGAGGAGGAACGCAAACGCAGAGAAGAGCAAGAGCGTCAGTACAAGCTTGAGATCGAGAATAAACGACAGCAAATGATCACAGAGAAAAAAAGGATAGAGGAGACGCTCTCGAGGTTAAGACATCAACATGATCAGTTGCGCCAAGAAAAAGAGGCACAGCTTGAGACTGAAAGAGATACGAGAAAGCGAAGGGATGAAATTCGCATGCGACTTCAAGGCGCAAACGATACTCTTTCAGCAAGTGGCAGCAAAACTACTCGAGATAAGGCAGAAATCGCAACGATGGAAGCGCATCTGACCGCTTCTCGTCAAGAAGTTGAGAGAATACGCCTCAGAAAACTGCAAGTCTCTCAAGAACTTGAACAAAAACGCCGAGAAAAGGATGTTTCTGATATCACAAAACAATGCGAGACTGCTGAACAATTACTAAATGAGACCAAAGAAACATCACGAAAACATCGAATCGAGGTCGATACTGAAACAACGCTGAAAACTGAGTCAATAGAAAAGATCAAGAAAATGAACGAAATGCTCGGAAAGGACCCATACGACGGGCTTCCCGACGAGTTGAAACCAAAAGTTGTTCAATCGCCCTCTCAACAGGCTTTTCAATCAAATGGGTTCGGAGCGGATCCGTTTGGCTCTTCACCTGCTTTCGGAAATCAAGGCTTTGGAAGTCCCAATCAAGGCTTCGGCAATCAGGGATTCGGAGGAAATGCCTTTGGAAGTCCGACTCAAACAGACGGCTTTGGAAGTACAGCACCGCCTGTTAGTAATAATGATAATGGTTGGAGTGCTTGGCCACAACCACAGGTTTGAAAAAAGAACTATTCAAAGTTGATTTGAACGCTTTTTAGCAAAACCTAAAGAAATATATGGCGAGCTTTGACTTTGACGCTCGCAGCCCAGACGAATTAACCTTCCGTGATGGAGACGTAATCGAAGTCGATCTAGCCAAGGAATGCGAGCCCGAGTGGTTTTTCGGTCATCTAAATGGGCAGTCCGGTCTTTTCCCCCAGGCCTACGTTACTGAAATGGAGGAGGAAAACCAGGCTATGAACAGTTCGTTTACGCCAGTAGGCAACCAATTTGGCGAGATGAGTTTAGGCCAAGCTGCGCAAGGTTGGGCTCTCATTAAAATCAAAAATTCACTAAATCAAATTGAAAACTAAGATCTTACCAAAACTACAAGAAAATCAAAATTTTCACTCAATTATAATCAGCCTAAAAAGTTAACGAAACAGTAATCGAAACTGTCACTGCTGCTCATCCTTTCAAATCGGATGAAGCAAAACACATGAGCTTCGCCGCCGGAGAATCAATTGAAGTTCTAGAAAAGCAAGAAGAGTGGTGGCGAGGGCGCCTATCTGACGGCTCAAACGGATGGTTCCCTAAAAATTACGTTGCAACTACTCCTGTGCAAATTGCACCTAAAAAGAAGGCGCCTAGTCGACCTGCTCCGGCTGGTCCTCCAGCTTCTACCGCTGCTGCTCCAGTTGCCTCTCCATGTAAGACTTCTTTTGTTTTCAGTTTCGTAAATTTGAATTTTAAGCAAGCAAAGGTGTTGTTTTCATCGCCGCGTACGACTTCCAGGGACAAGAGGAGAGCGATCTGAGCTTCAGTGCTGGAGACAGAATCCAAGTGATCAGCCAAGATGGAGAATGGTGGACTGGAATCAATCAATCGGGCAAAGAAGGAATCTTCCCCAAAGCTTTCGTGGAAGACCCCGCTGCTCTTGCTGTAAGAAACTCTTCAGATTTTTCCAAAATTTATTCTATGAACGATTTAGGAGCAACCAATTGTCGTTACCGCTCAATTCGATTACGATGGCTCATCCCCTGAAGATTTGAGCTTTAAAGCTGGAGACCAGATTACAGTACGCTCATTGCCCATTTAATATTCTTGCATTTTTCAGGTTATCGACCGCGACGATCCGAACTGGTGGCACGGGCGACTTGAAAACGGCCAGTCGGGCACCTTCCCCTCAAACTTTGTTAGCGAGAGTAAGTGATAGTTTGCGCATCACTCGATTTCAAATTAACGAATAATTGGAAAATTTCCAACCAATCCTACAAAATCAAAACGCACAAAAACACTGTTTCATAAGAACTAACTTTGTTTGTGTTCATCATTCACGCATGCTTCTCATGGCTAACAGTAGTTACAGCTAGTGTGATATTTTTCATATTAGATTAAGTTTACCAAACATTCGAATATTCTTATAAATCCTTATCTTCAAGCTTTTCTTTCCTAAATATAGTCTTTGCAATACACCAACAATACCATCTCGTTCAACTTTAAGTTTATTCCTTTATGATTTCATTACCTGATTATATTTATATCCCTGCAATAATACTTACCCGAAATTCAAAGAAAAAAATACATTGATACTCATTATTTGTTCATTAATATGTTTGTTCATTATTAAAAGCATGGCATCTACCGGTATATTAAGTTTGATTTTCAATTGGCCTTTTCAATGTTTGTAGATGAGCTTTTCTTCGTAGAATTAAATAGTTACTAAATACTTGCCAAAATACCTGATTTACTGAATAATTCATCAATTATTACCTTACTTTGATCGTTACTCTCTTTTTTGTTATATAGACGATTAATATGTTTATTATTTTTAAGTTGTTCAATATATTCCTATAATTTATTTATGTATGTTCTTCATATTTCTTCTATCACAAAAATTTAAAGCACCGCTTCAGCTTAATAAAACATTCAAAAAATCAATTACAAAGTAGTTAGATTTCCATCTAATGATTCGAATAATTTGGCTTATAATTTGCCGAATAGTTTTAGTTAGCCTCTGTTTGAGTTAATATGCTTGAGAAAGTAGGATCAAGCATTTAAACTCTTCTTGTCTTGAAACTAATTACTACTCAATTCATTAATCCCAATAATATAACACAGGAACTCGTATTCATAAGATATATATTTCCTTAGAAAATGATAACTCGAACGCGCCCCATGCACCTGCTCATGTCGATGAAGAAATCGCCTTTTCAAATGGGGGACAAGAAGCGCATCATTACCAGAACATACAAAATATTGGACAAGACCCTTTCGGCGCTCCGCAATTAGCGATTGAAGAAACTCCCGCGTTCGACGATCCTTTTGGAAATGCTCCGATGAAGAGCGCTTCTGGCGGAAACGATGATTGGGCAAACGGTTTGGATCAATTTGAAGCTGCCTTCGGAGGCAATGATGGATACAGCGCCCCACCTGCTGCTTCGGATGATCCGTGGGGCAATCAACAAAGTCAGACAGCGATCCCGACACTTGACGATCCCTGGGGTCAGACGCAAGAAACCTATGACAATCCTCCACCATACCAAGCACAAGCAGAGCCTGATACTCCTGGCTGGAATACTCCATTCGGCAACACAAAAAATCAGGCAACCTCTTTCAATCATATACAAGAGAAACTAACACGGCATTTTAAGAATAATGGACCATTTGCTCCCCCTGTGTCGTCGTCTGGTGGGCAGAATTCAGCATGGGACGAGCTCGTTAATACTGAAAGGCAGTACTACGAGCAGCTTGAGTTTGTTTTTCAAACTTTTCAGGTAAAGCTGGTTCTTATTTCATCTGCTAAGCTTTTAGCCCGCTCTCCAAGTCGCCGGGCTAACAACAACCCTTGGAAATTGGGCTGAATTAGTTGAAAACTCGCAGCTTTTGATCATGATGCTCGAATCTAGCTCTAATCCTTCGACTTTTGCCGAAAGTCTAAGCGATAATTTCATCTCAGCGTATACAACCTACTGTGCCACTCAAAAAAGCTCAAGGTGATTTTTATTCTGTCCAAAAGCACCTGAATAATTTTCTAGTGCTACTCTTCGCCAAAGAAGAGACGCTGACAGTAGTTTTGATTTCAAATTAACAAAGCTCGAAGAAGACTCAAAGAATAAAGGAATGAATCTACAAGCCCACCTGCTCAACCCTCTTCAACGAATAACAAAATATCCGGTACTTCTCGAAAAGTAAGATCGTCTTTTTTAAATTCATCTTTTTCATTTCTTTTATTTAGCGCGAAGAAAATCAACCCCAACCTAGAAGGCATCGATATAGCCATTGAAAAAGCGAACAAGCTCGTTGCTGCAGTTAATGCGAATGTAGCCATTATTGAAGATGCTACGCAAACTGACTGGCTAGTTACGCATGTTTCGCATAAAGGAGACTTTCCATCAAGACTGGCTTCAGTTTTATATTCGGGCGTCTTGCGGAAGAAGAAAAAATCTACTCGTGTATTCATGGCTTTCTTGTGCAAGGATGAGTTTGCCAGGGTAGGAAATACTCTCCCCAGTACATCTTTTTAATTGATTTCTAGCTCATTCTAATTCTCACCACTTCGAAAACGCCCCTATTAGACCCGAAAGGGATCTTTCAATCTGACACGAGACTCGAGCTGTACCGCAAGCCTCTGACAGTTCAAACAGTAACTGACGTGCCAGGGGATATCTTCTCATTCGAAATTCATGGACGCGAGGGCCGAGTCATTCTCAAATCCGATACGCCCGAAGAACGAAACTCATGGGTCCAAAAAGTCCGCCAACCTCAATAACTATTCAGCGTTGCTCCAGAAATTCCAACAAACAAAGACAAACACCATCTGCACTCATCAATCTTGAAACGAAACTTAAAAACCTTACGACGGAAATTCCGATTCCTATCTTCAAAAAAACTTTAACTGAATTCTTGCAAATGCCAACCTCAACTGAAAACTTCTTCATTTAATTTTCAACCCGTCCTTTTGATTCCCCTGTAAAGAAACCGCAAAGAGAATACTCTCTTTTAGATATATCTCTTTTAGGGAGAAGTTTTAGTAACCAATCCAAGTTTATTTTTATTCAATCTAGTGCATCCTTTCTTCACAAAGAAACTTTTGTATTTTATTTATCATTGTTTACCATTTTTGAATTTAGATAATGGTTGTTTTGGACGAGAAAGCACGCGTAGAGCTGCAGAGATATATTCGGCTATTCTGTTCTAGATCGTTGCAAGTTATTATACAGTCAAGAAGGCAAGATTCGCCAGAAGGAGTGTTTCGAAAAAGCAACCCCGATCCACCGGCTCAAGATTGGTTCAATTTGAATATCAACACCCATACTGTCTTGGCTAAAGATGTTCACAAGGAATGTAAATTTCATTTATCAAGGTAGCAGAAATTTCTATCTGAAATAATATCCTCTTTATAGTGGGCTTCCTTACGAAGAGCCACTGTGCTGCCAACTCAGTATCATCCAAGGCGATATTGCTCAAGTTGTCGAAGTTTGGGAACTCAGAGTTGAAACGCAAAAATCAATCGAGAGCAAATATTCTGAAGTTTACGAGCGACAGTGTCTTCTCCTCAAATCACTAATTTCATTGACCAGGGTGCTCCCCGCTTACTCTGCTTGCCGAGATTGGAGCGAGAACAAGTTTGACATCAAGTACGAGATCTTCAAGAAAGATCCGGATATGCATCTCCTCGGCGAGTCCCGTGGAAGCCTACTCGTCGGTCACGTGGCTACTCCTCTTGGCGAACTTTCAGTTACATGTACCTATCGGCGAATGCTTGGATTTGGTCGTCCGAGTAACACAGTTCAACCGACGATGGCTTCGAGGCCTGTTTCAGTTGCCAGGCCAATTGGAAAAACCCCAACTAGATATGTCCAAGAAGGAATTATCAACAGAAGGCATCGTCCAGAATCTGTGTTAGTTTCAGTTTTCGTTTTATCAATTATGGAATAAATTGTAGGTCATCTATGGCGGCATCAGAATACGGCTCTTCTGCTCCACCACCAGGCGGCTACTACTCTTCTTCACCCGGCTCTTATTCAAACAGCAACACTTCTTTCACACGTCGCGAAGTTTCATCCCCTCGTTTTCCTATCACTGAATCTACTTCCCGAATAAGCAGAACGCAGTCCAACTCATCCCTATCTTCATGTAAGCTGTCAATTAGCCATTCTTGCGGCTTTAATAACACATGAATAGGTCCACAGTCTCCTCCTGGAATTTGGGATGGCGATGCTAGCTCGCCGGCGAGACGGATAAAAGTAGCACCTGTTCCAAAACATCCTGATCCTATTGACATGCAGATTCCTATTCGTGGGGCCTTCGTAAGCGCAGAACCAGGTAGAAATGATCTGAAATCACGGAGGATAGCTCTCAATTTTTATTCCAGAGAGCGTTCCAGATAGTGCACCAAACTATTTCGACCCTCGTCACCGCTCAACATCCCCACTGTACTCTTCAAAGTCTCAAAGGATGGTGAACAATTATATCGAATAAAAGTCAAAAATATTGATTATCCAAGTCGATAGGATTTTGTTCACCTTGCGCAAGTAATCCAAGTCTCGGCCAAATTAATATGGATATTGACGATGGTCCCTCGCTTGATATTGAGCTGTCCAATGATGAAGATGTTTTTGTCCCAGCGGTGAGAATTTATGAATTTGAGATAAAGAATTGACGCTGATTCAAGGCTGGTGCATTCGTCAGTAAAGAGTTGCGAAGATCAGAGACGGCGTCGATTCTTTACGAGAGTCTTCGAAAGCCGAAAGAGCTGAGCCACTTGGAAAATAGAGAAGAAGATATTGATGGAATTGTTAGTTACAAATATAGACCTGTTTCTGACCTTTCATTGTAGCAAGAGATTTGCGAAGCCATCGAGGATTACGATGAGAACGAATTCGACGACTATATTGCTGGCCTTGGCTGATCCAATTCAAAATTCATTACCCTCTCTCTTTCAAAAAATGTACTTTTTCCTCCAATTCCTACTTTCTGTTTGATAGTTCCTAACCCTGTGCTTTTTCATATTGCGCAAAAATAACATGTTCAATCATCTCACCGAAAAACTTATTTAGATGGTTGTTATATGGACGGAAATATAGTGTTCAGGGCTGTTACCAGGGATGACTTGGTAAGATCGCCGAAAAACTGAACGAATAAACATTGTTTTAAGAGCACTCTGAGAGTTCTATGCGAAGAGCTCTTCCCCATCTCCTATCCTGACGCCTGGTACAATTATGTAACTGGCGGGGCAACAATTTCTGTTGGCGGTTTCATCGGCCACAAAATTGTTGCACTTGCCATTGGGGAAGTTCGTACTCGTGCTCAAGTTCAACCTGAAGATCATGGCCTTTTGCCGGGCAGTTATTACGATAACGATGAATTTCGTCTTGGTTATATCCTCTCACTTGGCGGTAAATGTATTCTGCATCGATTGTTATTAAAGCTTTCCTCAGTGAGTCAACAATACAGATGCCAAGGATTAGCTTCCAAACTTCTTGCTCAACAATTACAATTTTTCAAAGAGTTCAATTGTTCCTGCGTCTACCTCCACGTCCTATCGTCAAATACTGCTGCCAGAAAGTTTTACGAAAAGGAAATGGTTTTACGTCAATTGATCTTTCGGTTTGAAAATTGAAATGAAACCTTCAAAAGCGAGATTTCGTACTTCATCTTGAAATGCCCTATTACTACTCTATCAATGGAGTACCAGCCACTGGAATCTGTTACGTTCTGTTCTTCAATCACTCATTCTGGCCTGCCTTTGAATTTTGTGTCAACCTTTTTAATTCAGGAAAAGTTTGAGATTAGCTTACAAAACCTTAAATTGTTATCGAAGAATCTAGCATTAAAACTTGATCGAGAGCACTCTATACCTCCGTAAACGTCTTCCGACGGTTGACTAAATGGAACCGACAATGCTGCATGAACGCAAAAGGCCGTCTCAGTCAAACAAGCATTGTTTAGTTCTATTGCATATTTATATATTGTACCATTGTGAATAAACTCATTTCAATAATATTCTAACAAAATGACGTTGGTGAGTCGATTTCAAAGCTCATCTTTCCACGCTCCATCTTTGTAATGCAAGGCGATAGCTTCATCCTGTGTTGTTGCAAGCACAAAATCTAAAGGTCCCGTTTATAGTTTCACAAAAACAATATTTACCAGAGGATAGATTTTCTTTCGAATAAAACTGAATCAAATGTGCAAGAATTTCATCGTCAGTCATGCCTTCAGACGGCCAAAATTTCTTTGGAAAGAGCGGATCATCAGTCTTGCTACCGCGGATTCGCTCGTTGACAGCGTTGTGGAGGTTGTTAAGGTACAGAACTCCGTCTAATATCAACAGTTGTGTTTTTATTAGAAAATATTATCAACCTTTGTTTTTCTTAATTTGATCCTGGAAATTCTCTGTCGCTTCTAAAAAGTGCTCCCTGCAACTTGAGCAAGTGAAGAAAAGTCGAATGTATTCACGCATTGTCTTTAAAATTTCCAGAACTTCTCCCTCGTCATTTGATTGATAAGCTTGAACAGTGAGAAAATGCCACAACTGCCATTTCGCGCAAGGAAAGCCTCTGTATATTGGCTTCGAACCTGCGCAACCGACATATCGTTCCTTCGCTGGAAGGTATGCTCCCACGGAACCGTCTGCTCGTCTGATGAAATGTTTGTACATTTGCTGGTCGAGCTTTCCTTTGAACTGGTTGATGTCATCTTCGAATCTTGTCAAGAATGCTTTGATCAAAGGCCGTGCAGGGTAGTACTAAATTGTTTTTCTTCTCGTAAATTATTCCGAGTACCTTGTTTAGATAATTTAAAAAGCTCTTCAGTGTTGTGGATTCATCCTCGTTGAAAGTTTCGACAGCAAACATTTCCCTTTTGAGCATTTGAAAAAGTGCAGACTCAAAATCTTGATGATATAGTTTCGTGTGGTCAACGACATCTGTATTAACCGCATTCTGAGGCTTGAGTCGCTTTTCAGCCTCTATTTCATTGTCCAAAAGAACATACTCAGGCGCTTCGATATCATAACTTCGAAGTTTCTTGCGAATAAACGCTCGTTTAGCAAATCCAGGATAACGAATGATCTCAGCGATTTCTCCGTTCTTCCAAATCATGCAAAAGGGTTCATCATCAGCTGCTGTTCCATAAATCTTCTTGATGAATTCTTTTGTCGACGCCTCTTTCAAATTTAGCCGGCGAAATTGAATGTTCTTGTATCCTGCGTGATCGAGTAAAATAGTTCTAAAATGTAAACAACTTTATCATCTACTTCTTTCTACCTCATCGTCAGATCCTTTTTCTCCTCAAAGAAGACTGCGACAATCTCGTTTTCGTTGGCGTTTCTAATGACTTCTTCCATCGTTTCTACTTTGATCGGCTTTGTCGGAAGTTTACTCTGGTCCATCTTCGGAGAAATAAACTCGATCGCCATCTTTCGCACGTCAGCCACACTGGTTCCAGTCCATACAAAACCATCTTTTGAATGACTTGTAGCTTGATCGAGCTTCCTCTCCAGCCCTGGGTAATCCTTTTCCCTGTCCTCGTTTATGGGCGAATGAGGCGGAAAAAGTCGAAAGCTCGGAAACGAACGAATTTTAAATGGTTTCCGAAAGCAAATTTCTTGCGAAATGTCTCCTCCATCAGCCCCTTCTCCAGAGCAATCTATTGCTGCGATTCTTACGATTGGAGACCACTGCTTTATATCTTCAAAGGGATATCGAGAGTGACTGTAAGGGTTACTTTTTCATTTAGATTTATTATCCCGTGCCGAAAGCCAGTTTCTTGTATGTTTCAGAAAAAGATGCACAGTGCTCACACCATCTTGTATAAAATAAAACCAACCAGGCCGTATCAGATTCATAAATTTGGTCAAAATTCGTCGTATCAAGAATCACAATTCCGTCAGCCCATGAGAAGTGGTAACCAATCGGTATTTTCGGTCTTAATTCTGGTCCGTAAACAGGCCGTACATCCTCTGATAGAATAGCTGGAAGGATAAAATTCCAAAATTTCATCGCTCTCTTTTGAGGAAAATCTCAAGAGCGCGGCGAAAAGCAACACTTGAATAGGTTCCGGATTTAAGCCACGTATCCAATCGGTTGACGTAGAAACTCGTGTAAAATTAATTGATTGATATTTTATTAGAAAAACATACAGGTATAATACGAATGGCATGTATAAAGAAATAAAAACGCAAAATATGTTTACAGTATTTAGTTTACTTCATAAAGTTTGCAAGGAAGCCAAGACTCTGAGCATGCCCATCGTTCTCGTCGTGCTTCACATTCGTGTCGCCGATGATACTCATCATGTAGTGCTCACAGATGCCTTCGAGTCTCTCTGGGGATAATTCAAGATGGCTGTATTTTCCGGTTTTCAGACCAAGAAAAATATCTTAATTCAGTTATCTTCTGAGAGTTAATTCGAAAACTCACTATTCATGCATCTGGTGTACGCGTTGTTCAAATCATACAGTCGAACAGCTGTAGTTGAAGCAGCAAAAAATAACGATAATATCTTCATTTTTCTTTCTGCAATTATACTTTGATATAAAATATCATTTTTCTTCCTCCTTTATATACGACGAAGCTTAAATAATTTATAAGCCCACACGACAGGGAAGAAATTTGCTTACCGTCTTCGGAATGTTTTGTGGTTTCAAGTTCGTGGCAAGATTCACTTGAAGCAAGCAATTGACCTGAATGATATGGACAGGGATAAAATTCTTTGTAAGGCTGTGACTTAAGTTAATTTGGTTTTATGTTTGCATTTTTGTAGGCGAAGGGAAAATATTAACTCCAACACGCCAAGCCTCTCTTCACGCGTTTCTCATCCAACTTAAACGTCGTTCTGTTGAGGATTAAGAGAAAATGGCTGTTAATATTCCTGGATATACGTTTCAGAGATATTTAGGAAAAGGTGCCTTTGGGGCTGCGCTCTTGGTACAGAGAAATCTTGGTAAAAATCGAATAACCTTGAGATTTGACAAATATTTTTTTAGATGGAGGCTTTTTTGCCGCGAAACAGATTGCTTTTGCCCAACCTTCAGATGAAGAAGATGCTAGAAAAGAAGCGAACATTCTCAAAGACCTTGATTGCAATTTCATCGTTAGATACACTGATTTCAGCATAACACCAAAGTTAGATTGAAGCGTTGAACTTGATTATTTATTTATTTTTTTTCTAGCATTTGCTGCTATATTGTGATGGAGTTCTGCGACGGTGGCGATTTACAAGGGAAAATAGACCTTCATAAAAAGACAAAGAAGCCAATTGATGAGTCCTTAGTCGTAATTTGGATGGCTCAAGTAGGGCTTGCTCTACGCTATTGTCACAATCGAAATCTCCTCCACCGTGATCTCAAACCTCAGAATATATTTCTCATGAAAGATGGCATTTCATGCAAGCTTGGAGACTTTGGCGTCGCAAAATCTGTGGCTTCTACACGAGCATTAACCCAAACCATCGTTGGAACCCCGCTTAATTTCTGTCCGGAACTTTGCAAATCGCAGCCCTACACGAGGAGTGCCGACATTTGGGCTTTCGGATGTGCTCTTTATGAAGCAAGATTCCTTGATCATCCTATGGTTCCCCTTGATGGGACGCCTTTAAATATGATAACACTCCAGATTAATGTAAGACAATCAGGTTGAATACTTTTTCTTAACACAAATAGATTCTCAGCGGACAATATCCCCGGAAATCATGTGACATTGGGAAAATCGTTGATAGATGCTTACAACAGGATCCTAGCCGTAGAGCAGACATCACTGATATTCTCAATCATCCTAAATTCGCTCCAGTGACAAGAGATCTTGAGAATGGAATTCAGCCTGTCAACATCAGGCGAGCAGACTCTACTCCGGTCAACCCTAAGCAAGAAGCGATTCTCAGCGAATTGTCTAAGTTTCTTCAGAACAAAAAGTACCACAAATCTGAGAGCGACAGAATTGATCAGATGATCGAACAGGTCAAGTATCGAACGAGAGAACTTGAAGGAACTGTTCTGATAATTAATAACAAAAGTAGTTTTTTACAATGAAATATGTTTTTGAACAGTTAAAAGCGGAACGGGACCTGTGTCAAAGGGTTTTCACGGAAGCTCAGCGCGAAATGGATGTTTTTAGGCAAGCTCTTCTTGAACTTCAAAATCAAACCAGCAATAAAATGCCCATGGGAATGGTTCAAAATGAATGAAAATATTAGACGTAATTATTTCTTTCAAAAAAAAAAACAAAATAAACCATGAAAAGGCTTCGACCAAAAATACCCCCCAATTTCGCCATATCTCGCATCTCTCAGCCATGCTGATCAACGAACATTCCTTGACTTCAGTCAGCGCCGAAATAAAATTCGACAGGTTCTTGAGCTGAAGCAGAGGACAGAACAAGAACTTGCCTTCTACAACAACAGAGGAAAGATGCTGAAAGAAAGTGACGACAAAATCAAGATGCTTATTGAAGAGCTCGGAAGAGAATCCAACGATCGCGAGATGGTGAACAAATTGATGGAGCAATTGCACAGTGACCAGATGGAGGAAATTATGGAGACAGTTCGCAACCTGCCCGTCCAAACTGTTAGGAACCCGAGCTATTCTAGTGGCACTTTTCAGCGAACATACCAGCCTCCAGCTCCTCAACAAGTTACGAACACAGTACAGCGCTTTCCATATCAGTACTTTGCTCTTCCGATTCATGCCCAGGTAAATCATGTTGGAATTATTTGAAAATAATTTTAAAAATAGGGAGCAGGTTCAAAAATCATCGGAACAAGATATGTTGTCTTCAAAAATTCCGAAATTCATGCTCAGCTCGGTAAGAAGGGTAAAACGAAAACAAAGTAATGAGCTTTTAGATGTTATAAATGGAGGAAACACTAGAAGAGGTCGCAAAGGAGATCAAGATGTAGAGAAATTTTTGACGAAGCAGTCAATTCAGAGTATCCAAAGCCAAGCTACTGGAAAACATGACGGAACGGATGCAAAACCTGAAATAGTAAATTTTCTTTCAATTAGACATATAATTATCCGGAAAAAGGGATTCGTGAAATTTCCCAAGTTGACTTCGACAATGCGTGGCAAAAGCATGGTGGCAAAGTTCGTGTGCGAAATGACGGACAGCCTCGCAGCCCATCAAGCTCCTAAAAATGTAGAAAAAAATCCTGACATTGTTTTTAATAAAACTATTGCAATCCAAAATAATCAATGTGCGCTTCATAATTCCCTGATCGAATGAAATAAATACACCGTTATCGGATTAACTAGGAGCTGACACCTGATGTTCTGAATTCGAGCGGCACAAGGAGCCGCAGAATTTGTTCAATAAAGCCCTCAAAATGAAGATAAAACTCTTGTCGTTGTTCTGAATATCGAAAGTGAAGGGCCTCTCAGAGATGGATTACTCGCCACGTAAAAAGACAAATTACCCTGTCAACTCCCGGATAAATCCCTTTTTTTCGAATATTTTTGTAAAGTTCAGTTTCCAGCTCACTGAAGCGAACTTTTATTATTCCAGATAAGCGTCTGGATTCTGCGCATGGCTCGTGTTTCTTTCTACCTGCTTAAAAATAGAGCTTGTTTTGGGGTAAATGCATAATCCAAAGTACTTTATTCGCAAGAAGTTGCCTAAGGAGGTGCCAAACGATTTCCAAGTAAGTTTTTTTATGATGAAAATTTGCAAATTTAACGACTCTTATACTGATATATATAATATATTCGAAAATATCAATTTCAAAGTCCCAAATTTAAAAATATAGCGAATAAGAATTTCAGTTTTTAGGATTAAAAGTTTAAATTAAACTTAATTTAAACTGTTTAATTGTAAATTAATTCATTATTGATCGTAGTTGTATTCTTCTGATGGAAAGCAGATTCCTTGTAGATCCGCTTCGTTTTTATTGAACTTCTTTAAAATGCATGAAGAAGCACCTAGGATGGCCAGTTGCACCAGATAACGAGTTACGTAAGAGCGGCGCCGCTGGTGTTGACTCCACCGCCGCGCGAAACTTGAAAGACATCGGCCACATAATTTTCACGCAGGCGCTGTTTTCTACTTAGAGTATTAAACCGGCACTTACGGGCTAAGTACCGTCGAGAGAGATACTGAACGAAATAGAGAAGAGTATCACACAAATAATTTCGGGTAAGTTGAACTCATGAAATTACCGGCTAAGACTATTTTCACAATAAGCGCGCCGGGGCAGAAAATTATCGTAAAAGTTTGTTTCCTTCAGAATAAGTCGATTTCTGTAGAGCTATCATACCTTTATTTATCTAAAATAATTCTTAAAAAATGATGAAATGTAGAACCTTTGTAACGTTATTTAATCAACATCAAGATTTATTAATAAAAAAGAAAATATACTTTTATAAATAATATCAAGTGTAACCTTTAGACTAACCCAGATCATGTGAGGTCGTTTAAGATCAATTATTTTTATAAAAATATCATCGAAAAATGAGCTCTAAAATAGTGTTGATGGAAGATATCCAGCACAACATTCCATTTTTACTAGCCATAGAATGTGCGCTGCTAGATTCTTGTTCTCTCATCACGTGAGTGTTGTTCAGACCCGTGCGTGTTTGAGGGAGAGTTACGATCTGTGTGATGCGTTCTAGTTGCACACTGCTCTAGGCTTTCGATGTTCATTTCGATGTTCAAGTGGATGTTATGTAATAAAAACATGGCTGTAACCTAGTTTTTACGGTTGTGGATTAGTTTTCATTGAGCACAGTAGATAGTGGAAGCGATAAGATCATCAGATATCAGCAAAGTACTTGCCTAGCCCAAGAAAAACGGACAGTAAAGATTGTTTCGTGATAAAAGAACAAGTCGATAAAAACAAGACTCTGCCCCGCGGGAACATTCCGCGCGATCCAAGAAAGGTTCTGAGGAATTTCACTCTCTTGTTCAGCATAAATGGTTTACGGGTAACCTTTTAAAATTTAATCCAACCGCGATTCTCTCTCTTCAATTTGATGCAATGCGCGGGTAAAAAGGGCAGTGGCATTTCTGACCAGCGCTTGTGGGAAACATTGCGCTTGGGAGGTTTTGTATAAGAAGCGACAGTGAAATTGGATTAGGGATTCATTTGGAGCTAGAAAAGTTACTGTTTCTTTCGCAGACTGTGTGGGAAGAAAAGTTCGCCTTTTACAGTGTGTAAAGTTTACAGCGATCTAGTTTTTTTACAGATGCTTTTGTCCGAATTATTCTTATGAGATTCTCATGAGCGGTGTTAAAGTTTCGCTCATAAAAACTCGGAGCATAAAAGAAAGCGTGTCAAGCCAGATTCCTCAGTATTATTTCAAAGCTGAAAAATTAACAAGAAGGGCCATCCTTCTGAAGTTCTGATAATCAGAACTTCTGATTGACAGGATTTTTAACTGATAGTTAAGAGAATAACGCCGACTACCGTGCCGCATGACGGAAACTATCCGCGAAAATTTCTTTGACAGGAACAGTTCAGCAAGAATTTTTAAACAAAGAAAGTGAAACAATAATTACCGGACTTAATTATATTTTTCAATGAGCACTATTTTCGCATATGAAATGAAGATGGTTTTCACATATTAATTCACTAATTTTCGTTGAACTGTTACAGTAATCTAAAAGGAAGATCACCCGGAATCGCTGGATGGGCGAAGCAAAAAGCCACAGAAGCATGTAGGATGCGGCCTTGACTTTTCAGACAGCGCTCACGCCTCGGGCAGGGTTATTTCCTGCGGGCGTCTTCCTTGATATCAAGGATGAGAAACACATCTTATTGGCCCGTTCTCGAAAAAGGGAGCCAATTAGAATAAACGGAGAAAGACGGGATATAACGCCTTTTGTTTCAAGATGATTTTAAGCTTGCAATTTGTAATTTAATAACATGAAAATGCTAAAACTAAGAGATTCGGAGCCCGAGCGATATAGAGACCTTGAATACAGGTATTCTTCTTGATAAATTTTTAATTCAAAAGAAAGGCAATTAATTCCAACCGACGAGTCTTCCCGAAAAAAGTCTCGATCGCAAAAAAGTCTGAACACATTGAAATCGTTCTTTCCGATCACAAACTGGATTGGCGACTATTCGAAGGATAAAGCTGTCGGAGATGTTACAGCTGGTCTCACCGTTGCACTTACTGTCATTCCTCAATCCTTAGCGTACGCGAATTTAGCCGGATTGCCTGTTCAATATGGATTGTATGCTAGTTTCATTGGTTGTTTTATTTATTGCGTGATGGGAACTTCGAAGGATATCACCCTGGGACCCACTGCTATTATGTCGCTTATTGTTGGGTGAGTGCTTATTTTAGTCCCTTTCATTAATCCTCTAGGTCTTATGGAGCCGTTGAGTGGTACGATGATCCTGTAAATACAACCGATCCTCGTGCAGCCATCCTTTTGACAGTAAGATGAATCGTTGATAAAAGGGATGTCAAAACGATTTAGTTCTTTTCCGGCTTCATTGTTCTGGCGATGGGTATATTCAAGCTCGGCTTCTTGGTTAACTACGTCTCCCATGCTGTAATTTGCGGCTTCACCTGCGCCGCATCCATCATTATCGCTTTCTCCCAAATGAAAAAGCTATTAGGACTCAAGAATATTCGACGGCACTTTTATGAGGCTATTATTGATGTTCCAAGGAAGGGTTCAAAAGCATTCTGATTTTACTCTACAAATTAAGAGTTACTTTTAACAACCTATCAAAAGAAACTTGAAGCATACAAAATGGCAAGATCTCGTCATTGGCCTCGCGTGCATGGTCGTCCTCAAGACCCTTGAACTGACGAAGCGAAAATACACCAATCCGGTCGAATCTGATTCCAAGACAAAGGCAGCTTTGCGAAAAGGGCTTTGGTTTTTGTGCACGGCGCGTAATGCCGTCATCATTGGCATTGCACTTGGCATTGGTGCCGGACTTGATCCGAACGTCACGCACAAGCCATTTACGCTCACTGGAGAGCTCGTGCCCGGGTTGCCTAAACCAATGATGCCGGAATTTTCAGGCGATTATTGGGTCCCCGAAGATGTCAAAATTGCTCTTGAAACGGTCCCCGAAACTGCTCATCATCGAAGAAAGCGAGAAGAGGCAACAAACGATCCCGCAGCAATCGATTCGCGCACTGGCAATGAAACCCATGAAGAAGAGGAATACCAAAGATGTGGTCCAGATGTAGAAGGAAAGTGGATTATTTGAGTCTTTTATAAATTCATTTTCTGAATCTTTTTATTGATCCTAAAATAGGTTGCGTTTTAATGCACGTTCCTGCATCAATGATGATTGGAAAACTCATATCTGGCATCTTCATTGTCGCCATCATGGGCTACGTCGAATCGATCGCCATTGCCAAGGCTTTTGCTCGGAAAAATAATTACAAAGTCGACCCTGGACAAGAACTCTACGCGATCGGAGTCGCGTCAGTCATTGCTAGTTTCTTCCATAGCTATCCGATAACAGGAAAGAGTCAAACGATCTCCAAACACGATGTGTTCTCGTAAACTGATCTTGACTTTTTAACAGGTTCCTTTTCACGAACTGCTGTCAACGCTGCTTCGGGTGTTCAAACACCAGCTGGTGGAATCATAACCGGCGTTGTTGTTCTCATTGCGACCCAATACCTCACTCCAATTTTCAAATACGTTCCCTCAGCCGCTCTTGCCTCGGTCATTATGTTATCCGCAATCAGTATGTTCGACACCGACGGAATCAAGCACGCGTACCACGTGAATAAAATGGATCTTATTCCTCTCTTTGTCACCTTTGGTGTTTGTTTCTACGAGATCGCCATCGGAATCGCGGCTGGCTTGATGGTTTCTATTGCTATCGTCTTGTACCCTCATGCTAGGCCTAAGTTGGAAAAAGACAATGTTGATGGTGGAAAAGGTTGCATCATCAAATTAGACAGAGGCTTCGATTTTCCTGGCGCTGAGTATTTGGAAGATACGCTCATCGCTGCGGCTACTTATGGTTAGTGAGACATCATTTCATATTTAGAAACTTTTTGTTCAGGCGGATACAAATGGATTGTTTGCGACCTTTCAAAGATCTCCCATTTGGATCTCGGTGCCGTAGATGCCCTGCACACAGCGGCGCAACAATGCAAGAGGAAGAATGTCTGCCTCCGAATCGTACTACCTCAAGAAGATCTCCACAAAAAACTTATCGCTGGCGGCGTTGATCGGGAAACGATGTCGCTCACTTTGGGAAGTGCCTTGGTTCAAGTTGGAAAACAAACGGTATGCTGAGATTTTGAATTGTGTTGAACTGTGTGTCTTTTATGTATCCATAGCACATTCATAAAACAAAGTATCAAAATTTTATTTTATGCATGTGTATGTGACTTCATATTATTCATGGGTTTTAAATGTTTCTAAAGGGGACGATGGCCAATGATACGAGACGACGATCTCGAACATCTGAATCTGAAGGGTAAAGTCAACAAAAAAAGCATCAGGTTCTGGATTTTCCAGCCTCTTTGCTTGAAAATTTTCATGGTCGACTAATTTTTACCAAAAATTTTTGAATAAGTTTTTGGATAAACTCATCGCGGTGTCTGTTTTCCTACTATAGAAATTTATCAACTGACACTTTTCTTCAGAAAGGCAGTCCCGAGCAACACAAACGAACAGTCAAAAGTCTAGATCAAGATTCTTCACAGAAGACGACTGATTTATCGGTCAGTGACGAGCGAGATCTCCGGCCACGCAAGAATCTCTTCGTGGAAGGCCCTATCCTTGGCGAAGCCACTGTTTAGCGTTATTTTATGATTAACCACTTCTACCACTCTCTTTTTCTGACTTTAAACTGTATTTATCTCGCAGTCCATTTCAAGAATCTCACTGATATACAAGCAATTTTCTGATGTGTTACTAATACAAACAAAAGGTTCACTTATTAAAAAATAAGCTCGGTTTATTCAATTTTTGTCAGGAATTTTTTTTTTCTCAGGACTTGTTACAGTAAACATATCTTCTTGATCGTCATTCATAACTCGGAATTACGGTATTTTCGTAAAGAGAGGCGTTATTATTCGAAGAAAACAGTTGCTTCCTGAATTTGTCGGCCACTTGTTTATCAGTTAGGGCGAGCTCGTCGATTATGGTCGTGATTTTAATTTCATCTCCCTGCATTTGGGCACCACGAGCGTTGAACAAAATGTATTCTTGAGCGACAATGTTCTTCAACTCAAATGTTGCACTAAGTTGTTGTCGTCGGCCAACAAAACCCATTATTCGTTCTGTGTCGATGATGCTGAGGTTTTGGAGGAAGTGAGATTGATTTTGTTCAAAGTCTATTTTTTGGTACTCTTGCGATTTTTTTATAAATATATTTATATGTATCTTCTATCGATCTACCCATCAATGAAACCATTTCCTAAGTTCATAACTGTTTCATCTTCAACTGTCGTAAGTCTTTGGATATTCTGATCAATGAAATCTTTTTCTCGGTTAAATTCGCTGCAAAAATATTCCATAAATCTTTGCTCCTCTTATTTCAGTTCAGAAAAGCTTAGTTTTTTGGTAGACAAGATCTTTTGAACTGTTCCTTTAAGTTTTTGTAAATGCTGACGAAGTTCTTCAGTCAATTTATCGATTCTGCTGCCTTCAGATTGATGAAAAATTTTTGTTTCTAAGAATTTTTTGAGTTTATCTGATATTTCCTCTTCTTTTGGGTTCCTTTTCTTTTCAAGCCGATTCATAATTTCTGTCGGAGCGAGTCCATCTTCAAGTCGCCGTGTTACTTGATTAAAAACTGTGTTTTCTAAGACTTGATCAATTTTGGGTCGCTTTGCTGGATTCATTCTCAGGCATTCGTCGACTAATTTTCCAAAATCGCAGCTTTTCTTCGCGTATTTTACCCCCATAATCTGAATGCTCAACTTATTATTTCTATTTTCGAAAAAAACTTACATCGTCAATGACTTTGTTATTGGATTTTCCTTCTTTTGAAAAGGGGTGTTCCAAGAATTTGCACTCAAAGAGAGTGCAACCAAAGCCCCACACGTCGGTGGTATCGGAATAAGGCTGCCCGAGCATGCATTCTGGAGGTTTAATGCATGTATCTTCGAACTCAGTGTTTGCAACTGGATTGCTTGCGGTGAGAATTTTAGCGATTCCGAATCCGCCAAGCTTTGGTTAAGGATCAATCAGAGTCTTGATTGATCTTTGAAGAACCCCTCTAGACCAGAAGTTTAATTATGTACACACATTCAAATATTGACCCTTGGCTTGCAAGTAATGCCGTCCGCCATGAGAAAAATGTTCTTAGGCATGACATCTCGATGTAAAATTCGTTTGTTGTCAACTGTTTTATGGCAGCGTTTCAGTGCCATGGCCACTTGAGCCATCCAAATTGAGACCAACTTTTCATCGAAGGGTTTGTCGAGTTTTTGTTGGGATTCAATCCTTCTTTTCAAGCTCCCTCCGTCACAGTATTCCATGATGACGTGCGCTTTCCTAATAATTTATCAAGCATTGAAAACTAAAGGGAGTCTTGCCATTGATCTTTCGGTATATAATCCGAGTACTTGACCACAAAATCAGATCTCAAAGATCTTAAGGCTTCAATTTTTTTGTAAGCATTCTGGAGATCTTGAGCATTGGACCAAGGAACCGATTTTGCTATGTATTTTGACTTGTCTAATGAAAATGGTTTTTTATTTAATTTTCTTTTTAAAAAGTACCTTTCGATACGAGTAGAGTCGGGCCGTAGCCTGCTCCTTTTCCTAGATATTTTTCTATTTGAAAGTCAGGAACTTTTAATCCATTCAATCGTTCATCGTATTCGTTCTCATCTTCTGATTCTTCTGATTCTGCTTGTGCTGCCCGTTTTCGATCGTCTCCTTCCAAAATACCAATAGGCAAGCACCCATCTTCCAATTTTTGAGATACACCTTTGAAGAGCGGTTTTTTAAGAATTTCCCTCATTTTTGGCCGCTCAGCTTGATCACTGAAACAGCCTTCGATTATTTCTCCAACATAGGGATTCGACCATGCTTTTGAATAGGTTTTCGACATGACCTAAGAAATAATCTAAAAGATTTTCCGTCAAGACAAACTTACATTGTTCTCGATGGTGTTCAAGCTCTCATTACCATTTGGGGAAAATGGATGACTCAGAAACAAGCTTTCATACATTGTGCATCCAAAAGCCCAAATATCTGCATCGTAAGAGTATTCTTTCCCTTTGTACAGTTCCGGTGAAAAATTTTTTCTTGTTCCTGTCTGCGTATCAGCCTTCTGATTAGTGTAGTCAAGTTCTCTCGCAATACCAAAGTCGCCTAGCTTTTATCAAGATCATAAAATTGATTATTCTGCTGCAGAATTTCTGAGGAGCATGATTAAGATTTGCATAATTTTTCTTTGGCACCCTCACAAAGAAATTGAGAAGAATTTGCTTAATGTCTCTTATGGATTTATTGGCCTTATTGAATAAGGCGGAGATATTTATTTATTGGGAATAAAGAGATATGGCATGAAAATGGTGTTATTTCAGAGTTATTGCAAAGAGATTGTCTTCTTGTCGTCTATCCCGATCTTGCCTTTGTCATACTTTTCCTTCCACTCTTCGTATTCTTCCTCGATCTTATCTGGGTCAGATAAGTCAGCGACAAAGCCAAGTACATATTTTTGCAGGGCTTCTTCGTTTCTGAAAACGCCCGGTAATTCTATTTGAAAATCTTGGGCGCTTTTCTGAAAAAGAAAATATTTTTGATTGGAAGTTATTGTGGGTAAATTTACCTTCGGAGCATCTTCTGGTAGTACTCTAAATGTGCCGTCACCGATCCGACCATTTGACATGCTCGTTCCGTAATGAGCCGAATTTTTACTGAAAAAAACTATCAGTGGTACGATTCAGATGAAGCTTACCTTTGAATGACTCCGTAGGAAAGAACGGAAATTGAAAAGATCAAAGATAGACAAACGCTTACGAATTTGATCACCTCCAGCCGCAGTTTCTGAAATAGAGTTTTGTAGTTCTTATTAATATTTTTAATGATTCTTCAGCTTTAGTAAACGTAACTTTTCGAACCTTGAGAATTTCTTTCGATTGAAGAGTTCTTGACTCGGGCATGATCTTTATTTTAGTTCTTATTTTTGAAATCTCAAAAAGTCGTTTGTGTTGAGAAAAGATTCGATGTTTTCTTTGAATGTTTTACGCTTGAAGGGATTCCTCCTGGTGTCGCCCTTTTTAACAAGCTAATTTTCAAAACAATTATTATATTGCTGTTGCTAAAAAGTCATAATCGAGCGCTCTGATGGTGTTATCTTAGAGTCTTTGACGATAAATTATGGAACAGGGTTTTAAATAGTGCCCCAAAATATGCATCCAAATTGTCACATTCTATACTAGTTTTTTGCCATATTTTTTACTAAATATTTTTTACTTCCAAACTTCTGAAGCAAGCAGTTAGTCACCATGGAAACGAGAGCGTTCAGTTTTTATCTCGTTTCTTGTGCTTTTTCTCCGTTAAAATTTTGATCCACAAAAATGGGAAGTATAAATATCCTCGAAAAATCAATCTCGAGTTGCAAAGAGAAGTCCGTCTTCTAAAGAGTACGTCGAAGAAAGCAGATCCAGTGGCACTTTTAGGGCCCCATCAGACTGCCCTGAATAGGATAATACGCGAAGGAAGGGAAAAATGATTTCTTAGAATTTTTTAGTTTGAGACCTATTTTTGTCATTTTTCCAAGTGAAGGCGATTAAACCTGCTTTGGCTTCAATCAAAAATGCATACGACAAGTACGTTCATAAAGTCAGTCTAATAATCTATCCTCAGTGTCTTTCATTCTCTATTGGAACAAGCGGAAGAAATTCCAATGCTCAAGTCGACTCTAGCTCGGTTAGCAGACGAAAAAGATCAAGCGATGATTGAGTACTTTGAAGAGTTAAAGAGCGTCAAAAAAGAAAATGAGCGCGAAAAGAAAGAAATTCAGGCTGACCTAAAAAAATCCGAATTGAGTCGGTTGGACCAAGAAGAAATCATCAGAAAGTTGAAGGAGGACATGGGGACTTTGTACGAACAGTTTTTGGAAGAAAAAGCATCGAGGCGACTTTTGATTACTGATTTGAACAGCAGAACACAGGAGGAACAAAGAAAGGAAATGTTCAAATTATTATTTAATCGAAACGTTGCTGATACTGTACTTAACATTATAAAGGAAGACAAAATTGAAACAAAAGACCCCGTTCATCTGGAAATTGCCCGCGATCAAGCTCGCAAAGACCTGGCTCTTGCCCGCGAAGAGCTCGCAACCATCAAAGCTGAGTACAACGACGTCGTCCCCAGAAAACTCTGGGAAACAGCGGAGAACAACTTGAAAGATGCAAATCAAGAACTCGAGGCTTTGAAAAAGGATCTTTCTGAATTGAGTGGCAACTTTTCTGTCCTGAAGTCGACGTATGACAGTGTCGAAAAGGAAAGAAACGAAGTTGTTATTGAACGCAATGAATTGAAAAGAACTGGTACTCCAAGGTATGTTTCTTTGATAAAAACTTGTAATTCTTTTTCTTTGATATTTTTTATCTCATTTTCATACAATCGATTGACATATTTTAGAAGGCGTTACATGTCAAGAATTGCTCTTTATCGACATGATCGTAGTTTTCAATAAATTATCCAATTTCAGACCCGACTGGGAAGCAATTTATGAAAAAACCTTCGACGAAAAATTTGGCGATCCCGAACTTTCATCCGATGCCCGAACAAAACATCTGCTGGATGAACTAACAAAAAGCCGGGATAATACGGAAAAGGATTATTTCACTTTGCCAGTAAGTACTTGATTCAATAACTTTTCATTTTAAATTATTCAAGGAGGATCAAAGCGATTTGCCTGCGTTTTTGGCAAGTGAGGAGCGAAAAGAAGTCAAAAATCTTAAGGAGCGATTTTATACCAATCTAGATGTTTATCAAGCAATTTCAATGATTTAGAATCATGCATAGCTAACTATCGAAGATTGCAATGAAATCAAGGAGGAAATTTGGAAAGAACGACTTGCAGAAAATGACGACGAAGTTGACAAAATCGACATCTTTGTCAAGAATTTTTTGTCGAAGAAATTCAACTTCTATGCTCTCGATTTCGGCCATTCGCTTCGAGCAGCAGCAGAAAAATACGCAGACTTACCTCATATCACCGATTTCTACGAGATTCTAGCGGGGTTAAAGCCGGAGCAAGGGTTCAAAAGAATTGTGGAGCAATCATCCAATCTTCTTTCCGGTAAAATTGATGCAAATCATGCCTAAGAACAATTGATTCTTTCAAGCACTTCAAAACGTCGACAAACACAAGAAAGGATATGTTCTTGTCTTCGACTTGAAAGTAGAGCTTCGAAAGCTTTTCAAATTGAAGCCCGACGAGCACATGGAGATAATTGCTCAATTTGCGGAGGAAGATAAGGTACTTTAAATTAATACATTTGTGTTGAATATAAATAGACTCATTGATTTTATCCAGGATAAATTGCTTTATAATGCTATTATTAGGCTATAATTTTAAATTATAGCACATAAATACCTATTTATATTTGTTATAATTGGTATTTGTAATAATTGCACTACGTGAATACCATAACGCTATTCTCATGTCTTTCTGACTAATGCGGCTAAATTTTTCTCTTGCTCTAAGCCGCAAGCAGCTTCTCGTTTTTAGCCGTTTTTCTACTCATAATTCAAGCAAAGATTAGTCAGACAGAAATAAAAATCGCTCTATTTTCAGTTCTACTATGGAGAGCTCTTTGAAAATGGTCCAAACGGTGAGCCATCAAAAATGATGTCCCTTCTTGCAGAACAAGACGAAAAGGAGAAAGATATCTACGTCGAGCAGCTTTCCGTCCAATTAGAAGGAATAGACTCTGTTGGCCCTGCTGAAGCAAAGATTGCTTTTATGTCCGTCGATCCTGGAATCAATGCCGAACTCATCAATAAATACATCAAGGTCAACAACAGTTGTCAATCGCTTCAGTGTTGACTTTCTTTTAGATTGGACTGAAAGATGCGAAGAATCTACCCGCTGAAGAATTTTTGACAAATTTAAAGAATGGGCCTGTGTATAGAATATCCCCAGCTGTAGAATTATTTTGAATAAATGAATAAAAGACATTCAATTTTCACAGAGATCGTCTGATGAGATCTTCCGGAAAGATTCTTCCCTGTTCTGCGATACGAAACAATTTTGACGGTATGACTTTTCACACGGGTAAATCAACAATTAATCGCATGTGAAAATAGCTTTTTTTATCTATCATTTAGTCATATACCGGGTGGAATATTCCCTCCGACAATTCATTTAGCTCATATTCATCTTTGTATAGGAAGAAATAGACACCATCAGTGCTAAAAATCGTGAATCACAAGTTGAAAATGGAAATGTTTTCTATTTTCTGTATGAATCGCCATGTTACTAGGTCTTGACCCGAGAATAGACAGAACTTTGCCTAGGGCCTGGCTGCGTAGCGAGATCTAAGTACTTGTCAGAATACGCCCGGGCAATTCCGTTCCTGACGAAAGCCCGGGGTCATTCCATGCAGTCGTCTTCGGAATCATTGCACTCTTGCGAATTGCATCTAAACAATTCCAAAGTCAATTAGCACTCGATTAAGTGGCGCAATAAGAAATATAAAATCCTTGCCATCCAAATATTGTCTAAATTTAGGATGATGATTTGCTAAAAGATTTGCAAGAGAAATAAAGCATGAATATCGCATATCGATCAAAGAAAAAATAAATCGAGATCTAAGCTTTTTTGTAAATGAATAAGGATAAATGCTTGAGGAACTTACCAAATTCAACGTGCATTCAACTAATCCAGGAGGTCGGATCGACAGGGGCGCGTGGTGGCGCCAGGCAGCGCAGAAAGCGGGGGATGAAGCGGCAAAGTAGCGCAAGAAGGAAAACGACAGAGCCTCTCAGAATAAGGTCAGCACATTCTAACCGTTAAGTTCAAGAAGAAGAGTTAAAAACAAGACTAAGAGAAAAATTACGTAAAAGATGAAGGGAATTTTTGCTTTGTTGACGGTCGCGCAGGCGGCGCTCATCTTCAACGATGATCATATCGACCTGGCGAAGGTCGACTACGAAGATGTTGGACTTTTGGCTAGGTATGCAGGGATTTTGAAAGGCCTTTAAAAAAAAAAATGAAATTAATCCATTGATTGATCCCTGAAAATAAAAAATATATTTTAGGTTTGCTCGTCAAATAGAAACGGAAGGCAGCGGTGTTGATGATCAAATTGAAGAAGAAGTCAACAAAATCGAACCTGAAACGTCTTCTACAGTTGAAGAGAGTGCCAGCACCTCCTCCACCGGTAAGTGGCCACTTTTTAATCTGTCAGAGTCTTTTGTTGTCACAAGATTGATTGATAAGGATCAGCTTTTCACGTTTTACTAGAGAAGGTGAAATTTTTTCTCAGCGAAGAAAGAAAGTTATCATAACCAAGGCTTGAATCTGAAGTAACTGAAATAAGCCTTCTCACGTATCGAAAATAAACACGAGATGCTCATTCCAGTGCTGCATCACTATTCTGACAGGCAGCGCTGGAAAAAAAGCACCAACCAGATTGGACCGGTCAAGACTGGTCCAACCTTTTTTTGTTATTATGTAAAATTGAATACCGTTTTATTAGAAACCTAAGAAAGATTAGAAGAAGCTCAGAATCGCGGTCATTTGACCTCTGGGCTTTAGATTCTAGCGGTGGCGCGTCACGTTCATCCACCGCCGTGAAATTTCGAATCGCTTTCGAAAAGGAAAAATGCCTCAGCCGACCGATTTTTATTAAATTAGCTTTTTCATGAAAGCGTCAATTTAATTATCGCTCATTCAGACACAGAAGAAGACGTTGGCGATACCGAAGTCCTTGAAGATGGAGTCACCGAGAAGCCAAACGATGACCCAACTGCTGATGCCAACACAACAACAACGACCGCAGCTCCAGACAACTCATCAACTGCATCTTCCACTACTCAAAAAGCAACAACAACCAAAAGTCCAAGCTCCTCCGGACAAATGAACACCTTCACCTTTTTGCTCCCAACTATTCTTGGCGCTCTCCTTTTGCTCTAGTCGCTTTACTACGAGTTATTTGTTCAATTTAATTATTTTGAAGTTCATGTTTGATCAGTTTTTGAATATCAAAATCTTGAAAACTAAGACTCTTTCGTTTCTCTTACATAATTTCATGTTGGAATTCAAGCGTCTTAGTTTTTATAAGCCGAAAATGCCAAATTTCTTGTCTCCAAAAGACCGCTAAATTAGTCGTTTATTTGTCACGCAAATAATCAATTTATTCACCAAATTCTATTTCGGCGCCCAGTTTTTATTCTATTTCTATTGATATACATTTCTAGCTGTACAATATTTCAAATCAAACAATACAAAAGAAAATCTCAAGTGTTTAGTTTTAATAGCAGGTTCATTTTCATTTCAAAGAGTTGAGCGATATTTTGGCTTCTCTTTTGATGTTTTTTCTATCAAGCCGGGATCTGAAAACGTCATCGCAGATAGCTCGATAAATCAGAAATTACCGAAGAGTAAGATAGATTAAAAAGCAGTAGAAGAACCCAAATAGAACATGCCAGCAAGTGATGAAGATGGAGACGAATTTCCAGCTTGGCTGGGCTTTCAAATCGTTTGGCACTCGTTCATTCACCCATTTTTGAATAAACGTCGTTTCCTCATTCTGCAGTCTATCTGATGCTTCTATAAAGTACTGGACGTGGCTGAAAAAGAAAGATCTTTTTATGAAAAAAGATTGGACGCACCTTTCTGCGCTCAAATCTGGACGCTCAAAGAGCTCCCGTTCATCTTCAGAAAATGAGAAAAGCTATCGAAAGACTCCTTTATTATTTGAAAATAATGCTGTTTTTTTATTTCGGAGTCTTTTCTTTCCAGCTATGGTTCCATCATTGATCGCTGGAAATTCAAGCCAGGTTTCCGTGGAATTAAACAAATGCGGACAAGGTCTTTTGTTCTTATTCATTACATAGCCACCAGCTTGATCTTTATAGCAATCTCTGCCGATGCAGATATGCCACTCGCAGCCCAAGTCTGTGCATGACTTTGCATAGAGCCAATACTCACTTTAGCAGGCTTCAAATCAGCAGACGTCAAATCAATATATACTTTTTATCGGCCTTTCTTAGAGTACTTGAGTCCAAATTTGCCGAATATGCCTGTTTTCCATTAACCTTTATGATAAAAATCGAACAATTGAAATCAAGGATGAAGAAGCAAACCTGAGCATGAGCGTCCCATCTGTAAGTCGAGTTCAACATAGAAGCTGTTGGGCTTAGATTCTCGGTCAGGTTAACTGGAAGATCTTGAGAAAGGGGGTCTTTGAAGTCCTCGAATAGACTGAACTCTGGGTTCTGGTCAGGACTGAGCTCGACAACCTGTGTGGAAAACCTGACTCAGGATCTGAGAGATCGCTTCTTTAGTCTTTCAGGCCCTGACTCAGGTTTTCAACACAGGTTGCCGAGCCCAGTGTCAGGTAAGTCCGGAAATGGCAGATTTACAGTAGTTCCATCGTCTCGAGTAACATCCGTGCTCGTTACCGGTATTTTGAGAGGCCAATTCGTGTTGGCATTGAATCGATAGCCAGAGTAGCAACCTGATAATTGAAAAATAATAGCTCCTATTTCACGACTGAGTTGACATGCCTTGACTGTTTGCAGAAGAGAAAAAGGAAATTAAAAAAGTAGTGAAAGATCTCATTTTCTCAAATTATCCAAGAATAAACGCACACTTAGGCCCGCCATAATTGTTTTCACAAATGATTAACGATCCCCCTTTGAATAGAATTTGTGAGTTCTTTATTTTTATAGCATATCAATACCAGAGCATTCGAGAGTAATAACATTTTCAGTAGTTGAATTTTTTGAATTGGCAGTGCTTGAAACGCGCTTTCGACCGCTGGCCTTGGCGATCTTCCGGAACGCTTGAAGATCAGTGTCGATCTCGTTGTCTGTCAGATGATAAACGATGGCTGGAAATTAGGATTAAGAAAATTAACTGGAAAATTTTCTTACAAGGAAGCTCAGCCATGGAGTTTCGTCTCTTCTTTTTCGCGATCGGAAAGGCGAATTTCGTCTTCCGCGATTTCTTGAGACTTTCCCTGAGTTCGAAGAGCTTTCCTTCCAGCTTATCCGCTAGTCGTTGCTTTTCTACAATAAATTAACGATGAGTAGGAGCCAGAAGAAAAGGCAATCTACCTAATTTTTTCTTATTCGCAGCAGTTTGCTCAATCGCTAGAATTTCCGCTTTGCTCCAAGTCGAAATCTGTTTTAATTTGTGTTCCTTCATGCTGATGATGTACTTTTTTCGCGCAGAAATATCTTTCTCCAGATCGCGAATTTTTGCGCTCAATTCGGCGCTTTTCTTGGCAGGATCTGAATAATAGACTTGAGTGATAGAAAAGATTGCCTTGAAAATATCTGACTGAATTCGGCATTGAATCAAGGTCGTGGCGAGCTTTTGCCGGCGCAAAAATAAACTTTCGAAAAGAGAAAGAGAGAAAACGTCGATTTTCGAAGCAAAAATAGTTTGAAAGCGGAAGAAGGGTTTTTCTTTCGATATCTATTGAAAGTTGTCATACCTCTGAGCTCTTTGAGTTTCTTTTCGTAAAACTGATGTTTTTCCTTGAAAAGCATCTGTTTCGTGACGGCGAAATTATGTTCCATCGAAAGCAACGCAGATTGCAGAAGTTCTCTTTTTCTAGGCATCTCTTCCGTTGAATCCATCTGCTCTTCTTCTGCCTCTGAAACCTCTGAGTAATCCATTTTCTCCATCCTCTTTTGAAGACAAAAATAAGCGAAAAATTGAGCGAATTTGTGAAACGAAATTGAGCGCGGCGCGTCGCGGAGAATGGAGATCAACCGACCAATCAGCGCTGGTTCCTTTTTAGATGAGGGAAAAGGGCGTTGCCCGTCTAAAAATGCTCTAGAATGGCCTAGCATCAATTTTTATAGCCTTTTTGCAATCTCAACAGAGTCACTAAAGCAGCGCGATTGTCACTTTTTCTGTTATAATTACTTTTGAGAGGAAACATGAGTGAAGATACCAGAGAATTGCTTATATATTTTAATTATTCGATGTTATTATTTTAAGACTGTTGGAAATGCTTCGCCTTAGCCACGGAGTCCGACGAGCATCCCTTTACGAAGGTCGACTCAAGTACCTTCTCAACAATGAGTGGAGAGAATCGGCTGCCACCGAATACATTCCCGTCCACAACCCAGCTACCCAGGTATTCATCAACAAAAATCTCTCTTTGCTCAAGACATTTCCTAAAGGAAGTCGTCTGCGAAGTTCCAAAAATGCCCCTTTCGGAGATGAACGCCGTGGCTGAATCCTCCGCCGAAGCATACAAAAGCTGGAAGGAAACCTCCATCCTCTCAAGACAACAGATCATGCTCAAGTACCAGCAGCTCATCAAGGAGAACAAGACCGAAGTGGCCAAGCTCATCACCAAAGAACAGGGCAAAACTCTCGCCGATGCCGAAGGTGATGTTCACCGAGGTCTTCAGGTTGTCGAACACGCCTGTGGAATTCCCTCTCTTATGCAGGAAAGATTTACAAAAGATAACATCCATTTCTTATTCTCAATTAATCTGAAGATAATCTTGTGTAATCTCTAAAGGGCGAAACCCTCCAGGGTCTCTCCAAGGACCTCGACATCAAATCGTACCGAGAACCGCTCGGTGTCGTTGCTGGCGTGTGCCCATTCAATTTCCCGCTATGATTCCCCTCTGGATGTACCCAGTTGCGCTCATGTGCGGAAACACCTTCATCATGAAGCCATCTGAGCGAGTTCCTGGTGCTTCTACTCTTCTTGCTCAGCTTTTGATCGACTCTGGTCTTCCAGCTGGCTGCCTGAACACCGTTCACGGCTCTCACGACTGCGTCAACTTCATCTGCGACAATGAGCACATCCGAGCCGTCTCCTTCGTTGGTGGTAACGGCGCTGGTGAACACATCAACAACCGAGCTGCTGGAGGCAACGGCAAGCGAGTCCAGTCCAACATGGGTGCCAAGAACCACGGTATCATCATGCCCGATGCCAACAAGAACGCCACTCTCAACCAGCTCGTCGGTGCCGCTTTTGGAGCTGCTGGTCAGCGATGCATGGCCCTACCAGTCGGTATCTTCGTCGGAGAAGCTCGAGAATGGATCCCAGACTTGCTCGAGATGGCCAAGGATCTTAAGTGCGGCCCCGGACACGAGGCGGGTGTCGATGTAGGACCAGTTATTTCTCCACAGGCGAAGGAATACATCGAAGGAGTTATCACCCAGGTACAATTTTTCGATCTTTCTTATTTTTACTTCGACTCTAGTCCGTTGCTGACGGCTGCCACCTCCTCCTCGATGGCCGAAACACTACCGTTCCTGGCTACGAGAAGGGTAACTTCGTCGGCCCAACCATCATCACTGGTTGCAAGCCCGGCATGCGAGCTTACGAGGAAGAGATCTTCGGCCCCGTTTTCTGCACCGTCGAAGCCGAAACTCTTGACGAAGCCATCGCCCTTGTTAACAGCAACCAGTGGGGTAATGGTACCGCCATCTTCACCAACAACGGTGCCACAGCTCGAAAGTTCCAGCATGAGATTCAGGCTGGACAGGTAGGAAACCGTCATCCCTTTCAATTAATTTCATATTTCCAGGTCGGAATCAATGTCCCAATTCCAGTTCCTCTTCCAATGTTCTCCTTCACCGGTAACAAAAAATCTTACGTCGGCTCTGGTCACAACTTCTACGGCAAGGCCGGTGTCCATTTCTACACCCAGCTCAAGGTGAGTAACAACCCTTACGTAATCCCCTTTCACCTCTCTCTGAGACTTTACTAAATTAAATTTTAGACCATCACCGAACTCTGGAGAGCCGAAGATGCCACCGAGCTCAAGGCTGAAGTCGCCATGCCTACAATGAAGTAAACCCGTTCAAAAATTCAAGTCCCGTTCTCATTCATTTTCTGCAATCAAAAAATTTCAAGTTCAACCGTTCTATTTAACTTCGCTGCCCGTAAACATGTGATATAAGAAGATAATCTTTTAAATTATCCCAGAATTTACACCTGTGGCCAGAGATTTTTGCCAGTTCTTTATTTAACAACACAACCAACTACTATCCCTGTCAGTGTCAACTCTTGGTGCATACAAATATGCACTTGAGCACCTTACTTCTCTACGAAAACGCCTGCTTTACAAGTTTAAAGTTGCTTGATAAGAAACCAATCGTTATGTATTCATTTTGTCTGTATGACTCCTAAGTAATTAAAAAGTATTTATTCAAACATCAGTAAAGATTCCCGTCTTGTAAACATCTGAAAGCAGGATATTAAATCAAGTTACTATCAAAGAACAGCAGGCTTTTAATTTATAACAACATGACTAAATGGTTAGTCAAATAGTTCTTTTGATAAGGGCAAATTCAAGAGGAGATGATACTTGTATTATCTCGCACAATTATATTCCAAATTAAATGATAACATGTACTTCGATCTCAAATTATCTATATCTTACTCACAAGTACTCTCAGGTCTTTGGCAACAATCAATTATAATCACCTACAAATGCCACAATTCAGAATGAGACTGTTAGTATACAGGACAGTCACGGGCGTCCCTCAGCGAGTCCTCTCCGTCTCGCAGCGAGTCAAGGGCCCTGGCGGTGAGTTCCACGAGGGAGACGACGCTGTCCCTCGACAATTCATCGAAGCTGCCTACATCCTTTCGGAATCGCAACGGCCTTCTCCCTTTGTCCTCACCGAAACTGACCTTACTCCTGATGTCATCGCTGAGAAAGCCAAGAAATACGATATTCTTCCTGAGGTAAGCCTTACTTTATATTAGCAACACCAGGGTAAAATTCTTGATTAGGATTACGTTCCCATGTCCATCACCTACGGTGGCGCTTACGGTGGTGACTACCCCACCGTCGCCGAAGAGGCCTATCACAACAAAGACTTTTACTACGAGTGGGATATCCAGAAACACAAGCGAAACTTTGGTGAAATCATCGGTATGCACGACTGGACTCACTTCCACAGATTCCACCGAATTTACGATGGTCACCTTCACATCTACGGTTTCTGGAAATACAAGCAGGGATGGATTCTCTACCTTGAAATGGTTCTTTTCTGGCTTTACGGGTAAACCTTGTCTATCTTCTTTATCGGTAGTGTAAACGCTTTGATAGATACATTATCCACTCCTGGTTCAACAACAGAATTGGCATCACTACTTCTTATGATAAGCATCAAGCTTCTATGAACGAGGTATATATTTCTCAAATAATTTAGATTCTAACGCTGATTCTAGTATGGAGATTACAAAAACCGAGCGTGGTCCAACACTGAGCTCGAATTCCTCGAAGTCTGGCAACAAATGCAGCAGGCCAAGGAAGGTTATGCCGGTCGATCTGGTGCCAGAGACTTCAACTGGGGAACCACTGGATTGTACCTTGGCTCTCAAGGAACGGTTCATCTTTATTCTTAACGCCGGAACGCATAAAATTTTTTCAAGGTGGAACGCAGATCGTACCAATTAATTGGTACGCCCCTTTTACCCCTTTTTAACAATGAAACTGATAAGTCTACTGAATAAATGATACAGATAAATAATTCTCAGACGCTTAGCTTCAATTTCATCCCCATATTATATTCATATCATAACATAAATATGAGTAAATATGCGTATTTCCAAATGTGCCGAATTACGACGTAATGGCGATTTATTGTTGAAAGAATATATTATATATCAGAGTTCAAAACTTTGTTCAATAGCTAAAATCAAAAATTTTCAAAAAAAATTTTTTCTGACACCGGAATCAAATTCCTCGATAAAAAGTAGCTCCATAAGTGGGGGTTCATTTTTTTCTACCATAAAGTAAAAGTTGAGTTATGGGGCATTAAAGGGCCCTGTACCAATTAATTGGTCGCCCTGCGTTTCGGCGACTTTTTCTCGAAAGATAAGCAATTTTGAAACCGTCGAAAAGGTCAGGCCCCTGCCCGACACCGAGCTGGTCCTACTGGTGAATCGCCCATCCTGTCCGAAGCCTGTGACACTTACATGACCCCTGCCGGCCCAATGTCCTTCAAGATGGGACACCACATGCCAAACACCAACAGTCTTATCGTCGTGAACGAGCCTCATCCCAGCCACGGTCACGGAACTGAAATGGCTGATATGCTTTCGACCGAAGTCGCATAAAAGAAGCGTCTCTAGGAAAAAAACTATTTATTTGTAAAACTTTTCAAGCTCTCACGAAATAAACACGTCAAACAAGTTCAGTAAAAGATCAAAATTATAAGAACTTATTAGGACAGTTCTTATAAGCTACAAACAGGCGTTACCGTTAACTTTTAGTTACGATTCAGAATGAATCGTGGCTTAGCACTTTTCAAACAAGGAACTCTTGAAAAACACCTGCTGAGTAAAAGCGATAAGAAAGCTCAGTTGAAAATTGCGCAGAAAAACGGCGAGAAATTTTATTTGGTTGGGAAGATTGAAAAGTGCGTTTCTCGAAATAACGTTGGTTATGTAAATTATCTTCGAATAAATCACCCGGGAGAGCATTGGCACGGCTTTGTCATGGAAAAGAGGGAGGATACGAAGGGTCTTCTTTTCAGATTCGTTAGTAGCGCCCTTTCTTTCTTCTTAGAGAGTAAGTCGATTATTAAGTCAGACTTTGGTCCCGAGATGAAGGTTGAAAACGAACACATTCTCCAGTTGGAACAAAAGAGCAAAGTTCTATACGACGTCGTTGAATCATCGAATGCAAAAAGAAGAGCAATTCTGACTGCAGTTCTTGAAACACACCGCGAAAATATTGAAAACAACAGATTTTCCTCGAAATAACAAAAGTCGCATTTATAATTTTCTCAGAATGCTGTCGAGAATTTTAACGAGAAGGAACTCCGTTCATGTTCTTTTTGAAGGCAAAACGTATTTATTGGCAAAAAAGGATCAGCAGGAAAAGGATCAAATTGTCTCTTTTCAACTTTTAAGCAACAGCAAATCTATCCAGTATCAGAGCTCAATTTCCCCTGTTTTGGTCAGAAAAGGTCAAGAGATCGCGATAAAAGTCAAAAGGGATGACTCGAGCAAATCCTGGGTTTCATTTGATCAAGTGCAGTTAGAATCGGTCGACAATGTCGGAAGAATCAGATACATGGTCATACACAAGCCTGGAGTAAGCTGGCATGGATATGTGGACGATGGGGGCATTTCAAAGAAATGGACCAAGTTTGAATTTAAAAATTTTGGCCCAGAGATGTTCACTGATGGTGGAAAAAGGAGACCGCTTCATAAAGGGTATCTTATCGTTTATTGATCAGATATATATGTTCTTGAAGCTGTGAGGTTTTGTATGATGTCGTGCAAGTTTATGGAAGACCGGAAGCAATTATCACGAATGTGATCAGTTATCCTGAGTCTTTTTTCAATCGTAATAAAGACAAAACGAAACCATACTGTATGATACTGATCTTTTCTAGAATGATATCTTGTTGATGATTTAGAATGAATGTCTGCTTCATAATCGAAGAAGATTATGAGCTCGCTGAACTACTTGATCGAGGATAATGCTGAAGGAAGAACAGCCGCTCAAAAGTTGATTTCTGTCGCGTTTTCGATCATTTGTATCAATCGTCTCAAGTTAGATGTAAACAACTTTAATATGATTCGATACGCAGAAAGGTAATTTGACGTTTTATTTTAATTAAATCCTTCATTGACACTGATTTTATTTCTAATCTTTTCATAAGCTTGAAGCATCCCGATTGATTTGGCCACTCTAGCGCCAAAATTGCGCGTTTTGAAACAGGCGCCATGATTTGCGCGCCAAAAAGGGATCCTCGAGAGCATCAATTTGTTGTTTTTAGAAAATATCCGTTGATCAAAAAAGAAGCCTCGGGTGCTTTGGAGAAGCTCTTCACGAAATCGCTCCGAGTTGTCAGACGACTTATCAACGAGAAAGCGCTCAGGTCCGGCTGAAAATGAAATTTCTTTTGTATAGTTTTTTTATAAGTAAATAAAAAGTTGCAAGCCAATAAAAAAGATCCGTGGCGGTTATCATCGCGAAGAAGGGCACAAAAGAGCCGTTAGAGATAATCGATCAGTATCGCATCAAAACGAAATTTGCCGAAGACGATTGTGTCCAAGACGATGGAACTCCATTTGATGTCAAACTTCATTCACGAAATATGCTTGACGAACTTTCGAGATATTCACAGATGGGTGTCGAGCTCCCTCATGATGGTGAGAACTCGAGAAATTCGGTTCGGAGTTGACGATTTTTTTTCTAGCACAAGTGTTCGTCAGCTACGAAACCAATCAGCCGGAAATAATCGAATCTAAAGATAAAGATTTCGTTGGAGTCGTCCCTCACCAACACGATGAGAACATCCTGGATTCGATGCCATCCAGGGCCTTTGGTCGGCTGGGTAATGACTTTTTAGATCGTACGAAGTAACCAATCTTGTGTTTTAGACACTCCTTACGCCTACGTTGCGATGAAAGCTTGGTCCAAGAATATTTTGGAGAAGAAATTAGAGATCTCAAAAGTCACCTCACGCGGTTCCAACCTCTTCGACTATACCTACGCTTGAATTCATTTTTTCATGTATTTTTCTATTGCTGCCATGGCTGTTGATTTCGAGTCCTTTGGTTTTACCCGGCATTTTTTTCCGGGCAACCCGCAGATTTTTCTACGGGTTACTCGCACGGAGACCCGTGCGAGTAGATCGAGTAAATGGGTAAAGGATAATCGCGAGCTACTCGCGAAAATTTCGACTAGAAAGAAGAAAATTCGCTCGTCTGATTGGCCCGAGAAAAAGGGTTGCGGGTAATCGCGAGCTACTCGACGGAAAGGAGAAAACAAGTAGCGCGGGTAGCCCGTGAAAAGACTCTCCGTGCGAGAAACCCGCTGAAAAATCTGCGGGTTGCCCGGAAAAAATTGCCGGGTAAAACTAAAGGACTCGAAATCAACAGCCATGATTGCTGCTTATATTTTTCAATATTTTCTGTTTCTTATCCCTCTTTTTATTTAATGCTTTTCAGAAACCCGAAAGAAATGGCTAAGGTGACCATTCGCGAGGTTGAAGTTTTGAATAATAATTGCAGCTTCGTCGACAAGTTCCAGTTCAAAATCAGATTCGACTGTATCGAAGACCTACAGGAAGATTTGGACTGGAAAATCTTGTATGTCGGTAAGTCACGTGGCGTGTTTTCCTTCCCCTTTTCAGCGCGCGATTTTAGGTAGCGCAAACTCAACCGAATTCGACCAAGAATTGGATGAATTATCTACAGGTCCGATTCCCGTTGGCGTCCACGAGTTCGTACTTGAAGCAGACGGGCCCGATCCGACGAAGATACCCGCCTCGGAAATTGTCGGCGTCACAGTGGTTTTAATCACGTGCAGTTACAGAACGCAGGAATTCGTCAGAATTGGCTACTACATCAACAACGAGTACCAAGACGAGCAACTGCGAGAAGATCCACCAGAACAGCCAATCGTGAGAAAAGATCGATAAAAAACTAATTATAACATATCATTTATAGATCGAAAGACTGTCACGTGTGATCTCAACCAATCCCCGCGTGACCCGTCTGCAAATCAACTGGGACGGAACAGAAAACATCATGCCCGAACAGAAGACCATCTCCGACGATTTCGGCTTTGGCGAGCTGCTGTCCGAGGCGATTGCCGATGAACCCGGTAAACCAAAGGGTATGCTTGTGATTGATCAACGATTTCTCGATCGAATTGATTCTACTAACGCTTGATTACCTTCTTTGCTAGATATTGAGATGTTCTGCCAGACAATGTTCTGCGGTGAGAGAAACGGAAATATGGAAAATGCGCCGCCAAAGTTTCCCGAGGCGCCCAGTTAGTCCAGTTATCCTTTTTTTCATTTATCATCGTCTCATATTTTCATTTATTGCATGCTCCCATTCATCCCATCAATCATTTACGCATAAAATCAGCATCACCAAAAATCTCATCAACCTTTTCAGGAGCAAATCAGCCCCCAATGCAGCAAGCACGACCCGGATTCGTCGAGAACTCGATGGACTGTCACAACGTGGAGATGAACATCGATTGAACGGAACCTCATCCCTTTACCACTGCCTTTATCCTCTCTACATTTAGCTCATCCATATATTGACATTTTTTCTCTTTTTCTTTTTCCAGAGCAGCATTTTGAAGCCGAAAAATCTCGATTCTTTCGAAATGATAACAACACATGTAACATGTCTGATTTTAGTTCAACCTTTTGCTTACTTTTCGGTGGAAAAATGCCTTGCTCACAAAAAACTTTTTATAATAAATTCTCAAAAAATCCAAAGAGGCGAATTTGATTTACTAAAGAATCAGTATTTCAAATCTAATCAGTTTTTAAAAAAAAAATTATTTCAGTAGAAATAATTGGTAACAAGAGTAGTTCACAGTGAACTGTTCACTAGTAAGTCGATTACTGGAAGGCCTTTTTGGCATAAATTTTGTAAGCTTCGATTCTTGATAGGTGCTCAATGTATAGTTCCTTTCTATCTTTCGTCCGCAAAGTGTTTCGCGAACTTCCCAGGCCAAATTTCGCACCAATATTTACGAGTTGATAATCTGTCATTCGTTGAAACTTTCTAATCGCTCCCCTTTTCTCGGCTTGTGCAATCATCTCCATGAGACGATCATCTTCGGTATTTTCTCGGGCTCCTGCAGTCAGTGCCTGTCGGACTCTTGGATTTAGTTTGTCTTTCATATTCTTCGTCGACAAGTCCAACTTCTTTTTGCTTCCGAAAATTCTAAAGTTAGGCCGCTCTTCTTTCGGTGGGGTGTCTTCGCGTTTTCTTTTTCTCGACTGTAGTTTCTGTAAGCCAGAAGGAGCAATCTCTGCCCCTGGTCGAAAAATCCGCTCAGGAGCTTCATCAGACGACGAAGATGAATGATGATCGTCTCTATGAGAGATTGTTTTTCCCTTGAATTTGAATAAATCGAATACCTTGTGGTCGTGGGCGCAATTTCTCTAAGAATTCTTGTTCTTTTCGATGTGGAAGGCATTTCTTCATCTGATTCTGAAATGACTATGCAGTCGGTCAATTCTTCAGTGCGGCTAAAGTTAGGTTCACTGGAATCGGAATCGGAGATTGATATATCCTGGAAATCCCTTCCATCCAATATCTCATCATCAGAGGAGCAAAGATCAACTGTGTAGTCGACGCCAGAATCCGGATTGCGAGTTGGCGAGTCTTACATAATTGTTAGGACAATTAGAAGATGATACACTTTACCTTTAATAACGATGGCTTCTTCCATTTGATCTCTTTCAGGTTCTTCGAGTACTCGTTTACAAATAATCAACTTTCGTTTCCATCCTTGGAAAAAATCATTCAATTTTTTGTGTACGTCTTCAACCATTGCGGGCGAAAAGGAAAGCAGTCGATTCGAATTACTTGCTGAGGAAAATATAAGGAAAATGATGGCTCAAAAATCGCTATTGCGTGTCGTAAGCAAAAATAAAAATAATTTCGATGGAGGCGCTATCGCTAATCTTGATAAAAAAAATCAATTTTCTCATGACGCACTAGAAATGTTAAGTCATCAAATTTGTTCATTTGTTTTACTTTTTCTTCAACAGGCAGAGCCTACCTGAAAATGAATAGGATAACGAGCTTTTGCTGCAATAAGCCTTCCTTCCGACATCATTTTTTCTAATAATTGCGCCCATCAACAAATATCCGACTTGTTTTTAATTTCTATTGTAATCTTTATTAATTTTCCATGTCGATTTCCTTGATTCAAAGTTCTTCCGGATCAGCAAACACCTTTCGAAATCTGATTATATAAGGAAGGAACAGAATTGCTCTTTTATCATTTCTCGGCCATGATAATAAGGTTCTCATTTTTACTAGGGCTCGAGGTCCTGGCATACAGCGTCCCCGGCGTTGAAATCTCTGGGTCTACGTCTACAGAAAATGTTGACTTTGGGGATGATCTGTTTATCACCAAAGAGACGGTTTGTATTTTGCATCATTTCAAGTTCGACAGTAAACAGTGTACTTACAGGCAAGATTTCTTCAATCAATCGGCGTGGATACTTCCAAGTGGTCTATAATTGAGAGTTCGCCAACCCTTCCCGGTGGATCGCTTCGACCTCAAACTCGAGGCTTGGGTGCGTCTTTCCTCGAACGTTGGCAACCAGTTAACAGCGGTGGTCCTATAACCGTACCATACGCGATTCAAAGTGTGTTTGCTTCTGACGCAGATAATGTTATTGAAGAAGCTATAACTGCCCTTGAGAGTGATCTTCATTGCTTCGATATGCCTCTTGTCAGTGATCCGTCGACAACAACATACGAAAATGGACTGATGTTCATTCTTCATCAAGATGCCTGTTTTGCTGCACTTGGCCTTGCTCCAGGATTTGTCACAAACGATCAAGGTGCAACGCAGATCACTCAATTTGGTGTTCCGGCAACCTGGCAAGTAGTGAACCTGAATCAAGCATGCAGTCATAGCATCGGCGTCGTTCAACACGAGGTTCTTCATTCTCTTGGAGTTTTCCATGAACAGTCGAGACCTGATAGAGACAACTACATCGATGTCTGGCCAGAAAGAAGCACGAAGCCTGGTAAAAGAGAAAAATATATAAAAATGTAATCAAACTTTAGATCAATGGGACATAATTTCTTCCAATCAATGGTACTCAACGGATTCTGTCTATGAGCCTGGATCAGTCATGTCCTACAGTTCTTACGCCGGAGCTGTTGGGTCAGACCCAATTGCTCTCCTCAAAGACGGATCAGAAATCATTCGGGGTGAAGAAATTTCGACTACTGACGCTCTTCAGCTGCAGAAAATGTACTGTAAAGACATGACAAATGACGATGGAACACCAATGTTCCCTAATTTTCAATACAAAGAGAGGACTTCCTGCACTTCATCTGATGAAGTCGGAGAAACTAGAACGGTTTTTATTGATCGAATTTGTGACGGGTACAAGGGTGAAAATTTATATTTAAGAGCATAGAAGAAAAGTTTTTTTAGATTGTCCAAATAGCGAAGACGAAAACGGAGAAATCGCAACCTGCATTGAGGAATACGAAAGGACTCCAAATGATTGCTGTGGAGGAGTAGTGATCTCTCGAAACGGTAATGTGCAAACTTGCATCTACAATGATGGAGAGCTCTTTGTTGGCGAGCCAACCTGGGCATGTCCTGATGGAACAGCAATTACTCTCTACGCTAATGGAGGATATTGGCTTCAGTTGGTTGCTGATTACTATCCATTTACAGGGGGCGGATTCAGTTATTGGGACAAGCTAACTAATACGGATGCCTGTCCTCCATTGCATACAGCCTTTGAAACGAATGGGGCAATTCTTAGTTGCGCAAGCACTGGTGCAGATTTATCAGATCTTCCAACAACAACGACGACCACGACAACTTCAACAACGACGACTACGACGACTACTACGACGACAACTCCAACGACGACTACGACGACAACTACAACTACGACTACGACAACAACTACGACTTCGACAACAACTACGACGACAACTACAACGACAACTACAACGACGACTACGACGACAACTACAACCACGACAACGACGACAACGACCACTACGACAACGATGACAACTACAGCCACTACTACAAGTACAACGTCAACGACTATCACGTCAGGAACTTCTACTACAACAGACGATGCTGAAACACTTGATGAAACAACAGCTCTGATAGATGATGTTACAACTAACGCTGATACAAATGCAACTACATTCAAACCAAACGTCATTTACTCAAGTAGCAAGACCGTACTTTTTCACTGCTCTCTACTTATCCTACTTGTCCAGTTGATGGGCTGACGCAACTCAATGGCTACATTCTAATAAATTTCTTTATATTCTTGCAATTTGAAAAAAAAGGTTGAGCTGAAGTTATTAAAAAGTAGTTACGGATAGTAGAGGCAGTTGAGGGTAGGCGGAATGTTATTCTTCAGCCTGTCGTTTGCTTGGTCGACCACCGAAAGAGCCATCAGAAGATCGCCTTCGCTTTTTAGACTTGAGTTTCTCAACAAAAGAGCGGGAAAAAGAAGGCACTCCTTCTTCATCAGTTGAATCGCTAAGATTTAACATTTATAGCGCGATAAAATTGAATACACTCACTCAAAAATTGCATTCACAATTTCTTGCTTCGACGAGATGGCTTTGGTGCGGTTGGTTGACTTCTCATGATTAGAATCGGAGCTGTCAGTTGAATCGCTTATGAAATTATTTTATTTACAAAAAGGGAGATTCACTTACTCAAAAATCGCATTGATGGCACCTTCTCTCCGCGAGTTTCTGCATAGTGGAGCCTTCTCCTCAGAATCGTCATCAGATTCGTCAGAATCTGAAAGATTTATGTCCATAATCGACATGATGTTCCTTCTTGGCAAGTTTACACGTCGGGATGGTGGAGACGCAGCTGGTTGGTCGACGGGAGCTTTTCTTCCCCAAACTGGATCAACTTCTTCATCCTCCGGTCCAGAAGATTCTGGAGAATCGCACAGGTCAACAACGTTTGGGTCGATCACAATTGCAGGAGGAGTGTCTTCGATGATGATCGGTTCATTTTCGTAGAAATTCGGGGACGACGTTCCAGCAGCGAATACGCCTCTCTCAGGAGTCAACATAATTTTGTATTCCTGTTCAGTTATACGAGTGATTTACGATATAAAATCGAGTCAGCCTCTATTTATATCATCATCTCAAGAAAGATGGCGCTACGAGGGGCGAGATTTTTATCAGCAGCTCCTGCTGAGCGGGAGCAGATAATCAGCGGGGTATCTTTGGACCCTCCGCTGTTGGAACAAATATTAATTCACTTAGTTTAGACTGGCCCTTCGTTATAAATCCACAATATTTTCTTCGATCCGCGGAAAATTCGATTAATAATAAGATTAACATCTCTCATATTTTGTAAATTGTAATCACGGAAACGTCAAAATATAACATTTTTATCGGTTGATACTAGAAAAAAAAGGTCATTTATTAAAATCTAAACACATTATCAGAAATTGCAGAGTCCAAAGCGTCGACCTCGTTGATGTCATTTTTCTGATTTCCCACCCACATGTTCTAAAATGAATTTTAACGATAATAAAGTTAAAAAGGGTTAGTTACAGTTCCAGCTTTCTGATGATGCTGAGGAATGGTTGCAACCTTCTTTATCTTTTGTCGCCCGCAGCGAATTACTGCGAGCACGATCAGGAGAACAAAGACAATCACACCAAGTACGATTGTTGCAACTTTAAAAAGGACTCTATATTTTACCTTGCTGACAATTACACATTTCAAGCCTCTCCTAAGTATGGGTGTCCGGATAATGATAACCCAGCGAGCTTTGGTGATTCCAATAGATCTGCATCAAAACTCATCCTCAAAAACATAAAAACGAGGTACAAAAAGATTCCACAAGTACTTATTCGATTCCAACTCAAGTCGGAGACTGTCACTCTCATTATACGCTCGTTCCAGCTGTTTACGCAAAGCGGAAATTTCCGGATCTCGCGAGAGGTTTTCGAGATAGTTGACTTCATTAAAAATATATTCACTGTCGTCACTGCAGTTTTGCTCTTCAAGTTGAGCAATTTTCAATTGGTTCTCTTCTATTATTTTAGCTCCTTTTTGATTGAGCTCTAATAACTCCTCTTTTTGTCGGGTAAGGGAGGATATCTCAAAGGTGGATAAAAAAACTGCATAATTCAAATTCTACGGATAAATTTTTATCATCCATTTCAAATTTTTCTGCATCTCAATCGTCTTTTCTTTGTCGTTTTTCACCTGCACATATTCCTTAAACTCCTTAGTATCGAAAATATGCGACCAGGAAGCTCCAGATATTGTCTCCCCAGAGCACGTGAGGTCAAAGTCTTGGTCTTCATAATATTGAATAAGAGTATTGACGCTTATTTTGTCCATATTTATCTCGAAATATTCAGGCATCTCTTCGATTTCAAAGCTTGTTTCTGAAACATAAATAATAGAGGCAAAAATGTTCTTAGAAACTTACGCATTTTCGAGTTTTTGCAAGTAAGCGTCGACAAATTTCCAACTTCATTTTTCAGGATTCTTACTTTTTTGAGGCTAATTCTAAGATGATTATTTCATAAGTGATGAAGGTCTCGGCCTCTCTCCTTTGTAGAAATTCTTAGATTCCAGAAAATCTAAGAGCCCTAGAGCCGGACAGGTCTGATTTTCGACGATAGAAGATACTGTTCTGCATTCGCCATCGCTCCACTGACAGCCGATTCCTTCTTGGCACTTCAAACATGAAGTTTCTTTTGGAAGATGGCATTCTTCAAGAGAAATAAGCTCCTGTTCTTCAACATTGAAAGCCAGACCAGATGCAACTTCTTCGATGAGGACGATATTTTCATCAAAAGATTTATCGTCGACCATGGTCAATCCATCAGATCGCAAATATCCCCGTCGAACAACATTATTTTCCAACAAAGAAACGATCTTAGCGCCTGCATCATCTGTTGAAATGACCAAAGAGCTGGGAGTTCCAACAAGAGCACCAACTTCTTCCATGAAAAGGGTCTTGTCAGTTTTGAGTCCAGAGTTAACAAGAGTCATGTACTCTCGACTAAACAGTCTGACTTGTGGAGCGCTGCAGTCAGCAAAAACAATGTCAGAATCTTCACAAATACTTTCAGCTATTTTGATGGTCTTGCCCATTTCTTTCGGGGAGGGAGACATGGTATCACAAGAGGTGGAATAGCAATATCGTTGATTTTGTGAAAGAAACTCTTCGTCGATTTTCTCCAGAGAAGTCTTGCACAACCTCGAGTTCTTGCCAAACTTGAAAACTGAGTAGATCGCATCTTCGTGTTTCGTTGTCGAGAGAATTTCAGAAGAACAAAGGCCAGAGTGTTTGCTGCAGCAGGAAAGCTTATACGAAACGCAGGACGAGCACATGAGATTTTCTTCGGGAGGCGTCTTGTTGATTCCTGCGTCGTTTTGACAATAGTTCGTGATCATCCCTTCGTTCTTGTCTGATGAAATTATGTAGCTAGCGTGATTACGCGCTGACTCATACGTTGCCAGGACCTGATCTCCTACGGAAAATGAGTTTTTCCACAATATCGAGTTGTTCTCCGCTAGAAACATGTTGAAGCCGTAAATGTCCTTTTCCAGTAGGAGCACTTTTCCATCATCAGACTTGATGACGAAGTCTGAGAAAGGAAAGATCAGCGGTTCAAGTCCTTCAAAACGTTCCAATGAATCAGGATCAAGGGCTTTATTAATACGATAACACCTAGTCGAATCATCAAGCCTTCCACAAAGAATCACACTTTCAATGTGATAAAAAGCCGTGAAAAGTTCAAGATCTCCAGTGAAATCCTCGCCGACTGGAGTGATGGTGATAACATTCTGCTTTCCCTGAATGTCAAAAAATGTAGCAGAGTTCTTCTGAAGAAGAATGTTCGAAATCTCGCAATTGTCGCCGCAGAAATTTTTCAAGTGGCGATAATTTTCTCTCGTCGCCATTATTTAATGCTTTGGTGTGAAAGCGGAAGCTCTCATAATATATATTGGGGCTGGTTCTTTTCAGACTTGGAATTTCAAAGGCTTACTGCAGTTGCATTCTGTGCTTGCCATAAGTTTTTATCAAGATTTTTAACATAAAAAACAACAAAGTTAATCATAGTATTCATTTTATTCAGATAATCATATTATTCAGATGAGAGCAGAAAAATCTCTATTTATGAACTAGCTGCTCCGGGCTAGATCGCAGTAAATGAAGCTACAGTAACATTTTATAACAATCTTTGAAGCAAAAATGAAAAAAAAATCAATGCGACTCTGTGCTTCTTTCAGAATCAAATCTCGTGGGCGCGTTGTTTTATTTTCCCACGCTCGAGCTAATCCGCCAGGCTGGCCATCACGTTCACGAGAAAGGATAAAAATTATAAACTGATGATTTTTTCGCGGAAAACGAAATGATTTTCGTCGAAGTTGCGCCCGAGGGCGTCTGACGCCTCCACGCAGGTTCGTCCTGGTCCAGGAAAAGCCCCCCGATCGAACGCTCGAGCTGCCAGAAATCTGAGAGAAATCGAATTTGGGAAGAAGATTCTGAAAGAAGCATGAACAGTAGAGAAATTCTAAAGAAGAAGATAGAAAATTGGAGGAAACGGGACAACTTTTTTATTCAATTTGCTTTCATGGGAGGCTCTGTTATGCTCGTTAAAAATATTTATTAAATTAATGATTATTTTTGCTAAAAATATTACTCATTTATCAATTCAATAAGTCGTTGTGCCCAAAACGGACTGTAAATGATTTTTTACTAGTAGAAAAGAAATCACAATAAAAATAATAAATTATTATCCCAACGAAAAGCCGTCGACGAAAAATAGTCTTCTATGATTTCGACTGCAAATTTACCCATTCATCCTCGGATATTATCGAAGCATTTGATCTAATCGCCAGTAAATTTGACGCGATCCCGAGTGGATCTTCTTTTCGTCTCAAATCGTCGGATAACCATCCTTCTTGGCTGGTTTTTGCCTTGTTTATTGCTGTAAGTCCGTATTTTTAACGCTCTGTTTTGAAAATTATTACAGAAATCAAGCCACTCGTTTATTTTTTCCAATGATTCAAGTCTTCAATCATCCTTTGACTACACGATTCAAAATCATCCAAAAGGCGATTTGAAGATCTTCGGCAAATCATTTTTGTTTCCTCCAATACAAAAACCAGCAACAAAGAACCAAAAACGAAACGAGCGAAGCTAGAAACATCAAGAATTCTCTAACATGCTCAAACAAGCGGAACGCAATCTGCTAAACCTTCTGTTGTTTCTGTTCCAACCGAAGGAATGGCTTGCGCACGAGAATAAACCCCCTTTTCGCTCTGATGGAAAAAGTCCTAAACAAGCTCTTTTCTCAAATGTCAACACCTTTCTTCGGAAATTTGGGGATGAAGATGGCGATCCCGCTCTTGTTTTGTCGCCGTTTTCATTTGACCCAGGTAGAATTTAGTTGACTTTAATATCGGTCAGTTGTGACGTAAGTTTTTGTTGTCTAGAGAGGTCGCTTGTTTACTGAATAATTCAGCGATACTGACAATATTCGAGGGAGTTTTCAGCTGTGGCGATTTAATTTTAATCTCGCGACGGGCGATTCTTGCGTCACAGAGCCAAGTTGAGTCTGCTCTTCGGGAGAATGCGATCAAAAGGGTCTTTATTACGCCTTCTCTAGCGCTTCGACTGGGCAAGTAAGAGAATCTTTCGAAATGTTTCCAAGATGCTTTATTTCTATGTTTTAGGATAAACTCTCCCTATCTGAAAGATGTCCTTCTTGGTGGAGAAGAATTCCCTGCGTTAAAACTTCTGCGGTGCATTTTCGGAGGATCAGGAGTCGACTTCTGGAACATCTATGGAGTCACTGAAGCGTCAATTTGGACTTCGATCGTTAAAATTACAGCGGAAGATTACTATCCGATAATTGATGGAAGCGCCGCTTGCCTCGTCGATGGCATCTCGAAATGCTCAGTTGGAACTTCAGACAACTGTCTTCAAATTTACGTCGAAGAATCAAGGACTTGTCTCGTGGATTCATTACCGATGGACATCGTGAAGACAAATGATGTAGTCAGAATTGAGAAAACTAAAGAAAAGGAAGTGGTCTTTTTGAGAGAAGAAATGGTCCTATCGTGAAGAGAAATGGCAAGAAAATAAGCTTGATGAAGATGAAAAGCGACCTCGAGAGGGCAATAGAAGGGATGAGAGTTTTGCATCTTTTCGTGAATCAAGAAAATGAAATTCTTGCAGTCGTCGACGGAACTAACAAAAGCGGTTACGAAATCCAAGCTGCAGCGAGAAGCGAAAACGTCCCAGACAGAATCTTCAACTACTCAAAACAAGATATTCCGTTGTCAAAATCCCTCAAATTGAATACAAAACTGCTCGAAGAGGAAATCAATACTCTGCGGCGCGAGGAGCAGACTGGTGTCAATGTAGAGCTAGCGAAAACATTCCAAATGTTAATTGAACATCTCATCTGTCTACGCGATTTTAGTTGGAAGATGAATTTCTTTGAAGCGGGGGGAACGTCGATCGATGCCATGATCCTGCTCAACGAGCTTAGACCTCCTCCCGAATATCACGCACAGTTTTTAAACTCGCTAAAGAACGAGAATCTTTCAACTGTCAGAAGAAACCTTGAAAAAGTCGACGAAGTTGTCAGAAACTCCACTCAAACTTCGATCAAGTATTCGAGCATTGAAAATTTCTGTGCTGATCCCTCATTGTCACCGTATTTCTTTGATGATGACAAATTGCCGCGATCGTTCAAGCTCGACATGCGGAAATTTTGGGCGGTGGATGTTGGATCATGCGCCGACTGTGACCCATTATTATTGAGCCATGAAGACGGGGAAGAACATCTGGTCATTATTGGAACACACGATGGCGGTTTACACGCTGCTAATGCCAGAACTGGAACGCTTTTATGGGTTAGAAAAGCAAAAGAGAAAAATGAAAGTGACAAAGATGTTTATTTAGTCTCAGAATTTTACGTCCAAAGCTGCTGGATATTTACTGTGGCACTCGATGCTCTTCGTGGCGGAAAGTGGAAAATATTTACACTTGCTCGATCCGAGAACAGGCGATGTTCTGCTCACTGAAGACAATCAAGGGGGAGCTAGAGGACCGCCGATGATTTACGGCGAATCGGTTTTAGGTAGAAAAAATATTTCGAACTCGACCTTTTTTGAGTTAGATAATATAACTTATATTCATTTTTTATTTTGAAGTAACTCTTTACCGTCTAGTTTACAACGAAAACATTCTCCTTTATGACTGGGACGTGTCCCTTTGTAAGCTGATTCTGAAAGAAAAGATAAATATTGGCGAAACAATGATGGCAAAGCCCTTACTCACGCAAAATAACGATCTGATAGTCGCCACAGCAAAGGGAAAAATCATCAAAATCTCAGAAAGTAGACCCGTCTTTCAGTTAAGAATTGGAGGGCCTATTTTCAACACACCGGTCGAAGAAAATGGAGAGCTTTTGGTGATGAATGTGAAGGGACTTTTGACGAGAATTAACAAAGAAGGAACTGTAAAAAGTGCTACGAAAATCACCGAAAAGACAGTCTTTGCTCCGATAAAACATTCTCTTGTTGCGAATGAAAAAGGTGAAATATTCAGGATTGGCTTTGATTCATAACTAGGTTAACTTATTTTTATCGACCTTTGAACTCATAAAAAGCTAAAATAATAACGATAAATTGATCAAAGAGCAAATTACTTCATGAAAGTCTGATTTTAAAGCCTCTAACAAAGGATTCATCACAACACTTCAAAACATTTTTCAAAGCGAGAAAAGAAGATCGTCAAAGAGCTGCTTGCCATTCCTCCCTTTTTCGTTTTATTGAGTACAGTTGGAGTCTTAGAGATTTTAAATGAAGAGGGAAAATGTGTTGCTTCCTGGAATTTTGGCGCGGAAAGCTGGTCATCGATTGGAGCTCTCTGGATAGATGATGATTTTTACGTCTTTGTTGGGAGTCGAGACGATAAATTAACTTGTCTGAGACTTTTTACGAAAACCTCACCTCAGTAGTGAGCCAAACAGAAAACTAACCGAGATTCCTTTTTATAGAATGAGAAAGCGAAAATCAGGGTCGAAGCTGGATCGTGTTGCCGAGGAGCGTGATGAAATTGTGAAATCGTGTGAGTGAAAAATCGTCATCAAAAAGAGATCTAATGATGTTGCTACTAGAGAGTGCTTCCGGGAAAACTGTCATCGACTTTTGGGACCTGTTGAGGGGGAGAAAGCAGGAATTCTGATTGTGAAAATCTTAAAATTTGCGAAGCAAAGATTGACTAGAGAGGATTTTCTAAAAGTAAGCGAGTACATTTTGTAAATCTTTTTTATCCTCATGGTATATTTTTAGCTCTGCCAAGCAATTGAAGACATCGAAAAACTTCCCTGGGACTGTGTCCACCTCGAACATCGGCTTGAGAACACGGACTGTCCATCGTTTCCAATCTGTGAAGCGCTGGGCGCTAGAATAGCGCATTCCTGCCGTCTTCAGACTGAGATAATGGGCCTTCTTTGTGCAGTTCTTCCGTATCGAATTTCTCAAAGTTCAGCTCTTTGCGAGTCACATCAAGCTCTCCGGGCCGTCCGCGAGTTTCATCTTTGCTGCAAGGCAGGAAATGTCGATCTGAGCAAGATTTTCGCGAGCAAGGAGGAGTTGAGTTACAGCTTGATTTCTAAGAGAGCGAAATTATCAAGCAGGCCTTTTTTGAGATCTCTTCTCAGTTCTCTTGACAGGTAAAATTGATTCGACTCAGCATCAAAACTGACATTTGAAACTTCAGTGACGCAAAACCATCTGAAAAGCTCCTATCAGAAGTCGAACATATTGATTTCGTCAAGTGGAAAAGTAAAACGGACCCACTTTTCCCTTCATCTTGCAGCAAAAACTCGTGACTTTCTTCATATTTCTGTATTTTTTTTCATGAATTTTCATTCATTTTTATTTCTCTTTCGTTTACGTAGATTAAATTTACGCATTCATATATTACTCATCTTCTTATCGTAGATTCATGTTACGGCTCTCGCGAAACGGTCGAAATTGGAAGAGGTCACTTGTGAAAGCAAAGCGGATTGGCGAAGTCAGTCCTCTTGTCAAAAGTGATGCCAAGAACCCGGAATTAATCCCTCGAGGCTTTGCGCGTCTCCTCGATCATTCACAGGACAGTCTCAGACACATACAGTGGCTTTGGAAGAAAGACATCCTCGGCCAGGATTCATTTCTTATCGGACCACCTGGACCGAGAAAGAGATGGCTTGCGCTTGCCTCCGCTGAATTAAGCAACAGAGAAGTTGAATATCTCTCTCTATCACGAGACACAACAGAAACTGATATCAAACAAAGAAGAGAAATCATCGATGGAAACGCAGTATACAAAGACGCAGCGGCCATTCGCGCTGCTGTGAACGGAAGAATTCTTGTTTTGGACGGAATCGAGCGCTGTGAGCGAAATGTTCTCCCTGTTCTGAACAACTTGCTTGAAAACCGTGAGGTCCAACTTGAAGATGGTCGATTTTTGATGGCGCCGAGTCGATGGGATCACCTTGTAAAGACAGGAAGCCCGGAACAAATGGTAGAAGCTGGATTGATTCGTGTGGACGAGTATTTTAGAGTGATTGCTCTTGGCTTGCCAGTACCGATGTTCAAGGGTGCACCGCTCGATCCTCCACTTCGCTCGCGATTTCAAGCCAGACAAATCGAACATTCAAAATACCACGATATCAAAAACATCACAGAAGCGTCACAAAAAGAGTCGCTCAGCAAACTTCTAGATGTTGGATATGCTATCAACTCCCCTGAAGCCAGAAAACTCGGCGCCGGAGTCTTTCCTGTCGACATGGTCCCCCGGTTGTCGCCTTTGATGAATGAATGTCACACACCCTTCGCTCTGTTTGACAGATTGTATCCTTATGAAAGTGGAATGCTTACCGATAGCTCCGTAAAGAGCGTCAACGGCCTTCTAGCGTCTGACAAACTTGATCTTCCACGAGAACGGCATCATTTGTCCGTTCAAAGTATCAATTTCGACAATGAAAAAGCCGAAATAAACGTCTCTGGAAAAACTGGACTCATGAGCAAAGCAGAACAGAGTTTTTCAATGCCCTCTGCAGCGAGTAAAAGCAGTGAGGTGAATCAAGATCGCTTGTTCTATCCAACTGGCGGTCGACAACACCAGCTCGTCGATATTCTTGCATCGCTGTCCGTTGGAGACGTGGCTTTGATTGGAAACCGAGGTGTGGGGAAGCAAACTCTAGCGAACGAGGCTGCCCGACTTCTCGGACAAAAAGTAGAGCCGGTGCTTCTTTACCAGGATATGTCCGCCCGTGACCTTCTTCAACAGCGTGTGACAGACGACAAAGGTGATACAATCTGGCGATACAGCCCTCTAGTGAATGCAGCTATCGAAGGCCGCATCGCAATCATCGATGGATTAGATCGACTCTTCCCAGGAACACTGGCATTGCTCAACCGGCTCACGCAAGATCGCGAAATTTCGCTTCACGACGGGACACGACTTGTCTCCGCAGAAACATTCGCGGAAATGCTTTCCGAGCAGAAAATCTCACCTGCCGAGCTCAACGAAAAAGGTATTAACGAGATCCACCCTGCCTTCAAAATAATTGCACTGGCGGAACCTCCTACGTCAAAAACTCAATGGCTCACGCCGGAAATTGTCCCTGGATTTTTATGGCACCAGGAAAGAGTTAAAGAAAAACTTTATTTATTTATTGCCTTAGTCTGTATTCTATAACGATTTTTTTTATCTCTATAAAGGTTGCTCCTTTTCCACAAAATGATGAGACCAGTTTACTCGTTCAATCCCTCGGCGTGGAACAATCCGTTGCTGCTGATATGACTCGTTTTGCCCACTCCCTGAGAAGCAGCACCGACCCTGCTCTCAGAAGCATCGCCCAATCTTTCTCCACAAAACAGCTTATCCGAGTAGCTCGGCGAATCTCTGAGTACCCATCTTTGAATCTCCGCGAAGAACTTCAACGCGCAGCGCTAACCAACTTTTTGCCACTGTCGACCCAAGAAGCACTCGATCGACAAATGAGCTCGTTTCCAGCCCCGTCGAGTGCCATAAAACCAACCCAAATTACCTCAACTCCAGATAGCCTCACAATTGGTTCAGTTTCTTGTTCGATTTCTCCTGCTGAAGAACCGAGAAAAGTTCCATCTCCACTTTTTTATCATAATGATGCGCAAGATAGAGTAGGGATATAAAACGATTTTCTCACAATCTTGTCAGTAGATAAATTGTAGGATAGATCTTATCGCCGGCAATTTAAATATTTCAGCTGATATATCATATGATAGTTTGATAACCCTTTCGAAAGAGTATTGGAAGCTCTTTTATCCGACTGGATCCTTGGCGAACACATTCTTCTTGTCGGCAATCAAGGAGTTGGGAAGAATAAGTTGGCTGATAGGTTTTTGGAATTGCTCCAGCGCGAGCGCGAATATATCCAGCTCCACAGGTAAACAGACTTTCAAAAGACGAAAATTTTACCTCATTATCTTTTCAGAGACACAACAATCCAACAGTTAACGGCATCGCCTGCACTGAGAGACGGAAAGCTTGTTTACGAAGACTCGCCCCTCGTCAAGGCTTGCCTGAACGGTCACGTGTTGGTCATCGATGAGGCCGACAAGGCGCCTACTCATGTGACGGCAGTTTTGCGTTCGCTTTTGGAATGTGGGCATATTCGGCTTCCAGACGGACGAGTCATTTCGAAGGAAGACGATGCCGATATTAAGTTACATCCCAAGTTCAGGATTCTAGCGCTGGCAAATAGACCTGGATTCCCCTTCCTCGGAAATGATTTCTTTGGAGCCTGTGGCGATTCCTTTTCCTGGTGAACCTTTTCTTTGTTTCAACCTTATCTAACTAAATTTAGCTTCGCAATTGACAACCCGAGTATTGAGTCTGAGAAGAAAATGCTCAAGTCTTACGCACCAGACCTAGAAGATCATATTCTCGACCGTTTGGTAGCTACTTTCGGTGAATTACGAAGCCTTGCCGATCGCGGTCAAACACAGTATCCTTACAGTACTCGAGAAGCAGTGGCGATTGTGAAGCATTTCCAAAAGTACCCTGAAGATGGCCTCCAGGTAAGCTCCTGCGTACTTTCTATCATATTGATTATCGCTTCTCAGACTGCGTGTGAGAATGTCTTTGACTTTGACATTTACAACGAGGAGGCGTCAAAACAAGTGCTCGAGGTTCTTATGCGTCATGGTATTCCAATAAACGCTCGGAACGATGATATTCGTCTTGCCGCCGAATTGCGTCTGTCCGACCCGCCCAAGTCTCAGGGCCATTGGTTAGTAGATTCGCAAAAGGAAAAGATCATCAGCTAGGGCGGAAATATTGATAACTCTCGGGCAAAGTAGCTTTAGTTTCGAGACCTTGTGTGGGAAACAAAAAGAGCAAATTCTAGCGAAAAATCTGTCTTTTGTTTAATATTTCCTGTCAGTAAGAAGGAAACGCTGAATGTGGAAGAAGCTAACGTGCCTTTTAAGAGCTGGCCGAAAGCAAAGGACCACTCTGAACGACGTAACTTCTTTTCTGAGCAGCGAAGGTCATTCCAACTACCTGAGTACGGTCAGTCGCAAAAGCCAGCTTCCGTCGCCATTTCTTCGGATAACATCATCTCCGTGGCAGTTCAAGGTCCCATCGGCGTCTTTTCACACACCAAACCTGATGGAATTATTTATTTCGACTTATGGGATGCCTTTCAAAGTGGCCGCTACGGTTTCCAGCCGAAGCTCAATATCTGTGCTCTGCCAAACAACGAATTTCTGGTCCAGGAATCGGTTACCAATCAAATGATGGTTCTTCGGCCTGAAGAAGAGTCTTCTTATCGCCTTAGTCCGAGCTCGACCTTCTCAAGCATCACAAAGTTTGGCTACTCTCGAGGAGAAGCAATGCCTGGCGGCGTGAATGACCCCCGCCCGGATAAAATGATGAAAAACTTCCAAATTCTGTCGCCGTACAGCGAGTCTGATGGAATTGTCTGGTTTTTCTCCGCCAACAATCCGTTCATTCACCAACTCACTTTTGTTGAAGATGAGAGGCCAACGATGAAACGTATCGATCTCGGAATTCTGCCGATGAGTGCTCAAGCTTTCGACAAAAACACTCTCCTCGTTGAATCTGTTGATGGTGAATACTGGCTTGTGAATCTTGAATCTGGTCACATGCAGTTCGTGGAAAACGGAGCACCGATTTCAATCAGTCCATTTTCCAAGGAACCGAAAGAAGGCGAAGCTCCTGAAACTCCAAAACGCGGGTTCGTATCCGGCTGGTCATCAGCTGGCTGGCTCGTTGGTGCGCCAACTGCTGATAAATTCGAGGAATTTCAGTATCCAAGACCAGAAGATGTCGCTGGAGCGACAATGTCAAAGGCTCATTGGATTTCTCCAACTATGGTTGCGCAACTTGTACCACCAAAACGCGTTCCTGGTTACATCTTTACCGAATCGAACCCTCGTCCTCTTGGCGCTGGAGCCTTCATCGAAGTTACCGACTTGAAAGAGAAAAAAGTCTCTTACATTCCAGTACCCGAAGTTGACCATGATCGCTGGTGGGCTGCTGCTAGAAAAGAAGACTTTGCCCTTGGTGCAAGTGTGAGTAACGGAACAGTCGTGACTGTGGATGGTATTGGAAATGTTAGAGAGTTTGACAGCTGCCGCGAAAATTTGGCATCGGCGATGACGCAGTGGAAAAATATGGTCGGCCAGGGCGATGGAGATGTTCGTCTCGAGTATGAGCGTCATTCCGGGCTTGATACATCATCGCCTAAGCACGGAAAGGAAGACCCGAAGAATGAGCCCCACGTTGGAGGCAACACTTGGGCTGGAGGCACTGGCGGTCGAGATACTGCTGGCCTCGGTGGCAAAGGAGGTCCTTACAGACTTGACAAAGGTCATGATGTTCACCAATTATCGGATGAGGAAAAGGCAGATGTCCCCGAACACGTCCGTCGAGCAGCAAGAGAACAAGCCGATGCAGCATTGCGGGACAGACTGAAAGAAATTAGCATGAGTAAACATGACCACGAAGCTTATCAGCAGTTTCGAGAACCGATTCGTAATGATATCTCAAATATGAGAGCGCTTTTCGAGGGCCTTCAAGCAAAAACAAAAGAACGAGAGTGGCTCAATAATCAAACTGATGGTGAACTTGACGATAATAAGCTAGTTGAAGGACTTGTTGGCGAGAAACTCATTTATCGCCGACGACGAGAGCCGGACAACAATGACCAAGGGTTCGATAATCAAAAGCCGAAGCGACTCACGATTCTTGCTGATTGTTCCGCTTCGATGTACCGATTCAATGGCACTGATCAGCGACTTACTAGGCAGCTAGAGTCACTCTGCATGGTGATGGAAGGGCTTGATTCAGAAGCAGCGAGGAACAAAGTGAAATGGGACATTGTAGGCCATTCTGGTGATCACCGCTACATTCCCTTATCACTCGTAGAGAACATGCCCAAAACCGATAAAGAGCGACTCAAGGTGCTTCAAGAATGCGCTTCTCATCCCCAGTTTTGCTTCCCGGGCGACAACACAATCGAGGCGACCCGTGAGCAGATCCGACGATTGGCAGCTGACGAGGAAGCCGACGAGAGGTTTCTGATCTTACTGACGGATGCGAACTTGGAGAGGTATGGAATCCCGATCAAATACTTGCGAGACGCGCTTGACCTCGATCAAGCCGTCAACACTTGCGTCATTTGCATTGGGTCGCTCGGGGATCAAGCAGAAAGGATGAAAAGCGAGCTACCAGCTGGGAGATCTTACATCGTGAAAGAGCCAAATGAGATACCAGCGATTTTGAGAACGTTCTTCCAATCGACCTTGCTCAAACTTTAGAGTTACCTTTTCTTGCTCTGAAAAGAAGTTACTGTAATTAACATCTTAGATAACCAATTTATACCTTTATTTATTAGCGTGAAAGCTATTTGTACATTTATTTAATTAAGGATAATTCAACTAATGTTGAGTGGAGCTCCCACTGTTCCGAAAAAAAGCATTTGATTTCTTCAAGCTTGTCTCTAGAATTTTTCCTTTTTAGAGATTGTGAGTTCATCGCTTTTTGACGGTCGCAAATCGGTAAACAGCAAGACGAGTGTGAGCGAGTGCAACATCACCCGTGAGCACTAGAATTTTGAGAAGATAAAAGGCGCAGTACTTTTGCCCCCAGCGAGCGGCAAAATCCAAGCCGAGTCCGCATGGACTACGACGGCAAATCTTACAAGGGCGACTTTGGCATGGAAATAAGCCATGGCGAGGAAAAGTAAGAGTAAAAATGTAGCGCTTTCAATCTCATTATTTCCGCTTTAGTCAACTCGAGCGCAAAGTTTTCTCCGATGAATACAAGCAAAACAAGCATGTGTACGTGGAACAATTCCTCCGGTGTTCTGGGCCAGAGCAAATCGACCTGGTCCGCACACTCATGCAACACATGAGCCATTTCCAGCTAGGCGCAATCGACCATACTCTGCAGCCGCTTCTTCAACGGGACTTCATCTCGCAACTGGCAAAAGAGGGTCTACCAGACCTCGCCAAATGTATATTAGGCTATCTCGACTCCAAATCACTGCGAAACGCAGAAATGGTAAAATCCGCTTCTTTTACGACATTTTACACGTAACTTTAGGTTTGCCGTGGATGGCACGACGTTGTGCACGATGGAATGCTCTGGAAAGCGTACGTCGAAAACCAGGTGAAAAAGAAATCAGTCTGGAGAGGGCTTGCAGAGCGACGAGGCTGGCTCAAGTACTTATTCCGCGGATGTAAAGAAGGTATCTCAGATTGATTCTGATTCCAGATCTCAAGTTCTTATTTTAGAGGGACCGCGACCCGATAGTTTCTTCCGAGGGCTTTGCCCATCCGTACACCAAGACATCGCTAAAATCGAGAGCAATTGGCGAAACGGGCGATGCGCCATTTCCCGAATCAATTGCGAGAGCGAGCAGAGCAAAGGTGTGTACTGTCTTCAATACGACGACGATAAGATCGTCTCGGGCTTGAGAGACAACACCATCAAAATCTGGGACAGAAAGACCCTCGAGTGTAGAAAAACACTCACTGGACATACTGGATCTGTTCTTTGCTTACAGGTAAAGTTTCGATAAAGAGAACACGGCTTATTTTTTCAGTACAACGAAAATGTCATCATTACCGGCTCATCCGATTCCACTGTCCGAGTTTGGGACGCGGAAAGGGGCGAGCAAATCAACACGCTGATGCATCATTCCGAAGCTGTTCTTCACTTGCGTTACTACAATGGCGTCATGGTCACCTGCTCCAAAGATCGAACAATCGTTGTTTGGGAAATGACCAAGCCATACGGTCTTGCAGGTAAATATTTAAATAAATTTCTGGTGAATAAAATTTCTTTTCTAGGCAAGAAATTCGGTTCAGGTAAGAATCACCGATTTTTCTTGCAAAATACTGTTATTTTGTCTTACTGTTACTATTACAGTTGTATATAAAAATCATCAATTAAATCAATCGCCCACTTTTTAACCCTCATCAAATCAACTAAAAAAGAGATCGACTCAATATGAGTGCTTCAAGCAGTAATTTGTCTTGTATCAGTCAATTGTTGTCGAACCACAAACCTTGGCTAACATGTTCCCTAGAAATCAAATTCCAAAAAGTTCTCGTTGGACACAGAGCAGCAGTAAACGTAGTCGACTTTGACGAGAAATACATCGTCTCGGCTTCTGGAGATCGAACTATCAAAGTTTGGACGGCACAGACAGGCGAATTCGTCCGAACTTTGCAAGGTCACCGACGTGGTATCGGTAAGTCTCCTTTCTTTCGTTACTCTTGATTCGATTTTTGAATCTAGCTTGCCTGCAATACCGCGAGAATATCGTCGTCTCCGGATCCTCCGACAACACTATTAGAATTTGGGACATCGAGCACGGTACATCCCTCCGCACCCTCGAAGGTCACGACGAGCTCGTCCGATGCATCCGCTTCGATGATAAGCGAATTGTATCTGGTGCATATGATGGTAAGTTAGTTTCGTTTTATATCGATGAAAACCTCATTTTTTAGGAAAAATAAAAATTTGGGATTTGAAAAAAGCGCTCGACCCGCGAATTCCTTCAAATAATTTGTGCATTCAAACGCTAGAGAAGCATTCTGGGCGTGTTTTCCGACTCCAATTCGACGAGTTTCAAATTATCAGGTAGTAACTTCCAAAAACCACTTTTTTAATGAACGCTTCAGTTCTTCACATGACGACACAATTCTTATCTGGGACTTCCTTAACGCTGAAAAGGATGGTGAAAATGGCGATACGAATGAGGTAAACTTAAAGCCCCTTTCAGCGCTAGAATAAAACATCTTTTAGGTTGCGAACGACGATGGCATGGCAGAGGACGAAGACGACGGTCAACAATTACAGGTGGTTGAATTACACGAAGCTCCTATGAACTTAGAGCCCGAAATGGTGATCAACACTTTCTCCCACTCTTTCTTACAAATAATTTAGGCTAACGGCTTCCGCTTGAGACGAAATGATGTTGGAAGAAATCATAGAGGACGAGGCAATCGACCGCGAATCGCAAATGCCAACATGATTTTGGAACAGATGCAAATCCAAAACATGCAAAACTTACCCGTAAGTTATTGTGTTAGCGAACTTATTATCGAATTATAATTATAAGGATCTCGCTGCACTACAACGCCAGTTAGAAGCCAACCGAGACCAACTGGCCAACAATCAAGCCCCTCCTGGCGAGGACTTTGGCGACCCAATGGACGAAGACGCCGGTTAAAGATACACTTGAATCGAACTAAACTTGATCATACTCTGAAAATAAGTTGTCCAAAGACCAGCCACATTATTTCTCCGATCCAATTTTCGCTTTTACCCCCAAGTTAAGAATTCATATAAATTATACAATTTCAAATAGTAAATTTATTTACTTAAGTAATTTCAAGAGTAACAAATTTTTAAACTTTTCGGCCACCCCATCGTTCACAAATAGTATCTTAATATGTTTATCTTTTGTGTTTTTGAACTGTATTTTATTCTGAGTTTTACCTTTTTCTCTTCATTTTTGGTGGAAGCTTTTTATCGTTTTTTTTATTGAAATTTTAACTCTCTAACGGGCCAGAGATGCTGCCTATGCCCGGACCAAGGAACTACTTATTTATTTGTTTGTCTCAATTTTAATTAAATAATCATGATAAGTACTCTAACGGTATACAACACATGCTGAAAATGCTGCTGACCAAGACAAAAAATATATATTTCAATTTTAAAAAATAGCATTCATTCTTTTATTTCAATTAAGGCCGCCCTGAGTAATTTTTATATTTCCTTTTTTCGTCCACCAAAAAAAAAATACTTTGCCCCCATTCTTTTCAATTTTACTGTTTCCAAATAAACAAGGATAAAATTGCTAAAATAAAAATGCGAAGAACTTTCGATGATAAATCAGAATTCGTCATTTCTTTGCAAGTATACGCATCCGCATAGATATTATTTCCGCTCTTTGAGAGAGTAAAGCCTCAGTGATCAAAAAACATGTCCTTTTACTCTTCCAGCGGGTATCCCGTTACTTTTCGCCCGGCTGATAGAGAACCTTCCAAGCACGGTTTTAATGTAACCTACGATGGCTTTTATTACTACGAGCCAGACATTATGTTCGAGCCTCTTCTTTTTGACCAGACTGACGGAGAGAAGTCAATCTTGACACCTGAAGAAAGCGCTCAACTTTTTCTGTGGTGGAATACAACACCCGAGGGGTCACTTGTTTTAGAAAACGGTAAAACAAAGACTCAAGATATTTAAATATTGAGAATATAGCCACGACACTTGCTGTGAAAACAGTAAGAAAATGGCTGCAAGACTCCGAGTACCCGCCACAGAATGATGAAGAGGCAGAAAGCCAGTTCTTGGTATTTTCAAAGGGATTAGAAGAAGCTAAGAGACAGGTTACTTCAACAACAAGCATTGATCAGTTGAACAGAGGAAGTCCAAGGCTTTCAGTGGAAGTAAAGCTGGGGGCGAAAATTCTTGCTAAATTGAAGGAAATTTTGTATTTGTAATTCATTCTTTTTCAAATAAAATCCGAGATTGTAGCTTTATTGAAAAATGATTTAAAAATAGTTTTGCTAAGCATGGAATATTGAAGAAGATTCGCAACAAATATACAGATAAATACATGTCTTTAGCTTCATTGGAACATGGTTCCGTCTAGGAATTGCGTTATGCCTTCCTTTGTGAAAGCGGCTGAAGGGTTCTTGAAGAAATCGCTGATTTCGTCGACGCGATCCTCATTCTTGAGGAAATCGAGCGGATGGCTGACGAGGTATCCTCTTCTTTGAGCCATTCGGGCTGCACCTGCTTCGACTTGAGTTTTTGCCGGGCGGTTGTCGTATCTTTGCTTCCATTCTTTCCAGTCTTCAGAAGCAGCTTCAAACTTTCCCGGAAGAGAGTAAACCGTGTTGTTTGGCAAGATACAGAATACTTCGTCGAAAAGCTGAGAGATAAATTGTGAAGTGTATTATAATTTTATGGGAATCAAATTATTTATGACGAAACGCATAAATATTAATCTCTCAATTATTCACCTGATAGTTGAACTTTGCCCTATCTTTCCAATATTTAAAAAATTCTCCCGATTCGGGCGGGAGTGCAGTCTGCACTAGATTCTCAGGATCACCGAGAGCAACTGACCAGATTCGAACACGCAGTGATCTTGCGAAGCATTCGTTGTCAATTATCGCACCGATTTCGCTGTCACGGTCGCCGATGAGTGATCGGTCGTTGATATTTGCCGAGCCTAGAAAAAATTGATTATAAATGAGTGATAGTTCTCCCTCATACCAATAATAGTGAAGCGATCATCAACAATCATCAGTTTAGAGTGAGGGTATACAACTGCTTGGTGTAGCCCGCCGTTGTACATTTCGTGAGTTCGGTAGCTTGCGAAGTAAATATAGTCTTCCACTCTTAATAAGTTGTAATAAATATTTAAATAGTAAACACTTACTCGATGGTTGGCTCGCATCTCTTGAGATATTCATAAATTGAATTTCCACCTCTCGAAATGCTTTCATATGTGATGTGCAGTAGAATTTCCTGGCCAGCTGCTGTGTTCTCTTCCAAGCTTCCTCCAGAGCCAGGAATGCATGGAATCACGATGTAGACTTTGAATTCCTTTCGCTCGCGGAAAGCTCGAATGATCCTTTCACAAAGAAATAGAGCGATTTGATTTTGTGGTAGTTTGGGATCAGTGTTGAAATCTCCGCATGTAGTCACAAAGAATTGGTTCTCAATGAAGATAAATCTTTGTGAGCTTTGAATGAGTTCCTTGTAATTATCGTAGATGGTCCGTTCTGTTTCCTTCAGGCCAGCAGACCATGCTGCTGATGAGCGAATGATTTGGCATCTTGTATTGACCTCCTCAATTTGCCGGGCAACTTCTCCTCCAGCCATGGGTATGCCATCTGCCACAACCGGTTGACTAAATTTAATTTGTCGATTTAGAATTACGAGTGTTATTTACCTTCTAACAACTTTACTTCTAATTCTTGGAACAATGTACTGTTTCTGCATTTTATCGAACGGATTGAACACGCGGATCTTTCGGAAAACAGGCAGGTTGATTTTTACAGCCGATTGATACGCTGTGTGCGTCGTCATATTCCATCGTTCAATGAAATGTAGTGAGACATCGAACGCTGCTTCTCCTTGAAGTCGACAGGCGATGTCATGCCAGGGCGATCGCGCTTCAGATTGTCGATCAAGATAGCTTACAGTCTCGTCAAAAAGGCAGTGAGTTCTGGATCCGTTTTCTCCGATGGTCTCGTGCCGACACTCGATCAGATTCTGATCTGGTTTCGAGTTGAATTGGCTCCAATAATCGAATCCCTTGAAAGTTCTGCTATCTGGGTCAAACATTGGGTACTTTCCGTGAACATCCCATCTGCCCATGCTCAAGTCTAAACCGCCAATAAAAGCAATTTTATCATCAACAACGGCTATTTTCTCGTGATGCGACCATTTATTAGGCCCGTCCAGAGTCGGATGCGTCAGGGTAAAGAAATTGGCATGTTTCTTCCAGATGCAGTCATTTCCTTGGCAAATGTCTTTCCCGTGGAGTTCGCCGGCAATGTGAGCTTCTGGACGGTTGAACTTCCGTAGATATTTCGTCGCTTCGTAATTACGGAGTCCAAGAGCGCTTGGATCTTGATAGACGAGAATATAAATTCGCACTCCTCGGTTTGCTGCTCTTTTTAAAACTTGGTCCAGGCGCCAATAAGTTCCAGTGCCCATGCCACAAGAATGGGCTCCGTCGTAATCTCTTTTCAGATAGATCATCGGTGAAATTTGCCAATCTGCGATGAACACCCGCTCAGTGGCATTTTCAATTGAGTCAGCTAAATTCGCCATATATACATCTGCACAGACGTACCATTTTGCCGGGGTATTTGGGCGGACGAGAAAAGAACTTTCGGAAGGATGCGGTTTTTACTCTTATATGGGATGGTATTCTAGGTGAATATTTAGACTTTACGTTTATGAGCGGTTTTAAAGTTCATCTCTGGCACTCCTTTTCACCGAAATGCCAGTCGAGCGCTTCATTTCCGTTGACAGAGAGAAACTCTATAACCTCATTCCTTTCATGAATAGGTACTTTAATCTCATCTGATAAATGATCCTTATTCATCGTTATGTACTGAAGTGCGCATAAGTGCTGTAAGATGACATTGTAGTCTGCCTCCTCTTTCACTCGGAGAGTGCACTCTCTGGACCTATTTATGACCATGATTTCTTCTTTCGAAACGCGTTTCCAGCTGAAATTTACATCCGGGAGAAAGATGTAGTCTGCGAGCATATCCTTATTTGGCCCATTTTCTTTGTCCCATTCTACCAAATCTCCGAGTTGCATCAACACGAAGAAGTCTGCATAGAAAGTGATGTACCGCTTGTTCCATGTAAAACCTGCTACTTCGCCTTTCTTGGAATCTTGGAAGAAAGAAAGCAAGAAATGGAGTCTACCTGAGTATGAGCAAGACTCCTCGTTTCGCCAAAGAAGCCACCAGACAACTCTCTCAATTCTAATTTCTCAGGGGATCGTTCCCCAGCACGTAGTTTTCTGATAATCTCTTCAATAGCTTCTCTGTGATCAATCTTGAACTGCTTCTGACATTCGTTCACCAAGCCTTCATCGCTCTTCATTCGCTCGAAGAATCTTCCTGCATTCTTCAGCATGGCGCCTAAACATGAGCAACAATGGCAAAGATGACATTTTCCCATTAAAAATTATCTTGAGAAAAAATTGTTATTGACTCTCTTTTCTAAAAACATTCTGAAGAACTTTGTGCTTAGAACAACGCGTTGTTTTTTCGACGGTCGTAAAATTACTCCATGCGGTTAGGCGGAGAATACCCTGCAAATCCTGAAGCCTCCTCACCTCAGAAGTGCTTGAAGCTCTGTCTCTCTCGTTCGAAATCAAAAACAGTAATCCACCCTTTTGTTAAAAAGTCTTTAGAAAAAAAAGATAAAATCACTGGAGGCGGTGAAGCGCTGAATTCTCTTTCTTTTCTTCTGACACTACGTGTATGGCATGAGAGCCTGACGAGGTGATGAATTATGCAAAAATCTAGCAAGTCGAAAGGATTTATAATTGGATAGTACGAGGGAGCCAAATGAAGCAAATTCATCTACAGATGAATTCATATCTGGCCCAGGGAGCAAAATCGATAACGCCACTTTCCTGACCCAGAGACTCATTTGAAAGATTAATTAATAATTAATCTCTCTCTCTCGTGAAAATCTGCTTCGGCAATGATCGTAAATTTTGCTTGGCTCTGAGAAGGTCTACTTGATATTTCCTACAAGGACTCCCTACGGTAATGTCACTTGCGATAATTAACGACTCACTAAACGTAAAATAATATAGCATATTTTGGGTGTAGGGCGGCCACGGTACGGGCAACCGGGAGAATAATTCTGTGCACAGAACTATTCTGTGAAAAACAGAATTATTCTCACGATAACACCCCCCCTTTCCGGGAGAATAATTCTGTGAAAAAAAATTTTTTTTTTGGCGAAATAACTAATATTCTGCGAATGCAGAAGTTGTTTGCTGCCAAAAATGAGTCCCAGCGGTAGAAAAAGACTGCCCCTGCCAACCCAATGAGTTCTCTATCAGAAAATGCGCGCAAGGGCCGGAGGCCCGTAGCGTGCTTCATAGCCTCTTCGGTTCAGCTTCTTTTAACAAACTATCATTGTTTTATATTGTATTTGGCTGCAAGATTCAAAGACCGACTGAAGTCAATCCTTTTCCACTCTTAGACATGAGTTCCAGAGTATTATAGGCTATCTATGACATAATCAAAGTGAATTTTGCCAAGCTCGACACAGAATAGTTCTGTTTCAAACAGAATGGTTCTGTTTCAAACAGAATAGTTCTGTTTTTCACAGAATAGTTCTGTTTCCACAGAATAGTTCTGTCCACAGAATTATTCTCCCGCCCAGCCCCACGGTACAAATTTGTACCGCCGTTACAAAATTTTTGTACCGGCGGTACAAGCCGAAAATAAAATCCGAGAAAAGTGTGCGCTTCGCGCTAGAATTGAAGGAAACTCCTTACTGGTATTGCTGAGGTGGAGTTCTGTCCAAAAATGATCATTATTTTGGGTAAAAATCGGTTTTTATTGGGAAAAAAATTATCATTTTTTGTACCGGCGGTACAAAATTTGTTCCCGCGGTAAAAATTTCACTTTTGTACCGTGGCCGCCCGCCCCCATATTTTATATTAAAACTAGCTTGACCTCATTGTGCATAGGTTTTTAAATATGAAAAAGCGGCATTGATTACCTGCTTTGAAATTCATCCTCTTCATTTTTCCGGAATCTTTTCCCTTATCTGATTCTTTTTTCAAAAGGATAATAAAAAAGCTTGATGTTGCTCTGAATAGACGCTTCCGTTCTACCTTTTAAAATCATTATTCACTGCTCTTTCCACATTCAAGCGGCAGAGAAAGCTAAATATAAAACTCAAACACGTCTTTTGAAAGGAAAAAGGACCATTGTCCCGATGAATTTATTTTGTATATATTACGCTGTAAATACAGAAGTTCACAAAGCTTTCAAAGTTGATTTATCTTGGTCGAATGACTGCTGGGGACATTGGGCGAGCATTCTTTGGGCGATTTCCAGACTCAGAACTACAAATAAAAACCATCAGAAAACGCATCTAAGCAATAAAAAAGGCAAAGTATAAGAACTTCTTACTTTAGTTTATCAGCTTTTGCTTCCCATTCGTCCTTGTTCCCGACAAGATTTTCCAGTAACGGGTTGATTCCAAGTCTCGCAAGTTTTTGAATCCTATGTGTCAGAATTTGCCCCGTAACGGTCAGGCAATCCGGGTGGTCGAGAATTTCATAAGGGCCGAATCCCGACTGACGAAGGCCTTTTAACCGTTCGCTGAGAGTTCCGGGAGATAAGGTTATCACGGTTGGTGCTGAACAATATAATTGATTGTGTTTCCCACCAACGAAAATTCACCTTCAAGACAAATCTTTTTGATCCCCGAGTTTTCTTCAAGATTTAATTCTCGTTGGAGCAGATTCATCGTGATTTCTACGTTTTCTAGTGCCAAATCCGGTAAGACTCCTGCCATTTTAGAGATGATTTTCAGCGTTTCTTCGGATGATAAACCGGTTTTCGTCATAAGATCCATGAAATCAGCCATTTTCTCCGGTTTTTCGAGGATAAGGACATTCTGTGCTGATGGTGGATTTTTGATGGATCGAAAAATTCTTTGTGACTAACAAAAATTTCCATTGAAAACCCGTTTCCTAGCTGAGTTCTTCCAAAGACCTTGAAATTCTTCCCGCCCATAGAAACATACAAATTCTTGAGCAATTCTAGCTTCGTTGAAATTTCCTCAACTTCGTTGTTGAAAAATTTTGGGTACGCCAAAATCAGTCTGATGAGCATCTTTCTGTTGATGCCGAAGTTCGAGAAGAGAAACTCAAGCATTTCGTTTCGTCGGCGTAAATATTCTCCGTCGTCGAGGTGGAAACACGCGGCTGGGTAGGATTTGAGATGGAAGGAGTATTCTGAAGAGTTTTGGAACATCTCGAGCCAGAATTTCAAATGACTGTCGAGGTTTTTCAAACTGTACTCGAGAATTTCAGGGAACTAGAATAAAACAACTCATTAACTAATGAAGCCGTAGAAATGCCGTACTCTTGAGACAATATCGCCGAAAATATTTCTCTCAACTTCATTCTGATCGAAGATTTGAAATCTTTCTTCGATGTCTTTGATGTCGGTCAGATTCTGCCAGACGAAATGAGAAGGATCCTCGACAATGATGAAATATCGCTCCAAATCGACGCGTTCAATTTGTACTTTCGGCCGAAACCAGCCTTTGTTCACCGTCACTAACAAAAATCGTCGTCTTTTACTCCCGTTATTACTGTTTTCTCACCAGATTGACATCGACGACTGATTCTGGCGCTTCCTCTTACTGCTCTTCTCATTATTATTTTTTTACCAAGAATGAGTTTTGATATGAATTTTGTTTCTTGAGCGAAAACCTCGTTACCAAATTTTGCGCAATCCCAAGATTATCCAATAAAATCGATGATTCTTGTTTCAACCCTTTTTGCCCATAATCATCATGACTTGATTTCTTAGATTAGACAAGTTCATAAGTCAAGAGTCACTGTTAGTTGTTTGTTATTGAGAGCTTTTTAGACTCAGAAGAAATTCTGAAAGAAACGAGCACGCGCGGAATGAGTCATTTCGGCGCTAGAGGCTTCTGATTGGTCTAACGCACGACGCGTGAGCCACACTGGAGTAAAATTTTGACAAAATGGAGCAGACCAGTTTTTAGAGATATTTGGAACAGAGACGCTATTCCCAATTCTGCGAACGAAATACAATCTGACAACACTCACTCATTGTTACTAATTTCAGACTCGTAAGGACCAAATAAGTCGAAATGGCTCGCGAAAAGAAGGCTAGATCCGCTATCAAGGACGTCATCGCCCGGGAGTACACCATCAACCTCCACAAGGTAGATTACCATCCCCTTTATCTGCTCTAAATCATTCTGCAGGTTGACAATCCCTTCTGATTGGTCTTTGAACTCCCAAACGCGAGCGTTCCGATTGCCTCCTGCCTCGGATGTCCAATGCCCAGGGATTTAGGACCCCTAGAGCTTGGATCGTCCTTGGCTTCAAATTTTCAACTCTCAAAATTAGGCAGACGCTCAAATTTGATGTTCCACCGTTTCTTTCCTAACCTTGTTTACCTCTAGCGAATCTTCAAAGTCGGAAACAAGCACCGAGCACCCAAGGCCATCGACGCCATTCGAAAGTTCGCCCGAAACGCCATGGGCACGAAGGGTAAGTCCTTCTTCACCTGATCGCGAGATGTGACAAATTTCTTAGACGTCCGAATCGACGCTCGATTGAACAAGGCCGTCTGGGAGCACGGTGTCAAGAACGTCCAGTACCGAATCCGAGTCCGACTTCACCGAAAGCGAAACGAGGACGAAGACTCCGCCAACAAGCTGTACACTCTTGTTTCCTACGTCCCTGTTGACACCTACAAGGGTCTCCAGACCATGAACGTTGATGCCACCGAATAAATGGAAGGCTCTTTCGGTCTATATCCACTCGTGTTACTGTCTCTTTATTTGCATCAATTCTAGAATGTCGAAAAACCCTCGCGTGCGGCTCGAGTCCGCTCTCGACCTCCACCGCCGCCTTCCTCCGGATATGGTCGAGCGCAACTTGTCGAATATGATCGATCTTGCCCCAGATTTGACGGAGGATCTACTCGAACGCGTAGATCAGCCGCTCAGGCTAATGAGGGATGAAGAAGTTGGCAGGGATTTTCTCTTGTGTGACTACAACCGCGATGGGGATTCTTATCGCTCACCGTGGAGTGATAAGTACTTTCCTGCGATTCCAGACGGGCTACAGATATCAGAGTTGTTGAGGTAGTAGTGAAGTAGATTGTTCGTGTTTGTATCTGTCTTTTCAGGAAGATAGAAATCGAGTTCAACGACGTTTTCAATCAGTACCGCGAGCTCTACTACGACGGCGGTATTTCATCCGTCTATCTTTGGGAAATAGCGGCAGAATCCGGCTTTGCTGGAGCTATTCTCTTCAAAAAGGCCGGAGATGGAAGCCAAAATATTCCCGGATCATGGGACTCAATCCATATCTTTGAGGTGATCGAGAAGACCGATGGTTTTCACTACCGATTGACGACAACTGTGATGCTCTGGCTGCAGACTAAATCTGATAGCAGCGGCTTGCTGAGTCTCGGAGGATCGCTACAGAGACAGACGGAGAAGCACGTCACTGGCACAAAGATCCCAGAGCACATTCTTGAGATTGGCAAGATGGTCGAAGACATCGAAAACAAGGTCGGCCATCTTGAATCAACGCTAATTAACGGCCCAATTTAGATCCGCAACAGTCTTAACGATGTGTACTTTGACAAGACGCGCGCAATCGTGTCCGTTTTACGCACGCAGACGCCAATTAACGAACGAATCAAAAACCGCCAGCAGGTAATAACGAATCTCCCCTTTGTTTACGATAGCCTGTTACGTAACAACCTTCGTAACGCGAAAATTTAGTTGGCTGCAGAACTCACTCAACGCCTTGATCGTCTCAATTCGCAGCCCGATGGCTGAGACCTGAGAGATTGAACGAGACACAGTAACTGCCTTGAAGATATTTCCGTTTCAAACCCACGACTACTCGTTGCCTTCAAATTTTACCTGTTCATACCTTTTCTCCTCTTTCTCTTCAGTTTTCCTTATCTTTACCTAAACTTCTTCAATTTCTGATGTGACTTCAAATTCAATTACTTTTCATTCACCTTCCTTCTTTTTCAGACACAATGCCAGTCGCTACGATCATCCAGGCGTATTCTACCTTCCTAGTCATGGGCGCCCTCATCGGCTTTTTCAAGAAAAGGAGTCTTCCGCCCCTCTTTGCCGCTATTGCACTCACTATTGTTGGATTCACTGCCGCGGGAATGGAGAACTCTTATCCTAAAAGGTGGTTGCTTTCCCCCAATAATCGACCTAACAAGTTTTCTAGAGCAAATAAGCTGTGCGGCCTCCTAGCATTCTCAATGTTTCTCTACATGGGCTACTACTACATCAAAACATTCAAATTCATGCATGCCGGTCTCGTCTCACTAGTGTCCGCATGCGTTCTCTACTTGAATTTCAAACGAGCATTCTAATCATATTTCCAATTTTCCCGTCATTTTCCTTTTTCTCTTGAAATCATATTTTCTTCTCTTCAAGCTGCGAGCTTTTAGAAGCGTCTATTTTCTGTAATTTCTGTTCGTCAAAACAGTGATTTGGTCAAGTGTTGATCAAATTTCATTTTTCCTGGTTTGTGTTCTTTCTACTGACCTTTCCTCTTCTCGCTCGAAACACAACCATGACAAACTCTTTCAAAATTTCTCGTCTAACTTCTTACCCAGTCCGGACTTTAGACCCGTTGCCAAAATGACTGAAACTGAAGCCGCCGCTGCCGCCGCCACCGAGCCCGTCATCGAGGAGATCCCCGAGGTCGAGGCCAACGCCCCCGCTGAGGAGCAAGGTGAGGCCAAGCGATCCCGCGCCCAGAAGAAGGTCATGAAAGCCATGGCCAAGCTCAACCTCCGAAAGGTCGCCGGTATCCAGCGAGTTGTTATGCGAAACTCCAAGAAGGGTAACTTCCGAATCGAAGGTGGTGAAGTCTACCAGGTAAAATAATCCCCGATTTCTTACATGATCTCATGAAATCCTTCTAGGTCGCCAACTCCGACACTTACATCGTCTTTGGCGAAGTCGAAACCGACGATTTCCTCTCCCGAGCCCGATCCGAGGCCGTCAACAAGTTCAAGCAAGATCAGGCTGCACCAAAGGAGCAGCTCCCCAAGATCGAGGACGAGGCTGAGGAAGCCGAGAACGACGAAGACGTCGACACCGAAGGCCTCGAGGACAAGGACATCGAGCTCGTCATGCAGCAGGCCGGCGTCACCAAGGCGAAAGCAGCGAAGGTAACTCATCCTCTTTTTTCGAGCGTTTTTGAAAACGACAAATTAGGCTTTGAAATCGAACGACAACGACATCGTGAACGCGATCATGGAACTGACGATGTAATGGGGCTTGCTTCGATACCGCAATTTCTCCTTTCGAACTAGCCAACCAACAACCCATGTCCTTAGGAAATTGCTTTCACCCTGTTCAACAATTCCTTTCGCTCCTTTTTCCTCTGGCCACGCGCTCCCCCAACAGTCGGCGGGAGTGTGCGGTCTAAAAATAAACTTTATGTTATTGAAGGACTTTGTTCTCGTCTTATCTCGCAGTTGATAATTATCCTTTGTTTCTTTTCTCGTGTTGCAGAAAATTGCAGGAAGTTTATGATGCCGTCGACGAAGTTGTGAAATGGGAAAATTATAGAATGTTGAGATGACACTTCTCTTGTCTGATGAATCTTAACGATATCAGCTGCCCCGCTGCGTGGCACATAAGAACCCAAAATGGCCCACAAAAACAGCGCCTCCTTGTTAGAGTTCTAGACTTTGTCATTTTTTGTTATCGTAAATATGATACTTCCGACCAGTTTTACCTTATGACGGTGATAACTCGTAGAATCGGAAGATCAGAGGAAGACTCAAGCCTCAGTCTGGGTGATCGTGGAAGTCTCTTAGATAATTATTTGATCAAAACTTTCAAGAACACCCAAAGCTTACAACAACGGATAAAGAACTCGAATACAGTCTTGTTAATTCTGGTCATCGTTTCCGGTCTTCTGTTCGTCGGATACCTTCAAAACGCGCACTATGGTTGGTCAGGTCGCGTTCTTTCATCAGCAGATAGTGAAGTAAACAATCAAATCGTTAATGACTATGGTGTGGTTATGGACTGCGGCTCGAGTGGAACACGTGTGTTTGTGTACACATGGCCTAGAGCAAGCTCTGAAAAAGAACTGCTCGAAATTGAGCCTCTCAAAGGTAGTCTGCTTTAATTTGAATTCGCTTCAATTTGATAAGATGAAAACGGAAACGCTGTTCAAAAGAAAGTCGAACCTGGTCTCAGCTCCTTTGCTGACAATCCTGAAGACCTTGAAGGAATGGTTACTTGATTCAGATGTTTCCTGTCAAATTGCAACAATAAAAACCAAAAGAAAGATTATCTACGTCCATTAATCGACCTTGCTTCTGCCCATATACCCAAGGAACAACATCATGAAACTGTATTGTACATGTTAGCCACTGCTGGAATGAGAATGATTCCTCAAGAAGCTCAGGATGCAATTCTCAATAAGCTGAGAACATCTGTTCCGTCTATGACGAGTTTTGTCTTTGCGGAGCAGAATGTCGGAGTTATTACTGGAAAGGAGGAAGGCATTTATGCTTGGATAGCGGCGAACTATGTTCTAGGCAAACTGAAGGTATGAACTCAATGGAAATGTCGTTTTTAAATAGTCTAGTTCACAAAATTTGGAAACAAAATCCCTTCTACTGGAATTATTGATATGGGTGGCGGTTCAATGCAAATTGCTTTCGAAGTTCCAAAAGATGCGAACATCGAAAAACACGACAACATCGCACACGTGTCTTTAGGATCGACTGGACTTGATTATGATCTTTTCGTTACAACCCACTTGGGATTTGGTGCTAATGAAGCTTTGAGACGACATATTGAGACTCTTCCAGCTTCCGATGAGAGTACTTCTGGTAAAAATTGACCATTTTATTGTGGAAAGTGAGCTTTGAATAGATCCTTGTTTCCCTGCGAATTTCGTTGGAGACGTCCATGACCGATCCATCAGCGGAACAGGCGACTACCAGAGCTGTTATTCCTCCCTCAAGCCTCTCCTTGAAAAATCATCTTGTCCAGCAGACGATGAGACATGCTCCCTTGCTGGCTCGTACCAGCCATCTCTTTCCTCCGTCGGCGAATTTTTCGGATTCTCCGAGTTCTATTACACAAGTGAAGACACTCTCAAGATCGCCGGAGTTTGGGACAAAACCAAATTTACACAAAAGCTAGTGAATACTGCGCTACAGAGTGGGAAAAGTTAGAGGAGAACTGGAAAGAAGGAATGTACAAGGCAGATGCGAATAGACTCAAGAATCAATGCTTCAAGTCTGCTTGGGTTTCGGTAGTTTCAGAATCTTATGAAAAACACTTCATACTCCGTAATTTTAGCTCGTGCTACACGAAGGTCTCAACTTTCCCGAGGAGGGCAAGAAGCTGACGAATGTTCAAACAATCGATGGTGCAGAAGTACAGTGGGCATTGGGCGCCTTGATTTATCGCACTCGTTATCTTCCTCTTCGGTTTGTTCTTCTTTTTTTTTTGCAAAAAAAGCAAAACATAATTTCAGAAACGCGCAGCCAATTGGAGCTTCAACTCCCTCTTCTCACTTTGTCGAGTCCAAATCCAACGGCGTCTTTTTCTTCTGTATCGGATTAATTATACTTCTGTCAATAGCCCAATACCGTCGAATCCACTCTTCGTCTAGGTCTCCGTACACTAGACTTCCCTTATCCCGCCCTGATTCTAGAGTTATCTAGCCGGTGCCTTTTCAGGGTTAGTTCTACACCCTTTAGTTTTGTATATATAAGAACCCAAAATGGCCCACAAAAACAGCGCCTCCTTGTTAGAGTTCTAGACTTTGTCATTTTTTGTTATCGTAAATATGATACTTCCGACCAGTTTTACCTTATGACGGTGATAACTCGTAGAATCGGAAGATCAGAGGAAGACTCAAGCCTCAGTCTGGGTGATCGTGGAAGTCTCTTAGACAACTCCCTCTTCTCACTTTGTCGAGTCCAAATCCAACGGCGTCTTTTTCTTCTGTATCGGATTAATTATACTTCTGTCAATAGCCCAATACCGTCGAATCCACTCTTCGTCTAGGTCTCCGTACACTAGACTTCCCTTATCCCGCCCTGATTCTAGAGTTATCTAGCCGGTGCCTTTTCAGGGTTAGTTCTACACCCTTTAGTTTTGTATATTTAATAAATAAAGATATTCTTGCCTTGTAAAATAAGTTCATCAAATGAGTTCCATTTGATCTTACATTTAGATATATATTTCGCATTATTCATCATTTACAGTTACCTAAAACCATCAACTTCTGTGCAATATGCTTCTTCCTATAGTTTTATCAAATAAAATATCTGAAAACACGATTCAAGTTTCTTCAACTTCAGATGACCAAATTGGCCGAGTGGCTTCTGACCGGAATTTCCCTCGTCATAATCTGGTACAACGTTCTCATCGGCAAGCTTCCCAATTTTGGTCTCACGCAGGAGCAGATTCTCATCGCCCCACTTGTCGCAGTGGGTGTTATCGGTAATCTGATTTATGAAGGGTAAGGCCCAATTAATCGATTCTATAGCTGTTTTGGTGCTGGCTACGCTTGTTCAAAGAGTCAGAACTTTTCGAGACTGCCCAGAAGCAGCGGAAGAGCTGAAAAACAGATCGAGGAAGCGAGAACAGACTTGAAATCACGTGGACTCAAGACTGACTAGAGGTAATTTCAAGACAATCGAAGGGTTTTATGATCCGCTTTAGTGAAAATATGGTCGCTATCGAAGCGCCAACATCTGCAGTAGTCATTTACGGTGATGAGAAAGGTGAAATCGCCAACCTTCTCAACACCAATACTTCTTCAACCTTATCGTTAGGTATCAATTTCTTTCTCTTTCTTTCTCATAGGAATCGCTGTTTATTCAGAAACCAAATATTACTCCGCTTCTGTACAAGTTCTAAAGTCCAAAAATGATACTTCCCTAACTTCAACTGAGCTACCGATTAATGGTGTTATTTTCTACAATTCCTTCTCCCAAGCCAAAGAGATCGCCGACAAAAGCGAGTCATTCCAAGAGTCAGATGTTCGCCTGTTCTGCACGAAGGTCGACCCAACCAAAGAAATGCATGAGTGGGCCATTTCAAATCAGGAAATTGGATTATTTATTAGAAAACAAAGCGCCACGCTGTTGTTTCTTTCAAGGAGAAATAAGAATATCTATAAAAACAGATCGAGATCGTGGATATCGAGGAAGAACCCGAGCGTGTTCTTGAGGCTCTAGAAAGCTCCATCTGGCCCGGGGCGACTATGAAATCAGGAAATCCTTACATTGCAAGTGGGAGGCCGATTGAAACGTCTTCTGATACGGATTTAAACGAGCCTGACTCTCAAAATGGACAAAATAAGTAAGCCTAGTCAGGGGTGACCATTTGGGCAAAAAATCATCGTCGGGCCGACCAATTGCCCGCCCAATACCAAAAATCAAGACCCGGGCCGACCAAATGCCCGACCAGTCCAATGTGCCCAGAATGCCCAATCGGGCAATTGGGCAATTTTTCGGGCAAAAATTTTCCCGACATTTCGGGCTTGGTAAAACTTTAATTTTTTAAATTTCTCTCTATAATTTATTACAGTTGAAGATTTGGAAGGTTTGAAATATATTTAAAAAGCGGTTAAAAAATAATTTTGTAAAAGATCGATCAGGTTGTCAAGAATAGACAGCTAACCATTAAGGTCCACTTCACACACTCTTGCATAACCGTCTCGAAAAAAAAGAGGTTCAAAAATGGGGTTGGAATTTACAACTTGGAAAAATGAGGGATAAAAAGGATCTGGAGGTCAAGGGTAGACAGCTAACCATGAAGGTCCACTTCACACACCCTTGCAGAACCATCTCCGCAAAGAAGGGGTTGGTTGTTAAGGGTAGGGATAATTTCACAGAAGGATCAAGAGGTCAAAGGTAGACAGCTAACCATAGAGGTCCACTTCACACACCCTTGCAGAACCTTCTCCTTATATCTTTTTTCTTGTTTCTGAGCTTAACGACCAATAAGCGGACAGGAAAACGCCCACGTTCATGATTTCCCCCGGTGGGCATTTGCCCAACTGCCCGATGGTGCCCAACTGCCCAGAAAATGCCCAAATGCCCGACTTTTCCAATGTTGCCCAGCCTATTTTCAGGCGTTGAGCCGACCAAATGCCCGCCCAAAAGCGTTTTTGCCCGAAAATTGCCCGATTTGCCCAAATGCCCAATGCCCAAATGGTCACCCCTGAGCCTAGTTTGGTAAATAACTAGCTGACTTGTGTGATCCTTTCAGTGGCCAAAATGATCTCTTGGAAATGCTTGAAGCCGAGGACGATTTCAACGAAATCCTCGGCCTTGTTCAACAAGCTCGCTCGGCGGGTCAAGGGATGAACGACGAACAACGTCGTGCCAATGCCGAACGCGTTATTAGTGCAATATCGAACATGTTAGGAAGCGACCTGCTCTTAGACGACGAGTAGCTTCGAGTTAGAAATCGACTCTGATCCTTGACTGTTTAAGAATGACCGAGAAAATAAAGATCTGTGTTTTGGGCGCTCGAAATGCCGGCAAGACGATTTTCTGCAACTTGATTGCTGGACAGTTTTCGGATCCTGCGCAGCTACTAGAACATAGAAGACCTACTGCGTCGCTGAGAGTGCTTGAATTCGAGCACGAGGTCGACAGCAAGACAACTATCGATGTTGAACTGTGGGATTGCTCGGGAGACCCCGACCAAGGTAGGATGTGAGTTCAACTTCTGATTAGCTGAATTCTCTTTTAGAAAAGATATGGCCATCATTTCTTCACTCGTGCGGTGGCGTCATCATCTTCTCACGAGATACGAGTATCGAGTCATTTGTTGATTATTTTGTCGAGAGCAGCCACATCCAGCCTGAACAGAGCCTACTCTGGGTAAGTTCCTTTGTTACCCAAAATTAATTATGTTTTTGTCAATTAGATAAACAAAGAAGGCGGCCCTAAAGTGACCAACACCGTCATCCCTGACGTACAACAATTAGACGTCCTGAGCGATATTGAAACGACAAAATCGAAATTCGGCAAGTTTTTACGCAAATGTGTCAAGGTCGAAACCGAGGTCCAGGACCGTGCCGAACGACGAATCGCTGCTTAGATACACAAACTTCATTACAATTGTTCCTTTTTACGCTATTTTTCTACTCTGTTGTCAAAATTTATATTTTCTAAAGAAAAAAAGTCAATTGAAATAATCCTTTTTAGAAATGACCCGTGTTGAAACTAGAACTCCAAAATTTCTAAAAGAGTAAACTCGTACTCTAGATTTATTCATACTTTCGAAATAACGACACAAACTTGTTATGAAACGTGTCCTTTGCCGACTTATAACAAACACTCCACTGCCAAGAACATGCATTGTTCCCTTTTTCTTTCTTCGATCTTTTGTTGATTTCGCTCATCATCTTTGTTTTAGAGAGGTTTTCGAGAAGAGGAAAAACAGTTGAAATATGGTCGTTCGCCCTGCTTCTAGCCAGAGCAATAATGGTGAGAAATACTGCTCTTTCATTGTATCAAATTTATTCTTTTAAGTAAAAGCTACTGAGCAAGAAATGGACGTGATCATGACAGATCCGTTTAAATACGTCTCGGATCACGTGAAAAGAAAAATCCGAAACTTGGAGAAGCGAAAAGAGAAACTCGACGGATACAAGGCAAAACTGGCGAAGGGTGATAAACTCAACAATGATCAGCACGAAGCTAGTAAGTCATTTCATTCTCGAGTCTTTTTTATCGCTATTCTTATAGTCGCAAAGTACGGAGAAGTAATTGGCATGCTCACTTTCGCTACTGAAATCACGGGGCACCTGACGGGACTCGAGAATTCAGTCAAGAAAGAGCGAAAGAAGCGCAACCGACGGGAGCAAATCAAGCAGCAACAGGAAAAAATGGACCTGATGGCACGAGCAATCGAAACCTTGACGGTAAACGTCTCATTAAATCTCCCTTTGAATCATTTTTTTTAGCTGATGCATCTCCCAGAAGCTCATGAGGAGCCATCTGTCTCTCCGCTCCGAGACCAAACGCTCTTCAGTCCCAGTCCTGGAGTTCACCTTGCTGACTGCTCCGCCGACACCGCCAAGCTTCTTGTTGATATCTTCGACGAGGACAAAGCCGATGCCGAAGTGTTCTCGACTGATGATGGTCCTGTTACTTACAAGCAAGTTCGAGGTATAAAATCATCAGCTCGTCATCAAACTTATCACTTTCACTAGATACTCTTGATTCCATCCGACCAAAGTACAACCCCGTTCCCGAGTACGACGACCAAACTACTCCTGACGAGACGATCGACGAAAACGTCGATGGCGAGGAAAACGGACACGAGCAACTTCCCGAGGACGAAACGTACGAAAACGGTGGAGATACAGAGGTGTCTTCACCTGTTGTTGTCAACGGTAAAATAAGCTTTCTCCTTTTCATTAATTGAAATTCTAGCAGATGAAGTATCGCAAATCGATGATGAATACGTCGAGGTCTCGAAAGAAGAAGTCGTCGAGGCGGCAAACAACGAGACTGAACAACGCGACCCACCAACCCTCGATTCCCTTGACTTTCAGCAACCCTCGCTTGAGAACATCCCGATGCCACAAGTTCAAACCCCCCTTGAATTTGTCAACCGAGAAGTCTACGGCGAGGAACAACAGATTCAGGTAATCCACCTTAAACCAACAAGGTAAACCTACACAATCTTGTAGGAGATCCTTGTAGAAGTTTCGAGTGGATTCAACTTCCTTGCTCCTGCTGATGTTCCAGTGGAAGAACAAGAGCCTGAAGAGCCTGCACCCCAAGGCATTTCTTTTGGCTTCGACTACAATAGCACCGTTCAAGGATTTGCTCAAGAACCCGCTGCCCCAGAACCCGTCGCTCCGTCTTCTTCATCTCAACAACTCCAGGCTCAGCATCAACTCCAGCAGCAGCAGCAACAACAGCAGCAACATCAGATGCAAAGCCACCAAGCTCCTGCTAACCTTCAGCATCAACAACAACAGCCCTCAGCCCGTCAAGAGAGCAATTACACGAACCGTGCGTCTGAATTCACTCAGCCACCACCAAACCCCGCTGCCCAGCGCCCACAACAGCAGAGGCAAGCGCCCCCTCAACAGTACCAGCCCCAGCACTCGCCCCCACCAACTGAGGACCAAAAAGACAACCTCACCTGGCAGCAACAACTCCCTGCTCAGAAAAGCTACCGCGGTGGATCATCTGGCGGAAACTACAGCTACAAAAACAGTCAGAGATACCAGAGAAGTTTTCAAGGTGGAAATCGTGTTAATGGTGGATTCAACAGATTCCAACCCATTTCCTAACCATTTCATTTTCAGGCGAAGGCGATGGCCACAATCGCGGTCAGCGAGTAAACGGCGGCGGTCCAAGAGGCGTTTCTGGTCAGTATCGACGTGGTGGACGCGGAGGTGCACCTCAGAAGAAATAACTTGAGCTGCGCTAGAACTTGAATTCTGACCACTATCAGTAACTAATCTTTGTCCAAGTTATAAGGTTCAAAAAAGTAATAATTTGTATTCTCATCATTTTTGGGCACCGGATTTTTCACTCTAAGAAAACTCTGCTCCCTTTCAAACTGTGCCCTTTCAACTGCCCACTAGTGTCAGCCCAAAAACAAACCATACAGTTTCCATGTGAATAAACGTACACTACCGTGCGTTCCTGTTCCTTTTCCTGCACACTAGCTTTTCACCCTCTCGTGCTCATGTTATATCGTCTCCTATTCTAACAAGTAGGCGGCGCTAGAGCTCAATTTACATGTATACTCCCGACATGTTCAACTGTAGGAATTTCATTCACCAGAATAAAGAATCGACCTACATCATCATCTAGTTGAAAATTGCCACATTCCGTGCCATTCTCACAAATGTCTGTTCTTGTTTATTATGAAGACTGAAAATAGATAATTGTACATGGAGAGAACATTTAGGTTACGTGATAACTTATACAGTAGAAATTTTGAAATATAAATCGTTTATAATATAAAACAATTTTCACTGGCCGGCGGCGAGCTGCTCGTTGATCAGGTCGGTCATTTTTACAGCAACGGAGTTTTTCTTTCGGAGGTGCACATTGCGAATGCAGTAGATAATGCTTTATAATTAATAAATGAATTTGCACCATTCCTTTCTGGCTTCGTTGTTTCCGGAGAGAGCCTGTGCAGTATCTTTGTACCAAAGCTGAACCATGTCGACAGGGGTCTTTCCTTGCTGATTCTTCACTCGCAGGTTCGCACCGTAGAGAATCAAAGATTTGACGATTCGGTATCGGCCAAGTCGGACAGCATCGTGCATTGGAGTGTCACCTTTGATTCTTATTGAGAAATGATTTTTTAAAAGTTGATACCTTCTCTATCCTTTGCATTGATATCAGCTCCGTGTTCACAGAGGAACTCGATGATTTCCTGAACACCTACTCGGACAGCGACGTGAAGAGGAGTCGAAAAAGCTAAAAAGTTTAATTGGCTTTTTAAACTTCCGATAGCCCTAGTTCTTACCTTATCTTTTGCGTTGACTTTGGCACCGTTGTCGACAAGGTATTTGACGATTTGCAGGTCACCTCCGCGGCAAGCCCAGTGAAGAGCAGTATCTCCGAGCTTTTAACAGTTTGTGAACACTAGTTTCTAGCAGGACTTCACCTTGTCTTGCAAGTTCATTTTGACTTTGTTTCTGGAAAGGAGAGTCACGCAATCCATGCTTCCATAAAGAGCAGCTCGATGAAGTGCTGATCGTTTGCACTAAAATTAACGATCATCTCATTATCTTAAAATAACCCTAGTTTCCCCTTACCTCATCGACAGTATTAACAGAGCCGCCTTGCTCAATAAACTTCTGAATAGTCTTTGGTCGGTTCTCGACAGCAGCGAGGAGATACTGCTCGTTAGTAACGGGTCCGTCTGGAGTCTTTTCTTCCGCCTTGGTAAGGAATAGTTTTTGAAGAGAGGAATGCTACTTACATCGACTTTGTCATCAGGAATCTTGAGTCTGATAGAAGAGCCAACTCGTCGTCCTAAAATGAGTTCTCTTTTCCGAAAAACTTGTCTCTTACTTACCAGTAGAGGTCTTTCTCCGGCGAATAATTGAGCCAGATCTTTCAGTTGTAGAAGTGCGCCCCTCAGCTCGCGATCGACGAACGGACTTTCTCTTGTCGCCGACTTCGGACTTTCGGCCAGCAGCGGCTGAGTAAGACTATTAGCTAGGCACTAAAAGGGTGCAATCATTACTTGGTGGAAGGGCAACGCTTGGTCTCTCGTCCATGCTCTCTATTTCGTCGCTCTGAAAAAGGGCTGAAAATCTGATGGCCACTTTGATTGGGGCCTCGAAAAAATAGACCCGGGTTGATAGTGCCTACGGATGAAGCCTGAAGGCGTAAATCACGTCTTCAGATCATAAAAAAGTTCGCTGTGTGAATCGTTTCCTTTCTGTTGTACAATTGGTGTTAGGTCTTGCAGCTGGAGCTCGTAAGATCCCCTAGTGCTTGCTTCAAACCCAGATGCAAATAGAGAAAAAATAACCAGAGACTACTTACTCGGCTTTCTTCAAGCTCTTTTTGGCGCTTCTTCTGCTTGTTGAGCTGCTCCACTTGGTGTCGCTCCTCTCTGATAAACTCCTCCTTGATTCGACGAGTCTCCCAGTTGTGAAGCTATGAGGAGAAATGTTAATGCCAAGATACTTTCATAAGGAATACAAAAAAAACTCTTGAGTGGCGAAGACAGTTTTCTGCTGCTAGGGGCACTACTGTTATCACCTGGCCCTAATTAACTTGATAAATTTGTAACAGACTTTTAGGACTCATTTGACTCATTCTCTTTGAAAGATGTAGATTTAGGGGCTTTTTATGAGACAGATACGTCCCCATGTTGAGGACGCTCTTTTATGCAGCCAGATCAAGAGATAGGCTAGACTTGCTTTAATCATGAGTTGAAGTCCTTAAATATATAAAGTTACCTCATTTTCAATAGCAGCTTCAACTTCTTTCTCATCAGGGTTGGGGACGTTACTCAAAGTGCCAGAGAGGGCCTGAATCATGTCGGAGAGATCCGCCTTCAAGGTGCTGACATGGTTGGAAACTTCAGGTCGCTCGATGATGAACTGCTCCATTTTCTGAGAAACAGGTAGTCAAATTTTAACTCATCGGACCTTACTTTTGTAAAAGTAGTTTCAAGATCTCCAAGAGTCGATGAGAGCTCAGAAATAGCAGAACAGACCTGAGCTATAAATCGGATTTCCTACCAGATTTTAGTTTCAAAAGCATCACTAAGTAAGATACATAAATGGTCATTGATCAATTTCTCTTTAAAATCCGTAACAACAGCGGGAACTTGAGAAGTAGAGAGCTTCTGCTGAGGAAGTCCTCGCCAAATGTCAAGATCGTCTTCTTGAAGAGGGTCCTATGTTATTTTTTACGTCAGCTCCCTTTAAAATTTTTAAACAAGACCTGCTGTTCATCATCATCAAAAATAATATTGTCGGTGGAGCAGGAAGCCATCAAAAATCGAGCGAGATCATCATAAGACATTGCTTTCATATCATTATCACTTTCGAGTGCTCCATTGATGATTTTCGCCAAGTCTTCAGCAGACCTCATGATTTGATCTCGCGAAATTGTTTCTCGGCTGAAAACAGAGCTTCGTTGCTTGTTGGCGGATTCGTCCAAGCATTTGTCAATGATTCCAGCGATTTCTTCGACTGACATTCTTCTTGGGATAGATGCCCGGCTCTTTACTGGGTTAAGCATTTATGGGCGTTTGTTATGAATTTATAGGTAAAGCCTTTACCGTAAAGGATTCCTGCCAAGATTGATCGGTCGAAAAATCTCCTTTCAATTTATTGGCCACCTGTTGGATCAAAGTTCAACTGCTACCTCACACCTCTTTAATTAATACTATCTACGGAATTGTGTTCTTATATTGCTCGTTTATATTTGGAATGTCATTTCTGCTCAAGAAAATTAACCCGCTCATGGCTCAGGCATGTCGACTTGCTCCCAGGCGTCAATGATCTTCATTGGCACCGAGGTGGGGATGCCGTGCTCATCCAAAAATGTGCTGATTCTGCGCGCCATGTTTCCGTCTGTCTGCTCAACCTTCGTGCTCAGGAGTCGTGAGCGGTGAGCGTGCTTCTCTCTCTAGAAACAATCGATCGAAAATCGAGAAGTGGATTTTAGAGAGTTAGTTGAACTCGAAGAGCTCCAGGTGTCAATTACTCAGAGTTGAGGAGTGATCAAAGTAATCCCTCTAGTACCTCTGCCACATTGCGAATAAGCCAGACTAATAAAAGGAATGAATCAGATCATTGCATTGTGCACTGCCCCTGCTTGCATTTTTCGCATTCAGAGAATTTAATTTACTCGTTCATATATTTTTCTAGCGTTAGTTCAGCAAAGGATTGTGGCGATTCTGTGAATTCGATGAGTTTCTCCACGTAATTTTGTGCTGGAATTTTTACTAGTAAATCAATTGATGTCGTTTACTTACCAGCTTCATTATGTTCCTTGGTTGATAAATGACTAACGGTGATGCAGATCCTATCAGTCGTCTGAAAAAGTATGCAATACTCGAACCAGGCGCCCCAGCTGTGACCCGTGCAGTACAGCTCTCTCACTTTACTGACGTCGTAGTTAATCCCGAAAGGATATCGTCCGACGTTTGAGAAATTTATCGACGATGCTGAAAATAGACCACAGGGTTACGAGAGAGGACTTTACTTATTCCGTTGTTTCTGTAGGAGACCTTTTGATACTCCTCCTCGTGTTCTTCCCATAGATCTTCGATCTCTCGCCACATGTGATGTTCATGATTCTCAATTTGACTCTTTATGTTTCGACTTGCCTTTTGTGCAGTCTGGAGAAGCGTTTCATTGAGCTCTGCCTCGGGTTTGAGGGAAGGCCAGCCGATGTAGCAAGCAACAGTTGTCTTTCCAAGCTTCTTGGGGAAACGATCGCGAAGGTTGTAGTCAACATCCATTTTCAGCTCTTTTGAAGCATCTCCTGTCATCTTTGAGTTGATAAATGCGATTGATGCTATTAAATAAGTGCCGATGGTAATACCATGTTGCCGACAGAATTCCAAAAGCCGTTTTGGTGCAGATAAAGAGCCTTTTCCGCATGTGACCTCATACTCGACTGGTTTACTTTGGCTCTTGAAGAATTTGACCGGTCTCTCTTCGTACTTATGATGCGGAACAACGTTCTTGAAGTTAATGATTTCACCATGATATCTCTCAAGAAATGCTTTCTTTTGTTCGTCTCTCAATGGCTTATGATTTTTTTTTATGATTTGAATGCAGAAAATTTTTGAAGCCTACACTGTTATATCTGGAAGTAATTCCTCTGCTGGCTCAGGGAGGACCTCATTAACTTCCACATTTTGTTCAGGATGATCATAGAAAGACAATATTCGGTGAAGAATAATCAACATCGAGGTCCCATCCGCTACCGAATGGGGCAGTCGGATGATTAATCCAACAGAATGAGCTGTCTTGGGGTCAGATACAACAAGGAGATCAGCTGGTACCGCGGATTTATTCATCTCATCATATGAGCAGTTTGACGCTTCCTTGAAAAACTGATGGAAATTTTCATTTTCAATGAAAATTGGACCTCCAAAGAGCTCGAATTATCATCGACACAACTTGTACTTTTCACACTTGCGAGCTCTTCCTTGACATGATACAAGCGGGACAGTTGTTACAAATTTGTCTTCACTTCTTGATCGCAAAAATGGCTCGGTTGAACGAGTCTTTTTCCATGCATCTGACATTCGATCATGGGCGAGTGCCTCATGCAGTTCAATAATGGAAGCAAAGCAAACTTTTGAAAATAAAGATAGTTGTTGAGCTAAAGGAACTCATATTTACAAGGATTTTTTACTTTCCTGTAGCACCAGCGTCATTGAGCTCATTCTCTATCCCAGAAAGTCCTCTCTTCGTCATCTTCAAGCTAAATTTTAAGTCCCGCCGCGATCACCCGCAGAAACAAATTCAAGAGGTCCGAGAGTAAATATTTTCCTTATGATTTGTCGAATTGCGACATAGAATTTCACGATAGCTGTCAAGGCTAGCTGTCAAAGCCTTATGACTGGTAATTGTTATTCGGTCTTTAATGCCGTCTCTAGAATAATTGTTATACTCAAAATGCAATTTTTATGCAAAACTAGTTGGATCGGCGGTTGTTAGTTTTATCTGAATGGGGCTAATAAGAAATAAGAAGAAGAGGAAACATGGTGAAAGAAGAGTCTCGGAAAAAGAAGGTTGCTGGGAGTGGTGCAAGCTCGTTTGGATTGTTCACAAGTAAAGTTGCATGACAAAAGATGTGTCCCTATGAGTTTTAGGCTTTGCTGTTCCTTCTGCCTTTCGATTATTGGCTTGAAGATAAAATCCTTGTGGTACAGATGCAAAGGAAAGGATAGATCAGAGGTAATATGGAAATAAAATGCTATTTTTTTCTAGCAAAATTAAGCTAAAGAGACGAATGAGCCTCAAAATTCAACATTCGACCATCTCAACGGGAAACTTAGAAGATTGGATCAACAGATCGATGTCCCATCAATACGAACAAACGAATTCGGAACTTATGATGAAGGAGTCTATCACATCTAGCCAGCCGACAAGATCAACCTTGACTTTACCGTCAATCTATCCCTCAGTGACGTCCGAAGTTTCCCAGGGTCCACCACCAAGACCTCCCCCACCGAAAACACCGTACCCAACTGCGCCTGATCAAGTTGAGATCGATTTTGATTAAATTTTTATTAAGAAACTAACGTTTACGCCAGTGTCTTAATTTCTCTTGTCTTCAGAAAGAATTATATTTTCAGCGAATAATGTTTCAGATTCCAATAGGGGCAGTAGAGAATCATCGGATGGTCGGGTCGTCTCAAAATGGAGGAAGTTTTTTTTTACATCGGAAATCATCAGATACCACTGGCTTGTCTCTTGAGCAGGATGTAGATCTTCTCCTTGATCCACTCGCGATTGTAGGGCTTGTACGAGGATCCGTCGGACTTGTAAACGAAGCAGGCAATGTCATTGATTTCGTCGATGAAGTCGAAGAGCTAGAGCCGTCTTTAGGGGGCTACAAACATGAACACGGTACCTGGGCGATGTCGTAGGTAATCTGGTTGCTTGTAGGGTTGCTCTTTTTCAAGTGCTCCTCGTAGATTCGGCAGACGCCCTCCATACAGTCATTTACAGACTGGTAATCGGAGTAGGTTCGACCTTCCGCTTTCTTATCAGGCTGGACTAGAAGGATTGTGTGAGCCGTGGACATTATAGATCTGAAAAAGAAACCTTCTAACGCCAAAAGAGATTGAAAATAGCCGATAAAGGGACAAATGAAAGGATACGCAAGTCAAAAATAAAAGCTCGATTTTGAAAAGTGTTCGAAAGTTTATTTTTGATATGGATTGGTTCTTGAACAGAAGGAGTTTATTGTATTTTTTCTATCTCTAGAGAGGGACCAAAAAGGCAAAGTCGGGAACCTTGGAGGTTCCTAATAAATAATTTTAGAGATCACATGTTTTTTTTTGTTTCGATTTTCGATCAGAGATGTTTCTCTCCACATTAGAATTAGTGGGCCATTCGACCGAGGTTGTGCTGGAGCTCTTCGATCTTGTGGAGGAGCTCGTGCTTCTCTCCGTACCTAAAAGAGGGATTGTAAAGGTGGAAAGAAAGGGGGATTGGTACCAGTAGGAGTCGTTGTGTCCTCGCCACGACTTGTTGAGGGATCCACCTTCACCGGCTCGGATGAGAGTGATCATGATGACGGTAAGGGTAGTCCACCAGAGCCACTGGTTCTTTCGGAGCTCAGCGTATCGCCAGCTGCCGTAGAAGGTTCCGTTGTTGGTGGGGTAAGAAAGCTAAAGAGCGTTTTAATAGAGCTACTTTGCTTTGTCGAGCATTGGACTTACGAACTGTCGGGGGATGAGCATCTTGGACGTCTGGTAGCCGGGCTTAGGGTAGAGGGAGTCGGCGAGGTACATGGAGGGCTCTTCCTTGGGAGCGACCCACTGGACGGGGTACTTGGCTAAAAAGGCGCATTAGAAAATGGAAAATCGAGGAATTCTTACCGAGGGGGAGTCCATAAGCGGCCTGACCAGCGACGGCAGCGGGGAAAGTGGACTTTCCGGCGCTTCGAGCGACCTGGAGGTAGGGAAGGAAGAAACCCATCTAAATAGTGATAAAATTACTTGAGAGTCCGGGAAAAATACGTTCGTTATTATTGTAAAATATCAGAAAAAGATGAACCACAGGTAAGTTAATCGACAAAATATGTTTCAGTTGCAAGTTCAGGCATTTTTTACGTTCATCTAATTATAAGTTCATCATTGATTCAGTTATGATTTTTTCACGATTTTAACAAAACAGCAACCCGCCCAAAGAGGGATAATTATGGTTTCTTGAGGCACTCGTTTCTCTTATTTGGCGCGCTAGTCCAATCTCGCTGCGCTTTTTGCGCGTTTCATCCAATCGCTACGCGCGCCGCAAAAATAAAGTCAACGATGTTCCATTCTAGAAATGACGCTCTCTGTTAATCCCTCTTTTTTCTGGTTTGAGAAAGGACTGAATTCGAAATTGGACGATTTTTGTTTTTGTTGAATATCAATTTATTCTACATATTCTATGTGCTGCATGTGTGTTGTTATGAAATCTCCTACAGTTGTTGAACAGAAGGAAGGAAGTTGACAGGAAATGCTTAAAAGTAACATGCAGCGGGTTGCTACAGTCGGCATTGATAATTAAATATTACGTAATTGTCGATAATGATGAGATAAGTTGAATTAAATATTTTATTTTCATATTTTGTCGGGGACCGATTTTAGATTGCACGTTTTTGGTTGTTTTTTTGAGAGGAACGAAGAGTACTGTACAAATTTTTTGCTAAAAAGTGGTTGAGACTTTGACTGCCGACAGACTCGAAGGATGGAAACGAACAAGATTGTAACAGAAAAAGTAAGTGGGCAGCAAAGCTCGGAAAACAAGGCCGCTCCTCGATGGTGTTGTTTCGAGAAGTTAGGTTTTTTATGAAGAAGGAAGGGAGGCGATTTACAATTCGTCCTTGATCTCGTCCATGATGTCGTCAAGGTCTTCATCGTCGTAGTCATCGAGGTCTCCGAGTTCGTCCTCGTCCTGAAAAGAAAGTTTTAATGACTGTATTCAAGGAGGCGCCTTACGAAGTCATCTTCTCCGTCTTCATCGTCGTCGCTCTCGGCGGCCTTGGCATCCTCCTCGGCCTTCTTGGCAGCTTGTTCGGCTTCCATAAGTTTAAGAATCTCTGCGGCTTCGGCAGCGGCTTCCTCTTCGCTGTCGGTCATGAGGAAGTTGGAGAAGACAGTTCCGGCTTTGACCTTGGAAGTGGTTAGATTCAGTTATCTTCTGTTTTTATCTCACCTGCCAGAGATCGAGACCGACTCGACCGAAATCGTCATAAGCGTAGATGGAATCATCGGGGGAGTATTCTGGGTTGTCGATTTCTGGGTGCACCCACTTTCCTTTGTAGGCGGGGTTCTTGATGTTCTTTGGCTTCCACTCGCCTTGGGAGGGGTTAGACAAGAAGGATGAAAGTACGCGGTACCTTTGTAGTCTGGGTTGTCAACCATTGGTGGCTCCCACTCGCCGTCCATTTCCTCGTCCCAATCATCGGGCATCTCGGCGTCGGGGTCGGCAATGTGCTCTGGCTTGTCCCAGTCCTCGGGCTTGGTGTCGTCTGGGTCGGGGATCTCTTCTCGCTCGTCCCATTCTAGTGGCGATTTCAGAAAGAGAAAATTATAGATGAAAGTTACCTTCTTGGGAAGGCTTGGAAGCTTCTGGATCCTTGATTTTCTTGGCTGGGAGGAAGTCCCAGTCCTCTTCGAGAGCTCCGGAGGCGGTTTCTTCGTTATCAACGAGGACCTAAATTGGAAAGATGAATCTTTGCACAATATGCTTTTCCTTGATTTCAATCCGTGGGAACTGGTAAAGAAGTTTACCTTGTATTTGTTGTCTGGAGTAACGACGAGGGTGTAAATGTGGGTGAGTTCGTCATCCTTGCACTTGACGTCCTTCTTGATCAAATGGTTCTTTCCCTTGTAGTTGAAGATGACGTGGATGCGCTTGGTGCTGTATCCGCAAATGTCGGGGCCGAACATAATGTTGTACTCAGAGTCACCGTGCATGTCATCGCCGGTAACGGTAGAGGGGAAGAGCTATAAAAAGCAAGATGAAATTAGAAACGCCTCGAGATTATGTTTAGCCAAGATAATTGCAAATGCAATTGGTTTATCGGGCAGCGCGCCAAAAAAGCTTTTGAAGAAAAAAAGCGTCAACGAAAAGTGGTTCAGCAAGAATTGACAATGTCATCTGTGGCTGTGATTATTCGATTTTATGGGCTTTAATTATTCTCTTGGCAAGAGTGAGAATATTATTATTGATCAAAGTCTTCTGTGGTTGGATAATAAATTTATAATTTCTTTGCTGAAATAATTTTACGCTCGAGTAGGTAAAAAAGGGGCAATGTGTGTGTATAGAAAAATAAATAAAAGAAGTGAACGTACCTTAACGTAACCACCTCCGCAGTCGATTTTCTGCTGATGCTGAACTGTGAATTGAACGACAAGGGTCTTGTCCTTGTTGGAGAAGCTTTCGTGGCTGGCGGAGAGGGCGTAGAACTTGGCGTCCTGGGAAGTCTTGAGACCCTTGATCTCGTTCCATTTGCCGGTGGCGAGCTCGAACTTGCCATAATCGTCCTTGTGGCTCGACTGGACCCATCGGGACTCCCAGCCGTCTAAAGTTGCGATTAGATAATTTTGTGGCTTTCGAAAGTCGCCTTGGCAATGGGTCGACGTTGGTTTCAAACTTTCAAATATTTATTTAGCAAATTTGGCCCGCTTTTTTAATACCCAATTAATTTCTCCGGCGTTCACGGCGGAAAGGTCAATGATTGACTAAAGCATTGTACCATTCAAATTCGAAAATTCGAATTTGTGAAAGGAAATTCTCAATGAAGTGTTTTTACAGCTACAGGAAATTTGATTTTCCGTATTTCGGCGAAGAAAATCATCATCCGAATCTGATAAAAAGGAAAATTGAAAGGCTTTAATCGTATTTAGATATAAATAAAATTAAAAAATAATCCATCTTTGAAAATCCACCTAATCCCCTTTTCTCCTGGTCGAAATTTAGTTTTTGATAAGAAATAATGAATTTAATTTTGTCTTTCGATGCTGGATTTCTACAATAACACCAATTTTAAAACCAATGTACAAATAACCGTTGATAGGTTCAAGTATTCTATCCCGGCATAAAACAGTTCAAAGCGCGCCCAGGGGCATGCTGTAGTATTTCATGTATGCGTGTTTCTAGAGCTGTTTAGCTACCTTGGGAGAAGTCTTCCTTCCAGAGGACTTCGGAAGCTGCAGTGACAAGAGCGCTGGGGCGATCTTCATGATCTTCGTTGTTGTTCTCTTCAAAGGATGCTCGAGAAAGAGCTGACTCCGATCGACTTGGGGATTCGACGAGTGTGTTCCGAAGCTGCTTTCTTTCAAAAACGCCACTCGAACACGTCACCAAAAATGGAGCGGCTCGATTCGCTTGCCTCCGTCTCGAAACGGCCAATCGAACAGCGCCGCTTCATACAGCGAAGCAAAAAATCACTGATAATGGAAGAATCGCAATTTGCAACTGGGTCATCAAACTGATCTATCAAAATATGCAAGATTGATAGTTCAATCGAAATAAAAAAAAACGAGGAAAACTAAGCAAAATTCACAAGTTTTGGTCTTTTTTTGAAAAAAATTTAATTAATAACATAAATTAATAGCCAATTAATTTAGCAATAAATGAAACATTTGTTCAGACAAACAAAGAATCGATTTCATAAGGAGGCACTTTAAGCGGCTTTTCTGCCCTTTTAAATTGGACAATTGACCTTTTCAACGCTTTCAAAAATTGGCTGATATGTTGCTTTTCATAGGAGGCTACACTAGTTATCATTCGAAAAGTTGCATTCGAAAAGCATTTCTCAAAAGAATTGATTCATTGTTCAGAAATTTATTAGGCAAAAGTAATCATCAAAATACAGGGGCTCATTTTTTACATTAGTCTTCGCTGATTTCAACTCAAGTATCGTGAAGTAGTTCCACGGAAATTCGTTTGAAATATGGTCTATCTGGAACTTTAAATTGCCACGTGGTTTGTTGCCCTCCTCTTGTGTCGTCCTTACTTTCAATAATTGAGGTTTTCTTTTGAATTTCACCAGTTTCGCTATCAACCAACTCGAGTTTTGCCTTGAACCTTTGCTTCCCCTCTAATAGAGGATTATTTTCATCATATACTTTTTTTACTTTACCTTTGTTACAGATAGTAAGAGAGTAGTCATTCTTTGTTTTCCTTTCATTTGCGATTGGATTGTCCACTCCGACAACCCTGAAGCTTCCATGAGACACATCGAAATCGTAAGGGCTCTTTATTTCAGTTGTTAATTTTTACTCCCAAAAAGACTCTTTTGTAAACAAAGTTCTGCTTCGCAACTTTCCTTGAGATTGAATTTCTGCAAACCACCTTCCAACACCATCGGAATGAGCTTTTCTCGCTTATGAATTGTCGGTCTTCCATCAAACTCGTCAGTATCCGTGAACCAGCCCTCCGCTTTCAGCTTTTGAAAGATTTTGAAGTGCTTGTCTTGTAGGCCGAAATTGCGGATAGGTGGTTTTCTAGGGGCAATTCGATTTCGGATCGCAGCAGGAATAATGTTTTCGTTTCGCAAAAGGTCGGCAGCGGTGATAGTTGTGCGTCGTTTGAGCTGGTCGATGTACTCGGCAAAGGATGGATCGCTAGCGAGGTCTCCTGCAGTAGGCCGAAGAATTGGATCCTTATTTAGGCATTTTTCAGCGACTTTTAGCAGGTCCTTGAAATCATCAACATCAGCGCCTCTTCCAACACGCACATTGTCTCGAGATCCCATTAAAATATTGTCTCCTTATTAAGTTTTTATTGATTTTGTCGAAAACGAGCACTTACTAAGCTCATTCAAGTCATTATTTCCGCCATATGGGGTGTAAAAAGCGTGTCGAAGGGTGATCATCTCTTGGAGAATCATCCCAAACCGGAAAATATCGGAGCTAGAATTCTTCTTCGATAACTTATCCCCACGAATCTCTTGTGGTGTTTCATATGGAACTTTGATGAACTCGTCCGGATTGTAGATACTATCCGGCAAATGAGACGCACTGCCAAGGTTGCCAAGCTTCACCTAAAATAATGTAGCGTTGACAATGAGATATCTTTATTTGGTTGCATACGCATATCTTATCTTTGCAAAGAAAAACGTTTGCCGGCTCAAGTTCTTCGTGGCTGAAACCTCTTCCATGGCAGAATTCTAGCGCGATGATAATTTGCGCAGCTATCAGACCGATTGTTTTCAGATCGAGTTTTCGGTTGGCTCGCTTGGTGTCATCGAGGAACTCTCGTAATGTGCCTCCTTCTGCATATTCGGTCACGAGGAATATCATGTTTGAGTTAGGATGAGGGCCCCAAGATGGTTCTTCGATAAAATGATCGATGTAATTCAGCAAATTTGGATGATCTAAATGTAAAATTACTAAAAATATTTTTATCGGTTGCTTACTGGCATTTTGAAGTTGAGCAGCTTGCTCAAGAGCGAAGTCTTTGACGACCTGGCCTCTGTCGAATGTCCCCTTGATCATGACAAACTTATTCTTCTGAATCGCTTGCGCTTTGACGGTTTCATAGAGAGGGATCGGATTGTCGAATTGCGGATAAAGACCGATGTTTGGGACTTCTCTTGTCTTGAACTTCTCTACAAGTCTGTACCTCCCATTTTCAAGGAAACAAGAACTCATTATTGAAAAACTAAAAACCGTTAGGAAAAAATACTGTGAAAACGAGATGCGAGCTGCTGACCTGATGAGTCTATATTTGCGTTATTTGAATTTGCTATTTGAACAAACAAGGAATTTTCCTTTTTTAATTCTAAAAAGGAAAATTGAAAATTATATTCTGAAAGAATTTCGCTTTATTCAAGCAGAATGATCTATAATTTCTTCACATTGATTCCATGCTGAGGTTGCTCGTCGCAAACGCAAGTGCCCGTGACTTCGACATCATGGAGGACTACGGTAGTCTTTGAGCGCACTTTTGCCATGATGGAAACACTGAACTTGTATAAGCCTTTATTGTGATTATAAATCATACTCTTGGTAAGATCGGAGTGGAGTGTTTTCGATGCAAGGGTCTTCTTCGAAGCTCTCAATTTATTTTTAAGTTTTAAAAAGTAATAATCGTAAGAAACCTTTCGTGGTTTCTGCGAAACAGAGCCAAAACCCTTGCTCTTCTGTATCTGATGCGAAAGTGTCGACATTCTAAATAAGATAGCCACGTTTAATATCGCTATTTTTAAAGAGTTTAACAGGAAAATTTTATAAGGCTATCAGCTTGTTGTTAGCCAAACTGATAAGGCCAAATGGAACGTTTTCTCAAAACGATTCTGCGACTCATGACTCGCAGTGGCATTCATCAGCGATCGCCATATCTTCCAGCTCCGTGTTGCTGTAAACCCGCAGCGCTGTCTTCACTTTTTCCAATGTTATTAAATAAATAGGCGGCAATTATAGCGGTTTTTAACTAAAGGTAACTATTACTGTTTTGGTTCAACGAGGCGAAAACAAATTTACCCTCGGTTTGAAACTAAAGATCGTTTAGATTCTAGACATCTTTTTTTGTTTTAAAGAACCGTAAATATTTGAGAAATTTAATTAAAAGTCATCATTATCATTAACCGAAGTCCTTATCTAGGCCATCTTTTGATATGCTCATTTAGCTATATAAATTAGTAGATATTCTAAAAGCGAAAAACAAGGAGTTCAGAAGAGTTGAATAAAGACAAATAGCTCTCAATGCATCACAATAACGGTTCCTATGAAGGTATGAGTCGACGAGCGTGGTTGAAAGTCTGAAGAATAGATAAATTACAAACTTGGTCTCTCTCTCTCTTTGAAAATTCGACGTTCGTTGTTCAAAAGAGTGTTCCACTTACCGAAGCAAATCTTATCTCCCTTTCTGTACGAGCCTCCCGCCGTCTCTGGCATTTCGTCCTTTTTAGCTTGGCGTAATCTGTTATTCGCGAGCACTGGAAAGCAATTTTCCAATGATGAGATTTTCCGAAAACGCGTCTGTTTTATGACAACGCTCTTTCCAGTTCAACTGAGCAAATGATTTTCGCAAATTTTGATGGATTAAATCCGGCTCGAAAAAAGATTACTGAATAATGGGAGCCAATAGAAGTTGATCAGATGATTACAGTGACATACTGTATCCTGCAAATAACACTTGTTAAATATGCATATCTTTTTGTTGCAAACCGTATTGGCGTCGGAAAGAATGATCGATTAAGAATAGTGAAATTAGGAATACTCGCTGCAATTGAAAATTCAGAAAAGAGTCATAATCGACTCCATCGACTGAGCCTGGATAATTATCCAAATTCGCTCAATACTGATGTAACCCCTCACAAAGAGAATATTCCTCATTCAAAATATGTCAAACAATATTAAGGGGAGTCCACACGATGGCGCAACAATATGCAGACTGTCCGAGGACTTCTGTCCGATGACGACACGCGGATCACTTACAGTTGTGAACTCGTTATACACGCTTTGAGCAAAGAAGAGAATATAAACTATATAGTCCTGATTATATATCGTGTTTACTAGGCAAATTATTACTTCCGTTTTTTCGTAAGAAAAACAGATCAGTAAATTCACTTTCTACTAATCTGAAGAATAAACTAAGATGGCTGACCCCAAGGAGCTTCAAGTGAAAACTTTCAAAGGTACAGTAATAAATATTTTATAAAGGATCGAATTTTAATCAAATAATTAATCAAAGACACTCGCGTTCATGATAAGTTTCCCTTAATTTCTCACGACAGATATCGATTCTGTAACTGAGTACAAGAGAACCGCAGATAATGAGACTTGAAAAACAGGTTATAAGATATTCATATTATGCGGATATGTGTCAAAACGGGATAAACCGCCAATTGTCGACCGCAATTTGTCGAAGAAAGGTCGATCCCAATATTTGTCTTCATTGATGTTTTGACTTCACGTTTCTGAACTGTCTGCTATCCATGTGAATATTACATAAATTCAAGGAGCTCAACATCTTGGATAACTTTATCGGCTGCAGAGCCATTCCGGAGCTAGAATCGTTATCGCCGCTTGTATCTTGTTAAATAACAATTCGATTTTTAAACGTTGGAATTGATCTAAAATGAAGCCAGCATTCATCCCTTTCATTTCGAGCGGAAGACCATATTAATTGAAAGATCATTAAATTCCGATTAGACTATAGTATTTCCTGTCATAACAAGCAATTTAAGACTTGATGCCCTACTGTGCGACTGCTGAATCTACCGATTTATTTCTCAAGAGCGTCTTGAACGAGATTCTCAACTACCTAAAGGACCTCGTTCTCAAAAAACACACATCGCAACAAAAATGAGCATAATCTGCGAATGCCCTGAATCCTGAAAAAAGACTCCCATGTCGTTAATCCGCGGTTCCCGTAAAATTTTAGAAATTCATGTGAATTTCCTCACATTCTCTACTACAGCATTATGGGAGCTCCAAAGATACTCGAAAAGCTGACAAGTTGTAGAACGAGGAATTAGGACTCCAACGACCGATCGAAAAAAGTATTAGACTTTCATCACCCACGCGATATGTTTGATTTTAAAGGAACGGTTGATTATTTAATTGAATAGTTCAATCCTAATCCCGTCTTTCTAATCAGTGACACCGGAAAATTCGAAACCTCAAATTAAGACTTCAAAATACGACTTGCGCCCGGCGACGCTCCAGCAAGTTTAGAAGAACTGGTTCAAGCAATCCATCATACTTTCAAGTATTCCGTCAAAACAGGTGCGTTCGTTTATCTTTTATTTTATAATTTACACAAAAGGCACAGTATTTTTTCGTATTTGTGTTTTGGCCACACCCTCACTAAGGGGTATTAATAATACCGTATTATGAATTAATTGTCAACGATTATTGGGGTAGTCTAAAAGCCAAATATTTAAATTTTGAGGGCTGAAATTTTGGTCAATTTGGCAATTTTCGCGAATAAGGAGAACTTTGATTGAATATTTCTAATATTTTTGAGGTTCAATATATTCGAGAAAGCTGTAGTCTATAGTGAGGCGCTTATCTAATATTCGATTAAAAGAAAGTGACTAAAACGCGAAAAACCTGGCGTGTGTTGACAGTTTAATCCCGGTTAATACAAGAGTGCACGAATCTATGCTTGAGCCGCTGAACAAGATCCGGATCATCTTTGAGCAGATCGGCCACCTCAATCGGATTCTACGACGCGGTGTCCCTCGTTTTTAGCTTTTAAAAAACAATATCGGGGGTTTATTGAATGCTTAGTGTTCAGTCATGAGGTCACCGGTACCTTTATCCTGTCTTCTTGATAGATGCGGTGGAAGTTTTGAACGATGCTTAGTAAAACGGTTCAAATTTGGTCCTAAAAGTTTACGTTGCAGAAATATTAAACTATCTCTCATTCAGTAAGATAGTCTAACTGACAGACATGTACTTTGAAAATTTCCATGAACCAAGATTAAATGCAAAGCTATGGTTAGATAAGAGAAACTCAATAATTTAGAACCGGGCCTAGGAACAGGAAGGGCCACACATATTACTCCTGTCATTGCGCAAACGAAGCCTTGTCACGGGATCTTTCAATCGTTTCATGCTTAGATTAGAGTGGTGAAAACATGGCTCAAAATAGAAATTAGTATTGATGAAATAATATGGTTTCAATAATGTGGTCATTATTTGATGAAAGATCCCTGTCGACACATTTACCAAGCGCAGATATTGGCACTACGTCACCGTAGCCTACTGATAAATGAGCTCAGTATAATTTCGTGAAGGTTTACTCTCCCTTATGGGTGTCAACATCGATTTGAGCAAAGTTTTGCCCCTCGTATAGGTTCATTTGTTAAGTTTTTTCTTTGTTAAAAACATTTTCAAAAAGACTGATCGCCTCATATTATTTCGAGCTCAATTACTGTAGTCATCGTTACAACGCACCACCAACAGGCTGCAGGAATTGATGAGAAACCCTCGTTGAAGTCCCTTTCGATGAAATACATGACTGTGGAGAATATGACCATAGAGACGATAAAGAATAGGATGAGGAAAGAAAACTCCTTGACTGATGTTGTGATGGTCTTATTTTTGGGCTTCTCAAACCTAGTTTTCGTTTGAATTCCGCTGATTCGATGTTTGGATTTACGGCGGCTTGAGTTTATTTAACTCTCACCGGTAAATCAAACACTCGATCTGTCACTTTACCGTATCTAATTGATCTATAATAAGCTTGAGCTATTTTACGCGCCGGCTGTTGAACTAAAGGAAGAGCTCTCTTCCCAAGATCAGTGAAGCCATGCCTTGATGAGCGCGTTTAAATTACGGGAATGACGGCTTTTGTTTGAGTTCGAACTTTGATCGATTCAAATTGAAGCTAAGCTACTTTTTTCGAACCAGTCCTGAGCTTGGCGAGGCGAACAACTCGTAGTATACGAATAATCCTTGTCTTGGGTGCAGCACTTCTCTAAAACGCAAGATAATGTAATGCTGAATTTCATGGTTTCCGCGAGCTCGATTGATCGATAGATAAAGAAGTGTGTTCAAAAAGTCCAACCATGGCAACTTGAAGTTATGGGCGTCCATAACTCGATAAATTCTATTTATTACTAGTAGTTATGGCCACGTTTTGCACCGGGTTCCTTAAGACAACCAAGAAAGCAACGTGATTCGTACTGTATCTCTTCTCCGAGTTTTCGTCCACAACATATTTTATATCAATCTGGCGAGGGATATTGAATTGAAAGCTCAATCTTGTTATCATCAAACACCGGGCAGAATTAAACTAACCAACTCGAAATAAACAATACGACAATGTGTTCAGTCGAGTTTCTTATTCAAAAAATAATTGCTAACCGGAAAATTATGAAAGAAATAAAACGTGGTGGAAATTAATGTATCTGGTAGTAAAATTTCTTGAAATTAAATAAAAACAAATTGCTCAATTTTTTGAATGAAAAGTTTCTTCGTCCCGATCTTATTTAAAAAATTGAAGAGTAATTCTTCCTTTTTATATTTTCAAAATATCAGTTCAAAAAAAATTAAGTGGATGTCATTCGGATGCAAAACGTGTGCGATCCCTGAAGTAGAACCTTAGTATCGGAAATAGGATGAGGAAACATTACGGGGGATCTCACTCGTTAAGATTTCCGACGACACGGGAGAAAACATGTTGTTATTACGAGTAGCGTCCTTCTTTGATAATTATTTGTAGTGCGCAATTTGCATAATAAGGACTAGGGGATTCAGCCACTTGTTAGACAGGATGATTATATGTATGCGCTGGTTGACGGTAGACATCTATCGTATACCGGACGCTAAAGTGGGTGGAGAATACGTAAGGGCGGAAAGTAGCGAGAATAAGGAGAGAAGCAAGAAAGAAAAAGCTTTTTATATCTCAGAGCGATTCAATACCCTTTCTCAGTAAGGAAGTATAAAATGGCAAGATCGCTACGATATCCACAATGTTCAGCGGCGTCATGCAAAAAGTCCTTATCGAGGGACACGAGAACAGTCGTAGAATCAGTTCTAGCGTAAAGAACGCTATGCATATCGACTCGACGATAAAGAACGGGAATCCTTTGAGCTCGCTATTCCAGGGCTTGAAATTTTTTGATTCTAGCGACTCGTCGAAGACCCAAATGGGCTCGTCATCTGTGCCCTTGTTGACATAGTTGTCATCGTATTCTGGCAGTGTTTCCAGGCAAAAGGACACGGTTGAAATGAGGATAAAAATGACGGAAAGAAGGGACATGAAACGCCCACAGCAACTTTGATCTTCATTATCTTGAGGGTTCAAATTTTTGCAGATGTAGATGATTACTGTTGATACTGGCATCATTCGAGAGCTAGGAACAAGGCAATGTAATGCTGTCGTCCGAGTTGTCGTTGCTCATGTTCAAAGCATTAGTTAATAATTTTGAGTGAACCCTTGCCCATTATTTTCCATAAATTCTTTCTGAATTTGCCCAGAAAGCGGTACTGAAACATGTCCCTCCGCCCATGACGACGTGTATTCAGCGCTTGCGAGGTTTCACTTATTGCCTCTTTGTCGAAACGCACCCTCTTTCCCAATTTTGCAAAAACAACGGACAATATGTCAGTGCAATTGAAACCCGGTTAACATAATGGTCAAGTTGAAAGAAGATAATATCGTCGACGAAAGTTTCCAAGCTTACGCTTGGCGGCCGCTCTAAGTATCCTGAGGTACAAGTTAGACGTCACTGCTACCCGAGATAGAGAAAAGGGGGCTCTTTCTTACTATAAAAATTTCTCACAATTCATTTCATATTGACTAGTAGACATCTAACTCGATTCCTTGCGACTGGTAGAAATACAAGATGGCTGGGAAGGACTCTCGGTTCCGCTCAAAGTAGTATTCGTTAGTCCTGAAATTCGTAAATGCAGATTCTGCTGCTTGAGGTGCTTACTCGTCATGAAAGAAATACTTCCGTGTTTTGGCATTTCCCAACAACGTATCGGGATAGTGCTCTAGCGTTGAACTCCATGTCTTGTACTCCATTCCTGAAAGTAGTTGACACTGGAACAAACATCCCTTTATGACGATACCTGACAAATTCAAGCGGATGAGTTTTCCCAACCCTTTCGGTCCATAAACGGATCGTTTTCTTTCTGAGTGATATTCATTAACTTCCGAGACAGATTCGCTGTTTTCTAAAGGTGGCTGGAGCATAAGAACATTTTCTTCTGAATCTTCAGTCGAGCTCATCTCTTATTTTGTAAATGTTTCTTTCTCTGCCTCTCTCTTTTTTCAGATTTAGCGGCGAAAGTAAGACGGAAGTGCAGCTCGTTACAGTTCTTTTAACGCCGTAAATCAACCTCGAACTTGATCAGGTTCTTCAGCGCTTCTTCAGTTTCCTCCCCTTTTTGTCTTGCATTGCTCTTGCATAAATAAGCCTTTTAAAAAGATCAGTTTTTAAAGATGCAAAATAGATGGAATTTATTCGACAAAATCCATTGGCCCTAGAGTTCAAAGGTGATGAAAGAAAGATGAACTGCTGAAAATTACGTCGCGCCTCGTTATAGCTCAGCAGATTTGAATTTACACTTGTAGCGATTAAATTAGAGAAAATAGAATTATGATTCATAATATTATGACGATCGTTTTCCAATTATTACACCTTGAAAATGACCAAAAGTAACAAAGACACATTTTGTATTTCAAAAAAAAACTGGACACAAGAATGCGAAGCTCTTGAAATATCATAGAAGAAACTGAGATAAAACACGTAATCTCGACATTTTTTGAACCTCCTTCGTTCGGTCAAGACACGTGTAAATGTGACATTTAAAAATGACATGTTACAGGAGGCTCTCAGTTAAGAATGCTCTTGAGCAATAATTAGTGGAAAGGATTTTTTTCTAGGGACAATAAAAGACTGATAGGAAATCAAATTGCATTCTTCGGATGTCAGATGTTTTGTTCTTCTTTATCGAAAATTAAGGACATCCGCACTACCTGAACCAGCTCTCGAGCGGCGTGGACATTGTGACCTTGGCTGCCGACTGGATCATCGCCACTTGCAACACGAACATGTAAGACATAACTTCCGGCGTGTTCGAGTACTGCCGCCTTCGATATTCAGCTCACTCTTTTTCAGGTTTACCTACGAGATAGCTCCGGTCTTCGTACTGCCAAGGGTTCACATCATGTTTGACTGCGGCTCTGCATACGGAAATTCGCGAGAATATCGCAACCTGAATATTCGTTTTGTAGAAACGTGAGTTTTAATAGCACAACTATGTCAATTTATTCAACAACCGTCGAAATGACGATTAGATGAACACGCAAAAAATGTTGATATTTGTGAACCCGGGGAAAAGATGGAAGAAGAAGTACTGAACAAATTGGCGATCCAAGTAGGGTGGCACTCCTTCGACGGAATTCTTTCGCCGGGCGGGAGCATTAACAATCTCTACGCTTGCATGATCGCCCGGCAGCGCTCAATGCCATGTAAGTTTAGAATCTCTCATGTATGATGCTAGAGAGAACTACAGTAGAAGAAATAATCGGAAAACGTGTCTGCTGATTGATTATTGAATAGACTTTGAATTCTGATCCTTCCGCGAGCTTTTTATATTTCCGGGCGGAAGATATCTGTGTTTTTTTTTGCGAAACGAGCAAAAATATTTTGATTGAAATAATCAGCTTTGATTTCAGGCGCAAAGGAGCTGGGACTCTTTGGGCAACAACGACTCGTCATGTTTGTTTCTGAAGGTAAGAAGAAGAAGCAAAACAGTTTCGGAATTCGGAAAACTGGACCCTTAAAAACTCGAAAGGAAAAATCATCATCTCGTCAAGCGTGGCTGAAATTGGATTGAAAAAGAAACGCGGCCCTTGATTATCAAATTATTTTCCCTTTCCGGGTCATCTCGAAGGAGGGCTCTCGTTTCGAAGATCATCTAACCCTCCGAAACTCCTCTTGAGTTTCAAGTTTTCTTCACGTTTTGATCTTTGCGCGGATTTTCCAATAGATCTAGTAGGCGGCATCTGCCTTGTCTTGAATTCGGCAGCTTTTAACTTTCATAACTCAGGAAGAACGGTATGTTACACAATGTCTACTCAGTATGTACTGGGCAAAGATACTGAAACTAAGCATTTTCTTCAAGAAATAAGTAGTGAAAGTAAATTCTAAAAACTGCCAATTCGGTCCATTTCAGATCAGCTGTTTAGATTTTCGATTCTTCACGGTGCATTTCTTCTCGCCTAACTAACCTTTTCTAAGTGAATCAAGCTTAGAGTGCCTTATCGAGAGCTTTCACGTGTTCTAACCACACGGTGATTTGCGCCCCATATTATTACTGCCTCGCTAATCCAACAGTAACGGTTGTTTCAGACGCTCACTATTCCAACATGCGGCCCGGGATCATCCTCGGCATCGGACTCAATAACGTCGTCGCCGTGAAGGTCGATAAAAGGTAACGCAAAATAGCGAAATTTCACTTGATTAACACTACTGCGAAAATTGCTTGAGTAAAAATTCCATTAGCATTTATAAATTTTTTGGTTGTCCAGAGTGTCCGATCCAGATTCAATTTAGAAACTCTTGCATAAAAGAGAAAAAATTGTAAGCAAAACTGAAAACACTGCTTATGAAATATCTTATCACCGAGAAAAAGCTTCGCAAATATAACTTGTAGCTATGAACCCATGGTTCCGATGAGAACTAAAACTTATCACGCTCTTCTCTGATAAGATACACTCTTCTCGCTTTGGCCGTCAATTTTCCGACAATGTTTCACAAAAATAGCTACCTTTAGCAGCTCGGAAGTCCCGCGCCAAGGAAATTTGCAGTTAGATAACTCACTGGAAAAACACGAAACGCGCTCACTCTAAAAACCAGCAACTGTTTTTGCAGTGCGCGTTTTTCTTTATGGGAACGTATAGAAAGAAAAAAGGGGGCTTCTATTCATCAAAGATAATTTATGGCCGGGTTTCAATGTAATTATTTATTTGAACATAAAAAAAGTACCTTCATCAGCAAGACGGTTAGATTGAGGGCAATTACAGCATCTTCTAAATTCTGACTAGCAATCGCTTCCTGTATTTACATACAATTCTAGAGGCGCAATGTGTGTGGATGACTTGCGGGCCCGAATCGAAGAAGCCAAGGGCAAAGGATGGAAGCCATTCCTCGTTATCGGGACGGGATCAGAAATCAATTAAAGCAAAAGTAATTAGCGAACGGTCAATTCTGCGAGCGACCTTTTCGCAATTTTGGTTGATAAAAGTTTAACTAGAACATGAAAGCTAAACATTATTTTTTCTTAATTTGAAGGTAGGATTTTTTTGCTTTTAAAACTTTAATTGAATTACTTCGTCGCTTTTTCTGAATCCCACATGAAGCTACTGCTGGAACAACAGTTCTGGGTGCTTTCGACCCAATCGCCGAGATTTCTAAAGTAGCTCAAGAACACGACATTTGGCTTCACGTTGACGTAAGTTTAGAAATGCACTTATCTTCGAAAGTGGCTTTTCAGCCGATAAAATCTCAAACAGTGACCTTGTCTTAGTAAGAAATTGCCAATTAGGCCCGGTGCATCATTTCATATAAGTCTTTATTGCGAAAAATGTTTAAACTAAGCCGCTGTCGCGAAAATTCACAACAGGTGTTATTACACGGTTCAAAACACTACGTAACAAGCTGGTTATGAATCCCCCACTCGAGAACCCAACGTGATCGTAAAAACGTGCAATGGCGAATTCTACATTCCCAAAACAATGACAACTTTTATGTACCTTCTATTTTGATAATACTCGCACTTAGTAGTGGAAATGATCGAACATGAATAAGACGCGTTTTGGAGTAAATAGACAGAGTATTTTCATCCATTATCAATAATGGATAACTTAGTTAGAAATCGACAAGCAGTGGATAACACCTGGAACTGAATATATTTTCTCAAAGCGTTCCAAAACAAGAAATATTTTTCTTCTTTCAGGCAGCTTGGGGAGGCGCAGTAATGGTCAGCGAAACTCACCGTAATCTCATTGAAGGAAAAGGGTTCGCGAAAAAAGACAATCGCGAATTGATACGATTTGCCACCCAATTTTCAATTTTCTGGATTATTAAATTGACAAAAAATAATTTCCCTCGGTGATCGAATTTCTCCCTCCGAACCTTTTCTCAAGGCGTTCATCTTGCAGATTCGGTCACGTGGAATCCGCATAAACTGATGGGTGTTATTCTTCAATGCTCGGCACTTCTAGTGAGGCACAAGGTAAGAAATCGGTTCTTACGTGATTTAAACTGTTCTCGACGCCAATCTCGTGCATTTTTACTGAATACTTGAAAGTACACGAACTATATCCCCGGTTAGTAGGTGACCGCGAAAGTTAAAAGGGCTAGAATAATCATTTTCGTGTTCGGGCAATGCTGAAATTTCGCCCCAGATATTTCCGAATGTCTGAGTGTTTGGCGTTTTGGGATTCTTGTGACTTCCTCGATGGATTCTTGAGATCCAGAGGCTGGGAAATCGTTATTTCTAAACTATAAACTTGATCAAGGGTCTCCTGAGTGCGTGCAACAACATGTCCGCCGAATACCTATTCCAGCCTGACAAGCACTACGATGTCCGTTACGACACTGGCGACAAGACTATTCAGGTAATCAAAAAATCATCCCTCTAAAATTTTAAAATCTAAAATTCTTTCGCGAACATTTCAGCGAACACGTGATTTTTTGATCAATCTTGTACTTTTACCCGCACTTCCTAAATCAATCAACAACGATAAGGTCTATCAATGATGGATAATTAATAAAATCGGATACTGTTTTAAGACTTTCAAAAAAATAACAAAGATTTTGGTTTCAAAAGAAAATCGTGAAATCACGTTTTTCATCCTTTTCCATAAATTTAAAATGTCAAATTCGCAAAATTCAGTGCGGCCGGAGACCAGACGCCTTCAAGCTCTGGCTTGGCTGGCGAGCAAAGGGCATCTCTGGATTTGCCCAGTCGGTCGACAAGTGCCTGGAAATGTCCGAATACTTCGAAGAGGAGATCCGAAAGCGCCCGGAAATGTTCGTCCCCGTTCTGGAAAAGGGATGGTATGCGAATATCTAGGGTAAACGCACAAAAAATCAGCTTTTTTTCTAGGGGTCGTAGAAACTTAATTTTTGGTGACGTGATTGCTCAACATGAAAAAATGATATTTCCGAAAAAAATTTTTTGAAAAAACCACCTGACATCATTCTAGCGCCCTCTAAAGAGCTCAAAAAAACTATTTTTCGAGTGGATAAAGTTGAGAAGTCGTGAATAAGTTCGTTTTATTTGCAGTGGCTTAACGTTTTCGGAACAGCAAAAGTTCCATCATCAGAGCCGAAGTCTTGGAGTTACTTGTAAACCTTCCAAAAACAGACAAACGTACCTTTTGGTGAAAACTGCAGAACTGATCAAGCTCCCAAAAACAACCATCCCTCCAGATAGTGTTCTAGAGAATTTAACCCATTAAAAACTCGAAAATTTGTCAGAGGCTCCTACTCAATTTTACAATGCCTCTGACTGGTATTACAAAATAAAGATTTTCCTATGCTGTATCTGTTTGTTTAAACTGGGATTTTTCAACGAAATTTCAAGTCCCTCTACTTGTTTTCGTTTGTCATACGATAGATTCTTATGCAGCAGGGTAAATTTCGATTTGAGATATTCAAACCGGGACTTCGGGTTATTTTGCTGATACTTTTCATTAAATCCTGTCTGAAAAACCTCACATGACTGAGTGTGTGCGTATACAGCTGTATCTTTTGATTTTTGCCCGTGGTCGCGAATTCTCATCAGTAAATTTTCGGATTCCCCAATATACTCCTCCCCACAACTACAGACAAAGGAATACACCACATTAATGGCCTTTTCCTCTTCCGGCTTAGGTAAGAGATTGGAGATAATCGTGTTTCTCATCGATACTGTTCTCAACGCCGTATGTAGGCTGAATTCGGGAAGAAAGGTTGAGATAATCTTACGCATTTCCCTCGTTATCCGGGACACCCTTTGGGACGTAAAGGGGATAGAAACTGTAAAATTCCTCTCTGGATGCAAACTTTTTTCCTCTTCCCAATCTTTCTTGTCAACCCTTCCCTCTTTCACCACCTTTTCTACATCACGGATCATTTCTAAGGGATATTCTTGGGCGAGATATTTCTCCTCTATCTCTATAAACTCATCCCCCAGGGTTTTCGGATCTGAGTGTTTATATAAAGCCCTTTTACATTCTGACGTTAGAATACCCTTTTTCAATGACAAAGGAGCAATGTCATTTACAAAATTCATTGGAACAGTGTGTTTTCGATGATTACGAATTTGCAGGGTGTTTGTTTCCGAGGGATAGACCACAAAGTCGAGAAATTTTATCCCTTCAGGACTTGACCTTTCAACAGTTACTTTAAGAGACTCATGCAAATTTTGAAAAACTTCGTTGACTTTTTCGAACGAACCGCGTCGAAAAAAGACAATCGTGTCGTCCAGAAATCTTTTATAGCCTAAAATCACTTTTTCCGAAATAAGTTTTTCGATCTTATCTTTCTCAAGCATAAACAGATAGAAATCCGCTAATTTTGGAGAACTACTGTCGCCCATTGATAGACCCGATATCTGACGATAAGTTCTGTCTGCAAACCGAAATGCAGTTAGTTTTTTCAAAACTGAATCCAAAACTGGTCGGAGAACATTTTTTGGAATTGGTCTTAGCAGTCTTTTATTCTCATCCCGGTATCGAGGTAACATTTTGGATGGCGAATTATCGTCATAAATTGTTTTCAAGAGGAGATGAATCAGGTGAGTTGTATCGCAGCTTGGGTAGAGTTTTACTATATCAAAACTTGCAAAATCAACTTCATCAAAATTGAATTTTTGCTCTTTAAACCATAAGCCGAATTCTTTAGACCCACGAAGTGAGAATTTGCTTTTGAGATTATTTAATAATTTTGCCAAAAAATTTTTATGAAAATTTTCACAAACAGAATTTCTTGCTGAAACTATAGTTCTCATATTAAGCTCCTGCTCGAAAGTTTCTTTATGGCATTTGCCAAGTCCATATGCGTCTTTTATCCTCGAAACCGGTTTATTTCTATTGAAAAAATTCTTGTCCGCAAATTTTTCCATTTTGCGTAAATTTTGCCTCATTTCCAAAGTGTCCTCCTCAGTTGGATCGGAATTTAATTGAATAAATTTTGTCTCATCTGAAAATTCTCGATGCATAGAATTCTCGTATTGAGAACGGTCCAAAATTAAAATAACTGAGTCTTTGTCCGATAAAACAAACACAGTTTCCCTGTTTTCCCGTAAATACTGTCTTATCATCCTGTTACTATTGTCATTACCGAAACAAGTAGTTAATTTTTCGTGAATCGAAGTCAATCTGCCTTTTAAATGAAATTGAGTCATTGGTGTGAGTTGTTGAAATTGATCATATTTTTTTATATGGCCCATCAGGCTATCAAATTGTTGGAGCAAATTTATCGAGTGCGGTCGCCCCCCAAGAGGGGCCTTCCAACCTCTTTCTAGAATGTTTATTATATTAGTAGGAATTTGTTTTTTTGAAAAATTTTTTACTTCATATTTAAGTGGTTTCCGAAATGATTGTTGAATTTTCAATTTGCCGAATTTTAATTGTCTTTTTCTGTCGCGTTCCTCATCTCGGATTCTCGCACGATTTTCTAAATCTAAAATTATTATCATTTTTTCTTTTTCACAACCAATACCTTCTTTCTCAAAAAATTTGGATAGACTTTCATTGAATAATATTCGAATTTCCTCGAGTTTGTAACTACAGATTTTTTGTTCATTAATTAAAATTTTTAATCGTTCCCGCTTAATTTTATTTCGACCCCATTTACAAAATTTTACCACCTGAATTGGGATTTTGGTAAAAATTGGAAGTACTTGATCAGAAACGCAGTTGTCTAAGAAATGCAGCGTTTGCCTGGTCCTGTGCAATTTACTTGCAAGAGTATCCAAGGACTTGAAATCTTGATGTCGCTTGCCATAAGAATTGATAAATGATGACATCTCGTCGATAAATGAGTTCGTTTTATTTGCAGTGGCTTAACGTTTTCGGAACAGCAAAAGTTCCATCATCAGAGCCGAAGTCTTGGAGTTACTTGTAAACCTTCCAAAACAGACAAACGTACCTTTTGGTGAAAACTGCAGAACTGATCAAGCTCCCAAAAACAACCATCCCTCCAGATAGTGTTCTAGAGAATTTAACCCATTAAAAACTCGAAAATTTGAGTAGGAGCCTCTGACAAATTTTCGAGTTTTTAATGGGTTAAATTCTCTAGAACACTATCTGGAGGGATGGTTGTTTTTGGGAGCTTGATCAGTTCTGCAGTTTTCACCAAAAGGTACGTTTGTCTGTTTTTGGAAGGTTTACAAGTAACTCCAAGACTTCGGCTCTGATGATGGAACTTTTGCTGTTCCGAAAACGTTAAGCCACTGCAAATAAAACGAACTCATTTATCGACGAGATGTCATCATTTATCAAGTCGTGAATAGTCTAGTTCGATGCGCCTCGAAATTCTGATCAATTTAAGATAAAAAAATTTAGTGACAATGTCTCTGATCGATCAGGAATCACCCGGAGGACCTTTTGCTTCTTGCTGGAAGACCAATAAAATGCTGGAAGAATAATGATTTTTGTAATTTAGTAAATTAAATCCTAAATTTTATCTAAAATAAATTGATAAATATCATGTGATCACCTGGAGGACTTTTGGAGGACTTTGTCTGGTGGAAGACATCTGGATGATGGAAGAATTCGAAATTTAAAATTTTTATTTTCTGCTTTTTTAAATAAAAACTCTCCCGTCTCAGCCCCGTCCCTGGCTTTTAATTAAAAATGGGCTTGACGGCCCGAAGGGCCGTCTCAGCCCCGTCCCTGGCTTTTAATTAAAAATGGGCTTGACGGCCCGAAGGGCCGTCTCAGCCCCGTCCCTGGCTTTTAATTAAAAATGGGCTTGACGGCCCGAAGGGCCATCTCAGCCCCGTCCCTGGCTTTTAATTAAAAATGGGCTTGACGGCCCGAAGGGCCATCTCAGCCCCGTCCCTGGCTTTTAATTAAAAATGGGCTTGACGGCCCGAAGGGCCATCTCAGCCCCGTCCCTGGCTTTTAATTAAAAATGGGCTTGACAAAGGCCGGGATAAGAAAACAAGACTAAGATGATCAGTCTTAGTTCTGTCCCCAACCCCACCCTCACCCGTTTCTATTTTTTACCATGTTTCCTCTACGGGTTTTTCTATTATGGTGTTTATTTTTCGGAATTTTTATAAGTTTTTATTTAAAGAAAGTGGTTTTTGTGAAGGTTATTTTATATTTTTTTACGTTAAAATATTTCTTTAACTAAATTTAAAAAAAAATTAAAAAGTTTTTTTTTTCAAGCAATGCCTTGTTTTCCTGAAAAAAGTCCTCCCTTAGGTCCTCCAGGAAAAGGGATGAAAAATTGTCATTATTTTTTGGGCTGAAAAGTATTTAGATATATTTCTTTGGTCCTACAGCAATTTTATGTCTTAATTAGTGTTACATAACAAGGTTACGTAACACTCTTCGGCGATTTCTGAGTCATCGGAGATATGGTCACTAAATTTTTTTATGATAATGATCAGGAGCTCATTCCGCGCCGATCTAGCTATTCAAGAGCCCTCTAACATGATCCACTCAGAAGTTAGCATTTTTCCAGGCTTAAAAAGGTTGAAAACCTTAAAAATTTTTTTTGAAAAAAAAATTTTGAAAAGTAGTTATGCATCATCTATTACCATGCCAAGTTTCAGGTCAATACTCTTCCGACGGAAAAAGTTAATTTTTTTGTGCGTTTACCCTACGAATATCTGCTTCTGGTACGTCCCAAAGCGGCTCCGATGCAGACCCCACGATACGATTTGGAAGGCAGAGATTCATAAGGTCGCCCCAGCGTTGAAGGAAAAGATGATGTTTGAAGGGTCCTTGATGATAACCTTTCAGCCACATAAGGGACAACCCAACTTTTGGAGAGCGATCGGTAAGTTGATTTTTATCGATTGGGCGATCGCCGATCGGTTATTCAAGAGATTCGGTAGATGACAGGAAGGAACTAGGCGATTTGATAATTTTTTATAAAAAAAAATATTCGAGGTGAGACTTAGAATCCTATCTTACGTAAGGATAATCTCTCTTAGAAGCCGATTTCGAGTGAAGAAGTTCAAAGAACTTCTCGCGACTTATTATCGCAAATTATCGCCGAGCATGTTCCGCAAATAAGATAGAGCGCTTAAAATTTTACTGCGCCTGATTTTTCATCTATCATTTTTTCCCAATACGAAATTCACAATTTTACGTCATGATTCAGGGTTCATGTGACATGAACTTCAAAGCCATGATATAGGGAGAAGAACATGTTTTCTGGATTTAAACTTGATCCCGTTAGAAGGTCGATTTACCATAAAATTGAGTAGAACGATAAACCGGATCTATTGCAGCTGTAAATGGCAGTTATACCTAGTTTCTTGCAGTACCTAGTTTATGCAATGACATAAACAAAACACTTAGATGATCTCACCAAACAAGGTGTTTGTTAGTGTGAGTACACTCGCCCTGCTGCATCGCAAAGATATTCTCGCTGCACCTGAATCTCAACAAGTCTGAATTTCACTAAAATTTACCTTTCAGTTTCGAATCCGGCGGTGAGAAAGGAAGACATCGATTATGCGATCGCGGAAATGGACCGGTTGGGTGCCCATCTCTAAATTCACAGCGGAAGGAGCGCCGCTGAAATTCGTTCAACTTAAAACTGCTAATCTTCAAATTCACGAAACTTTCTTCAGATCCACTTTTATATACACTTTCCTTATATTCCTTGAGCTGTTCACTCTTATTCTTCAAGATTCTTGTCAATAATAATATTTCTAAAAATTTCATCATTTTCTCGCTGAAAATCGATTGTTGCGGTTTGCCCTTAAATTTAGGGACCCTAAATTTTAGGGTGGGTAAATTTAAGTGACATAAGAAGGACACTGATTTTCAAACCACTGTAGATAGAACAGAACTAGTTATTTGTGGTCATAAGGGTGATTTTTGTTATCAAAGACTTTTGAAATTTGGAATTTAGAAAGAGCGTGCGAAAGCGCTAATTAAAAATTCTTAAAATATTATTTGAGAAAGTGTCAGTATCAGACGGGCAAAGATTAATCCAAAACGGACTCGAGCGTATTTCAAGTTGGCTCAAGACTATTTCCTTGGGTACTTGATTCCAACTTCGTCTCGGCCCTCTTTGGCTCAGCTGGATTCCTTCTCCTCTTGCGAGTTTGTTTTGCGAGTCACTTACTTTCCACTGCGCTTATTTCATCCAAAAACAATTCATGATCTTGTACCGACGCGTTTTCACGTTGATAAGGTCTCTAGTGCTATTTATGGTTTTATTCTGAAACATTTAAAACAGTAGAATCAACTGGAATATTGTATATCTCGTCCATGAAATCATTGCATTCTCTTCGAAATTCGAGCACATAAGAATTTCCACAAAGAACAGAAGTTGGTGGACAGCTAATAACTCCCAGATTTTCATATGTTGGATACCTAAATAACAATGATAAGATAGGATAGGCCCTTAGAGTCCTCGGAAACATACAGAAAATTGTAGAAAATGCCCAAAACTTGATTGAGTCGACAGAGTTTGAGATCATATTCTGAATCCATTCCAAGTGAGTAGTTTGTCGTCGCCCGTTCAAACTCGTGAAATTTATGAGTCTCCGTTACATTGAAAGTAATATTCGCAAGAGGATAATCTGCTGAAGTTTCTTTTGCGAAAATGCTTATTTCATTTGGGATGCCGGGTGATTTTTCATTTTCGGGAAACTCTCCATTGCGAAATGCCATTCCCCACTTTGAGTTACGACTAAAATAATTATCAAATTATAGAAGTGACTAGACTAACCATTCTCTTCCAGGAATAGTTGTGATGATGCTATCGTCGAATTGAGCTTTGAAAAAATTTGCTATTTCTTTGTCATATCTGTAAGGCCCATAAGGTCCGATAGAAAGTAACTCTGTAAAAATCCTATCAAAAAGGAGCTAAAGAATGTAAATGCTTATATTTCAAATTTGCTCACCTCATTGATAGTTTCGTAGAAATACAGCTCGGTGCAATCCGGATAGCAAAAATTCGTTATGTTTTTACTAAAATTGATGTGCTGGGAAGTTTCGTTTTCAAAAAGGCATCCAGTTTCCGCTGCGAAAAACATTCTTACTGGCTCTTCTTCTTCTTGCTGGACGTCAAGGTTGACTTCTTCATTTATGTTTATCGAGGTGTCGTAGAAAAGATTGACCATAACTATTGTTGAAGGTCTGTTAACAAAGTTCTACTTAAATCATCAAATTGATCATTTTTTTATATTTCAAAAGGAATAGGATTATTGTATGAATTCGACTATCCACAGCATATTGAAAGATTTCAGAACTTTTTATAATAACAGCGCCGAAGATGAGACAAATAAAAATTATCCTATTCTCTTTCCGCATTTTTAAGATCTCTTACTTATTCCGCCGTTTGATATGAAAATTATATACAAAAAACGATTTCAATCAACCGCCCTAGTGGAAATAGATGCTGATCTAAGATCAGTGATCTTCACGGCTGAAAGGGCATACTTGCTAATATGCTGATGTGAAACGAACTTCGCTACTACTCTTAGGCCCTAAGAATAAGGGTATGATTGTTTCCATTCAGTTATGCTTTCTAAATGAGCAGAAGTCTTGAAATGGAACATTCGACGAGTCTTTGGTTAGCTCAATTGCCGCCAGCTGGTTACATCAAGCTCAGCGCGACACCTTCTAAGGCACTTGAGGCTCACCGCGATGGAATGCGAATCAAGAAGCAGCGGTCGTTGACACCGGCGGCTGAGATCACTGCGCGCACGTTCGATTTACGGTTCATTACAATCACAAAGCTGCCACTTTGCCGACGGTTGTTCCAAGCGTGAAAATTTAGAAATAAGAGTCACTAAACTTTAGTGATAAGTTTATTATAACGAAAATTTTCGCGTCGTTTTGTCTCCAAACCGCTTGATTGATCGGTGCTTAGACAACGTACTCCGACTGCCGCACTAAAACATCTTTGGACATTTTTCGCTGTGTAGCCCTCAGAGTATACTAACTACCGTTTGTAGAATACGTTTTTGAGGTGAGCCGAAAGCCGCATTCTTCTCAAATATTTTTCATACTCACAAACCTGACAACCTGGAGTTTATTGGAAGGTTCGTTTTTTCCAAATTCCGTCATACTTTTGTTGAAATTAATTAATTCATTTTGCATTTCAAAATTTAAATTTGAAATAAAATTAATCTGAAGAGTTCAAGCGACCACGTGAATGCACGTGAAAAAGAGTAACAGTACCCTGAAAAAGGTTGATTAAAATCCGCTCGTGGAGCAACTAAGATTTAAACTGAAGCTCAAATAAAACAAACACTAATTCCGAGCACGTTGACAATGAAAAACATTACTATTGAAGCTTTTATGACTAAACGTTTTTCTTGATTTTCAAGGAGGAAATCAATCATTTATTGAAAAATAAAACTGTCTCGAAAATGAAAAAATAAATATCGAACAATATAGTAAAAAATGATTCCTCCTTCGGCAAACTAAAAACGCACAATAATCATCTGCCGGTGACTTTTATCCGGTAAACGAAGCTGAAAAGAATCTCTGCCAAGAAAGAGTGATTCAGCATATTCCTTATAAAATCGCTTCATTCAGCGAGAATCCGGCGCAGATAAAAACATGAGGGCTTGGCTTCCTTCTTTCGTTACTTTTGGGTACTGTATGAATATCAGTACTACTGTCGATGCAGTAATGGAACAGGAAGTGTACGAAGAAATTCAAGAGGATTTCAGGCACGGGCAACTTCTTTAACAATTTTTAAACGATAACCAACTGTAACAAAAGAGCCTTCTGAAAAGAGATATCTGCATCTACATACTAGAGGTGCAGAACAAACACAAAAACCCTCAACAAGCCTGCGACATAATCCAACTAATCAACAATCAGCGAAGAAGCCAGTCTTTGATTGAACTTAATTTTCCAACGAAAGCGATTTGCAGAGAAGCTCAAGATGCAGCCAACAAGCTGATATTTGCCGATAAAGCAGGATTATTTTTAATGTGATTAGCGATTCGCTAGAAATCGCTTTTGAGGACATCCGAGATGAAGAATGGCTGCTGAACGAGGTAATAATTGAGTTGATGATTGGGGTAATATTCTCTTTTATCTTTAGAAATTAGATTCAATTTGCCCGGCGTTTAAAACTGATGAGACTTTTGGAAGCTTCCTTGAAGGAAAAAGTTCAAAGCGTGAAGAAAATCGCAAAAAAATTGATGAAAATGTATTGAACTTTTAAATAAGGAAAAGAAACTTACCACACAATGCTCGCCATTAGATACACTTACTCGCAGTTTGACAGAGAGCTCATAGAACTCGAGCAAGGCGACGATATCAGCAAGGACACTTCCGATGACTGGTTCAGCTTCTACGATGACGCGCCGTTAATTAATATTTCAGCAGCTCGCTTATCAGCGCTCAATTTTTCACTTTTTGCAACGATTGCTCTTTTCAATCAGTTCTAAAAAGATAAATTTACGCCTTGTACTTTTCTTATCAATAAATTCTCTCGCTTTCTTATTCAATCTTTTTCTTCCTTTTTGACCCTCTATCACGTTCTTCTCTATCGCCATTTCTGCTAGCTCAAAAGCTTCTACCAGCAACTATCACCTATCAGCAAAAACAATGAGCGGTTAACGAAAAAGAGTGAAACGTTTTTTTCGGAAATCTTATCGAACCTTTTCCGCCATAAATACACGATAAAAGTAACCATATCAGAACCTTTATGACTATTTTCATAATATAAAAACGTGTTATAAAAACTGCTAAGCGGCGAAAATATCAGCTTTATTGAACTTGGCTGGCTTGTTTTGAAAACCAGACGAAACGGAATAAGCTCCTTGCCAGGGTGGGGAAAAGTCTACGGCACGGCACGGCACGGCACTGCGGCACGGACACGGCACGGCACGTGCCGTGCTGTGCCGCTCCATTCAGTGAATTTCAGTTTGGACACGGCACGGTGCCGCGGCACTGGGGTTAGGGTAAGGCGCAGCCCCGTTCCTTGATTTTTAAATTTAAGGGGCTTGACGGCCCTTCGGGCCGTTTCAGCCCCGTTCCTTGATTTTTAAATTTAAGGGGCTTGACGGCCCTTCGGGCCGTTTCAGCCCCGTTCCTTGATTTTCAAATTTAAGGGCTTGACGGCCCTTCGGGCCGTTTCAGCCCCGTTCCTTGATTTTTAAATTTAAGGGCTAGACGGCCCTTCGGGCCGTTTCAGCCCCGTTCCTTGATTTTTAAATTTAAGGGGCTTGACGGCCCTTCGGGCGGTTTCAGCCCCGTTCCTTGATTTTTAAATTTAAGGGGCTTGACGGCCCTTCGGGCGGTTTCAGCCCCGTTCCTTGATTTTTAAATTTAAGGGCTTGACGGCCCTTCGGGCCGTTTCAGCCCCGTTCCTTGATTTTTAAATTTAAGGGCTTGACGGCCCTTCGGGCCGTTTCAGCCCCGTTCCTTGATTTTTAAATTTAAGGGGCTTGACGGCCCTTCGGGCCGTTTCAGCCCCGTTCCTTGATTTTTAAATTTAAGGGGCTTGACGGCCCTTCGGGCCGTTTCAGCCCCGTTCCTTGATTTTTAAATTTAAGGGGCTTGACGGCCCTTCGGGCCGTTTCAGCCCCGTTCCTTGATTTTTAAATTTAAGGGCTTGACGGCCCTTCGGGCCGTTTCAGCCCCGTTCCTTGATTTTTAAATTTAAGGGGCTTGACGGCCCTTCGGGCCGTTTCAGCCCCGTTCCTTGATTTTTAAATTTAAGGGGCTTGACGGCCCTTCGGGCCGTTTCAGCCCCGTTCCTTGATTTTTAAATTTAAGGGCTTGACGGCCCTTCGGGCCGTTTCAGCCCCGTTCCTTGATTTTTAAATTTAAGGGGCTTGACGGCCCTTCGGGCCGTTTCAGCCCCGTTCCTTGATTTTTAAATTTAAGGGGCTTGACGGCCCTTCGGGCCGTTTCAGCCCCGTTCCTTGATTTTTAAATTTAAGGGCTTGACGGCCCTTCGGGCCGTTTCAGCCCCGTTCCTTGATTTTTAAATTTAAGGGGCTTGACGGCCCTTCTGGCCGTTTCAGCCCCGTTCCTTGATTTTTAAATTTAAGGGGCTTGACGGCCCTTCGGGCCGTTTCAGCCCCGTTCCTTGATTTTTAAATTTAAGGGGCTTGACGGCCCTTCGGGCCGTTTCAGCCCCGTTCCTTGATTTTTAAATTTAAGGGGCTTGACGGCCCTTCGGGCCGTTTCAGCCCCGTTCCTTGATTTTTAAATTTAAGGGGCTTGACGGCCCTTCGGGCCGTTTCAGCCCCGTTCCTTGATTTTTAAATTTAAGGGGCTTGACGGCCCTTCGGGCCGTTTCAGCCCCGTTCCTTGATTTTTAAATTTAAGGGGCTTGACGGCCCTTCGGGCCGTTTCAGCCCCGTTCCTTGATTTTTAAATTTAAGGGGCTTGACGGCCCTTCGGGCCGTTTCAGCCCCGTTCCTTGATTTTTAAATTTAAGGGGCTTGACGGCCCTTCGGGCCGTTTCAGCCCCGTTCCTTGATTTTTAAATTTAAGGGGCTTGACGGCCCTTCGGGCCGTTTCAGCCCCGTTCCTTGATTTTTAAATTTAAGGGGCTTGACGGCCCTTCGGGCCGTTTCAGCCCCGTTCCTTGATTTTTAAATTTAAGGGGCTTGACGGCCCTTCGGGCCGTTTCAGCCCCGTTCCTTGATTTTTAAATTTAAGGGCTTGACGGCCCTTCGGGCCGTTTCAGCCCCGTTCCTTGATTTTTAAATTTAAGGGGCTTGACGGCCCTTCGGGCCGTTTCAGCCCCGTTCCTTGATTTTTAAATTTAAGGGCTTGACGGCCCTTCGGGCCGTTTCAGCCCCGTTCCTTGATTTTTAAATTTAAGGGCTTGACGGCCCTTCGGGCCGTTTCAGCCCCGTTCCTTGATTTTTAAATTTAAGGGCTTGACGGCCCTTCGGGCCGTTTCAGCCCCGTTCCTTGATTTTTAAATTTAAGGGGCTTGACGGCCCTTCGGGCCGTTTCAGCCCCGTTCCTTGATTTTTAAATTTAAGGGGCTTGACGGCCCTTCGGGCCGTTTCAGCCCCGTTCCTTGATTTTAAATTTAAGGGGCTTGACGGCCCTTCGGGCCGTTTCAGCCCCGTTCCTTTATTTTTAAATTTAAGGGGCTTGACGGCCCTTCGGGCCGTTTCAGCCCCGTTCCTTG